AAAAAAAAAAAAAATCCCGATGGCAAGCTCCAAGCCGCCGCAAGGCCACTTTACTCTCCTATACTTTGCTGCCGCTTCATCCTTCACGAAGAAAAGCTCGGAGATCTTCAGAGCACCGTTGCCCGCTCGGGACCTCTTCCAGGTCCTTGAGAAGCGGTATCCCGGCTTCACCGAGAAGGTCCTCAGCAGCTGCGCTGTGACCGTCAACCTCGAGTACATCGATCTAGATGAAGACCAAGACGGAGAGAACAGCCTTGTCATAAAGGAGGGCGACGAAGTCGCTGTCATACCCCCAGTGAGCTCTGGATGAGGCTAGAAAACGGAGTGCGACCAAAGCTAAAGCGTCTCCTCGTGGTTGCCATCCTCCTGTCCCCTGCTTAGCCAAGGCCGTTGCGCCACCCGCTGAGACCCAAGCGATTCATTGCGCCCCTTGAGACTGGCTTCTTCCGCGAGGAAGGGATTACTGGCTCTTGCATCCTGCCTCAGCTCTTGCCTCAGCTCTTGCCTCAGCTCTTGCCTCAGCTCTTGGTCGGTCAGACTTGATGCTTCCTCGCCGGCATCGAAGGCAGCATGCCAGACCATATTGCCAACCTTTGTTAGCCAGGCGCCCCTCTCCGTTCTATGGCTCCTTCCGCTCTCTGCGAGAATCCGGAGTACGAGGGCGAACTCTGAGATATAGAAGGTGCTCGGCACGACGGCGAAGGCGTCATGCAACGGACAGCAACGTTAGCGTGAACGCTCGGGGGCCTGAGGGTTTCCTGCGGGCTCTACTGTACTGCGAAGTATTGGGGGAGTGTTGAAAGACAAGGCCGTAGACGCCAGAGATGCCCACGAACAACTGGTAGTTTATGTAGCTCTGCTGCTTCTGTTGCAGAGTACGCTGAGTGGAATGCAACGATGTCACGCTTGCCCATGCTTGCCCATGCTTTTCCCATGCTGGGCGATAACAGCACCGTTTGACCCACGAACCTCTCCTGAGGCTGCCCAGGTGGTTGCTACCTAGCTAGGCACCTAGGCGGACCTCTCGGCATCAGCCGAACATGCCTGGTTGAGCCTCCGACCCCCCAGGCCCAGGCGCACTTAACACCGACTCCACCGACAACTCGGGCAGTCGCAATCAACCAACCACCGATTCCGTCGCGATGAGTGCCTCCTTGTCGGCCATTGATCCTGCCCTCTCCTACGCCCAGCGGCCCCAGCTGCACCAGCAACCCGCGTCGTTTACAGGCACCAGCGCCGTCCAGCAGCCCGCGCCTGACGATGCCCTGCCGCAGCCATACTTCCTCCCGCCGGGCGCTCATCAGCATCAACCGCTAGCCGGCGCACTGGATCCCGCGCTCGAAGCCCGCTCCGTCAAGGCCCCTCCACCTGAAGATACTCCCGACGACCATGTGGTACCGGCTCTCGAGGAACAACCACACGATGAGCCGGGCAGTGCACCGGCGAACCCTGCCAGTGATGCAAAACGTCCTCGAGCGTGCGACTCCTGCCGCGGATTGAAAGTTCGATGCGATCAGGATCCAAGCCGGCCAGATGTGCCGTGCAAGAGATGCGCCAAGGCCAACCGCCTCTGCATCACCACACCGCCGACAAGGAAGAGGCAGAAGAAGGCGGACAGCCGGGTCGCTGAGCTCGAGAGGAAGATTGACGCTCTGACGGCTACGCTGGAAGCGCATAGAGGAGACGGGCCGTCAGAAAGCGGACAATATGCGCCAGATCCTCCGCCATCCGGACTCCCATATGACAGCGTTCACCCACAGCTTCGTCAAGAACCGGGGACCTACAACAACGCCCCACAGGAACCAGTCTGGCCAGACGAGCAAGGGAGGAATAAACGGCGGAGGCTCGATATCGAGGCAAACCAGTCAGCAGATTATGCAGAAGACCAGATCAAGGCCATGAGGCGCGAGGTGCTCATGTCTGAGAATGCAGAAATCGCAGCGGAAGCCCACGATTACGGTCGCAGTGCGAGACCCTTCGTTGATCACTCAAACTTGATTCGCAAAATCGATGAGCTACTCGATCCGGGGGAGGCCGAGCGTATATTTGATCGCTACGTGCGAGAGGTATCTCCATGCTTTCCCGCCGTCCCGTTTCCTCCTAATACCACCGCGGAGCAGATCCGAACCAGCAAACCACTGCTGTTCCTCTCAATCCTGGCGGGGACTTCGTATGGCATCAACGTTCGGCCTGAGATACAGCGAGAGCTGTGGGTCATGCTGAATGACGAGTTTGCGAATGCACTATGGCGCAATGCAGAGAAGTCACTTGAGATAGTCCAAGCACTCCAGGTTGGCGTGCTATGGTATCGGCCGCCCTCTGCCTTTGAGCAACACAACTTCTACCAGATGGCGAACACCGCTGCAGTGATGGCTCTAGATCTTGGACTAGGAAAGCGAGTTGTCAGCGGTAGGAAGCATCCCGGATCTGGACCTTACCGTCGATGTCTTCCGCATCAGGATAGCGTTGAAGCCCGACGAGCGTGGCTAGTGTGCTACTTTCTGTGCATGAGTATCACTATGGCTCTACGACGTCCGATTCTGCTACGCTGGACCAAGTACATGGACGAGTGCATAAAAGCTCTAGAGACATCACCTGATGCCCTGCTCTCTGACCGTGCCCTCTGTCAGCATGTCCGAACGATCCACATCTGCGAAGACGTATCAGTACAGTTCTCCATGGACGATCCGAATACCGAAATATCCATCTCTGATGCCAAGGTCCAGTACTCTATCAAGACCTTTGAGAACCAGCTGAAAGACTTGAGCAAGCACGCGCCGTACGACAGCATGGTGCCCGTGATCAAGTATTCCGAGCACGTTGCCAACCTTTACATTCACGAGATTGCGCTGCACCATAGTTCCAATCTGGATTCATTCGGTGCTGGCTGTCCCCTGTCGGACTCCTTTTCGAAAGGTGAACAGCCCAGCAGAGTCATTGGTCCTGCTCATGTTGCGGCGTTGAGCGAGGTAACTTTCTCGAAACCTTGATCCATCAGTGCTGTAGTGACTTATGTTTAGTGCCTCTCCGCTTCGCACGGCATCCTCGACACCTTTCTTACACTTCCATACGAAGTTGTGAATGTCCTCCCCACAGTTTTCTCGGTGCGCGCCATTTACTCCCTCGTCTGCCTCATCAAGATGTGGGTCGCGGTGACCAACCCCGCCAGTGATATGGGCACTGTTATCCGCAAAGAGGACCTGAGGCTTGAGCACTACTTGGGTGCATTGCGGGCTATTTTCGGTCGGATCAAGGAGAGGGATGAAATGAGCCCTCACAACAAGTTCGTCTATGTGGTCGGCAAGCTCAACGACACCTTTACCCAGCTGAAAGAGGGCTTGCCACCTAACACAAAGACGCCGTGGTCCACTAGTCGAGGCCAGGACGCTGGTAATCCCGCGCAGACTAAACGACGCTCGAAAGGCGCATACGCACAACAGCATGGCCAAACGCCCTTGCATCTACTCAGCGAGGTCGCGACGGTATCAAACGGCAATCAACCACCCAGCGGCAATGATGCGAGCGTCGGGTCTTATCTACCACCGCAGACCCAGCAGTCACAGTGGTATCAGCCGCCCCAGCAGCAACAGCAGCAGCAGGTTGCACCGGTGGATATGCAGGGCTATGACTTTGGTGGTTCGGGGCAGGGGATGATGACTGGCTTTGATTTTAGTCAGCTGGGCATGAACTTGGATTTGTTCCAGGGGGACATTCTTTGGACGTATCCGGGGGATCCTTTCGCGATGCCTACGGGTGATGGCGGATTTATGTAAGGACTACCTTATGGTAGTTGTTTAGGAGCCGCATCCTTGTAGATAGCAGGACTGTGTCCTTCGAAGTGAGATGAGCCGGTTGCGATCCATCATGTACATGACAACCACAATGAAGTGGGATGACAGCAGAAGGCATGCCTCTGGGTTAGATGATGCTTCAGCCTTTTGTTCTGTGTCTGAGCGGTGGTGTTGATGCCTGAGGTTGCACCACTCCCTGTTGCAGAGCTTGACATCACAGCATTCGTCCCTGTCTGTCCAACCCTGCCTCACGCATCTACACCGCTGAGGCATAAAGAATCTTGCGAGGGTACAATAACAGAGATGGCATTCAATAGAAGAGCAGGTAGGTGAATGCGCTCCGAGATGCAGAGACCGGCTTGTGATAGGCCACAACTGCCGCGGGACAGGGCTGTAAGTGATGTGAGGTGGTGAGTAATCGTCACCATCAAAGCCTCAAGGTTTCCTAGAGCCTTGTTCACAGCTCATCTGTTTTTCGTTCGGTCAAACGACAATGCAAGAGCACTTCGCGGAAAGTGCCCCGTCCATGTTCAGGCCAAATCCAGCTCGAAGCGCTCAGCGAGATGACAATAAACCAGCAACGGCGACTGCCATACCAGCAGCTCACCATCCTCGGTATGCTCCCGAATGAACGGTCCATTTCTCGCAACGGAATATCACGCTGACGAGCATTCAGCAATATGTCGCTTCGCCGAGCCCATCGCCCTGACCTCCATCTTCCCCTACCTCCCTGAAATGATCGAGAGCTTCGACGTACCCAAGAACGAGATTGCAAAATGGGCCGGCATCACATCCTCCATCTTCTCGCTCAGCCAGTGCGTAATGGGCATACCCTGGGGCCGCGCCTCAGATGTCTGGGGTCGTAAGCCAGTAATCCTGATCGGCCTGGTCAACACTATGGTCACGAGCTTGCTATGGGGGTTCTCTACATCGCTACCTATGGCACTGGTCGCACGGGCATTGTCAGGGGCAGGAAACGGCAACGTAGGAATCATCAGGACGATGGTGGCAGAGATGTGTCCGTGGAAAGAGCTACAGCCGAGGGCGTTCAGCATCATGCCGCTAGTTTTCAATATCGGCAGCGTCATCGGTCCAGCTATCGGCGGCGCGTTGTCAAACCCGCTGCGCAGACCACCGGATGCGCCTCGTGGTGACTCATTCTTCGAACGGTATCCTTATGCTCTGCCCAATCTCGTTGCCGCGTGCTTCTTCTTCACTGGCATCTTTACGGGCATCTTTTTTCTGCACGAGACACTCGGCTCCAAGAAAGCGCGCCGCGACTACGGCCTTGTGCTTGGCGAGAAGATCTCGACCGCCGTAAGCCATCGAGTACAAAGGGCTAGGAGAAGGTGGCGTAAGGCTCGGGAGGGGGAAACTGAGCCCTTGATATCCCCTCAGGCTAGCCGCACGGAGTATCCAAGTCTCTCAGACGAGGAGTCGGCGGAAGTCGAAGACGATTCTTCAGCATCTCCTGCAGAAGAAAAAGCGCCCGGATATCGGGAAGTGCTATCAAGGCAGTCTGTTTACAATCTACTTGTATACACCCTTCTGGCGCTCCATTCGCTCGGCTATGATCAGCTGCTTCCTGTGTTCATGCATCATCCCGCACAACCCGTCAGTAGCCCCGATGTGGATCTACCGTTTAAGTTTTCAGGTGGGTTTGGCATAAATTCCGCACGCATCGGTATCTTATTCACACTCTATGGTGTCGCTGGAATTATATTCCAGCTTTTTCTCTTCCCACCAGTCGCGCGGCGCTATGGCGTTCTCAGATGCCTTCGTGTTTCTTTCTGCGTTGCTCCAGTCATGTACATCCTTACACCGTTCACTGCTTTGTTACCAACAACGACATCGAAAATGATCTGCATGTTCGCCATCATGCTCTTCAAGGGTTGCGCCAATACGTTCGCGTTCCCGGGAAGCACCATCCTGCTCACGAACACGGCAAACTCGCTGCGGGTCCTAGGGACCCTCAACGGCATTGCTACCAGCGTCTCGGCTGTGGGACGGGCGGCTGGTCCGGCCATTGGGGGCGGCCTATTCACCGTTGGAGCCCGGAAGAACTACATTGTGACGCCTTTCTGGGTCCTAGCCGCCATCGCCGCCTTGGCTGCTAGCCTCACTTTCCTCCTTGAAGAAGGCGACGGCTTCGGGGATGTCGCGGAGTCCGAGGATAGCGAAGAAGAGGGCGAAGGAGAGCCAGGACTGGAGGCTGCCGCTGCGGACGGGCCGATGTCCGTATCTCGAGCGTCCAGCGACGCAGGGTTCGGAGACCCAGCCCCGCTACTTAGCCGCGTTTCGACTTTCTCGACTTCTTCTGTTCGTCAGGCGTCCATCGGATCAGGCTCGGCTGCCCAGGGCAGCGAGCCTCCGCTTGATGATATGGAGGGGCAGCAGCTGCGGCGGGTAAAGTCTAGCAGTCGGCACAGCTCGAGAACAGAGGGACCGCGTCCACTGCAGAGAAAGATGTCGGTGCCTATTGGTATGGGCGGAAGGGGTTTTAGGAGATTGAGCTCGAACTTGGGACAGAGTGGGAGTGGGTGGGTTACTGGGAGTTCTTGGGGTGGATGATGTTTAATCTTCTGGATAGGGCGTATTGGGCTGCATTGCACCAGTTTGGCGTTTTTGACATGTGGCCTCTTTTCAGACCTTGTGGATACTGAGATCCCGGCCAGAACGCACAAAGGACTACTGGTAGATTATGCCGGCAGTATAACGCCCTGTGTAGATCTCGGGGATGTTTCTAGATAGGACTAGTTAAGCAGCTTGGGTAGACAACATGGCGAACACGATGGGAATACAACTACTCGTATGAGTACCATCGTTAGCCTTTGAACCCTCGCTAATCGTGTTGGGCTGCAGCACGGGTTGCAGCGCCTATTGAGCCTTCTCATGCTTTCCGTCCTCATTCGAGCGTTTAACCGATTGACTAGCCACCACAACCACCAGTCAAGCTCTTCTCCGGGCTCACTCTTCTCCTTTGATATCTCGGGATGTTTCAGAGGAGTTGCGGTTACAGCAGTTCCTCTATGCCACCGCAACGCTTGGTACCCGCAAGGGCAACCTCCGGACGTCTGGACACTCTACAGCTCGAAAAATTTGAGCTGACAGGACTCAGCAACATGTCGCTCCCGCTCAATCCAACGCCATGGAGCGGCCGGCGGCGGAGAGGCTTGCGCCAGCGCCGTAATGGCGCCGCAACTGGCGAGCTGAAGAGCCTCCAGACCAGCTCGCTCTAGTCAGTGGTGTTCCATATTGAGCTGTGCGTGCTCTGGTAAGTACGTAAGACCTTTCGAGGCCGAACCGAAGGCGCGAAAGAAACAGCAGGACGCATGCTAAACCTGTCAAGAGATCGGCTAACCCTGAGCTTAACCGGAAGTGTGGATCTCCTCATCGAGCGACGGCTATGTCCGATCGCAGCCCAGATCTAGTGGAAGGAGCTGTGTCGCGTGCTCTCATACCGCTTCGGGCTGCGGCTCAAGGGGCCTGAAGGCTAGTACAACTAGTTTACCGGCGGACACCCTTGGTGAGGATCAAGAGCTGGTCTGTGAGGGGAAGATCGAGGGGATGGTGGACTGCTCAGCCCGCCACCGTCTTGGAACTGGAGAGACAAGAGGTCCAGCCGCCCTCCTATGCAAGCCGTGACTCTATGTTCTATTCCAAGTATCTTTCATTTCGGCATGGTCTCCATCGCTTCACGTCTTTGTGCTTTGTAGAAGGCCCACTTGACGCTCGGCATCCCCAGTAGCCTCGTTCCTTGGTCGAAGCCATGCTCCTGAGACCGTTGGTATCACATTCGGCAACACCGCATGCCACAAGTTTAGACATGCTTCGGACGCTGCGCGCTGGTGCGCGGTCCCCATACATGTCTTTGATTACCACAAGAACCCCATCAAGGGGGAAACCACATATATATATTCCCATCGTCGCCGTCAAAATGCTATGTTCCAGTGGTTCGCAGTTTCTTCTCTAGTACATTATTACTCTCCTGGCACCAACTTTCTTTCCGTTCGTTATGGCAAAAGACGATTTCATTACCGTAGAAGTAACGGAGATTAATCCTTCCACCGCGGCGAGCTCTGTCTGCAATGAAAGCTTGTCTCAAGACGACCCCTCATGTCCTCAGTATCAAAGCTCCGATGAGGAATCTGGAAGGGCTGAACACTCTTCATCGGGTATTTCTGAATCCGAAACAAAAGCAGATCCCACTATTGTTAGGACAGACCCTCCAGCCCTGGGACATTATATGCTGATCTCCTTGGACAGGTCACTTGGGATGGTCCAGACGATCCTGCAAATCCAAAGAATTGGAGCCGCCGAAGGAAGTGGGTGGTATGTTTTACCCACTTGACCTCGCATGCTTCACCCAGGCTGACTGCATGCAGGTCACGGTCATTGTCTCCGCATTTGCATTCATCTCTCCTCTCTCGTCCTCCATGATCGCCCCCGCTTTAAGCCGTCTCGGCAGCGAATTGCACATCCCAAGCGGCGTACAGCTACAGATGATCCTCTCGATCTTTGTTCTGGCCTACTCTTTCGGACCGTTCTTTCTATCGCCCGCTTCCGAGATTTGGGGCCGTACCCGCATAATACAATACTCGAATCTGGTGTTCATCCTCTTCAACGTTCTATGTGGGTTTGCGAGGACGAAGGGCGAGCTTCTCGCATTCCGGTTTATAGCCGGTTTAGGCGGCTCAGCGACATTAGGGGTAGAGACAGAACTTCATGTCATTCGTGAATCGTGATGGATCTGGGCTAACTGCGTATCAGATGGGCGCTGGCATTCTCTCCGACTGCTGGAGCCCTGAGGAGCGAGGTCGAGGTATGGCCCTGTATCAACTGGCGCCTATCCTTGGGCCTGCGATTGGTCCAGTAGGTGAGTAAATATCTGTCCGATCTGCCTCACTTTAACACATGTGCTAACCCTTCACTCTAGCTGGCGGGTTCATTGCGGAGAATACAACCTGGCGGTGGTCCTTCTGGTCCATCACATGCTTCAACATCGCCATCCAGCTTGTCGGGCTCTTCTTCCTACGCGAGACCTACGCGCCGCGACTCCTCGCTCTGAAAGCGCGAACACTACGCCAAAAGACTGGTAATCCAGAGTTGCGCGCCGCGACAGAGACACCCTCCCGCACCCTCCCAGCTCTTCTCCAAGTCTCCCTAACGCGGCCGTGGCGAATGCTAGCGACGCAGCCAATCATCCAGCTGCTGGCACTCTACCAAGCCTACAACTTCGGCATGCTCTATCTCTTCATCTCGAGCTTTCCGGCCTTATGGGAAGGGCGCTACGGCATGTCCACCTCGCTGGGCAGCCTGAATTATTTCTCGCTCGCGCTCGGTTCGCTGATCGGAGCACAAATATGCGGACCGCTGGCGGATCGCATACACCGACGCATGCGGATCCGGTACGGCGGCGCCGAGGACGCGAAAGCGGTACCGGAGTTTCGGATTCCGCTCATGATTCCGGCGGCTTTTGTCACGCCGTGCGGGATTTTCTTATACGGATGGGCTGCGCAGGCGAAAATGCACTGGATAGTGCCGAACGTGAGTCCGACCCCTTCCCGCCTCCTGGCCTTGCTGACACCGTACCGCAGATCGGAGCAGCCTTATTTGCGGGCGGCAGCATGATCTCGTACCAGTGCATACAGGTGTATCTCGTCGACACGTATACGCGGTATTCTGCGTCCGCGTCCGCGGCTTCGGCGTTCTTGCGCTCGCTGGCGGCGTTCGGGTTCCCGTTATTTGCGCCTTCACTGTTTGAGACGCTAGGTTATGGATGGGGGTGTAGCGCTCTGGGTCTTGTGGCTGTTGTGCTGGGCATCCCGGCACCGTTTTTGTTTTGGAGTTTTGGGGCGAGGATACGAGCTAGGAGTCCTTTTGCTGCGGGAGGTTGATACTCTGTGATTCGTACAAAACGACAGAATCTATCCTTCATCTCACTCTCACACTCGAGAAACTCTCGAGATAATTGTGTTGATTCAGCCTGGATGCAGCACCCATGCCACAAAACCCCTTGCTAGCCCATTGTAGACGGGAACAATCCGTCGTGGGTGGACAATTCAAGTCAAGATATGCGAGCCGTTGTGGTACGAATGGATAGTCTTTCTGGGTTTTACGCCATTGACCGAGCCACATACCCATCTTCACAACTTCTACCCAGGACGCCTTTACTGCATACTAATAAAGAAAGAGGTCCCATGGAGCCGCTTACTAAGGGGCAAGTAGCCCTTTCCACACGGACGGATACATTCTAGTCTTCCAGTTGTTCTAGTGGGGTTTCACGTGGGGGCAGATCTTGATACGGCAAACAGCACGATGGCCGTAGATTGCATCTTCTATATGTGTAGTGCGGAGCTGCCATCTGCACGACAGCAAACGCTCAAAGCAAACCCTCTCAAGCGCCATCGCTATGCTTCCCTAGATACCCCTTGCGATGAATCCCCTTTTTGCCATGCAAATGCCGAATCCCCTCAAACGCCTCCAAATGCAGCCAAAATCCCCCCACCACCATTCCCCATCACAAGCCCCCACCATCACGTCTTCAACCACTCCTCAAAATAAACACAGTTCCTCGCATTCACCGGCCCGCCCTCCTCACACAACACAAACACCGGACACCGGCCACACGGCGCCTCAGCCAACCCGTTCCCCGGCCCAACATCCTCCTCCCCCTCCATCGGCCGCACGCTGCGGTACATATGCCCCCCGACGCCCATGCGCTCGAGGCGCCCGTCGTAGACCAAGTTGTCGAGAAGGTGCTTGAGATCCGCCTCGTGGATCTCGACCATCACGACGCCGGACTCGCGCACGAAGTCGGAGATGGTGGGGAGGTTTGGGTAACCCCTGTAGCCCGGGGGGTAGGGAATTAGAACTCTGTTGCTCGGTCCCAGCGCGGGCTTGAAGCGCGGGGAGGGCGGGAGTTCGAGCGCCGCGGCCAGCGATGTGGGGGGTGTCTGCTGCGCCGCTGCGGCCGCTGCGACGGCGTCTTTTCTGCGTTTTATGGCGTCCGCCATGTCCCGCCCCCCCTTGATGCGCGGCGCCTCGACCCACGATTTCGCGTGCACGTAGTTCCAGATCAGGTCGGCGACCGTGTTGATGAGGTCGATGTCGAACTCGCCGTTCTCGTCGTGCCAGGGCCCCCCCGCGATGTCTTCGGAGGGGACGAGGTGGTACAGCATGTAGGTCTTGCGGGATGGGTTTTTGACATTGCGGATGCTTTTTATGAGGCGTGAGGTTTCGAGGGATTTTATGGCTTTGTTGAGGGATTTGTCGTGCAGGTTCGTTTTGGCGCGGATGGCGCGGGTCCAGATGCCGGTGGTGCCGAGGGACTCGACGCATTGGTATACGAGGAGCTCGTCGCGGGAGAGGGTGGTGAGTCTGTGGGTGGTGGGCGGCGTTAGTTATGGTGGTTCTGGGGAGCTCGAGGGGAGCTGGAGGTTGGGATGGGCGGCGTACTTGGTTGCGATGTCTTGTGGTCGAGCTTTCCAGCACACATCTCCGTCCCATTGGAGCAGCTGGAAGAGCTGGTTTGACACTAGCTCTTGACATATCTGCATCAACTCTTTCGTGTCCCGGGCAATGTGAAGGTTCTCCAGGTCCTCTTGGTTGAAGAGAGCTCCGGGGATTGTTGCGCAGTAATCGTAGAGTTGATCGCGTTTTGTGGGATATGACGAGCTCGAGATGGCCGAGGGGCCTGAGGAGGTGGCTGCCATGGCGAGCGACAGCGGTGTGGACTTCTTAGGGCGCGAAGAAGTTGTTCGACGTGGCTGGAGGGGTGTGGGGGGGGATTCCGAGTGACTGAGTGTCCGACTCGGAGGTGATGCGGGAGAAATTTTGGGCACAGACGACAGCCCACAGCCCACAGCCCACAGCCCACAGCCCACAGCACCCTCCACCCCCAGTCATTCCACCGCAAGTCAATAGTCCTACACCAAGCCCACGCGCAATTGCTCAAGAGAAGACCGGAACCCGCAGCTCCAAACTAGGACTTGTGCCTGTCTCCGCGTTATTGAGCAGAAAGAGTGTGTAGGAAACCCCACGACAACCGCAAAGGCAGCTACGACTTCCGCGAAACCTCCCATAAATACTAGCGGCAGAGTATCAGCGGGCCTCGTCGTCTCTCCAGCTGGGCTACGAAACAAGATGGTAGGTACACGGGGCCCAGTCCCGGTACCGCTCCGCGACGGCGACCGCGATGTCACGCAGCAGATCCTTGACATGCTCGACGAGAAGCCAGAGCTCAATTCCAGCTCCGACTTCCCTCAGCTACCCCAGGCCGAGATCAAAGCCGCACTGGATAGGCTGGCCTCGCGGTCGATGATCGAATACAAGACGGAGGACAAGGAAGAGGTGGTTCTGACCAAGGAGGGCCAGACGATATGCGACGAGGGCAGCCATGAGTTCAAAGTGTGGTCTGCGGTCAGCAGGAAGGGGAAGATACCTGTGAAGGAGCTGGCGGTAAGAACACCCCAGCTGGACTTTGCTCGTGGCAGCCATCCATGACAAGAGCGTGGCACTAACGAACGTGCCTAGAATGAAGTCGGCAAGGCTTCAGTGATAGGTCAAGGCGCTGCTATGAAGAATGGCTGGGTAAAGAGCGAGCAAGGGTTTCTAGTACCGAAAGCGAAGGAGGTCCAAGATTCGACGCAGCAGCTACTACAAAAGACCCAAGAAACAAGGTCGGTCTCCGACCAGAACCAGTTGAAGCAGCTTAAGAGTCGGAAACTGGTAACCACAGCAAAGGTCATAAGCTACACAGCCACGAAAGGCCCAAAGTACGCGAAGGAGATACCCGTCGAGGTGACAGACCTGACCGCGGACATGCTGGCAGATGGCTCCTGGAAGACTGCCAACTTCAAGCCCTACAACTTCGCCGCCCTAGGCGCCCCGCAAAGCGCCGGCGCACTTCACCCCCTCAACAAAGTACGGACAGAATTCCGCAACATCTTCTTCAACCAAGGCTTCGTCGAGATGCCGACAGCGCGCTTCGTGGAATCCGGCTTCTGGAACTTCGACGCCCTGTTCGTGCCCCAACAACACCCGGCCCGCGACCTCCAAGACACCTTCTACGTCTCCGACCCCCCCTCCGCCGACAAACCACGCGAAGACCCCGTCGCCGAAGCCGCCATGGACGAGATGGAAGCCGGTTCCCGCCGGCTCTTCTCGACGGACACCCAAAAGAAAACGAAATCCCGCGACTACGAGCAGTACTGGTACGACATTAAGACGGTCCACCAAGACGGCGCCTTCGGCAGCATCGGCTACCGCTACCCGTGGTCAGAAGAAGAGTGTCTACGCCTCGTGTTGCGCACGCACACCACAGCCGTCAGCACCTGGGCCCTGCACCGCCTCGCCGAAGACCCGCGGCCCGCGCGCTACTTCTCCATCGACCGCGTCTTCCGCAACGAGACCGTCGACGCAACGCACCTGGCCGAGTTCCACCAGGTCGAAGGCGTGATTGCCGACTTCGGCCTCACGCTCGGCGGGCTGATGAAGTTCCTCGAGGACTTCTTCAGCAGGCTCGGGATCACGAATCTGCGGTTCAAGCCGGCGTATAACCCGTACACGGAGCCGAGCATGGAGGTGTTTGGGTACCACGGGGGCCTGGGGCGGTGGGTGGAGATTGGGAACAGCGGCATGTTTCGGCCCGAGATGCTGGAGCCGATGGGCTTGCCGAGGGATTTGAGGGTTTATGGGTTTGGACTCAGTTTGGAGAGGCCGACGATGATTAAGTATGGGGTTAGTAATATCAGGGATTTGTTGGGGCATAAGGTGGATCTTCATTTCATTGAGAGTAATCCGGCCGTGCGGTTGGAGAAGGATTGAGGGGGTAGATGAGTGAGTAGAGCTTGAGCAGATGGCGCGTATCACGGTTCATGTGATACAGCCGTAGAAGGTAGGTCTCGGAGGTTGCGGTGCGCCTTGCGGAAGTTTGTGGTCCTTGCATATATAGTAAGAGGCATCAGGTAGACCAAACTGCGCAGATAGTAACTAAACTTTTGGGTGCCATTCGAGATTGCGCCTAAGAACAATCCTTGATTCTGTTGATGCCTAGGGCATGCGAGCCGCATGCTCATGATCATCACAACCTGGATGTTTCATGCAGTTCTCTGCGGTTTTAGGGCATCATCTCCTAAGACTTCACCACCTCTGCATGGTGGCTTTGCCATTTTGTACCTTCCGACCCTACCCCTTCATCTTTACTATTTGTATATATAGCACACCAGAAGGCTGATATGTACACACATTTCGGCCTCAGTAGCAAACGAGCCAAACATCGGTACCTACTCATGAATTGTCGGCGCGAGCGGCGGCATCCACGAGGAAAATCTATCCGTTGGTCCGAACTTTAGCTTTAGGCTCGTCGACCCGACCGGCAAGGCCAATTCAAATGGCTTTGCCGGTGCCATGATGATCAGCCCCGGCTTCGTCATCAAGTCGAACCTCACTTCTTCGAGCGCCAGCGACACGGTCTCAACATCGCTGACGAGCTCTTCCACCACGTCGAAATCAGCGTCCGCGGCATCGGCAGCGTAGTCAGTGGCAGCGACAGCGAGCGTCTACTACTCCAGCCCAGACCCGGCTCCCGGACTCGGCATGGTAGACAAGATTGGCATCAGCGTTGGTGTTGTTGGCGGCGTAGCTGTCGTCGCGGCCTTGCTTTGGTACTCTACATTCCGACGCCGACGCGCGCTTTCGCACAACGATGGAATTACAGGCGGCATAGATCATGCCGTGGGTCTGAATATGGGCTATGCGGAGACGGATTCGGCGGAAACGGGTCTATATGAGGCCGCGAGTCCTCAACGGGAACATGTAGGTAGCGAGCTTGATGGTTCGACGGCCTTTTATGAGCTCCCAGGGCGGAGCCAAGCACACGACGTTGCTGAAGAGGATAATTTCGGGTAGGGTTTGCTCAGAGGAGTTTTGGATTGTATTGGTAGACGGAAGACTTGGAGGCTTGAAAAGAACGATGTTCACGCTCAAAAGACGGTCTGGCGAACACCTACTACTGTATATTCTTAGATCCTTTTTTACGGTCTGCCCTGACCCATCTGTGCTAGTCGTTGGGGGGGAGGAGGGGGCAGCATGTCCACAAGTTTTCGATGATGTACTCTCTCTCGTTGAGCAAGGAGGGGGCTTTAATGGCGGTGCTAGATATGTGGTGCTGTTGAGGGCCGGTTGGGATGGGCTTTGACTTGGTCGTGACTACAATTCGATCGAAATCGGACTTACTGCATGCAAAATGGGCGCTTTGGCAACGAACGACCGAACCCAATTGACGGCATGGAAGGGACGTAGAGACATCGCATTCGTAATTGAGTCATTGTGCGGTATGACCATAGGAAGAAATGTACACCTACTGATCATATTCGCTGAACGCTAGAGCCTTTCCATAGTGAGAAGTGACATCTGTACACTAAGTGGAGCAGAACTTGAGTGGTTGGAGTGAATAACTCAGGCGGGTGAATCCGGAATATTGACGACTGACTATTTCAAGAGAACATGATTTTATACAAAACAGTGCCTCGTACCTGCGATCGCTTGGATCAGATTGTGAGCATCCCCATCATCTTGATAAGTCCCATAGCAAAGTCCCCCCCATCCTCCGCCCATCCCCTCTCCGGTCCCCACGTCGTCCTCTTCCCCCGATTCCTTGCCTCTTTCAACAGCTCCCGCATCAGCGGTGAGTCCTTCGACACAGACGGATACCCATCAAACTGCACTACCTCCAGCGATGGCACTTGTACCGCGATCTCGCTGAGCAGGTTCCGGCAGAAGTGCGTGTAGAAATCCTCATTCTTCCTGAAGCCGCGGAATATGTCGTCGGAGGCCGGATCGCACTCTACGAAGACTTTGAGCATCCGCAGCACCGTTGTGTCGCTGAGACCAAGCCGCGGGCTGACTTTCCAGCTCCCCGGTGGCGCGGTCCATCCTGGCCCCAGCCGCAGCTCGACCCTTTGTATAGCCGCGCGATACCGTGGCGGCAGACGCGAGAGGAGAGGCCGTTTGGTGTGGAAGAAGCGTCCATGGATTGGGAACAGACGGAAGGTGTTGTTGCCGTAGAAGACGCGGTAGGCTTCTTCGTGCATGCGGTGGCAGGTCAGGAAGAGCGCGAGGCGGGGAGCGATGCGGCGGTGGTTCGTGGGATCGAGGTCGATGGTCTTGGGGACGACGAGGCACAGGTCGTAGATGCGCACACGCAGCTCGCTGGGGAGGTCGAAGAAGCGAAAGGGAGGGTTGCGGTCAGAGGAGGCGAGGGAGGTTATGGAGGTCATGGACGAGTCCATCGCAATAGCAGACGGAGACACCATAGAGAATGGTATTGAGGATGGTGTCAGGTCTCTTAGCGACCGAGCCGACTACGCAGCCATCGTGGTGGATTTAAAGTAGGTCTCGCAGGATGTATCGTTTCTTACGGGAGTCGCAACTCAGGGAACCCAATGGGTCTAGCAGCGCTTCTTGGGAGAACGAAGCATTGGTCTGCCCAGCTAATACAGCTCCAGGCCCATAATGATTAGGGACCTGTAGCCAAAATTCCTGGGGCTTCAACTTTCATGATGGGAAGAGGAAGAGGCATGGAGTCGTGAGCATCACTTTCTGTGGTGCAGCTTGGCGTCCACGTGACATACGTCAAGGTCATGTGACACACTCTGCAAAGAGCTGATAATAACTACCACGTGGTATGACACCGTCGTGGATGGAGCGTAATATCAAGTCGAATCGAATACACAGAAGCTCTAGATACGCCTCTTTAACTTCATTATTAATACTTAAGAGCGATTGCTCTTACAACATGAGACACTGCCAGTGGAAACACCGCTCGGAAGCCACTCGGCCGAGTTGTCCGAGGAATAGTTCCCCAAATGGCAGCGCGGGAGAAATTGCCTTTTTGCGAACAAGTCCCCTGTCTCTTCTGCTTCAGCGAAGCACAACATGCACGACCCGTCGATGGGGTCTGCGGAGCTACGAGGGCTTCTTCCCGACAGGTAAATATATATAGCTAGAGAACCTCCAGTTATGCCTTTAATTCTTCTATCCTCCTTAATCCTTATTCCAACTGAGACCTTCTACAGCACACAGTGATTTTTACGCAGTACCTCGTCCTTTCCCCATATCCATTCAGACATCGCTGGACACTCCTCATAGCACAATGGGCAAGCCAGTCGTTCTACACCTTGGTGACGATATTAAATGGAACCATGAGCTCTACAAGCAGCTACAGAGCAAGTTCGATATAGTGCGGAGCTACAGCATGGCGCGGGAAGAGTTCAAGCAGGCGCTGAAGGAGAAGAAATTCAGCGACTTCGTTGCCATGTACAGGCCGTTCTGGAACACAGGAGGGGAGATGGGCAATTGGGATGACGAGTTGATGTAGGTGCATTCTCAGTATCTATATCCAGGTGGTCTTGGCACCATGCATCGAGTGGAACCGGAGTGTGATCTATCCGCGCCGGTCGAGTCAAGAGTCATCCGTCCGTATGCGTTCATGTGTATCAGTGGTTTCAGAAATGTTGTCACTCGACCAGCAGGCTAACAGACCACAGCTCGCTGCTCCCCAAGTCCTGTAAAATCTATGCCTCCGCTGGTGCGGGCTTCGACTGGGTAGATACGAAGAGGTTAGCACAGAGCGGTATCATCTACTGCAATGCTGCCGCCGCATGTACCGAGTCCGTAGCCGATGCCGCAATCTGGCTGATTCTGTCCACTTTTCGCGGGTTCTCCTGGTCCGCTCTCGCCGCCCGCTCCCTGGACGTGGAGAAGTTCAAGGATGCCAACAAGAACATAGCGGCCGTGACGCACAATCCGAACGGCAGCTCTCTTGCGATAATCGGCCTGGGGCGCATCGGTTACCGAATCGCCCAGAAAGCTCACCAGAGTTTCGAGATGAAGATCCTCTATAACGATATCCGACAAATGCCCCAGGAGATTGAGAAAAGTATAGACGCTACATTCTACGAAAAGCTTGATGACATGCTAGCTGTGGCCGACTGCGTTCTCGTAGCGACCCCGTTTGGTGGCGACAAAGTGCTCAAGGCCGCGAGCTTCAAGAGCATGAAGAAAGGTTCCAGGCTCGTCAATATCGCGCGCGGTAAGCTGATAGACGAGGAGGCGCTCGTCAAAGCGCTTGAGAGCAAGCACTTGGAGAGCGCAGGACTGGACGTGCACTACGACGAGCCGAAGGTGCATCCGAAGCTTGCAGCCATGAAGAATGTGGAGCTCCTCTCGCACACCGCCGGCGCCAGCGTAGAGTCTCACATTGGCTTTGAGAGGCTGGGCATGGAGAACATCCTGAGCTTCTTCGAGACCGGCAAGGCCGTCACGCCGGTGAATATGCATCTCCTCAATCAGTCGAAGTTATGAGTGGAGGAGTTTTGGATGTCTTATATGCGTCTCATCGGTCTCTCCGCGTTTTGTTGTTTGGTATATGGAGCATCTTACGGACCTGCCTATGGGAAGGAAGCGGACGATGCAGTTACTCTGGCATGAAATCGGCGAGTGTCTGCCTCTGCGGATCCCGTCCTGTTCAGGATCACTGGAGTACAGTCTAGCCGTGCCCAGCGTACGGCCGGAGTCTGCGATATTTCCTTTGGTTTGAGTAGCTTGTAGTGATAAACATACATCCAAGCCCATGTGGTGAACAGCTAGGAGAACGTGCTTAGTGATAGGAACATAGTTGGCACTGCTCACGGGGCTTACTCTTCAGCATTGTTCATTACCGATGATCATCGATGTGGTTCAGAATGCTGCACGTCAGTATCCCTCATTGGCGTTCGTCCATAGAACTACACTAACGGGACCTTGATCGGTCACATGCTACATCTCACCTCCAACTAAATACCTTGTGCAAGTTTAGACGTACCTGACTCACATTGAAGCTGAAAACTGTACGCACCTGGTTTAGCGAGACAGGTTTCTGTAAGCGCCGACACAAAAATCGAGCCAGTTACTTACCGTGATGTGGTCTTGCACTGCATCCACTGCACATAAGATCAGTTGAAGCGAGTTTATTTGTTGTTATTAGGCTTCTGCACCAATGGCACTTCACGCGGGTTTGGAAACATCAAGCCTTAAATTTTCTCACACAATACTGCCGTTCGGCACGCACGAATGTCAGTCTCATCAAGAGTGAGCCCATCGATGTTGCTGACAGCCGGATCACAGCAGACGTTGACAGGGAGAGAATTCGTGCAAGAGGTTCGCCACGATGCTCGAAGAGCAGAGGGAAAGTTCTTAGCCGTTTGGTATAAATATGGCCCTCGGAACCCAAGCTGATAGAACATCGAGCAGCACATCATCCTTCATCAGTACTTCACATCAAACAAACGTCCATAGATCACAATGATTTCCTTCAAGATCCTCCTTCCTCTCGCAATGGCCGCGACTGGGGCCACGGCCAAGTCAGCCACACACGACGCCCTGATTTCCATCCTCCGCCCCGTAGAGACCTGGGACCCCGTCCACGCCATAGACGTCGATCCCATGGCCACTTTCGAAGGCAAGCCTGTCAACTACTCCGTCATCATTGCCTACCAGCCTCCCAAGGCTGCCCCAGAACGCAAAAGGGCAGAAGTCCAAGCCCTTCTGGACCTCAAGAGACCAAAGACTCAAGCTAATGAAGGCCGAGCCGATGAGCTGCTACAACTCCGGCAACCCGGGTATAGCAGAACCAGCTGCAGCCAGGCAAAGACGGCTTCTGTGGCGAGCTGAACCACAACAACAACCCCTCGAACGGCGGGACGCATTGGCAACACCGTCTTCATCATAAGCGAGCGATGGGTCCTTCCAGCGCTTTACTGATCAGGAAGGAAGAGTCGCCAGAGTTTTCTTCCAAGTTTGGGTCTGCGATGGCTTCGTCTGAAGCTACAACAACTGCTATAATGCGCTTTGGGAGATTATCATGCGCTGCAAGGGGAGAGACCCGAATACCGCCGGCGGTTTCATTTCGCAGTACAACTCCGGCAGCATAGATGCGCGTATCGACATCGACGACTAGGCTTTTGGTGTGGGGCGTCAGCAACGGTGGTGTTTCATGCGGCACCCTGGAAATGCGTTGTGTCTGAAGTACATCAGCAGTGTGCAGCGGAGCTGGAGCAGGTGGATGGAGTGTTCCTGAGTAGAGTTGCGGCTGGACTTCTCTTTCTCGCGTCTGGTCTTGGTCCGGGTTTGACGGTCTTTACTTCGAGGGGGCCTTTGTTTAATCTCTTTTTCCCTAGCTCATTATATGTTTTGTTGCTTTCTGTCCTTTCAGAAGTCTTGGAATCTTAGAAATGAGTCTTCTGTATGCGCTGTCAATAACCAAGAGCTACCACTCTTCGCACAGATTATCAAGAATATTGTGGCACTTTACTGCAGAAGGCAACCTCCAAAGAAGCGGGCGTTTGACGCTATTGCAAACCTGTTCCTGACAGTCAAGTGATTTAGCCATATAAGTTGTGACAGTTGCATCAGGATAGTTAGACTGATCTCCCTCTAGCCAAAATATATTCCGAACTTACGGTCAACGTGAGTGCTTGTCTAGATAGCGGTTCGTCTGAGTTTACGTCTCTATAATGTCGACTTACCCATTGGGGTGTCCGCAACTCTGAACACGTACTTGACAGCACTGGCCTTCCCATCTCTCAAATTTTCTAACGCCTGCTGCACGCCTTCCAGCCCGCCAGGCACCACTTCCTGTGGGTGAGGCTTGAACCATCCGTCCTGCAAGCCTTTATTGAGAAATCTGAAGTACACGTATCCGAAGTCTGGCGACTCCTTGTGCACGCTGCCGACAGAGGTTGTGCTATGCTCGATGTAATCCGGAATGTCCGAATAATCCCTTCCAGGCAGGACCAACGTGATCTTCCCACCTTTCGCGAGGATTTTGGACATCGTCTGGAACGAACCCTTCTCAGAGATGGCATCGTAGCAGTGAAACAGCTCCTGTCCATTCAGCGCCTTCTTGATGCCTTCGACAACGGCGTCTGCCCCGTTCCGGTAGTCCACAATCGTATCCCCCTTGCTCCTATCAATCAACTTCTCCACGTGCGCCGCCCCTCCGCCCGCAACCGCAATGATGGGATGAATATTCGACTTCCTCGCGAACTGAATCGCATACGACCCCACCGCCGACGAGCCTCCATAAATCACCAGCGGAATCTTATGCGGTTCCTCGCGCGCATGCCAGGGCTCCGGGAGGCCGAGCCGCAGATACAAGCCCACGGCCGCGGTCATAGCGGCGAGCGGGATCGCAGCGGCTTCCTCGAAGCTGGTCGTCTTGGGGATGTGGAAGGTGGTGTGCTGCCAGCTGAGCGCGTACTCGGCGTAGCTTCCGCCGGGCTTGGTCATCTCGTGGAAGGCGGCCACGCGGTCGCCGGGCTTGAATTCGGTGACGTTGGAGCCGACGGTGTGGATGATGCCGGCGATGTCGTCGCCTTGGTTTACGGCTATTTTCATCCATTGGGGAACCTTCCTGTTACGCGGTTAGATTGGTTCGGTGCTGAGGCTTGAGCGCGGTGCCTGGAGCTTGTTTGGACACTGGCTGGGCGACATACCAGTCCTTAGGATTCGACCCGCTGACCACAACCTTCGTGACTACTTGATCTGGACCTGGTTCGGGGATAGGAGAATCAACAATCTCGACCTTAGGGCCGGGATGAATGATGGCTTCCTTCATGGTGGAGCGCGGTAAAAATCGCTGCGACTTGACAGTTGAATTCTCGAGGGGATGGTGAGCAGCTGGAAGTTAGCCGTAGGGACCAGCGTGCGTATATACATGGTGGAACGCCAGATAGTTGTAGTTCCACGGCATCGCACATTGCGTAATGGGCGATTCCTAAGCGTTTGTGGGGTTGATGTTTTGGGGTCGACCAAGGTGGAAGACTCCCATGAGATCATCTGCCGAGGCCGGGTCGGATCTCAGCCAGATTAGTCGGTTTTGCAAATATCATACGTATAGGATGTCAGCAGACCACTGGGCCGATTATGGCTGATCACGAAACGGTATACATCACTAATCAAGGACGTGTTAGTTGATACGAAGATGGAGTTTAACTACAACGCCGCTGCAATGCGCCATCTCCTATATCTTAGCCTGTATGTCCCCCGCAAAGTTCAGGCCCGCCTGCGCGCTCACTGTCCCGCTCTTCGTGAGCAGCTTCCTCCGCCTACCCCTACTAATCGGTTCATCATCATCGGTTTCCCTGATATAGTATGCCCAGTCCGCAGTGGGATCGAGCTCCGTCTGACTATACCCATTACCCAGCCATGCATACCGGTTGCCAACATACTTGACCTCCCAGTCCTCGAGCCGCAGCTCCTGCAGCGCTTCGATGTAGTGAAGTGTGCTGCCAGGCCAGAGCGCAGTGATGGGACCAGTAGGACCGTTCTTGTACCACGACCGGCACGGATCTGCCCAGACGGTCTGCTTCATGAAGCTGTCTTTGAACTCGATGAACTCCTTTACGGCTTCGGGTTTAGGGTGGAATGTGTGGATGTTGTGGGTCTGGTAGCGGTCGATGAGCTTCATCATATAGTCTGCTTGGCATTCTGTGACGTTCCGTCGTTAGCATCTCCACGCTTCAACAGACGTAGAAGGATGAAATAGACTTACCGATAGCGGAGAGCACAGGGCCATTGCCAATCGGACAATTCGGGCCCAAGAAGATGAGATAATTCGGAAAACCCGCAGCAGCAATACCAAAGTACGACTCCGGCGAATCTTTCCACTCGTCCTGGAGGTTCTTCCCATCAGGCCCTATAATGGGAAATCGCGGCTTGAATGTCGTGTCGAAACCAGTTGCACAGATAAGCACATCAACCGGATACTCCTGCCCATTGTCGCACACACAGCCATGTTCAGAAATCCGCTCAATCTCGCCGTACACCACTTCGACATTCTCCTTACCCAGAGACTCGAGGTAACCGACGCCTGGCGTTAAGCGGCGGCAACCAACGTGCCACTGCGGAATCAGCCGCTCCTCGAGGTACGGGTTCTGTAGCTTGGAGATCATCTGCGACTTCATGTACGCGTGGGTGGTGCTGTTTGTTTGGCTGTCTTTTAGAAAGATGCCGAACTGGCCGTTAAGGCCTCGCTCGACGAACTTGCGATAGTCGGTCAGAACGCCGGGTTTGGATGAGAACTCGACCTTTTCGTGGTCGGTGAAGACGTGCTGCTCAAGGCCTTGGACTGGAGATACCCAGGTGGGCTCTCGGATGAAGGTTGTGACTTTCTTGACTTTCGGCTGGATTGTGGGCAGGACTTGGATGCCGGAAGAGCTAGGAGGATAATCGTCAGCTTTAGTCCTTGAGCTTGTAGGAGGGGAGCTTACCCATTGCCAATGAGGCCAACGTGCTTCCCTTCAAGCTCGACATTGTCGTCCCAGTTTGCAGTATGCAGCAACGTCCCCTTGTAGTCCTTGAGACCAGGGATCGCAGGCCACCGCCAGTTGTTAAGGATGCCCGACGCATTGATCAGAATGTCGCAGTGGTCGTTGACTTCCTGGCCGTCTCTTATGTTGTGGACGCGCACATCGTAGCCCCCTTTTTGGTGGTTCCAGAACGCGCCGGTAACTTGGTGGTGCGTCTTGACATAGTCCCTGAGGCGGTATTTTCGGGCAAAGTTGTCAAAGTAATTGAAGATCTCTTTGCTGCTCGCATACACAGCGGACCAGTCGAGTTTCGGCTCGAAAGACCAGGTGTAATTGTGAGCTGGGACGTCGCAGGCGCATCTAGAGCTTGGTGCATCAGCACGTGCTGTATCCAAAGATTGGAGGTAGAGTGGAAATTGGGATGTCTCCAACACTCGGCGAAAAGAGTCCCACGCCCGCTTACCCCGGATATCGGTTCTCCCACCACGTCCCAGAGACCTCTGGATTCTTCTCATACACAATCAAGCTGAAGTTGTCGAAGTGTCTCTGCAGCTTGTACGCCAGAAGGAGACCCGAGGCCCCCGCTCCTACGCAGATGATTCGGACGTGCCGCTCTGCGTGGATCGGACCATTGAGCCGCCGTTCTGCGTCGTCATGTGGTGTTATCCTGCCAGGAACGAGAAAGTCTGCCATGTTTTGCTAGGAAGAAATAAAACAAAGGGTATCAGAGCGTGGTGATAGAGAAGCAATTCGGACTTGGATGTTTAAGGGCCAGAAGACCTTCATCTGGACTTATACACATTCCCACCCCTCGCAGCCAGTACCGAGCAGCCCCGGAGAGCGGCTAGAAGCTCTCCGAGTCATGTTTTGCCTGACAAGCTGGAGAAGCTCTCGCGTCTCAAAAGGTGAAGCTCTGTGGAGGAAGCTCGATTCATGCAGTCTGTGCGGAAATCCGCTGCAGTGTCGTGCAGCGACTTGCTGCGGAAGTGTGGGGTATCCCTGTTCGAGATGCGGCAGGAACGGAAAGATAAAGCCGTCTCTGGAAAACCTCAGCCGTCTGCCCATGAGATTGCCTGGTTTCCCGACGCTCACGAATTGCCACAATCCCTTCGTGGAAGCGATAGAGCAATATCCATAGCAATGGATCAGGCCGCCAGGCTCAAAGACCGTCTGGGCTTCACAAATCAGCGTCTATCAATGTCTTGGGCTATGCATTGCCCTAGCAGCACTGATTACCTTACCTGGGGACTATCGGGTAAGGGGCCTCAGCCTTTCCAGACATATCTATCTGTAACACACTGCATGGATACTTGGTAAACTGGACGATGGACATAAACGTCTAAAATCCCAAGAATGTACAGCTGCGCTCGCATTGTTTACAGCCTTTACTTCATAACCACCGAGCTTGCAACAAGATTGTTGCAGGTAAACTATAGAAGCCTCCGGGAATGAAGAATATTCACTCCATGACCAAGCATGTCACACTCAGTGGAATTTCAGACCCTCTTTTCTCCCAAGGTACCGTCATCACGTTGTCCTTGTTCTGGCACATGAACCGTCTTGCCATGCATCTTACGAGCGATGTCGTCCGTCAAGTGCTCGCCGTAGTCGATGGTCAAGCACGCCGCAATGACAGCTAGAACTGCAAAGGCAATCACAGCGTACCACACGTACCTACGAGATGTCAGCAGCCCATCCACAACGTGAGCGAAGCCAGGGGTAAAGCTTACCGAAACGCATCAGCTGCTGCGCGGGCGTTCGCTGCAGCGACCGCAGCAATGATCTGGGGATTGATGCCCGGAACAAGGTTCAGAGTTCCAGTGGTCATGTTGCCGAACAAGGGCACAAGAGAGGACTCTGGCAGACCACTTTCCAGCGCCGCGGGTGTCACGTAAGCGGGCACGAACTGCGTCATCTTGTTCGTCAGGACCGTTACGAAGATCGCCGTTGCAACAGCCGCGCCACCGCTCCTAAAATGCCGAGTCAGTCACTGTTCCAAGCCAAATTGTAGAGGTAGCTTCGGGGTTGGAAACCCACCTGATACTCCCCAAAGCACCCAATGCGGCACCTATATCCTCAGACGGGCAAGCCAATGGCGCCAGCGCCAATGAGCAAGTTTCGATAATACCGACTGAAAAACATGCCATGAACATCAACGCGATGGCTTTCGTCTCGTCACCGGGCTGAATAGAGACCATGGAGGCTGAGAAAGCAAGAAGAGAGGCGCAGGAGCCAATGAGGATCCATCGGCTTCTCTTGATGTACTGGCAGAGTGCTCCGCCCACTATTTGGCCAAGCAGAGTGGCGCCGCCGATAACGCACTGTGATGGGCTAGTGTTAGCAGTATGAACAGGGCAACGCGTCATTAAAGAAAGGCTGCTGGGATAACTTACTGCTAGCCAGCCGTTATGCTCTGGCGTCCCCGGGAAGAGGTAGGCAATTTGTGAAGGCCATAGTACGTTCATACCTGAAGGTCTCTGTCAGCAAGGAGTCAAAGCATCCAATGACGGGCTGGTCTTACTATAATACACGCAGGAACCAACCATAGCCGTAATGACCATTGCGAGGTAACCGCGAGACTTGAAGCTGAACGATGTTAAAATAAGACCACATCTGTCAATCCTGGGCCAAGCAACTTACAGATGAATAGGCAGCAGAGGATCACCGCGGTGGAAGTATGCATCTACCCATGATATTAGTAAGGACGGAGCAGAGATGCCCTTCCAATAACATACCGTAGAGTACAAAGACGACCAGCGCTATAAAGCCGACCACTATGGTCGCAACGACATGCCCCGAGCCCCAAGGATAAACAGTGCCGCCCCAGGAGAGACCCATGATGAAGACGGCCAGGCCTCCGGTGAACAAAACGAATCCGACAAAGTCCATGCGCCTGAACTGCTCCATCTTCGACCGGTTCTTGTGCAGTAGATGGAAGTTAGGCGGGTGGTAGAAGAAGTAAAATAGTATAACAGCAAGGCCAGCAACGATGATGTTCAGATAGAAGGACCATCTCCAGCTAGCTGCGGTATGGGCGGCCAGACTTTGCGCAATGACGGGCCCAAAGCAGGCGATCTGGAAACTGCTGGCGAATATGCCGACAACCCAGAGCGGTCTATGTTTGTTGGGGACAAGTTCTGCAATCTGCAGTCGCGTATGAGTATCTACTCAAGGGGTTTGCGGAGAGCATGACGTACTGCAACGGTGAATGATATCTGCACTGCTCCAGCGAGCCCACCAAGGGTGTTGCCGACAATGATTGCTTCGACGCGGGAGGCAGTAGCGTTAATGATGCCCGAGAGGAGAGCCAACCCATTTCCGAGGACGAAGAACCAGCGGCGGCCGAAGATGTCTGACAGACGACCAACAATGAGGAAGCCAACGCTGAGACCTAGGGTATAGGCCAGGGCGACCCATGTTATGTTGGCGGACGGACCAATATCTGCGTTGATAAGTAGCAGAGAGTTGGATGGCATAATCCATCCTAAGTAGTTGGATATGTTTCCAAGGCACAGTGCCTGTGTTTGTAAGCTTCTGATATGCTGCCCAAGAATCTATACTCACAACGACGGTTCCAACGAAGCCGGGGCTGTAGTAATAGTTCCGCGGTAGATTTTTACCTAGCGCATCTTCATCAATAGCAAAGGTCTCGGTTTGAATGGCGATATGGTCGCTCCGGTGAGACGGTTCGGCAACCTGATGATGCACAGTGCCTTTGGCAGACGTAGCCATGCTTTCGAGCTTGATGCCAAGGAAGTTACCAGAATGACGGTAATACAGGCTTAACAGAGATGCTCAAAGATATATTTCGGTTCGCGCAGTCAGCTCGCGGGACCTTATGCCTGTTCTCATCCCGGCACCGCCAGGTACGATACAGTGGTAGGTCCCAGCGTCTGATCTAGACCTGCACTTCGCATGAAGCACAACTAGAGCTTCGAGTCATTGCTCGCTTGTTCCGCTGACCAGATTGATTCAGAGCAGGCAGATGACAATGGATTCGGATATATACAAGGCGGTCCCCAGAAAGGGCCGGATGGCCCCCCCAGCTGCATACGGCCAATGGCAAGATCAATGTAACGCAACGCTGTGATCTGAGTGGTTTACCTAGGTACCTGAGAGCGGAAAGCTGGGGGGCATCCGGCCCTTTCTGGGGAACCCCCTTGTAAATGCCGTGCAGGCTACGGAACCGTCCAAGATCAGTCATATGAGACACTTCGAGGCGCAATGCTGAATCGTCGAAATCCCCCAAAGCAGGCTCAGGCGCTTGTCCAAGCCCCGTCTCGTGTCCTTGCTCTTTCGGAGTCCACGCCGTGGTGCGCTGGGTGGTGCAGGAGGAGGTTGGAGGGGAGGGGACGTTCAGCCAGGTTCGGTTGCGGGACATGCAGGGAAAATGATCTCCGACTCGTTCCCCAGCTCTCCCGCAACGCACGGGGAGATGCATTCGAATTGGGCCGGGATTGCAACGAGATTTGCAATACTAAATATGGTAGTAGGGACCTCCGTGTGACGTTGGTCGCGATGTGTGTACGAGGAGCTGCTCGTTTGAGCAAACACACTCATTCGATCAAATAAAGCCTGAGGGGATTAGGAATATGGCGACATTATTGAAGGGCACTGCCTTCATAACAGGCGCAGGATCAGGTGCGTAAACACTGATTTCGCAACTTCGAACCCAGCAATGCCACAACTTTAACTACTTTCAACGAGCAGGCATTGGGCAGTATACCGCATGGGCTTTTGCGAAGCATGGTGTCAAACGTCTCGCCTTGAGCGATATCAACCTCAAGGCGTTACGGACGACTGTCGACGAGCTGAGGAATCGACACCCCGATGTCGAAGTCGAATCATTGGAGATGGACGTTGCCGACGAAGGATCCGTGGAGTCAGGCCTTTCAAGAACCGTGAGCGCGTTCGGCAGCCTCGATATCGCGGTCAACAACGCAGGAGTTGGCGGTCCGATGAAGCCCACAGCAGAAGTGGCAACGGACGAGTGGAAGAGGCATTTCGACATCAACTTGACTGGAGTCTGGCTGTGCGAGCGCGGTGAGATCCAGCGCATGTTGAAACAGAAGTGAGTAGCGGGGGCCAAGAAGGCAAGACAACGCTGACCACGAGCAGCAACCGCGGTCCTCGCGAAGGACGAGGCACAATCATCAACGTTGCATCTATGCTTGGTCTTGTGGCCGCATCGCCAACAACACCAGCAACTGCCTACGTAGCGGGGAAGCACGCGGTCATGGGCCTCACGAAAACAGACGCAGTAATGTACGCTCCGCATGGTATCCGCATAAACGCCATGTGTCCCGGTTATGTGGAGACTCCGTTGCTCAAAGCTGCAACAGCCTCCGGCATTATGGACGGTGAAATCAAGAAGACGCCGATGGGCAGGCTGGCGCAGATGGAGGAAATTGCAGACGCTATTGTCTTCCTGGCGTCTCCCTTCAGTAGTTTCATGTGTGGCGCCGGGCTGGTTGTAGACGGAGGCTTTACAGTTCAATGAGAAGACTTTGCTATGTGGTAACACATGTCAAAAGCGTGTCACTATATCATTGAGGCACTCAGATGATGATTGACGGTTGACGCTAAAACACCGCCCCCTGATAAGTTTCCGAACCGCCTCTATCAGTTCTGCACACCTTCAATCTCAATGCTTGATTGGACACTCCTCGATCGCGCCCGTCGGTCAAGCATTGCTGAACGGGAGGCGCAAGGGGGTATCAGCCTTTGGTCCCCTGCGAAAACTATTAGCGTTACGATCCTCAGCGGTCTGCATTTAGGTTGGAATTCTTACGACGACTCAACTCGGTTACTGCGCGGTTGCAACTCCCTTCCGAGTCCCTTAAGGCATTCGCTTCTTGACATGGACGGCCATGATCGGCTTCCGGAAGGCTGTTACGTCTTGCACCAACTGAAGGAATACAGCTTGGATTGCCTGGTGCGCTCGATTTGCACTTCCATCCAGGGTGTTATGTAACACTCGGATATGGGTTGCGTAACTCAGGAGGCTTCTTGGATTTCAGCAGTAGCGATATCACCCTTCCATGATGCCAACAAAACCCCTCGGCGAATTTGGGAAACCATTGAAGCTTCCTTGGTTGGTTGGAAACCCGTCCAGATCAGTCGCCTGCATGCCGTTCGCAGCAGGTGGATTTTTCCAGTCTCTCCATTCATTGTCAGCAAATGTCATGTAGTCAAGGTGCGAGTTGTCGTTGTCTCCGTTCATCGCGTTCAGCTCCGGAAAATGGATGTTTGCAAGGTGAGAGATATCATGTGTGTTCTCACTAACATCCGTATCAGCGCCCATCCATGAGTTGCGCGTCAGACCTGGGGTGGCAAGGCCAGTGCTTGATGTAGGTAACGGATGATCCATTGCAGTAACGAAGTCCCCAGCTAGTGGAGGCCATGTGCCGAATTCGCTACGCGGCGTTATCATCACGAAGCCATCAGCTTGGCTTGACTCTGACTCGACTATTCTTTGGAACTGCAGAGGGCCCATGGAGTGCAGATTCTTAAGGTTGAGGTTCAAATTGTTGGTACCCATACTGTGAGAGCGGGCATTCTTGATCGGCCTGGATTTAGTGGTATGACGTCTCTTGAAGGATGCTTGCTCCTGTTCGTCGGCTGCACTGCTCCGGCGCGCTGGCACCACAGCGCTCATCCGCCGATTATTTCGTTGACCTGAATCACTGGGACCCTCGCGTAGTTCGGCCATAACAGCTTGGAGCACAACTGACATGCGTTCAGCGGGCTGGTAGGCATGGGCCATATCTTGGAGTGCTGCGGAAAGACACTCAAGGTACTGCATGTTGTTATTGCGGTCACTCGAGTCCTTGATGAAGGCCAAAGCAGCCACGAGAGCTGTGGCGGCAGTTCCCTTTCTGATCGTCAGCTGAATTCGTTGGCTCCGCACTCCAATGACCACGTACCGCATGCTGCATGCCAGTGCAGAAGATAATTTTCGTATCAAAACGCCGACGGTGTTGCCAGAAGATACGGGCAACCCGAATTGCATGCTTGGTGCAAGTTGCGCGAGATAAGGCAGAGAAGTGATTCTCGGGACCATTGTCCTCGGAGTCTGAGCCACTTGGCTCTTCATATGTCGCAAGAGGTCGATGCAATAGTATGAGTGCTGAATGGTACTGCTGGTGCAGCAGGAAGAAAGAGAACGGCGCGGTCTCAATGTTTGCTTGCGTCCAGCGGAGAGGTTCCGGTAATCGGGCGTACCAGTTGTTCAACTCGCGGTCAAGCGCTGCGATACGAAGATGGGCGTTACGGTCGACGCTTGCGTTGGTTTGGTAGTTGCTATCAGTGTTTTCGGTGATTTTCCCAGCCAGTTCCATGAGATCAAGCAGCGCCTGTGTTGCAGTTAACGTCATGCTTGCTCAGGGGGTTGCCAAGAACACTTACCTCATAGATTTGTGTTTCGAGGCTTTTCTGGGGCCCAGATGGGTTGCAAGTCCCGAGTCGCTCGAACTGGTTTGTCAAATTGTAAATCTCAAGGTCAGAGCTCTGCATAATCGCAGCACGTCAGCACAATGCCGAAGAAGGCATGGGTCAAACGGGAGCAGCTATACCGCGTACCTTCATGCTTGTTGGTCGGCCAAGGAAGAGAGCCCAATACTTGTCGTAGATAACGCACGCCCATAAAGTCATACGGCGAACTTCTACTTCCCGCTCTGGCAGGTTGGAGGAGCGGGTATCCAGGTGGAGGCCAATATCGAAAGCAAGTCGGACGGCCATACCTGCATACAGCCAGCCAAGGTTATCTCGACCCACCCCACATTCAAGGTCCCCCAATATAAGAAGCGCTGAAATCAGTGGGATTCCGCCGGGCCGCTCGAGCTCATACTCAAGCATATATTTGGCTTCCCGATGCAAGGTACTCTCTCTTGCAGGTAGAGCAATTCTTTGAATGTCTGGCCGGCTTTTGTCGGCGTATCTGTATCCCATCGCCAGGACGCAAACATGCAGGAAGGCTGAGTAGAACTGCGTTCTGCCACTCTCTTTGTCCTCTTGAAACGAGGCACGATGCAGTACATGCAGCACTGAGTTGTAGTTTTGCCAGTAGAGGTCGAGTAGATAGTCGTGCGTCTCGATTGAGAGGAACCTTATGGCTTTCTCCGCTCTTCGACTCTGTTCCAGAGACTCCCGGGTCTCTTCTGAGATGGATCCATATTCGGAGTGCACATGACAGTTCGTGGTGGGGCCAAAGTAACGGAGTCGACCGCTGAGCTGGTCAAAACTGAGATGACCTCTAGTTGACAGCAGTCTTTTGACCATTCCCTCTTTTCTCGGCGCAATGAGGACTTGTGGAGATGCAGAAGACTCTGTTTCTTCCCCACGATGGCTGCTGTTGTCCGGCTCCATCTGATCCAGCTCAAGGAAGTCGTCTTGCTGGCTTCCAGGCGTCGAGTTATCTGGATTGCTTGGTGGTGCGGCCGGCTGCGTCTGCTTCCTTTGGGGTGAAGTCTCTTCGTCTTGTGGTGCGCCGGTCCGCGTCTGGGGTGGATGACTTGCGGGCGGTGGCTCGGCGCCCTTCTCTCTAAGCATGTCCTCCAACAGAGATACGCGATCGGTCAAGGAGCATACGTATGCGCGAGATATCGGCCTTGATCATGTGTCAGTGGCCGGCAAACGTCCGTACGGAAGCCAAGTAACCTACCGCCGCCGTTCATCGTCGTTCTTGATGATGCACTCTACACCAGATCGCTTGCACTGACTGCACTCAGACTCTCCAGGAGGCACAACACACTACAGCATGTCAGGGCACTGGGACTTGATGGATCAGTTCTCGAAACGTACCCGTATCCGGCGGTCTCGACAAGATGCACAAGCAACAGAGGCTCGATGCCGCGATTTCTGACGCTTGAGCCCAGAGGGAGGAGCTGAGTCCGTCTGCTGTCTTTCTTCTGGCTCTGCCGCAGCTTGTCCTGCAGGGTCATTGGCGTTCTGCGTGTCGACCTGCATGGCGATATTCGTCCGTGACTTCGGGCCTCAACAATACCGAAATATCGCTGAATAGCACAGGATGTTGAGTAAGGGAAAGGATAACAGGGAGCTGATTCAATGGAGCTCGATATCTAGAACCAAAGGCGGCGGCCAAGGCGTGCCATTAGTTTGGCGTGAGCCGGAGCGAATCCCGCCCTCTTCCACCAGGCTAACGCGCTACTGCGGGGTCCCCACGGGGGGGGTGTTGAAGGGGGGTTGAAGGGTTCGCGATCGGATCGACAGGAAGAATTACCGAGTTTCAGCAGCCTTGTCGGAGCATTGCAGTGAGGACCGCGGAGACGGATCCGGACCCTCTTGACTTACATACTCGCAGTGGGGGAAGTGCCATAGCCTTTCTTGAGCCCTCAAGCGCTGCTAGCGACTCTCAATGGGCTCCCGCGCGAGAGGCTTAGGTAGGCTGTGGGGTTTGACAGGGGTAGCCCTGGATCTCAGAGCGGTGTTGGCCTTGGAGCAGCTGGCGGGCGTTCCTGCCTCCAGGTGAAGCGAGTCAGGGAGCGGTTGATTACTCAGCATTTTGTTGCTTTCCTTCAACGGACAACGACTCAGCTACCTTGGATACTCAAGCTACCACGAATCGTGTACTGCCACCAGCGGCGTTTCTGAGTCCCGAGCCGAGGCGAACACCAAACAGTCCCAGTATCCAACTGTCTACAGCACATCCGCACCAGCACCCGTTACCCTTCTTTACACCAACACTAATTCCCAACATGATATTCCAGCACAGCTTCCGCCAGGCTACGAATCACGCCACCACGACCCGCCAACGTTCTTAGACATACCTAGAGCTTGACTAGGGTTACCCATCGTGTCTCTACCTTTGCTTGTAGTGCGCATTTTCACCCCTTGCCTTGGCGGTAGTTCATGGAGCCGGCACCGATAATGAGGACGATGTGATCCCCTCCCGGTCGAATAGTTGCTATGGTGTAGCACCTTCGCGCGGCACTCTCGTTTCCGGTCACCGTGGTGGATGCCGTCTTTTATGGAGTGGCTACGAACCTGCTCACAATGGAGATAGTTGGTTAGATAGCCGCTGTGCAACTCAAGTAGCAATCCAATCAATATTCCACTAAAAGCTGATACTGTCCAAGTACGTACAACAAGATGTCGCGCAACCTTAATACATTATTAAGTAATCATGTAACAAGACTTCGTGCCGTATAGTAAGCCGTATAGTAAGTATACCTTTAGACGCTCTAAAATTAGCAACACCTTGCATGAGGCGCTGCTCGAGACGGGGAGGGGACGCGGTGCGGTTAGGGGCAGAGGATTGACCGCGAGTCATTGAGAAGGTTGCATCGAGTCATGTGCGGGGTCTTCAGCTCCCCCCACATGCGGGGAAATATTCGCGTATGCGCGGAGTGTATCCGAGGTTTCAGGTACATCTAAGTATCTTACTTTTCAACACCAGGGTCCAAGATCCGAGTCGTGCACTTGCCACTTTCACCGTATCACCCTTAGTAGAATCCAGTCTGGACGCTGGACATGCAATATGACCAGCGATGGATGCGAGGAGCTGTAGCGGCGAAGACTACAATGCTCTTCTCGGACATGAGGGTTGAACGCCGATGATGTGGCGTTGCGGGGTTGCTTGAGCACGGCTGGGCAGGCTGAGGTGTTATTAGGATTGGCTGACAACGCGGAGGCAAAGGCCGTTCGGTGCATTGGTGACCGTCCCGAGGCTCTCTCGTTCACTGGCAAGCGCAACAAGTAAATAGACGCCACAGAGCATAGCTGAAAATACAGTGAAACTGGAATGAATCAGTTGCTGGTCTAGATGGTATATACATGCCCCACACGATGCCACTCAATAACTGAAGTCCAAACAGATTCTTGAGCGAACAGTCCGATGTTGATTTCGCCGCCTCAAGAGTAAGCGAAGACAGCAGCAGGCTGCCAAAGACCGAGTATTGGAGTAGTCCCACGCTCAGTCTACATCCCATTCATGATCTGAGTTCCTGATGTACGTGCTCAGTCCGTGGACATCTTTCGTTGTCGAGGCCCTCACTTCGCCGTTACCGAGGTAGGCGAATCGGTTCTTGTATCTGTATCGGATGATGTAATCCTCGAAACGTGGCTTCTTAATCGACTTGAGGAAGTGAATGGTCTGGAGCATTGTTCGATTAGCACTCATGAGTTGCAGGGCATCACGCTCAAGGGGAAATCTTACCGGGCCCGGCCATAGATAAATGCGGTTCTTGATCTTGCCATCCTTGAACCACGATCGGCACTCCTCTTTCCAGACGGTGTTCTGATGGAACGTATCGAAGTGAGCATAGATCTCGTCGAGTGCTTCTTGTGACACCTCGATGGCCTTGATGTGCTCGGTCTGGATTTTCTTCATCATTTGGACTGCATATTCGATCGTCGTTTCTATCGAAGGCAGTAAAGTGCCATTGCTCCACGTTGCTCCAGGCCCTACAATTGTATAGTAGTTCGGAAAGCGTGGTGCTGATACACCCATGTAGAGATTAGGCCCATTGACCCAGTCTTCATCGATTGATTTGCCAGCTGCGTTGATGACCTTGAAAGCCGGTTTGAAGGCGACTTTGAAACCGGTAGCGCAGACGAGGATGTCCATCTTGTGCTCAACACCGTCGTTCGTTACAATACCCTCAGGAGTGACCTTCTGGACGCCCTCGAAAACGGGCTCCACGTTGTCCTGCACGATGGCCTCTAGGTATCCATCGCCAGGTGATATCCTTCGGCAGCCAGGTGACCACTGCGGTATAATGAAGCTCTTAAGCTTCTCGTGACCTGGTCCCATTCTCCGGTGCATCTCTTCGGTGATCACTTGTCGGAAGTGGTTCGACATGTCCGAACCTTGCAAGAACATGCCAAACAAGCCGTTGATTTCCGCTTCGATGCGCTTCCGGAAGTCGAGGTGGTAGTCTGGATCGTCACGGAACCGTTGCTTCTCCTCCTCCGAGAAGGTGTATTGCCGCTGACCGGGATTGACATCTTGCCCTGGAATCTCATTAGCGACTACAGTAACCCTTTCAACGGGTCTACGTACCCTTCTGAAGGTCGTTTTGAAGAGCTCCTGCGCCAAACGGTGGGCTGATCCATGTTGGACTCCTCATATAAACCTGCACCTGTTTACAAATCTTCTGTAATTGCGGGACGATCTGCACACTCGTTGAACCTGTGCCGATTACACCGACTGTCTTGTCTTTGAAGTCGACCGTATGATCCCAGCACGCCGAGTGCATAAGAGGTCCCTTGAAGCTGTGCAAGTTTTCTATGTCAGGCCATTTCCACGAGTTCAGGATACCTGCGCCGTTGACGAAGATGTGACACCAGTCCTCTGACCGCTCTTTGGTCTGTGGATTTTCAATAACCCTGTACCTAGTCAGTCACCGCGCTTTGGTGGTTCGTTGGACAAGTGGGAAGCCTACAGGTTCCAGATCCCTTGCTCCTCATCCCATCTTCCTTCAACGACCTTTGCGTTGAGCTTCATGTACTTTTTGCTTCCTGCTTCGGTCAGCACACTCCGACACACCGGGATCTCCGCTTCCCCTACCATGTCTCTCCGCAAAGTTCTCGAAATACCCTTGGATCTCCTTGCCCTGCGCGAAGAAGTGTGTCCAGTCCGGCTTCGGATCCCACGTAAAGCTGTAGTCGTGTGCCGGGATATCACAAGCAACACCAGGATAGGTGTTTTCGTACCATGTCCCGCCGAACATGGGGTTCTTCTCAAACAGTGTCAACTCCCATGAGCCTGCCTCCAACATCTTTTCCATCTTGTAGGCAACGCATAGCCCCGAGGCACCTGCGCCAACACAAGCTACGCGCAGCTTCCTGGGCTTGGAGTGATATTGGTTGAGTATCTGGTAAGGTCCCTCGGGCATGGCCTCCGGGTATTCGAATTCGGGCGCTATGCCGTTGACACCATTTACAATGCTGGGCATCTTGGAAGGCGACATTGCGAAGGATGGTCACGCTCTCAGCGTATGGTTACTGGCTACTCTCTCAATATGAAGTATGGTGAAGATAGGATAGACTTGGGGTGCGAGTTGCACGAGTACAGTGGTAATTATCAACTGTGATCTTGACAATGCAAGAAAGCTCAAAGGCATGCCACACTATGAAAGAAATACCCAGCAGACGTCCAGCTGGAGGGCTTTAACCGTCTGCCGGAAGCCACATACTTAGCTCTTCCCCAGTCCGGGCACAAGACCATCTCGGCGGGGTCCAGGCAGAGCCGCCATGCTTTCCCGTCCGAGATCAAAGAACGATTGGCGAAAGCATTGCCATCTCGGATGCGCATGTTGCAGTCCAGCCGTTCTGATGCAGGAGGCGGATAGAGGACGCGCCGGATATGCATACGCGACAGCTCTCTGCCGATCGGAAGGAGCCCAGACGGTTTTCTCAAGAAACGTCACGTAAGCCTTGCCCCTGTCCCTTCTCGGTTGCTGTTGACCGAGTCCTGGCCCGTCGGTCAAGCATTTTACCATGTTGCGAGTAATTTCAGGCTCGAAAGTTTGCCAGTCTTGAGTCATTGCACAGATACCGGGGCACCCGGGCGACATAAATGGGCCGACTCACGAGATTAGACACAACGTTTACTATCGAAATGAAGCTCTACAAAATACAGAAATATCGCCAACTGCAAGAACTAGGTGTATAGAGGCAACAGTAAGATCTAGAACGTGTTATAGGTAAGATTAGTGGTGGATTAGTGATCGTAGACGTGCTGGCAAACGTGAGGAATTCGTGATGTTCTTAAGCTCTGAGTCGGGCGATTTATGTCACCCGGGTGCGGGGCTGGTGAGATACATTGCGGAGAGGGACAGCACGCTATTCACTACAACTGGAAGTCGCAAGAGCAGGAATTTGGGTTGCTTGTACTCAATCGGCAAAGTGCCTTGCACCAGAGTAGTTCAAATTCCAGTTCTTTCATCGCTGCTAATACACTTCACAGCCTGGCTTTGACTTTGCCCTCGAGTGCCACTGCATCGCGTTTGGCCCATTCCCTAATGATTTTACGCATGATCTTCCCGCTGGCAAGCTTCGGTACTTCGTCGACAAACATGATCCCACCGACTAGTTGCTTGTGCTTAGCAACTTTCTCCTTCATCCATGCGTGTATCCTCTCTTCCGTGAGGCTGCCTTTAGCGGTGTCCTTCAGGTGGATGTAAGCTCTGGGCCACTCCTCACCGTGCCTAAGAACATTCAGCTTAAATCTCAAGTGGGTCATGAGGTGTATACTGACAGTGTGATGCCGCAAACGGCTGCGTCCGCTACCTCGTCATGTTCAAGTAATACAGCCTCGAGCTCGGCAGGTGCGACTTGCAAGGCATTCACTTTGATCAACTCCTGAATTTGTCAGCACCCGAGAAGCATAGAGTATCCAGTACCTAGCATCACTCACCTTTTTGCGGTCAACAATCCAGAACCAGTCATTCTTGACGACAGCAACATCGCCCGTCTTTAACCACCCGTCAGGGCTGAGAGCCTCCTTCGTCGCTTGCTCGTTTCTCCAATATCCAAGGCAGACCTGTGGGCCACGAACGTACATCTCGCCAGGCTGACCTGGAGCCACCTCTTTGCCATCGTCGTCTAACAGCATGCACTCAGTGTTTGGATTGAGCAAGCCAACACTGCCGGAACTAGACTATCGTCAGCAAGAGCATTCTCCTTGCGTGCTCAACCACATACTCATCATCTATACCTCCAGGAACATGATGACCACTGCATGTAACCTCTGTCATACCCCAGCCTTGGCAGACGACGACGTTGAACCTTCTTGATACACTGTTCTGGAGCTCCTTAGATAGCGGTGCTGCGCCGCAAAGAATGTGCTTGACGCTGCTTAAATCGTACTTCACGGTCTCCGGCCGTTTGTCCAGCATTACCAATATCGGCGGCGCCACTTGTAGATCAGTGATCTTGTATGTCTGGATCACACGGAGAAAGTCTTCGTAGACGAACGCCTTCATAACGTACACGGGCACCTGTAGCTTGACGTTCATGAGGATTGTATAGCATTGGCCATAAGCATGGTAGAGTGGCAGAAATCCAATCCAGCGTTCGGGTGGCTTGTTGTGGGCTCCATAGGGTCTCCGATCGTAGCGCATAACGATGGTCTGCTCGATATTCGCAATTAGGTTCGCGTGGCTGATACTAACGCCCTTCGGTAACCCAGTAGTGCCTGACGAGAAATTCACGGTTGCTACTGTTTGCAAAGCTTCTTCCTCGGACATGCGATGCCATGAGTATCTCTCGCCTTCTTCCGCCGTTCCAAGCATACTTCGCCAGTCCTTGACACCATCCATGGGAGCATTCTCTTCGTCCGAGAACAGGAATACGTGGCCCTCAGGCAGTCCCGCTTTTTGAGCAGCGGCGACGGCTGTCTTCGCTAGGGTTGGATGGGACAGTATGACTGTCGCACCCGTAGTTTTTATTTGATGCACCATTTCTGATTCGGTACGTCAGCTACATGCTTATCAGCTTCAAGCAGTTCGAGACGCCGCTGAGCTTTACGGCGTGCTTCCAGGCTCTGTCCTTACCTGAAGCGGTGTATACGGGGTTTGCTCCGCTGAAAACCCGCCCTGAACCTACAATGCCCAGATACGCAACCGGCACAAAGATGTGATTTGGCGTGTGTATCATAACCACTTCTCCAGACTTCACGCCAATCTTATCCAAGCCCACGGCGAGCCTCTTGACCCAGAGCAGAAGCTGTCTCGGACTGAGAGAATGCCGTGGGTTGCTGGAATCGAGCCATAACGGTGTATCAGAAGGAGTCGTGTTTGGCGGAAAGAGGTACGTTAGTATATCGGTTCGCGGGATATCGAGGCGCGGGTACGGTGACTTGAAAGGCATTGTGTATGTGTGTATAGGTATCGGCTTCTGCTTGAATACAATCGCTGTGCGCGCGTGCTATGCGCCGCACCGCATAGGACGCTCAGCCTTTTGTCCATAGCTACCCTGGAAGCCAGTGATAATGCCGCTAGTGGGATGTGGAGGCATTGCCGGAGTCTGGGGTAGCCTCGGCCGGGGGTCCAACGCTGTCCAAGCTCCGGCTTCGGGTGTGGAAAAGTACTCCCAGCTCCAGCCATGGGCGGAGCTCAGTCGTGATGGAAGCCATCATGGCTCGTGAATATACAGCGACGATACACGACGCTACCTTCGCTCGCTCTACTAACACACGAGGCAATACACAATGTCCGAATTCATCCTTGACATCAATAACTTCTTTCGTCTCGATGGGAAGGTCGCCTTGGTGACAGGAGGTAAGCCGTGGCCTCATCGTATCATGACGCGTGTTAATCCCATTGTCAGGATCGCGAGGGCTCGGCCTCCATGCTGCTACAGCATTTCTGCTTGCTGGCGCGAGGAAAGTCATCATAACCGCTCGGAAAGCGGCTGGCCCTGAAGGCATCGATCAAGCAGTCGAGAAGCTGAACAAGCTCCCCGGTATCAAGGGTCAAGCTATTGGCATACCAGCAAACGTTGCAAAGGTCGAAGATATCGAGAGCCTGGTGAAGGAAGTCCAGAAGACAGAAGATAAACTGGATATACTCATCGCCAACGCCGGAGCAACATGGGGAGGCCCATTCGAACCTACACCAGACTGGTCGTCCCAGAAAGTCCTTGATTTGAACGTACGAGGGGTATTCAATTGCATACGGCTGTAAGGTGTAGCTTATCTTAGTGGCCTCTCGCCGCTGACTTGCCGCCAGCTTCACGCCCATGCTCGCGAAATCCGGGAAGCCTCAGGATCCCTCCAGAGTAGTCATCGTTAGCTCCGTTGCAGGCTCGATCGTGCCACATGTAGGAGATCATGGTACAATCATGTATTCTGCCTCAAAGGCCGCTGCGCACCACCTGGCGAGAAATCTCGCCGTTGAGCTGGGCCCACGGAATATCACCACCAACACGGTTGCACCAGGATTCTTCCCGTCAAAGCTCGCGAACGGACTCATAGACATCTTGGGCGGTGATAAGGAGTTAAACGAAGCAAACCCGCGAAAGCGGCTAGGAAAGCCTGAGGACATCGCTGGGGTTATGCTCTTCCTGTGTTCACCCGCAGGCAACTATATGTAAGTACCGGCGTATTACCTGCGTTTCTTATAACAATTACTGACTACAAGCCTAAGAAACGGAGAGGATATTGCGGTTGACGGTGGTGCTCGATTGGCGCATGGACGCTTGACGAAGCTATGAGATATATTGCCAATATAAACGCTTGTGCCCTTCTAGTCTCAGACGCAACGCAACACCTATGAAACTGCGAGCATGCTGCGTCTCCCGAATATGTATCGTAGCGCTGTGATTTTAACCATCTGCGGTTTCTAGTAACGATTCAATTGTTTGAATGAAGTAGCCTTTCACCTCATACATATCAGCCTGTACTACTGCTGCGGCAACCGGAAGATAAGATACCAAGGTACCGTTCAGCATTTCTTACAGCTTACACACGGTACGTTTCGTCATGTTAGAGCGGTTGCAGGCTACCTAGCCGATCTCGGCAGCTGTGCAGAGCATTCCAAGCCACGAGCTCTTGTCAATCAGTGAGCGATCTGGATCTGGATAAGGATTTGTTTCCAAGCTAGCAGTAGGCCATATCAACACTTAAGTCAATCTTTCGGAGACCCCTGTCGAAAACGAGTCAGAAAGCGGCCCTGTCAGAATGGTCCCCCGCTAGCGCAAACGGCCGGGCGGGGTGAGCTCTCGGGAGCTTTTCCTGACCTCCAGCTCTCCATCTGCAGGCAAGCCACCAGCCGTTGGTGCCATTGCTTGCAGCAAGATGGCGAGGATGGGAAGCGGAGTTTAGGCATGGTGGCCTCGCCCTGAGTAAGAGTGCCGAATACCGCTGGGTAAGATCGGATGTTCCATCCAGACTGTTTCTTCGACGTAGCCAAAGATTCGAACATCCTGGGGTTGGCCGGGTATTCGGCGATCATCTTACAGCTAGCGGTTGAGCTGCGAGCATAGCTATGAGCTATTATGCACTTCAGTTTCTTATCGTCAATACGTTTTCTTTCTACTTGTGATCTCTACTTCTCTGCGTCAGTCACGACCTCAATTCTGAAGAAGCAAAATGGGCAATCTTGTAGCTCCTACCGTGACCGTTGCCTTCGTCTTAGCTGTTTGCTATGCCGTGGGCTTCGTTGTTTACCGCCTCTACTTCCATCCTCTCGCAAAGTTTCCAGGGCCGAGACTCAATGCTCTCAGCTCGATACCAGGCATTTACTGGCTGCTCAAGGGTCGTCTGCCGTTCGTGAACCACGAGCTGCACAAGAGGTATGGTCCGATTGTTCGTGTGTCGCCAAATGAGCTCTCCTTCGCCTCCGCTCAAGCATGGGAAGACATTTACGGCCATCGCCAGGGCCAGAAGAACATGCACAAGGACCCGATTCACGTCGGTTCGGTTGCTCCTCTCCCAGGAGTGACAACCTTGACCATGGCGGACGACGCGAACCACGCCCGCCAACGGCGAGCACTAGCCTACTCATTTTCGCAGAAAGCGCTATTTGAGCAAGAGGATATCGTCAACACCTACGTTAGCACTTTCATCTCGAAACTGCGAGCCATGGGCGAACATGATGAGGAGTTCAACCTGGTCAATTGGCTGAACTTCACTACCTTCGACATCATCGGAGATCTAGCCTTCGGCGAGCCGTTTGGCTGCTTGTCTGCTGGGAAGTTTCAGGAGTGGGTGGCATTGATTTTCGAGACCGTTAAGGTTGGAGCGATTGAGCAAGCTACTCGTCGCTTTGCTACCGCTGGCTCGCCGCTGCAGAATTTCCTCCTCGGCTTGATACCGAAGGAAGTTCGCGCGAGACGAACCAACCATCTCGAACAGAGCAGGGAGAAGGTACTGCGGCGTTTGGCGAACAAGAACACTCAGCACAAGGACTTCATTTTTTATATACTGAAGCAGGCAGACAAGCATGACCTCAAGCAAGACGAAATCATCGTCAATGGAGCCTTGTTCATCGTCGCCGGCAGCGAAACCACCGCCAATGCTTTGTCCGGGATCATCGCTCGACTACTCCGAAACCCTGACAAGCTTGAGAAGCTCACCACGGAGATCCGCGAGAACATCAAGTCCGACGCAGATTGCACTTCAGAGAACTTCGGAAAGCTCCCATATATGGAAGCCTGTCTTGAAGAGGGCCTCCGCATCCATCCGCCAGTGCCAGCAGGCCTGCTTCGAACCGTGCCAGCAGGCGGGAGTCTAGTCGATGGCCACTTCGTTCCTGAGGGCACGTCGGTTGCTGTGGGCGGCTATGCGGCATCACACAACCCGGCCAACTTTCGGGACTGCGACTCGTTCATTCCCGAGCGGTGGCTCGATGATGCATACTCCACGGACGTCAAGAAAGGCGCGCAGCCGTTTTCGCTTGGGCCGAGAGGGTGTATTGGGAAGCAGTAAGCTACTTCAAATGTTTGGCTGTTTTGCAGTGTCCGTTGCTGATGCTCACGTAGCCTGTCGTACATGGAGATGCGCCTAATTCTCGGACGCTTGCTGTGGAACTTTGACCTCATCAGCGTGGATGGTGCTTGGCAGTGGGACCCGGAAGGTGATATGAAGAACATGCGGGCCTTTTTAAGTATGTGCATTCTTTCAAACCCGGTTGACGCACCGCTGACTATTTCATAGCCTGGGAGAAGCCAAGTCTGAACGTCAAGGTCCGCGACCGCTTTGCTAAGGCGCAGTAAGGGGGGCTGGGTGATGGGAACAGCTTGCGAACAGGTCTGTTCGTGGTACTGACGCTTCATCTGGGAAAGCGTATTCGAGGGGTGCCTCGCCGCGCGTCAGTCGGATCGAGGGATGCTAAAGAAGGTTGGTAACCAGTCTATCTTCGTGTGGGTTTACTGGTGCTATCGATGCAGTCATCTGCTGGTTTCTCGATGTTGGTTTAGAATTGGATGCAGGATTTCCAGGCCTGTTCATTACCCGTCTTGCATCCTACCCCGTGTTTCTACAACGTCCTTAAATCATCGAAGCGTGTTCTTGGCCACCAGGGGCACGGTTCACAGCGACAGCTTCATGATGCTATCAATATCGGATCTTAGTTGCAGATAACTGAGCAGTAAAAGGTCTAGCTTGATGATATTGCTCGAGCTAGCAGCTATGCCTCATCTGTATCACCAAATGCCTTCAATAGCTCAAAGGCTTTAATGGACGCATCAACATGAGTACCATCAAGCTTCTGTGTCATCTCCTTTAACGTGTCCTCTGTCTCAAACTCGTGCTTCTTGAATCAGCGTGATGTATTTGATCGGATCTAGAACGCAGGGTTAGACTCACCAATACAAGCCACCCCGGTGGCTCTTCCAACTTCTTCTCATCCTTCGGCAACCTGTTCTGCCGCGCGAATTGCAGCTTCAATAATCTTGATCTCAGCGTCTTCACGCCCATCGCCAGGGCTTCGTAGCTATCGAACTTGGCTTTCACATCCTCATCTGGGATAGACGGCCGCAGACCAACGGAAAGGACGAACCTCGCAGGTCCTCTGTTGGACTCCTTCGGGCTGGTAAACGATTTCTCTAGGCTGTAGTACCTAGTATCAAAATCCGCTACATCGAAAACCGCGTGACTTGGTTCTGGCAGGATTTCCGAATGAACGGGGATGCTCTTGAACTCCTCCGTCTGCAGAAACGTGAGATCTTTCAAGGGATACAGAGCAAGATATGGCCGCTCTACGGAGTCGGGGGTCGTGGATTGATAACGATATGCGGCTTTGATGCCGGAGGTTTCGAAGATGTCTGGGATGTGTACATCTTCGTACCAGCGGGTGAAGAGGTCGGCGGACAAGGATGAGGATGTGATCTTAGAGTTTACGTAGAGGAGTCCTGAGACGGATGGGAGTTGGACGTCCATAGTGAAGTCTTCAACAGGTCAACAGATCCGGGGTGGAGAGTGAGAAAGAGACTCTGATAGAGGACGCGGAGCTGCAATACTTGCAAAAGTCGCGCTGCTTGGACCTACTGTAATGGCCGCCTGCACAGCTAGATACAGAACCACTGAAAGTACCGCAGCCTCTCATAGGCAGTTTTGAGTTGACGCGGAAGAGGATGCGGGCCTGAGGCGCTCCAGGGTCCGGAGATGGTGCGCTGTGGGGTTTGACAGGGGTAGCTCGGTCCCTACTTCTTCTCGGAGAACCTCTGCCATCCCCGGTTCAACCTCTTCCTGCACTGGTTCCGATAGGAAACGAGCACGGAACGTAGGGGCCGAGTTTAGCGGCATAGTACCCTCAGTCGGGGGACGTACTACACGCTGCGGATAGAGCTCGAGAGCTGCTGCCGGAGCTCTTCTGCGACTCAAATGGTCTTGTTAAACATGGCTGGCATGTCTAGATCCCGTCTCCTGTCTTGCGTTCCTTCTACCAGTTGTTCAGTCTCAGTTCCCTAAGTCCATCCTCTTTGGCTTTGCACAGTGTTCTAGTAGACTCTAGCTGTGCAATCTTCCAAAACTACCAACAATGCCGCGCAAGTCGGCTCTTATCTTCGGTGCCTCCGGCGTCTCAGGCTGGTCCTTCGTAAACGAGATCCTGCACGACTATCCGAAAGAAGGAACTTGGGACAAAGTCCACGCCTTGACGAATAGACCGCTGAAAAAAGAAGACTCGCATTGGCCGGATGATACCCGCCTCAATATTGTCTCCGGCATTGATTTACTCAAGGGGAGCCAAGAGGAGCTCGAAGATGAGATACGCAGCAAGGCCGATGGAGTGGAAAAGGTCACGCATGTATACTATCTTGGTGCGCACATCCCATCCAAGATCATCACGACCGCACAGACAATAGCAAGCTGACGATGAACACAGCATACAAAGCCAACACCGACATCCAAAAAGAGCTCACCGATGCCGTGAACATGTTCAAGCGCTCAACAATCGCCATGGACCACCTATCGCCCGCCCTAGAATTCGTCGTGCTGCAAACAGGCGCCAAAATGTACGGCTGCCACCTCCTGGAGAACCATCCTCAAGACCCCAACGGCATCCACGTCCCACTAGAAGAGTCGATGCCGCGTCTAACCGGCACGTGGGGCGACCTCCTCTTCTACCACCCCCAGCTCGACTGGCTTAAGCAGTACGCAGAGGACAAGGCTTGGAGCTGGTGCGAGACGCGCCCCGATATCATCATCGGCTTCGTGCCCAACCAGAACTTCTACAGCCTCGGGACCGTGCTGGGGATCTACCTGTCGCTGTTCAGGGCAGTCGAGGGCGGAGGAGCAGAGTGCCCTTTCCCTGGTACGGAGAAGAGCTGGGTCGCTAAGAGCAACGATAGCAGCAGTGATATGATTGCCCGCCAAACAATCCATCTGAGCCTAACGCTGCCAAAGGATATGAAGGGGGAGGGGTTCAATGTCGCGGATGCGAAGAATCCGGAGAGCTGGTCGACCAAGTGGCCGCAGCTGTGCCGATATTTCGGGCTCAAGGGAACTGGACCAAATGAAGCGGAAGAGCGAGAGGTAAGGAAGTACATACAGGAGCATCTTGACACGTGGAAAGAGCTGGAGGCGAGGTATGGGTTGAAGAAGGGGATTGCGAATTCGGATCTGACGTTCAAGGGCTTTGAGTTTTTTCTCCTAATCCAGTTCGATTTTGACCGCGAGTACGATATGACGAAGATGTATGATACGGGGTTCAAGGAGGAGAGGACGGTTATGCAGGCGTGGGGTGGAGTGTTTGATCGCATGGTGGATGCGGGCATAATCCCTCCTAATGTACTCAACTAGCTACAAATTGAACTTCCTCCATTGAGTGTTCAATAGCTGTCACTAAAGCTCCGTAATCGCATCATCTTTTTGCTGCGAGGTTGGTAAATATACGAAACGCGTCTCTACGCAGGAAGCGTTGATGCCTCTTCTCTGTGATGGAATACGACCCGCAACGCAATCACGGTTTCACTACTGCTAAGTTCAACCCTGTACAAGACCTGCGACGCCCTCCTTGTTCCCTGGGTACGGGTTCTGCTCTACCTCCTTCGCCCCACTCAATACCCCACCAATGCTGTCCACATCCGTAGCCACCATAACCTGCCTCATGTTACCATCACAATACTCCGGCATCTCCCTAAAATAGTGATTCCTCCCATTGACCTCAACCGCCCTCCCCCACAACTGGTCTCCTGTAAGCTTCACCTCATATGCGTCCTGCCACTCCCCGCCCTCGACCAGCTTAACCACCACATGGACCACCTTCTCGAGTGGCGTGAAGAACTCGGCTGGAAAACTCGACCACCCGCGCTCATCCAGCAGGTTCGTCCTCACCGTCCCGGGACAAATCGCATTCACCCTCACGCCGTCCACGAGCCAGAAGTGCTTCGCCACCGCCCGCATCAGACCCACGACCCCGTGCTTCGCGGCCGTATACATCGGGCAAAACGGACTGGGATACAGGCCCCCACAGCTCGCCGTCATGACCAGCGAGCAGCCCTTTCCTTTGCCCGGCGAGAGGCGGAAGTAGTGCTGGGCGAGGTAGGTGGTATTAACCACGCCCTTTAGGTTGATGTCGATGGAGAGCTGGTTCGGCTCTGGAGGCGGAGATTGCGCGTGCACGGCGTAGAAGTTGTCGCGCTCGACGATCCCCGCGTTAGCGAAGACGAAGTCGATGCGGGAGGCGGAGTTGAAGACGGTGTCGAAGGTGCTGGAGAGGGAGAGGTAGCTGTTTACGTCTGTTTGGTGGAAGTGCGCGTCGGGGAGGGAGGAGGCGGCGGAGGTTCCTCGTTCGGCGTTTAGGTCGAGGAGATGTAACGTCCATCCGCCGGCGTGGGCGAGCGCTTCGGCGACGGCGAGGCCCATGCCGCTGGCTTAGGGGTTTCATTAGCTGGATGGTATTGTAGGAGTGTCTCGAAGGGTTGGTATTACCACCGCCTGTGACCAATGCTACTTTGGACATCTTGATCTTGTTAGGTTTGATGTCGAAGTTTAGATCGGGTAGTTAGTATGGTAAGTCGAAGCTCAGATTAAAGCTATTATGGTCAGTTTCAGCAGGGTAAGTAATCATGTAACAAAGCTTCGTGCGGTATAGTAAGCCGCATAGCGAGCATATCTTCAGGCGCCCCGAAGTTAGCACACCCGGCTTTGCTGGCGGCTGTTCGGTGCATCATTCGGAGCTTGGATGAATGAAGCGGGCAGAATTGACAATTGACAGGTCGTGATAGAAACGCAGGGGTCCGCAGAGCCAAGACCGTTCCCAAAAAGAACCCCACGCTCTTGCTCCGCTCTTAACTCCGAACATGCGGGGATCGCGGGCAGAGAGCCCAGAGGGAAACTTCTCCCTCCACAACCACCGGATGGAAAATGTTTCCCTGCATGCCGGAACACCGGCCCACTTGCTATGCTGAATCAGTTCGGCGGTACTCCATGCTGTTACGGAGTCAGTCATTGCCAATTGTGCGAGTCAGGCGTAAGCCTGGGAACTGGAGCAGTGGCATGGAGCTCTTTGCCGTGCAACCTTTCTCTTTACATGTCTGCAGCTTCAAGTTCTCTCCCACTCTTCTCCGTTACCTTCCAATCCATTTTTTAAGTCGAGTGATCACACAACATATCCTCTCTTGTAACCTTTCCAACCTTGGTCTGTTCTTTTCCTCGCCGTACGCCTTACTGTACCTTCTTGAAAGTCGAATCTAGCCACTATGGCCTTCAACTTCTCCAAAGACAATCTCCCGAAACAACTCTTTATAAACAACGAATATGTTGAGTCCAAGAACAGCGCCAAGCTTACCCTCAACAACCCCAAAGATGGCTCCCTCGTGGCGGACGATGTTGCTCTAGCCGGCGAGCAGGATGTTGACGCCGCCGTCGCCGCAGCCGAGAAGGCCTTCCCCGCATGGAAGAAGATGGCGCCGACCCAGCGGCGAGACATCATGATGAAGCTTGCGAGCTTGATCGAAGAGAATGGCAAAGCGCTGGCAGAGCTGACCAGGATAACGCTGGGGGCGCCCTATGGAAGCTTTGGGGCCTTTGAGACGGGTTTGGCTGCAGAGGTAATATCCCCTTTACTTCGGTGCTATCTTGCTCTTCTTTTGCGGCGCCAATGCTTACTGTTGCCTCCTCTAGGCCTTCAAGTACAATGCTGGCTGGATTGACAAGTTCGCCGGCCAGTCCTTCCCACAGGAGGACGGCTTCCTCAAGATCGTGCGCAACGAGCCCTTGGGTGTGACGGCCGGCATAGTTCCCTGGAATGGTCCCCTAGGTACCGTTGGTCTGAAGGCAGCACCCGCTCTGGCAACAGGCAACTGCTTCATCCTCAAGCCCTCCGAGAAGACGCCATTTGCCTCCCTCGCTCTTGGTCCGTTGATCAAAGAAGCCGGATTCCCGCCGGGCGTATTCCAAGTGCTGTCAGGCGATGGTAGCACCGGCGCGCTGCTGGCTAGCCATATGAAGATCCGGAAGGTCTCATTCACGGGCTCTATACCCACGGGCAAGAAGATCCAGGAGATGGCCGCGAAGTCAAACCTAAAGCGCGTGACCCTGGAGCTGGGCGGCAAATCCCCTGCCGTGGTCTTCGATGACTGCAATCTCGAGAACGCGGTTACTTGGACCGCGAACGCCATTACTGCCAATACGGGGCAGGTATGCTTCGCCGCATCGAGAGTCTACGTGCAGGAGGGGATCTACGACAAGTTCATCGAGGGTTATAAGAAGGCGATGCAGGATAAGGCGAAGGTGATTGGAGACCCGGATGACGAAGGGACAGTTCTGGGACCATTGGTGGACGAGGCGCAGTTCAAGCGTGTCAGCGGATTCATCGAGAGGGGCCAGAAGGGCCAGGGGAAATTGTTGACCGGAGGCAGTAGAGTTGGTGATAAGGTATGCAGGTCCCTTGACTTTGTTTCCGTTAATCCGAACGAAAATCCCAATGCTGATATGTTGTTAATGATAGGGCTTCTACATCGAGCCAACCGTCTTCACAGACGTCGATATCAACTCCGAGATCCACAACCAAGAGATTTTCGGCCCCGTCTCCGTGGTCAGATCTTTCAAGACGGAAGAGGAGATCATCGCGCTGTCGAACAGCACCAGTTTCGGTCTCATGGCAGGCGTCTTCACCCAGGATATCAACAAGGCACTGCGGGTAGCCTCGGACTTCGACAGCGGTATGGTCGGTGTCAACTGCGTTAGTCTTATGATGATGACCGCACCGTTCGGTGGCAGCAAGGAGAGCGGAATTGGAAGGGAATGCGGCGAGTATGCGCTGAGGGCGTTTACTGAGCCCAAGACTATCATGATCAATCTGACGTACTGAGCCGAAGTCAGGCGGATTAGGTTTAGGGCTCCTGCTGTCCATCAAGATCTTTCTAGTCGGTGTCGGTTGCCGTAGCGCTTCTGATGGATCTATCCTGAAGGAGTCACCGGTGATCTTCATACGTATTCAAACGTTGAATCGCATTGATAGCACAGGCAAATGATCAACCACATCCATGTAAAAATGACGATGCTGAAGTCCTGCAGTGAGAGGCAGATAAGTGTGTGATACACTAATCCCTATCTGGAACCATATTACCATACGCATCCTACCCGCAACGTCCAACCTCATCATCCCCTTACTCACATCTTTAAAGCCTTCCTCATAGCATAGTGCTTCGTGAGTTTCGAATGCTTCCGGGAATCGCCCATTGCTGTGTCTGCAAAGCAGCGCCATGACCGACCCCGCAGTCCTGCAATTCAGGCAAAGCTTTTCCGCAGAGGGGCTCGGTGTCACTTCCAGACGCGTCTTTCCAGAGCTGCCGCGAGTGCCTGAGCACACGCGCAGCTGGAGCATTACTGCCAATCAAAGGTCTGGCCAGCAACAGAAGGGACTTATTCATTTGTTGCCCGTCAGTCGTGAAGCACGAGTCGTAGGTATCCTGCTATATTACGCTTGCTGTAGCGGAGGTACAGACAACTTTCCTTTCTGTCATTCCAAAGTCATAGTCACTGTTCTCCTTTACCGCATAGTTACGTTGCAGAATCGTTCAATACCGCAATCATGAAAGCTGGGCAATGGGATATGGTAAGTCTCCTCTCCCCCACCAGTTATACAGACTTCTCACACGCAATAGAACCAGAAGAAGGTTGTCATAAACGACATCCCCATACCTGAACCCAGCGAAGGCCAATTCCTTGTCAAGATCAAGTCCGCCTCGCTATGCCACTCAGACCTTATGATGGACTTGCGGCCGCCGTCCGACACGCCTGTTACCATGGGGCATGAAGGAGTGGGTTACATCGAGAAGATACACCCTAGCGCGGAAGATAAGGGCTTCAAGGTTGGAGACGCGATCGGCTTCCTGTACATCGTCGGCGCCTGCTACGAGTGCGAGGGCTGCATGGTGCACAATCTGCATTGCCAGACGGGCAACCAGCGGCTACAGGGCTTTACTACTGACGGTTTCTTCGCCGAGTACGCGGTCGTGGACTGGCAGAATGCTATCAAGATCCCGGAGAACTTGGAATTAGAGAGATGCGCTCCGCTCTTCTGCGCGGGAATTACAGGTATGGGCAAACACAGCACAATAATCGAAATACATAGTGACCCTCCTTTAGCCTTCAATGCCGTCGACAGCTGCGAACTGAAGCCAGATCAATGGCTTGCCGTAATTGGATGCGGTGGTCTTGGCCAGCTCGCTACGCAGTACGCGAAAGCTATGGGAGTGAAAGTGGTTGGACTCGACATCAACGATGACACGCTCGAAATGGCCAAAAAGCTCGGCGCAGACGCCGTCTTCAACTCCCGCTCCAACAAGAACTACGTCGAGGAGCTGAAAGAGCTTACCGGCGGTGGCGTACACGCCGCAGCCGTCTTCAGCAACGCAAACGCAGCCTACGCAGGAGCTCCATCAATACTCCGCCTCAATGGCTTGTTGATGGTCATCGGCATATCGCCGAAGCCGATAGAGCTCTCCACGCTGGATCTCACGCTCGGCAAGTACAGGATGAAGGCAGATAGCACGGGCATTCCGCAGCGGATGCCGAAGGCGATCGAGTTTACGGGGAAGCACAACGTCCTCCCTGAGATCGAGTACCGTGAGCTGGAAGATTTACAGTCGATGATTGATGACATGGAGGAGGGAAGGGCGAAGGCGAGGATGGCTGTCGTTTTCTAGGTGCTATTCGCAGTATTGCAGCGGTAAAGGAAACCAAGGGTTCTCTGTATATCCGAACGTTACGCTTGCGCATGTTTTGGCGCTTGTGAAATTGTGAACAAAGTGTCACATGCACCTCTGCCATTTAAGATTGTCTTGAAACGTCAGCGGCTTGCCATTTCTATAGGTAGCTTGTGTGAGACCTTCTTCACCAGTCCTACGCGGTGTCAGCTGACGGATTGTCAGCAAACTACCTTCTATATTGCAAACAAGGAAGAGGCAGTAGCATCCATGAGATTTGGATCGGCGGATGGATACCTGCGTGTATGAACATCCAGACGCTAAGGAAAAATCTACGGAACTCATCCCGGAGGAGCAGCACGAGTACCACATCCCCGCATGCTGGTCCTGCAACCGCATTTCCGCTGCATTTACACAGGCTATGCCTCCTTCTCTCGCTTTAGTTTCTTCGGGACTCTACATCCGTTTTCAAAGTCTGTTTAGGCCATCATGCTAGAGCAGATCAAGCTTTCCCAGGCTGCCAACACTAATGATGGACAGCATATACTTAGAAGCTACTCACCGCATCACACCAACAAGTCACGCCCGCAGACAGAATGACGCTCAAGAAGATTGACCACGAGTTCACGTATGAGGAGTTGTCTTACGATGCGAAGCCAAACTACCAGCGTAAGAGTACCACAGCGAGCTTTTGGCGATATTGCTGACCCGCGGCAGCATGCATCAAGCTGACATTCTTCTTCAACAAGCTCCCACACGTCAGCCATGAGATGTTCCACCGCCATTGGGAAACAGTTCATGCAGATTTGACAGTGGCAAGCAAAGACTTTGGAGCATGTAACCTCCAAAGATACGTACAGGTAGGCGCCTCTTTGCCGCATCTGCCACCGCAAAGCTGATAGCGTATAACAGTTCCACCAACCGCCGGAGGTGAAAGAGAGGGTAAAGGCGCTTGGGATGGATCTGCTGGACTTTGATGGCTGCTCTGAGATTTGGGTCAAGACTTGGGAGGACTGGGAACGCTTTGCTTCGGTAAGTACATCCATTCCTTCAGCGCTCCACTGATCAACTGACGCCGGCTTCATAGAGCCCTAGATATGCTGAGGTGCTGGGGCCTGATTGTAAACACTTTATGGATATGCCAATCAAAGTAATGGCGGGCTACGACAATATCATCTATGGGCCGGCTCTGCCAGGCGGTAAGGATGGCATCATGGAGTTGAAGCAATAGGTGCAAGCGCATTCGTTACAGGAACTGGTTTCTGTCAATATTGGACACCTGCAGTCTTCTCAGCACATGTTCTGCCTCTGCTACATCTCAGCGCGATTTGAATGGCATGGCTTTGTACCCGATTTGGCTCAGCGGTTTCCGCCGAAACGTTTCTGCGTGACCTCGACCTCTCACACAACCTCAGTTCCATCCAAAGAGAGGGCACTCTGAATCAATCTTCTGGCTTAGAGCACTCGCTAACCACATATGTACGTTGCAAGGCGTCCAGGATATCGACATCCGAGCCTTGTAAAACTTCCGCCAAAGAGCCAAGCCGCTGTACCCGGCCAACGCTGGCTCTCCTCTTCCACCGCCATGGGGTCGGATACAAGCCAGCGAGCTTATCGAAGCCTGGATGCATGGCCACCATGACTCGAAAAGATCCTTGGGCCAGCAGTTTTTATTTATGGGAGCTTGGTTCTGGTAGTACAGCTCCTGCTCTCTCTCAATTGCTTTGGCCGTAATCTCTCGTCCACAAGTCGTCATGGCAATCAAGACCACCTTACGTCCTTCAACTGAGATGAAGAAGAAAGATATTGAGCAGGTGGAGGTTGCCAGTGTTCCTCCACCTCATGTTGCTATCGCCTCGGATGATACTCGAGTCTCGGCCAAGACTTGGGTTGTCATTTTTGTAGGTGTCCACTCGCAACTTACAGTCTTCTACTTTGCTAACCTTTCCCAGATTCTGTCGTCAACCTTTGGGTTATCTTTCTGGCCTGTCCCTACGACAGCCGCTATGCAAGGGATCCTCGGCACCAAGCTTGGTTCTGCTACGTCCGTCTACTGGTACAGTGAGTGGATAGTGGTAAATCCTCTTCACGCTTATATTGACTCAGAACAGTACCGGCGTATACCACCGCTAACGCTCTCGGCTTCCTGATTGCTGGAGCTAACAGCGACCTCTTTGGCCGACGGCTGTTTTTGTACGTCTGTCCTCTGGGCCATTCTGGTCGGTAACACTAACTTACAGCTGCAGGCTTGCCGGTAACGTGATCTGCTGCCTCGGATTCATCGTTTCTGCGACCGCAAAAGGCCACATGCAGTTCACAGCCGGTCTGGCAATCGCCGGATTCGGAGGCGGACCATGCCAAATGGCCATGTGCTCAATCCCTGAGCTCATGCCCAATAAGTACCGCCACATCGGCATCACCATCTCCGATGGCTTCGTCTTCGTCATTGTTGTGATCGGTCCAGTCGTCGGACGCTACGCCATTGACAGCGGCGACAGCTGGAAATACGTCTATTGGGGAGGCTTTGTCGCGCAGTTCATCTCCATGGTCTGCCTCTACCTCTTCTACTTCCCACCGAAGCATCCGAAGGGCGTGCCATGGAGAGACGCCATCAGTGGCCTCGACTACGTTGGAACGGCGCTGATCGTACCTGGTGTGTGTTTGGTCCTTGTCGGCATCATCGAGACTACCGTGAGTGACTATACCTGCATTTAGCGGACCTCACTTAACTTTACTACAGTACAAGAAAGCAACAAGCGCCTCAGTACTGGCACCCCTCATCGTCGGCTTCGTTCTCATCGCGCTCTTCTCATTCTGGGAGACCTTCTCCTCCGTCAAATATCCGCTCTGTCCGCCAAGAATTTTCAAATCCCACAACGGACGAGAATTCACCGTCCCCTTTATCCTGGCATTTATAGTCACAATGTTCTATTACGGAATCAACGTTATATAGTGCGTCTTACCCTCCGCTTCAAATTCAAAGCTGTATGTACTGATATCTGGGTAGCCCGACAATGCTGAACGTCTTTTACATCACTCCGACAACGTCACGCAGCGAGACTCTCCTTCTTACCCTCCCCGGCAATCTCGGCCTCGTTTTCGGCGCCATGCTCCTCATCTGCTTCGGAAATCTCTTCGGCCACTGGAAGTGGACGCTCGTAGGCTCCTGGATTGGCATGACAGTCTTCGGCGGCCTCATGGCGCTCGTAACGCCGTACAACAAGGGGATGATGATCGCTTTCACGTTCCTCGAGCAGACCTTCTTCGGCTGGGCCCAATATGAGAGCGTCGCCTTCACGCAGTTGGGCGTCCACCAGCATGATCTGGGCATGAGCGGCGGCCTGGCCGGCGTGGCGCGGTATGCGGGCGGAAGTCTAGCGCAAGCAATCTACGTCTCGATCCTCACAAACACGCAATCCGCGCGGGCCGCAGCGACGGTGCCGGCGGCGGCAGTTGCGGCGGGCCTCTCGTCCGAGAACGCGGCGTCGCTTTTGGCGGCTTTTCCGCTGGGGTCGGCGGCGCTGCAGGCGGTGCCGGGTGTGGTAGGTCTAATGCTGTCGCTTTTAATGCTGAGGAGAGTACAAGCTGACACGGTGGCAGAATGCGGAGATTCTTGGGGCCGCTGGTGAGGCTTTCAAGTGGAGTTATGCGCATGGGCTTAAGATGACGGCGCTGGCAAGTCTGTCGTTTGGGGGGCTAGGGCTGATTATGTGCTTGCTGTGAGTTCTCATCCCTTTTGCTTGAGCTGAGAGTGCAGCCGAAACGAGCGGGTATGCTGACGCTTGCGCTCTGCTAGGTGCGAGAACATCGACGCGAAGATGAATGATAAGACAGAAATTTTCTTGGAGAACGACGTTAATGCGGAGAAGAACGAGTTCCATTAGCCTTTGTTGGAGCGTAGAGGCTCTTCCTGCTTTCTGCCTTAGTTGTTAGCCGTATTGTAAGAAGTAGGCAACGCTTAGGCGCGAGTGCAGCTTGCGATTTCCATGTGCTAACGTGTTTGTATACATCATCCAGCACGTTAAAACAGAATAGTGAGATCTTCAGCAGGGGAGGTACCGCATCAGATCGCATGTGGAAATGCTCGTGGGGTTACTTGACCCCTTAAGTATGCATGAGACTTGGCTGAAAATCAATGCTAAAAGCATCTCACTGAAATCCAGAATACCTCAATAGGAATATCTTTTTTCACCCGCACCAGCAGCTATAGAGCCATCAATTCCCTCCCAATCCTACAACAAGTCCTCAATCGCCCTCCCTCCCAAACCCGGATCAACACCCCAAGCTCTGCAAATCTCCGCGTGCCTCTCATTGTATTTTTTATGCCTCTCCCTAAACCCCTCCGCAGCCTTCAGCGCATCCCGTCCCACCTGATGCCTATGCGCAGCATCCGGCCCATCCGCGACCCTCACAAACCGCGCATACGTCCACATCTCCGGCAGCGGCGTATGCTGCGTAAGACCCTGCCCGCCAAACATCTGCATGCACTCGTCGATGATCCTGGCCGCCTGGATCGGCACGAGGATCTTGCTCTGCGCAATGGCGTATTTCCCTGCTTTGTTGCCGTGGATGTCCATCGTGTCGGCTGCGTTCAGCACGACGAGCCGCATGCTGTCGATCCCCATGCGCATGTCGGCAATGCGCTCGATGTTGCTGTCGAAGGCGCCGATGAGCTTGCCGCGGGGTTTCTTGGCAGGGTCGATGGCGTGGATCAGCGCGAGCTCGTAGGCGCGCTCGGATTGCCCGATGAGCCGCATGCAGTGGTGGATGCGTCCCGGGCCGAGCCGGCCCTGTGCGATTTCGAAGGCGCGGCCGGGCCCGAGGATTATGTTGGCGGCTGGGACGCGTACGTCTTCGTAGATGTATTCGCCGTGCCCTTCGGGCGCGTGGTCGTAGCCCATGATGGTGAGGTTGCGCGTCATGGTTAGCCCCTTGGAGCGCGCGGGCACGATCACCGTCGTGTGCCGGTTCCAGGGATTCGGGTTCTCGGGGTCCGAGCATGCCATCAGGATGTAGAAACCCAGCTCTGGGTTCCACTGCGCATTGCCGTAGAGCTTGCGCCCGTTGATGATGCACTCGTCGCCCTCGATGCGGAGGGAGCAGCCGATGTTGGTCGCGTCGGAGGAGGCGCGGTCGGGCTCCGTCATTGAGTAGGCCGAACACATGGTGCCTTCCATGAGAGGTTTCAGCCATTGCTCTTTTTGGGCGGGGGTGCAGTATTTAGCGAGAAGCTCGATGTTGCCGGTCTCGGGCGCGTGGCAGTTCATTGTCTGAGGTCACGTTAGCCCGCTGTCCTTAGAGTCCAGTTCCCAGACATCTATCTCAGCTGTCACCGGCACCACCGGAACATAGCAAAACAACCCACCTGCGCAGCCCAATAACACCGCCCCATAATCTCCGCACAGCACGCATACTCCAGATTCGTCAACCCCGGACTCTCCTCAAAGTGATTCGGCAGAAACAGATTAAACAGTCCCAAGCTCTTCGCCTTCTTGCGCAGCTCATGCATCAGCTTGGGCGTCTTCCACCGGTCCTGGGCTAGCTGCGCCCGCATCACGGGCTCCGCGGGGATGCATTCTGTCTCAACCCAGTCGTGGACTTTCTGGATGATGGGGATGGCGAAGGGGCGGAGCTTGGATTTCACCCAGGGCGGGAGGCGGAGGAAGGCGGGATGGTCGGGGGATGGGGTTTGGGAGGACATTGTGGTGATAGTATTGGTATTGATGATGGCTGTAGGAGCTGTAAAGGGACTGATAGCTTAGGAGCAGTTCATGGCGGTTTGAAACTACTCGGCTGTTCTGCTTTGCGCGTCGAGGCTACTCGGATCATGTTGGCTATGCGGGTACAGCTGCTGGCGTGGAAGAGCTGGGTTCGCTGCAGTCGGAGCTGTGGCCGAGGAAACCCGGGGGAGGTTAACCGCGATCTGCGGACCCTGAACAGCATGACTCGCGTGCAGCTCGCTTGCCGGGCTCATGCTCCTTACCCCGGATTTCCCCAGGTGCCGCTCAGTGCGGAAAGCTTCGTCCGCCAGCTGGAGACCTCAACCTCAGCCGCAGGCGGGGCAGCATAAGCCATCAGGTCTCAAGGCCAAGATGGACGTACCTTCTCGTCATGTACTCACATACTCAAACGACAATGGCTGACGAAGGATTCGCCGCACCCTGGCTCGAGGTATGTCCCCAAGCTCTCATACCTAACAGCAAGGGAACATGCTGACACCTCACCCAGTTCGAAGAAGAATTCGGCCAGCGACCGCTCCTTCACGGCCCCCTCGACAACATCTTCAGCGGCTGGGCGGCAATCGGTGGCGTCCTGGTCTCAAAATACACCTTCCCGCCGCCAGACCCCTCTGTCAAGACATACGACCGCACAATCGACGGCCCCGGTGGCCCTCTCAAGCTCCGTGTGTACACCCCCGATGGCTATACGCCCAGCAGTAAGCCTGTAGGGCTCTACATGCACGGCGGCGGCTGGGCGATCGGGGATCTCGACATGGAAGACGGCGACTGTCGGCGCATTGCCAAGGGCATAGACGTCGTGATTGTAGCTGTGGACTACAGGCTTACGCCCAAGCACAAGTTTCCGGCGCAAAATGAAGATTGCTTCGCTGCGTATCGGTGGGTGCTCGGGAACGCTGAGAGTCTGGGCGGGGTGCAGGGGAAGGTGTTTGCGATTGGCGCGTCGGCGGGCGGCGGGCTGGCGCTGGGAACAGCGTTGAGGGCCGTTGATGAGGGACTGGGAGAGAGTTTGGTGGGGGTGGTTGCGCAGATGCCGGTGGCTGTGCATCCGGGTGCTGCGCCGGAGCACCTGCGCTCGGATTACACAAGTTATGATGAGAATGCCGAGATGACTGTTAATACGAAGAGCGCGATGGCTGCGTTTTGGGGTGAGTTTTCGCTCTTGAGCGATAAACAGGCGTCGAAAAGCGTAGGCTAACGGCTGCGTCCAGATGCCTTAGATGCGCCGCCCGATGATAAGTACACTTCGCCACTATTGCACGATAAGCTGGGGAGAGTGAAGAAGGTGTACATCACTGGCGGCACAATGGACACTCTTAGGGATGACGCGAGGCTTCTCAAGCGCGTCTTGGACGAGAGCGGGTGGGTCTCCCTCGACAATGAAGCCAGCCACCTGCTAACCGTCCCCCAGGGTCCCCAATAAATTCAATGAATACGAAGGGTATCCGCATTACTTTTGGACGTTCCCATCGAAAACGTTGGATGAGCCGAGGAACGAGTACTTTGAGAATCTGCTGAAGGGAGTGGGTTTCGTTCTGTCGTAGATGAAGCCGTCTGAGCGATGTGATGGTATTTCAAGCAGAGATATGCGCGTTTTCATATTACGCAAACATCTCAATAGCTCCTTTGCTCCTTTGCTTGATGTTCCGACAGTCATATAGTTTTTATCGGTCTCACAAGCCAATCTACAACCTCGCCCTCACCTCGCCCTCCTCCCTCGCCTCCTCAACCAACCTCCACGCAATCTCAGCAAACGGCCTCATCTCCTGCCCATACCTATACGCATCCTTACTACTCGCCTGCCTCGTCGCAAACCTCGCCGCAATCCCCTGAAAAATGACACTATCCCTAAACGCCGCAAACGCCTTTCCCCACCCCAACTCGCTCCTCGGATCCCACCCCGCGACCTCCGCATACCACTTTATGCACTGCTCCTGGCTCGGCAGTCCCGGAAACTCGGCGTGGCCGGGCCGGAAGGCGGGGTTCGAGTGCATGCGGGCGCAGTCGGGCGAGTAGGACGTGATTGTCCACGGAGCAATGAGGTTGCAGAGGTCGCTGAGCGGGTGGCCTATTGTTGCCATCTCCCAGTCTAGGATCCCGATGACGCGTGGTTCGGTTTTGTGGAAGACGAGGTTGTCGATCTTGTAATCGCCGTGGATGGGGACGCCTCTATCCTTTGGCTGTCTACTGGGGTCCGCGAAGAACGCGAGCAGAGCTTCGAGACGCGGGATCTGGCCCACAGGCTCCCCGGTCTCAACGTCGGTGATGGCGGCTTGCGAGGCGCTGAGCGCGGTAAAGGTTTTGATCTGGCGGTTGTAAAACCCGGCGGGCTTCCCAAACGTCGCCAAGCCTATAGCAGCAGGATCAAGCCGATGCAATTTCGCAAGCGTGCGCACGGCATCGTGCCACATCTCCCTCCGCTCCTCCGGACTGACGCCCGGGAACCAGGGCTTCTCGAAGATGCGACCGTCGAGGAAGGACATGATGTAGAAGGGGCTTCCAATGACGCTGGAGTCTTCGCATAGGCAGTATGCCTTTGGGACTGGGACGTCGGTGGCCTCGAGCGCGTGGATGATGCGGTGTTCGCGGTCGACTTGGTGCGCGGTTTTGGAGAGGAGCTTTCCGGGAGGCTTTTTGCGAAGGACATAGCGCGAGCCGGTGGGGGAGGTGAGGAGGTAGGTTGGGTTGCTTTGGCCGAAACCGAACTGGGGAGGGTTTTAGAACTGGTGTTTTAGTGGACTGAGGAAAGTTACACGCACTTGTTTGATTGTTAAGGGGGTTTTGATCTCGGGGACATTGCTCTTGATGAACTTCTCTAGCGAGGCTAGGTTTATCGGCTGGCGAACTTCGCCTGCCATGGCAACTGAGCAGTTGGTGTTTCTCGGGTATTTACGCGTTCAAGCTGGTTTCAGAACTTGATATACTAAGACGTTGACGCAGACTCGCGAAGGAGGTTATTGCTAAAAAGAGCAACGTATTTGCGGGAACGTGAACAACGATGATATTGGAGAAATTTACTACCTTCGTAGTATAGTAATATGTACAATTTCAAGCCCTACATTGTGTGAAATTGATGCGGCCGGCGACAGTACCACAACTCCTACATTTGCTGTTGATGCGGCCTCGGTCATGCTCGAGCGAGCAGGGGGAGCTCGATAGCCGTGAGAGCTCCAACCTAAGTAGACTATACCACATACGAGTTAGTGTCACAGCTCCCTCCCGACTTCCTCTTGCACCGGGAATGCTTTCCCGCACGTCAACTCCATCACGGCTGAGCCAGGCACGGCGTCTCCACGCAGCGCTTCTAGAACAAGGCTCATGCAATATCGTCAGCGGCCGACTAGAGATCTGCAGTCTAAGGAGTTATGTGCAGGTAGGCTCGACAAGGCGACGCGGGGCATGTTTACCAGCCGCGGGGCAGGTGGGTGCTTTCCTATGCAGGTTCAAGCTCATGAAGATTCCTTTACGTTCCTACAAAACTTTTCTTTGTTCGTGTCTCAGTTCCTTCTATCTTTTCGAGCATCTCAGTCGCATTGTCTCGCTATGGGTAGTACGAACGAACCGGGCAACCACGCCCTCATCTTTGGCGCCTCTGGCATCACCGGCTGGGCCATCACGAACGCTCTGCTCTCCGACTATCCCTCTCCCGATGCCTTCTCCAAAGTTACAGCCCTGACGAACCGGCCTCTGAGCAAGGAGCAGGCGCAATGGCCAGAAAGCAGCAAGCTCCAGCTCGTCAGCGGCATCGACCTGCTCATGGACGGAGGCCAACAAGGTCTCGAAAAAGAGATGCAATCAAAGATCGGCGATATGTCTACGGTCTCACACGTCTACTTCTTCTCGTACGTGATGGACCTCGATCCTGCAAAAGAGATCTCCATCAATGTGACCCTGCTCGAACGTGCCGTGACAGCCGTCGAGAACCTCTCCAAGAATCTCAAATACGTCGTCCTGCCGACCGGCACCAAGGCCTACGGTGTGCACTTGATCGACAAGTTTCCCTTTACGCCGCCGCTCGCGGAGAACCTGCCCCGCATCCCCGAGCCGTATGCGAGCGAGATGTTCTATTACAACCAGCTCGATATGCTAGCTTCGCTGGCGAAAGGCAAGCAATGGACGTGGTGCGAGGTCAGGCCGGATGTAGTGGTCGGATTTGTGCCGAACAACAACGTGTACTGTCTCGCGCAAGCATTGGTAAGAGCGCCCCCAGTTGTTCCCCAAATCCTTCTCAAAACCTCCCTTCTCCCATCTCCTATCCTTACTATCACGACCGCCTATCTGCTATGCGCAATATAGCTAACAACAGCAGGCACTCTACCTCTCCTGCTACGCCGCCGTCGCCGGCCCCGGCGCCTCCGTCGAATTCCCCGGCACCGCCGCCTCCTGGACCATCCTCAGCAACGACAGCAGCCAAGACATCCTGGCCAAATTCAGCATCTGGGCCTCGCTGCACCCCTCCGAAACTGGTGGCCAAGCCTTCAACGTCGCCGACAACGCGCGCCCGTCCTCCTGGTCCGAGAAGTGGCCCGTCATCTGCGAGTTCTTTGGGCTGAAAGGCGTCGGCCCGCCTCCAAACGGGGGCTCCGGACCCCAGCCGGGAGAGTACCTGGTGGAACATGTGGAGACGTGGAGGGAGTTGGAGCAGAAGCATGGGCTGCAGAAGGGGAGGGTTGAGGGGAATGAGCGGAGTTTTGGCGGGTTTCCATATTTTATTATGACAATGTTTAATTTTGATCGGCAGATGGATATGAGTAAGCTGCATGAGACGTGGGGGGATGAGAAGGTGGAGACGGATGCAAAGGGGGCGTGGTGGACGGCTTTTGAGCGGTTTAGGAGGGCGAAGATCATTCCGTAAGTGAGGGGGTGCCTCGCCCAGGACATTCAATGCTTACCTGGTTGCGTGTCGAGTGGGAGGGATGTACTGGAGGCGTCGCTTGTGGTTTTTTGCTCGACTGTGAAATGGTCTGTTTCTGCTCATCGTGCAGGATCCTCATTGGAAAGCGCGGGTCTCTCCAAACATTGTTATAAAGATGGCTTCTAAGCCAGGTCGGCAACGTCCCTTTTCCCATCGTTGCGATGACCGAATCCGGAGTTTCTCAGACTGCCCGTAGGTACTCCCTTTTTCCACCGTCGCTATGCAAGATGAACACGAAACGCAGCCGCTCGTCTGGTCTTGGGAACTCAAACGCCCCTACGCTGATAAACTGAATCTCATTCCATACATACCAATCGAGTCCCATTGAACTTTGAAGTCAAGAGTTAGGTCAACCGTTTTCTCACTTTCCAGCCAACGAGACCTATATGACTAGATATCCTTTCGACACACCGATTAGTACATGGATGCAGTAGCAGCTGTTGTACAGTTGCGATCGTCAAGCGTATACATCCAGCTTAACTTCTACGCCGACAGTTACGCCGCGAGAACAATCCGCAGTCTTTTGTTAACGATCAGATGATTCTCCTCGTTCTCGATCTCATAAGCTTCTTATCAAAAACAGCGTTCTAGCTCAAACACATACTGCTCAAAGAACTGCCGCGTATGCACATCTGGTGAACTTTATCGTTGGCTGAAAATAATCCTCTTCAGTGGAAAGAATTTTTCGCAAATTGAAAAATTGTTGACACAGCCTTATCCCAGCCAATCGACCATGGTGAAGTCTTGTAGATCATATCTCGTCAAGCCATCCTCAGATCCCTCATCAAATCCCTCCCCATATTCCTTCTCGTTTTCCTCCGCAGATACCTCTTCAGATCCATCACCAGATCCATCCTTGCGTCTTATCCTGCCAGGCTCGAAACACGAATTGTAAATGTCCCATTCGTTTCGTTCTTTCACTCCATCTAGTCTTCTTTTCTCTCTTTCCTCCTTTTCTCTTTTCCTCTTCCGCTCCAATATCCATTGGCAGGAGTAACAGATCTTCTTCCTCTTGAAAATCCGCACAAATCTCCGCCACTCTTTGAACACCCTTTGTTCACCTTCATCAAACGGTCCATACGGGCTCTTTCCCAGTCGGACTCGTTCCACCGCTTGCATCCATACCTCCTCCCCGCCCTGGTCCACACACGCATAATGCCGCAGCCACCAGGTTTCGGAGCATACGACCCAGCTTTTGTCACAGGTTGTAATAACCGGCTTCGTCATGTGCATATAAAGCTTGATCACAGCTGCCTCGGTCCATTCTCCGCCTAGATATCGGATCTCGTTAAGAACTGGAACTTCCTGTCGTGCGAACTCTCCAAGGTCCGTGCCCATCTGCTGGAGAGCAGTCAGATAGGCGCTCCAGGAAAGGGGATCCCTCAATGCAATCGTCGTTAAGCATTGGTCGATAACGTTACCATCCGGGTACTTCCAATCGCACGGGAGCTCCACCTTAGAATGGAGTGTCTCCAGTGTGTCCATCCGCCACATTAGCACTGTGCAGTTCTCAATGAACATTTTCCACCTTCTCTCGATACTCCTACGCCCCGCTTTGTCCCTGACAAGAATGGACTGCTGGGTCCACTCATTCATCAACAGTGATAAAGCTCTGCAGATGGCTAACCCGTCACAATACTTGGTGAAGAAATTTCTGATGGGCGCTGGATTTGGCGCCCAGAGTAAGGCTTCGGCCAGGCGGTTGCCTCACCAGTTAAAGCCTAGGTCTTCGGAGCTAATGCGGCGAACGATCTCGTTCATCAACCAGATCGCTGGACTCCTAAAATCCGTTCCCGGAACGCCCTCCACTTCAAATAAACCGCGGAACTCAAAATAGGAATCGTGTTGCGAGGTTGTTACCACCTGATTCTCGAGGTCTGCTTCGGCTTCTAGTAAAATACGGATTGTATCCAGTTTGGTTGATGCAGATATTCCTATATCAGCATCCTGACAGAGGGCCCGCAAAGGTGTCCTTGGGAGTGGAGAACATCAGCTCCACTCCTAGAAGGTCGTGAGACCAATTCAATGTACAGGGAGGAGGCCCTTACTTTGCACCGAGGATGCCATCGAAAGAAGTACGAGCATTGGGGTCCGCTCCGGCAGAGATCAGGTACGAACATAGCTCGGGTGAGCAGCTTTTTGCAGCACACTTCGCATTGTTAGTACAAGGTCATTCTTCATCCAGAACATGCAGGTGTTTCCAATGCATACTGTCAAATTACTGGTCCCCGCATCCGAAATTAAAAAATTATCTGGGTGTAGTCTCGTCACTTACATGGAGTGGGGTGACTCCACTGAAGAAGTAGTCGTGGACCGAAGCCTGACCACTTTCTAGTAGTTGTCTGACGCTGTGGAGGTCTCCCTTCCAGCAGAAACCAAAGATAGGCGAGTCATGTGGTACATGCTATAGAAAGTCAGACAACGAAACTTATACCAGGACATACAGACATTCATCGTGTTCAAACAAAACTTCCAGCCCGCGTGACTCGAAAGACCACGTTCGGCGATCACAAGTGACGAGAAGCCGCACTTCAGCAGCCACCATGATGGTTCAAAGCGGAAGGTGGTTCGGAACTCCGTCTCATGTCTAGACGATCCAGGAGCCGTGTGCCAGATTGCGTACCGTCTCGACGAGCACCAGAGGGTCCCAAAGGGTGTCGAAGTTCGGGTCAGGTTATCGTTCAGCAATCTGGTTCTTTTGTTTCGATAGTGAGTATTGAGTCCCTCCTTATCACTGCTGCGCCTGATCTGATCCTGAGTAGTTAGAGTGACGCTGTGTCTATCAAGCACTTTTTGCACTGCCTTGTGGAGTTCCTCTCTTAAAACATGACGTAGAATTGGAGGATTGAGAGAGGCAATCAATCGGTGAGTCTCGGCGGGGACTTCCGACAGGTGTCTTGACAGCTCGGTGCTTCTCATATCTATGTGAGACATTTGAGTTTGGAGCTCAGCGACAGCTTGCACAAGTGTGAGAAGCTGGCGGTCCTGACTTTCGTGATAACTGTTCTCTGAACGACTGAAGGATATATTGTCAGTCCCTTGATGTCCGGAGCTCCCATAGCAGTGCCAATAGTAATACCACTGCCTACCTCAGAGAACTCTGCAGTGCCAATATTAATGTGGTCTTAGCTTCCTGTAATCTCGCGCGGAAATCCTTCATCTTTTCGCTTTTCGAGACACTCCGTATTGCATTCCATTTTCTTTGAAAACTGTTCCGCATGGCGAACCCGGGCGCAAGATCATCGACAATGGCTTGCAGGGCCAGAAGTTCCTGATGACACCCTTGCAAGGCAGCTGCTACTTCTTGGTGTGGGCCGTATAGCTCTTGGTTGTGCTGTATACTTTTCCGCACGGTTTCCAGAACCTGCAGGTCTTTCAATATGGATTTGATATCTTCTGGAGCATTGCGGATCGAGCTGAAGAGACCACACCTGTAAGGACCTTAGTACGCAGAGGTAAGTTGCGAAGCTGTGAGCCAACGTACAGCTTGTTGATGCTATCAGCGAGCTGGATGGTGAGGGAAACGATGGCGATGACGCTCGCAGGCCCTGACAGCCCGTCCATCACGATGTGAGTTGATAAGGGGGTTGAGAGATGAAATTAACTACAGCTGTGCCATAGCTCCCTCTTGCTTTCATACACGATGAGGAGATAGCGCACGAGGCTGAGTTGAGGCTGAGCCGCCCGGTCGGGAGCGAATCGCAATTGCAGCCTGCAGGACTTGGGCGCCTCCACCCCGAGGCGACGAACGGTCGTTCTGTAGTAACAATCATCCTTATCTTCATACAATCTTCCCTGGATATAGAAAGGGAATAAGCCACAGCTTCATGGAAAATGGCCCTACGGCGACTCTACTGGCTGCACTGATGTCTGCCAGCAGGATATGTAGCTTGAGAAGTGGTGAATTGAATACAGCTTAACGTATAGCGGCCTTCCAGAAGGTTACATGCCCGTATACCTACCTACGGGGCTTGCCAAGGTTCAAGTAACCCAGCGGGCATGCCGGCCTACATGCTGCAGAGAACGTATGTATCCGCATTCCGCCATGGCGGATAGGGAGAGCCATTGACAAGATGGGACGATTCGACGGCCACATCACCGTACTTTTGCACGCCTCCTTCGGAGTGTCCGCAGTTATGTTTACAGCATGAAACCCTCTAAGTATTGCAACATCGGCCTTCTTTGCAGGCCAAGACCACCGGAGAAATTGGTCCGCCCACTCCCTGATGGCTTGGTCTCCATGCTTCGCTGCACTTCACATCTAAAAGACTTGCGCGGCCTCGAGTTTTGAGATGTATTCAGTCGATCCTTTTCGGAGGCTGGCGCCTGGTTCTCGTCGTTTGTTCAGCGTGGGCCTTGTTAGAATAGTCCCTACTCAAGACCTGTCAGCCTCAAGCTCAACATTTCCAATCACGGACTTCTGCCGGAACGTCCCTTCTGTTCTGTGACAATTCAACTCCCTCAAGCTGCTTCTCCACTGCCGGACTATTGATGCAACGAGATTGACGGATTATGCTACGCCTCCGGTTCTGGCTACTCCTACTCACCAACGCTCTGATAGCACAAGCACTACCAACGCAAGAGAGGCGAGATGCCGACTTCGCAAGCGTCAGGACAGAATTAGCCCACGACCGTAGCGGCAAGCGGCGTGACCCCCTCGACAAATATTTCCACGAGTCCACCGTCAGTCCCTCACTATCCCTCTCCCCTCCCCTCCCCCTGCCCCCCATCTCTTCCTCCCAACACACCCACTGACGCCCCCCAGTTCCACCCGCACTATGATGGCCGCTTCGCCGCCTCCAAGCTCCCTGAAGAGCAACGTAAACCAGCCCTGACAGCCCTCGTCCAAACCTACTTCTCAACCATGTCCACGATCGGCGCGCAAACCTGGATCATGCACGGCAGCCTGCTGGGCTGGTACTGGAACCGGCGGATCATGCCCTGGGACTCTGATGTCGATGTCCAGATGAGTGAGGATGGAATGAGGGAGTTGGCGGGGTACTACAATATGACTATGCATAATTTTGATTTCCCTAGCATGGAGGGGGATAGGAGGGGAAAGGGGAGAGGCGATGCGAAGGGGAAAAGAAGGAGCTACATGATCGAAGTCAATCCGCACTACACTAACGCCTCGACCGCGGACTTGCACAACGTCATCGACGCCCGCTGGATCGATACGGAGACGGGGCTGTTCATTGACATCACGACCCTGAGGCGGGATAGAGAGGCGGAGGCGAGGGGTTACAAGGGGCACATGTATTCGAAGGACAAGCATCTCATTCTGGAAGACGACATCTTTCCGCTCAGGGACAGCGTGTTTGAGGGCATGCCGGTGAAGATCCCGTACGCGTATGCGGAGCTGCTGGAGGGGGAGTATGGGAGGAAGGCGCTGGCGAGGTCGAGTGTGGAGAATCATCGCTGGGATCGGGAGAGGATGGAGTGGGTCAAGATTGTGTAGGAGGTTTCTCGTGGAAATTGTGGTTGGACAGATACCGTTGTCATGCTCACCCACAACAGATGGTGAAACACCCAACGTCTACAGAGCCGAAGGTCAAGCCGCCAGGCAGCGGACCTCAATGCGGTTGGCTATTAGACGTGAGCATGCCTCACGCTACCAAAGAGCTTGAACTGGCGAGAGATATTGAGAGACGAAGTCATGTATGGGTAGAATCTAATCTACTTTTATAGCATGCTTGAAGCGCCCTCCGCTAGTTGAGCGAGTTGTCATCCGACTGATTTCTTCTGTACTTGAGGCGGAAATTTTGAGAGAACCATAAAGATAGGTATGAAAGAAGTGCATTATGAGTTCTAGCCTAGGTTTGGTCCGAAAAGAAGCTACAAAGGCCCTTCTAAATGAAGATTGCAGTTCCGTCCACTAGGTTCAGGCGGAGAAACCGGCAACGCTTATTTTAAACGGCCCCCGGAAGCATTAAAGCCGGGGGAGGCATATGCGCGGAACGCGGAGATGGAGTCTGCGGAAAGACGGGAAGGGAAATCGGGATAAATTTGAACAAGGCACCTCGGTATGTATGCTATTAAGACTGCCAATCCCATCATTGCGATTGAGCATGGTATCGACGCGCTCAATTGTCATAGTACCAGCCGAGACAGTTGCCGCCATGTTTTTCTGATCCTTCCGCAGTTGACGTCTACGTAACAGAATGAGTCTTGACCCGGAACAAGAGTCCGTAAGCGGGGCGGGTATGGCCCTGGGGATGGGTCTCTGGTCTGGGGGAGGATGGACCAGATGGTCAAATACGTGTGGATGAGCGCTCATACTCACACTCTTGTTCCTCTCATCTTCAAAGATAATTCCACGAACCTTGTCATCCCACTATTTCCTCTTGTGTTGATCTCTTGACTGATCCATCATGACGGCCATTAAAATTCCCCTCGAGAAAGATACGGCTCTGGGACTTGAGAGATTGTCGGCTGAAGAGCGTCTGGAAGATGGGTCGTCTGTATCCCAGTTCGACCCGACGCTCGAGCGAAAGACAGTCCTCAGACTGGATCTGCTCTTGGTGCCGATGATGTGCATGATCTATCTCCTTGCGTTTCTGGATCGATCCAATATAGGCAACGCCCGTGTCGCAGGCCTCCAGAAGGACCTAGGTATAACAGATTACCAGTATCAGATTGGTAAGATCGTATTCCCGCTCCTCACCTCCAAGGTCATAATTAATAACCTCTCATAGCTATCACGGTCACCTACGTCCCATATATCGCCGCCGAGTTGCCCTCGAATCTCGTCTTGAAGACGGTCGGGCCGCGGTTGATGCTGCCAGGCATGTGTCTCTGCTGGGGCATCGTCACGGCACTGCAATCACAGGTGCACAACTTCGGAGGCTTGGTCGCCTGCCGCTTCTTCCTCGGGCTGCTAGAAGGTGGTCTCTTCCCCGGCATCGTGCTATATCTCTCTGGGTTCTACCGGCGCCACGAACTCCAAGTCCGAATTGCGCTCTTCTTCTCTGCCGCTGCCATGAGCGGCGCCTTCTCCGGCCTGCTTGCAGCTGCTATCATACAAATGGACGGAATTGGTAACCTCTTCGGATGGCAGTGGATATTCCTCCTGGAGGGGCTGTTTACGGTGGTCTTCGGCATCTTCGCCTTCTTCGTACTGCCAAATACGCCGCATCAAGTCCTCACATTCACCCCTGAGCAAGCCGATCACTGCATCCGCCGACTCGAGGCCGACGGACCGCCCGAGAGCGGGAAGTTCAGCTCCAAAGCCATGCTCTCCGCCTTCAAAGACCTACACATCTGGCTCAACTGCCTCGCCCTCTTCTGCAGTGGCACCTGTCTGTTCGGCCTCGCGTACTTCACGCCCAGCATCGTCCAGGGCCTCGGCTACAGCCAGACGCGAACACAACTGCTCACGGTCCCGCCCTTCGCCATCGCCTTCTTCGTCACCATGGCCGCGGCCTACATCGCCGACAGGTACCGCTGCCGCGGCCTCACCGCCATCGTCACCTTCTGTCTCGCCGTCGTCGGCTTCGCGCTGTTCCTGACCGGGACAACGATTGCGGTAAGATACACGGCGCTGTGCTTCATGGTCACGGGCACCTACTCCTCCGCTCCGAGTCTGATAAGCTGGATTCCGAATAACACCGCGGCGCACACACGACGCGCGACCGCTATCGCGATGGGCTTCGTTTCGACCAATGTGGGCGGCATTGTCAGCACGTGGATTTACCCCAAGACGTCTGCGCCGTATTACAGGTTTGCGGCGAGGTACAACCTTTCTCTCGTGTGCATCGCCATTGCGTTGATTGCCGGAGAAGTGGCCCTGTTGAGGTGGATGAATCAGCGGAAGGAGGAGAAGAGAAAGGACTTGCTGCAGGGTGTGGAAGGCTTATCACATGAGGACCAGTTCAACGAGCTGGGAGACCACCATCCCGATTTCAGATACACGCTCTGAGCAACGTGTGTCAAAGCGAGCGCAGAAGCATCTCATTTGCGGGGCCCCCTCTTGCTATAAAAGCACTTCTCTAGAGTTGATGCGTGTTAGACACTGTACAGAACCACATCAAAGCCTATGCTACGCCGACCTCATGAAACGTGCATCCATTGATCATCACATTTGAGCCCACGCCCCCCTTCCACCAACTCCAAACCGACTTTTCGCCAACCTTGGAACGCAACGCACCTCCCAGTCTACGAGTACAGCTTCTTGTCAAAGCTCTCCAACCCGTGCACGCCTCCCTCCGCCTGCGCACTCACCGTCCTAACCTCAAACCTCACACTTCCCTCCTCAACCCCCCTCCTCAACTCCGCGATGCTCTTGACCCCAATATCCTGGAGGCTATGCTGCACGCCCGCCATGAGGTACGGCACGAACCTCGTCACGGACCCGCGATCCTGCACGCTCCCCGACACGCCCTGCGCAACCAGCAGTCTGTCGCCTTCCGAGAAGTAGCGCGCCGTCCCCGCATTCGACGCTTTCGCGTCCTTCCCGCCAGCGCCGGCCTTCTTGTCCTCCATCGCATCAATACTCCCCATGCCCCTATACGCCTTGACCAACTTCCCCTCCCTGGACACAAAATACTGCCCGGGGCTCTCCGTCGTGCCCGCCAGCAACCCGCCCATCATGACCGTCGTCGCGCCCAGCGCAAGGCCCTTGACAATATGCCCGACGTTCTGGATGCCGCCGTCCGCGATACACGGCACCCCGAAGCGCGCGGCGAAGGAGGTGACGTTGTAGACGGAGGCCGCCTGGGGCCGCCCGACCGCCATGACCTCCTGCGTGATGCAGGCGCTGCCGCTGCCCATGCCGATGCGCAGCCCGTCACAGCCCGCGGCGATGAGGGAGGCGGCTTGCTCGCGCGTGACAACGTTGCCGCCTATGACGTCGAGAGCTGGATGTTCTTTTTTGATAAACTTCACCATGTCGATCTGGTACATGCTGTTCCCCTGGCTGGAATCTAGCACGACGATATCGAGCCCCGCATCCACGAGCTTCTGGAGCCGGGCCTTGTCGTCGGGACGCGTGCCGATTGCGGCGGCCGAGATGAGCTGTTTCGAGTGCGGCAGCTTGGAGGCGAGGGGGTAGTGGAGATTCTTCATCAAATCTGAGCGCGAGAGGAGGGCGACGAGGTTGAAGTTCGAATCGACAATCGGGAGTTTGCCTTTCTTCGATTTGCTCAGAATGGAGTTTGCTTCGAGGAGATCGACGCCCTCGGGGGCCGTCACCAAGTCGGTGGACATGACGGCTGTGACGGGGTCGTCGAGGTCGGCGTGGAATTGGATGTCGCGGGGGGTGATTATGCCGACGAGCTTGGAGCGGAGCTTGCCGTCCTCTGCGTGTTGCGCGATGTGTCAGTCAAGTGCCATGAAGGACATTGAGCATAAGATGGCCAGTGTTGCTCTTTCTCAGACAGAAATCTCCATAGAATTCCCCATTGCTTTACGCTGCGGATGAACGAAAGTTATAAAAGGGCTATTGTTTGAACATCATAGAAAGACCGTGCATATGCCGAAGACAAGATTGCGCGCTTACCAGTCACTGGGAAACCGCCGAAACCCCACTTCTCCTTAAGCGCCTTCGCCTCGCCCACAGTGGTCTTGGGCGAGATGACTACTGGGTCGAGTATGAAGCCGTTCTCGAAGCGCTTGACCTTGCGCACCATCTCAGCTTGCTCCTCGGCGGAGCAGTTGTGGTGGACGACGCCGAGGCCGCCCAGCAGGGCCATGTGGATGGCCATGTTGTGCTCGGTCACGGTGTCCATGGGGGAGGATACGAAGGGCGTCTTCAACGTGATGCGCTTGGTGACGGGCGTCTCGAGAGTGACCTGGGACGCGGCAAAGCCTGGGACTGGGTCAGAGAGTTTCGCGAAGGCTTTGACCGTGAGGTTTACCGATGTAGCCGGGCAGGATGAGGAAGTCATTGTAGGTCAGGCCGCCGTGGGTCTTGGAGTCGATGAGCGTCTTGACGTCTATGCCGTCTCGCTCGGGATACTCCTTCTTGAGGACATCAAGCGCGGAGGAAAAGTCCAAGACGTCTCGGCTTGGAGTCGCCATGGAGTCGCCATTAAGGATGGGCATTATGAGTTATGAGAGATGGAACTTTTGAGAAAAGGGAACCTGGGTATCTTGAGAGTGAAACACGATAGGAAAGGCGACAACACTGATATCTTGTGGGCAAGACGGCGGTGTTGGCGGGTCGAAGCGGTGAAACTTCTCCCAAGAAAGAAAAGAGAGAGGAAGCGTCGGGCAAGAAAATCGAGTCTTTGTGGCCGGCCCGTCGCTGGAGCTTGGACCGTTGCAGGCACGGCACAGTGTGGTCTGAAGCGACAGGGCTGCTGCAGGACTGATCTGCGCTAAAAGGCTTGGTCTGTTGACACCCAAAACATCTCTCTCCCGCCAGAGCTGGGACACAAATTTAGAGCTTCACGATCGCCGTCTGGGTCATGCATTTTCTGCTGTTCACGTCTTTGGTCTTTTGCACACCTTACTGTCATACTATCTCAGACCACTATCAAGCTGAAGCTGGCTAGACGCGACTGCATTCATGCCCTGACCGCGCGGGAAAGAACTTCCCCCCCTCGACCACTTTGAGCCTCCTTCACAGCATTCCTCAGCGACGGCGGCCCACAAGTAGACCGCTACCTGTGCGACACGAATAGTCACAGAGGTTAACAGACCATTGTCCCCACGAACGTTTGCGCCGCCGCCATGTCGTTTCAATATCCGTCTCGTACTGTGCAAAGACATACCGCAACGTCCCCTAGCCCGCTGCGCCACGCATCAACCCTCTCGACAGGCTCTTCTGACTACTCGAACTCCTCACATCCAAGCCGAACGAGTACGCTCAGTTCACACGCGTCAAACGGATACGTAAGCAGTACTTCACCGCACAGGCGCGGAGGCAGTGAAACTACCGTGACGGCCGCATCACCGACGAGGGATCGAGGGGACTACTTCGAACCGAAAGATGTCAGTCCGTCTGGAGCTTACCGGTCGACGCGCGCTTCACTCCGACCATTGTCACAAGCGCCAGCCAGCTCTCCGCCGCCTCGGGAGAAGAGCTCGACATACTCAAGCCATGGCCGCTCTTACAGCGTCGATCCGGTCCCGCGACCCCAGTATGACGCTGCAACATCTCCGTCGCCGAAGGCAAGACCACAGAGTACCACTTTCACTAGATCAGACTCGGCCGTCTCGACCCTCTCTGGTCACACGCACGATCCTTTCGTCGATAGCTCCAATGCTCCTACGCCAGACAGACATGACAGCCCTGCTGTTGTACCCCGCTCAGACTCGACGCGCATGAGAGCGCACGACGTATGGCAGACCAGAGAAGCCTCACAAGCAGCTGATCACAACAAGTCAGCATCGATAACGCTCAAGTCTCGACCGCAGTCCTTGGTATTAGCGAGATCAGACTCCCTCCGAGCACGGCCACCCGAACAATCGCACGATGTCGAGCCTCCTCTACGGCTCCGCTCGAGCGAGCCGAAACCAAGGCCTCATTCAATAGCCATCTCGCGGTCAGATTCTATCCGCCCAGCATACGAGCGGGGCAACAGCCTAGAGCCCATGCAATCACCGCAAACAGATGGTGCAACATCACCGCCAGCCAAGTCTCGTCCCCACAGCCTAGCGATCTCCCGGTCAGACTCCATCCGTGCGCCTGCCCACGACAGAGCTTCTCGTGCCAACGGCAACCACCTTCACCTTCCCTCCCAGCTCGACAAAGCGGACCTCAAGACTCTTCAAAAGTCCGCAACGGGGCACCTACGTACGCTATCAAAATTCAGCGAAGATGGCGAAGAAGATTTCACGATCAAGTCACGCGACCAGGAGGTAGTCGGCATGCATGGGCGTAGAAGGCTCCAGCGTTCAGGCTCCAAGCTGGGCAAGAAGACTACCACTGTCGGCTACGCGGGCCGCACATGGATGGACACCCAACGCCAGTTTCTTCAGGCCTACGAGTACTTGTGCCATATAGGCGAGGCGAAAGAATGGATTGAAGACATAATCGAACAGCCCATCCCGCCCATAGTGCAGCTCGAAGAGGCGCTCCGAGACGGTGTGACCCTAGCGGAAGTGGTGCAGGCGCTGCACCCGGAGCGGCCGCTCAGGATTTTCAGGCATCCGCGACTACAGTTCAGACACTCGGACAACATCGCGCTGTTCTTCCGCTTCCTGGCCGAAGTTGAGCTGCCGGAGCTGTTTCGGTTCGAGCTGGTGGATCTGTACGAGAAGAAGAATATCCCGAAGGTCATCTACTGCATCCATGCGCTCTCCTGGCTGCTATTCCGCAAGGGGATCGTCGACTTCCGAATCGGGAACCTGGTCGGTCAACTCCAGTTCGAGGACCATGAGCTGGAGGCCATGCAGAAGGGCCTCGACAAGTCTGGCGTAAGCATGCCGAACTTCTCGGGCATGAGTGCGAACTTCGGCGCGGAGCCCGAACCAGAGCCGGAACCGGTAGAGAGTGAGGAGGAGCGCATAGGCAGGGAACTTGCCGAGAATGAAGGCAGTGTTTTGGATTTGCAAACCCAGATCCGAGGCGCAATGACCCGAATAAAGTGTGGAGAGATGTGGAATGGATTTTGTGACGCCGAAGAAGCCCTCGTACACCTACAGTCGAAGATCCGCGGCGATTTCGTAAGAGAAGTCATTCGATACCGGCTAGACATGAAGAAGTTCGCGGTAAGCATCCAGAGCTTATCTAGAGGATACCTCGTGCGTTCAAAACGGAAAGAGAAGAAGACCTACTGGAAGAACCGAGAACAGGATGTCGTTCTGCTACAGAGTCTCGTCCGGGCTCGTAAAGCTAGGCAGGAGACACAATTCATCAAGTCTAGGATACAGCGCCAGGAACATGGCATCCGAGACCTACAAGCTCTTTTCCGAGGTGTTCTAAAGAGATGGGATGTTGGCGACAAGTACTTCGAGACACGAGAGGCCGAGCCAGAAGTGCTAGAGCTACAGTCAGCGATTCGAGGAGCTCTCGCACGAAGGAAGGTCGGCGACCAGCTCGCAGAGACACGACAAGTGCAGGCCGAGGCTGCTGTGTGTGACTTACAGTCAGCGATACGGGCCGCGTTCGTCCGAAAGGAGATCAAGGAGCAGAAGTCTGAAGCGATACGGTCAGGGAAGCAGGTTCAGATCTTCCAAGCAGCAGTCCGGGGTATGCTTCAAAGACAAGCGTACAGGACAGACAATGAAAGCTTGCGGCGACATCAGTCTACGATGTCATTCCTGCAGGCCGCTGCGAGAGGAGCCATCGCAAGGCAACACGATTTTCACATCCGGCAGAGTCTTGAGGCTCCGACAGTGCAATGGAAGACCCTTCAATCACACGCACGAGGCATGAAGGTTCGAGAGTGGCATGACGGGCTACTGCAACAGCTGTATGCCGAGTCTCCAGCAGTGATCGATTTGCAAGCCATCGCACGGGGCCTTAGGATACGCAAAGAAACTGCTGCCCTTATGTTGGCCTTAAGGGAACATGAGGCTTCGACCCTGGAGCTACAGTCTAGAATCCGCGGACAGCTATTACGGCAGAGGCACATCGCCACGCTGAAAGCACTTGACAAAGAATCCAGCGCTGTTCTAGATCTTCAACGATTGGCTAGAGGCTCCATGCAGCGTCAACATACCTATGACTTGCTCTGTGAACTTCAAAACCACGAGCCCGAGATCATCAGCCTCCAGTCTGCCGCGCGATCCGCTCTCCTGAAGCGGGAGATCGGGACCCTTCTGATGCAGGTAGAGACAGAAGAGGAAGCGATCATTGACCTCCAGGCCCTCTCTCGAGGAAAGCTTATCCGGCACAGGTTTGCAGAAAAGCAGAAGCACTACAAGGAGAATATGGAGAAAGTCATCAAGATCCAGAGCTTCATTCGAGGCAGGCAACAAGGTGAAGCGTACAAGAGCTTGACCAGTGGCAAGAATCCTCCTGTTGGAACCATCAAGAACTTCGTTCATCTCCTCAATGATAGTGATTTCGACTTCGATGAGGAGATTGGTAAGCAGCCGTGTCTTGAGTTGGACATACTCGATGCTAACATGACGCAGAATTCGAACGCCTGCGGAAGACCGTGGTCCAACATGTGCGCCAGAACGAGCTCGCCGAGCAATACATCGACCAACTCGACATCAAAATCGCCCTCCTCGTCAAGAACAAGATCACCCTCGACGAAGTTGTGAAGCATCAACGCCACTTTGGCGGCCACGTCGGCAGCCTGCTGCAGAACAAGGAGATTGCTTCAGCCAACGCATTCGACCTGAAGGCGCTCAACAAGAATTCCCGAAAGAAGTTGGAGCATTACCAAGAACTTTTCTTCATGCTTCAAACTCAACCACAGTACCTTGCTCGACTGTTCAAGAGAATCCGCGAGCAAGTCACTGCTGAGAAGGAATGCAAACGTATCGAGCTGCTCATCATGGGTCTTTTCGGCTTTGCTCAAAAGCGAAGAGAAGAGTACTATCTGCTCAAGCTCGTTTCTCGTGCGATCAAGGAAGAGGTGGACAGCTGTTCCTCACTACAAGATTACCTCCGCGGCAACTTCTTCTGGTCCAAGATCCTGAACAATTACATCCGCTCGCCGCGAGACCGCAAGTTCTTGAAGGACCTACTGGGGCCGCTCATTAAGGAGAACATCATTGAGAACGAAGGCTTAGACCTCGAGAGCGACCCAATGCAAATCTACCGCTCATCGATCAACAACGAGGAGCTGCGAACAGGTCAGCGGAGTCGCAGAAATCCGGATGTGCCGCGCGAGGAAGCCATTCGGGACCCTGAGACACGTGAAACGTTCATCAGGCATCTACAGGACCTCCGCGACATCGCCGATCTGTTCTTCGTCTCGATGGAAGATTTACTCCACCGGATGCCGTACGGCGTTCGCTTCGTTGCCCAGCAGACATTCGAGTTTCTCAGAGGCAAGTTCCCGCGCGAGGATCAGCACTACCTTCTGCAAGTCGTGGGCCACTGGGTGTGGAAGACCTATTTGCAGCCCGCTCTTACTCAACCGGAAACTTGGGGCGTCGTAGACCGAGGCCTCTCACCTTTACACAAGCGCAATCTTGGTGAAGTCGGGAAGGTCCTCGGCCAGGTAGCAGCAGGCAAGCTGTTCGGCGGCTCCGGAGGCAATGACATCTACCTCCAGCCACTCAACCCCTATCTCTCCGAAGCCTTTGGCCGGATGGAAGACATCTGGAAGACCCTCATCAACGTCCCCGACGCCGAGCGCAAGTTCGACATCGAAGAGTTCACCGACCTCTACGCGCGCACAAAACCAACCCTCTACATCAAGCTGACCGACATCTTCGCCATCCACCAGCTAATCGCAACCGACATCTCCCACCTCTGCCCTGCAGCCGACGACTCCCTGCGCGAGCTGATCCGCGAGCTTGGCAGCGCCGCCGCCAACGAGAGCGAAATGCACGGCGTCGGCGGCACCGAAATCCGGCTCCAGCTCTCCCCCAAACTCCACGACCTCGAAGACCCCGAAGCGCCGCTAAAAGCGCTCTTCATGGAAACCAAGCGCTGCGTCCTCTACATCATCCGCGTGCAAACCGGCTCAAACCTGCTCGACATAATGGTGCGGCCCATCACGCCCGACGACGAAGACAGATGGGACGCCCTAGTCCACGATGAACTGGACTCCCACTCCACCACCGGCGCGACAAAGCCCCGCGGGGCATACATGGCCGACCACACCGCCCTCCTCGACATCACCGGCCTGAGCTATCCCGACCTCAAACGCACCTGCCTCGAAAACATCCTCGCCCTCGAAAGCCACGGGCGCATCACGCGCGCAAACCACTACCAAGACCTGCTCAACAGCATCGCGCTCGACATACGGACGAAGCACCGGCGGCGCATCCAGCGCGCGCGCGAGCTCGACGGCGTGAAAGCGACGCTGGGGAACCTGAACGAGAAAGCCAGCTGGTTGGACCAGCAGCTGAAGTCCTACAACGACTACATCGAGCAAGCGATGGTAACCCTCCAGAACAAAAAGGGCAAGAAACGCTTCCTCATCCCCTTCTCCATGCAATACAACCACGAGCGCGAACTCGCGCGCTCAGGCCGCGTGCCCAAGTTCGGCTCCTTCAAGTACTCCGCGCGCACGCTCGCCGAGAAAGGCGTGCTGGTCGCGTGGACAGGCTACGCAGAGCGGCAGTGGGACAAAGTCAACCTGACGATCAGCAGCGACGAGGTGGGCGTCTTTCACATCGAGGGCAGTGTCGGGAGCTGCATGATCCCTGGAGCCAGTGCCGCCGTGCCGTTGGATGATCTGCTGCAGGCGCAGTTCAACAACTGCCAGTTTATGAATCTGTTTGGGGAGGGGGCGTTGAGGTTGAACGTCAATCTGTTTTTGCATGTCGTGTTTAAGAAGTTTTATCGGGATGAGTAGAGGGCGAGTGGTTGGATGGGAGAAGAAGCAGAGTGTGAGAGCGGCGAGGTGTGAGGTTGTTATTCCGGGCTGGGAAGGGGAATTGGATGGAGGGGTTGAACGGCCTGTCTCTTCAGGCTTTTCTTTGCATATATCGGGTACCTTTCAGTGACCCGGCTGGCTGGCTGGGCTAGCTAGCGATGACAGCGGCGTTGGAGTTGGGGAGTGGTCGCTACGCCTTGCGTGCGTGTACATCTCATTTCGTTTGTCTTTTTGCATCATTTGTGCGGTGCGCGAGCATAGGTCATAGATCTGTATCTACACACACCTGACGACATAACGCCAATACGCCAAAAGCGCTGCCAACTTTCTGATCCCTAGTTCCTGCATCGTACAGAGCTCTACAACCCAAAGATTCCCGCTGCGTTGACTCATTGACTATGCCAGGTCGTTCGTTTTCGTTGATGTCGTGCTGGTAGGAAAATAAAAAGAAAATCTATCGACGCTCGCTTCACGGGCAAGGGGAGGTAGAATTGTGACAATGGAGAAACTGCCACTTGGCAAGCAAAACGCCATGACGCCGGCAAAGTACCAAACTGCCCGCAGAGGCCGTAAGAATGTAGGAATCGTCAAAAGCAGGTGCCATGCGTTGCATGCACGACATAACAACCGCCAGCATGGCAGGCACAAAATAGAATCCAACTGCGCCGCAAAGCAAACTTCCAACAAGCAGAAGCACAAACACCGTACCTACTGCAGCACATCCGTCTCAACGCTCTCAACCGCCTCAAACGGCGTGCCCGGCCCGCGATCCAAACTGTAATCCTGGAACGACGCCGGCGTCATGGGTTCATCCCCTGACTCGGAGCTGTTATAGCAGAACGGTGAGCCGTTGAACGGCCTCTTGCTGTTGACGAGATCAACGAGGTTGCAGTGTTCCGGCGTCGCAGGGAAAGACCATTCCGTCGCAGAGGACGGCGTGTATCGGGCGCGCAACTGAGCCTGGGCGTCCGAGGGTGAGAGCGATGAGGCGCCGGGCACGAAGTAGGGATATCCGAAGTTGCTGCTGTAGGACATCTCTGCGTCTGGCGGCGGGTGGGCTTCGGGTATCGTGGGCGGAGGGGCTGATGTGGGCGGCATTGCGTAGGGGTCACCCGTCTGGGCGCCGCTGGCCTCTCGCAGACGCTCGGCTCGTCGAAGTTTCGCCGCTTTTCGAGCGGCTTGCCCGCCTTTGGCGCCGGAGGCTTGACGTTGCGGGGCAGGATGCTGGGAGCGTCCGCCGCGCTTGTTGGGGATCTTGCTGCGGTAGCGCGTTGTGGATTTGACGCCGTTTCGGATTGCGTCCTCGGTAAGCCGCCATGAGGTTCCTTTCTTGGTTTCGGGGCCGGCGGCTGAGTCTACCTTTTGAAAAGCCTGCGTTTGTTAGCAAGGACAGGTCATGCTTTCGTAGGGTGGTGGTACATACTGCGTTCATCGACAAGTTGTGGCGAATGCTGTTCTGCCAGCCTTTGGTCTCTTTGTTGTGAGACTTGTCCGTGTATCTGGCAAACCAGTGGTAGATGTCTCGGAGAATCATCGTATGGCCCGGTGCTTCCCTGAGACATCGGTTGAGAAGCTGAGCGTAGGGCTCTTCTTTGTCTATGGAAGCTTCTTCGATGCCACTTTCGCTCCTAGTGCCATCGTCTGGGGCTGGCGTGTCAAGCACTATCCCCGAATTGCTGTCAAGTTCCTCAGTCAATGGGCGCCAGTGTCTTCTTGGCATCGCGCGCTCAGGATCAGATCTCATCTGGCTTGGCGGAGCATTCTCATATGCATTGCTCAAATGCGTTGGTGGCTCTCCCGCTAAGAGACTATAGAGCTCTTCTTGGTCCGCATTCTGAGGTGTGAGTTGATAAACAGACGGCGGGTATGCATCCACCACCGATCCAATGTGGCCGCGGAAGCTGAAGTCTGAGAAGCTCCGTGGGCAACTGCCTTGCGTGTTGACTGAAGCGGGCTGCAGACAGTACCCGGCTGTTGGAGCCACTTCGTATCGGAAATTTTGAGAGTGCATCGGATAACTCATTCCGACATCCGGCTGGCAGGCATATGCCTGATGGGACATCTGATAATGAGAACCGTCCGTTTGAGCTGTTGCAAGATCGCAAGATGAAGGCCACTGTAGGCTTGGATCATTGAACAGCTGAGAAGCGTCACCGTATTCAAGCGAGCTCAGCGCGAAGTCTGCTGCGGTAGACGACATTGTCGATTGAGCAGGAACGTACTGAGATGTAGTGTCTTGAGCATACATGTTGCTTCGAAAAGGGGCATCGAGCGTAAATGATAGCCTTCCGGTGCCTAGGACATCCGAGGATTCTGGCTGTGTCATCGCTGTGCTGTCCAGATTAACAGATGAGAAGAAGGCAGTCAGACAATGCCAGCGTTGTGGTGATACTGCCGAAGGTATGGGAGCGGAGAGCTGGTTGATCGACAGGTCTTCCGGAAGCGATCGGTAAGACATTTCTAGGGAGCGGGACAAAGCCCAATCGGGGGTCTTCAGCGGGTGGGGTCATCTGGCGGCGGATGCCAGCGCATGGGATGAGAGGTCTGTTGCAGCACGCAGTCATAAGGTTAGCAAACAGAGGCCGCCACATTTACCTTTCATGTACCAAGGCGAGTAGGACAATCTACATGGCAAAGCCACGGCTCTTCATTGTTAGGTAGTGCTAGGCAGTGCTGGTCCAACCATGCAAGCGTAACGGAGCGACCAATGGGCAGCGGTGCCTCAACGCGTGTAACATGTCGGTCACACCAGGCGGCATGGGGCTGATCCAACCATTCTCTTCTGAATGCATGACATGGACAGGGGGAACGGTTGCTTGCAGAAGACCGTCACAACCATTGACCGGGCCGCCCTGCAGCTGCCAGGAAGGCGCTCTACGTATTCCGGGGGTTTCTAGAAGATATTACTCGTGGATGAATACATACCCAGTCAGATACTGCCGTAAAAGGCCATGAGGGCCGATGTAAGTCTATTGCTGGCAGTGACAGCCAGCCATCCCGTCGTCGCACATCCGCTTGCCTGACAAATAAGGCATCCGAAAGCTACCCCAGCACAGGGAGAACCGTGGATTGGTTGCTAGTTGACGGGTACATCCAACGATGGCCATGTTGTGGGAATGGCAGAAGAGCTTTGTGGTACGCAAAGCGTTAGTGGTGAGCTGTATGTAGGCTGGGGTCTTGCATCGCAATGGGAACCCTGGGTTTCGGCGCAGCAGGCACCCAATGCCCTGCCGTCACCTGTTAGGAGAAATACGGTTCGAGGCTCCGAACCAGGTATTTGGTATTCATAAGCCCCATTCTTGATTCCTACATCTTGTTACTGCTCAGGGCGGAGAACCAAATGAGGCTGTCTGCGTCTGGACCGGACAGTGAATGTGACCAGTTCAGGGCATTCCTTGTCGGAGTACCACCCAGCTTTGACGGCTGTCGTGACCACAACCACCCCAGGCGCACGGCAACCTATTGCGGCCAACAAGCCAGTTACTGGCGCCGAACGGTGCATCGGCTCTATTTCCGGTAGTATATTTTCTTGAACTGGAAATGGAGCTGAAGAATGCCCTGTAAGATAACCTATCAGCAACATGCTTGACGCCGTGAAACGCAACGCCGTTCGTGGGTCGTGGCTGGTGTTAGCGGAGGTTTACGTCATGCCCAGCCTACCTTGTCAAAGCTGCTTCTGAAGCCTCGTTCTCTCTTCGCACTATAATCCCATTCCTTGTCGACGATACGAAAGGCGACGTCCTCGTATGGAGGTCCGGCCACGAAACGGATCAAACAGGTGTCCTCTTCTCCGGCGGGTGCGAAAGACTGACCACGCTTGCGGCCGTTCTCTCTCTCAATCTTGTATGTAGGCGCCTTTGTCTTGTCGATAAGATCCGGGTAGAAAATATTGAATTTGTAGCCTTGCACGACCTTTGGTGGCGGATTCTCGTGGTCGTAGTGTGTCTGGTTGTACTTGTTCCACTCGTAGCCCATCTGAACACGGTTGAAGTATCGCGGCTTCCGGGGCCTGTATTTGTTCGCCCACAGAGGCTTAGCGATTGCTGTGACGTCCTCCTCGCCAGTGAAAATCTCCTCGTTCTCGTTCACTCCCCGCGCTACCTCTCGCTCATACAACGCTGTCGTTGCTTGGGAGAAGTCGTCGTTGGGAGCTGCGGCAAACCTTGAGCTTCCTGCTGGATCAGCGTCGTTGGTCTTCAGAACCAAACTTGCTGATGGTTTCTCCATGTTGCGTTGCCGCGTGGGAACATAACCCAGTTTCAGGATCCGTTGTCGTTCAGCGGTCTGTATGTAGCGTTAATGGATGTACCTAAATGCGATGATACATTGAGAACTTACGATATTCTGGAGGAACTCTTTCTCACTGATTGAGTCCAGACGCTTATCTTCAAGACACAGTTTCAGGATCGGTTCGGGATCAGGGGCCGATGCAGGTGGTATGGGTGAGGTCATGTCTGCATCTCCGGACGAGCGATGCTGCCGCTTTGAGTTCCCAAGGATAGTTCCCAACTTGCCACGAACCGCAAGAGCCTCATCTTCCTGTTGCTTGCGCAACTTGTCCAGCCGGCTCTTAAAGATTGTCTCTGAAACGCCTCGCAACTTTGCCCTTGCTTTCCACACTATAAGGCTTCGGAGCAGGTGTTCCCAGTAGTCGACATCAATTGGCTCGTTCGAGTTGAGCTTTGCTCGGATCTGCTTCTCCAGCTTTTCGAGCTCGGCGTATGACTTCGGGCCCAGCAGGCGATCGACGTCGGCGGACACTGAGCTGACACCTCGCGCTTCTGGTGCAGCTGGCTTTGACTTCTGCTTCCGGTCTTTGCATATGATCTTCATGGTCTTTTGAAACGTCAGCGAGACGAACTACGAAGACAAGCAGTGCAACGACGTACATTCCAGAAGTCCTGGTTGCTTCGGGTAGTCTCGAGGGCAACATACGTGTCTATGTCTTTCTCCAGCTCTTCCAGCTCATCGTTGTTGAGGCCCTCGAAGACACCCTCCGGATCGACAATATCAATGTCGGAATCTGCATCGTCCTCGTCCAAAAGATCCCTGCTTGGATCCACGACCCGCAGTGTAACAGCCAACCAGTCTATGGGCCGCGCTCGTCCTGCCTTCACTCGGATAGCCGCCTTCTTCTTCGCTTGTTCCAGTACGAAGCGGTCTTCGTCCGCAACCCAGGCGTCTTCTTGGGTGTCTGCTGGTCGCTTACTGGGTATCGTTGATGCGGGAGGCTTCCTGGAGATCTGGACGGTCGACGCCCGCCATGGAGGTTCGCGGCTTGCCATGGGTAGTTGGAATAGTGTAGATGGTTAGGAATGCAAGGCAGTGCGCAGCGCGGTGGTGGGAGTCGTGAAGTTGCATGAAACTCTTGAGAGCCGCACGTGTGGCTTTTCTTGGCAACGGTTGGGGTGCGTCAATGCAACCTGAACCCCTTCACCACCTGCAAACTCCGCCGATGGATGCGACTTGGATACCTTTTCAGCCGAAGAATACACAGGCAAACACACCGCCACTATTGGTGAAATTTGTGTTCACCCGTAGTAGCTACTCCATATATTTGACTGATCTCAGCCGCATATGGCACGAAGACTTGGATAGGCGTCAGGTTATTCGCCGAGCTTTGAACGAGAACACGAGCATCGACCCAAGCGAAGACGCCAACCAGCTATGGATCCTGTTGGAGAAGATCCGGAGTGCCGTGCGGGGAGTAGAGGAGACAGCATGTTTTCTCGAGAGTCAACAAAGTCACGGAAAGGGGTTGCTTCTACGCGTAACGGCTCCGCTACCGCCTCCGTTAGGAGCCCTGCAATGGCCGATTCATCTCGCACTTTGTTCACAAGACACGTTAAGACAGGAGCTAGTTTTACCGCTTTTTGGCCTGATCTACCACCAGAAGCAGCGTTCGGAAGACTTGCTCGCCCGGTTGGGCGAGAAGGATCACGTTATCAGCAAATTGATGGACAAACTTGAAGCTTCCGGCATGGATATATCAAGCGTCTTCCCTAGTGCTGCGGCCATTAAGGCGTCGAGGAAACTGAGTCAGCGGGAACAAGCAGCTACACAGGTCAAAGGTCTGGCGAAGTTCGATTTACAGCATTGGCAGCTGAATTCGAACCCGCAGTCCATTGATAGGAGCGCGGTGCTTGATATGATGCATGATGATCTGCTGCAACGCGACTTTAGCCGTCTAAATCCGAGTATAGGAGAAGTGTTTTCAAGCGAATGGTGGAGCAACCTTAAGCCAACGCATGGGAATTTAACCAGCTCGCAGGCTTCACGAGAATGTCATTTTGCCATTAAGAGAGACGAGCAGAGTCGTCGTGTGCATGGAGACGAAGTTGAGGATAACGGCTTCCAGGTTGGTATAGTCTACGTTATGTCCTCTGCAGCACTGACATACCATGCTTAGAAACAGACAACACCGCCTGGCTTGAAGAAGCGGCACGCAAATGGATATTCGGGCTTGTCGAGGACAGAAGGCCCCGATACACACGAGGAAGCCGACAATAAGGATGATACTACCGACGATGATGATCTCGATACTCGATCTCCCCCGGACCGTCGAAAGGGAACAGTAGACCTCGCAAAGCGCATTCCTCCAAGTGTGGCGCCAAGACCGGACTCAAGACCGCCTGAAATCAAAGACGATGCCAAGAAGCCTTGGACTATCGGAGGGTCGAAATTTAAAGCACTGCCACAGAAGGATCAACGCAACGCTCAACCACTTATCGTAAACCCTTTTGAGACTGAAGATCATTCCACAACGGACGAAGACGATGAGCATGCGTCCGTTCCAGTTGCTACGCCTCCGCCAACTATTACTGATGATAAGGGCTCACCACGAAAGACCAAGCTGGGGCACATAGGTGGCCAAAAGAAGATTGCTGGCGTGGGCAGCCGCGCGGCTCCGAGCACAGCGTCTGTATCCGTGGACGTCGCCCACGATAGGCGAGACGGACTGTCTGCGCCGGCGCGTGGAACTGCTCGTTCGAAGTCGCCTCAGTTGCCGTCGAGCCCGATGTCCACTAACATCGGTGATGCGACCGAACAGACAAGGCCGCCTTCCACTTCCGAGGCTTCAGATAAACCTCCAGAGTCGTCCCAAGAGAGGGCAGATCGCAAGAGGGCCGAGTTGAAGCGCCAGCTCGAGGCGAAGGCGGCTGCGCCTGGAAAGAAGAAAAGACGGTTCTGAGAGACGGCGGATCAAGTTTCGTGCGCGTGCCCAGCCAGTAGAGTCTGAGAGGTAAGCTCAGTATCACGTGTGGTTTAGTGTAGCCAGCACCGATCTCATCCTTCTGGAGCAGTGAACCGTTTAGCTCCTCGCAAGAGACGTAACGCTGGTGAAGGAATCGTGGATGCACAGGAGTCTCTTCTCTAAGCCCGGCTTTCCTCGTACAGTCCCTAAGACCGCGCCGCTGATAATGCCGTGCGGCTCGTGGACCCCTCTCGCGAGTGAGGCAATCGCAGTGAAGGAGGTTCGTGATTGGGAGATCAAGGGTTTACTATCGCGGCAGTACTATGAGATGTTGTGTGAAGGGCTTGGGGGCCCTTGAGGAGGACTGTAAATAGCCTGTAGTCTTCACTGGATCCTAGCCAAATCGCTGAACGAGGGGCGGGGTGTACACACCTGGATATATTCAGAGACAGAGAGATGACCAGCTTCTGTCTAGTCCTCACTGCAAATGCGGTTGATCTGATATACGAGATGGGCGAGACTGGGTGCGTGTGCGTCGGAGTGAGGACCTTTCCCTACTTCACCTCTCGAGACGGTTTCACTCATTTGCCATCTCAACCAAATCTTTCACCTCGTGACCACTTCACAGTCGCATTAAGCTTGCCATCAAACTAGTTGTCGCTCACACCTTCACTTTGGCCTAAACATGACTGCGCTTTCTACAAATATCACTTCCTGCCCAACACAACAGCATCCGCAACGGCTCGGCGTTTCCTCATCCGCATCTTCTTCCTTCCGCAGGGCAGCACTACCAAGTATCCACTATGTGCAAATACCGATATATTTACTACTCCGAGTGCAAGCACTTTGATTTCTTCCTCGTGGAGTACTGCAAAGCAGGTTACTTATATCATCTTGCTTCTTCCCCAGCCTCCGGCAAGCTCCCTTCTGGTCCAACCGGCATCACACTGGGCCAATATCAATCAAACGATCCCGAGAAGCCCTTCTCACCCACTAGAGGCAGCCAACACTCCACTTCCGGGCCAGAGAAGCAGGGCCAAGGCTCGACTGAGACAGCCATGGACAAAGTCGTCGGTCTGAATACGGTGGCCCAGCAAACATCTCTTCACATTCTAGAGACGCAACAGCACGCCTTCCTTGGATCAGCTTCATCACTGCCGGCACTCAGTGAACAGCCGCGGACAACCGATGGGCAGATTCTAGAGCTGGGTAAAGCCATAGAGGACGCAAAAGCGGCCGGTCCTCCTGGCTCACCAGTCTTTCGCGACTTCTCCCCAAGTGATGGTACCGTCAAGCAGCTTGTGGCACAACTCGAGGCGACCTTCCATTCGGTAGAGGCTGCGAACTTAGCGTTTGATGCCGTAAGCAACTCATATCACCTTTCCAGTCACAATGCTAACAAACCAAATCAGGCCGGCCTCGGGGACTCAACAGTGGGCAACCAGCCATCCGGGACATCTATAGCCTCTCTTGTTTCTCCAAGCAATACGTCGTCCTCACGAGTGGAGACTGCCGGTTCAGATGGTGACACTACATCAACGATCCCAACACTGTACAGTGCTAACATCTCTGCGGTTGGCTCAGGTCTGATATCGCCGGTTCATCTCACTGAATGTCGTTCGGCCGCCCTATCTCACACTGAGCATTGGCACAGTAAGAGTATTGACTCCACCGATCCAAGGAAACTGCGGTCTGAGAATCCACCCGCCACGCCTCGTGTCAACAAGCATGCGTCAACTACAGGAACGCCATCTCCTCACGGAACCATCCGCAAGACGAAGTCTCTCGGGCGGCTTAAGGGCACTCCCATTCAGTCGCCTACCAAGGACGGTACTAGTCCACGCCAGGCGCCATCGGAAGGTCTGTCATCTCCTACGAAGACTCTCGGTCGACAGAGCCAAGCGCCGAGGCTCCACACAGCGCAACGAGCGGCAGATAGGGGGGAACGGAGCAGTCCCAAGAAGGAAACGCCTCCCAAGCACGATGTCTGGCCTATATGGCGCAGTGGAGCCAAGCCTCTTCCCCCACAGACGTTACGGAGGAACAACAGGGACTCGCCGACGAAGAGTACCGTAACTGCGCCCACGTCAGTTCGGGATGTCTTTAGGATCGAGACCCATTCTCCGAAAGATACCTCGCCTCAAAGGCTGTCAAAATCGCCGACTCGGCGTCTTGCTGACATGAGCAAAGTCCGTTCTGCTACCTCGAGCGTATCGTCGCCGACAGATGCGGAGTTTGTTTCAGCCCGCCAAACGCCAATGACTCTGAGCCCTGTAGAGTCAAACGAAAGCTTTGTGACCGCTATCGAGCAAGACTCGCCGCGTCGAGTGCTGAAGGGAAGTACTCAGGCATCCGGCCATACCCTTATGGTTCCCGCCGCGTCAAAGTCAACTGTCTCAGCCAACAAGGCTGCTAGGCCGAAGCTCTCCATCGAAATCCCTAGTGTGCAGCAGCTAAAGACCGCTGCAAATGGAATTTCACCTGGAGGTAGGTCGGCTTCACCGGTGTCGTCGATTCGTATCTCCAAACTTCCCGTTCGAGTACGCAGAGAGACAGTGTCAACAGTAGACTCGAAGAATGTTGACACCACACCTACGCTGCAAGCTGCTTCTACACCTGTCGTTGCTTCCATTGTCGAGCCATTTTCGATTGACTCGCAGAATCGGGACGCAACTCCGGTGTTGTTGAAGCAAGTCGATCTTGTACCCATCCATGAAGAGGCATCCTCGAAAGAAGCTGATGAGGACCTTATACACCTGGAGCCTGCTGAGCCAGAGATCAGGCCGTCTTCTCCGGATGAAGATGACGATGATGAGCCTAATGAGGCAACACTTGCATTACTGAAGGAGCTGTGTCTGACAACCTCGCGGGGTTCATCCGCATCTGCAGTCTACATGCCGCATTCTGATAGCGAACCACCGCAAGAGGCATGTGACCACCAGCCGGCACTGAAGAAAGCTGCGCATTCGCGGTTACAAGAGGAACCAGCGGTCACTGCCGCCGAAGCAAAACCGGAAGTCCCCATTCGACTTTCAACAAGCCCTACTGACAGCGTCGTGGCGCCTTCTGTGCCTTCCAAGCACGATCCAGCCATCCTGCTGAGCATTCTCAAATCCTGCAGTTCTGCACCGTCCAAGGAGGCGTCCGTAGAGTCGTTGACCGGGCTTGGAAAGAATCGCATGCAGGGAGATGTGGAAGGCAGCAGTGAATTTCCGCCGTTTCATTTCGATGAGGCTTTTGGTCCCGAACCTCGCCCCGCATCTCCTATGGATACTGCCGTTGCCAAAGGCCCTTCCTCCGGCATCGGCGAGAGCGAACCAGCGATCATTTACAACGGAAGCAGACCTAAACTGGACGACTTTACTATTCCTGTTGAGCGCAACCGGTCAGCATCCCTCTGGCGGTCAACTTCGCCAACACGGGCACGAGATCCTCACCAGCAGAGTGAAGACCGTTTTCGTACAACAGCTGGCGCGTACTCTCCTCGCGCACTGCCTCCTAACGGTGCGGAAGCTTCTCCTCGGCAAACTGATAAGCCTCGCCCTGCAGAGGTTAATACTGACTCTCCGCGCTCGACTCTATCCACTGCGCTCCGAGCCGATGCTCCTGACTTCGTTCCGGAAAGTCTCAAGCGGCCTGCACCTCAGCGGCCTGCACTTCCTGCTGCATGGATGGATTCTATGGCTGTGCCACCACCTATGGTTCCGGGGCCTCAGTACCGCTTTGTTCCCCTTGGCGAAACACTTCCGACGCAGACGATGACCAAGTCGCAGAGACAGGCTCAGAGGAAGAGGCAGAAGGCGATGGAGACGGCAGCCTACGGGTCCATTTCACCGACATATGGAGGAAGCGCCGGGTTTATCATGATGCCTCCAAGCTTCGGAGGTTTCGGGTCCATGTCTGGCCTCCCACTGGAGACGTTCGATGACAACGTATCTCCACGCACACAGCCCGCGGAGCTGCAACGCGAGAACTATCGCAGAACTGCAAATGGCGGGAGGAACTACTGGGAAAGCTTCAAGAACGTGTTCCGTGGTCCAGGCGTTGTGCCGTATGCCAGCATACGGGGCGGTGCCGGCTCGGTTGTCTCATCTCAGGATCACGCCTCACCGAAGTCCGAGAACGCCACCACTACCGAGAACACTCCGCTCAGAAAGAAGCCTTCTAACGTACCGATCTTCCGCCGTGAGCAATCTTTCGACGGAAACAAGGTTCCTCCTGCGGCATTGCCAACAGCTGCGCCCGGCTCGCCACCCAAGGTCAGTCATCCGCCGGTTATAGGCCAATTTGACCGCGGTCCAGCCTGGACCAGGCATGAGTCGCCGAAGAAGTATGTCGGCTACGGGATTGGACAGGAGTCACCGAAAAAGTACGTCGGCTACGGGATCACGGTTCCACCGTGCGGCTGCTACAATGTTGAGACGGCGGCTGAGTGGATTGGCGGGATGTGCCATAAGTGTTGGCCAAATGGGATCTGAAGACTGGAAAGTAAGGAAGAGCATGGTTGAGTTGTGCAGGTGGAAGCACAGGGCTAGATTACGGGTTGCTGCGGTGCTGATAGGCTTAGAGAGGAAAATGAAGACCTAAAAGAGCATTGGATCCGTGGCCAGAGCATCTTTTGGCGTTAGAGGCTAGACGGTGACGGACAGGCGTTTCCGGCTGAACATGACCGGGAGAGAAACAGTTTTTGAGTATCACAGTTGGCATACTCTTTTCCCTCCTGTCCTAGCTTAGTAGGCTTTCTGTAACCGGTCAAAAAGCATAGTGTCGGGCGTTTTGTACTCGTACGCAGTATGTAACATAGATAATACGAGACAGCGACAGCCAGCCTTGCATTTGCAGTGGACCAGTGTTCCATACTACGCTCTTGGTCAGCCTCGCCTCGCCCCATCTCTCCCTCCATGAACCACCTGAGCCGATTGAGTCCCTTTCGTCATCTGGATCTTACCCGTTTACTGCGTTGCTGAAAACGATACAGGAGATCGTGAGTTGAGGTTGAGATCACGTGACCGGCAACTTCCAGGAGGCCGCCTGTCAGGCTCGCCAAGCCGCAGCTACAGGTAGTACAGCAGCGTGACATGACCATAGCACTGCTTGATGCAGGACGCAGACGTCAAACATCTTTCTCTGCATTGCTTTCCTGTTCACGTCAAGCACCATTTCTATCTTTGTCTCCCTCTTCTGGGCACAGCAAAAGGCTGACACGCTAAAGAGCCCGTGGCGTCCAATGCTCGCATGAGGCGCCATCCGGTTGAACTGGCCCGCGCGCTTGGCCATATGGAGGCAAGCCGTTCTCCCCTGCGCCGCCATGGGGCTGTCTGCCGCGCATCCCATTCCGAGTTCTTCACTCCACCATCAGCCGCCTCTCGCTCAGCATTCCTATATCCACCGCCTTGTACATTCCTCTTTGTGCGGTCTTCTGCTTTTCGCGCTTACCTTCGCTGTAATCTATTCAATCGCTGTGTCTATTCTCTGGGTATCCGACAGTCGCTCAACGCCTCCAGTTCCGCAAACGGACATACCTCCTTCTTAATCAAGCACCCGGACACCGCTCGCTCGAGGAGAAAGGGCCTCCGCCCTTTGTTCCAGTGTCGCAGGCGCTATCGCCTCGCCGAGTCTGACATCTATCGCTACCTAGCATCGATATCATTACCACCTACGGCAACAAATTTTCTGGACATACATATCATCCTTAGACGCGGTACCGTTCACCTTGCGCCGTAATGGGCCGCTTCTACGCCGCATCTGCTGCGATTGCAGCCCTTATTTCAGCGTCTTTTGTATCTGCAGAAATACCAACATGCGGTCCCAACAAGCTCTGTCCGGCGGAAACACCCTGCTGCTCCGGTGCGCATTCACACTTTATCTGGCTATGATTTCTTCGAGGCTAATCCAGGCGAACAGCATACGGACAATGCGGTGTAGGCGCCTACTGCCTCGGCGGCTGTGACCCCCTCTTCTCCCACTCGCTCGAGTCCTGCGTCCCGAATCCCATCTGCAAGAGCCAGGACTACAATCTTAACTCCCTCGACGACATCGCGCCCAATACCCGATACCTCGGCGACTCGAGCAAGGCGAAGTGGGTGTCCAGCGGGCAGCCGGTAGCATACCAGAATGAGGCCGTCCTCCTGACCATGGCGCCCGACACCGTCGGCACGCTGCTCGCAACAACAAACTACGTCTGGTACGGCAAGATATCGGCGACGATGACAACAAGTCAAGGCAAAGGCGTCGTAACCGCATTCATCATGATGAGCGATGTAAAAGACGAGATCGACTTCGAGTTTGTCGGCATCGATGTCGAGAACGCACAGTCGAACTACTATAGCCAAGGCGTGACGAACTGTTTGTCCCCTATCCCCTCTTCCCCCTTTCCCCCCTCCACCGCTAACCCTTATCTCTAGACAACAATGGCCGCAACCTCTCCACCTCCAACACCGTAACCAACACCCACACCTACACGATCGACTGGACCCCCGAGAAGATCGACTGGCAAATTGACGGCAAGACGCTCCGCACAGTAGAGCGCCAGTCCACCTGGAACGCCACCGCGAACCGCTACGACTACCCGCAAACCCCCGCACGGGTGATGCTGTCCCTCTGGCCCGCGGGCCTTGCCTCTAACGCGCCCGGCACCATCAACTGGGCTGGCGGGCTCGTCGACTGGGACTCCCCCTACATGCAGAACGGATACTACTACGCGCTGGTCTCTGATGTGAAGGTCGAGTGCTATGACCCGCCTCGCGGCGCGAATGTACAGGGGAGCAAGAGCTATAAGTACACGGATAAGGCGGGCACGAACGACACGGTTGTCGTGAGCGATGATGTTGAGATCCTGGCGTCGCTGTTCGCGACGGGAGAAGATCCGAAGAAGGATCCCAACGCTGCTGCCTCCAAGTCTTCTACCGCTGCGAGCACGAAGACCGGCTCCGCTGCCGCCGAAAGCACATCCGCAGAGGTAGAGACCGTCCCGGGTCTCTCGGGCGCGGGGGCCAGAGGCGAGGAGGGTGGGCCTGCGGCTGTGGTATCTCAGGCGCCCGGGTCGAGTGTTACGCAGCCCGCGGCGGGGAGTCTGCAGACGGCGGGCGGAAGCGTGGGGACGGGGTTCAGTCAGGGGGATACGCAGGGGCAGAGTGGGGCCGCTGGGAAGGATAGGAGGGTTGTAGGAGGGAGTGGGATTGCGTTTGTGGGGGCGCTGGTGGGGTTGCTTGTTTTGTAGGTAGGGACATGTGAGGAGGGGGGAAGGGTGGCAGGCGTTTTGTTTTGTTTATTGTTCGGTTATCTTTTCAAGCTTTTGGATAGCACGCTTACGTCTCCTAATGAATTCTTGTGTTGTCGACGATTCAGCTCCACATTTTCTGAACTCGGTCTCTCGGCATATAAGGCTCTGGCTCTTCACCGTTTTCTATTCGGGAGTGGGAGCTTTTCGCAAGACAGGGAGGCAACCCGAGGCAAGACCGCTAAGCGCCTATCCTCAAAACACCCCACCATGAAGAAATTTAGTGCTTATTCTACTGCAACCATAGCCCGCGCGGTTCTCAGCCTCTCGTTTGCCCAGCCTTCAAAAGCAGAGCAACTCGCATACACATGGAATGGATCACAAAGGCTACGTGCCTTCTTACCTCTTTTAAGGCATGTACCGGAAGGATACAAGGCCGAAGAGCAGTATTGTAGGTGGCGCCAGCATTCGCATTATCATAAGCAAGAGCGTGGACACGTCCAGGTGGTTGTTGCAAGGCCAGCAGGCTGGCATGCCGCATTACGATGATGCGGTTTAGAGTTGCTGCGTCCATGAACTCATCGGGTGCACTTCAAGTCTGCCAGGTGCGCACTGGGAGCATTCTTTTCATATCTCAGTCTCATCTTGTACGGAGTTCGGTACTAGACAGCATGCATTCCAACATTTCTGTGATAAGCCTCATTCGTGTAAAATCCTATCTTGGTTCTTCTGCCGCGTGTGGCTGATGGAGTATATACGCCGTAGTAAATTCCGGACCGGTAAGGCTGAATCGAGCCACGACGTTCCAGCTGAAAGACCGGATGCGTTCAGCTGAAAGACTAGCCGTGTTCCAGCTGAGGGACCAGATGTCAGATGCGGGGCTCAGCACCCCGAAGAGGAGTATAAGTGATGGGTGTTGGATCGACATTCCCTTTCGACTTCACTCTAGTTTGATCTTCTCTATCAAATCAATCTCATTGCTTACCCAGTTGGACAACGTTCACCTTTGAAAACCAGATCCTTATACCGCCATGACCGAACCAGGGTTTTTCATCTCCATACATAACCAGAACGGTACTGGCATACGCAATAACATATGTGCAACCTGCACGCCTTGGTGGGCAAACTACTCCATCGGATTCGGAGGCTCAAGGGCCGAGATGGGAACTGTTGACACAAGCTTGGAAAAAACAGCCACCCTCCCGGCGAGTACCTCACGAAAATTACTGTGAAGCCTGAGAAGATCACCGAGGATGTGGTTCCAGATTTCGAGAAGCTGTTTGGGCTTGAAGGCGCGGGGGATGGGCAGGGCAGCACGGGGATAGGCACGAGGCTGCAATTGAGCACGAAGGGCTTGACGAATCTCCTTCTAGAGGCGGAGTTGAGTGACAGGGAGGAAGTGGGCGCTGTGCACGTTTTTGACATCGTGCAGACGGATCAGGAGAGTGGCGAGCGAGGGAGGATTAGGATTGCTGCTGTGGTTGTGGAAGGGAAGGGCAAGACCGATTTCGGTGAGGTTGTCAAGTAGCTCGCTGTGCGATATTTGAATACGCAAACGGATCCGAGGCGCTGTCGTTGTCTCGCGGCAACCGGAGCAAGATGCGCAAGGGCTTGGCAACAGACTACCCAGGCGTGTCGCTCAGCCGTTGTAAGCAGGGCATTTGGAGTTGCAACGGATCAGATGTGTGGAGAGTGGAACGAGGAAGCTCTCTCGCTGCAGTTGACTTTGACATAGGTCTCAGCTGAACGAATATCGTGCCAAGTCGATAGAAACTCCAATCTTGTAAAAATATGAGGCACTGTTGCACGGAGTCGTCTATCTAGCCGGGACATGATGGGCATTATCGCGAGCGCGCGTACGGCTTGTACTGTCGCGGTTGTTCAGGGCGATGACTTCGTTGTCAGACTGATACTTGGCACTACATTTTCAAAGACACATGACGACTTGTATACCCTGTGTCCCTCTATTATACCCTGCCTCGGATAGATGCTACTATTTACAATGGGTGCACCTTTCCGAGCGCCTTCTCCTTTCTTCCTCTTTGACGTACCAAAAGTCCATCAGAAACCCCAGCAATACGGCGCGCGATGTCATGTCCCCCCTCCTTTCCAGCACGAGCGTTCGCGCCTCCCATGCACCCAACGCCCCAAGAACGCGAAATCACAGCGGCTGTCGCGAACTACCGCCGTCCCGCCGCAACCGCAGAGTCCTGAATACTCGTCATAGCCAAACTCACCGGCGTCTGCACCCCGGCCCCTGCCCCCGGGGCGGGCGTCGAGCTCCTCGTAGGCACCGCGCTGCGATTGTGGCTCATATGCGCCTTGACCAGATGCCCAGCGGCAAGCGCGCTGCAGAGACTAAGTTCACCCGCCAGCACTGCCGCCGCGACGATGCGTGCAAGTTGGCGGGCGTTGTCGCCCGGGTTGGTCGGGTGCGCGCCCTTAACGCCGAGCAGGTCGAGCATTGCGGATTGGGGTTCTAGGAGGGTGCCGCCGCCTATGGTGCCGACTTCGATGGAGGGCATTGAGACGGAGATTTGGAGATTGCCATGGAGGCTGCGGGGAGGAGTGGGGTGTTAGTGGGGTGGTAGACGAGGGGGAGGGGGAGGGGGAGATGAAGGGAGAGGGGCTTACTTCTTCATAACAGTGATGCAGTTGCAGCTCTCGACGTTCTGTGCCGGGTCCTGCCCCGTCGCAAGGAAGATAGCCGTGACGATATTCGCAGCATGCGCGTTGAAGCCGCCAATGCTACCAGCCATTGCACTGCCGATGAGGTTCTTGCTCATGTTGAGTTCCACGAGGGCGTCGACGTTGCTCTTTAGGACGCTCTGCACGACATCTTTGGGGATGATGGCTTCGGCCACCACGCTCTTGCCGCGGCCGTCTATCCAGTTTATCGCGGCGGGCTTCTTATCGGTGCAGTAGTTCCCTGACACGGAGATGATGGCCATGTCGTCGAAGCCTGCTTCGGTTGACATGACGTGCAGGGCGTGCTCTACGCCCTTGGATATCATATTCATGCCCATGGCGTCGCCGGTCGTTGTTTTGAAGCGGATATAGACGTAGGTGCCGGCGATGGCGGTTTTCATAGTTTGCAGGCGTGCGAAACGGCTGGTGGAGTTGAACGCATTCTTCATGGTCCGCTGCCCATCTTCCGAGTCTAGCCAGACCTTCGCAGCTCCGGCTCTTGCGAGCGTCTCGAAGCCAACGCAAGGGCCGCGAGTCATTCCGTCTCCGGTGAGCACGGTGATGGCACCGCCTCCGGCGTTGATGGCCTTGCACCCGCGACTTGTGCTGGCAACCAAAACACCCTCGGTGGTTGCCATAGGAAGGAAATAGTTCTGGCCGTCTATCAACAAGGGCCCAGCAACACCCAAGGGCAGCGGCATGTATCCGATGACGTTCTCGCAACAAGCTCCAAAGACGCGGTCGTAGTCGTAATGCTCGTACGGCAGCTTCGACTTCTCCAGCAAGCTCGATGTATCTCGGGTCGCATGAGTCCTAGACACAACCGCTCTCCGGATCTTGACAGCCCTGGTCTTGTCTTCCAGTGTCTTCTCTAACGCGTAACCTGGAATCTTGCCCTTTAGCGATAGGTCAATGAGCTCTTCGTCTGTTAGCAAAGGGGCCTGCTTTTCTTTCAGCATAGCCACGCAGTCCTCGAAGGACCGCGACGAGTTTTGCGTAACGTGCGATTCAAGCGGTAGATACCTGTCCTTGACTCCTTGGCTTGACCCGGGACGCGGTACTACAAGGTGACCATTGGCATGCCCATTCTCCTTCTCGCTAACAGGCGCGCCATCCATCACTTCGCTCTCGGCAGGCGGCTGCTTTGGCGGCGAGGGATGCGCAAGATCCTTGATTGACCAGCGAGCCGCGTTGAACAGGTAGCCGTTCAGCACAAGACTTATGGCCAGACCGACAACAATCCATTTGCTCAACACCGGGTCTTCAAAGCTTTTGAGGACGCCATCAACGACCCGTCCGCCCATCCCATCAAGCATGCCGGCATACTCTGTATCGAAGAAAGACGCTGAGTCTTTAGATGTTTCGTAGTGCATCGAAGGGTATGCCAGCTCGTACTTGATCGGAGAGAGCACAGTGACTACAGTCGAGAGCTGACTCTGTTTGGCTGATGCGAAGATTGTCTCCAGTCCGTTTCCAGCTACTTTGAAGGGATCCATTGGCGGCTGAGTGACTACGCTAGATAGTCCCAACATGGCGGTTGGCGTGGTGTTGTTCGCCCCGCCTCGAAAAGGTAGCGTACAGAGGTTCAGGGCGTTGACAATGACGAATCCCGTTACCATGAGGGCCTTGAATTTGGGGACATTGGTGTCTCTGACCTTCCGTCCGAAGACGGTGGTGTCCGAGTCTTGGGTGATTTTACCAGTTTCCGCACCCGTCAAATTGAGCTTCGGCCAGTCGTTGCTTGCAGCTACATTCTCTGCTACTTGTCTACTGACGCCATCGTCTTCCAATGCTCTTCTCAAGGCCACGTGACGTTTGATGCGGTTGATCTCCAGCTTGATTGTCAGAATGGAGGTGTAGAAGGTGAATAGTAGGATGCAGTCGAAGAGAAGGATCCAAGCTCCGAGGAAGCAGAACTGTTTCAGTCCGCCCTGCACGCCAGATGCTGCGCCAGCGACCAGGATCAGAATCTCAACACAGTAATCTCGCACAATCTCAAAACCTCTCTCCTTGACCGCTGCTTGGACCGCATTTTGGATGGTCATGCCATCGCCGTTGTTCTGAGCAGCTTGTCGCCGCAAGTCTAAAGATGCGGACAGCACAGCTTTCGTCAATACGATTGGTTTCTCGAAGCCAATAGTGACCACCAAGAATGGCAAGCCCTCGGATAGGAGGACCATGTTGATGGGAACTCCCAACTTAGTGGTCACTGTCAGACCGAAGAGGAAGGCAAACACTGATTGCAAGAGTACTGTGAAGGCGAGCCAGAAGTTTGAGCCTAGGCGCCGCATTGACAGAAAGAGTGATACAAAAGTCAAATGCATCGACAGATAGCCCAACGCCATGATGATGATATCGAGCGTTTCCGCATTCTGTGAGGTTGGTCAGTCGCCGCAGGTTACAGAGAGAACAAGGTGCTAGCCGCACCTTGATAAGATCCAGAAAAGATATCCAGGCGTTGTGTATGCGACGCTTGAGGCTGCCGGATCCAAAACCATTGCTTCGCACAGCCTTCATGATCCACCTCTTCTTTTCTGAAGACTCATCATCCTCAGCGCCTTCATCGAGCGGCACTGGTATCTCTTGAACGGCCGTGAGGAACTCGGGCGCCTCCGCATATGGGATGGAAAAGGCCAATGTAGTGTCATGAGATATGGTGGACAGAGGATTGGTAGAGCATGGTAGGAGTTGCGCTGACGAGTTTGAGGGTACCGGTACCGCATGCGCAATAGGCGCGGTATGTGAAGGTGTAGAGGAGTCGGGGAAGACGAATGTTACAAGGGCCAGATCCTGGTAGGGCTAGTACCGTCAGCTCCTGACAGTTGGACTCCCGAACCTACGCGTACCTGATTTGACGATGCCTGAGGGGATCCCTCCTCAACATGCCATTTCCAGCCTGTCTCTTCTCCCACGCGAAGTCTTTTGCTCCCAGCTAGGAGTGTGTTGAAGTCCGCCTTGCCAACGGCAGCCTGCAGCGATGTGGGGGGACTGAATAGTCGGCCATCTAGAAGTCCAATGTATGTAGTACTGGCGAGGAGTGCGACGCAGACTATGGTGTGGATTGGCTGCGAGCAAGCCAGGCCCGAGAACGACTGTAGGACGGGTGATATCTGGCGGTTGTACCAATTGGGTCGCACTGCGGGGGAGGAAGTGTCTGCGCCTCGAAAGCGGGCGGGCAGGAAGGAAGCTCCAAGCATGGTGTTTGATGTCTAGAACGAGTGCTTTGGAGTCGAAGCTGTCGAGCGTTGAGCTATGCGATTGAGGTCTACGCCGTGAGGTGGTCCTCCAAAAAGGCGTATGCGGCGCTTTGGAAGGCCCACAACGCCGCAGACGTCGCGAACAGCGATATGGAAGAGAGGCAACGGTTATGGCTGAAGGGGTCTAGTGACGGGCAAGCCCGTGGGCGATTAGGGGTGTGTATTCGAGTGTTGCGGGACGGGTGATGAATGCGGTTCTCCTGCTATTACTCGTAGTGGCAGGAGGGATACTCAAAAACTCGCAGATAGAAGATCCGCAAGTGCGATAAGCCGCACGAGCGACGCCATAGCCATGCCTTTTCCAACTTCCTCGCTTTGCCTCCTCCTCCTTTATCCCTGGACAATTTGCCGTTTCGCAGATTGCCCAAGATTTTTCGAACGCTAGAGCCGGCCAAGAAGGAGCATGATTGGTGCTACAGATCCTTCACCGCCTCAGGAACACACAAAGAAAATCCGGGGTAGAACGCTCAACGGGCCCTTGGGTCGAATGACAGGTTGATGGGATTGGTACGGCAGCGTCTGGCCGCTCCTTCGACCGCTGTCACCTTGCCAGTAACTGTTTTCGGGTTTCGCACGCAAAAGTCAACGTTTGCTCAACAGCAACCCGTGCTAAGACATTTACTGCCGATCGTGTTAAGAGATCCGCTAGGCTCTAGCTCACAACGCCTTTCCATGTCTTGGCTGCCGAGGCAGCTTGTTTCAGTGCAGCCACAACGCTGACGACGATGTACTCGAATACTCGTGCTCGTGGCTGGCGCCTTCGGGATTCTAAGATGCTCGTGACCATGAAGTGGCTGTGGGAAAGCTTGCGTATGCTATTTGAATAGCAACTTCTAAAATTTGTTCTTGTCTATCATGGATTGGAACGCCATCATGCCTATCTAAATGTATCCCCAACGCCGCGCTGTTTCAACCTAACCACGCAAGCGTGCCTCAAGGTACCTTGGCCGACAGAGGCACATCTCCGTTCGTGATCTCCTCAATAAACGCCGGATCTGGGTCATAAAGCATAACATGGAAATGCTCTACAGCGTGAACTGATTTAAGTGATCGCCAGTTCTTGAACCAAATGACCTAAAAACGACCATCAGCTCTGGATTTCTTTGAGAGACGCAAAGTATCACTAACGCGATCTGGATTGACCCTCGTACAGAACGTCTTGTTGACATACTCGTCAATCTGCTCACGAGCCTCAGGCGTCAAGTCGTCTGTTGCGGGGTCGTCCTCAAGATCAAACTTTGTCCAGATGACAAGATGGACAATCTTCTCATCCACGCCGTAGGGCCAGTCGTTATGTAGGATCTTGATGTCCTCTATTCTACCTGTCAGTCTTGACTTTCACATGATCCTACAATCAGAAGACATGGAATCGCCTACCGGGATACACAAAGGGACCACCGTTCGGCGTCAAGTCCAGCCATTGGAGGCGTTGCTTGAGGACAAAGTTCATGATAGATCCATATTGCTTGGTCAACATGAAGGTGTACTTCCGGTACTTGCGAAGATCAGACGGGACGCGTTGGAAGAGATCCGGACGGTTGGCCTCTGTCAACCCATATCAGCGAAGGTAGCTCAACAACGAAGCAGATTGTCTTACGCACCGACAGCTTTCTGTACTTCTGGCCATGTCATGCGATGGTACTCCGAGTCTGGGGTGCCGATAATTCGTTCATCTTTCGTGGAGAGCCCAGAAAGGAAGTCGGGACACTTTGCAGGCCATTCGTCTCGTGGTACGTTCACGAGCCAGAATGGCAGAGGCTCCGATGGAGCGTCTGGCGGCATGACGACCGGCACATGAGTAACGTGAGATGCTTGCTCCTGATGCATCCTTGCTCTTTCTGCAGGTACCAGATCTATTGGAAAATGGCCGAGTAATCTGAACAACCCGACGCGAGTAAGTGCAGGTGGGTGGCTCCGCGGATTTTTTCCTACGGCACGACCATATTGCTATAGTTGCCGATCATATACAAACTCTAAAGCTGTGCTGTCTCCCGCCTTTAACAAAGATGCTCGCGACGTTGAGTTTTAGAGCACACGTCGTTTCAACCTCTTGAGGGAGCTGGACAGTGCACGTTCCCAAAACGCATCTTCCCGGGCCGCAAGCAGCAGCCCGGCAGAGGCTCCACACCCAATCTCGGGCCAGCCACTCGATGGATGCGCTGCAGATGTCTCCCATCTCCGAAGCATTGATTTCGTGCAGCGGCGCGCTCATGATTGGGCAGCCCAGTTTCTCGAAGCCGTGTGGCGCGCCGCGTTGTCGCGGCACATGGCCGACTTCCTGGTTTCAACGCGTCGAATCGCATGGCTGTTCGTGCGCCGTTTGATTGTACTGGGTACATCAGGAGGCTAAGTTCGGTACCTCCTAATGTTCGACCAGCGATAAGACTGGGAGGTATCTCTTTTCGCGTTGCGAGCCTTTCGTCTTTCCTTTCGATGTTGGAAGTCTGAAGTCTCGTCACGCGCGCATCGAAGTCACTCCTTTTTGTTTCCATCGTTGCGTTCCACTCCTTAATACACGATCTCTATTGACGTCCAGCCTAAACCATAATACCGAGTTCTCAAGCTATTGGCAGCTCGCACATTGTCCTTCCTTCACACTGACCGGATACATTCATTACTCCCAAGCCGCCTGTTGTTCATCGTCATCACGCTCTTCAGACTAAAGCGGACCACGATCGCTGTCAACCTACATCCACATTCCTAACCCGCCAACCCCAATCTTTCTACCTACTCAGAATCGCACGTGGTCAACCAACCCACATTCTTCAGTAACCTCCCCATAATACAACACCACATCCGCCTTACCAACGCAAGATCCCGCAACACCAGCTGCGGCGCCCCCAGCGTCGCCCTACCTAGCGGCCCCGAGCTACCAACATCGCCATCCACAACCTGAACAAGACCCACAGCCTCATTCTCCCAACCGCACAATGGCCGTGGTCCGCGATCCCGCCTTCTGGCGCCGCTTCTCCATGGCCGTCCACATGGATGAGGAAGCGCAGACGCAATCGACCTCCTCCTCACCCACGCGGCCGGATCTGAAGCATTCGTACGTATCCCCGCCGCCTCCGCACCCCCTACCAACCCCTAACGCATAACTACAAAGCTGATCCCCCGGCACTCCACAGAGACTCCTGGCTCTCGCGCCAGGAAAAGAAACGCTCGCGCCGCACCTGCATCTGCTGGATCTTCTGGCTGTGCTTCTTCAGCTTTGTGGCTGGGCTGGTCATTGTGATACTGTGGCTCAAGACTAGCGGAATACTCGACAGTATTAAGGTGGGCCAGCAGGATGCTGCGAAGGGGGACTGAGATGGTGATTCGGATACGGATTGGGGCGCGTGCATGACGATGACAAGATTAATGTGTAAAGAGCGCGGTCGATGGGGTTGGAAGGGAAAGATGGAGTGGATCAGGCGGTTTATAGGAAGTGAGGCGGGCAGGGGAGGGTTGGAAGGGGTTGAGCTGAGTGGCTTGGTTCCGCGTATGGATACCCTTTTATTGTACGGCGGTAACATGGATGGTGCCATGATGCTAGACAAATATGTTCTCCGCTTTCCGGAGGCGTACGTTAAGCTACCCATCTTGTCTGCCACGCTAGCGATGCGCCGGGATGGCAAGCAATTACTTCTGAGTGTGAAAGCAATAAATGCCAATTGCGTGGTATCTAAACCTGAGTCCTTTTCCATCAACGCCGTGATATATGCAGTGAACCGCCAAAAGAGTCAGAGCCCAGCCTCAAGCCGCAAACACTGAGGCGGATAAACACTCCACATGTTGTAATCGTAGCCGTCCAAATCAACCGCATATTCAATCCACAAAGGCTAGCTCCCCACAACCCCTCATCCCCTCTTCCTGGTCGGCTCCGGACTGGGACTCCGACTCGCACTCCTATCATCCCTCCCCCTGGCCCTCAACCACTTCTTCGTCGCAAGCTCCAGCTCTCTATCTAGCTCAGGACTCGGTTCCTTGCGATGTATAAAGTTGCAGAACCCGCCGCGGACGCATCCCTCGCCGCTGTTGAGCCTACAACACGCTTCCCGGAAATCTGTGACGGGCGACAACTCGCAGTAGATGGGCCGCGCGGCGTACCAGCGCGAATTCAGCGCGTCGCAGGCTTGTTGCGCGGAATCTTCGTATTTGAAGCGCGCGTAGACGTTGCCGATGAGGTCTGTTGGACATCTTTGTTAGCACATATGCTCCACACCCTGTCTCGGGCTCTTCGGAGAGAGGAGAAAGGGGGAAACTCACGATCATTGTTATTATCACAAACTACAACCTCTTCAATCTCGCCGTACTTGCACATCTCGCACCAGAAGTCCTCATAGAACGCATCGAAGTGGTTCTGGAGCTGCGACGCGTTCATCTTGTTCTTGGGGTCGTAGGCCGGGTTCTGGTATAGATTCGGTAGGAGGATGGTCTGGGAGTAGGAGGGCTTGACGTGTTTTCGTGAGCAGCGGTCGCCGTGGCGGCAGGCGCCGATTTTGTAGTAGAAACTGCAGTTGACCTCTGTGATATATTAGTGCTAGATTCTTCAGATAACGCGCCTGGGTGAGATTTGCTGTCTTGCTCAGTCCCGAAGATGGACGCCAAATAGTTCGCCATGTCGATGTATCTAGATGCTGCGTTGAAGGGTGGATGTAGAGTTGAGGCGCGCCTCGAAGGGTGTGTTGGAGACGGGCGAGGTGGAGTTGAGAGCTGAGGCCTCGCAGAACGTCGCTAGAAGCCTAGATGGAGACTGGTACAGTCGAGAAGGCGATTTGGCTCCGCGATAGCGATTGTATGCGACAATTGCGAGAGCTGTTGTTGAAGTCGAGCGGTTTGAGGCGCAAAGGTTTGTAAAGTTACAGCTCGTAATGTTATCTTCGCTGCTGACAAACACGCCAATCATCATAAGAAAGCGGATTCGAGATCCTTCTAGCCTCAGGCATATCTCCATCGTTCCTCTAAGGGTCGTCCATACCCTACGCTGCCGCAGTCAATCTAGAGTACCCGACCTAGAAGTGGAACGTTGAAACGTGCATTGCAGCTCAAGGATCTCCTGGGTGATGGATGCATGAGTCCTCTACACTGCTTGATAACTCGCCGTTCTCGTAGCATAGAGTTCGTCCAAAGTCTCGTCCTTCAACATTGTCAAAAGTGCAGATCAGCTGTGGCTCTAGAAAGTGTCCTTCGGCCTTCGAACTAACCCCGCACGCGAGCGAAAGAAATCGCCTGGGCTCGCCAATCGCCGGACTTCCAATTCACTCCTAAATCCCTAAAATCCATTAAACTCACCAAGTTCCTAAAGGCCTTTACCCCAGCCGTTCCACCTCTAGTTGTAGCTTGAACACACTCATAAGGTAGTATACTATGAGGAGTTGCTTCTATTCGTGACCTTTCCTCAGCTAACTGAAGACCTGTCTGCTTTGGAGTCCGGCGATTTTTGTCACCCGCGTGGCCCGCCCACCGTAAACTCTGTCAAACGCAATATACGGCGGTCGGGCTGTGCTCGCCTCCATCTGAACGCAAGAGGCTCCGTCTAACTCAGATCTGAGTCCAGCAGTTGTCAGTTCTAGGGTAGAAATAGCTTCAACGTTCTGACGATCAAGAACACCTTTGTGATTATTATTGTCTCCTCTGCTGCAGCCAACAATCTGACATAGTTCGCAACTACGCGGTTCACCGCTTGACCGACATAGTCACAGCTAAATGGCTTCCGTTAAGCTGTATATCGGGGGCTCAATCTAGCCAAGTACCTTGAGCAGTATCACGCACTAGACATTGCCAACTTATTTAGGCTCACCTTCGATCTACAATAGACGTGGGAGGCTTTCCCTAGCCCGGACGTGAGTACACAACGATGGCCGCGACTTTCATTCACTTTGTCATGTGAACCGGCTTGAGCGCGATATTCGATTTGCTCGCAACACAATCACATAAACAATTATCAATTTCCGCTTTTTTTGCAGGATGTTCCATTGCGGATGCGCCGCTGACCAAGCGAGCATGTTCAGCTATAAGCACTAAGGCCTGTTGGTTATTACCCAACTGATCAGGTCAGACATTGCGTTCCCACCAGCGTACTCATTGTCTCCACTCTTACTACCCAAGATGGGGACTCTTGGCTCCGTGCTCTGCACGCCCACAACACGTGGCGCCGGTTCTCCGGTCCACGTACCCCAGCACGGCCCGCCATCTTGGCCAGGGAAGATGTCGTTGAAGTGCCCGAGTACGGAACCGGTACGGCCGTTCCAGGTATGATCATCCTTGCTGCTGATAATACAGCCATTCTGGAACGCCGGACGCTCGCCACTGTTGAGATCAGCCGGATATCCGATGGTCTGCCACACAGCTTGTCCGTTCCAGGCGGCGTCGTACGGGCGGTGGCCTGCAAAGCCGCCAACCTTGTCGTTGATCGTGTCGTGGAGTACCAAAACGGCATAGTCGAACGCAGTTTGTTCGTCGGTCAAAGACGGGCCGGTGATCTCGCGCCAGGCAACAATCTGTCTGGCAGCGAACTCGCCCCACGGGCCGCGTCCGTCGTAATAAGCTGGCGTGAACGTCGCCCATCCGATTCTGCCGGCCGAATCCCGCCTCCAGTTGATGGCGTGCGAGGCTGTGAGTACATGGCGTGGCCCGACTACGACACCAGAGGCTGAGCCACTGGCAGTACGAATTTTGCCGACCAGGGACCAGGGAAACCTGCTGTCCGCAAACGTGTAGCGCTCGTCCGGCAGGAAAACGACGCTCGGCTTGTTCTTGGTGGTCTCAATCAAGCCTGCCATACCGGTGCCTGGAGGAGTCGCCGAAGGCCTGGCTGTGAACGAGAAGGCAGGGAGACGTTCGCCCAGAGCTCCATCAGGCTCAGAATCCTTGTCCGATGTTTCCTTAAGCGATTGCTCCTTGTCCAAGAGGATCACTTCAACTGGATCGAAAGGTTGAAGGACGTCGAACTTGGGCTTGACTCTCTTGCCGGATTCATCCTCGGCCGGTATGTCCTCCGTAATATTCTGGGGCTCGGCAGCCATTTTTCTTGAGCGCTAAGAGTATTGAGCCGCTGAGCGTGAACGAGGAGTAGCCAAGGAAGCAGACAAAGCTTATATATGTGGCAATGACAGAGACAGGATAGAAGATCAAAACTTAGAAGATGCAGAGAACCGTTTTGTTCTTATATAGCTTTTCTGGTGCAAGGAAATCGTATACCTATGTACTCTTGGCTTCAGCTGGAGCGTCAGCTGAGGGGTTCTGGTCGGGTCAGCATGAGCACCGAGAGAAGGCGGCTACAGGTCAGATGAAGGCGTCTCGATCTTGAAACACAGTGGAATCTCTTGGGTGGTTTCATGCTCCGTCAGCTCGTGGCTTAGAAAATCATTGGCCGAAGCCTTGGCAGAGGGACTTTAGCAAGAGGAGCCGTAAGAGGTGAATGAAAGAGGTCATAGCCTAGGAATGTACTAAAGGTTTCATCCCCGTCTTACACGCCTTGCCATGCTCTCGCGGCTTATTCACGCGTGTGAATTCTAGTTGAAACCTTGACTGAGAGGAATCATGATCGAGATCCGGAAGAAGGCCGCGGAAAGGTCAGATGAAAACATCTCCGTCATGGAACACGGCCAAGAGTTTGAGCCGAGCTGACTCGTTACAACAAGGCGGCAGAAGCCGATTTACCTAAAGGTATAGCTGAGGGAATATCGTATTCGTAAGAGGGAACAAGCTGGCATGAAGCTTTTGCGTACACAATCTGCATACGTGGACGTAGGTTGATAGGGCCTTCTTTGTATCATAGGTTGAACGTCAGATGCAACGGAGGACAAGAATGATGTAGACGGGCTAAAAACCTGCTCCTGCGGCTTGTGTGCTTTTTCTTAATAGTGGTAGCGATCCATGTTTCCCAGCAGCACGACTCTAAAGTCGAATCGGCACGTGCGGAGAGCATGGTTACATAAGCGGCTTCAAAGAGTCACACTCTTAAATATAACAGAAGGATGTTTGGAGCAAGAAGCATCTGCCTTCTGGCACCACTAGTAAGATCAGAAAATGATGGCTTCCGCTATCGAGTCAGCATTAGAGCCCGCTACTAACCAGTCCACCAATACACAAAGCGATGTCGTCGACCCCAATAACCGGATCGCGGTATGTGAAACTCATCCCACATGGTCAGTATCGCGGCTCGAAATACTTACCAACGGTTTATTAGCGCATAGAGCATTCTGTCCCAATTTGGGCGCAGGAACAATTCACAACGTGTGTGGCGAACGCATTGTACGATCTAGCAAAAATGTTGTTAAAGGCCATTGTGAAACGCTCCGGAGAAGACTACGATCCGGATGAGGACAGATCAGTTGATCGTATCATTCAAACCTCACAAACTGTATCCGAGGAGCAGCTGCAGGACTTCAACGTGCCTGTTAAATATCTTCGGCTGCTTCGATTGTTTCCAAGTGTAAGCTAGAAATTTTGTACCTCTGATACAAAGGTTCTAGCAGACTAATCTCAATCTAGATCATCCACAAGATCAGTAGGTGTGGCACCGGTGGAGAATTCGCTAGATTTCTGTTGGAACACTACCGAAACAAGAAGATTTTCTTTCTATGGGAGGACATCTTCCCTATTATTTACGGAGGAGATATCGTAGAGGTTGAGGAGAGGGACGAGGGACCATGGACTATGTTGTTACACGGGTTTCCTGAAGAAGAAGTTGGTACATAAACAATATGCATCTGCTTTAGAGGTAGCGACGGAAGAGATCTGGCAGCTTGCGAATGGTATCGGGAAGTGAAGGTTGGACTTGGAGCTCTTGAAGCATCTTAGCTACTTGCGATGGGACAACGCTTCTTTGATTGTGATACGACCATCATATCCACGCATCATCGTGAAGTGAGTGATATCGTGAAGTGAGTGATATCGTGAAGTGAGTGATATCGTGAAGTGAGTGATAAAGCTGGTGAGCCTATTGCAACTTACAACCCAGTTCTAACTCGTGAGTCTTCGCACCGCTAGTGTTCCAGCTCCCACCTGATGTCGTAACCGGAACGCGATATCAAGACAAGATGATGTCCTTGATCGCTCAGTCGCAACGTCCACCGTAGCCTTGCCACTCATGGTGCCATGGACATACGCATCACCGACGAGGCGAAAGCTGCAGTCCTCCTTCTTGCGCAACACATGAGGCACACACGAGCCGAGAAAAATACAGACAATGTCTTCCACATGAGCAACACGAGGTGCCTGACCCACGCAGCCAGAAGAAGTTACACACACTCTCCTTGTCTCGTACAAGCCTGCAACCCAAGCGTCTTTCTTCGCAGGGTCGCGGCAAATAGCGCGGAGCAGCTATTGTGCTTCCAAGTCAGTTGGTTTTATCTTCGAGCCGACTTCGTATACTCTCCGCCTGAGCTAATGGTTTTCTAGGCAGTCATCCATCTCCGCGGACGTGTAGTCACTGCAATCACCATGCAGTACTCTCCATCTCGCTTCGTCGATCGACTGACCCGAAGGTGTACGAAGTGCCGCCGTGTACGGTGAAGCAGTGGGCGATAATGCACTGAATGTTTCATCAAGCTCCTTCCAGACGTCCTCCACGTCAGGAATCTGGCCGAACACCGCATCGTACTCGGGTGTGAAGGGCGATAGTTTGGTCTGGCCTTCAGGCAGGCGTATGCCTTGATTGATGGAACCGATCAGTCTAGGCAGGTCTTGTAGTGCTGAAGCTCCTCGCCCAAGTAGACAATCGTACGCCGGGATCTCTGGTAGATTCGCCGCATCAGCACGATTTGTGTGCTTTTCTCCTTTGTATCGTTCTGGTTAACGCAGACCGCGTCTACCCAAACGTGAAGGCGCTGATGCGGGTGTCGTATCGACCTCAAGGCTTGTCCAAGATGGGTGTGATTGAGGGGAAGAAGCTCTTCACGTCTCCGCTAGCCGCCTGACGCTGGAGTCAGAGCCTATCTGTCTTCTCGAGGGTGTCCCACGTGTAGGAAAGAGCATTGTAAGTGAAAGACCCGTCTTCCAAAGGCATGAGCGCGAGAAAGCCCTCTAGTATGTCTTCCTATGTTCCAGGTTTCAGCATAAGAACGTGGATGGTGTCGGCGGGATTCATCCCAGGCTCGCCGTAGGGGTAGATATCTGCCTGTATTTGCTGGAATACAGTTCCCCAGTCCGTGCCTTTGTCTTGCATGAACTGGGTGATGCCATCGACGTTCCTTGTTTCCAACATATAGAGAAGGCACTCGATATCCTCCATGCTCAGCAAATGAGTGAGGCCGTCAATGTCCCCGGTGCCTAGTAGGCGGACCAGGCGGTTCATCTCCACCACTGTTGGCATAATGAAACGTCAAGGGTGTCTTGTTAAGATCATAGAGGTGACTTGAGATTAAAGAGCGTGATCAGAGAGCAAAGGCAGATGATCTGCATTTCGAAGTTGAGCCCCTTCCCACGCCAAGAGTAAGAGGGCTAAATATAGTTGCACAATCTACTTTTACGAGACGTTGAACCATCGACAAAATGGTGCCCTCAATAAACTGGCTCTCTGCTGCGGCTCTTTGAGGCGGCCTGGACGTCCAAGCCTCGTCTGCGCCACTTATTGGAAGGACTTTCCTTGCGGACAGCATGTCCAGGCGAACAGGATGGCTAGATGGTGGCATACCACACGCCAAAGCAGGCTGTTGTAGCTGTATGGCGGATAAAAACCTGTACCCCGGCGGACTTCTAGTGCTGGGACAAGCTGCCCAGGTATGCCATAGAGATGTAAGCTTGATAATGCGACGGAAGAAGCTGCGTTGTTTTGCCTGCACTCTGCACGTGCTCGATCACGTGCATCACCAAAGCGGCTGGTCACTCCGTACTTAGAACATTTGACGGCGGGCTTGACCGAGAGAAAGTTAAGTCGTACTGTACCGTCAGAACTGTATCAGCCTTTGGGGTAAGGTACGCTGTTCAGTAGCCTGGCTTTTTGCAATGAAGATGTCCAGCGTCTCAATCCGAGGTTAGTCTCAAGGCAACGGGTGCTGCTGCCTAAAATCTGGGTTTCACCTTGTGCTGTCATTCCTCACAAAAGCCTCCTTGGAATCTTGAGAGCTTGGTCTGGATTAAGCTTGCGCGATTCATCCGTCATCACCATACTGGAACATATCAAAATGGCCTCTGCTGATCAACAAGTCTTCCTCCTTGATCTACCTCTCGAGCTCCGCAATCAGATCTACGGAGAACTCTTCTTCCCGTGCGGGAAAGAGCCTGCGGAGCTCATCCAGGACGCACTTGGGCTTGCACGCACGGCAGTCCGCCAAATCTTCCCATACGACGTCAGTCTCCGCAAGAAACCCAGATTTGATACCGCCATTATCCGCACCTGCAAGCAGATCCAAGACGAAGCCGAGGAGGTTCTCTATGGAACATCCTCATTTAATCTCATGTATCCAGACTGGAGCAATAACGTCAAAGTCTCGTATAAGTTTCTCGAATCTCTCGTGCCTCGAAACCGAAAGAGAATTCGCAGGATAGAGAGGAAGTGCTACTCGAAGAGTGACCGGGACACCATCTCACTCACGGACTGGAAGCTTTTCATGACGTTCCTAAGCAGAGAGTGCCCGAATCTCATCTCGCTGAAGCTGTGGGGTCCTGGTGACCGTCACGAGGCGCCTCAGTGGATTGAGAGCTGCCAGCGGGAGAAGGAGTGGGTACAAGCGATATTGCAGATCAAGACACTGAAGCACTTTGATGTTCCTGTCATCAAGGGTGGCATCATTTACCAATACCCGGAGTTCACTGGCGACTTCCTCCCGTGGCTGAAAACTACGCTTCTCCAGCCTGCCAAGGATCACCCTGCAGCGCAACTGACGCAGACCGACAACGTCAATCGATCTCCGCACCAGCCGTTTCCATTGATGAGGTTACCAGTGGCCATACGTCAGCGCATTTACGGCCATGCCCTTCTGCCGCCATCGAAACATGTGCATCCGTACATCCGGCCATGGTACGACCAAACGACTCGCAATCTCATCCCCCTTCTTCGAACATGCCGCCAAGTCCGCGAAGAAGTCGAAGAAGCTTTCTATAGTACGGCTGTATTTACATCGTTGAAACCCATAAAGTACGATACCGGCCTTCTCCACTTCTTCCGCGGTACACAAAACGCCCTGAGGACTGTAAAACAACACGACGGGCTTCCACTACGATTGCGTGGGCTGATTCGGCATGTACGAGTCGAGAACGCATGGTCCATACGATTCTATCTGCTTCACTTCCTGGCACAAGGAATCGAAAGCTTGCAAACCCTTACGTTGGTCCTCGATAACGATAGCGTCGACGACTTAAATGCGCTCTTCGAGGGTGGTATGCCACGGCCATGGGACCCTCAAGACCGTTTATCTAGGATTTCCCCCGGAAGGCGTCGGTATTCAAAGCTCTGGTCGAGAAGGTTTTTAAGGCAACTGGCTAGGATACCGGGCGTCAGGATCATGATCGCCGAGGGAAGAGCGCTTCATCCGGATGTTAGACCTTACCTTGAAACAGGTCTGAGGAGTATCTATCTGAGTAAAGAAATTGATGTGCTGGAAGCTTGGATTATCGACGACCAGCCTTTAGGAGGGAAGGAGGCAGAATAAACTGAGCCTGAAAGCAATAGCGATTCTGAATCGGACACGAACGAGTAGGTGAGGTACAGGAAATGCTCCGAGACGTGGAGGCCAGTACGACTGAATGAATATCTAGTTATAGCCTTTAGAGTTTTAGGGTGGATGAAATTCGGACATACGCTGAGCGTCGCTTGGAATCATACCATTCTGAGCTTGATACCTATCAGCAATAGCAACGTCTTGTTATAGCCAAAGCGGCGAATTGTTCGCATGAACGTTCCGACAAGCGTCAATAGTTAGCAATCCGCTATGAAAGTGTAGAACAAGTCAAGGCTACATTCCTAACAGCTGCCACCATTGATGTACAGCTCTCAAAAAATCTCGACAATGTTGTCCAGAAAGTTGGATGGACGAACCGGCTCTTGCCAGAAAGCATAACCGCCGGCCAAGGCGAGGCTGAAAACCTCCGCGCATAAGCGCGAGCGCTGCGGCCACTGACCGCAAAAGCCACACACATAGATGCAAGCAGCTACGTCAGAAGAACGCGGCAGTTCTGTCAGGCGAAGCACAGTTCGAAGGATTGGAATGCCTAACATCCTGAGACGTAGGCATGATGGCTGTGGTAGAAATTCTTGCGGCTAGGAGATCAGAATAGAAGTTGACACGGATGTCACGGGATCACGCTAAACTCGTTCCTTCCTCTTCAACCTCACAGCCTCATCCGTCAAAACACCATCGCAGGTACTTCCCTGTTGACAGCACTACAACAACATGCATCCTGGGGTCAATTGTCATATCCATCTCCATCATGACCCGGTCCGCCTGCTGGAGCTTGAAGGCCACCGCGCCCAGAGACGTCCGCTTAAAATGCGTCGGCCTAGCGATAGACGGTCGTCCGGCGCCTACGTGCATCTCTCCGCCGCTTGAGATTGGAGAGACTACCAATCTATAAATTTCCATGTCTAGCGTGCAGAATGTGCCGCAACTGACGGTGAGGTCAGTCGAAGAAGATCTCCTAAGCTATATCTGCACCGCCTAAGCCTTCGGTTGCTTTGTTTCAGATATTTCTGCGTTGTTTCCATGCGCCGGGTGTAAGCACGGAAGTTTCCACGTATTCTAAGCCTCTATGGCTTTTCAGTACTATTATAGAGACCTGTAGAACCTGATCCGTATTCGTGTGACCAGTCACGAATAGTTTTACCCAACATCTGCCAGACAGTTGTGTTGTTCTTTGTCTATCTCGTTTCCGTGAGACTTTCTCCAATATGCAGGCGGGATCAGCGTCCACACCCATGTCTGACACCGCGGGCCCTACCGTTACGACATCAGACGGTGGAGCCCGCCTGTCAGCTGAGTGGGAGATTGACTTCGGAGGAACTGTACGTCTTGTTGTGCCTGCGGCCGCCATAAAACTTACAGAATATATTAGTTAACGTTTGATGCCTTCGGCACTGTAAATCCCTACCTTACTCCGTATTCGTCTTCGATGGCAGAGTTTCCATCGCCCATGCCAGGGCCTATCAAGAACACTCTCCTCACCGATCCGGCCTCGTTGTGGGGGTTTCCGACCTTCGATCCACCTGTGCCCGCAAGGCCTCGTAGCAGCCCAAGCACCTTCTCCTGTCCGCGTGTGGACGAATTCCAGTGGATGAACAATCCTCTTGGTATTCCAGATGCGGACCTACAGCCCGTTTTCACAACGAATACGACTTGGCCGTCCCTCAAGGCGCCTAGTCCTCGTATGCACAGCAGGACTCAATCAGAGATCGCTGCACCCCAACCACGGAGAGTCTACGCTCCGATAGCGCCGAATCCTGCGGGACTACCAAGGACCAATGAACTCAAGCGCTTACGCGACGAAGAAGAGCCAACCGAGACAGAGTCAAAGCGTCAGAGACGCTCGGCATCAGTTGCGCTCTCAGAGTTGGGCGATGAAGACCGACTGCTCCTCAAGCTCAAAGACGAAGATAATCTCCGGTGGAAGGACATTGCCTCTAGGTTCCAGACAGAGCTGGGCAAGACCTACCAAGTACCGACCCTGCAGATGCGGCTCAAGAGGCTGCGAGAACGCTTGCGGGTCTGGACCGAGGTCGACACCGTGGCGCTACGAGCGGCGCATGAGTACTGGCAGCAGTGTAAATTTGAGATCATTAGCGCTAAGGTAAGAATAGAATCTAATTCTACCCTGAGCCAGCCGCGCAGCTAACACACATAGATGAATGAATTCGGATCACACGAGAAGTGGACTGCGAAGCAGTGTGCAAGCAAGTGGCAGGAGCTGCACCCCGTTTCATCGCCTTTCACAGCCTTCGAAGATGTTCCTGGTCCTAGTAACGCGATGAGTCCACTCGAAGGCTCCGGCTCCGGCTTCGGCTTCATCCCGTGCTCGACGTTTCCATGAGCCGCTCACATCGTGAGACGTGTTCTTCAACCTTCCTTGTATGATGTGGCGCACTCCCTTTACGGCCATCGTTTCGCGGTCACTGTACAGTTCATCAGTTGCTTCCCCGGTCTTGATCCATCGAGTCCAGTGTTTAACGCATGTCTTCATGTGTATACTTGTCTACGTTCTCTTACGAAGTCACGACTGAAACGCAGCGATTGCCTTCCACTTTCCAGCACTTTTCAGTAGTCATCTCGATCTTGTAATCCTATAATCCTATAATTTTCGTTCCGGCTCGTGGTTGTTCCGTATGCTCGGGTCACTCCCATTGTTGCCTCAAGGCCTTACTTGCCACTTCTTTTTGCACTATTTCTACCGAACCCGCCGAAGATGTCTATTCAAATGCGCCGACAAGCTCATCGAGCCGGGCGGGCGCTTTAGGTGCTGGGGCAACCTTGCGGCGATCAAACGCCCCTACGGGCGCAGCGGAGGCTGAGGACAAGGATCGGTTGCGGTGAAGACCATTGACTGCTGCCTAAAGCTACCCAAGGTCCCTTAATCCTTCCGTCCACAATGCGATAGAGCTGAAAAGGACTTTCCATCAGAATCTGCATTTGCAGTATATTCACGTCTGAAAGATCCCAATTACGCCATCAATAGATCTGTGAGCAAGCTGCCGCCAAGCTCACAACATACCACAAAGCTGAAGCTTACGTAAGCCGTGCATATTGCATCGAGCATGTATTATCCTCTTCTCTTACTATTCATAGCCTTGTCCTTTGAGTTACGCACCTGGAGAGAGCTAGCTCAGTACCGGCAGCTGAAAGAAGACACGTCTCAGCACCAACAGCTGAAACCCGACGAGGAAATTGAGAGATTACCAGCATCAAAACATCCGACGCGCGTCTGCGAAGAAAAGACGGAAGAACTTCCAATCTTCTATCAAAGTCCAATGGATTATCAGGTAGTCCTCTACACCGGCTATACCACACCCTCAAATCCCCAAACATGCCACTCTCCGGATTCTTAACCGACTCCACCTGCATCGAGTGCGAACACCCGTTCACTGACCTTAACTCCCGCAAAACCCACATATTGGAGACAGGCCACGCCAGCTGTACCTACTGTGGCGAATACACAGGCATCGGTAGTCTTTATGACCACCTATCCGTGTATCATCCGCGGGAGGACTGGGACGATCACGCTGCTGCTTGGACGGACATGCATGCCAAAAGGAGGGCGGCTGAGCGGGAGAAGGCGAAGAAAGAGAGTGAAGAGAGAGGGGAGAAGGAGCTTTGGGGAACAGTGGGCGCTGAGAGGGGAACCTAAGTGAGGGGGCATGAGGAAAGAGAATCGGTGCTTGTGTTGGCGTGGATTTTGAAAAGTAATGGCCGCTGGGTTGCTGAAGGTTAGGTATGGGAAGAGCTCCCGTTGTTTGTTCTTTCGAGACGAGTCGGTAACGGAGGAAGAGTTGGATGTTATTCAATATTATATTCAAAAAAGATCGACTTGCAGTTCCTCCACCTGTTCCTTGAGAAGTCTTTTGTCCCCACTCGATAATGGTGCACACACGTCCGAAGTTTGACTTGAATATGTTCTGAAAGCGCGGGCTTCGATACAATTATTGTCGAGCGGTAGCGACACTCCTGATTATCAACGCTTGCCGAGATGTTCTCCGGGCTCGGCTGCCAGATGCCCGGATCTACCCCACATCGTGCTACCAGAAAGTCTCCACCACTCCACAACCCGAAACCACTACATCAACATGGCTTCCGTATATCAAGTACCCCGTTCGGTACAACAGCACCCTCTAATACACCTTACATATCCGTACCAAGTTCCATAGCACAGCTCAACCCGGCACAATGGCAACCAACGGCTCCTCCAACGGCACCAGCTACACTGTGCCCCTCCTCATTAACGGCAAAGAAGTAACCACCGACACTACCTTCGCCGTCACCTCCCCCGCCTCCGACAAGCCTCTCTGGCAGAGCGCCAGTAGCAGCAAATTCGACGCCCTGTCCGCCGTCTCCGCCGCAGCCGCCGCCTTCTCCGCCTGGTCTAAAACGAAGCCCGCGTTCCGGCGCGACATCTTCCTCCGCGCCGCCGATATCCTCGACAAGCGCGCAGCAGAATGTGCGGAGTATATGGACCAGGAGACGGGCAGCGTGGATGCGTTTAGCAAGGGCTTTAACATCCCGGTCGCGGCGGAGATGGTGAGGGATATCGCCGGCAGGATCAGTGGGGTCATGGGTGCTATACCAACGTGTGCGGTGGAGGGGACGAGCGCGTTGGTGCTGAAGGAGCCGTACGGTGTTGTGTTGGGGATTGCGCCGTGGTAGGTTGTTCTTGCTTCTCTACCATTGCCTCCAACACACCAGCCCACCTCAGCCCACAGGGGAGGTCATGGCAATAGGGGATTTAAGCTCACGGTCTGACCAGGAACGCCCCATACATCCTCGGCATCCGCGCCTTCGCCTACGCCCTCGCCGCCGGCAACACCTGCGTCCTCAAAGGCTCCGAGCTCTGCCCCCGCACCTTCTGGGCCATCGGCTCCGTCTTTACGGAAGCCGGCCTCCCGGACGGCTGCCTCAATGTGCTATGCCACCGGCCACAAGATGCCGCCGAGGTCACAACAGCGTTGGTCGAACATCCCCTGGTGAAGAAGGTCGACTTCACTGGCAGCACAGCGGTGGGAAGCATCATCGCTGCAACGGCGGGCAAGGCGCTGAAGCCTGTGCTTATGGAACTGGGCGGGAAGGCGAGCGCGATTGTGCTCGAGGATGCGGATCTGGAGAAAGCGGCGACGCAGTGCGCGCTGGGCGCTTTCCTGCATGTGGGTTGCTCCACTACCCGTTCTCGCAGAAACAACTGCTGACTTGCTGTAGAGCGGCCAAATCTGCATGTCCACGGAGCGTATTCTGGTGCACAGATCTGTCCTAGAACCGTTCAAGAAAGCCCTCTCATCAGCCATCTCCAACATCTTCAGCGACTCACAACCCGCTCCTGTCCTAGTCACTTCCGCAGGAGTCGAGAAGAACAAAAAGCTCATCTCCAACGCCCTCGACAAGGGCGCCTCGCTCGTTTACGGTGATGCCCAGGCCCAGGAAGCCTCAGCAACGCGTATGCGCCCCATCGTAATTGCCGACGTAACAAAAGACATGGACATCTACCACACCGAGTCCTTCGGACCCTCCGTGTCGCTGATCGCCGTAGACTCTGAAGACGAGGCCGTCGAGATGGCGAACGATACCGAGTACGGGCTTTCGGGGGCCGTGTTTACTGAGAATCTGGCTAGGGGGCTACGGATCGCGAGGAGGATCGAAAGTGGGGCGGTGCATATCAATAGTATGAGCGTGCATGATGAGGCGAATCTGCCGCATGGAGGCGTCAAGAAGAGTGGGTGGGGGAGGTTTAATGGGATGTGGGGCTTGGAGGAGTTTTTGAGGACGAAGACTATTACATTTCAAGAGTAAATTGAGGGAAGTCGTGCGGTGTGGGAAGGTACGGGCTGAGGCTCGCTTGCTGTAAAGACTCCTAGTGTTCCAGATGGGCTGCTCTCAGTTATCGGTATCTTCTTCAGAGTCTTGTAAAGGCGTCCTGGTAGAGTCTTGGGGATGACGAGTCTCAGCGGCTAGAGGGAATGACATTACAATTCGAATGTGTGCCTCTCGAAGCAAGGGAGGACCCAAAAAGTACGTAACTGCTGCTGAGTCCTTGTGTACGGCGTCTCGCCCAACGGAAGGCTTTGGAGCCATACCCAAGCGCGCCAAAGCTCAAGCTCCGAAACATCGGAACCGGATTGAAGATGCAGCGACTGTCAACCACCGCTCTTGCTTCGTGAGCCGCCCCTTTCTCTCCGCATTCGGTATCCTCTTTCACGGCCTGGCAACGACAGCCACTCTACACACTCCCGCTCTTGACAGCGCTGCACCGCTGCCGCAGCTCCCTACAACTTCGCCCTCTCTCTCCCCTCCCCCTTCAACAACCTCTCCACCGCCTCGACCCCCGCCCTCGCAACCTCCTCATCCTGCGCCGGCGTCCCCGTAGAACACCCCACCGCGCCCAGCACCTCCCCCCTAGAATTCTTGATCGGCACCCCGCCGCCAATCGTAGAAAAGCGGCCCCCATTAGTATTCCAGATCCCGAACGCGGCTCCTCCAGGCCATACGGCCTCTTTGTATGTGGAAGTAGGCACACGGTGGCCTGCGGCTGTGAAGGCCTTGTCGATGGCGATGTGGATCGAGGTCAGTTTTGCGCCGTCCATGCGGCTGAAGTGCAGGAGGTGGGTTGAGGCGTCTACGACGGCGATGTTCATGGGTACGTTTATGGCTTTGGAGTGGGTTGCGCAGGCGTGGGCGGCGGCTTGGGCTGCTTCGAGGGTGAGGGTTTCGATGGTTTTGGTGGGCGCCATTGCGTGTGGATTTGAGGGACTCTCTGTCCGGTGGATAATTGATTGGAAGGTTGGACGGGGCGTGGGAGCTACATCGTGGGTCGAGGGTGTGAGATGGTGAGGGCGCCGCGTTTCCGAGGTTGTTCGGGTCCATGTGGGATGTCAGGTGATCAGGTCAATTCTCTCTGAGCATCTTCACCTCGAACTGATTTGTGGTTTACCCGATTGTTTCAGTCACACCATCGATCCTTTGGTTCCGTTGCAACATGGCCCGAAATTCCATACAGTGGAAAGGGCCTCGATGACGTATGTGCGAATATCCTCCAAGTTGTATTCCGCACTGGCAGACGATTCCAACAACTCCAGAGTGCACAAGCTCCGTCCGCAAAGCACGAAGCACGCCACATGCGGCCAGCTTATGAACACAGTATCCAGCAATAGTTTTATGAGCTCCGGGAGCGTCCTCGAAGCCATAGGTCCGGATATGGCAACGCCATCCAACCCCGTCAAATGAACCTCCGATGGCCCTGATAACCACTTCGACGACAGAAATCTCGCTCCTGTATTTTCATCGCAACCAGCGCTGTGGCTTGGGAAGCTTCTCGTGGGTGACCTTAAAGCCCTGCTCGTCATGCACCTTGTTGCAGCGAGCCAAGCGGCACACTCGATCAGCGCCTGGTCTGAAAGCCGGGCACAAAGATCTTACACACTCCTTGCCGGTATCGGCAGACTGACAGTTCGTGCACGGCTGGCTGTTGTCGCAGACGAGACCTGCTCTGACGCATTGATGACATACAAGTACGCGCGGTGGAGGACTGGTTGGAGAAGTTGCGCCGATGGACGCAGGAGGAGTTTGGATTCGGCTTGCCAATGATGGGGTGGTCTGACTTTGGCTCTGGCTCTGGCGTGCCTCAAGCTTTGTCGAGGCGCCACGAATCGACAGTGAAGGCTCGCTAGGACTGGTGATACGAGACTGGAGAGTCTCGTTCGAGGCAGCAGAGTCGTGCCTAAAACGTTTTGGTGAGGTTGGTGGCTGAAACGTCTGAGTTTCACTCGGCCTCTTCGGGGGCCGCGCCTGTACCTGAATAGCGCTCGTGATCTGCTGCATGCGCTCCTGTAGATCTAGAAGTTCCGCCTTGCAGCTCTTGTTGGCCTGAAGCTCCATTTTTGTTGCTTGGACCTCTGTCCTAGCCGCTTCAAGCTCTAGTCTTGTAGCCTGGAGCTCCGTTTGACAGGATCGGAGCTCAGCGGCAGAAGCTTGCTCTTTACGTGTATGGCGGGTTTCTGTGGTAGCAAGAAGATCTTTGAACTCTTGGACACACTCCTTGTCGTAGCTTGCCGTGTCCTGAAGCTTTCGCACCTGGGATTCGGAGGCATCTAATGCTCGGCTCAGGTTGTTGTACGCCTCTTGGAGACCCTGAGCCTTAGCAACTGCACTGTTCCGCTCCGCCTCGAGTCTTTCGGCTCGGCCACCATCGTTCTGCTGCCGGATCCGGACATTTGCTGCATCCAGCCTGCGATTTAGATCGGCGTTTGCAGCTTGTAGCTGTTCCACTCTCGACTCTGCCCTTCGGTTTTCGTCCGCAAGTTCCGAAATGCGTTTCCTGAGGCCCCAGCCTTCAGATCTTCTCGCCTTCAGCTCTTCCATGACTGTTCTACTGACACTGTGCATCCGTCGTTGAAAATCGACGACTCCTTCCTCAAGTGACTCGAGCTCAGCAAGAGCGTCGACGTCGTGCGGATGCACCATTCTAGATTCCCGTGACTGCGACATTCGTGCACAAGCGGTTCTTAAGGCCGTACGTTTGCTATCACGTGAGCCTGATTGCGAGGTGTCAGTAGAGGTGATATCACGCTGTGACTGTCTCAGTTCTGAAAGTGAACGGACAAGATCTTTGCCGCTCCCCGCCTGCCTTTGTGAGGTTGCGGCTGGAAAGTACGTGAGTGAGCCAGAACTTTAAGGCCGACTGCGCTGCACAGGTCTCAGGAGACAAAGCCGAGCTGTTTGACTTTGAGTGATGTATCTGTCTAAAAATTGCGGATAGAGGCTTTGATGCAGGTGGACGTATAGAAACAGTATAGATCTTCAGAAAAGTCAGGTACTCACAGCTCTGGTCAGTATTGCACGACAGCAGATTAACACCAAGAAGTCCCAGCAGAGACTTCTCAGCTGTGGAGCCTTAGCCTGGTAGTGTAAGACTGATTGGTAGTCGAGATTATAGGCTTTGTGGTGTTCTTAGGTAGAAGGATGGAGCTGCCCGTCCACGAAGATCCTGTGTTGACTTCGCATTCACTGCGCCTTCAAGCACGCAATACGGAGCTCTTCGCCAGCGGTTAGTGAACAGCCTTGCTCCCGCAGTGACAATATATTCGGGGGGCGCCGCTGGTCAAGCCGCGAATACCAGTAGCTGATATTTTGACCCCGGTCAGATCTCGGAGCCTGTGACTCGGCTCTTCAGCATGAAGGTATTATATGCGTATAGCACGGGCCCGATTTCAAACATTGTGGGTGAGTGACGGGAGGAAGTCTGGATATACGGAGTATGTGGTAACGAGTTGGAGTAGCGAGAGGGAGGCAGGCGGACCCGAGCTGGCTTGGCAGCGCCGTGGAGGCAGGGGTACGTCCAGAGAGCACAACTTCCGACTACAACTCTCCCTCAACAACAAAACTGTCAACTCTTGTGGCATCTCCTTGGGATGCCACAGTCAACTTCAGATCATCCAAGCTGCAACATGGTCGGTTGGTCGGTTGAGAGACTGGGGGCACTCGCTCTCACACCCCACATGCTTTCATGCCCGTACACAGATCATTCGCTTTCTTGCCAATTGCCAGCACCATGGCTTATGAGCCGCTGATCTAGCGGTATGGTGGAGCGTCTCACGGCGACCAAATGTCGTACTCCTCCCAAGTGAGGGGAAATACTGCTTAGTGATGCTGCGCACAGCAAGGCGGTCTTGCCGTCAGTTGCAAAGGCGCAGACACTACGCTATCGAAGCGCTGGAGTGGGTTCAGTCCGAAGTAATCTGACTGACTACCTGAACAGAGAGCGGTGCTGACGAGAGGGGCTGGCTAGTTAGCACGAGGCTACATTAGCATCCTGGAGGCTTCCTGTATCCTGTTGGCGTTCGAGCTAAGTAGTCGTCTCTGACTGCTCGATTTGGCGGGGACTGATAGAGACTTCCTGCTTTCTGCTTCTCAGTCCGCCAACTCACCGCTCGTGCTGCTGTGAAGTTTAAGGGTGTAAACCGCCATTTGAGACGTGATGATTACCTCGCAAGCACTGAGGAGATGCTGCCGTTCTCCATGTACGTTCCGAGTGAGACACTGTTCTTCCCCGCATTCGACTCGATTTCTCCCTCTTCGTGAGACAAAGCTCTGTGCGCCAGGTTCTGTCCCGATGCTGCAAATTTGTTCAGGTTGACGTCGGTCATTCCCCCCGTCAGACATCTCCTCAACGCAACCTCAGCTCTAAGCAAAATCAGCAACAGTAGTTCAGGATCTTTGCAACCCGATTCGTAGACCGTTTTGTGCACGTTCATTCGCTCTCGTCCCTTGATATGCTTTCTATCCGTGTTGGGAGTTCAGGTCACCTCAGTCCGGTCGGCCTCAACCATTAGCTTGCTCGCACAACTGGTCATCACTGGTTATGACACAAGATCTGGACATAACGACGGGCTTCCCGTGCCCTGAGTATCAATTCAGCATGCTGTTCAGATCGTTCTTCCGCCGCGTCAGACTGACCTTCCAAGACCTGGTGGGCTCTGGGCCGTCCACGACTCCAAATGAGGGCGGCGAAGCTACCGCAAGCTGTGATAGCCTCAGGCAGCTCTATGAATCCGCCGTCGCCTCTTCCTCCGCTTATGGGCACGAAACACCGCGAGTCAAGTCAGGTAAGGACATTCTGAGTGGACGACCGGGCCGTTCCTGCATCACCTACGCGTTTGGAGGATGAGCGTGACTGACCTGGCAAGCAGAAGATTCCGGCAATGAACGAGTTGCTGCACCGTTCCCTCCATTGTGTCACACGAACCTCCCTAGGCACCACGCTTCGGATCTGCTCCCGAGAACGCTCGAGCATCACTGTTCCAACCTCTCGCTCTCCGAATCGCTCCAACGTCGCATCCTTGCCCCATCGCCATCGCCATCCAAGCCATCCAGCTTACACTCACCGTCCTTGTCGGACTCAAGCGTGCCCCACATAACACTTCCACCTATCCCGCTCACGTATCAAGTAAGGCCACTGAGCGACGACACGCTCTGCCCGCCTGAGTCGAGCTCGAGTGGTCACGGTCACGGCCCTTTCCGGCAGATCCGAACGAGGTCGCGCGGCCCAGTCTACGTGTTCGAGCCATCGAGATTCGATCCATCCTTCCAAGTCCGCCCAAAACACGAATCAGCCGAGACAATCATTGACCTGGAAGCGCAGGCTCCGACATCCTTTTCAGAACGTAAGCCGGTTGTGAGGACCCCATGCACGACCGACGCTGACCGGTGTTTAGGATTTGATGATGGCTGGACTCACCATCCAGACGAAGAACGCGACTTAAAGTACACGCTTATTTTGTTGGCCGTCTTAGCTATTATCATCATCGTCCTCGTCGCCGCTACCCTCATTTCCGGCAACTAAGCCGTGGAGGTGCTCTTTACGTTTACATGGGGTACAGGCGCTTCTGCGGCTGCATACTGGCCTTCCTGATGGAAGTGGCCGAATGTTAAGCTGGCCGCCATGTACCGCGGAAGCATCTAGAGCTCAAGGCGCAATGCTGCTTTCCTACAAGCTTGTAGAACAGATATTATTGTGGACGCGGAAGTCGTATGAAAACCGTGTAGTCAGGCGGGAGAATCTTGAAAACTGCCAATACTTCTGTGCAATGTTGATTACAGATCGCCGACGGAATTAAAACGATTTTTGGCACTGGCGAAGACACATGTGCAATTGTGAAGTAGTTCGGCCGGCGACATGTTGCGTGTGTAAGCGGTGACGCCGCACCTGCCTTTACAGTGCAAGCTTTTCTACCTAAGCACGATTAGGTGCGTATCAACGCAGTCTCCATATCAAGCGAGTCGGTCAAGAAGACCTCATTCAAGCAAAACTCAAATCTCTCATCTGCATTGCGCCATGTCTTCATCTATTCCCACTCTTCCCAAAGGCTACATCCTCCACGATGAGCCTCCTAGCGCAACCGCCTACCTCGCCCTCCGCACCCTCTCCGGTCTAAGCCCCAAGACCTCAGAGCAAGCATCTGGCGCTCTGGCAGGTTCCTGGGACTTCTGCCACATCGTGCACGAGGCCTCAAGCACGACCGTAGGCATGGGCCGCACGATCGGAGACGGCGGCTGGTACTTCCACATCGCGGACATGGCTGTGCTGCCCGAGCATCAACGCAAGGGACTCGGCGATGTGATTATGGCGAGGCTGGTGGGAAGGATTAGGCAAAGGGCGCCGCCAGGGGCGTATGTTACTCTTCTGGCGGACGTGCCGGGCAGGAGGCTGTATGAGAGGCATGGGTTTGAGGAGACGGGACCGACGTCGATTGGGATGGCTAGGTTGTCGTAGAGATAGTCCAGGCCGTAGGTGACTCAATCAACATGGTCTATTATACGTTCACACGGCTTGTCAATCAGTGCTGTCGTACCTTTAATGTCCCCTAACTGACACTGACAGTCACGTGTCTCTACAACCACAGTGGCAGCGCTGAGCACGAGCCCATGCCGCTGGAGTGCGGGACAACCTGGAAGCTTCAGATGCGCGGGAAGTTTTCATCGCAACAAAATCAAAGCTCGTCATGCCGAAAGCTTCCAATTGCAACTAGGTCAACTCATCCTAGACTTGTTGACAAGAATCCGTCAGAGCCATCAGCACCGTCTTGCGATAAATCTAATTGTGAGCTCCGTTTGCGCTGAACTTTGTCGTCTCTAACGCTTTCACTGAAGCTCACACTCACTCGAACCCAAGTCGGACGACAGCAGCGCTTCTCGAAAGTACGGAGCTCACACATCATGAAGCCAAGTAGCATGGAAGCACGTTCGGGTCAAGGTATCTACAGGTAACATCTAGCATGCACCGGTGTTCGCATTCAACATACTGTACGGCCACCTTTGCCCGTGAGCGATTGTAGCCGTGCAGTATGCTGGATGACGTTCTGAGATGATACGGTTGAACTTGATCTGGATAATTCCAGCGAAAGGATCATGCTATCCCACTCTCCCGTCCTTGAGAGTTCGCTAATAGCAGCAGAAGAGCATGGATGGACACCGTATCAACGCCGAAGATGCCGAGAAAGCACCCGCTATGCCGTACCCTGAGCGAGTATCTACGCCCGGAAGTTCACCAGTGGACGGTGCTTCTACTACTGGAGGCCAATGGAAGACTCATCTCAAGGCATTCGAGCGGCAATTGGTCGCGTACAACTTGGAGGCACGCGGCATACAGAGGGTTGAGCCGGAGGAAAGACATGATCTAAGAGCGCTGGGCTACACACAGATTGCCATTCTGTGGTTCTCGATCAATCTCGCAGCAAACAATATCACGCTCGGCATGCTCGGGCCTGCGGTCTTTCACCTGAGCTTCTTCGACTGCGCCTTGACCGCCGTCTTCGGCATGCTTGTGGGATGCTTGCCCGTGGCGTACACTGCGACTTTTGGCCCACGCTCAGGGAACCGGACGATGATTTTCGCGCGGTATACAATGGGGTGGTGGCCATCGAAGATTGTGGTTTGCCTCAACATCATCGTGCTGCTTGGCTATGCACTCCTTGACGCCGTGATAGCCGGACAGATCCTCTCAGCGGTCTCGACGAACAACATGTCCATCGTAGTGGGAATCATCATCGTCGCGGTCATCACATGGGGTATCACGACGTTTGGGTACCAGATCTTCCATTACTACGAGCGCTACGCCTGGCTACCCCAGCTCATTGTCCTGTCCATCTTGGCCGGAGTAGCTGGACCAAGTTTCGACACAACCACGCCTTCGCACGGGGACCCTCGAACGCTCACCGGCAACCGCATATCCTTCTTTAGCCTCTGCCTCTCCGCAGCCATAACCTACGCCGGCGGCGCCGCCGACTACTTCGTCTACTACCCCGAGTCGACCCCCCGCTGGAAAGTCTTCAGCGTCACGATGATCGGCCTATCCCTCAGCTTCACCTTCGCCTTCATCCTCGGTATCGGCCTAGCCTCCGGTATCGCAACCACTCCCTCCTGGTCAGAGGCCTACGCAGTATCCCAAGGCGCGCTCATCGTCGAGGCCTACCGCCCCCTCGGCGCCTTCGGCAGCTTCGCCAGCGTCGTTGTCGCCCTGGGGCTTGTTGCGAACATGATCCCGCCGACCTACAGCTCCGGCGTCGATTTCCAGATCTTGGGCCGCTACGCCGCGCGCGTGCCGAGGGCTGTCTGGAACACGGTCGGTGTGGTTATCTACACCATCTGTGCGGCGGTGGGGCGCGATTACCTTGCGGTGATCTTTACGAACTTCCTTGCGCTCATGGGGTATTGGGTCTCGATCTGGATTGCGATCTCGCTGGAGGAGCAGTTCGTTTTCCGCAGGAAGACCGGGTTCAATTGGGCGGTGTGGGATCAGCAGGGCAAGCTGCCTATTGGGGTTGCTGCGCTGGTTGCGTTTCTGGTGGGGTGGGCGGGTGCGATCCTGTGCATGGCGCAGGTGTGGTATATTGGGCCGATTGCGGGGTTGGTGGGGGAGTATGGGGCTGATGTGAGTGTGTCCGGCTTGTACAGCACCGTGATCACTGCGGTGTTGTATTGTGCATGCATGCTAATTTTGAGGGCAGATGGGGAACTATGTCGGATTTGCCTGGGCTGCTCTGGTCTTTCCACCGTTGAGGTACTGGGAGCTGAAGCGGTTTGGCCGTTGATCGGATGGCGACATCGACTACGACCGTGCTGCTTCGATCACGTCTTGGAGATGTTCTGCTTTCTCTGTAGATGTCCACCCCCATTCCGATATACATACGACCTTTTCTGAGCTGTATCATGAAGAATGTATGGTTTATTCTGCCATCTGCCAAAGTTTGTAGACGGTGTTTCGTAACTATAAAGCCGCGTATTGAATACCAAGATACGGCCAGGATTCAGAATTCGTTCAATAAGAGCCTAGGCACGAATTAAGTAATTCAGCCGTCGCGACCTCTATCTGCAGCCGCCATCTACTAAACAGGATGCAGGAAGATATCAGACCCACTGGCTGCATTCGAGATATTTGCTGAACTCAAATCTTCCACATGTGGTCGTTCACCATCCCCAATCTCCTCAGCCGCCCCTTGAGACATTACTTCATAGCCAACACCAACTTCCGTTTCCTTTACTCGACTCCCCTCCGCGACATTACCCCCCACAATATGACCGCACCCCTCCCGCTTCACCACCCGCCTACAGCTCAACACAGTAGTAGCTCAGCGCCGCATCGTTCCACTCCGGGCCTACGTTCGGCGTGCCCGGGAACTGGAGCCTGAGCGAGCCTCCGTCGAGGGCGCGACAGAGGCCGTTTCTGCGCGCGCGGGCATTGTCAGCAGGGCGCTTTTTTGGACAGGCTGGTGGATTTGGGGATGCGTGAGGCAGCAAAGGGGAGGGGAGGGAGAAAGAAAGTGGGTAGGTCGAGAGGAAGGCGGAGTGTGGGCGAAGCGGAGAGGAAAGAACAGCCAGGAGGAGGGAAGGCTGACGAAAGGAGAGAAGAGCCGCAGAGACGCTAAGGAAGAGAGAGGCGAGCGACACCGAAAGAGGAAGCGCGGAAGCACTGACTTGAACAACGTGCATGAGATCCCCCGATCCGGCCCAAATGCCGTCGTCTCGCCGTCCAGCTGGATGCAGTTATTGCTGCCGAGCGGGCGAATGCGGTGCTCGCAGTTGCCGAGGAAGTCGGCGTCGGAGCAGATGTAGACCTGGTGGCGAGATTAGGTGGCTGGTGGTGGGTTGGGTGTGGGATGACGGAGGGGATGGAGGGCAGGGGGTGGTGGAAGGATATATGGAGGCGGTGGAATGTGAGGTGGGAGATGAGATGGGGAGAACTTACGCCCGTCCACAGAGGAAGCTCAGTCTGACGGACTTCGAGGTCCGGGTTGGCATTTGAGGAAGCGGGTAGGGCGGCCGCGAGGGAGACGAGGGTAGTGAGTATAGATAAGAGGAGTGTTAAGGAAGCCATGACGAGTGTAATCAAGCCTAGATTGCACTTGAAGTTCTATAGAGATTCCAAGAAAGCTGCTAAGAGTGCTCTCTTCTCTTCCTTCCCGTCGCCAGGCTTCAGCTTTTATACCCTCTCTCCTCATAGCGACGGCCGCATGCGTCGCTGTTGTTCCGCCGCCATCCACAGCGCCCACGCAAACATCTCGTCCATGAAACGAAAGGACGGGTCTTACAAAAGTATCACTGAAGCAACGAAGTCCACTTCCAGACGTGGTACTGAGGCAACATGTCACAAGTGGTCAGCCATGCATGGTTGCCATGACGGTACACACGAAACGACTGACAAGTGACGGTGAGGTTACACGGAGTCACGGCACTGTTTGCCCCTAGTCCTTCAAGTTTTACTGTTAGGCACTGGAAAGTAGACCGAGTTTGAAGAAGAAAATCAGAGGAGATAAGGGAAGTGACAAATCTTTTCAGCAGGCCGTGAGTGTTCACCACCAACCTACGCTCTCCAATGGACAAAATCCTTACAACACTCCGTGCTCTCCCCTTGGAAGATTGAGCACACGGATTACCGCTTCCAAACATCACTCCAATTCTTCATCCAGAGCTTTCCCCTTCGGTGGTTCCTCCGTCTGCATGCAGCCGCATCCTGCCCCGCTGCTCATCCCTTGCGTCGTCGTTACGGAACACCCGACAACGACGACAGATGCTCGGCCAACAAACAACTATGGACTCGGCGGGATTGGGTAATCGCAGAGGGGAAGAGAAGAGATCATCGAGATTGAAAGTTTGTACAGCGGCTGGTAGTATCTGTTCGAGTATCTATTCGAATAGAGCGGAGATGGAGGGATGTCTATTTCACCCACTGCTGCTTCTTTCCGGCTCTAAGCCATGGCGAAGTCCTCTTTTCCGCCAGCTTTTCCCTCTGTGTCCCGACCTCGTCTTCTTCAAATCTCTCATACAACCAAATACTTTGCACAGGAAGAGGAAGCGACTCCACCGCGAAGGTCCGTCTCAATCCATCCTTTCTTCTCACCGTCGGCCACCCGCGGCTCATAGTCGTACCCGCCTCCAGTTTACCGGCGCATTACAATACGACCTACGTGCGCACGGCGAAATATCCGAATCTAAATCCACGCCGCATCGTCCTGCGACCGGCTGAAACTTCGTTACTCGTAGAGATGGCATTCAACTCGAGAATGGAACTCGGCATGGCTGCCATTACCCCCACGGGGAGCGGCAGTGGGAAGAAGGCCGTGTTACGGCACATCCGATCGTTCCGATCGTAATACGGAAACGCGCATGGTGCACACGCGCTGCTGGCGACGAGTGTCAACTGTCAAGCGCGCGATGTCCCGATGTCACGTGTGAAACCTTAAGTACTCACGATGTAACGGCTGGTGTACAGTATTGCTGGTCTCGAGAGAAAGACCTGAAGCTGAATATCGGAAAGGCGACCTTAATGCTTGAGCTGCTATTGACTGGGGTATCATACAAGCAAACAAACCCTCCAGAGCATCTGGCCCGTTCAGCTAAGTTCAATCACTTTGTCCAATCCTGTCATCCCCAAAGAATTATCTAACCAAAACATTACCATCATTCCAACCCCCTACTCTACCTCTTCCATTCATTCCTTTACAAAGCGAAAGCGGCAACAACCGCCGCAGCCACCGCTCCCAACCCGACGGCCATCCTGCCAGCAGCGTCCTCAGCCGGGACGCTGACAATGGGCGAGACTGACGCGGTAGGTGAGCCCCTCGTGCTGGTCCTCAGGGAAGCCGGGACCGTCATGCCGCCGGTGGGCATCACCACGGTGGAGTTGCCCATCGGGTAGCCGGAGCTCATGGCGTGGGTTGGCGCGCTGGAGATGGTGGCGGGAGTGCTGGTTACCGGGACGGAGATGGTGCAGGGGCAGTCGGAGATTGTGAGGGTGGTGGGCTGATGACAAGTTAGATTAGCGATTTGCGGACCTAGAAGTTGAGGGAAAGGAAGCGACTCACGGCAGTCACAGTGTAGGTCTTGTTGTTCATGACGACCGAGGTCGGCTCCGGGCAGTAGGTCGTGTAGGCGGTGACGACTTGGGTGGTGTAGGCAGTGGAGTTTGAGCTGGAGCTCACGTGGCCGGCGTGCACGTCAGCGGTCTTGGAGGCGCTGCTGCTGGGGGCGTGCGAGAGCGTGCTGGTAACGGTGGCGATGTGGGATGACGAGGACGACGGCTTGTAGTCGGGGTTGGAGATGCCGAACTGGGTTGAGTCTGTGGGTCGGGTTATTAGCAGGTGGGTCGCCCATGATGAGTTTTGCTTTGGTCTCGTCTGAGACCTGTATTGTCGTGAGACTTACATTGGTACTGGCCAGTCGCGTCAACGATCAGCTGGATGCCGTAGCCCTTCTTGTCGGCCTCCAGATCAGTGGATGGCGTCCAGACATAGGTGCCGCTGTTCTCGACTTCCTCAGCGATCGCGTAGAGCGGCTTGATGTTCTCGGCGGGGCCGCGGAGCAAGACGATGGTGACGGTGCCCTCAGTGGTCGGGTCCCACGTGATGGTGTACGACTGGCCGGCCGGGACGATATCGCTGAGGCCGGGGTTGAAGATCGGGTTGCCCGAGGGCTCGCCAACCGGAGTGGTGTAGGCGGCGACTTGCGAGAGGCACGACAGGCCGGCGGTGAAGAGGGCGAAGACGGAGAAATCGGACTTCATTTTGACTGTGTGATGTTTTTATTCTTGAGATACGTTCAGATTCCTTCAATCGGACAATTAAGTTGATTAGCTGTAGAGAGCGACGTTTGTAATATGCAAAAGAGCGACTGCGACACGAATGCGCGGATATCTGTAAAAGAGTGACTGGACGTAAGTGGTGGTAAGACGGACGAAAGATGGAGGACAGCGGCTTATGAGCCTCCACGGCGGCGGTTAGGGGTCAAACGGCCTTAACCAGTGCCTGACCGGTTCCTGCATTAGCAGATAAGCTAAGGGTGCCATCTCATCATAGCGTGCAGAATCTCAGCTTGTCCACCAATAGAGAGCTGCGGATGATCTGCTAAATCGAGCTAACACGAGCTTACCTGCTCACCGCCCTCGTATCCCGGGACTTCACTCTCGTTTCCATATTAATCCAGCCTTACGCGCCTCCGTGCAATTTCCCACAACCGACCCGCGTATCATGCGACACATTAGCTTTGCTGCTCTTCGATGGCCTCTTGAGGGCTGCTCAGTATCTATATTTACCATTCCCCAATACGAGCTGATCATAGACGCTGCTGGACGCCGTGTCGACCGGCGTGATCTCTTCCACTACGCGCCAGACGAACTCCTCCAACAGATGTACGAGATTTGTCTTCCCCGCGATTGTGAAGCCCTTAGCAGAGCTCTGGATCATCCCGCACGGCCCCTTCCAGGGAATAAATCCCTCTGAGCCCGTGCAATAATATCATTCAGATTTGGATCCGCGGCTTGCCGGAATTTCTTTTTGCCTGACTATTACCGCTAGGTGAAATTGTGCCGCTCCGTACGGTCATCTAAACCAGTATATCAATGGCCCGTGGAAAATACCTTATATGTCTGAGCTGTCAAAAAACATGCGTGTCAAGATGGATGTTGATGTCTTACCTAATCTGCGTGGCCTTGTCTTTGCACCTCTCATACTTGCTTTTAGCTCAGTATCTCAAGAGGTCGCTCTACCTTTCTAGAAAGAACTTGGCCCGTCACGTACTCCTCTTCCATTGTAGCTTGTTCGTCTATAAGCGCCCAAATCATGGAGAACCAGGGAGCAAACCTCGTCTCGCCACATAATTTAGCCACTCTTCCGCAAATATATGCCGCGCATGCGCCTCCGGCCAGCTTTTCGTAAGACGTTAAAACCTTCAGGCAATCTCTGGCACGAGAAACACTCTTTACCAGGGCTTCTATACGGGCGCAGTAATCATTGCCAATCTCATTTCTCTCCTATGGAACCATTCTGTAAGCATACGTGTATCAATCCTGTTCCGGTACCGCGAGGCGTGGTATAGCCGAGTTGAACGCCGTTGAGAATCGCCATTTGGCTATACCGGAGTATTCTGATAAGTGGCTTGGCTGATGCTCCTCGTGGAAAGGAGCTGAATGGGGGTTTTAGAACTCTGCGGCCGTATGAGACAATGCACAATGCGTGTATTGGCTCCGATGATCGTCGAGGACTCTTTCACCGCCGGAGACGGGAACCGCGCTCATCTGTGCTTAAAAGGGCAGAGGCTTCTGCGAACGAACTATCCAAGTGAACCAAAGGACATCAGAATCACCAAGAGCGCGGCGAGAAGAAGAACTGTCCCCGGCAGGTCAAGGATCCATCTAGCAACGGCTAACGCCTGAGCCCAGCATATACTCAGGCAGGGTCTCTCTGGAACCAGAGACTCGCGGGCTCTATACCTCCCTGAGAACCTCCGCGGCTCAGCACAACTACTGCACCTAAATAAGTCACGGTAATTTTAAGTTCTAGGATCAGGACCAGCCTTCGCCAGAATCCGATGTGCCGGAAACCGCTCGGTGCCATGAATAGGAACTCATCCGGTCTTCGCTTGATATGATGGCGGAAAGGACTTTTTCCTAGGCCATGATCAGCTGGACCATTTGGAGCAAGGATGGCAAGTCGAGTTTCTTCTTTGTACTTTAGAACACAACTGGCCTCTCATAGTGCAGCGGCTGCGGGTCGCAAGGACCAAATGTTGCATCCGCTTCCTCCAGTATACGACGACCGCCAGATTGGGTCATCTTGAGACATAGATACATGGATCTGGTTGTTGTGGCGGTTGTCGGAGCGCGTTGCGACGACCTCGACCTCGAACTCTTAGGCAGCGATTCACCGGGAGTAGTGTAAGTATTGCCTGGATGATGTTGATGCCAACGGAGGAAACGGCTTTATGTCTGCTTGCTCATCAGTTACCCATGCGGAAAGAGCGTGGATGGCTCGATAGACTGAAGCTACAGGTGAAAAGCACCTCTTGCGGCGGAGGCCGGGAAACTCCGGTTTTAGGAGCAACAGAAATCTTCAAGAGGTGAAAAAGTACTACAATACGCGTGCCGACCGAAGTCAGTAGAACTTCCCTATTTCAATAAGAGTTCGCACTAGGTCTCTTCCCGAGTCCCAAGAGGCTTGTGAGAGTATTCAAAGCCAGCCGGCATTTGCATGGTCTTGTATGCCGTTGGCATGTTTGCCTGAGACCACGTGCAGCTGTCATCCCTATGACAGCTAGGGAGGTCCACCCCTGGATTTGCATGATGCTCTAGACTCCGGCGGTGGTACCGTCAGGCAGAGATACTGCTGTCGTCCGAGCCCGACCTTTTTCGGCGTACAGTGTCTTCCTATGCAGGCATCCGGATTGAGGCTTAATCCCGGGACATGAATTTTCTACATCAGCAGCCGAAGCCATACGAGACCGTACCGTTGTGGCTTGCTCCTGCATCCTTTCGGAAAGATGCTTCACAAGCATGAGAAGTACTGCAGACTCAACCAGTGTTTGGTCCTGCTTGAACAGATTGCGCCGGCGAAACGTGTTGTCTGGTTATATCTCATCTTGCCTGTGCTCTATCAGCATGGACGGCAGATTTTCCATCTGATCCATACCCTACGACCTTTTCAATGCACAGTCGATTCGGGAGCGTGGTTCCACGTGTTACTTCCCTCGTGACTTCTCTTGCATTAGTTATAGTCACAAGACTCTGTATGCTCACCACCGCCCGTCCGAATCCACCCGCACCTCTTCCGTGCGAAGCATCACCTGTATGCAGCAAGAGAGGCTTGCTGACGGCCATCGTCATATACTCATGATGACTGCCGGCACAAGATCCCCACGACGTCAGCCAGCACCCTTAAGGAAAGATCACGATCATCTTCGTCTCGTCACCCATTGGCACTGAGATCATCCAAGAGACCATTTCTGTCTCAGAAACCAGCGATGCTACTCTACTTGGTACAATATCGTGACTTCTCCCGAGCATGGGCTGCGCTGCCGTCATCAGGCGCTTCCTCGTCCGCCTGATCTCCTACCGATGGTTAACGTGCCCAACTCCATCCCTAAGTACCCGTGACCTGTGTGTGCGCAGAACAAGGCGGGGGTAAACAAGTACCAACCAAGTACTCCAACCCCCCCTGCGACTTCCAAGGCCCAGCGGAAAGCGCTGTCTCCCCCACCACTAGCCAGCGCCGGCGCCCTAGCGCGGCGACTGTCACCACCACTGTGTGGTCGAACAACCGGCATTCTCTGGGCATCTTGCTGTTGTGTTGTGCGTGTGACCACTGCTGTGACGCCATATCCCACCTCAGCCCGCAGCCAAGGTTTTCTGGAATGCGCATTCGAAGGCAGGGATTGGAAGCGGGATGCAGCCACTGCGGCGCCAGAGCGCAGATCCGGCGTTTCACGAGCCCCGGAGCGCTGGGAGCCGATCCTGGCCGGCAGCCCAGTGCGGGATGGCGCGCTGGCCGGTCACGCGGGAGGCTCGATGCCGGGAAGGCTTTGCGGGGCGCGGGGCATGGGACTTCAATGTGTTGGTGTTTCATAAAAGCATGGCAGAGTTAAAAATTGCCGAGGAATAATTTTGGATGCCGTGTTGTGTGAAAGACGCTCCTTCCTAATATATGGGGGTAGCGAGTAAGTAGGGAGGCGTGGTCATACTCAAGTTCCTGTGTAAAGCGCAAAAAGCGTGTAGACAATCTCACTAAGCATCTAAAGCCTGGAAGAGTGTACACTGCAGTCATATGCTCCTCCACCTCTTCACCTGCAGCGTAACCTCCAAGCCAACGCCTCGGCACCCAGATCCAGTAAGCTTAACAACCCTCCCGTCACAAGGCACTTCCCCCGCAAAAGCAGGCTTCTCCGTTGTCCGCCGACTGCCCAAACCAGCTCGGCCACCCACCAGCGGAGATCCTCGCCCAAGCCAGCCAGTTACCCGCCGCCGCTGCACGCAAGCGTCGCGCCGGGCATCCACTAAAAGCTTGACAACGCCCGTCAGAGGTGCATCCGCAGCCAGCCAAGCCCGAATCTTTTGGGTGGGATACTCGAGCAGTCCTGGGACTGAATCTTAGGTCAGCCTTGGAACACCCGCCAGCCATGGATCACCACGGTACTTGCTGGTCACACGGCCTACAACGTAGTAGCCTGCCTAGTGTAGCCCGCCAGCAGCACCGCCAACAACGTCGTCAACTCAGCCATCCGCTCAGCCATCCGGTCACCCTCTCTGTGGATAGCCCAGTTAGGCACAAGGCGCTGGCGGTCCCGCATCATCGTTGCAACCCTCCTCTCACCGCATCCAATAGGCACGGCTGTGCCTTGGTTCGTGAGGGCCATCTGGCTTGGACCCTGAGCAGCCGCTCAGTTCCCCGTTCTGGATCTCCGTCCGCGCGAAAAAATTATCGTGGACCCCTCAGTGTGGTCTCGCGGCGACGTCACCGGCTCGCGATGTGCGCGGCGGTCAGAACCAAAGCTGGCGCCCTGACGTCCTGGCTTCCAGGAGCGGTGCTGACTACGTCGTGGAAGCTCGTGGGGAAGGTCACGATGCGGAGGATCGGCGGGGAGGATTGGTGGTGACTCGAGGGAGCTTGAGAGGAGGTTGATGATCACTGACGGCATGGTATGACCGTGAGAGGGATTTGCTAGACTTGTCTGACGTTCCTGTGTCTGGTGTTGCGGGCCCATAAAGAGAGCCTATCCCAGGATGAACTGCTGGTTTCGTCTCACGAGTCTTGACAGATTCTCTCAGCGCTTCTCTGCTTTCAGCGCTTAAGCCGAGCTTCTGTTGCACAATCAGTATACTTTGAATGAAGAGAGACGCCTCGTACGACTTGAACAGAGAAACCTTACCACATTACACTATACCCCTTCCACCACTATGAAATCAGTCCTCCGATCCGCAGCAGTAGCTGCATTTGCTCTCCTCACCACGCTGGGCCAGGCCGCGCCAGCACCCCTCTGGAAGCGGGATCTCAAGTTCGACTACAACAACCAAAAAGTCCGTGGTGTCAACCTCGGCGGCTGGCTCGTCCTGGAGCCATGGATAACACCCTCGATGTTCGAGCAGTGGTCTGATGGCAACAGCGTCAAGGACGAGTACACTCTAACCCAGACGCTTGGCAAGGACGAGGCCAGGAACCGGCTCCAGAGGCACTGGGCCTCATGGATCACCGAGGACGATATGTACCAGATTGCGCGCGCGGGCATGAACCACGTTCGCATTCCGGTCGGCTACTGGAGCGTCATTCCCCGTGACGAAGACCCGTACGTGCAGGGCGCGTACGACTGGCTCGGTGCGGCGTGTGACTGGGCGGCTGGTGCTGGGCTAAAAGTTATGATTGACCTGCACGGTGGTAAGCTTTCTCCCTTCTGAATATATTCTCACACCTTCGGGACCTCTCGGACAAGCTGACACCGCCCCAGCCCCCGGCTCCCAGAACGGCTTCGACAACTCCGGCCGCTGGGGCAAGATCGAATGGACCCAAGGTGACACCGTGGCACACACCATCAGAGTCCTCAATAAGATCCGGGACGACTTCGCCTCCCACTCCGCGGTAGCAGCCATCGAGCTCCTCAACGAGCCCATGGGACCCCAACTCGACATGAACGTCGTGCGGCAATTCTACATGGACGGCTGGGGCAACCTGAAGGACTCAAACGTCGCCATCACCTTCCACGAAGCCTTCACCGGCGTGTCCTCCTGGGGCAACTGGGGCGCAGGCATGTGGAACCTCCTGCTCGACACGCACCACTACGAAGTCTTCGACCTCGGCATGCTGGCCATGAGCCCCCAGGACCACGTGCGGACCGCCTGCGAATACGGCAAACAGATGGCCAGCACAGGCAAGTGGACCATCTCCGGCGAGTGGACGGGCGGCATGACGGACTGCGCCAAGTGGCTCAACGGGCTGGGCAAGGGCGCCCGCTACGATGGCACCTTCCAGGGCTCCAGCTACGTCGGCAGCTGCGACAGGAAGTACTCCGGCACAGTGGCTGGCCTGTCGAACGAGGAGAAGGAAAACATTGGCCGCTACATCGAGGCGCAGCTTGATGCGTACGAGAGAGCTAGCGGCTGGATCTTCTGGACGTGGAAGACGGAAGGAGCGCCCGAGTGGGACATGCAGGACTTGCTCGCGAACGGCATCTTCCCTCAGCCATTGGACTCCAGGAAGTGTAAGTGGCCCTCTTGCTACCTCTTCACCAACCTTAGACTTGGATGCTGACATTCTCTTTCTTCAGACCCTGGCCAGTGCGGCTACTAGACACTCGCCTTGATGGCGACAAGCCTTGACGGCGACAGACTTTGAGAAGAGACAGGCGCTCTTATGACTTACTGCTCTTACGACTTACGATGATACGCCGGCGACTTAGATACCCATCGCTCGCTAGGATTCTACATTCTTACTGTCGCTGCTGCTCAGCTCATGCTGGCGGCTGTAAAAGTACGGCAACTCTTTTGGGATGCTTCCGCCTTGGGGCATTCTTGTATACTAGTAGATCGGAGCGAGGAGTTTTCTTGGGATGGACGTTGGTTTGTACAATACTACACTGTATCAATAGCAATGGAATCATAATAAGCTATGAGATTTGCAAGAATGATTGAACCGGAGTCGTGATCGCAGTTGTAGAGATATGGTGCGGCTCCCCAGAAGGCTTACGACGACTTTGCTCAACCGAATTTAACCAATCAGCAACGTTGAGACATCAGGCTTGGCGTATCATTGCACCACCGAAAGAAGCGGTTCCGAAACGAGTCACATTGTTTACGACAGCTTAAGTAATCTACACCGATCGCCAGCGCGCAGCATTTGATGTGTCTACAGAGAGTACGACCAGGGTATTCTCTCTAATGGGCCCTTCCAGTTCCGCTTCAACAACGGAAGCAAGTGGATGACACATTGTTGTAATTACCTAGGACAAAAAAGTGTCGGTTGATATTTCATTCATTGCTTCAGATAAGAGAGGAGAGAAACGCTAAGCTTCGGGGTCAAGAGTGACCATGCTACCAACTTTCCCTATAAACGCCATGCCCCAATCACTAAGAGCGACAACTTATTCCATCTCAGCGCCGCTTGTTACCCTGACTCCTTGCCAAGAGCTGCACCATCCGCACAAATATGTTGATGAAGTCTAACTCCAAGCTAATGCTCTCATTGACCGGATCTGGCTTCATGAGCCCCTGCTTCGCCAGCCGTGCGTGGTGAAGCACCTTCTGCACGTCATAGAGCGTGAAGCCACCGAAGACAGCCAAGCCGCCATACAACCAGATGTTCTCCGTCGCCATCAGTGTCCGCGTGGCGGTGGCGGGAACGACGAGGGGAGCGAGACCGGACAGTGCGACGATGGCAACACCCGCGAGCAGAGGACCGCCGAGGTATAGGTATTTCTCTTGCTTAGCGGTGGCGCCGACAAAGGCAATCGAGCCCATCATGCCGAGAGTGTAGAGGCCGGCGCGGGCGATGAGCGCGGGCTGGAAGAAGAGCATGGGCGAGAGAAGGGCGGCTTGCGTGAGGTTGAAGGCGCCCCAGAGAGCGTACTTCTGGACGTAGCTGGTGGGTGGTTAGCTTGAGGTCTGAGGCAGATGAGGGCAGGGTGGTTCGGATACTCACTTCTCAGGTGGGGTGTTCATAGCCAGATACATCGTACCGATAGAGCCGACTAGACCAACACCGAGGACCATCCACGGGTTTGCTGCCATGAGCCTGTAGCTCCACCCGCTCCTGTGGAGTGCTGTCGCTGCCACACCGATGATGCCGATACCGAGACCAGTGTGCATGAACGTGTCATTCAGATAAGTACGCTCGTATGGTGGCATGCCGCCATCCTCTCTTGTTTCACGGTTGAAGATGAGGTTGATGGCGACAAGCGTGCCACCGAAGATACCGGCACCGTATAGTAGCCGCTGTCTGAAGTCGCCAGCGGGAACCTGGTAAGATTGTGTGGGCGTCTGGTAGCTGCGGCGGAAAGTCTGCTGGAAGACATTGCGAGACTTGGAGACGATCGGTGATGTGGTTTTCGAGCTGAAGAAGTTCTGTGGTGAGGACTTGAGTGGCGTGTGGTGGAAGGCGCGTGTGGTTGTCGACGTGGCCTTGGGTAGTTGCTTGAGGGCTGCCGTAACGGCGAACGGGCGCCGTAGAACGAATGCCATCGCCGGGAGTGTCGTTCGATGCTGTATGGTGGATGAAGCTGGGTGGGATGGAGGAGAGGACAAGTAGTCGAAGTAGTGGCGCAGAGCTTCACGATAGATGACGTGCCGCTCGCTTGAACTTCGGAACGTTCGAGAATGTTGCAGTACTTCTTGGAGCAACCTTTTGTACCACAAGAAATAAATTTATTTGAGTGTCACGGCTTGAGAGCCTAAACCTAGGTAGGAGCAAACCGGTACCAAGGTAAGCTACTGCCCCTTTTGACCGGACATCTGGCAATATTGAGAAGTAGAAAGCAATGTTTATGTCGAGGGACTCATCTATTTGTGTCTGTATAACTTTCTTAATTTCGAGAGTTCCCACGATGGATGCAAACTCGTGTGCTTTGTATTTATCTGGCTATACAGGCGTAGATTTTCAGTAAATTCTAACTCCTCTTATCTCTGCTCCATCTTCCCTGCAGCGTTTCTGATTGGATTCTGTTCCATTCTATTGGCTTGGTGTGAGGCACCGGTGATGTCAAAGCGGCGAGGAGCACTAGGTATGAACCGCGCCACATCCAGCAACAAGGAAAGCCCTTGGTGGTACACGGAGCCTGTCAAGATGGTGCTCTTCACGAGGCAGGAATGCGTGTGAACAACAACACAGTCATCATTTCAACGACAACCAGCAAAAAGAGCCGCGCAGTGTCTTTTCCAAACACGCTTTCCGGCCTAAAACACTGCAGTATTCAAAGCATGGCTGGCCTGAGCCGACAGGCATGCGTCATTGAACCACTGTGTTGCCTTGGGTTCCCTCCACTTCACCGGCCTTGGTCTTCTTTTTGAGGGTTCCCAAACGTACATGCAAACGAGCATTCGACACCTGCCACTGGGGCGGAGAGACTCCCAAGTGCTTGTGTATTGCAAGGCGCTGCGCCGTGACACTGCATGTGCTTCGATATCCCCGTGATGAGCCACTAGATTAGGGTCCATTCCAACACATAGTGCTGACCTTTACCTGGAGAGCCGAAGGAGAAGGGAACAGCATGCTGACGAGTGAACACGCGGCTCTTTCGCATCATAGATACTTCGCCTTCGTGCCGACAAGGCATGGTCCGGTGCGGCTTGGTAATAGTTGTTGACTGCCTCATTGCGACTGGGCTTTTACTTTCTCTTGGGCGTAGTAAGCAGATCCCTCTATTCCGGATGCTGGAACTGTCTTGGGGAGAGCAGAGTAACGGTGCTGGGAGAGGGTCAGAGGGGCAATGCACGGATGAAGCTTACGACTGCAAAAAGTCATGGGGGCTGCCTGCCTTAAAACAATGCAGACTTTTTGGAAAAAAAGGATTCACCGTATTCTAAGTTTTCTAGATTCAAAACGTGCGGGTATCTTTTGCGTAGCGAATCCCAGACAGCCTTGGAACTTGAATGCTGGGCCCTTGGGCGTGCCGGTGGAAAAGAAAACGCTCGCGGGCCGGCGAGCTCCCCCTGAGTTTAGGGCTGGTCGTCTCTTGGCCCTCCCAAAGCTCAACGGGTGTGCCCAATTCGACAGCACAACTTTATGCGCCACTTTCTCTGACGCGGCTAGAGCTGCAGATAGCGCCCTCGAAGCCGGCACGATTCGGAGAATCAGGTCAAGCGCTTAGGCTTGGCCGCTCGGTTGGCGGTCGAAGGCCGCATTTCAGTCAGCGGACCGGGGTGAGGTGGATCCGCTTTCTTCAGCTCTGACATTCCCCTGGCCGGGTACATAATAGCAATAATGGCCGCTCCTCTCCTTCACCAAACTTGTCCCATCTTTCAGTCGCTTTTTCCCTCAACTGTAACCACTCTTTAGACCTTTTCTTGCTTCTCATTTCGCTCTCTATCATAATGGTCGCTACACACCTGCTTGCCCTCGCGGCATCGCTCACAGCTGCCTCAGCCCAGGCAATCCAGGGCTTCAACTCCGGCAACACTTTCGTTAATGGCGCCGCAAAAGCCCAGTCCGACTTCGAGGCCGAGATGACTGCAGCTCAGAATCTCGCTGGCACTGATGGCTCCTTCACAAACTTCCGCCTGTACACCATGGTGCAAGCCGGCACCACTAACACCCCAATCTCTGCCATTCCCGCTGCCATCGACACCGACACGGGTCTCCTCCTCGGCCTCTGGGCTTCAGCCGGCCAAGCGGTCTTCGACAACGAGCTCGCCGCTCTCCGCAGCGCCATCCAACAGTACGGCTCCGACTTCACAAGCAGAGTCATCGGCATCTCAGTCGGCAGCGAAGACCTCTACCGCATCTCGCCTACCGGTATCGCTAACGAAGCTGGCATTGGAGCCGGTCCTGACGTGATCGCCAACTACATCCGACAGGTGCGGGAGGTGATTGCAGGCACGCCTTTGAGCGGCGCTGGCGTCGGCCACGTCGACACCTGGACGGCGTGGGTGAACGGCTCCAACTCTGCCGTCGTGCAGGCCTCAGACTGGGTTGGCATGAACGCATTCCCGTACTTCCAGGCCGAGGTCGGCGACAACAGCATCGAGCAAGGCGGTCCTCTCTTCTTCGACGCCTACGATGCGACCGTCGGCGCTGTTGGTGGCAAGCCTGTCTGGATCACCGAGACCGGCTGGCCGTACCAGGGCCCGACCGTCGGCGTTGCGGACGCGAGCGTTGACAACGCCCAGAGCTACTGGAACCAGGTCGCCTGCCGGGTTCTTGGTAACATCAACACCTTCTGGTACACGCTCCGTGATGCCAACGCCGCCAACGCTGCCAGCTTCGGCATTCTCGGTGACGATCTCGATGCCTCTTCTCCTCAGTGGGACCTCTCCTGCGCCGCTGAGAACACCACCTCGACCTCCACTTCCGCGTCTTCTACCGCTACTGCTACCGGCGGTGCTGGTGGCCGTGGTGGCAACGGCAACGGCGCGTCCACGACTGAGGACAGCGGTCTGACCGCCACGCCTGTTCCTATCCAGACCAACGTCAACGGATCCATGACTCTCTTCCCTACTGGCGGTGCCAGTGCTACTGGTGGTGCTTCTTCCAACCCCACTGGCTCCACTGGCCCAACACCCACCAGCCCGCCAGTCTTCGAGGGCGCCGCTACCATCAGCAAAGTCAACGGTGCCATGCTCCTCGGTGCGATCGCCGGCCTTGCGCTCTTTGCTTTCTAGATCAGCTAGTAGTCTAGCATGGAGGGTGGCTGTATAATAATCTGTAACAGCGTGGGAAATTTGCTGCATTTGCTGAAGCTAGAGGTGAAATCTGGTGGGTTGCTTATATGCTCAATGGAACGGTCATCTGAGACGGGAGTATTGGGATAGAGGTCATATTCATACATGTGTAACCTACTCATTGAGAACATACGGCTTCCTCATCTACTTCCGCTGTTCATTGCTGTGTAAAACGTACTTTCCTGATATGCACAGTGGTCTACTATGTGCTGAAGACCGAACCATGACGGCTTGACGTGACGGTTCGGTCGACAATGGTCCATCATGTAGGTAGAGCCTTGAGCAAGAGGCGCCTAAGCACCCTTCAACTCGTGGAGTACGTATCGACGCGAGGAGGTCCACTGATCTGACCGTGTATCATGTTAAACCGCTAGAAAAACAGGCCATGGGCGCTGAAATACCCACAAATCTGACGCCGGCACGATCGGCCGTGAATAATCTGGATGAGGCTCTTTGCGGCTAGTGTGGCTGACTAAATCCAGGCTTAGCGCCGACTTCCTCTGCTCCGCTCGCAATGTTACGGCAGCGTCAATTACCTGACCGATTACAGTATCGATACAGGCACGGAAATTAGATAGCTGTAAAGCTTCCTCTGGAGCTGTTTGCCATGGGCCGGTAAGCTCAACACCTACCCACCCCCTGTGATCCTCCACTTTGCTTCCGCACACCACGGAGCGGAGCAGCAGCGTCATGTCTGATACTGACCAGACGTCCCGGCAGACACGCCAATCCCGATATTCGAAGAGCTTTCGCCGAGTATCAGGATCAAGACACTCCCTCCAAGGTGCGTGCCTCTAGCATCGTCACCTAACCCGTACAATCGAAGCATCCTCCTATGCACCGCTCATGCGCTCCATTGTCGCTTACCTTCTTGCATCCAACGACTATCTCTAGTCCACGCGCATTGCGATCGTTATCTGTTGTGCAACTCCTCTGACAAGTCTTCCAGTGCAACAAAGTCCGCTGCCTCCACTGCGGCTACGTCCGCGCCAAAAATACCACCCGCCAGATCGAACACCTACAGGAATGCCAGGCGTACCTCAGCTCTCCCGATGCCCAAGCGCACGCCGCCAGTCAAGCCGCCGCCGAGACCAGCGCAATTGACCCCAGCATGACGAGCAACCCGCAGAACAACATCCTAAACGGCACGCAGCCGAACCCGAACCTCCAAATCCACCGCCGCGGCCCCAACCAGAACAAGCGCACACGCGACGGCCATCCAGTCCTAGCCTCGGCGCCGCCGCAAACCATCATCCCCTCCCTTACCGCCCACCTCCTCGCCACAACCCACGGCCCCTTCACCGCCGCAACACAGCAGCCCTTCCTCTCACACGCGGGCTGCGGTAACCTCTCCGCCGCGCCGCTCTGCCAATGGCTCGTCCAAGACGCGCACTACGCGCGCGGCTACATCCGCTTCATCGGGCAGCTCCTCGCCAAAATCCGGCTGCCCCCCGTCGCGAACAGCCAATTCCACCCGCTGTACCGCACTATGGACCTCCTGATCTCGGCGCTCAACAACATCAGGCGCGAGATGTCCTTCTTCGAGATCACGGCGACCAAGTACGGGTTGCAGCTTACGCAGGACCCGCCGAACCCGATCACCCGCGCGTATCTGGATCTCTTTCTAGGCGCGTCGAGCGCGAGTGCGAGTTTGCTGGAGGGAATGGTCGTGCTGTGGGCGACGGAACATTGTTATCGGACTGCGTGGATGTATGCGGCGAGTTTTAGCCACTCGCTGTCCACGCCGTCGACGGAGAGCCATATCGTGGCGCTGCATCAGGCGCTGATACCCAACTGGACGTCCTCGGCTTTCAGTAAGTTCGTGGACGCGTGTCGGAGCCTCGTCGACGAACTGGCGAACTCGCAGACCAGCCCGAATGGCAAGGAAGAGATGCAGCGGTGCGAACAGGTCTTCCGCCAGATCTGCTGGCTGGAAGAGCGGTTTTGGCCGGACGTCGATGGCATGGGCGAGGAGGATGAGAGCCGTTTGAGCGCGATGAGGGATTCGGGGATTGGGGCGAGTGGGTTTGACGGACAGGCGGGTGGAGGCGCGGGGGTGAGTGTGGGGGATCCGGTCGTGTTGGATGGGATGGGAGATGCGGGGGGGCAGGATCAGGGGGTTGCGTAGTTGATGAGACTGTTGCACGCCTCCAGGAGGACTGCAACCTTGTCCGTTGGGTCGGGTTTGGCGAACGTTTCTTGATTGATATTGCAACAGGTCGGATAATTGTTTTTCGGGAGGTTAATCCTGTGCTACTGCAGAACGGAAAGGCCGAGCCCTCTTTAGGAGTCGCATGAAGGTCTGACGAAGTAATTTACGGGCGGCGTATCTGGTGGCCTGAGGTATTGTCATCAGGAGAGGCTATACGAGAAACTGCTTTCTGGTGCAGTGGTCGGAGTTGGGTTGCCCATGTCTTCTGGTTTCACTGCGTCTGGCTTGAAGTAGGCAGAGCCCTAGCGCTTATCACAGACAGTAGTTATGCCTGCTATATGGGCGCTCCTCTTGAATAGCGAACGATTGATCTATGTATAAACTGCCACCTCTTTGGGCTAGCGCGCTCTCGGCCTAGTTTGGATGGCTAGGCATCCCCCACGCCTTTCTGTCCTGCAGAACTACCTACTCTACCTATCAGGATGCTGAGGCAATTTTCTTAGGAAGCTTACGAGAATGGATAGTTCCGAGCAATTCAGAGAAGTGCTCGCTAGAGCCGTACAACCTCCTTTCCAGTTCTCCTTTACTCCACTGGCTGACCTAGTTGGCAGTGCAGCAACTGCCATGGCCGGAAGGCAAGTAACCAGAGGCAAGAACCGCGGGTATCGCAAATTCTGGAAGACTTTTTTCTCACTCACAGCCTAGATACGGTGCGATCGTGGTCAGCCCTGTTCGAACTGTCGGATTGCTGGATTGAACTGCCGGACAGCAGCTCGAACTTCTAGAGAACAGCGACAGCGCGTGAATCGGTCGCTGGATCAGCATTAGTAAGTATTGGTTTCCTCGTGTCTGTAAAACGGAGTGACTCAATGTCGTTCTAGTGAGACCAAAGTCGATAGGATGGAAGAGCGGCTTGCTGGGATCGAGAGCACTTTGCAGAATCTCTCGAGCAGTATCCAGCAGATTGCAGCCATCCAGACTGAGACTGGGAGCTCTCTTCCGTCTCCAATGCACCAGCGGACAAGCATCGATATGGCTCCTCCTCACCCTGCAAGACCGGCTGCAACAACGCTGCGAGAAGAAAGCTCGTTCGAGGGCACCACCTCACTCCAAGCTCACTCTCTTCATGCCACTCAAATTGCAGAACAGGCCATCAACGACAGCCTCGGCGCGAACCAAAGCCCTGAGTTGCTATTGGCGCTGACGTCACTGAAGAAGCTGCTAGACAGGCAGAGTATGGCCAGTTCAAAGGAGCTTCAATTCTCCACAAAGGAAGCTATTGACAGCAGTCCCCGCCTCAGAAAGGACATGCCTCCCTTAGTTGACACATCCGCAGTTGTGAAAAGAGCCAAAGGTGCTTTTCAATCGTTCCACAGCCAGAAACCTTCCGCTGATCAGGTAACAGATGAAACTCCGCTGTGTTTCTACGGATATTTCCCTTTTTTAACCATTGATCGACTCGCGGAGATGTGTGAGAAGGTATATCAGAACGAAGGCGTCGAAAGCGTCCCCGTTTACATTACCGTGAACGTTTTCTTGTACTATCTGTTCCAGGAATACAGCGATGTTGAAGACGAAATAGCCAGCAACTATCGGCAACACTCGGAACGGTGTCAATTGAATATTCAGACCGGCTTGAAAGCCCTTAGCCTCATGTTGCCGCCACTACAAGAGAATATCGTGGCTCTTCTCCTAGGGGTAACGTCACCAGATCCAAAGAGACACTTTGAGAAACTGACGAAACGCCATAACTCCAGGCCACTTACGCCATAGAAATGTCTTTACCGTCACTGTGCTGGACACTGACAGCTACAGCAGCTAGACTATGCCAGACGCTAGGCTACCACCGGGCTTCTAGCTTCAAAGAGGACAGTCCAGAGTCGGCGGAGGCAAAAAAATCGCTCTTTTTCTATGCGTATTGGCTGGACAAAACTCTATCTCTCCGTGTCGGGTGTTCTTCTACGATTCAAGATTACGAAGTCGACATTGATCTCCCAGCACCTTCGCCAGACACCAATCTCGCTGCATGGCATGCCATGTGGATCAACTCGATCGAATTTGCTGCTCAGCATGGTCAAGTGTACGAGCAATTGTACAGCCCGGCAGCTTTGAGACAGCCCGAAGCCGAGCGAGTACGAAGAGCTTTGCACCTTGCGAAGACGCTTCAAGAGATACAAGCCAAAGCCAACAGAATCCAGGTTTGCGTCCAATTGGCTCCTACCGGGGAGAGACGTGCTATTGACATTGGTTGTAGATCAATCCCCTCGAACATCACGCTCCGGTAACCCTTGACCTCTACATAAAGTCCAACACGGTTGTATATCACGCTCTCATGGCGTTGGTATACCGTGCTGTGCCTCCAGATCCCTATGGATACCTCTCGACGAATACAGAATCCCTTCTTCATGCCCGTAAAGCGCTACACGCTCATCAAGAGTGCGATGCGCAGCGCAGGACTGGAGGCAAGAATAGCTGGCCGGAATACATACAATGGTACGTTAGTGTACTGTAATCCGGACAAAGGGATAGTGAGCGTCTACTGAATTAACCTTGATCAAGGACTGTTTTGCATTGCCCCTTTGCTCCGTTCATGGTAGTATTCTGCCATGTGATTGCGACTCTCTCAACAGAAGACCTTGCTAGTCTCGAGGCGTTTGTCCGTTCCCTTCAGCCGACAAGCCGGTCGTCCGAGGGTCTGGACAAAGCTTACCGGCTCTTCAACCTCTTCTACGTCCTTGCCAGGTCTTACGTACAGTGCAAAACTGGGCCTTCCGCAAGCAATATTCAACCGGGTGCAAGCAATTTTGATCTTCTGGCTAATCAAGGGACCGATGAGTTTGACAGATGTTTTGCCGCACTCGGCTGGATGCCCGGTCCCACCGGCTACAGCGCTGATGGTACAGCCGCTTCACAACCATTTCAGCCTCAGCAGTCAATCGCGGACGCGGGAGACGGATCTGTCCCAGGTCAGCAATTGGACCTGGGGGATTGGTTCAACAGCAACCAGTACTTCGCGAGCCTTCTGGAAGAAGACCTGTCTGATATCATTGGCATGTTAGTCTGACTGTCCCTCCTCTGCGGTCAGAAGAGAATAAACCTCGTCATGAATCGGGCGTGTACCGGAACTCCTGCAAAGCACCAAATCGACGTATCACGATCATTCACCACTACGGTCGCTGGATCAGCATTCTCTACTCCGCTCCGCTCTCCTGGAAGTGGGCAAACTAGGAAATTTGTCAATACTGCGAGGTACTGTTCGTAGCAGGATGTCGGAATTCTATCAGAATGTAATGTTCTTGATCTGGATTATGGCAGTGCGAATGAGATTTTGAGATGCACTAGCTACACGCTTAGCTATCACGGGCCCGCTTGCTGTGTTCCGAGGCAAGTGGATTTCGAATATATTGATCCATGTAGTATTTCTGGTGGTTGTGCTGCCGTGCGATCACAAAGCTCGTAACGTTCCATGTCGCTCGCACCATTGGCCGCTAAATCCAGAGCAGAAAGGCGCGACTGAAGCTTGAAGAGTCTTGCTCCTGGGTTATGCGTGGCGGAGAAGCGACAGGCTGCGGCATACTGGAGTCTCGGAGGCCCTCGACCGCGGCGTCCGTGGAAAGCGTGGGCCAAGGCTCCGTGAAATTAGATGTTGCCGATTTACCTGCCCTGCCACAGCCAACTTTTTCCGCAGCGGCTAATTTCACTGAGCCTTATGCGCCGCGGACCTCTCCAGCTGCGCCCCGGCGCTCACATCTGCGAGTCAAGATGATAAATATAAGGAGTCTTTCTTTCATTTCTGTACTTGTGTCAGTAATTTGAGCAACTCTTCCAGAACTGCAATGGGACACGAGAAAGATGTCGACCGTCAAAATGGCCAAGGCGAGATTAACCGAAGAAAGACTAACTCATTCTGGGCTTACAAGGTAAGTACTCCCGACAGATTCAACACCATAGACTGTAATGTAACGTGGTATCTATAGACAATATTCTCATTTTCCGAGCCAAAGGACTACGTCCTGAACTCCGTGGCCCTCGTCGCCGCCATCGGATCCGGCGTTGCTCTACCATTCGTCGAAATCGTTTTTGGGAAATTTGTCACGGTTGTGAATGATTTTGCGCAAGGCAGGTCATCGCCGGCGGAGTTTCGACAGGATGTAAACAAATATGCGTGGGTTTGCCCTCCCCGCCGTCGGTTGGTAGTCTGTCTTACTGACCAACTGATTCAGGCTATACTTTGTGTATATCTTCCTGGCCAGATTTGTGCTAGCCTGGATCTGGACGGTATTACCAAACCCCTGCCTTGCTCACTACGCAGTGTTTCCAAACTGACAGTGTGTCTTTGTCCAGACTGCTATCACAATCTCAGGCATTAGAATCACACGATCCATCCGGTATCAATTCCTCAAGGCCACCCTGTCCCAGGATATCGCCTACTTCGACGCAGGAGATAGTGGTTCTGTCGCTGTTCAGATCACCACAAACGGCAATCTCATTCAACAAGGCATATCGGAGAAGCTGGGACTTGCGGTTCAAGCCATAGCTTCATTTGTTGCAGCGATCGTAATTGCATTCGTCGCACAATGGAAGCTCACACTGATTACCATTGGAGTTGCACCTGCAATTATCCTCATTACGGGTATTGCCACTATGATCGACGCTAGATTGGAGTCACGCATGCTTGAAATATACTCTGCTGCCGCGGCCTTGGCTGGGGACACCATTTCCAGCATGCGCACCGTGCACGCTTTTTCGGCAGGCTCCAAATTGGTCAAGAAGTATGACGGGCATTTGCAGCGCGCATACGAGATTGGGAGGAGCAAATCTATCGTCTGGGGGCTCTTCTATTGCACCGAGTACTTCTTGGTCTATGCTGCGTATGCGCTTGCGTTTTGGCAGGGTATCCGTATGTTCTTCTCTGGAGAGATCAAAGATCCGGGCACCATAGTGATGTAAGTTAGATATGTCAGTTTTCAGCGTACACTCTGCTAATTGAATCCTCAGCGTGTTGTTCTCGGTTATCATTGCCGCATCAGCTATGACCCAACTGGCGCCGCATCTCACCGCCTTTACTAATGCTGCCTCTGCAGCTGATAGCCTGTTTAAAACGATCGACCGTACTTCAAACATCGACTCGATGAGTGTATCTGGCGCATTTCCTGCGTCCGTTTCTGGCAAAATCAATTTCTCGAACGTCAATTTTTCGTATCCGACTCGTCCGGATGTGAAGGTTCTCGACAACTTCAGCTTGACTTTCCCGGCTAATCGAGTTACCGCATTGGTCGGCCCCAGTGGCTCAGGCAAGAGCACGATAGTCGGCCTTTTAGAGCGTTGGTACGATCCCAATTCAGGCTCCATAGCCCTTGACGGTATGTCTCTGAAGGACATCAATACCAGATGGCTGCGGACCAGGGTTCGACTTGTCCAGCAGGTGAGTTGGTCATGCGCGACCTGCCTTTTGGCCATCTGCTAATATCTGTGCTTCTTAGGAGCCCGTGCTGTTCAATGGCACCATCTTTGAGAATGTCCGGCACGGCCTGGTCGGGACAGAATGGGAGTTCTTAGATGAGAAAGAGCAGCTACCAATTATCGAGGAAGCTTGCAAACTCGCCAATGCCCACGAGTTCATCAGTAACCTCTCGAATGTGAGTGCCACACTGTAACAGTTGAACGACAGCTAACTTTGACGAGGGCTATTTCACTGGGGTTGGTGAAAGAGCCGGGCTGTTGTCTGGCGGTCAAAAGCAACGTATTGCCATTGCCAGAAGCATCGTCTCCAACCCTGCGGTGCTGCTACTGGACGAGGCGACCAGTGCTCTCGATCCTCACGCAGAACTCGTTGTCCAGGAAGCGCTGGACAAAGCGTCCAAGAATCGGACGACCATCGTCATTGCGCACAAACTGGCGACGGTTAAGAACGCCGACAATATCGTCGTCCTTTCCCAGGGACGAATCATCGAGCAGGGAACGCATGCATCTCTGTTGGCCGAAGACGGCACATATTCTAGGCTTGTAAGGGCCCAGAACTTGGAAAGGCACGCCGAGGAAGCGGCGAAGGAAGTCGATGCTCCCCATGCCGAGCCGGAATCCACTCTCAGCCGGCATGTATCTATGGCGCAGGTCAGAACCGGAGAGAGCGTTGCATGTGAACAACCGGAACTCGACTACCAGCAACACAGAGTGTTTGGTTTCGTGAAGGTAATCTTCACGATTTTACGCGAACACTCGGATCTCTGGGTATACTATCTGCTGGTTCTGATCTCCTGCGTCGTTGGCGGTACGTCACCACCCGCACTCATGTTATGCACCATACTGACCAGAGTGAAGGCGTGACTTACCCAGCTCAAGCTCTCATCATGGCGGAATTGATGGGAGTTTTCAGATTGACCGGTAGTGATGCAACTCATAGGAGTGACTTCCTTGCACTCATGTTCTTCGTCGTAGCGTTGGCGAACCTCGTCCTATTCTTCCTCCTAGGTTTTGTCTCGAACATCATCTCACAGTACATGACCCGCCGCTACCGCCTGCAGATCTTTACATCGATCCTGCGGCAGGACATGCAGTTCTTCAACCGGCCAGAAAATACCGTCGGGGCTTTGACCAGTTCCTTGTCCGCTTTGCCGACCCAGCTGCAAGAATTTATGGGATTCAACCTCTCGATTATGCTGATAATCATGGTCAACCTGATGGCCAGTAACGTCCTTGCCATAGCGATGGGTTGGAAACTCGGCCTGGTCATCGTGTTCGGCGGTCTCCCGCCGCTCCTTGGTGCCGGGTATCTGCGCATGCGTTTGGAGGTCAGGATCAACAGGGTGCAAGGCAAACAGTTCGCGAGTAGCGCAGGCCTAGCTGCAGAGGCCGTATCCGCCATCCGTACGGTCGCGTCTCTGGCTTTGGAGCAGACTGTTCTTCGTCGATACCGGAGTCAAGTGGACAACATTGTCCGGGGATCCATTCTCTCAACGTTGAGGACGATGTTCTGGTTCTCACTCTCACAATCGATGGAGTTCCTGATCATGGCACTTGGGTTCTGGTAGGTCTCTTCAATGCCACTGGTGAAGCATGGCTAACGATTCCCGGAAGGTACGGCTGCCGCTTGCTTTCAACTGGGGAGTACTCCATGCGTCAGTTCTACGTGGTCTTCATCAGCGTCTTCTTCGCTGGTCAAGCGGCCGCACAGCTCTTCACGTACACTTCAAGTAGGTGCTGGTAGGAGAGTCTGAAAGTTTCCATTGCTGACCCTTTCAAGGCATCACGAAGGCGGTCGGAGCCGCTAACTACATCTTCTGGCTCCGAAGCATCAAGCCCACAGTCGCCGAAACAGATGATAACCTCGACCGCGGACCTTCCTCGGGCCCACAAACACTAGACGTCGACCGAATCAGGTTTTCCTATCCGAACGAGCCAGACAAGCGGGTCCTCAAAGGCGTTTCCCTGAAAGTGAGTCAACCCCCCCCTTATATCAGAGATGGTAGTCTAACCTAACCAACCACAGATCAACCCCGGTCAATTCGTCGCCTTCGTCGGTGCCTCCGGCTGCGGCAAGTCCACCATGATCTCCATGCTCGAACGCTTCTACGATCCCACATCCGGCAGCATCTCCCTCAACAACGCCGATATCCGTTCCCTCTCCCCGCGCCGATACCGGCAATGCCTCGCTCTCGTCCAGCAAGAGCCCACCCTTTACCAGGGCACGATACGCGAGAACATCGCCATCGGCCTTGAAACCCCCGACGAAGACATATCCGACGACGCAATCCTCTCCGCCTGCCGCCAAGCCAACGCCTACGACTTCATCGCCTCGCTGCCCGACGGCCTTGGCACGCTTTGCGGGCCCGCTGGCCTCGCGCTCTCGGGCGGACAGCGCCAGCGCATAGCGATTGCACGCGCACTGATCCGGAAGCCGCGTATCCTGCTGCTGGATGAGGCCACCTCGGCGCTGGATACGCTGTCTGAGCGCGTGGTGCAGGAGGCGATCGCGCAGGCTGCGAAGGAGGGCGATAGGATTACGGTGGCGGTCGCGCATCGGCTGTCTACGATCAAGGACGCGGATGTTATTTGCGTGTTCCTGGGCGGGAGGATCGTGGAAGCGGGAGCGCATGGTGAGCTGATAAAAAGGAAGGGCGTTTATTGGAACATGTGTAATGCGCAAGCGTTGGATCGGTGATGGAGTCTCGCCAGGGTGCAAGTTGTGACTTAAGGAGGTTACGGGCGTTTGGCAAGCCGTTGCGGAGCGAACGGAAAGCGCTCAGGTTGTTTTGCTTTCTTAACCATTTCTCGTTTTCCTTTATCTCGATCCTGTTTAGAGTTAGATGTGCGAAAGACACAACATCCATGTATGCTAGTTAGTACGCTTTATAGAGTAATGGACCGCGCGAGCGGCTTGCATAGCATTCGCCGAGAGGGAGTACAGCCGCTTATACTCACAGCTGCCCCATCAGTTCAATGCCAACCTGGGCTGGGCGCTCTAGAGGCATCTTAGCGGGATAAGAGTAATTACAGCAGGCATAAAGAATGGGCCGTCTTCTTTGCGCATCACACATGCAAGACTACTGCTCGATAAATTAAAAGCAACGGAAGTTATTTCAGTGACGAGACGGCAAACTCCTTATTCTCATTATATCAATATGTCCGAGTCCTCGACTTATGAACCCATCGTATGTAAAGTAAGCCCTCGAACGCATATCCCAATTCTACGCCAACCATGATTCTTCATGCCGGAGCGTCTAACGGCGGCGTGCCCTGGACGGCGGTGTGCAGTGCTCGGCGCTGTATCCAAAGCCTCGAAAGTTCATCCATAAAATAGCAACCGTGGAAAATGAACGCCGCATCTGCGCAGCGCACCCAAATGAAGGCGTGGCCTCTGCAGTCGTTGATTCGCTGGTCGCCACCCAAAACCCGATGCCCGCGTCCCTCAGCAGAAGATGCTGCTGCGTGTCCTCTCGTTCTCGCGGGTCGAGTTGTGCAAATGCTGCGTAACATCCAACACGATCATAACGTGCTCATGCTTAAGATCCGCCTCCTTCCGGCTCGCCAGCAACTGCGCCGTCTTGAGCACATTCTTGATCTGCCGCCCATTCATATTCATCAGCGCCAGCGAGTCCAGCTGGCGTTCCGTGATACGGTGTTTCCGCCCCGTCGTCGCCGCAAGGCTCGCGTCATGCGCCTGCAGGAAATTCTTCCACACCGTCCGCCGCGACTCGATGGACAGCTCTGGATAGTCGAGCGAAATGTGGATGCGGCTCTGGAACGCCGGGTCGAAGGTCTGCACGCGATTGGTGGTGAGGAACATGATGCCCTCGTAGTACTCAAGAATGCGGAGGAAGATGGAGACGAGCTTGTTACGCTCGAGCTCGTGGAGCGAGCGCTGCTCGAGGAACACGTCGGCTTCGTCGAGCAGCAGGATCGCGTCCCAGCGCGTGCACATCTCGAGGATATTCTGCAGCTTGCTTTCCACGTTCCGCGGATCGAGGCCGAGGTCCCCGGCGCTCATCATGTAGAGCGGGACGCGCATCTCTTCGGCCACGGACTCGGCGGTTAGAGTCTTGCCGACACCGGGAGGGCCACAGAGGAGTAGGATGATGCCCTTGCCCTTGCCTTCGATGACGTCGTCGAAGGAGCCTTTGTACTTGCGCTGCGACTCTGTGAAGCCGAGGATGAGCTCCTTCTGGTTGGCGGGCAGGACAAGGCTGTCGAAGGCGCCCTCCATCCAGTCAATCTCCTGCACGCAGTTGACGAAGAAGTTGAGCCATTGCTTGGTCTTTAGGCTGTAGCCACGCAACAGAGGCGTCAGCATGAGTTTCTGCTCGTCAGTTAGGGGCGGCCTGCGATTTTGGTCGTCTTCGTCGGCGAAGTGCCCGTCGGAGGGCATGTCGCCTTCGTCTTCCTCGTACTCTTCCTCGTATTCTTCGCCATCTTCCGAGTTGCCTTCGCAGTCGTCGGTGGACGCTACCACTTCCTTCTGGCTAAGAGCAGCCACATGGATTGCGTAGTTCGGGTTAAAGCTAACATCATTAGCACAGGTGAACTACAATGGGACTTTACAGGCGGGCAAAAGCGTGGTGTATAGCTTGAAGAGACATGCTGAACCTACCGGTTCCAACCATACGTGTCTATCACGATGCGGCCTTTGATGTTGTACTTGTCCTTGGTCCCAAACTGTCCGTACATCCAGCCGATGCCATGGTAGCCCTTATAGTTTGAGCCCGCAAGGGCTTCAGCTTTGCCACCGCGTTCGATCAAGCGCGCCGTGAGATCCTCCTTATGGCGGTGAAAGTCCAGTGGGAAAGCCGTCAGAGAGGCAATTGCACGCGTGCCAGTGTACGGGTAGATCTTGAGGTTCAGTTTAACGGTCCCGAACTTTGTACCGTCCCAGTCATTGTATTTGCATATTAGCCAAAAGCATGGATTTCCGCAGTTGTCTTGGCCATATCTTGTCTCCTGCAGCTTTATGACCGTCTCGTGACCGTCTTGGCGAGTGTATATGAGGGCACCTGGCTGGAAGAGGGTCCACAGATGTTCGTAGGTCATCACGCCTTTGGACTTCATGTCCTGAGACGCTTCCGTCAAGCTTTTGAACTCCGTTTGGAGTAGCTGCTGCAGCAGTTCCGCATGCTTCTTCGTTTGCCTCTCATCTTCGGACGAGTCTCCAAGCTTCGCGATAGCCTCTGTGAGTTCGGTCCATCGGTGAATGAGCGGTTCGAACTTGCCGGAGAACTCCAATCGCTGTAGACCCACGGTGACGCCAGGGTAGTCCTTCATCACGTGACCTAGGAGTTTCCTGAGCAGCGGGCTCTGCACCACAATGGAGTGGATGGCAAGGACTTTCCGCGGATCATTGTAGACCTTGACCTGCCTCACGAGGAGGGCCCATTTGGCGGTCTCTGCATCCTCGGCCGGGTCGCCGAGATCTTCTGGGATGGAGTCCTGCCACTGGAAGCGGCCTTTCTTATCTTCTTTTCCCGAGTACAAATGCTTAAGGCCGCATCGCATGCCGACTTCGGCAGGCGAAAGCTCCTGCTTGGTGAGTTAGTGTGCTGAACACTTGGTGGCTTGATGCTTGCGGAGTGAAGACGAGTGGTTACTCGGGGCTCAAAGACTGCCGTCAAAATGACTCACCTCAACCGCTTTCTCTTTGCCGTTAATGGTGAGGCCGTTGGTTATCTTGACAACGCCGTTGGCACCGTTCGTGGCTGGAGTGCTCACGGCAGGTGTATCTGATTCAGAGTCGGACGAGAAGTCATCGTCACGTGCTGTCACCATTGCTGCACGTAACCGGAGATGTTTGGCCTTGAGACGGTGAAGTTTATCTTCGAAGCCGGGCGTCTGTGGCCCCTTGCTTAGCAAATTGTAGATCTGACAGCGGATTTGACTGCACCTGGCCCCAGCAACTTTGCTCGAAGGCATGGTTTTGCCGTCAAGAAATCAAGTGTGATAAGAGACCTTGTGTTGGTAGACGGGACATGAAGGGGGGCGTGGTGCAGGTAGACGGCGGTGTGAATGAGCTTAAGACGGTGAAGATGGATTGCCAACGCCAGACATACCTCCAGAAGATCGCTTCACAGCACTGGATTCACCCAAATCTAAATCCTGGTGGCGCTGTCGATGGTTGCTTTGGGCAGTCTTTTGGAGAAATGCAGAGGTTATCAGGAAGAGAACAGCAGCAGGCTGAAGACGTTTTGAAACCAGGACAGCCGCTCTATTAATACCTGTCGCCCTACTGCTGCCTTCAACCCCGACAAGGAGTCATGTCAGGCAAGGCTGAGTCACTGGACCGCTAGGGCGCATCTCCTTTATTCCTTTGCCGCCGACAATGGTCGTTGCCTAGTACAGAGCGTTTGATCTGCAACAGCCGCATTAAACAAGCAGGCACAGGCAAGCACCCGATAAGCCGTTGATGCAATCACCAACATCAGTAAGCACGCCGACGTGTTCCTACCTAAGTAGCGGATGGACATGATATGATGGACCTGTCAGGCAACAGCCAGGATTTTCCGGATGAAGAGAACCTTGGAAAGCTCTCAAGCCACGTGATGCACCGCCACGATTGCTGTAACTCGAAGCTCATGCCGGGGCAGAGCAAGTGCATCCCCACAGTTTTCTCCATTCGATGAAGAGCCATGGCAGTGTTCGTTAGCCTTTCGAGGTGCAAGCCTCATTATGCATACCCCCATCGACCAAGCCCAGGACAGATCCAATGCCAGCGTGGTTGTCTACGCAACAGCCAATCACTGCATCGGCTGCCGACTGTCTTCACCGCAACCTCTCCTGGGTGCTCTTCGCTGTTCGGACCCCCAGCTTCTCTCGCGTTACTCGGCAGTCTCCAGACACTGGGGACGATGGGTCGTGTCTTCAACCTGGCATTGACTCGATAAATACCAGCGACATCAGCGACGCGAGACCAATCAACATGGTACCGATCGAGCCTCACATGTCTTCCAATGTAAGGCTCTCTACTACGAAGGACGGTCTATTCGTGCAGTGAGTCCACAATATGGCGCATCCGAGCGGAAGTAGGTGCGCGATGGCTTGACTGACTACCTACACCGTCGATGTCCCCTTTCAGTCCGGGGAGTTGACAATTCGAGATGTCAGAGATGCGTTAACGGCGGTTGGGAATGTCGTGACGCGCGCAGACGTGGCCAGCCGTCGGACACATGTGTGTCGCACAATTGGGGTTGCGGAGCTTATTCCACTCCATCCGACATCAGCAACAGGAAGGTGGACCGTCTCCATGTGAAAGCTTTTGCGAACTGGTGGTGGTGAGCTAAGCCGTCCACACCCGATATCAGCGGCTCCTGTTCGTTCTCTTCGAGCCCAGATCCTCTGTCTGGTCGAACGGAATGGCAGGAACAAAGAGGCCTCGCAACCACCGGGCATCCCACGCAAGCCACAACCAGATCTCCGACTCGGACGTTCCATTTTGAGGTAAAATATGGCGGTTGCTTGCGTCCGGTCTGATGTGACTGTTCAGCCTTCGGCCCGTCCTTGGCCCAAAAAAATGTTCATCGACCAACAGCAGCCAACCACACGCTTCGTTCTCTCCCACGCTGCATCCAATTCGCGCAAAGTGGTACATGCTCGCGCTCACAATCTCTTGACCGGCATTTGCAGTTTATTATTTCTTCTGCCTCCCCCCTCCTGCCTCCACGATGTCCGGCCAACCTGTCTCCACCGCCTCCCATCCACCCCACGGCCACCCCGACAACACAGGGCCCTCCACGCAAGCCGCCGACAAAGCTTCCACTGCCTCGCATCCTCCGCCTCACAAGCCCGACCCGACCGTCGCGGACAACAATGCCTCCAAAAGAAAGCTCTCCCCCGCCGCTACCTCCGGCGCCGCCGAACTCGCCAATCTTAAAATAAGACTGCGGCAGGCGCTCAGACAATACAAGGACTTTCCTTCGCCGGGTATACTTTTCGAAGACATACTCCCGATCTTTGCGGACCCGGAGTTGCATGAGGCGCTCCTGCGGGCATTGGAGCTACACGTCACTCAGTCGTATGGAGAATCGCAAAAACCGGACGTGATTGTGGGTTTGGAGGCGCGAGGGTTCCTGTTCGGACCGTCGCTTGCGCTGAGGCTTGGTGCGGCGTTTGTGCCGGTAAGAAAGCAGGGGAAGCTGCCGGGGCCGACGGAGACGGCGAGCTACCAGAAAGAATACGGGGAGGATTTCTTCCAGATACAGAAGGGTGCCATAAAAAATGGACAGCGTGTGATAATTGTTGACGACATCATAGCAACAGGTAGGGGGAATAGTATCGAGTGCCAGGTAACCCTATTGGCTGACTTGTGCTACATAGGTGGCTCAGCATCGGCGGCGGGATCGCTCGTACGGAAGCTTGGAGGCACACTGCTGGGATACGTCTTCATGCTCGAACTCGACTTCCTTAAAGGCCGGGCGAAGCTCGATGCGCCAGTGTACACTTTGATATCGAGCCAGGAGAAGGGCAAAGAGGGCGATGCACCGTCAGCCGAAGGGCCGGAGAGTGCTCGATAGAGCTCGCCTTTCCTTGCGCTTACTTTCTGGCTCATCAAGAGCTCATTACATGAGAACGCGGTGTTTTTCTACCGTGTCAACAAGCACGGTATGGTCGAGATCAGAAGGTGTGATTATCATGGGTAGACTCTCACGAACCACCACACCTCAAGCACGACCTTACGGATTTAGATGGGTTTCTGTCTGTTTATACGAGTTCATCACATGTTTCAAGGCTAGCGCAGGTCAGACTCCGTCTACATAGATACCAAGATTCAATGCCTACATAGAAAGCTTCAACCAGCGTCGTGATACGTTTGAAGCGTCGGGCCGACAACGGCGCTGCCCCACTACGCCTTGAAGCTGCCCCACGTTCGAGCACACGATCGTAAACATCTCTCATGCTCCGACGTACATTGGCATTTTCCACAGTCAGAAATCAAATCCGTACCATCCGAATCCACAAATTTCCACCGGCACAGCCCTATCTGCGTCGCCAGCAACGTACAATGGCCGACATGAAGAAGATATTCACGTCCAAAGCGTGTCCTCGTCAGCCATTCTACAAGCCCGTTAATCCAACTGAGCAAAGCTAACCTATTGCTTAGCTGCTGGACCATACGTAAGTCCTTCCTCTATCCACGCGTTCTGAACCAACAACCACCTCACCTTCCCCTATTACAGCAACTAACACCTCCAACCTACTCCGTAGACCCAAGCAATAGCAACCGGCAACACGATCTTCGTATCCGGCCAGATCCCAGCCGACAGCGAGGGCAAGCTGGTCGAGGGCAGCATCGCGGACAAAACCGAGGCGTGCTGTAAGAACATACAGGCCATCCTCGAGGAGGCGGGGAGTGGGATGGAGAGGGTAGTCAAGGTAGGTTGTGGTTTTGCTTGAGTCTGTGCTTCGAGGCTGGGGGCAGGTTCGGTAGCTCGTGCGAGCACCAGATGAGAGCGGTGTTAGGTCTGGGTTTGGGAGGACGCCGGGGAGTGAAATGACGGTGGTGTATAGTGGTATGCTGACTGGTTTTGGTAGTGCAATGTCTTCATCACGGATATGGCGAATTTTGCGGAGATGAATGGGGTATACGAGAAGTACTTTGCGCACAAGCCGGCCAGGAGCTGTGTAGCGGTGTACCAGCTGCCGAAGGGGGTGCCGGTGGAGATTGAGTGTATCGCGCTTGCGGGTGAGGGGAGTAAGCTATGAACTGGCGACCGGAAAGACGAAACGGCGGATAGTGGATTAGCTGTGGGGCTGTAAGGCCATGAGTATGTACATAGAAGAAACCCTGCCTGGGGGATATTGAGCCGTAATACCGAGGGGACACTACAAGGCTCTGGTCCATTTGTTCGTTTTCCTGTAATTGAGTCCTTAAGAGACAAAAATGTCATGGGACAGTATTTACAAAACCCTAAGGCGCAACTGCGTCACAAAGGGCTCACCTTGTATGGCTAAGGACGGGAGTCTGGAGTGTTTCGAGCTTAGCAGCTCGACAGCTCGGCCCTTGGAAACCTGAAGCTTGTCAGGAGCTTGGACGCCCATCTCACGCTAGCAGTACATAAAAAAACGTAGTCGAACGAAGTAACAAAGTATCACGGCAATGTGCTTCTACTTCCATATGATACATACCTACCTACTGGAACAATCTCACAGCGAATCATACTGATTTGTATTCCAGTTGCTGCGCCACGTTGTATGCACCGTCACCCCGCAGATGGCTTGGTGTTAAGCAAGGCTGAGACTCAGCCTCATGGCCTCCGCCTGCGATAAGAGCGTCCGCCCCCCAAAGGCTGCCTTTGAAGAGCCTTGTCGATAAGCACGATTTTGCTACAACCGTTATGGATCCTCTCTCTATCACTGCAGCTGTAGTGGGTATAGCCACTGCAGTAGGCCAAGCGGGTTCTATCACGAAGAAGCTTTCCTCCTTCCGGAATGCACCCGACGAAGTCTTGGGACTCGGGAATCAGGTGACAGATCTGAGTGCCGTTCTGACCGTCATTGGAGATGCTGTGCGCGTCCTTCAACCATCTCATGATGCGGAGCTCTCGGACAGTCTTGGTAGCCTTCACAACTTCCATCAGATACTAGCCCGAGTGCAAGGCATTCTTCAGGAGCTGGATGATCTTATACAGACTCGGCTTCTGAAGCCTGGAGAACTCAACCCGGACGGAAGTCCCAAAGTATCCCGTCGAGGATGGGCTTCCCAGAAGGACCATCTCATGCGCCTTTGCGAGCATCTCAAAGACAGTCGGCTCAATCTCGTCGTCATCATGAATGCACTGAACATCCTTCAAGGGTAAGCGCGCTGTGTGACATCACTGAGATCGTTTTCAACATCTTCTATGACTCGACAAGAGCTACGCTGACTTTATGCTCGTAGGCACCAACACCGTGCAGAGATTGTTCTATGTATCCAGGAAGTGGTTGCCAACGAAACGACACACCTGACCACGCACCTGGGTGAGCGCGTTACAGAACTATCAGAAGGACAGCGGTTGTTCCAGCGAACTCTGGATCAGGCGTTTTTCCGCTCCGGAACAGTAAATGAAGTTGAACCGCCGAATGCCAGAAATAATTGCCAGATGACTGTGTGGAATCCTCAATCTGGAAGCCATCAAGGTTCCTCCCCTCCGCCTGCAACCAACAGTGGCCTGCCAACTTCTCAAAGTGGACTGCGCATCAGTGCCACGATTGCGAGGCGACGCTGTGCTCGCTTTTGCAGATGTCAATGCCACACTCGAACCAGAATCGGGTTACCACGATGGCTTAGCGGAGCGCTTGGAACACTCTTCTACACTTATACAGGGACACCGTACTTCACTGCCAAAGCTTGTGATTACCGTTTCTGTCGCGAGAGTAGTGATCCTTCAGCTCGACTCACGTACTCCTTTCCTGACTGGATGTTATGCCGAACGCTTGTGATCGCAGGTACCTGGAGGGATCTGTCAGGGCCTGGGGCTTCCTGGACAATTAGAATGCCAAGGAAGATTGACAGTCTCGCTCCTCTATGGCATTATATCAACCTCAATAAGATGGATCTGATACGGCAATCTTTTCAAGATGGTCAGGCCTCCCCATTCGACGTGGATCCATATGGACGAGGTGCGCTAACTGTAAGTCATCAACAGTGATAGTATTGTTTCAGTCCATCGCAACTTCATTCCTCTTCAAAATGCGGTTCTTGAGACTTCGCTGAAGATATAATGCGCTTAGCAAGCTACACAAATATCCTTGTGGATTTCTCGCGGTACACTTACTGTGTCTAACCAGTGCCTATATGCCGTGGCGAGATGCTTGTGGCGAACTACGGAACGGTCACTAACCTGTCAATCTAGTATGCGTTTAAGTACTGCCACAACGACCTGGTAATATTTCTCTTGCAAGGGGGGGCTGAGCCATGTCTAGAGGACGATATGGGCAGGTAAGATGGCCGCCGCCGGTCAGCCCGAGAAGCTTCACGCTGACGTATGGCGGGAGTAGTTCTTTCGTCGATCTGGTCATCCAATCGCATCTCGAATCGCAAACGGACCCAGGAGCCACCCAGCCTTCGTATTCCTTCATGCCATACTTGGAGCATAAAGACTTTTGGGCGGGCCTTCAAATGAGTGTTCTCCACAAGATCATCCTTAACATTAGTGACGCGGATCTGGCCACTCAGCTTGACCTTGACAGCTCTGCATTGAACATGAAAGACCGCTGGGGTAGGACACCGTTGTTCTGGGCAGTGTCGAGAGACGATTGTACAAAAGTCCGCCTACTACTGCAATGGAACGCTGATGTGCACATTGCGGCTGATGATGGCGAGCAGCCATTGCACGTTGCGGCCAGAAGCGGCTGTATGGACTGTGTATCCATGTTACTCGATCGAGGAGCGTCAGCAAGATGTACTGATCTGATGGGGAGAACCCCGCTTCACAAGTTGACCAAAGCCCTTAATGGGGACATTGAGGCTGCAGTATTGCTACTGAGTCACGATGTTGAGATTGATGCCGAAGACGGAGATGGGAATACCCCGCTTATTGTTGCGATTCTAAGAGGGCGTCACCAGCTTACGCTGAAGTTCCTCGAACATGGAGCTGACATCGAGCGTCGAGATCGAGACACTAATCAGTCAGCCATCATGACCGCCATCATATGGGATAGGCCACAAGCTGTCCGCGTGTTGATTGAAAGGGGCGCAAGACTGGATCTACTCACCTACAGTGATAGCAGCGTTCTGCATTTAGCCGCTATATATGGGGACGTGGAAGTTATGAACATTCTTACTGACGCCAATATCCAAGGTGTCGACGTTAACGGCCGTAACATACTCGGATGGACTCCGTTGGAGGATTTTGAGACTTTCCGAACGGACTGGTATACCGGTATCGCCGACCTGGATGTGGAGCGTCCTCACTTTGAGCGTCTGCTTGCTAGTGTACAGGAGACATGGTATGACTGTGAGGAGTAGGGTTTCTAGCATACTGACAGACGCATGCATTTCCTAGGAAGAAGGCCGGTCTCCGGTTACGAAGCAGAATTCTCGAGCGTCATGGTTTCCCTTTCGTCCATGCGTACTAGAGGATCCTCGCCTCTGCCTCGTGGAGCATAAGAGCATAATCGGAGCGAGGGAGCACCAGTTAGCCGCATACGCAAAGCATCAGTGATGGAACTCCATGCATTCTTGGTCAAGCGGTCCATAGCTTTGGCACTTGAGTTTTCTCTTCTGTGTTTTACTTACCGATGGGATATGTATGTTTCATTTATAAGGATTTGCCTTTGGGAAGCGGCTTTGCGATTGCAGAGGGCGGGAATCTGAAGCCATACGACTCGTAGAGCAGAGCCCACTGGCACGCGGCCGACAAGAATAGCGTTACCGCGGACACCGCGAAGATAAGCAATTGCATAGATCACTAACATTGTATAATTACCATTGTCAATACACCGTTATAATTGAAGCTGTAAACATCGTACGACAGTCATTGTAAAGCTAGTTATCTTAAATCTCTCTCTTGAAAACTGTATTTCACGCCGTTGTTCATCTATTACTACGGCATTCTAGGGTTCACAGCGACGCTTTTTTTGTCAGCCGCGTGACCGGTAAGGAAATATGTTGGTATGCCAAAATGGTCTCGGTCCTGTCCTAATGCATTCGGCCCTATGAGGCTAGATCATGATACAGCTTCGAGCGTTTTGAGCCTGGTAGCTCTGTGGCTGAAAGCTTGTCGGGAGCTTGGGCGCCCATCTCACGCCAAGGTCCCGCGCTTCAGATCCTCCCGTGGCCGGCCATCCCGTCTCCAAGGGTCATCCAAAAAGTGTGTTGCCCTATCCTGGCCGCTGGATTGCCTAAAACCAGACTCGGAATGACGCTGAATCCGTGATCATACTGAAGGGAAATCAACAAGGCCGACAACGCGATGGAAGGAACCGGATGTTTACCAGTTCAACCCCCTAGTGTACAACTACATAAAGTACGACATCCAAGTACTCTACCTGAGTATCCACGGATAAGATGGCTTTTCAACCTGGCAACGCATTGTTTGGATGCCCCTTGCCCGCTTCACGTCATTCTGCGCCCAACGAGCCGTTGAACCACGTCTCAGCCTTCTAATATCTCCCGCTGAGCTTCACGTTTTTTCCTCACTCTTGCATGGAGCATCACTGAAGCTCTGTAACATTTACCAAAATCCGATACTTTTTGTGAGAAAAATTGTCTGCCCATCATGAGTTCCGGACTCGATATCAAGAAGGTAGATATTTCTATGAAAGCTCATATAATCGATATATTGCATACTGACTCCACGTACAGATAGCCATGATCGGCTGTGGCAGCATGGGCGGAGGCATGGCTCTCCTCTTCGCCGAAAACGGGGTCGAAGTCTCGCTGCAAGATCCATCCGTAGAAGCCATGGACCTGGTCATCGAGACCGCGAAGAAAGATGAGATCCCTCCGGAGAGACTGAAGAAGTACACAGGTCGGCTTTTCCCACCCTGCCCTGCCGCTTCCCTCCGGCCAAAGTTCCACTTCGAAACCTTGTAACACAAGATCTGACAAACACAGACTACGAATCCCTTTGCAAAAGCCTGGACTCCCCCAAAGTCTTCTTCTTCTCCCTCCCGCACGGCAGCGTCGGCGACACCGTCCTCGACGGCCTAACGCCCTACCTCAAGAAAAACGACATCATCATCGACGCCGGCAACGAGCACTTCACCAACACGGAGCGCCGCCAAGGCAAGTGCGCCACGCGAGGCATCCGGTATGTCGGCATGGGCGTATCTGGAGGCTACCAAGCGGCTCGCCAGGGACCGTCCATGTGTCCTGGTGGAGATGACTCGACGCTGGATCAGGTCATGCCGCTGCTGGAGATGGCGGCGGCGAAGGATGAAAAGGGGAGGCCGTGTGTGGGGAAGGCGGGGACGGGTGGGTCAGGCCATTATATCAAGATGGTGCATAATGGCATCGAGCATGGGATGATGTGTGCGATCTCGGAGGCCTGGCAGATCATGAATGTAGGTCTGGGCATGAATTATGAGGATATTGGGGGCGTCTTTGATGCGTGGAACAAGGATGGGCCGTTGGTGCGTATCTAGTTTTTTTCGCAGTCATCACCTTATACCCTTTTCGAGATGACAGTAAACAGGTGCTTTAGCTGACAATACTCGCACAGCGCAACACCTTCCTCATCTCCATCGGCGCCCTAATCTGCCGCACCCACTCCTCTGACTACACGCACGAAGAAAAAGGCAAAAAAGACGACCACGTCCTCGCTCTCGTCCAAGACAAAGTAGTCCAAGATGTCACCGGGGAAGAAGGCACCGGCATCTGGTCCAACACCGAAGCCGTAACCGAGCACGTCCCCGCGCCTACCCTAACAGAAGCGCACTACCTACGCCTCGCATCCTCCAACCGCGACGCGCGCATCAAGGCCCGCGAAGTCATGAAAGCTGACTTCGACCCTCGCCCCTTGAAATTGGAGGGCGAGGAGAAGGACAAGTTCATCGAAGACCTGCGGACGGCGACCTACCTCGCCTGCCTATGCAGTTACATCCAGGGCATCAACATTATCGAGCAGGCGGACAAGCACAACATGTGGAACATCGACTACGCCGCCGTGCTGCAGATCTGGGCCGCCGGGTGCATCATCCAGGCGGACTATATTGCGGATTTGCTGCGGCCGGAGTTCGACGACTATCAGAACCAGAAGAGCATGAATCTACTCTTTAATGAGACGGTTGCTAAGGAGATTAAGGAGGGGGTCCCGAGTCTGAGGAGGGTGTGTGCGAAGGGGACGGAGAGTGATCATGTCATTCCGGCGCTGAGCGCGACGTTGGAGTATATTAAGTTCATGACTAATACCAGTAAGTCTTGCTGTGTGCGCAGCTATTCAACGTAGGAGCCGCTAACGGGGGTACAGGTTTGCCGACGTCATTCTACGAGGCTGAGCTCGACTTCTTCGGCAAGCACATGTTCGATATCAAGGGCGAGGCTGGTACGGGAGGGCCGACGGAGGGGAAACACCACTATGAGTGGAGGCCTGCGTAAGTCTTCTGACCTGATAGTGCGGAGCTCACGTAATAAATATACTGACACGTACCTGTTTTTTAGACACAAGGCACATATGAATGAAGCAGGGAAGTGATGAGATGATCGATACCCGGTAAACTGTGTAACTGCTGAGGCGAGCTTCGGATGATCATGATTGACGGCCGCTTGGGGTGAAAGACTGAACATCTGGGAACAGTCTCGGACTCGGATGGTCGTCTGTATCGAAAAGTGAAATGGCGTAACATGATATTAACGGGATATCTGAAAACTTCCAACCAAGTCGGAATTAGTAGGAAGAGAAACCCTCTATACGCCAGCAGTCGAGCCCCGAAAGATGTCAACCAGAACATTTTACGTCTTCCGCGTCCGCATCAGCCCACCTAATCTATCCCCTCGCCCACCTCGACATCACTCAACTCGCCCTCTCCCTCATCATAATCCTCACTCTGCTCATCTGAGCTAGTTTCGCTTTCGCGCTCTACGACTCCACTCGCCCTCAACCACCCTTCGCCCTCAACCTCATCCAACCCCTCGCCTGCCTCCCCCACCTCCCCTGCCGCCTCCACCTCCTCCCTGACCCTCTCCTCGATCTCGACTTCCTGCTCATCGACCTCAGGCATGGGCTCCACATCCCTCAACCCACCCTTCTCCCCCTCCCTCTCTTCTTGCGAGTCTTCCTCCGTAAACCCGACAGCCTTCCCACTTGACGCCGGCCGCCCAACCACCTCAACCACATCCCCATCCCAAGGCCTGCAACTGTACACAACCTCCCCGCACCTTAAACAACTCCAACCCTCGCCCTCCTCGCCCGCGATCGCGCTCGCGAGGCAGGAGTAGCAGTACACATGCCCGCATGGGATCGCGGCATACGGGTTCGTGATGTCCGTCTGCGCGGACCCCACCACGCCGCCCGAGGCACTCGCGGCGAGGGTTTCGGCTTCCGACGCGCCGGTGGTGGTGGGGAGGGGGTTGGAAGCCGCGTAGCAGATCGCGCAGGTGCGTTCGGGGAGGAAGGCGTACTCCCCGCCTCCTGCTGCGGTGGTGTCGTCGTCATCGCCTGCGCTCTTCCCCCTCCTAACAAGGCTTAGGAATGCGGTTTTCGTCCGCCGCCAGAACCGCGCCAGCAGCCGCCGCCAGCGCGCGACGCCGACGAGGGGGAGCAGGAAGAGCAGAAACTCCGTGAAGGCGTGCCACACGAGCTGGCGGTTGAGGTACTCGAAGCTGACTTCGCGCGACGCGGTGGTGGTGGCTGGGGTGAGGCGGAGGCGCAGCGCGCGGTCGAGGAGGGTGCGATAGCGGCCGTTGTACAGGAACACGGCAAAGGATGTCAGGGCCGCTGCCTCATGCGCCGTGCTGAGCGCGTTCGTCAAGCGGGATAGTTTCTCGATCCTCGAAGTTGAGGGCGAAGAAGATGGAGAGTCGTAGGGGTCGTTGTGCGAGAGCAGCCACGCCTCCCACTTCGCCCAGGCGTAGCGGCCGCCGATGGAGAGGACGCCGTAGGCGGCTTTCTGCCAGGGTTTGGGCGGGGGCCGGGAGGCGGAAGGTGCGCGGGCGTCGGTGTAGCGCAGGCCTTGGAGATGTGCGCCGTAGGAGGCGTTGTGGTCCCAGAGGGTGAGTTTGAAGAGGGCGGCGCGGAGGAGGAGGAGGATTTCGGGGGCGTAGGTGTCGGTGAGGTGGGACTGTTGGGTGGGAAGAGTGGTGTTAGTGTTTGCTGTAACTTGGCATTCGGAGGGGGTAGAGGGAGATGATGCGTAGTGTGGAAAGTTTACTCACCCCGAAATACTTCAGCCCCTCCCCCACCTGCCCCTTCAGCAGCTCCAGCAGCTCCTCATCCAGCAGTTCCGCGTCGACCTGCCCGACTCTGAAGGCCGGATGCGTACCCTCGCGGCCCTTGATCGTGTCCCATAGCCCCAGACCCGCTGTGGCTGCTCTGTTGAAGGGGTATGGCAATCGCGAGACGGAGGACGCGGCACGTGAAGAGCGCTCGGCTGCGGTGCGCGCGCGGGCTTCGGACTCGCGTTGTTGGCGGCGGGCGGCTAGGCGCTCTTGTGCGCGGGCGAAGTCGGCGGAGGACATAGGGCGGGCATTGGGGGTTTTACGGGGGCTAGAGGTGGTTGATATATTACATAGCTGTCTGGTCTGGTCTGGAGATAGACGTGCGACTGGAGGGATGCCGAGGTTCGCCCTGAGGTAAGGCTGTCGATTGGGAAAGGGAAGGTTCCATCTTATCTTATCGATCGGACATGACTTCACTGAAGGTATTACGAACTTTTTTGGTATCAGAACAACAGACACTTGGAATGGTCCCTTTACCTCACGGACACTTGTAAACCGAAGCGGCGTTGCATGCTACCTGAATCTAGCTCCGCGGATATGAGGGAGCTTAGAAATTACCACCAACGCTTAGCCAAGGACTTTCTATCAGACCCCTAAAGCCAAATTCGATATGGAAGTCGAAGGCACGATAGAACTGCCAGCGGAGGCAAATCCATTGACGGAGGGGATTCTCTACCATGTTCTCCGCTCCGCTGCCTCGAATGATCCCCAGCAGATTCAGACCGGAACCAAGCAGCTCCAAAAATGGGAGACAGAAAAGGGATTCTACAGCCTCTTACAGTCCGTCTTTCTAGACAAGTCTCTTCCTCTGGAAGTCCGATACCTATCTATCATCCAACTCAAAAACGGCATCGATAAGTACTGGAGAAAGACTGCTACGAATGCCGTCAGCAAAGAAGAGAAGGAAGTCATAAGATCACGGTTGCTCGACGCTGGCAAAGACGAAGCGGACCACCGTCTGGCTTTGCAAAATGCTCTGGTCATAGCGAAGATCGTCCGGTTCGAGTTCCCTAATGACTGGCCGGATGTCTTCACGAAGCTCATTGATATCCTGCGTGTTTCGGCGAGCCCGAACGCTAACCGTCTCAACCTGCCACGAACGCTGCTCATACTCTTACACATAGTCAAAGAGCTATCAACCGGCCGATTAATCCGAACAAGGGCGAATCTTCAATCTGTGACGCCAGAGCTGCTCCATGCGGTGGCATCCATCTACGTAAGCAAAGTGCAAACATGGCAAGCCTTCATGCAGGGCGGGGGCGACGATGAAGGCGGTGCACTGGAAGCCATCGAACAGAGTCTGCTGGCTATCAAGGTGTTGCGGCGCCTGGTTATCGCCGGTTATGAACACCCGAACCGCGAAAAGGACGTGCAAGAACTGTGGACGTTATCACAAAGCCAACTGAGCGACTTTCTGGGCCTCATCTCACAGGTGCAAGAGGACATACTATCTCCGAAGGTCCGCCAGCTCATCGAAAAGCACCTCATGCAGCTGGCGAAGCTCCACCTTGAAATGGCGCGAACGCATCCGGCGGCATTTGTGCTCCTACCGAATTCAGTAGACCTAGTGCGATCCTACTGGAGCATCATAAAGAGGTTTGGGGATACGTTCAACTCAAAATCGTCTGGTGAAGACACTAAGATCGTTTCCAATGGCGGTGCTGTTGAGGAGGAAGCCCCTATTTTGGAACGCCTCACTCTCAAAGGCCTGCTCACTATACGCGCCTGCATCAAGATGGTCTTCAATCCCACTCAAACGTTTAAGTATCGACGTCCGGAAGAAAAGGAGGAGAAGGCACAAGCGGCGGAGATCCTGAAGACCCAATTGTTTGTGGATTCTTTCGTGATTGAGATGATGGAGGTAACAGTCTCCCGTTTCTTCGTCTTCCGTCCCAGTGACCTGCGCCAGTGGGAAGAAGAGCCAGAGGAGTGGGAGGTCCGCGAGGAAGGAGAGGGCGACAGCTTCGAGTTCTCGGTTCGACCGTGCTCGGAGAAACTGTTTATGGATCTAGCAATCAACTACAAGGATCTTGTTGTTCAACCGCTGCTGAACGTGTTCTATTCCGTTGCCTGTGAGTTTAGCCAATTCCCCCTTACCCAAAAAGCTCTACGGTATACAAATTTTCCACTAGCTCCACTGTCAGCTGCGTTAGCAGTTTACATAGAAGGGTTTCTATGCGCTTTTTTGGGGCACGTTAGCAAGTTGCAATGGCCCCGTCAACTCGCCTGGAACACTCTGCCAGCCCAAGAGATTAACCACTGGTCATTTACCACTACGTCACTAACGGCTCTGTAGCACCCGACGTTGACAACGTCCTCTTCAAAGACTCCGTCTACACAGCTATCGGCCTCGCAGCAGCCGTCCTGCATCAGCACCTTGACTTCGACGCCTTCCTCTCATCCACCCTCGTCCCCGAAGTACAGAAGCAGCAAACCGGTTACAACATACTCCGCCGCCGCATCGCAATCCTCCTAGGCCAGTGGATCACGATCAGAGTATCCGAGCAGTCAAGGCCGCTAGTCTATCAAATTTTCCAGCACCTACTGGACAAAAATGATCCGCTCAATGACCAGGTCGTTCGCGTTACTGCCGGCAAGCAGTTCAAGAACATCGCCGATGATTGGGAGTTCCGGGCTGAGCAGTTTATGCCGTACGCGGATGAAACCTTGGCTAGGCTTATGGCGCTTATTGAGGAGGTGGAGCTTACAGAGACAAAGATGGCGCTGTTGAATACGATCAGTGTTGTTGTTGAGAGGTTGGAGCATCATGTAAGTTCTTCTGTCCTTTTCAGCACCCCAACCTATTGGTCCCATCCAAGCTCTACGCGGAGCCGTTCAATACCTGAGCATCTGCCATTTTTACTCGCCGAAGCTTGCTCCAAGCGGCGTACAACAAGGATCCTCAAGCATCGTCAGGTCAACTTAGCTGGCTCAACAGCGCACCTACATAAACAAGATATCCCCACTCAATTAGATAGAGCACGACAGTTGCTGACATTCAGCAGATCACCCCCTTCGCCTCCCGCATCGTCTCCCTCCTGCCGCCACTGTGGGAGCAATCCGGCTCAGAGCACCTAATGAAACAAGCCATCCTCACTATCCTCTCCCGCCTCATCAACGCAATGAAAGCCGAGTCTCGCCCATATCATTCTATGGTCCTCCCTATCATCAAAGGCGCCGTGGAACCAGGTTCAGAGACCCAGCTCTACCTCCTCGAAGACGCTTTGGATCTTTGGCACTCGATCCTCTGCCAAACCGTGTCCAGCGACGAAGCAGCCAAAGCAGAGCTACTGGCCTTGACACCGCATCTACTCCATACTTTGTCTTTGGGGACTGACACCCTCCGCAAAGCGCTCGAGATCGCAGAGAGCTACATCCTTCTCGCACCGCAGCAGCTCCTAGCCGACTCTTCCTTCCGCTCCTCGCTGCTTAGCCAGCTCGCGGAGCTGCTTGGCACACTGAGACCAGACGCGAATGGCCTGCTCACCCACCTCGTAGAGATCTTCGTGCGGGCGTCCGAAGGCGTCGGCGGCCAAGAGGGCGTACGCGTTGTCGTTGGCGACATGGTATCCACCGGCTTCTTCGCGAAACTTATCAGTGGGCTCCGAGAGGCATGGGAGGCGCATCAAACTACCGGCCCTAAACGCAAAGACCCACCCGTCGACGGTATCGTAGAAACAGACTACTTCTCTGTGGTGGCACGAGTTGCATTCTCGTCGCCTTCCCTGCTGCTAGAGGCGCTCTCGGCGCTCTCCCAGCTCCCCAACCCGCCGGCGGGCGCGGAAGGAAGCGTGAAAGCAACGATGAAGTGGCTGCTGGAAGAGTGGTTCAGCCATCTCGAGAACATCGGGGATCCGGGGCGCAGAAAGCTGATGTCTCTTGCGCTGACGAAGCTGCTCGATACGAATGCGCCGTGGATTTTGGGCCGGCTGCAGGAGCTCATGAGTCTGTGGACGGACGTGGTGACAGAGCTGACGGAGGGAGGGGATGACAAGCATGTTGAGTACGTTTCCCCCCCTCCGCCTTTCCCCTCCCTTGCCTCTGGCTCCCGAATCTCCGCCCACCAAACTCCACAAAGCAGCCCCCCGCCTAACCCTTCCCTCACAAAACTAACAACACCCCAGCTCCCTCGTCTACGGCCCCATGCCTACAACCACAACAACACCCCACGGTGACCCCGAATCTCCCGAGGACCTCCGCCGCCGCGAGCTCGTCTACTCGGATGCAGTCCACACGGTCAACCTGGTGCAGTTCATACGGACCCAGCTGCAGCGCGCTATCCAGGCCCAAGGCGGCCAGGCTGGGATACGGGAGTGGGTCGCAAATGTCGATCAGGATGTGCTGAAGGCTTTTGGGGCGTTAAGGATCCTGTAATGCTAGATTGAGGGTTGGAGAGGCCTGTGAATGAGGGCGTGCGACGGGGGAGATGAGGGGAGTGGACACGTTCGCATCAAACATCGTTATGTGAAGCGCATCTGCGCTTAAGCATCCTCCTATGGTGGCACTCTGACACATCACGACACGAGCAGTGGGATAAGTGAATTTGTGCTTGCACCAATGGTGCGAACCTTTTTTTTTTTACTAAAAACAAAGAGCATAGCTAAAGCCCAATCCATACAGAGCCCTCCAGTCTAAAATAACACCCGTAAAGCTTTTGGATATCTCCCCCCGCTAAGCAAACCAAACCTTGTCCAGCTCTAAACCCCAAACAGAATGTCTCTGACTGCGGCTGCAGAAGTGCGGGCACATCCGGTAGAGTCTTCAACGGCGACCTTCTGCATCTCGTTAGCGCCGCCCACAAAAGTCATGAACATCTGGTAGCTTACCAGCCCGCGCTCCAAACCGCATTTAGACCTCCGGAGCCGCATTCGCAGCAGCAGCCACCTTCTCGTCCACGGCAGCCTTCTCGGACGCCATCTTCGACTCGATCCCGGCCCTGTGGCCCTTGGGGCCCTTAGCCCTCAGGCGCTGGATGCGCTCCTTCTGGCGCTGGAGGCGGCCATCGAGCTCTTCGCAGTCATCGTGGGCGCCGTCGTTACCCTCCATCTCGCGCAGGGAGGAGATGTCCTTCTCGGTCTTGGTGTGGATTTCCATGACGAGGGTGAGCACGAGGGGCTGTTCGGGCTCCTGCTCGGTCTCGGCCACGGCGGTGCTGTTGGCGGCGCGCTTCTGGTACGTGGCGACGGTGCCGTTGGAGGCGGCGGCGGCGGCCTCGAGCTTGGTGAGCTTCTGGTCGGCCTCGTCGAGCTCGTCCTCAATGTCGTAGTACTTGGCCTTGATCTTGATGACCTTCTTTTCACGGTGCAGATACTCGTTGTCCTTGGTGCGGGTGATGTTGTACCCGAAGGCGGAGGCTTCGAGTGTGTGGCTGTCGTCGGCGGACGCGTAATCGCCCGCGATGACCTCGGCCTTCATGGTTTGCTCGTCGGAAACCTCGGACAAGTAGAGCCCGTTGGAGTCGACTTTCTCGCTCTTGCCGTCCTCGAGCTTGTCCGACGTGACCATGGCCACGCCCAGCCTGTATTCATCGTCGTCGATGTTGGCACCGGCCTTGGCTACCTTGGACTCGCGATTGAAGTGGTCCTCACCATCGACGGCCGACACATTGGACTGGCGCATCTTGGCCCAGTACTCGTCCTCGCCCTTCTCGACACGTATGGCGCCCTTGAGCTCTTCCTTGTCGAGCGTGCGATCGCCGCCGGTAACGTGCATGCGGTACTTGTAGCCCTTGAGGGAGGCGGTCGTGTCGCCCTTGGTGCCGTTGAAGGCGATCGCGGTGCCATTGATGCTGCCACTGACCGGTCCTTCGGTCCTGCTCTCGCTGATCTCGGCGGACTTGAGATCGACGGCGAGGTCCTCGCGCGGCACCGGCGACTCCAGAGTGGCGTCGATGAGTCCTAGCAGGCCGACGAGAGCGGCGACGGAAGCGGAAGAGAGCTTCATTGTGTTGACGGTAAAGGTCCCGGGGTTGGAAGCGAGAGGGAAGCGGAAGGTAGTAGACTGATATAGTATGGAAGAGGAAGGCGATATCACACGCAAGAGTCTTCAGAGAAAAGCTGATGATGAGCCAGGCACTTGATCTGAGGATGCTTGTGAAGAGAGATGGTTGGAGCACTGAAGGGGAGATGCTGCAGTATATATACTAAATGCGACAGAGCTAAAAATCACGCTTCGCTGTTCATCTTCATCAATATCGGAACGGCCGTTACGATCTTGCGCCAGCGTGGGCGAGGTCTCCACTTCAATTCACAACACAACCATAGGACACACGGCCGAATCTGGCTATCCTCAACACAATGTTCACGAGAGACCACATTTGCTGGATCCTGTACCGTTGGAAGTCGAAGGCATGGATCCATGATTCGTTTCCCGCACGCTGCAACGAAACTTAGCCTGCGTTGAGTGTTCTCTACTCCGCTTTCGCGTACCAAACTCCTTGAGCGGAAGAGCTGGGGTAACGCACGAGCTCAATAGCTATTTCACTATAATCCCGCACCGTGGAACCACGGGCAAACCCTACGATCTCCACAGACACGGCAAGTACAGTACCTCCAGGATATCTCCGCTTGAACACGGCAGAGACTCTCCTTCCATGAAATGAGTCCGGTGTGGATGGATCTATCAAGAGTTGAAACGAGAGCTCCACACGATGTTTCCCGCTACCGCTGGTACGTAAGGAGGCGCAGCAAGGCCAATTGTCATCAAGGCATTCTTTCATCTTCAGCCTGCGCACACGAAGCATGGCATCGAAAATCGACTCAAGAAAGTGGGCTTGGACACATTGCGGATTTCCCTAGTAGACCGAGTCCGTAAGGGGGTGACTTTGATGAGGTTGCTTGGAATGGTACGCAAAGGGGATGAAACCAGAGTTGCCACCAGCGGAGAAACGTGGACTTCTCTTTCTGCAAGGATACAGCAGATTCATGACCACTGAGACAAAAGAGAAAACTCAGCACTACGATGCGGAAGATTGTTGTTGAATTATGGTTCCAGCCTCACTAGCTTGACGGGGTGGCCTAAGAGATATCACGTGACCCACACTCAGAAATACCATTATTCTTCGGGCGTTCTGCGATCCATGGCTGAGTCGCTAAAATCGCTCAAGCTAGTCACATCCCCTTATACTACGATGGAGAAATGGGTGCTGCTCCGCCCAAGCTCAGGAGCCACCTCTCCTCGCTGACCCCGTACCCTGCTCACCCTTCGCATGCGAACTCGCGCCATCATGCTCAACTTTCTTCAGCGGCCGATAGGTTGCGTCCCACATCTGCTCACGAATCCATTCCTCTAGGTCTTCCTCGTCTTCAGGGATTTCCTTTTCTTCATTCAAGCCCTCTTTGATTGAAGTCTGGATAACCGCTTTGGCAATCTTGACGCTGATCTCGCGCACATCGGTGACGTCAGGGAGCAGACCGGCCTTCGGGTCTTTAAGTGCGGGCGCTTGTGCGGCAAGAGCCTTGGTTGCAGCCACGAGGAGCGGTGGGGACATTAGGCGGGTGCGGCTGAGGATGGCGCCGAGACCGATTCCGGGGAAGGTTGTGGAGTTGTTGCATTCAGCTGGGACTGGTTAGTAATACGGAACAGAATACGAGCACGCGACGAACTATGAGATATTGAAGGCGCGTGGGAGAGCCATGTCGCTTACTCACCCACTTCGTACTTTGTGCCATTGTGCTCGACTGGAGGGAAAGGGCTTCCAGTGGCGATTAGGGCTTTTCCATCAGTCCACTTGAACAGATCATCAGGACGAGCCTCGTGAAGCTTCGTGGGGTTGCTGAGTGGGAGGATGATCGGCCGCTCAACGTGTTTCGCCATTTCCCTAATCGCTTCCTCCGTGAAACTCTTCGGTTTCGTGGAGGTTCCGATCAGAGCATGAGGTTTAACCTCCTTGATGATGCTGACGAGGTCATTGTGATCCTTGTCTTCCCATTCGGCGTCATCACGAGCGAAGGGTATTTGAGCAGGAGTGAGCTGGTCCTTTTTGGATTTGAGCAGCAAGCCTGGCTTATCCACACACCTGAGAAGGATCAGAACATGAGCTTCAAGTCCGTGGCTAGGACCACCTACCAGATCTGCTTCCCTGCTTCTTCTTTTGACTTATTCGTTTCTAGTGCTATAGCATCCATGATCTGGTCGGCAATACCAGTACCCGCCGTGCCCGCACCGAAGCACAACACCCTTAGATCCTCATACTTGACCTTACTGACGTTCATAGCTGCCATGATAGCAGCTAGCGTAACACAGCCAGTACCTTGGACGTCATCGTTGAAGCATGCGATTTTGGGCGTGTACTTGTCAAGGATACGCCGCGCATTAGGGAGGCCAAAGTCTTCCTAATCGAGATCAGTAAGGACTTATAGCGGCTTGCGAGGGCGGCCCGTACGAAGTGAATGTATGCCTTTGGGTAGTTCTTCCGACACGCCTTAACGAACGTATCTACGAAAGAATCGTACTCTTCTCCCCGCACGCGAGGTTTACGTAGACCGAGATACAGCTCATCCTTCAGAAGTTCGTCGTTCTGTACACATTAATAACCTTCGTTGAAACAATTCGAGCAGTTACGCACATTCGTCCCGCAATCAAGCACGACCGGGAGCGTGCGAGAAGGGTGAATGCCCGCACAGAGCGTATAGATGGCAAGCTTGGCGACTGAGATAAGAATAGCGCCTACGCCCTGATCTCCGATGCCGAGTATCTGGGTGTCTTATTAGGAAGGACTGGCACTCGCCGGTGAGGTGCTTTACGCACCTGCTCGCCATCGCTGACTACGATCAGGTCAATGTCCTCAGCGTTTCCCCACTGAGCGATGTTGTCATCCACTCGGTCCTGATCCTCGATATTCAGAAAGCAACCCTCAGGTCTTCGAAACAATCTTGAGTAGTTTGCAATGGCCTCTCCTTCGGTTGGCGTGTAGATGACCGAAAACATCTCCTTTAGATGTTCTTCGATGAGCTAGACAGCATGTCAGCCAATTAGTAGTAATACACGTAGAACAGTTAGTGCGTGTTTGCCTTGTAGTAGAGGACCGCATTCTGTTCCTTCAGACTCGTCATGAATGTGTTCTTCGCCAGATCATTTGGCCGGCTGCTGTACTGTTCATATGCTCGTTGGACTTGTTCCTCCAGCGTCTGAACATTAGGAGGGAGAAGGCCATGGAGCTTGAATTCTTTCCGTTCTTCTGGCGGAAAGGCGGAGCCTTTGTTCAAGTATGGCGCGCGTAGGAGTGCTGCGCCCTGTAATAAGGCTGTTAGTCAAAGTGTCTCTGTTGGAGCGGAGGGCACAGCACTCACAGTCAAGGCACATTCTTGGGGCCCTGAGGTCGCCAATGGCAAATGCCCAAACCTAGGATGCTTTTTGTCTTTCGGATGCGCCCCCATGGTCGCCGTGAGGTGGAACTGGCGTGTCGGTATGAAATTCCTGCTGTACAGATGGTTGTTTCGAATGACCTGCGCTCTTGTCGGTGATCTCAACAACGACACCGGTCTCAGGGTTATGAACTTGAAACGGTCTAGAGGAGATTCAAAGGCACTCTATCCATTGACAAGTAAAGTCGAGACGACGGGTTGACCGAGCATTCGGTGCCGAGGTTGCAGTGTTGAGCTGCAGCGCGCAGTTTGTTTGGGATACGTTCTGTAGGTATGACGTCGGTGTTCCTTGAGACCTCCCATGACTGCTAGGTGAATGTTACAGTAAATCACGTAGCTAATTGAGACCTCTAATCTGAGACTGCACGAAGCGGCTCACTCGAGAGCGAAGCGTTGCGATCAGCAGCTTCAGCGCCGTGACGCATTGCACTGTCGTCCTTTGACCCGTGCACAGCTGGAGACATTCGGTGATAGGTCGTCTCAAGTGCCCTATATGACAACTACTTATATTCCTAGAGTACCTGACAAGAGTGCAATAGTATGAGTATTCGCTAAAGATAGACACAATTTCACCGTTTCGAGGTGCCACTGTTTCGTAGGAATCAGATTAGGCTTGTCCACCTACCCAATTCATAGATTTAGGCTCCATCCCGTCCATACCCTAGCTATACCATGCAAAGACAGTATTCTTCCTCCGTTTGCGCGCTCATACATGGATGTCTTGAGTCTCGTGATTCCGACCACTCTAACTCTTCCCCTTTTGCCAAAGGCAGCTGCTCAAAACGAACCGAAATCCTCCTCCGAACCTCGACGACTTACACAGTGGCAGCGCCTCACGACCCTCTGTATGCTTCTGATCTCGCGCGTCCAAGGCGAATCGCCGGCACTGCGGCAGCCGCAAAGCCGTTCCCGCCCAGCAAGCCCTTCCACCCAGACACGTACCTGTAGCAGCCCTCTGTGCCCTTGGACTTCTGCAGCCCGCCCATCAAACCGGCGACACGCTCCCCACCTCCACATCCCCCGCCTCCCCATTCACAACCCCCTCAACCCCATACGTATCCTCGTACTTCGGAATCTGGACATCCCACCCATCATCGCCCTCGACCTCCTCATCAAGCTCCAACCCCTCATCATCCAGCTCCCCCTCCCTCTCTCTCCCGTTCCTCGCGGCACTCGCGCCCCACTTGAACGCCACGACGGCATTGTCCCGCAACCCCGCACCCTTGACGCTCTCCTCGACGCCATTGACCTCCCTCGCTTTGCCCTTGCCCTTGCCCTTCCCGGTCCCATTCGCCGCTCCATCCTCCCCCCCATCCGCCGCAGCGCCGCCAATGCGCACCCACCCCTGTGCGAGGTCGTGCACGTCTCGCGGCTTCCCGAGCACCAGCGCCTCGGCTTCGCCGGGCAGCGCAACGCCGTGGAGCGTCCCGTCTGGTTGTGTGGCCCGCAGCGCGCGCAGGAGCTCGGCTTTCACCGACGAGAGCGATTGCAGCGGGTCGGTGTGCAGCAGCACGGTTGTGCGGGCGTGCTTGAGGCGGAGCGTCCATGTTAGGGGGCTTGGTTCGGTGGGAGCCATTTTTGGACTGTGCGGAGGGGGTTGAGGGGGTGCGTGGGTTGATGCGGATGGTGCAGGTCGTGGATGGAGATGGAGGTTGGGGAGACAAGCGCGGGGCGGTGGTGTTCGGGTTGATGCGCGTGCGAGGGTGCGGTGGATAGTTGGTGGCCGAAAGGCTGTGGTGAGGTGGGTATAGGTGTGTCTATGTGAGGCGCTTTTGTAGTAGTGGTGCCTGAGTTGGGTTTGCTGTGCGGATTGCGTGCAGCGGAGTTGAAGCGCGTCTGCACGTGTTGAGGCGTCGGAAGTGGAAATCGCCGCGAGTCAAATATCTTGGCAATGGCCTTGTGCATGATTCAGAGCATGGTGAAGTCTACCAAAGCTCTCCACCTCCAGTGCCGCAACGGGAATCATCGTTACAGCTATCTCATCCCACCCCACCACCTTTCCTTGCCACATTCCGAGAACCCCCAACCAGCATACACAACAATCGTATTCCGCCCAACCCCCATCCCAACCATGACATCCACCACAGCCTCCCCCTCCGCCTCCGCCTCCACCACCGCATCCGCCGCAGCAGCCCCTCCCACGCCCCACCCGCACCTCTCCTTCCGCTCGCGCCACGCCTCCAGCCGGCTCTCCCTCCCGCTCTCCCTCCGTCTAACCCTCAGCACATCCGCCGCCTTCACAACAGGTCTATTCCTCGGGACGCTTTACGGCGGACGGACCGCAGGCCTCCGCTTCCGCGCCGAGCACGCGCACCGCCTGCCCACGTCCCCGACGGGCTGGTACCTGTACCACAAGAGCAAGAACTACCACGTCATGCTTGGAGGCTTGGGGGAGGGGCTCCGGATGGGGGCGAAGCTGGGGGCGTGGGTGGGTGTGTTTTTCGTCGTCGAGGAGGCTGTGGATGAGATGAGGGAGGTTGTGGGTAGGGAGTGGTGGGGGCGGGGTCCCGGGGGGTGGGGCAGGGGGAGGTGGGAAGAGGGGATGGGGAAGGATTTTCTCAGTACAGTCGTTGCGGGACTGACGACGGCGGGCGCGTTTAGTGTCTGGAGTAGGTGTCTTCCCCCCAGGGAGAAACTGGGATGATTGTGTGGGGGTTTGGATGAAGTGGAAGCTGACGGCATGCGCGCAGATCGCTTCCCACTCGCTACGGCCGCGCGGATAGCGAAGACGGGGCTGCTGGCTGGTGTGGGCTTCGGGCTGGTCCAGGATGCGCTGGGGATGCTGAGGGGACGTGAGCCGGGCTATGTCAAGTGGATGCGTGGGGGTAGTCGCACGGTCGACACATGAAGATTGGAAGGTTAGAGATGGTCCTCTGGCACTGCTCGATTTTTACCACGCACTATGCGGCATTGGACCACGCCGAGGGATTCAAGGCGCTGTCCCGTTCCGCGGCATCTGGAGATGCATGCGCAACAACATGGAGATGGACTGTCCGGGCATGTCGTTTAACTGTTGCAAGCGGAAGTTCGGAGCGGCAACAGACTGGATCTGTAGAGGGCGAAGAGGGGAAGCCCTTCTAAGACAGCGGACGCCGACACCGATCTCAGCCAAACGAGCAGATAACCGGGGGGTTGTTTGGATCTTAGCTGGCTTTAAAGAATGTGCCTAGTTCCGGAGTTGGGAAAAAACTTAGCAACAGCGAGCCTGTCTTATGTATATCTCAGCGGATGTTGAAGTGGAGGCGACATCTCTTATCTTGCAACACCTTTTGGCACACTGCTCAATATTTCATCGGAGATGCAGACCCCTATCGCCTGTTGTGAGCGCTCCGCCAATCCTTCCATTCCCCAACGCATGCGACTTGCCAGATAGTCCCATCCTAACACCAACCACTGAGTCTTGAGCGAAACAGCTCGTGATTTTTCGGAAGTACCAGCTAACGACTGCCAGCCGAAGCCAAGGAAAGCCCCGGACCCGAATACTCCATAGCATGTGGCAGTCCATCACCCCGCGCTCAATCCTTCAGCGACTGGAGCATCTCGCGACTCTCTGTTTCCTCTGTGTCTCGGCCGTAGCGATGGGTACCCAGCCGACAAACCCCTCGTGAGACAGAACCGATCTGCCCAATATCGCTTCTAAATCAAGTTTGACTTGCGCTTCTCAGGCGCATCAGTTGCGTTTTATCTCAATACCCGGAAGCCGACGCATGGATGACGGCAGCAGTCGAAGCTAGTTTGCCTTCGAGAAGCCGTGTACGACACCTCATCGTTCTTTCCGAGCGTTAATTGAGTTAGGAGTTCGTCCGTTCTCGAACACTGCCCCTTTTTGCAGTTGGCGTAGGAGAGATTCGGTACCCAGTTCCAGATGTGCATCATGTAAGTGGATGGAATGCTGTAAGGTTCGTTATCAACTAGCGCGGGCCCTATGGGCCCATCTCGATCCAGATTCAAGAGAGGCCAGGCGCTACCATAATCCTGGTGCGCAAAACGACCGTCGTACGCTGTTGCTTAGTAGAAACCGTCGTATCCGCATGACCTGGCTGTGGAGATGTTTAAGGCGAAACTGGTTTGCGAGCATGTACCACATAACTACGTCGTGTCAGCGCTCGCGCACACAATGTCTGTCGCCCATCATCTCCTCCCTTTCCCTGCAGTCGTCAAGCAGAGTAAGACTCACACATAATGATAAATATGCTCCCTCCTCCCCCTCGCCGCCCTCCTCACCTCCGCCGTAACCTTCTTGACTTCATCGAACGTATACTGCACCCCCCCTCACAACGTCAGCCAGCTATCCCAACCGCTCCAGACCCACTCGCTCAGCCATTGCGGCTCTCTGAAAGGGTAACTCACGCCTAGGGTTCTGGTATACAGCGCCAAGATCCAGTCCTCGCATCCGTCCTCCCAGTTGCGCTGGTTCCACTGCCCCAGCTGCTTAAGCTTGGGGTCGCTGCTCCACGGGCCGATGGGCCATTTGTAGACATGCTCGGTCACGTCGGTGAAGCCTTGACACGGATTCGTCAGCCGGACGAGCTAGTCTCCTCTCACCCTTGACCAACACCACTTGACGTGGAAAGCCGCGAGCATAGGACAAACTCCACTAGCGGTGTTTTGACGTGGTGTAAGGGATGGGGCTGAAGCTTACCAACGTCCCGCAGCCGATCAGCTACGTGCGACGCGACGTCCATGCTCTTACCCGTCCGCTCGCCGGCCTCGATCAGACCGGCCGCAAGCTCTGAAATCACATTGTCGGCAGGCAGCGGAGACGGCGGATCGGTGGAGCAGTACATGTCGACTTCGACTTCGGTGTGCTCGATGTAGCCGCCCGGCTGCAGGTGTCTGCTCAGAGAGCCTTGGTCAGCCGCAAGAGCTGAGGGAGGGTCATGAGGATTTCTCTGTCTTGCACACGGCGTGTTTCTACATTGCATATGCAGACATGGAGAAAAGGGGGGCGGTTTACGTGTAGCACTGTCGGTACAGCGCAGGCCAGTCTGGTGCGCACCCGATCAGGGTGCGCAGGTGGATGAGATCGAACGTATTTTCGGGATAGGTCCACTCGCTGCAGAAATCGTCGACCTCGAAGCGGACGTTGGGAGGGACGTGTTTGACCTGTGTGGGAGAGAGGTCGGTTCCTGAGTAAGCATGAGTTAACTGTGGTCTCGTACTACGACAGCGGTAGAGAGAAAGATGTCTACGAAACGAGGATCGAAGGCGCGGCTGTACCTATGACCTCTGCCGCCGGGAAGCGGTCCGCCATGTCTCTGCAAGGAGCCGTTGTTAATCTTAAACACTGGCTTCGAGGGCCACGGTATCGGCTTACATGGCCCACAACCCCGTCCCCGTCCCGACATCCAATACCCTCAGCGGCTGCTCCACCGGCGCGAGGTAGAGTTGGTCATTCATCGTAAGTAGCCACAGGTGATGCACAAGCATCTCGTACTCGGCGTGCTTGTCGTCATTGGGCATGAAGTATAGCCCGTCGCGGTAAGCATGGTAGCGCCGCCCGTTCTCATACCGGTACCGCGTGATTATGCTCGCGAGGCTGCGCGAGGAGGAGAGGCTGAGCGCGTCGTCATCGGAGCAACCGTCGGCGTAGGACTGGTCGATTGGAATGGGGGCCGTGGAGGAGGCCATGCATGGGGTTTGCGGGGGAGCTGGTGTAGAAGGCGGGTTGGAGGCGGAGGGAGGGCACGGCGGGGGCGCGGGGCTGCTGTAGTTCCTTGTATGGAGGCGAGAAGAAGTCTTCGAACTGCTTGTTTCTTGCCTGTTACGTGGATGAGACAGCCAGCGTGTCCTCGGCAGGATATCAGTGCTCAAATCCGGCGGCGGTAGAAGAATGCAGTGACGCAGCGACCGCCAATCTGCGGCATGGATGGTGGAGGCGGGATACCCATGTCTGAGCTGGTCGTTTGCACGTGGGCATCGTAACCGGGCTGAATACACAAGCTCGACGCTTATTCAAGCATCGGAATGCTGCTCATCGCTCTCAGTGAACGTTAAGATGGGGACGGCATGAACGTTGATTTCCCCGGATCCCGTTTCCTTGCGCTCGGTAAGACGGGACTGTCCCACAGCTTCTACTCTGTCGGTAACGAGCGCTGGGGATCTGGGATGCCAAGCCTGTGCCTTTCTCGAATCCTCCGCCGGAGTGATATGGCAGCTTGCGACTAGATGAAAAATTCCTCTAACTGCGACCGATCCCATAGCGTCGAAAAGTCGCCACAGAAGATGCCGTAATCAATGTGCAAGTGCAGTGAGATACCGAATACTGATTGTCATTCTTGGCTGTCCGGTGATATACATGTTGACTTTTGCCGTCCGTGATCAAAATGCACTCAGCCCTCCCACGGCCACCGAAACACGATCGAAGCAGTCACCCTACTCCGTGCAGAAAGCAGTCCTCTAACAACCCGAACACTTGAGCCAAACACATACAGCAACATTCTAGGGCTTACTGCCGCCTGCCTTGCCAGCCTCTTCTTGCGCCTGCTTCTCTATCGCCTTCGCCTTCGCCTGGTCTTTTTCGTCTTCACTCGAACTGGCGCTCCCCTCTTCTCCACCCTTGACCCCTCCATCCTGGCTCTCCCTCCTCAGCCTCTGTGCCTTATCGTTCAAAGCCTTCGCCTCCTCCGCCGCTCTCTGCGCCTTGACCTGCTTCTTCCACATACTCGCATACCGCCCCTTCTTCGCCAACAGCTCCTCATGGCTTCCCCTCTCCGCAACTCTGCCCTCATGCAAGACCAAGATCTGGTCTGCGCGCACGATGGTGCTGAGCCGGTGCGCTATCACCAGCATCGTCCTGCCCTGGGACAGCGTCGTCAGGGCGTCCTGGATATGCTGCTCGGTCTCCGTGTCCAGCGCCGCGGTGGCCTCGTCCAGCATGATGATGCGCGGGTTCTTGAGGATGGTGCGCGCGATAGCGACGCGTTGTTTCTCGCCGCCGGAGAGGCGGAGGCCTCTTTCCCCGACTTTCGTCTCGTACCCGTCCGGGAAGCTGAGGATCTTGTCATGGATACTCGCGGCGCGGCAGGCTTCGTAGACCTGCTCGTCCGTGGCGTTCGGGTTCGCGTAGCGCAGGTTATACATGACCGTCTCGTTGAAGAGGACCGTATCCTGCGGTACCACGCCGATGTGGCGACGGAGGGAGTCAATGGTCACGTCCTCGACATAATGCCCGTCGACCTGGATGCTGCCGGCCTGGATGTTGTAGAAGCGGAACAAGAGACGAAAGACGGTGGACTTGCCGCCGCCGGACTCGCCAACGAGCGCAGTCGTCGTGCCCGGCGGGCAGCGGAAGTCGAGCCCGTTAAGCGCGGGCTTGCGCGCATCGTACGCGAAGTGCACGTCGTTGAAGCGGATCTCGCCCTCGCAGGACGGGAGTTCCTTGGCGTGTGGCTGGTCCACGACTGTGGGCTGCTCTTTGAAGAGCTCGAGCATGCGCTCGCTGTTGATCATCGCGGACTGGATCATGCGGTAGAAGGTGCCGAAGAAGTTGAGCGGGCCCTGCAGCTGCGCCATGTAGGTGAGGAGGGTGACGAAATTGCCGACTTTGCGCACGCCGGTTGTTACTTGGTAGGCGGCGACGAAGCAGGCGACCATCAGGCCGAGCATGAAGACGAGGTTCTGCGTGACATTCATGATGTTGAGGGAGAAGAGGACGTGGTACTCGGCTTTTTGGTACTTCATTACGGCGTTTCGGTAGCGGTTGAACTCGTAGGCTTCGGCGTTGAAATACTTGACCGTTTCATATGAGACCATGGAGTCATTTCTGCCGAAGGTTGTCAGCGCATGTCAAATGCACATTGATTGTAACATACTTGACGGCGTCTTCTTCCCTGTCGGCGTTTACCATCTGCCGCCGAATCTCGGCCCTCCACTGCGCCATCCTTATGGTCAAGTAGACGTACCAAAAGGTGACGACCGCCACTACAAGAGCGTAGTAGGCGTCGAAAGCAATTAGGAAGTACGCGATAGCGACGCAGAGATCGACGAGCATAGGAACGACTTGGAAGGTGACCTGCTCAAGGAAGGTGTTGATCGAGCTGCCTTTCCCAAGAGCCGATAGGACTTCACCAGTCTTCTTGCCTAAATGAAAGTCCAGACTGAGACCGTGGACATGTTCGAAAGCGGCTACGGAAAGCTCGCGGTACGAATACTGGCCGATGGGTATCCAGAGAGTGGAGCGGAGCGCACCGAGCAGGCCGTTACCACCCTGCAGCAGTCTGTAGAAGATGTACAGGCAGATTGCTCCCCATGGCATTTTGATCTGGCCGTTCTCGCCGGACAGGTCATCGGTGATTTTGCCTACCTGGTACGGGACGAGCACGTTGACGACTCTCTGAAAAACGACAATGGTAAAGCATATGACCACGATGATCTGCAGTCGTCGGTTCTTGGATGGCCAAAGGTATGGGAAGAAAACCGAGTAACCTTTGATATACTCCCACCAACTCCGGGAAGGTACGCCGTCTGGTCTACTCCACCCGGCAGGGGCTCCCTCGGTGTGCTTGTGTTTTCCGCCAGCTGGCGCGGATCCATATGCCACAGCGTGTCCATTTTCTGCGCGGCTCTCCGCCAGAAGTCCGGTGGATTCGCTCGGTCCATTAGCGGTGGGCTGCTCCTCCTTTTTCTTGCCGTATGAAGCCACGAAAAGCACGTAGAAGCCAATAAGGAAGAGAAGTAGCAGGATCCGAAAGAGGTCCAGTGCCAGCTCCGTGATCTCCCATTCTGTCGCATTGCCCCTCAGCTTTCCCCATCTGCCCTTCCCAGCTCTTGGCTCTCGGTGCCGAGTAGTATAGATTGCAAAGGATGCTCCAAGGATCACGATTTCCATGAGTGTGGCGAAGATCCAGGTCGCCAGATGAGCGCCAGTCGGTGAAGGCTTCGTGTCAAGGAGAGATATTACGAGGAGTGAGTATACGAAGAACGAACCGACAAGGTAGATCTGGAAGGTGTGTATAAGCAAATGCCCCAGCTAACGTTCATACAACGGAACATGTGCCAGACCAGCGGTGCGTTCACATACCACCATCGCCTGTCCACACCACCACTGCTCCCCACGGTCGTAGAGGGCATGGACTATGACGTTTATCGTGTTGCCAATGAAAGTAAGGGCGAGAACGACAGAGATCCACTCAAAGACCAGCTTCCGCGGCCGTGAGATGTCGTCGTGTTTCGGCTTCTTGGGGGCATTGCGTGTAGGGTCGAGGTTTGGGAGGGGCTTCCCACCAGGTCCCAGCTGCTGGTCGGAAGCGCCGCTCCCATTACTATTACGTTTAGAGGAGGCTCGTATACTCCGCAGAGTGAAGGCACAAAGGAAAAAGAGAAGGAGGACGATCGGATAGGCGTAATGCAAGGTACGAAGAATCCTATGGGAGGCCGTATTGGCAGCCAAGCCGGAGTCGTATCCTGGCCGGGCATCATCCATGGAAGCTCCAGTAACGAGCGTCCGTTCGGCCATGCTGGGGGGTGAAAGATTCCTCAGACTGCGACGAGGAGGACAAGAGGATATCGAGCAAGTGCCATGACAGCGCGAGGTCGTGTGCTTTCCTCAAGTGGTGGTACTCCAGCGGGGGGGCGACTTGGACCACTTGGACCAGTGCTTGGTGGTGGAACTGCGGACGCACGATTCCGCCGCCAGTAGCGAGTGCGCTACGGAGCTGCAGTGAGGATCGCATCCATGTCACGCGGAAGACAGCCCGTCACCCAACCCTCTCGGCGCGCGATCGAGTATCGACAGCTTTGATGCGCCGTAGCTAGGCACCTAGGTAACCTTATACGAACCCAGGGCGGGCTCCGTACGGTCATCTGCACACCCGTTCTCTTGGGGGGGGGGAGGGGGGGCACACCGGGGGGCACCCCTCGTCTCAAATGCCGGAATCGCGGCCCCTACATCCCCTGACTCGCGATATCCCATAAGATTTACCTACCACATGCAGTCACTTATGCTGCCTCACCGCAACGCTCGAGCAAGGCGATGAACACACGCGAGCGATGCAGGAACGCCATCGTCCGTCTTCCCCGACCTCCCGCTAGCCATGGCAGGTGATCCCCCCCGGCGTGCATCTGCCGCTCCTGCTCTCGCTGCTGCTTCAAGTGCCATACCGCCTGCACCTCCGCTGCCGCCGCAGAAGCATTCCGATCCCTCGCAGAAGTACACGAGTGCCTTTGCCAGGTTCGTTGCGCAGCCCTTCTCCGGTTATGGCTCGCGACCGCCAAGCGCGCAGGCCCACCGCCCCGAGGGAGGCAGGGTGAATTCGTTATTGATTCCAAGAAATCTTGGGTGAGTTGCCGCAAACACTGTGCTGGAAGGGTGCAGACGATTTGTTCCGCCCACGATGCTGTGCAGTCGGCTATCGTGGTCCAGTATCAATGAAACAGTACCCAGCTCGACCGCGACGACTAACAGTGGGCCCTAGTCCGAACTCGATATCCTCGCAGGATGCGAGCCACAAGACCGGTCTGGAGATTACTGCTCTTGACATCAATCACGAGAGAACTCATGCCATTCTCGCTGGCCGAGAAATCTTAAAGACAATCCGCATCGCTGGCACTAGATGTGCTGAAGAGTCTAATCTTCGCGCAGCGATCCTGAACTACAACAATGCTGCGCATAGCTCATCCGGTGCAGGCGGCGGCGCTCGCTCAAGAGACACGCTCGAGATCCATGACGTTAAGTGGTCGCATGGCCAGTTCAGCTCTCACATCGCAACGGCCGCCACCAATGGGAAAGTAATCATCTACGATCTCAACCGGACCGGCGTGGAGCTTGCTCGCCTGCACGAGCACCATCGCCAGGTACACAAAGTCGCATTCAATCCCCATCAAGGTTACCTGCTTCTGTCGGGAAGCCAAGATGATACCGTTCGGTTATGGGACCTGCGAGACCTGAGAAAAGACATAATGTCATTCACCAGTCGAGACAGATTCCTTGGTATGAGCGGACCCGTGCGCGACCTTAGGTGGTCACCTACCGACGGCGTAGAGTTTGCATTCGGCACAGACAACGGAGTCATACACCGCTGGAACTACCGCATGAACAGGGGTCCGCTACTCAAGATTAATGCGCACGACAAAACATGTACGGCCATCGACTGGCACCCAGACGGAAAGCATCTTGTCAGCGCAAGCAAAGACAAGACTGTCAAAGTGTGGGACTTCTCATCGGACCAGCGGCGCCAGAAGCCTGCCTATGTCATCAGAACGCCGTATCCTGTGTACAATGCGCGCTGGCGGCCGCCTTGTTGGCAAGCAGACGGCCATGATCATGGCATATGGAAGTGCACCATGCTTGCTACTTCCTATGACCGAGATCACCCAGTCGTACATCTCTGGAATTTCCAGCGTCCTTTCTTGCCTTTCCGAGAAATATCCCGGTATAGCACAGCTCCAACTGACATGCTGTGGCAGCACAGAGATCTGCTCTGGACCGTTGGCCGCGAAGGCGTCTTTACCCAGACGGACGTGCAATATACTCCTAAGGTCATAGATAGGCGCAACATGCAGGCCTTGGCCTTGTCACCGACTGGAGACATATGTGGTTTCGTTCAGAGGAGACATCGACGCGTCAAGCCGGGCCCTGGATATCGTGGTGATGATAGCTATCATACCGACGAGAAAAATATTAGCCCCGAGAAGCAGAGCTTAAGCAGGAGTTTGGCTGATGACAGCGTAGACGATACGTTTCTGAGTTCTGCTTACAGGAAGCATCACGGACGCTCAGCCAGCAATAGATCCGCCAGATCTCTCGGAAGCTCACAGCCATCGTCCGAATCGGCTCAGGTCATGACGCTGGACGAAGGCGTGGATGCCGAGAAGGATTCCGTACAACCGAGTCAAGTCGCACTAAGAGGATTTGTTCCCGGCACGGTCAATGTACCCATCTTCACATACCTCGCTCAGAAATACAAGATGATTCCACTGCCGGAATCGCCAACCATTGAGTCTTTCAACGAAGTAAGACGAGTGTTTGACCAGAATGCTGAGTATGCTCAAAGAGCCGCCTTCTACAGACTGGCTGAAACATGGAGGATGATCGGCTTCTCGACGAAGATCGCGATTCAGCGGAGAGCGCAAGAAAGACGGAGACGAAGGTTACACCCAGGACCTGTGCTTCCCGCTGAACGGCGTGTCCTGTCAGGTTCTGTGGCGAGCAAAGAGGAGCAAGTGGTGGCAACACATCCCGCGATTTGTGCCATCATTTCAGAAAATGGGAATCACGTCAAATCCGAGAATTCATCGAACGCAGCGACACCACTGGCAAGGCCTCAACTGCATGTCCCTGTCCCCGGGCGCCATCACGAGCTGTTGCCCGATCTAGAGCACGCAGAGGGCCTCGCTCTACCGGCGGCTATGATCGGCTCGAACACCTCACAGCACGACCAGCTAAAACAGCACAACGACAAAAGGCCAGGCCTACCGAAACCGGTCTTTGATGGCCCCGGATGGTACAGCTCGTCGCCCGACCTCAGCGAGCGTCGAGCGACGATGGGCAGCTGGCGCGCCCAGCCGAGAGCACTGCTCACACTCGAGACAGCGGGAGGGCAATCAGTCAACGAGAGGATGTCCTCTTCCTTGGATAGGCGGAGCTCAGAGGACAGCTTTACGATGTTCTCTGCGTCTACGGATTCTCGACAGCCTCAATCGATAGGCAGCTCTTTCGCTAGTAAATCATCTCATCGGCGTAGCATGGAGTCTTTGCCGGAAAGGTGGGACCGTGACGATAACCACCTTCCCAACTTGAGACCTGAAAGCAACTTGATACGTCCAATGGAGGTTCCGTTGCAAGCATCTATGAGTTCCTACAGCAACACCGAGAAGGTCAGTTCTTCGTCGCAGAAACCTTGATGTCTGAAAGCGTCCTTCAGACTTCTTAGCTGAATTCTTTCGACTTCAAGGGTGCATGTTTCTTCTTGACTGACACTGCAATTAGATCATCATACCTCGCTCGATCTCAGAGAACCCTATCGGTCATCAATCTTTACTCCCAGCTGCATCGTTTGGCATAAACGGCGCCTCGATACACAAGGCAGGCGAGGCTCCTGCGGTAGACGAGCACCAGCCGACTGTAGGGTCAGCCTCGAGCCCAAGCAAGATCATCCAGCGGATGGAAACACTACGTAGAAACAACCAGCTCATCCGGCAAACCAGTTCCGAATCGAAGATCCACTTAAGCGGCAAGGATAGCTTCTCAGATACCTCGCTGCAGTCCGCGGAGAACACGCGGGCAACCGGCATGATGCCCGCCGACAAGTTAGCGGAAGTTCATCCCTCTCCGCAACAGCCAGCACCACCAGCGAAGTTGCAACGAGAAGCCGAGAGCGCACCAGCAGCTTTGCAGACTACGACGAGCAAAGACATCGATGACGAGGCATTGATTCTATCCGACTTCCTCACCCTAGACACAAGCTCCGATGCCGAAAAATGCAGCCCCTTCACCATCGTCGACATGCTCACCCAACTCCTCTCCTTCCACACGACCACCCTCTCCGACGCCCAAACCCCCGCGCACCTGCTCCTCCTTCTGTTGCCCCTCCTCCCCCCATCCCACCCCCTCGACGCACCCTCCACAGCCACAATCCTTGCCTCCTACGCCGACAACCTCAGCACCACCGGCCTCTCCCCCACCCAAGTCTCCACAATCCTGACAACCCACCTCCACCACATCACACTTACAGGCATTAACCCCTTGCAAGCCGAGAGCATCCTCGCGGCTTACCACGCCCAACTCTCGAGCCTGGGCCTGCATACCGCGGCCGCGTATCTGCGGCGCCTGGCCTATCCGGCGTTTCCGGCGGTGTACGAACAGGCGCTCAAGGACACGCAGCTCGGGCTGCTGTGCCGCGGGTGCAAGAACCCGATTACGAACCCCCGTGATGGCATGAGATGCGAGACGTGTCGGGCGCGCCAGGCCGAGTGTCCGGTGTGCTGGAGCCGGTATCCCCCGTTTGAAGGGTGGGCCGGGAAGAAAAAGAAGAAGGAGAAAGACAAGGAGAAGGAGAAGGAGAAGGGCGGATTGCAGACTCCAGCCCATCACCAGCACCACACGGCCGCAGAGCCAGACACAGTCAACCCCGTCTCCGCCCCGGCCTCGCCCCACCCAACCCTCTACACCGCCTGCGCGCTCTGCAGCCACACCGCACACCTCGCCTGCCTGAACCTCTACTTCGCGGACCCGGTCAGCGAGGGCGCGTGTCCGACCCCCGGCTGCTTGTGCGATTGTGTCAATGGTGCGAGGAGGGTGGAGAGGCTGAAGCTGATGCTGGCTAGGAAGGCTGAGAAGGAGAGGATTAGGGGGGCGGTGGCGGGGAGGGATGAATGGAGGGTTGGGGAGAGTAGGGCTGTGGGGGCTGCGAGGGGGGTGTTGGGTACGGGTTTAGCTACTGGGATTGGTGGTTCAAGGGGGGAGGAGAGGAGGGTTAGGGTTGTGGAGCCTGAGGGTTGGGTGAGGAGGTAGTGAAGCGGAGTGGGGCTGGAGTGTTTTTGTATTGCTAGGTTTGATGACGGATTTGGTGTCTGGGTTGCTGGGTATTGGTGTGGAGTGACTTTGAAAGTGCAGAAGTAGGAGCTGCCAAGGAAGATCTTGATATCCTTTTTCCATTTGAGCGACGAAGTCTCGAGCATTCGTGAGAGGCTCTTCCTTAAGAGACCTTTCCGCACCCTGAGCTTCTGCGAAGCAAGCTTCAGGAATGAGCTTGGCTGTCCTGCCGCCATTGGTGCCTGGTTGAAGAGAAAACAACCCACGGCAGGAGATATTTTCCAAGCGTTGCGGCACACAGCGCTTACATGCCACCTGAAGTCCTCGATCAAACTATCTATTTACATCGGCCATAGTCGGTAAGCCATTTGAGATGTTTCGCCCGTATCTGTGCCATGACGCGATCCTCCACCGCCACAGACTTTTCAAGGCGACGTTTCGCTCTGCGGCTGAGAGGAGTACTCTACCTCCTCAATCACGGGGCCACCGGAGTGGATTGAGGAAGCATTGATTAGCGCCGCGTATCGCGCTCAGTCATGCTCATAGATAGTCTAACAATCGGAGAAGGGTCATCGGCAATCACAGGTATATAGAGCGAGAGGGCTGAACCTGACCCAGGAAGCCCGATGCGGCGAAATTGGTCTACCGTCGTCTCATATCACAAGCCCAACGACTCCGTAAGTACATGCTGCGGGAACCCGTGAAAACCGTGCCAGCAAGCCAGATCTCCTTCCACGCGAAAAGCCCTGCAAAACAAGTCAGCAAAGCTCTCCCCAACCACGCGTAACCCTCCCACGGCCTTTGCAGCCCTGCCACCCTCAGACCGCCCGTCCAACGCAACTCACCGGCCAGCCTGTTCCCCAATCCCTTTGTCGCCTTAACGGCTCGCGCTCCACACCCCCTTCAAGAACCCATCCCGCTGCGCCAGCCTGTTGAGCGAGTCGTCGCTCTCGCCCATGGCCCGCACGAAGCCGCACAGCGCGTACGTCTGGTTGTCGCCCGTGTACCGCCCGTTCTCGTCCACCTTGCCGACGCTGATCTGCACGGAGGCGTGGTCTTTCGCCTTGATGATGCGGTTCGTGGCGCTGCACTTGCGGGGGACGTAGCTGTAGGTTGCGTGGGTTAGTTTGCGTTCGCTGCAGTGGGAGAGAGTGAGGGTGAAGGGACTGGTGGAGGGGGGTTGGGGGTGGATTAGGGTGACTGACAGGTCGACGAGCTCGCCGCGTTCGTTCTCCATGATGGTGAGGTGTGTGAGATGAGGATTGGAGGTGCTGGAAGGGTGGACGCGCGGTTTGGAGTCGTGGTGATAATTGTCGATGTTGAATTGAGGTTGCGGGTTGCGCGGCTCTCTCCGTGTGCGTTTCCTCGCTTGTCGGATCTAGCCCTGATTGGGTAAGGGTCTGAAGCTGGCACGTGACTGCGTCATGTCTTCCATGAACCTTATCTTATCTCAACCGCAACGATGACCAGCACACAATCAAAGCAAACCATCGTTTGATCAACGTGTTATGCGTAATCCCGTTTATGATCCGTCAGACCTTGTAGGTTGTCAATTGAGGCCTGAACTGCCTCAATACCGTCCTTGATCGTTCAGGTAAGATGCCATCTCGTAGAACCAATGGAGGACCGAGTCAAGTCCACTAGACAGCAATCCTATCTTGGTGCAGGACAAAGAAGAGGATCAGTAATTCGCCTTGTACAGTTGCGTCTACTTCAATGCATGTCCCATCTGCATATTAGCCCATCAGGACTCGTCTAGTATTCACATCTACATGCAACTGGCTTGGATTAGTTCCAGGTACTTGCTCAGCCTCACCCCAGTTCCACTTGTTACACCTATCAGAAGTTTTGTTGAGACACAAAGCTGGTCAATCACTCGAATGTTAGGACATGTGTTGCCGTCGACTCTATAGATGTAAAGTACTCATCTAGCAAGGATCTTTGCGTCATCGGAGTCGGCGCTAGCTCTGATGAGTTGATGGCTACCCAGGGTATCTCTCAACATACGCTGAGTATGTCCGCGTCGAACAATATCTAGGCTTCGCTGTTGGAAGCACAACTTGATATCGATACCCGAGCCGCAACATCTGCTATTAGACCATTTGAGCGTACGACACGGTCCAGCAAATCAACTGACAAGACCAAGGTCTTACATAACCGTTGGCTGACATAGCAGCAGGATATGGCTTCAAAAGACGATTTCAAGCCAGCGTTGCTCATCGTCGACCTGCAGGAAGACTTCTGCCCCCCAGTAAGCATTGCTCTTTCTGAATCCCTAACCCAGTCTCCCTCCGGGCCATCTCCGCCAAGCCCATCCGCTAACCGCACCCCCTGTTCCCAGAACGGCTCCCTCGCCGTCGCCGGTGGCCGTGACATCGCACCCATAATCAATACCCTCCTCTCCCTCCCCTTCACACTAAAAGTCGCAACCAAAGACTTCCATCCCCCCGACCACATCTCCTTCGCCTCAAATCACCCTCCACCGAACAACAAGCCCTTCGAGTCCGTCGTGACAATCGCAAACCCCTACAATGCCTCCGAAATAGAGCGCACGCGTCTCTGGCCCGACCACTGCGTCCAGGGCACGCCAGGCGCGGAGCTGATCTCTGAGCTCGATGTAGCTAAGATCCAGCATGTGGTCGAGAAGGGCCAGGACACGCGGGTCGAGATGTATTCGGCGTTTGCGGCGCCATTTCGGGATCCGCCGGTTGCGAATAGCGGGCTGGCGGATAGGCTGAGGGAGAGCGGTGTCACGCATGTGTTTGTTGTGGGCTTGGCCATGGATTATTGCGTCAATTTCACGGCGGTGGATGCGGCGAAGGAGGGGTTCAAGACGTATGTGGTTGAGGAGGCGACGAGGGCTGTGGATCCGGGGGCTTGGGATGAAGTCAAGGTGAGTTTGGCAGGGCATGGGGTGAAGATGGTTAGTGTTGAGGGGAGGGAGGTGGAGAGGGTGAAGAGCTTGGCCTCGTAGGCTTCAGCTTGCTAGGTAAGGGGGGTTGGTTGTGTGTCGAGTCATGCTGGGGTACAGGGACGTCTGGCGACTAGAAGGGACATGGAAGACATTGGTCTTCGAAGTTCCACTCGGGAACGGTACCGGACCCACTCAAGGTCGCAGGAACGAGGATTTGGCAAGATGAATAGTTGTCACGCGGTGTATGCGGCCAAAACGCTCATGTATACGCAGCTCAAAAATAAGTAATACTAGGTATGCTGCCTAGCCCGTCCTCCTTGACAGCAAGATAGGAATCCGCGAGGCATAGGACATTTCCTCCAAAAGGAACATACCTACCTAGTGATTGCACTCCACATACTACATCAAACCTCACCAGATGACAGTTCACGTCGAATCCATCGAACAAACCGTACGTGGACCGAGGATGGTCCTGCTGGCGACAAACAACCACTAGTTGCGCCAGTGGTACTAAGCGGCAAACCAGGGGCTTAACCTCTTTGGACGAGCGTGGCGGTCCTGCGTTGCGTGTACAGCGGCGAGGCAGTCATACGCAATCAGCCACCTGTCGACAACTCAACGGTCATGGAGCGTGAATGTAGAGACTGTAGAGACAACCCACTTGATATCGCTACCTGAACTTGCGTCTCTGAAGGTCCCCGGCCGCCCGTCTTCGTGACCAGGATAACCCCTCACCCGGTAATTGGAACCGCTCCACGCGCTACTGCACGGAGACCCTTAGCGCCGATCGCTCAGTGGCCAGGGTCCAGCTCAGCTTCCAGCTTGCGCAATCACGCACACCGACCGACAACAAACCTCACCACCCAAGTACCACTTTCTTTTGCCTGTACATCCTTTGAACCCTTGGCATCCTCTCCACCCACCCAATCCCTTTGGCTGGACCGTCCACTCGTTCAAGAAACCTAGATATCTTACCATCCGCAACGTACACAAGGCTTCGGCCTGAACCGACATGGCATTCGGCCATGCCTCAGAGCTGAAACAGCAAGGCGTCCTAGAGGCATCCCGCAGCCCCAACAACAACATTTCCGCCGAAGATGCCGAGCGCGCTGTCATTGACGAAGCTCAGAGAAGCGGAAGTGCAGCGTTTCAATTCGACCCTAATGCTACTGCTGAGGAGAAAGCTCGGCAAGCTCATGCGGTGCGTCTTAGACATGGCCTCACGTGCAGGCTGTTGTATAGCTGACAAGGCGATTCACAGCGCGTCCCGCCTGGCTTCCACCATGAGCGCAAGCCGAAAGCCCTGGCGCTGGCCTCCGACGTCGACACTGGTACTGGACCCGACTATGATCTTCCTCCGCCGATGAAGCCTACCGTCCTTGCCCCAGACAACACCAAAGACCCAAAGGCTGCCCAAGCCAATGGCGCGCCTCCGGAAGAAGACTCGCGCTGGGACAGAGTCGGCTGGGCTCCACGATTCGGCATGGGCGACGGCGCGGAAGAAGACGATGGGACTACTATGCTCGATCACCAGACCTGGCTGGAGGGAAAGCTTGACGACAAATTCTACGGCGACTGGTACCACAACACGGGCATCGTCATCTTCGCGTGCATTAGCGCTTGGGTGATAGGTATATTAGGAGGCGGCCTTGGATGGCTATTCGCGATACTGGCGACCTGCGCTACCTACTATCGCACCTCCATCCGTCGTGTCCGCCGTAACTTCCGGTAAGCTTGCGGTCGCGGAATGAGCCCACCAGCGCTAACTCGATCACAGAGACGACGTCAATCGCCAAATGGGCAAAGCCAAGTTGGAGACCGATACGGAAAGTCTAGAGTGGATCAATAGCTTCCTGGTCAAGTTCTGGCCGATTTATGCGCCTGTGCTATGCGAGACCATCGTCAACTCCGTAGATCAGGTTCTGTCTACCTCGACACCGGCTTTCCTAGATTCGCTCCGGATGAAAACCTTCGTCCTCGGCACGAAGCCGCCAAGGCTAGAACATGTGAAGACATACCCAAAAGCCCAGGTAAGCCAGTGTTCTGTTGCATCTGTAACATCTTCGCAGACAAAAGAGCAGACTTGTATATGGACACACGAAGCTGACATAGATCGGTAGGACGACATCGTACTCATGGATTGGAGATTCAGTTTTACACCCAATGACGTGGCAGACCTCACAGCTCGCCAGATCAAGAACAAGATCAACCCGAAAATTGTTCTGGAAGTCCGTGTCGGTAAAGGTGTGGTCAGCAAGGGTCTCGATGTCATAGTCGAGGACATGGCGTTCTCGGGCCTCATGCGCGTCAAGGTCAAGCTGCAAATACCGTTCCCGCACATCGAAAGGGCCGAGATCTGCTTCATAGAGCGCCCCACCATCGACTATGTCTGCAAACCGCTTGGAGGCGACATGTTCGGCTTCGACATCAACTTCATTCCTGGGTTGGAGTCGTTCATCATGGAGCAGGTTCATGCTAATCTTGGTCCGATGATGTATGACCCCAACGTATTCCCTATTGAGATCGCAAAGATGCTTGCTGGAAACCCCGTGGACCAGGCCATTGGAGTGCTCCAGGTCACTTTCCATGGCGCGCAAGGCCTCAAGAATCCGGATAAGTTTTCAGGCACTCCAGATCCCTATGCGGTTGTGTCAATCAACGGGCGTACAGAACTCGGCAGGACGAAGACAGTGCATGAGAACGCCAACCCACGGTGGTCTGAAACCGTTAACGTCATTCTTACTTCTCTCAAGGACTCTCTCACCATCCAAATCTACGACTTCAACGAGTATCGCAAAGACAAGGAACTCGGCACTGCTACTTTCGCCTTGGAGCAGCTTGAAACTGATAGCGATCACGAGAATCAGCAGCTTGTTGTCATGGCCAATGGCAGAGAAAGAGGCGTAGTCCAAGCAGACATCCGATTATTCCCCGTTCTAGAGGGCGGCAAGCTCGAAGATGGTACAGAGGCACCACCTCCTGAGTCACTGACTGGTATCGCGAAGTTCACCGTGGAGCAAGCCAAGGATCTCGATGGTAGTCAAAGCATGATCGGGCAACTCAACCCATACGCTGTCCTACTTCTCAATGGAAAGGAGGTCCACACTTCTCAAAAGCTCAAGCGTACCAACAACCCGATCTGGCCAAACGCCTCTAAAGAGATGCTTATCACAGATCGGAAGAGGGCCAAGTTGGGTCTTGTCATCAAGGACGACCGAGACATTGCGAAAGATCCAATCATCGGGACATACCAAATCAAGCTGGACGACATGATTGAGATGATGGCCAGAGGACAAGAATGGTACAACTTGGCTCAGACGAAGTCCGGTCGTGTCAAGATGACGCTGCAGTGGAAGCCTGTCGCGTTGAAGGGAGTTGTTGGCGGTGCTGGTGGCTACGTTACACCTATTGGAGTAATGCGCTTACATTTTCGAAACGCCCGCAACCTACCTAATGTCGAAACCATGGGCAAGTCAGATCCCTATGTCCGAGTGGTGATGGCCGGCATCGAGAAAGGCCGTACCGTCACCTGGAAGAACAACCTCAATCCAGACTTCGATGAGGTCATCTACGTACCTATTCACTCCACACGCGAAAAGCTCATGCTTGAGGTTATGGATTCGGAAAACGTTGGCAAAGACCGGTCGCTCGGTCATGTTGAAGTCGCTGTCGCGGAGTATATCCGCCAGGGTGAAAATGGTGAATACCAAGTGCACGACGAGAAAAGGCCACTGTCTCAGTCGCTCTCTACCGGACCACGAACCTCCTCAAAGGGCACTTTGAACTTCACATGTGCCTTCTACCCGACTCTGAACGTCGCAGACCCCGATGATGACGAGGAAGAGAGGCAAGCAAGCACAGAGCTGAAAGAAACAGTAGCTGCTACTAGTAGCAGTAGTAGCAGCAGCTCTGGTCGGCGCAGTCCTGACCACAATCGAACCGTTAGTCGAGGCACAGTGAGTTCTGTCCGCACTAACGGAACCGCAAACAGTGATCTCGCGAAGATCCTTGACCGCAGTGAGCAGCAAGACCAGGTCGCCGCTGGCCTGACAAAGAAAGAGGCGCCCAAGATCAGGCTTACGGCAAATGATCTTCAAGAACATCGTAGGTTGAAGAAACATTCTTCCCGCAACCCCCAAGAGACTATTCTTACTCCTCGTTTCCCTCATCTAGAATCTGGTATCATTATCTTCAAGCTCATTGATGGCGATCTTGCGCACACGGACTGCCACCTCGAAGTCCTCATGGACGACATGGTCTTCCCGTCCTACACGTCGAGCAAGGTGCGGTCGAAGCATACTACATTTAACGAAAGTAAGTAAATTCGGTCAAGCTCTTGTAAGCGCAGTCGCTAATCTGGTCGAAGCTGGCGATGCTATGGTTCGAGAGCTGGATTTCTCCGAGATCACCTTACGGCTTGTCGAACAGGCGGATAAGAAGGGTGAGGGCAATGACGACCATGTCATCGCTAAGCTGAAGGGGCCTACTCTTGACACTCTCCGACGCTGTTTAGTAAGTCTTTATCAACTGCCAATTAAAGCTCTTTCAGTCGCTTCTGGCACACTGCGCGCCCAAGACACACTGCCCCTCGTCCAGATGTGTAACCGTAGGCTGACGAAGTATAGTACACGCCAACGCAACTCAGCCTCAGAGACAAAGAAGGCCGCGAATCCCGCATCACCGTTTCGCTTAAGTATCTTCCCGTCCGTATGGAGCTTGATCCTAGCGAGTCCTTCAACAACTCTGGCACGCTCAGAGTAGATGTTCTTGATGCTGCCGACCTTCCGGCTGCCGACCGCAACGGCTACAGCGACCCATACTGTAAATTCTTCCTCGATGGCAAGGAGGTGTACAAGACAGCTACTCAGAAGAAGACACTCCATCCTGCCTGGAACGAGTTCTTCGAGGTTCAGGTCAGTTCACTGTACCCTACTAGGTCATCTAAAGTCTGCCACTATCAACTTTGGGGGCTCTGTGCTGGTCAAAGCTAACACCCTACCTCAGGTCCGCAGCCGCACGTCCGCCGACTTCAACGTAACCATCTACGATTACGACTTCGGTGACAAAGCCGACCTCCTCGGCAAAGCAGCCATCAACCTCGCGATCCTCGAGCCCTTCGTCAGCCAAGAAGTGACTCTCGGCCTGGACGGTAAATCCGGCGCCGTCCGCCTCCGCATGCTATTCAAATCCGACTACGTCACACGCGCCCGCCAAGGCTCTTCAACCTTTCACGGCACCTTCGCCGTGCCAGGCAAAGTCATCGGCGCGCCCGTCAAGGGCGTGAGTAAAGGTGCCGTGCTCGTCGGCGGAAACGTCGCACGTGGCGCCTCCTTCCTAGGCCGTGGTTTCCGCCGGCGCAAAAACAGCCGCGGCGCCGAAGACGACACCGACGCAGACGGCTCAGCCGACACCACGATCGTAAATTCGGGACCAGGTGTGCCCCAGATCTCCGTCGTGGATGGCGACAACCGGCCCCTGACATCCCCCGGCACAGTCACTCCACCCAACAACACCGGCAACGCCCACCAGCGCGCCCGCAGCTGGGGCACCCAGTCCATGGCCAGCGCTGTAGGCGGCTACTCCCCCGCCGCGGAATCCGGCACCGCGCAGCTCAGCCTCGCCACAGTAGCTGGCTTCCCGCCCGGCACAAAGCTCCGCGTGCACATCCGCATGGAGCCGAAGGGGAAGGAGGTCTACAAGTCCGCGGCCATCAAGGCGCCCGCGGGGGAGGCGCAGTTCAACGAGAGCTTCACGGTGAAATGTGCGGCGGATGCGCAGTTCAGGATTGTGGTCAAGGATCACTCGACGTTTGGCGCGGACGATGAGTTGGGCGAGGGAGTGTTTTTCGTGGATGATCAGGGGGCAGGCGGCGAGAAGGTCGTGGGTGTCGGACCGGGGAAGGTGGTGGTTAGGAGCTCGTTTGTCCCGGCGGATGCGGGCAGTGCGGTCAATAGCCCGAAGAGTGGGCGGAGGGGGGTTTTTGGGGGGAAGGGGAGGGAGAGTAGGGAAAGGGAGAGGAGTGTGACTCCTGCGTAGGGTGCTTGTTACGCGAACTGGAGGCAAGGTAGGCTGGTGATGGTGATGGGTCGGCTGGATGGCTTGGCTGGGGCGGTAGATATCCTTTTCTTGTTTCTTCTTCTCGATCCTGCTGATACCACTTTTGTATTCATGTTAGATAGCGATACCTATGGCTTTGAGATAGAAGCCTACTGCTTACATGCGATGCCAGTGAGTCGATGAGGTAGCGCTTGTAGTCGAGATAATCTTCACATCTTCGCTATTCAGGCATGTACCGTGTGGGTGCACCATTTCACGGCAGCGAACTAAAACTTTCAGCGTCAATATCAATGATACAGACCAACTCTACGAACAAATAAGAAAACCAACTCCGCTATCAAACACAAAAAGCCGATACCCAAAGAATTAATCCCTCCTATCATCGCACAGCATGGCCGCTTTAAACATGGTCCGTTAGCTAAGATTCCCGCTTGTGAAGACTAGAATACAGTCCGAGGAGCCAAATCATCCTTCTGCCATTATTCGGTATTGTTAAGGTAATCATCCTTCGCTTCAATCTGATGTCGACCATGCCTCTACGTCATGGGTGTACAAGTATCGTTTTCGACATTGGCTTCTCTGTATGCACTATGACCTTTTGTGTGAAATCCACTTTATACTCACGTCGGCTGCTAGAAGGCGCCATTTCGGACTCGCCGGAATCTAGATACATGTACCATCCTGAAGAAGGGACTCCATTAAGCCGTATTCACTATATTATATAGCGCGGACGCCTTCCGATAGTATACCTTTTAAGAAGAAAAAAACCCCCCCTGGAAAACCCTTGGGAGCTAGTGCTTCTCTAGGCATAGACACTCGATAGTGTAAACAGAGCTAGAAATCCTCCCTCTACAAGCATATTGTCCCTTACTATAATCTAGATCCCTATCATGTAGACAGCTCCTTAGTCATGCTCCGCCGTATATAGGTGCGCGTTTAATGCGTGGCGAAGGCATTAAAACATTCCGTCCACACCTACACCATCTACCTAATAGAACGGCTACGTTCCCTGCTTAGCTCTCTTAACAAGTAAGAGGTTCCCAGGCATCACCACGTGGAGGTGTAGAGTCCGACTTTGATGCCCGTATGCACTATGACCATAGGAAGGCTGCTGGGTAGTGCTATCTTGTTGCCGAACGTATATGTATTCACTGAAGAAAGGATAAGCTTCCGGCGCGTTAGCCAAGTAAGTGCGTGTCGAGCATGAGGGCAGGAAGTTGCGGCTTTGGGCACGTGATTTGGGCCGACGTTCAATAGGCAAACTACTCTATCCAAGCGCACCCGGGGTCGAGCATGAATCCTAAATTCCAAAGGACTCAAAGCTGCGTCTGCCAATTCCATCATAGGATCGACCGAGGGCTGGCACCCAAGTTATAGGCTGAAGCGCAGCAGTCTATCGTGCATCAGCCTTGTCATGTGTAATTGACGGAAATAGATGAGGCTTTGTGAAACCTCAGCCTTCCCGAGCATGCTTTGCGTACGGTTCCTCGGTCGAGCAAACACGTTGTGCGTGTTTGCAAGGCCTGAGTGGTTGCCGTTCGTTTACATCGAAGCATACTGGTACTTTCGATGCCATCTATACAATGGACTCAGTAAATCATACTACGCCTTACGGAAGACTTCCATCACACGACGTGGTTGAGCTGCATCAGCACAACACAATCAAAAGGCATGATACGCAAGCGCGCCTTTAGCCGATGAATGATCGAGCGGCTGACAATTCTTTGGCCACAGTCCCGACGATGATGGGCTCGATCGGCCTCACCCTTCAAGAGCAACCAACGCATTCGGCAGAGGCAAGTCTGCCACACGGTCATGCCCTCCGCTGCGACCTCAATCGCTCATATTGAGGAGGTGGCTACGAATACTGCGCTCTGCCGGATGGCGGGTAGGAGTACGAGCGGGATGCTGTGCATCCGTGTTGGTGCTTGTCGGTAACATTGCGCTGCTCCTAGTCGGTGCACTCAGCCGTGGCGGATACAAAGATGGCATTGGCAGCGTTGCTCAAGGCACAGGCGCAAGCATGTCTCGTCTCAGCACGGCATATCATATCCTGATCAACGTCTTAAGCACTATTCTGCTCACAGCAAGCAATTACTGTATGCAGATACTCTGCGCTCCCACCAGGGATGAAGTAGCTAGGGCGCATCGTGATGGGCAAGGACTGGATATAGGCATCATTAGCCTACGCAATCTACGGTACATCAGCAAGCGAAAGTCAACCCTTTTCCTCTCGTTAGCGCTTAGCTCGATACCGCTTCACTTATTGTGAGTCGCCCATGCCCTTTGTAATAGTGAAAACTGAACTCTGCTTAGCTACAACTCGGCTGTCTTTGGAGTTACGATAGGACGACATTACCGTGTGCATTATGTTAGCGTAAACGAATCCGACACTATTACGACCCTTAGTGCAGCCAGGACTGATCTCACCAACGAAGAGTGGTGGAAGATGTACTCAACACAATATCTGCATGACGCAGCAGACCTCTATCTTATCGCCGACCGTATTGGGTTCAAGCTTGATATGCACGCGAACGGCAGCTGGGTTCTGGCGCGTCCGCTAGTCTGGGAAAACAAGAACGTTATAAATCTTCCAGAGGAGGCGGACGTCCTTGTTGTCGGTACGACCCTGAATGACAACGGAACATTCCAGCAAAAAAACTGGAGCCATCAGGTTTCTTATGACCTTCGCAATGGTCATCCGGCTTCCCACTATCCTGGGCTGATCCCATGGCCGCAGCCAACGTTCATCAACGCTTCGATAAGTCCTTTGGGCATAAAAAATCTGCTGCCAAACTCGGGTTCGAAGCTGATTGAGAACAATGGTGGTCTTTGGTTGAACCACTCAATGGACGCGGCGGCAGTGGACCCGCCCCTGCACATTATCCATGGCCTCAGTACGCCCACCGCAGATGGCAGTAAGGTGCAGATTGCTCTGTCATTCATGCTCGTTGTCATCGCCTGCAATATAGTGAAGACTATGGCTATGTTCCTTACTCTTCGGGAATTATCTTCGCCTCGGATTTTAACAAGCGGCGATGCAGTCGCTTCCTTCCTCGCTAGGCCAGAGTATATTACTCTTGGAATGTGCACCTTCGGCAAGCATGCCATGAGAAGTAAGGCTTCTTTTCCACAAGACCCAGAGCCTGGGATCTGGAGGTACACTAAATGTCGAGTATCTGCCGCTGAGAGAATGATTCGAGTGGACCGCCTGGGTTCGCTGACCTTTCTGTGAGTCTCCAGATCCTGAGCTGATGCTGCCAAGACGTCTGTTGTTTGTTCAGAGCTACTCTCGGCGCTGAACCGCAACTTCTCAGGTCTATGGGCGTCTCTTTGTTAGCGTTGGCTGATACAAACAGGGCATTCCTATGCACCGCGGCAATCGCACTCGTGCTTGTAACTGTCCTGCTTGGCGTACAACAATCGAGCTTATCGGCATGGGGAACAGCTTCGTCACTGCGCTTGAACCTTGCTCCACAATCTTTCACAGCCAAGGGCATCCTCATCAATTCTTTTATAGCCAACTTCCCTCAAATCGTACTTTCAGCCTCGTATTTTGCGGTCAACAGGCTTTGCACGTCCATGTATTTTACAGAGGAGTGGAACAGCTACGCAAGCTCGCGGAAAGGACTTCGCGTCTCCGATGCTAAGGGCGAGCAGCGAGATACTTATTTCCTCCAGCTACCTTATCGCTGGGCTGTGCCTCTGGCCGTCATGTGCGGGATTCTGCATTGGCTCTTGTCACAGTCCATCTTTCTTGTCCGGCTCGATATCCACGGCGAAAACGGCCAGCTTATTCCCTCCGAATCCAAGTCCGCGTGCGGTTATTCCCAGTCAAGTACACTGGTTTTCGCTCTGGTTACAGTCGGCTGTATCGTAGTCATTTTGCTTCTCCGGCTGCGGCACATTAAGGTTGGCATTCCGATAGCAGCACATTGTAGTCTTGCAATCAGTGCAGCTTGCCATCCGCCGCCAGACGAAGAAGAGCCGCACCTTAAACCTGTGCAGTGGGGCGTTGTGCGGAACCGCTTTGGTGGTGAGATTGATCATTGCACGTACTCTAGCGAGCCGGTTACTGCTCCTGAGCCGGGGAAGCGATATGCTTGAACTGTTGTATGTAATTATACACCTTAATGGGGTGGAGATACCATGCTACCACTTACCACCAGTATATACTTGCCACGGGTTGTCGAGATGCTTCCGGTTGATCGTTGCAGTACTTCGGTATCAACGTGCTGGTCAGTACTTTGATGACTCAATAGTTCCTGCGACACGCCGTATCATTGCCAGAGCGTGTAAGCTAGCGCAGGTTTCCTAGAGATCGAGAGTATTCGAGGTGGCAGTGGCATCAACAAAATCTGTATTTGAAAAGCTCCAGGTCATATTTGCTTGACCTTGACAGACTTATCTACCGCTTCAAGAATGGTACGCTATAACAAAATGTATACACAAGCTCTACCTAGCACCCGTCCTGCTACTGCTGACGCTGCTCGTGCTGCTCGGGCGAGGCGCGGCAGTGCTAGTGCTTCCAGGAACAGTGCTGCTGCCTCCCGGGGTCGTACTACCCTTAACGACACTCGCTTGCACCACCTGGCCCGCAGCATTAAACACAATGTTGACCAGCGCATTAAGAGGTGTGTAGGAGTACTGCCTCGAGATAAGACCGTTCTGGAGAGTCTGGCTCACGCCCGTATCCGTCATGTTGGTCAGGTAGTTGCCGACGATCGAGCTGACCGGGCCGCCATTCGCGCCCGCGACCTGCTGCACGATATTCCCGAAGTTGTCGACCACGAAGCTGATCGTGGTGCCACCCTGGGTGACGGTGCCCAGCAGCCCGTCCACAGCGCCGATCACGGGCTGCAGCAGATTGGTGGCATTGCTCAGCGTGCTGATGAGGAGCGGGTTCAGGTCGAGGGACTCGAAGACGCGGTTGACGATTTCGACGAGGTTGCCCAGGCGGACGACAAGCTCGAGCTCGGCTTGCACGTCTTCGATCGTCAGGTTGATGTTCTGCACTGAGAGCGCGATGCCGGCGTTAATGGTTACCAGGCTGGCGACGTTGGCGTTCAAATTGATGTCTGCTTGGAGGTTGTCGACGTTGAGCTCAATGCGGCCGACTGAGAGGTTGGGCACGTTGAGATAGACATCTGGGGGAGGTCCAGCGGTCGCGATGGAGGAGCCGGCTGCGGTGGTGGACGTGGGCGTGCGAGTAGTGCTAGAACTCGTGCTTGATGAGGTTCTTTGCGCGGAGATGCCTTGCGGTCCGAGTGTGAGGAGGAGAGAGCATGCGAACAGCGCGCGGACGGCGCGGAGAACTAGAAAAGACGGCATGGCTGTGAGAATGGGAGAAGCGAGAAGTAAGATGTTAGTGAAGGAGGTGGGAAAGACTGGCAGCGAGAACCTTTGTGCCGTTCCGCGCTTGACAACTTAACTCATCGCTCATGGCAATTTCGGAAGCCGCTACTGGACTGGTCTTCCAGGGGCGGGGTCCATGCCGTGCCTACCTCATTACATGTGGATGCTGAGCCCCTCAGGATTTATCATTCAACCCGTCATTTCCCCCTTTTTCTGAGATCAAAGTGCCTTGTTAATCCTGGGGTAAGATCTGCAGCTAAGCTATACTCGGTATAGCGGAGCAACCTAAAGCCAACCTTGAACCCCCTTGTCCATGAATCAAAATTAACCTCCAAATCCCACGAGACTAGAAAGCCAGCGTTCAGGAAGCTGCTCAAGCACACAAGGCAGTAAAAAAATCCAGGAAGGACATGGCTTCTCGTCCAAATTGAGGAAGCCTCCCACGCAGAACAGGAGGGGCAGCAATACCGCTTAACGAGTCAACGATGATGATGTAAAAAACCCTGAAAGAGGTTTGGCAGGGCTGTTCCCGTCTTCTGTGCTGCCGCAGTGGGGCAAACGTCTCTTCCAAGGTTCCCGTTTATTAGCTCCCGGTTCCGGGAGCAGGGAAGCAGCACAAGCTCAACGTCCGGCTCCTGCATCCGGAGCGTTTACCCCTGGCTCGTCCTCTCCCCATCCATGCTATGCTTAATCTCATGAGATCGCTTTGCAGGTTAATGTCACAAGCCGTCATTACATGAAATGGTCTTGCTGTCCTCCCCCACTCGTCCAGCACCTCCCCATTTCCTCGCCCGTCTCAGCACGCTTTCTTCAGGCAGTTCGATACTGACGCCGCCATGATCCTCGCCCCCGTTTTCCTTATCCTCTCCACCACCACCCTCATCAGTGCACAGTATACGGGTTACTCCCTCACCAGCTCTGGCGACCCAGGATCAGTGGTATACTCCACCTCCTCCACGCCCGCGAATGTATCCGCCGACCCCGCGCCGGACGTCTTCCTAAATGCGACCGTCCACGTCGGCGAGATCGACATCAGCGTGTCCAACCTCACCGCAAAGCTCAACCTCGACGCGCAAGTGCTGCAACTACTCTCCTTCAACGCAGGGGTGGATCTCTCCATCGACCGAGTATCACTCCTTCTCGCGGACGTCGACGCCTCGGTCCAGCTCGAAGTCCGGCTTGAGAACCTCGTGCGCATGATCAACAACACGCTGGACTCGCTCGACCTGAACCCGATACTCGCGACCATCGGCCAGACTGTCGGCGACATCGCGAACAGCACTTTGGGCGGACTGACCGGCGGCAGTAGTCCGCTGTTAGCAGCACGGTCCTACGAGCTGGAGAACAACATTCTCTACTCCGTCAACGACTACAGCGGGAACACGCATACGAACCGCATCCTCGCACAGGATGGCAGCATCGTCGATCAGTCCCTGGACAACGACGGCAATGTCTACAATCAGCAGGTCGTTGGCTCCTACGAGCGCGACATGGCCTTTGTTGAGGAAAACGAAGGCAAAGTCGTGAATGGCCAGGCTGTCCGCGAGCTCGAATACGTCTACACGCCCTTCGATGGCCTCAGCGCCGTGTGCGCCATCTATGTTGATGTGGCGGGCGCGGTGGTGGCTACGCAGGTGCTGAGTGAGAGCCGGGGAGGAGGGACTAGTACTGTGGGGGCTGATCTGTGACGAGTAACTGGCTGGCACTTCGCTTATAGTCACAATAGAAACTCCTTAACTGATCCAATTCATGCTGTAATCTTGGGCCGTCTAAGCGACATGATTTAACGAAGGCTAATGTCTACACGAAGAGCCGCGTGAAATTGAGAAACCGGCAACGCAGAAGAAAGGTAGGTGCATGCACGTGCTGAGGGGGCCATCGAGCATAGCAGCATCCGCAGTGTCCACTTGTACCGCCTTTTTTTTTATTGTTGGTAGAAGAAAGCCCGGTTCACATTTCGAGGATCCATATCCTTATGGCGACTGCGTTCTTCTTTAGCACACGCAGTCGAGTAGCGTTCCGCACCGTGCAATTGGTTAAGTGTTGGAAGACCCTCCCGCCCTGTCGGCCTTGCCAAGGCTATTATCTGGGGTTCATCATCGGGCAATCGATTTCGCAAGCCTCTTGACGTTTGCTATCCCAGACATACATCCTACTGAAATCTTCCTCGCCTTTCCGACGCGCCGTAACAACATGAAGCTGCTGTGTCCCGGTTGCCTCGCCAACAAAATGATACAGCTCTCGGAAGGTGATCCGTAAAGCTTGCACAGAGTAGCTCGGGAGCATGTCGATGATGTTGTGGAGTAGCTCGGCCGGTAGACAATTCGGGAACACGTTTCTCGCGACGGTCTTAGGCGCGTTGGGGTCTTTGACTTGGTACCTTCCCTCCCAGTGAACACGCTCAGCGAAGTGTGGGACCCAAGAAGGCATTTCCTTGTCTTTGCCGCACAGGAAGTCTCGTACGGTCGTTTTGGCTTTGCATGGAAATGAACGCACAGAGATTGTATTGAAGATCTGCCCGGCGTTCTCCAAATCCCTCACGAGAGACTTCTCAGGGTCGTTGTAGAGCTCTGTTCTGAGGAGGCGGAGCGACAGGACCTGCTCTGGATCCATCCCAATGACCTGTTAAGTACTATATCGAACCTCCGGGATCTCGTAGTGCGTTGTTCTTAGGCCCAAGTTCCGAGATCCGTTTCCGCCCGGGTTCTGATCTCCATTTTGGCTCACTGGGTACTGCCCTATCTGCTGGCCGTTTATCAGATCTCTTCCATAGATTGAATGACCCTGGTTTGACCGCCATGGCACGGCACCCCTCCTCTCGTTAGCCCCGCAGGGGAGTATACTGATAAATTTGTAGGAACGTTGTCCTATGATAATGACGTGGCCTGGTGTTAGGCGCGCTACCTCGATGCAAAGATGCTTTGTTGGTTCAGTAGAGCGGCAAGCACTCTGATTAATCGGTACCACCATGGGTGAAGATATGTGAAAATTAGGATTAAGGAGACAGATGTATAACAGTAGTCGTGAAGAGAATCCTGACACGATGATGAATATTGCGGTTTGTCTGTTGGAATAGAAGTGAAACGCTTATCAATATAGGCGACCTTCGACCCATGGTTCACCTCAGGTGAAATCTGGAACCGCGAACCCGGGTTCAGTAGCCGTGACATCGAACAATGCCACTCCATCTTAAGTTTCGAGCTCTGGATAGCCAATCTTCGCTGGGGATATGTACCATTATCCACTGCCTAAAAAGCAGTCCTTCCTGTCTTCACTGTCTTCAGCACCCCCTCATTCGCTAATCTCTCAATCATGTTGTATAGCACAAAGTCACATCCTCTCTTAACCACCATGTTAATAGTCACCGGCACCATCTCCTCCACAAACGTGACGTTACTAAAGTACGGCACCTGCCCTATCGGCACCGTAAAGTCCGCGCATCCAAAAATCGGGCAGATACTCGCAACCGTGACTTTCGCGCCCGTATTCGGTAGCACAGCAAGATACGAGGCGTCTGGAGAGTCATTGAGCACCTGCTCTCGGAACGATGGCAGGCCCCCGGTGCCAATGTCGTACAGCATCAAGCTTTCGGAACACGATTCGGGAGTGCTGTATTGCAGGTTCGCTTCGTACCAGTCTACGGCTTCGCGCTTGAGGGCAAGGGCGTCGGCGTAGTATTCGGCAGTATACAAGCTGTCGTTATACGTCCTCCAGGTTCGCCGACGCGCGGGATCGATGGGCGGGAAGCGGCCGTCAAAGAGCTCGGCCCAGCGTTCGATGAGCGGTCGCGCGACTTTCTCGTACTGAGAGTATGTGTTAATAACACCTGTTGCGGCGTTTAACGCTGTCAGGTTACTGGCGGCCTCTACAGTGGCGTTCTGGACTGTGGCAGTGAAGTTGAATTCCGTGACTGTCATATTAAAGATGCGAGTCAGGTTGGCGATGAACTCCTCTAAGATGGGTTGAGCGGCCGAGTTGTTCAGCGGAAGATACTCTACAGGGTAGAGGATCGTCCGAGGAAAGGCATCGGAGTCAGGCACCACCAGCGGAGAAAGGCCCGTGATAGAGACGTCTTGATGCAGGGCAGGCGTGTACCAGGCTTTCGAAAACTTGATCCACTTGTAGGGGTCCCGGCTGAAGACTCCCGCGGTATCTGTGGCATCACCTAGAGGTATCACACGCTCAAGAGATATGAGACCTTGCGAGGGTCGTTGGCCGTAGGTTCCTGATACTGCCGCCGGTCGCCTCATCGACGATCCTGTATCACTTCCAATGGCAAAATCGAGCCAATCGTAAGCAGCAATGGAGCATCCACCGCCTGATGATGATGCGGAACAAGTAAGCCAGCCATCACCGCGAGGATTGAAAGGGTAGTGCTAGAAATATCAGCATAGAACTTGGTCAGCCTTGAGGATGAAGATGCTCACCGCATCCTGCCATTCCCAAGGATTGGCACCAGACGCAAATTGCGCAAGCTTCTGCTTCCCGATAATGATGCCACCAAGGTCGATCTGTACAAGAACGTCAGACAACGCTGGAAAGCATGAGGTGCAATACTCACGATCCGCTGTACGGCAGGTGCAGTCTCGTTCGCTGTAGGGGTGATGTAGGCCCAGGCCTGGCTGCCAGCAGAGGTCTGCAGGCCCTTGATATCAAACAAATCTTTGATAGCGACCCTTTCGCCGGCCAATGGCCTATCATCGTTCCAACTATAGATGCGAGAAGGAACACTTGCTTGTCAGATTGATAGTTATCCCGAGCTACCGTCAGACTTACGGAATCATAGGGTCCCAGAACTTCGGCAAGAAGAGTCCAAGAGGGTTGAATGTCCCCTGGCCATCGTTGGCGTCATAGGCGCCATACAGAAAGTCTCGATAAGTGTCCGGGTACAGGAGGTAAACTGATGAGAACGATACCGAGCCGGCTTTGAATGTTGCCGCATAGGGACCAGCCGGCAATGCAGCGGCATCGGGAGCCGGTAATACCGCGGTGATAAAGTCACCTGAAGTATCGTCGCTGCTGCTCGAGAAGGTGGAATCAAGGAAGAGATAGGAAACGTTGATTCCAGACAAGTAATTCAGAGCAGACGAATCTACGACTGCGCTCCTCGCGGTTGACGAAATGTAGATACCAGTGAGAAAGTCCTCGGCGTAGACATCATCACCTTCCACGTAGCTGGTCACAATTTCCTGCAAAAGATCCTGGGTCATGACAGTCTCGTTGGTAACGATAACGGTAAAAGGTACTACATCCTCGGCGGAGATTGTAGGAGTCTGTCCGGCAAGGGCAAGGGTGGTCTTGGGGTTCTGGAGATTGGCCAGATAAGTTAGGTTGCCGAGTTCGAAGATAGCGTCGCCATATGTCGTAGTTTCCAGATGAGTGTACGTGTTGCGTTTGACTGGAGCGCCATCCACCACGAAGAGAGTCCCGATAAGCGACCATGCAAGGAGATGCTGCAAAAGAGTAGTCGATAAAGCCATGAAGTCTTGCTTGTCCTGTTGAACACCTGGATGCTCTATTCAGGTAATAGTAACCTTGGGGGAGGGGGAGCTTTTTTAGCTTTCTTTGGCCTGCCGTAACGGAGGACTACTACACAAATTGAGATGGGGGAGCTTCATCGCGAGCTTTAATATACGGTAGTTACGGGAGCTTATCAGTACTGAAGCAAAACTCATAGCAAGTATCTTCGATTCACATCCTGTTGTTTGTCCCTACTTGATGCCTCCTGTGGTTCTTGATGAGCCGTAGTGCATGAGCCTTGCCTCTCGTTGGCGGTAGATACTGGAGCCTTTGCTTGGCAAAGATATCGCAGGCGTAAAACACGCACTCTTTAGCTGCTGTTGGAAGGAGTCCGCATTGTCCGTCTCTTGGATGGCGGGGTATGCATTATCTGCCTGTCGAGATAAGCTTGTCGTGTACCTTGCAGGGCGATTGACAGGGCACTTCGGAGATAGGCACGCGATTGACTATCAGTCTTTCTGTAATGTAATGGCTTGGACATTATTGTGAACAGTCTGGATATGGCCTAGTGGCCGGCGTGATTGTGTGCCATGGTATGGGAAGTTCAGTGCTCTGTCGTTGTAGGCAAAGCCAAAGAAGTAAGACGATGGAGTCTTTACCGTGTTGGATCACAAACGGTTGCGACGAACAAGCCAACATCCCCTGGACTGTTTTTGCCGGAGGGGTTAGCATCGACGGCTTGGCCAACGCTGGATGGATTGCCATCATGAAAGCTGAGCGTATTAGGAGTAACACTGAGAACTTCAGCGCGAGTCCTCTTGCAGTCTTACCGTTGCGAGCACTTCGGTTTGGAGAAGCTTTTCTTAAGTGACGTCCTCCCGGCGTTGTGAGAGGTTTCGCCCAGTCGGAAGAGGGCGCAACAAAAATAGAAACGACGATCAGGATCTGCATGAGCACTGCCACCGCCCGAAAGGATCTTGACTGCGTTAGGCGTTTCAGAATCATCGTTCTGCTTCGGCAGCCCGAGAATTGCTCTACTACCACCCTTTTGGGGTTGAGGTTTGGCCACTGTGAACTCACAGCTAGATCTCCTGCTGCCTCTGAGTCTGTTTCACTAGACGGGAGCCTGCGTGCGAGGCCTTCATCACTTCTAGCAGATTCCGTTGGTGTGACGCTTAAGCAGACGGTCAACTGCTTTCGTTGTCGTGCTCTTCCTGCGGTGCGTGGCTCCGATGATACTTAGATGCAAGGAGGGAACACTCGCCATGTGCAGAGGTGCAACAGACACTCAGCCTTGTCATGAATGCAAGGCCTCTCAGTAGCAGAAAGTTCGTTAGCCGGCCCTCTGCGTCTCCTTGGGGCTGCTCTCAATAGCGAGAAGTCGTCATCGGGTGCCATCTTCGATTGCCAGAGCGAAGGTGAATTTTCAATTGGAGCGTTAGGCATAGAAATAACCATACGATATCCTCAATGTCGTCAGCAATAGGCACAACGAGTGACAAGACTTTCTCGGCATCTTCTAGCGCTGTTGCACCCTTTTGGCGTGGTGGCCCCAGCCGTGTGGAGGTGGCCTCGCTGCAACGCCGTAACTTTTCCGACACCAGCTCCCTGTCAGTCTGCTGCTGACGGCCAACGCGCCGTGGGTCCTGCCTCTGTCTCTCCCACAACTTCCCACAACTCGCGCTGCCACTTCGAGGAGCGATAAAGGCTGTTGCCATGTCGCCTAACACTTCAACACATTAGCGCCGACAAAATCGAGTAGAAACGATCGTCGCAGCCGCCGTCAAACCTCGGTTCGCCCCAACCGCCGCCGTTTCAATTGCGCTGGCCTCCCTCGTCGCCCTCCGGATCTGCTCCAGGATCCGTCTACGAGGCAGCGACGCTGTAACACTCGACACTTGTACCCATCGGTGCGGGGCGATTCACTCACGAAGACCCGCCGTGGGGTTCAAGCGTCGGTAGTGGGGACAATTCGATGCTGTATGGCCCCTGAAGCGTCGCCTACTGCACAAGAAGAGCGTCGCGACACGTATTCTGGTGGCGAAAATGAGGCATTGGAGGCCAATGCCAGTTTAAGAGTTACCACAATGGGACTGCAAGAGAGAGAAACCCTTCAAAGATGGCCGGTAGACCACGCGGAGCCGTCCTATGAGCCCCCACGGCATCGCCCATTTCGACGACGAAGGCGGCATGATCTCTACATGCCAGCGAATGCTCACGCCGTCCTCCTCATCCTCTGCGTCCTTCTCGTGCCCTTAGCAGAAGCCGCCTTCATCAACTTCGAGAACTGCCTCGCTCCAAACATCGTCAACTCGAGAAGACTTCAGTTTGTACCGCGTTTCTTCGATGCAAGGTTCAACACAACTGCGCCTAGTCACGATTTGAACGTCACAATATACGGCAATGTGACTGGGCAGACGATCGTTGGGGACTACCCTCCGCCAGATGATCCGATATGGAGCAACCCGAACGAGACATTTGGGAAGATCGTAGATGTGAGTCCGACCAACCCGGACCCGCGTTTTACCACGCTTTTCGCGGACTTCAAGGTTCTTACCTATACACCCTATCGTGCGGATCCCAGCCGCTTCTGTGAATCAACCATCAATACGTCATGTCCTATCGGCCCTGTCTTTTACGGCAACGGCAGCGATCCCTATAGTCTGCCAGCGTTTACAGTTGCACACGAGTTCTATTCTTCATACGCCTTTGCTACGTTCCAGGCGACTATTCGAGTGCAATCCGGTGATCAGGACGCTTCAGACATAGCATGTGTGTCAGCAAACATCACACCGGATTTGGGCAAGGCACTCTCTGACACACTTGCTTACCTACCGGCTGCTGTTCTTGCACTTGTCGCGATTGCAACCATTTCAGCCGCAATTTTCAGCCCTTGGGGCTCATCAGACCCGTTCCGATGGACTAGCAACTATGGACGAGACGAGGATCTCCTGCGCTTAGTGACACCAGGGTTTGGTGATTGTCTGCAGTATATCCAGTTCATTGTTCTTGCGGGCAGCCTCAGCTTGAGCTATCCAGGGTACTATCAGCCTGTCATTAGCCAGGCTGCGTGGTCGGTGCTCCTGTTTAATGAGAGCTACGTCAGTCAAGGGAACGGATCGCAAAGCCTCATTGACGGGATATACTTCATCAACGGAACCCGCGGCATCTCTCGCCTTGGACAGTTGGCCGGAATGTCAGCGGACGAGGACGTCTGGGCCTGCATGGCTATATGGCTTATGGCGATCATAGTAGCTGTGTCAGTTCTATGTCAGGTTGGCTTCTTCCTTCGCTGGGGCTACCGATACTTATTGGATACTCCAGAGGAAGACCTGAGGAGCAAGAATTGGCCTTTCACCGCTGGTATGGCTGTTCGGATCGTCTTCAATTACTTCCTACTTCCCATCATAGCCATCTCGTTATTTCAACTCGTTGTCGCGCCGCATTCGAACGCCGCGGTGGTTGGTATGGCCGTGGTGTTACTCCTACTTGTCGCAGGGTTTGCTACCTGGATCTTTCGGCTCATCTTTACGACAAGGCCACGTGCGCATCTCTTCGACGACTTGCCTACAGTGCTCCTTTACGGACCTCTTTATAACACGTACTCCGATGTCGCTGCGCCGTTCGCTTTCATCCCAGTCCTACTTACCGTTATTCGTGGCGTTGCCATTGGTGCTATACAGCCTTCAGGCGTTGCACAACTTGTCATTCTCGCAATTTGTGAGGTAATTTTCATTCTGACGCTGCACGCCTTTAGGCCGTTCCAGGCACCCACTTCCATGAATGCGTATCACACTTTCTTCTCAGTTATCCGACTCGTCACGACCCTGCTTAGTATTGCCTTCGTTCCCGCACTGGGCATCTCCCAATCGTCGAAGGGTTGGCTTGGCTATGCTATCCTGTTATGCCACGCGATAGTCCTGGTCTTCGGATTTTTCCTAAATGCTATTCAGACGCTGATCGAAGTATGCGCTCGCGCAGCAGGTGCCGGCGGCGATGCAAGAGGTGGACTTGCTAGGGTCTTTGGCAAGCGACAACTGTCACGTCGCACGCATCATCACCGCAGTAGTCTGCAATCTGACGCGGCAATTCTTGCTTCGGATAGCGACTCAAAAACCGCTCAACTTATGGGAGGGCGATCGAGGAGTTTGTCCGCCAGCTCTGCGATCCTTCTGAACAACCATCGTGTTAGCAGTGGTTTCGACCAACTCAGCCAAGGTGGTGATTACAGCACTCTTGGCGGCGTTAGCCCTGGGCCTGGTACGCCCGGCGGTATGCAGAACCCTTACTCGTACTTGGCAAGTGGTAATGCCACCGCTGGTCCGTCGCAACGTAGGTCTACGGTAGGCACATCGAACACGAAGAACCTCGAAACGAACGACCCGTACTATCGTCCGCCCAGAACGAAGCGACAGACGATGGATCCATATTCACCAGAGAGTCAGCAGGATAGAGGATCTTGGAACAGCGGAGAGCTAGCAGACCGACCGCAGGACATCTACCAAGACCAGTCTGATGCCAGGGATCCAGGCGAGGTACCAGCTTTCTCACCCAGTCGTGGTTCTATCACCCCGGCATATTTGCGGGAACACCACCGAGGTGATTCTGACCCGAATCTGACCGAGCGAAGAGGGAATACAGACTACACGGTCCGGGAATCGGACTTCTATTACGGTGTCACCCGCGGGCCTGCGCTGTCGAGCGTGCCTGCTCGCCGGTTGAAGACCGGCCCAGCGGATCCAATGGGCCCGGTGTCTTCAGCATCAGGGTGGATCAAAGGTCTGTTTGGCGGTAAAAGGAAAGACAAGGGCAAGGGCTTCGAGGTGGTGCGCAGTCAACGCGCACCGCAGTTGATGGCAGAAGAAGACGAAACCTCGCCACCGATCCAGCACGAGCCCTACAAGGACAGTCCTGACCCCGAGAATACCGCTACAGGTCGCGGTTCCGACGACGCAGGGAGTGCAGCACTGGGCAGGTCACGGACAAGAGAGTCAACGAGATCTTCCGTCCACTCGTCCGAGTATTCTCTGACCGACGACGACGGCAATCCCTTCGAAGCCCGCGCCGTCATCCACCGGGTTGCGGAAGCGCCACCTACGCTTGCGCCTATAGAGACGACCGGCGGCATTGAACTCTCCTCCCGTCCCGGCTCCCAAGCCAGCGCCCGGATCCCGACCAAGCCCAGTGCAACGCGCCGTGCACCCACCATACCTCGCAAAAGCTCTCGTCGCACCCACTCTCAGGAGAAAGCCGCACTCGCCGACGCACACCGCATGCCACGTGTTCCTGGCTCTCCAGCTCACTCTCCAGAGCGACAGCCGCAGGCCAACAGACTCCACCCCGACAGCTCGGCCGGCGGCTCCATCCGGCTGCCCTTCGGCTCCAGCGAGCCGAGTCCGGGCTCGGAGAAGACGACGCCGACCAACCACTCTGCGGCCTCGAGCTTGTATCCAAACACCGAGACGTCGGCGGAGGATGTCAGCCGGGGAGGAGTCGCGCATTTTGAGCGGCCGCGTGTGCCGGGACAGACGGAGAGGCCGCCGAGTACGGGATATGTGCATCAGCATGTTGCGGGTGAGAGCGTCAGGCCAGGGATGTATAGGCTGGGCGATCACATGGGAAGTTCGGCGGAGATTGTGGGGGTATCTGGGTCGCAGGGGTGGAGCAGGGGCGGGGATGGGGGAAGGGAACGGCGAGAGGATCGCAGTCCTCGGTGAGGGGTGAAAATTTTGATTATAGTATTCTTTTCGCTATATCTTTTGTGGCACATAACTTGTTTGATTGTTTGTTTCTTTGCGCTGCATGGAGCGGATCTGAGGCGGTGTATAGCAGAGCCTGGCGTTGGTGGATACGTGTATATTCTAGGGCCGAGAGCGGATGGCTAAGTCCAGCCAGAGGGAGGGCACAGCTGCTCGGCGTCTAGGAAGTGTTTATCTGAAGTAGAAATACTGTAATTGAGTCAGATTAGTGTCTGTTGCGGTTGCCGTTCACTGCTGCACGGTATCGATTCGTGAGATCAGGCATCGACCTCGCACTGGCGCTCTTCTGCGAAAGCTGCTGGCTGCTCATCCAGGGGCTACATCCCGTACTCGGCTAGTTAGTCTAGACGAGAGTCTGTCTGCTTCTTCAATACCTAGATACTATACTTCAAGCCCACGTGACCAGGCACCCCCCGCCGCCGCCGCGCCCCCAAGCCAGCCGGTGATAAGATCCCTGGCCGCCGCATGGGTGGCGTCTTGAAACCGTGCCCCATTTGCGACCTGTCACGCTCCGACACGCCTGCACCACCACGACTCCCCTCATACCGCCTTGTGTGCGCCTTGTGTGTGGCCGTCCTTCCCTTGCATCACCTACACTCGACTGATTCTCACTCACGGACCGCCCGTACTCGTCTCGGTATATGCGCAGAGACAGACCCCTCTAAGCCGTAGCCTTCGTGTAGCCTCACGCACGACACTTGAGATATACCAGTACCGACAGGATACGCCGCAGCCTGACGGCAACCTGCGGAACGGATCCATGGAAGCATCTGCAACCCAATACGGACTCAGACCTTGATCGAATTACTAGCCAGAAAGCTACCAGTCATTCAAGCCGTGGAAGCGTCGGCCGCACACCGCACCTCTGGATCCGGTAGATTATATAACTATATTGCCACTTATCACTCAGTACTGCTCGCCTCTTCTTCTTCTTCTCCTCCTCCTCCTCCTCCACGCAGCCAACCTTAAAAGTCGAGGATCTTACAGCATCAAGCACACGGCACCATGGACCGACCCGTTAATCCACCCCACCTCTCCTCCGCCAGCACACCCACCCTAAACCACCTACCCTACAACACTTCCGCCTCCTCCAACCCGCCCTCAACAATAGACCCCCGAAACGACTCCCTCCACCGCAGCCACACCGACGGCACAACCCGCACGCCCCTCTCTCCATCCGAGCGTGCAGAAGGCGAGACATGGATGGACTTTCTGCGCCGCACCTCCACTTCCAGCTCTTCAGCCGCGCGAGCCCCCACCGACTCGCGCCCCGAACACCAACCACATATCTCGAGACAGCGACCGGATATACATATGAACAGCGTCAGGGACCTAAATGAGGCACATAATGCGCTTATCGCTGAGAGAAAGAGGAGGTTGACGGCGCCAGACAGCCCCGAGAGGAATAGACGGCCCTCCGGAATTGGGTCAGGGGCGATCGCTGCCTCGGGCTCGCAAGTTGCTGGGCCGGGAGCTTCTAGCGAGGCGGCTGGAAGGGGCGTCCCGGGGAATAGTGCGGGCATGCCTATTGACCTGACAGAGACGCCGGATCGGAGCAGTAGAAGAGCGAGCAATCCGAGGAGGCAGAGCAGGGAGGCTGGAAGAAGAGAGAGCGATATCGTACTTCCGCCCTGGCAGCCGGATAGCGAGGTTAACAAGTGTCCGGTCTGTGGGAATCCGTTTGGGTTTTTCTATAGGAAACACCACTGTAGGTATGTAAGAGTTTCGCTTGCAAAGATTCTGTACCGCGGAGCTGGTACACCCCTATGCTCCATACCACAGCGATTTCTCAAACCTCAAGGCGCCCTCACAGCATGGGCTCGTTAGTTACGCTTCACATTCTATAGTTTCATTACTGGTCGCTAGGCTCACTCCAGTGCTTCACTGAACGGTCTTGCAAGACAGATACCGCGGCATTCTAGGATAATAATAATTCACACGCAGTCTTTGTACTTTTTCCTTCTCACGTCCTGCTTTTCTTTTCAACAGCACACGACGTATGTTTCTTCTCAGATTAGTCACTGACGATGCGCCTTCTCTGCAGAAAATGCGGACGCGTCGTCTGCGCCAATTGCTCTCCACATCGAATTACTATTCCCCGCCAGTTCATTGTGCATCCGCCGTCTCCTACTTCTACCGGGGCGACGATCGTTGACCTCACAGGGGATGACAGCTCCGTAAGCCAATCATGGCTGGGCGGTGGTGAGGAAGTCCGAGTCTGCAATCCTTGCGTCCCAGATCCAAACTTCAGCCCTCCGCCTCAGCAGCAGCGCACGATTGAGCCTTCTGCGGCCTTTCAACGCTTTCCGGCTTTTGCGCCTACTCCGTTGCAGGCTGCGCCTACAGCGCCGTTATATCAACATCAGCCTCGACCTCGCCACGTAGTGTTCGATGCAAACCGATCAATAGCGCCGCCGCTGCCGAATTCAGTAGCACACCAGCTGCAATCAAACTCAACTCGGCCACACCCTCTTGAACCGTTCCGGGACAGGCGTCACACCTTCCAGAACCGAACCACAGTACCACGGCCATTACCACCATACCGCCCCCCTCAGCTATACCAGCACCAGCACCACCCCCATCACCGTTCCACGTCGGCCATGACGGGCTATCGCTCCCTCCTTGACGAGCCTGAGCCGCTCCCCCGCCCCCCATCGCCGCCGCGCGCACCTCCGCGCAGACAGCTCAGAGAAGAAGACGAGTGTCCAGTTTGCGGCATGGAACTTCCACTCAAGACGGCTGACGGCAGCGCCGCAGCAGCAGAAGCGCACATCGACGCGTGCATCAGACAGCACGTATCCGGTACCAGCGCGCCGCGGGATTCAACGCATCCACCGCCAGGTGGCCGGGGCCCCACGACAGCTGAAAACGCCGGCGAGCAAGCATCGGCGTCGAGACCACGGCGTGACACGCGGATCAAAATCCGCAAGGATAGAGCCACCGAAAAGGATTGTTTGCGCGAAGACGGCGAGGCGCAGGAGTGTGTGATTTGTTTCGAGGAGTTTGTCGTTGGCGATGAGCTGGGCACGCTGCCCTGCTTTTGCAAGTTCCATCATGTAAGTGGCGCTGTGTGTTCAACGCTTTGTATTGCGCGTGGCTGACGTCGTATGCATAGGCCTGTATTATGTCCTGGTGGAGTACAAAGGGGCCTGGTAGCTGCCCTACTCACCAATTGAGGCATTGAAGTGCGTGCGTTTTGGGAGCACGGGTGAGACGAATAGGACTTCAGTAGCTTGAAGCCTTGAATGTTCGTCAGCATTAACGAGATGAATCACTATTTGCGCCGGATCTTGACATCTGAAACTCAAGCGCCAGGGTCACTAAGCCGCCAGGCTCCAAATTCATCAAAGAACTTCAATCATCATCATCATGTTCATGAGAATTCTTGCCAAGGGCTTCACACCTGTCTTGCCTGCGTCCCAAGTTCACTAGGTTACTAGCGGTCTCTACGCCGTTCATTGTTTGTTGGCTTCAGCGTCGTGAGCTACCAGTCGTGCAGAATCTTCCTCTTTCACACTCCACCACCAGGATGACAAAGCCACCAGATTCCAGCGTTATAGAAAATCTTCCACAACCATCATGTTCGGTAAGATCTTTCTCATAGCCTTTTCACCTCCAGTCCCGCCTACGCCCCGTTCACGATGTCATAAGCGACCGACGCTGACCTCAGGAAAGGAGTCCATTAGGGCGAGAACATGGACAAAATCTTCAAAGATCGTATACCCGAGAAGAACTTCCCACATCGCTTGAGCCGGCCGACAAGCACGGATGCCAGTGGTACCTTTTCAGGTTTCTGGGCAGGTACGGTGGATCATCCAAGAAAGCATCGCGGTGACACAGGAAAAAGCATATATGACTCTCGAAGCCGTCTCCAGAGAGGCGCCAGAAGACGCCTGGACGTAGGATGAGGCTACAGCAAAGCTGAAGGCCGCTCAGTAGAATTGAGACAAGAATTCATGGCGACGCGTGATGGAGGGAAGGCCGCGTGCGCACTCCTCGAGAAACGCACTAAAAGAAGTGGCTGAGCGGGAGAGCGAAATGGCCAACAGCGAGGGCATGAAGGATGAGTAAGCAACCGCATTAAATTCTTTTCGGCATCCCGTCCGCTTCCACTCTTTGACCCAAATCTCCTCAAGCTGACAGCCACCATCACCACGACGAAGTCTCCGTGCCCTCGTCGATCGAGAGACCAAAACAGACTTTATGTTCTCTTCGCCGTCCTGGCGAGCACCTGGCAGCGATGATGTCGGTGTCCTTTGGAAGGCTTTACTGTATATTGACCACGAATTCGCTCGTGGTGGAATCACCCTCTGGGAGCTTCCCAGCTGATTTAGACGCCATCATCTGGATCCCGAATGGATGTCACTCTTCACAGACTATCCCCGCCGGAGACAGATGATGAAGGCCGTCCATGTCACGTGGCGCGATGCCCAGATAGAATTTCAGATTTCCGAATGGAAAACCCCCGGTTCAGACTCGCGCGAACGTCCTGGGAGCTTCAATTGCCTACGCTGCGATCCTAGGCGGTGGAGCGAGAAGGGTAGAGAAAGGGGGTTGTGTGCTTTTGCCAAGGGCTAAAGTCGTGGCCAGCGCTTGCCGCAGAACCGCGTAGATAAATAGGCTCTATCTTAGCTACGTAGTGACTACGCCTGAGCATATAAGATGCAATCTATGCCAGCAGATGAACGACGTGGTGATCCGACAGTGCATGAACGCCGCTGGAAGACTTGTACGCCGTGCTACGAAAGAAGCAAGCTCAACCCTTCCACGCACTGATCTAGTCGTCAGCAGGCGTGAGTTCCTATCCGTCCCTCCAACACGTCCGCGATCGCACCACCGCGCCAGTCGCGACTGCCATGCGGGAAAGAAAGCAAGACGAAGGAGTAGTCAGCGTCCCGGCCCGCAGGACCACCAGACTCCCCAATCCGTCAAACTCTCCTACATCCACCACGTTCATTAAGACCATCGCCATGGCCTTTCAGCCTCCAGTCCCACCTGCGCCGTGTTAACAAGGTCCTACCCGTTTACCACTCGACCCGCGCTTTGGGCCTAGCCGTAACGTCGTAGTTCTGGTGTGATGCTAGCTGTCATCGTCCAAGGTGTCTAGCCACCGATAGCTTGACTCTGTCTTAGTCCACCACCGCGTCCGTGACCGACCACCATGTCATTAGTACCTAGAAATCATCCCGCTCAGTCACCGTGGCTCGTGCCCCGCACTGAAACCAGCGTCCCAGTTGGAGTAGCCGCGTACGTCGGGCGCTGAAAGGGAGTGCTGAGGCGGTGGTGGGGCGTAGGACGGGCCAGGAGGCGGGGGATTGTACAAGTATGGGGGGTGAGAAGGGTTGTGTTCGTGGTAGTGGCGCTGTTGCTGCTGCTGCTGCTTGTAGTCTCCATATCCCGCATGACAGAAGCCTGGTTGCGTCTGTACTTCTCCTGCTCCTGCTCCTGCTCCTCCACGAGCCTGCTGAGCGTGTTCCTGCCAAGTCCCTGCCTCTGCCCCACCCCCGGCCCCAGTACCCATACTGCCACTCCCCTCCGCTTCCCGTTCCACTCGAAGGTCTCGTCCTGCCATTCCCCATGCAAGCGGCGTAAACGACTCCGGCACAAACGACTGCAGGCCCGGGTCCTCGAGGAGCCACATCCCCGTGTTGCCCATCACGGTGTCGAGGAGCATGGGCTGGGGTCCTACGTAGCCTGCTCTCGCTCTTCCTGGGTGTATAGCGGGGTTGGAGACCTGAGCTTCGGCACCATGGGTTGCGGCTTGGGCCTGGGTCTGCGCCAGCGCCTCTTCCTTCAGCCTCAACATCTCCATCGCCCACGAAATGCGCTCAACAGCCAGCGCAGCAAGCTTGTGCACGCCCTTCTTGTCGAGCTCGACGAAGACGGCGTAGGCCTGCTCCACACGGCCCAGATACCGTAACTTCTTCTTCTTTTCCTTGTCCACCTCTTCACCTGCTGCTTCGTTCGTGCTACATGTCTCAATCGCGTCAAGCAAAATAATCATGCACGCGTTAAACGCCTGCTGGCCCATGGTCCAGCAGATCATGGCAGCAGGGACACGGGTGTAGAAGAAGAGGAAGGCGTTTAGGAGGGCGAGAGATGACGAGAGGACAAGGGGGCGGCCGCGGAGGGGTTCTTTGTCTTGCTGTGATGCTGGTGAAGGTTGAGCGGTGGTGGGACTCGGTCGGTACTGCTGGCTGTTGGGAAGCGGTGGGGAGGGGAATGGAGTAGAAGAGGTTGGGCGCGGAGGGCGTACGGGGGAGATGCGTTGGCGGTTTAGGAGGATGAGGTAGTTGTGCGTTTTGCCATAGAACACTGTGGTGAAGGGTCGGTTAGCTTGTGGATCTCTTTACTCTGACCGTGACCGCAGTGCAACGTCTTTCGAATGTGAGGCCGTGGAAGCCCTGTCAAGTAATGCTTAGGGGCCATCACTCACTAGTAGCCATAGCATCAAGTGGCCACTCCGGAATCTCCTTCTCGCGATCCAACCATGTCTCATCGAACCGGACCATCTCAGGCATCGTATCCCACAATCTCCTCAACCGATCCGTAAATTCATCGATCTTGGCGTTCGTCAACTTATCGCTACTCAATATCTGCCTCGCCAGCAGCGTAAAATGATCCACAAACTCTCCCAATCTCAGCACCGTCGGATTCGTCGTCAGCGGCTCCGGCGGCGGACAGTCCCCGATACCCGAGATGCCTAGCGGCCGCCCCAAAGTCATCGAGTACTGCTGGTCCATGTGCAGCATCCACCACCACAGCGTCTGCCGGATCGCGCACTCGCGGAGCGGCGGCGCTGGGTCCAGGTACTTTGGGTTTCGGTGCAGGCCGACGGAGTGCGCGAGCCGGATCGTCGTTCCGAACAGCGTCCAGGCGTCTAGAAAGCGCCCGCTGTTGGTTAGGTAGGGGCCCATCATTATAAGGGCTTGGATGCCTAGCAGGGTTGGGCGGTTCATGAAGGAGGCCATGCGGAGGGCTTGCATGGATGCGGCGACTGGGGAAAGGGTTAGCGTCTTTACGGATAGAGGTTGGTCGTGGATGGCTGGGGGTCAAAAGCCTACTGTAGACGTCGCCTTTCATCGCCTCAGCTTGCATGGCTCCCTCAACCCACTTGCCGCCGCTCTTGTCGAAGACACCGTTCTGCAAGCCCTGAGCCAGCGCGGCGAAGAGCAGCGCGAGCATGTCGGGGTATAACTGTGCATTCCTCTCGGAGTCGGACAGGAAGCGCTCGACTTCCCTCTTCGTGATTTCCTCCGGCGTGTGCGGGAAGGAGCAGCTCTGAGAACGCTTCTGGAACGCGTCGAGGTAGGCAAAGAGATCCTCCTGCGGCGGCAGGCATTGCAGCAGGGCTGGAATGCATGCTTGCGGATACGCGGGCCACATGGTGGCGAAGGGGAACGCAGGGCCGCTTCGAGCAAAGTAAACGTCTTGCCCTCGCGGCATGGTATGGCTCAAGGACGTTGCGCCGAAGTTCAGACTCGCGAACTGCGACTGTGATGAGTGGCGTTGGTATGAATCACCGCAAGGAGAGGAGTACCATACCTCATTAATGACACTCGCCAGCCCTGGGCTTCCAAAATAAAGGTTGTCAGATAGATCCTGGTTCTTGAACGCCTTTTGCCGCGCCAGTGGAGCCCTCCAGGGCCGCCGATGCCTGGCTCTTTTGCTCACGGGACGATCGGATTGTCCAGCCTCGTCCGAGTCATCTGAGAGGGCTGAGGTGACGGCTCGTAGACGCTCCTTTAGACGAAGGTTCTCGGCACGAAGCTTGCGGATCTCGTAGGACTGCTGGATGGGGCCGTAATCGCCGCCTTCTGCCACAACGAATTGGCACTCCTTGGGCTGACCGCGGGCGCAGCAGGCCGAGCATGGCTTTGTGCGGTCGCACTGGCAGGATCGTGTCAGCACCCGTTTGGATTCCGTTTTCGGACGGGATGATATCTTGGGTAGAATGTTACCTTGACCTTTCGTTCACGACACTTGGTGCAAGACAACAGCTGTCGAGACTGTTGCTGCTGCTGCTTCTTCTTGCCGTTCTCCTCGGTAGTCTGGAGGGGATCGGGGGTGGTATTGTGGACGTTCTCAGCGGAGGAAGCGGAGCCATGGGCGCCAGGCCAGGCGGGAGGAAAGGTAGACATGAGAAACTAACACGGCCTAATGGCACTCGATGGAAAACACAGAACCGGGAAGCGGGCTTGGAATCGCGCAATTAGCGGCATCAGCGAGGATGGCCGAAGGTTGGCTGTAGGAACGGAGATGCGCGGCCAGCTCGTCAAGGCGGAAACTATATAATGTTTATGGTAGGGGAGTACCTCCACAGTTGAGGCGCTCACAGTGATTCTTTCCCATCGTCTGCTTGGCAGATTCCCACAGACAAGGGTGTGGGAAGTGCTTGTGTCTCCCCCCTCACGCCCTGCAATGCCGGCAGCTGGGTGCCAGCTTCCGCGATGGGTACTGCCCGTATGAGACCAGCAGCATGGTAGACAGCTGCGAGATCCGACAAGCCGTGCACTAGATCCATGCCGCCAGCCAAGGTATGTCCAGATCTGTGGGACGCGTTGCCCGGTTACCAGCACGTCTTCAATCCGCTGCTCCAGCGATCGCTAGCGGAGCAGCGGCCGTTGTACGAATGATAGCATAGCGCGGACATTTTCATGATGGTGTGCGCAAGAAAGCGGGGACTATTTGGAATATGGCATTTCCTGAATACGGATATATTGAAGCAGCCGCAGCCTCGCTCACGCAAGCGACGCGCCGACTCTGGGGCTAGTGAGTAAACACCCTGCCTACCTGTTACAATGCGATCCAGCCAAGCACACGGTTCGGTCCACAGACAGCGGACCGTCTGGCCTAGAGTGACTTTGGCGCCGAAAGCGCGCAGTAAGTCGGCTTGTCCCGTAGGGGGGACTCGGTAGCGGAGGCAGTTGCCGGCGCCATTGGCCAATGCCAGGACAATTAGAGTTCATGCGAGTATAAAAAGAAATGTCGGCAGGCTACATTCGCAGCGTGCTAGAGCCTCGGGCTCGATGCGCGCCGCTGTTGTGTCACAGCTGAGGGACGGCTGTCGAAGCGAGAGAAATGGGCCCCCCTCCATGGCGCAAGATTCAGAGCTTACCGGCCAGGTGGTTACGTGTCCATGCCAACCGCGAGGCGTTCGGTAGTCGTGGGCGCTCTTTGGTTCGTCGATCGCACGGCCCGTGGCGTTCGCATGGCGCCGCGCCGATCTCCAATCTGCCCTCCCGCCGACTGCTCTGTGCGCAAAACAAGACTCCCATCAGAGGGCGGCCCGGCGGGCGCCTATCCGGCTGCTTGCCCGCTCTCGGGTCAGGGCTCTTCCCTCTGCACCTTGTTCTCTCCTCTCCGCATCGACGGCTTTGCTACACGACATGGTGCAGCTCGTAAGTCTCACTGCCGAGATCAGCCGCTGCACCCCCTCCTGCGGGAGAGATTGGCGACAGCATAAGGGAGAAGCGACGATCGGAGCCCGGCACAGCTCCCAAATTGCAGGTCAAGGTAACCAGGCTCCGGGCTGCTGCATGGCTCACACGCCCTCCACGCCTCATCTTTACGTGGGCAAGGGAAAAGCTGAAACTTCCGAAACCCGGCACAGGATGCGCGGAAGAAGGTCCACAGAGAGCGATATTGGGGAGGTAGGCATGCGCTTACGGTACATTTAGTTGCTCCCGCTGCACCCGCTGCGAAGAAGCTGCACGGCGGGCAGGGGTGTGGTTGGGACGCTATTGCTGTTGACGTACATGATTCTAGAGCTGGACGGGCTGTCGACGGCTGAGTGAGCACAGCACCCGCGTGCAGCAGGTGGTTGGCGCACCATATTGGTCTGGGAGGTTCTATTCTCTTGAATGCTTAGCTTCATCCTAAGCAAGGCTGTTCAGCTTGCTGGGAGACTGTATTGCGGATTAGTTACACGGTTCGACAACCCCAATGACCCTTCGATCGTGATTATGTGGAGCTTGCGATTGCCTATTTATATAATTCTCTAGCTGCCGCGCTCTAGGCCACTGTGGCGGCGAACCACCGGCCGCTCTGGATGCTGTCCAGGTATATTCGTAGGAGTAGTCCGCTGACCGCTATTTAATGTGGGCGGATTGAGATCCATGAAAGCGTAACACTCGAGATATCATGCATGCGGATTCAGCCCGTCGCCGCGTCCCCAGTATCTGCCGCTGCCGCCGCCGTGCAGCTTCGCGGCGGGTAGGGGAGTTGAAATGCTGTTGCTGCGCGGTCTAGAACAGGCGTTGTTGTCCAACATTAAGCAAACACAAGTAGTCTGTTGGCCGCTGAACTGCAGTCAACAGTGCCTTGACGAACAGTCACGGCGTTGTCAAGTCTAGCGAACAATGCACGAGTCCAGTCCTTCCTCATTTTGGACGCGGTACTCAACGTACCCTCTGCCCAGACGAAGCTCTCGCCTCCTGGTACGCCTCCCTCTTCACGAGTCTAACCGGGGTAAGCTTCACCCACCTATCATACGCATTGACATGATGAATCTTCGCCTCCCAAATATCCCCAATCATCGCCTCGCCCAGCCCATGCGGCTTCGGGCTCAGCAGCTTCATCTCGGTCGAATATTCGGTCGAGAACGCGAACACATCCCCCGTGACGCCATGCACATTGTACACCAGCACCTGCAACGTCTCCGGCAGCGCCGCCTCGCCATAGTGGTGCGCGCGCAGGAACAGCTGCGCGATCCAGTGCATGCGCGCGGTGCGCTTGACCGACGTGATCAGTCTTTCCCGTGACTGCAGCCTATGGATCACGAGGTCGATCTCTGCTTTAGAGAAGGGGAGGTAGTCTGCGCGGTCGCTGCCGACGAGGCTCGTGCCGCTACTTGCTTCTTCGCGCAGCGCGGCTTCGATCTGCCAGTGCGTGATCATATCGCCGTAGCGGCGCAGCGGGGAGGTGACTTTGGAGTACTGCGGCACGCCGACAAAGCGGTGGGCCGTCGGCGTCGTCGTAAGGAGGACCATACCGATGGTGCTGATGTAGCCACGGCTGACCTCAAGCGGTGGAATACCGTTCTCATCTTTCGAGGGGTCGAGGATCTCGCGTTTGTAGACGTCCGCGGCCATCGTCTCGGGCGCCTCTACAGTGCCCCGGTACAGGATGGGGATGTTGCGCTGCCGGCACCACAGCGCGCCGATCTCGCAGCACATCAGCATGAACTCCTTGACCATGTTTATGCCGGACTCCGCTGTCCCGAACCAGCCCCGGTAGGTTTGTGAGCGCATGCAGATGATGGGGTCGCCTTCTATGTGCCGCGCTACGTTCCGGCTCGGGTGCGACCATCCTAGACCTGCGAAGTTGAAGGACTCTATAACGCTCACATCGGGATGGTTCATCTCCAAGAACAGGCCGCCTGCCTCTTGACGCAGTTTGCTGCGCGCGCCGGCCAGGTGATGCAAGGTGAGCAGGTCATCTTTCTGTTGAGGGGACAGTCTCGGGGCGTATCGCTTTCGCGTCATGTAGCCTGGCAGCTTGCCACCGACAATGACCTCGACGTCTGTCGACGCCGTGCTGCCCAAGCCCAAGCTGCGGGAAAGCTCGTCGGGGGTTAGGGAGATGACGTTGCGTATGAAGCCGCTTCGAGCCTTGACTTCCAAGACGTGTCCCTGGCTGTTAATCCTCGCGCTGAAGGTGAGGGCGGGCCGGTCTTTGGCAAGGCCCAAGTGCTTTCGCGTCATATCCCTCGGCAACATCGGGTAGACTCTCTCCGGGAAGTATACAGTCTCAGTCATGTGAGCAGCTAGCTTCGTCGCTGAATCGCCGCGCTCCAAGAATGCCGTCGGGTTCGCAATGTGGATATGTACCCAGTACTCTGACAAACTCCCAGGAATCCTCTCTAAGGAGAAACCGTCGTCGATTTCCGCCGCGCTCGCCGAGTCAACGCAGTACACGCCCAAGTCCTTCCAGTCATGCCGCAGTTCTTGCATGGCGTCGGTGTATTTCGCGTTCGGATTAGCCGCTTCCACCTGGACCATGCTAGACAGTCTCTCAAGCGGTTTCGAGTGCTGAGAGCTCGGTAGGAGGAGATGCTCGTCGTGCGCCACCCGGTTTTCGTGTGGAACTATTACGCCAATCTCCTGAAGGAACACAAAAGCCGTACTAAGCCCCAGACCCTCGTCCGGGTAAAGCCCGACTGCTCGTAGGATCAAGGGACCAAGCCCCCACAACCTTGGCTGATGCCGGAAGCTACTCGAGACACACCACAGCTCCAGGAATCTTATAATGGCCTGATCCGTCTTGCTAAACTGGAATGAGTGTATGATCCGTGTCGCTTTGGTCGTCTTCGTGATAGGAATGCGCACTAGACTGGGTCCAACACAGCCAGCGCCTGGAACTGTTGGGTAACGGGATTTTCGACTCTCAGCAATGAGTAGTCTCGACTTCTCCAGGAACGCCTCTAGAATTTTAGCGCCCTGGAACTTTTTCCTGGGTTCCGAGTCCGCAGCATCGACATTGCTGTCATTTGCCTTGAGCGCCAGCTCTTCTTGATACTCGCGGAGCCATTCACGAACGCTTTCAATGTTTTCCGTGACGTCCTTGGATCTGATCTGAAAGATGTTGGTCCTGCTATGGTCTCTCGCGTCGTACCCGAAGCCCCAGCCTCCGCGGACCAGTGCCCTGCGGACGGCGTAATAATCGACCTCGGACAGTTCCTTCTTCCGCAGAAGCTGCATTGCGATCCTCTCAAGCGATCCAAAACGTAGGTCGGTTGGATGAGCAAGCGCTGCATGGGCGCTGTCGAGGACCGAAGCGTTGTTGCGGTACACTGTTTCAGCCGCGCGCCAAAAACTGACAATCTTATTGACCACCTTTGCACCAACCTCTCGGGGCACACTCAAGTCCATGATCTGTGCCTTGTCGAGCATCTCGTCCGTTACCGGTTCACTCGGCAGGTGCGGCAGGAGATCATCGAGCATTGAGGGATTCATGAACTTTGGTATGCTGAAATGGACGGCTTGCATCCTTCGATGAACCCATTTGCCATGCATGGTGTAGCACTGCAGCTGTGTCTCAATCCTGCGTACGTAGACCGCAAGCACAGGCTCCCGATCTGAGGAGAGGTACCTGCGCGTCGCATTAGCAATCTCCAGGAAAAGAAAATCGAACCCACTTACGGTAGCTCAACAAGATCTCCCGGTCTTAGCAAGTTTAAGTTCGTATTCCCGTCCTCTGGCTCTTCTGCTTCCTTCATGCCGGCTAGATCATCCACGTCTCTCTCATTTTCTTGCTCGCAGAAATCATCAACGTCACCAATACGTGCAAGCTCGCTAACTTCTGCGCTGCCCGTCTGCGCAATCTGAGCTGTAACATCCAGGTTCACGTTAGTTCGACCATTTATCTCTTGCCACTCCCTTAAGCGTTCCCGGATATCGGGCTTGTGCGGCTGCTGAACAGGAAGGGAGGGAGGAGGCATAGGATGGAATGTGTTGAACGGGGCCTCAACTCGGCGTGCGACAGTCTGCTGATACACCTACAATGCGTCTGATCAGCAGAGTAAGGACTGGGGATTAGGAACCGCTTCATACCTTGGCAGAAGAATGGTACTGCCGCGTGGTAGGAGGGCTGCGCTCCCCCGGAGGTGCGCGAGCTGCCCGGCTGGTTCCTCGCACGCCGTTACTCGCAAGATGCGACCCGTCACCTTGCTTGAATCCAGCCCCAGCAGGTTTGTGAGAACTGCTCTCGGATTGAGCCCGTTCCGAAGTCTGACTTGACATGCTTTGCATACTAACGAGACGTTGGAAGCCTTCCAAAATGCTATCAAACTTATCGTCCACATTTGAAGTTGCCACTTGCTTGTGGACAATATTTGCGGGGCTGCTTTCGGAGATGTCCAGAGCTTTCTTCCGTGAGAAGTGATAGCTTAGGGGTAGTACGCTACTATTGACCGGTAATATTCGAATACTCGTCTTGTGAGCCCCATACAATCGGGGTTGCAGCTGCGCACCTTCGACAGACCCGGAGCTCGGGACCGCCTTCGAGGAACGTCTTCCAACATTGTCCTCTTGCGGCGGAACCGCCTCCCCGGTCTCGGGGGAGATGAAGCGCTCGCACCCAATCTTTCGGAATGTAGCTCGTTGGACAAAGGCGGTTCTGCGCTCCTTGCGCGTAGGCGGGGTCTGCGACGGAGAGCGGAGAGCTGCCTCAACGGGGATTGGAGTGGACTGAGGTAACGATATACGTCGGATGGGCGATGGCGTAACCTTGCGCGCCACAGATGGTGCAGCATCGTAGTTCGTCGAGGGATAAGGGCGAACGTTGGTGTTGATATAGCGAGAGTGGCGTTGTTGCTTCAGCTTGCAGCTCCAGCAGACGGTGGAGACATCAGGAAGTCCAGATGTGCCGGCATAGCGTCGGCGCATGGCTCGGGAGCGAAGGACGGAAGGTGGACGGATAGAAGTGAGAGAGCTGCAGTTTCTCGAGCGCGAGATGCAAAGTTGAGTCGAGTCGAAGAGAGCTGCCAGGTGCCATGTCCGATGATGAGCCGTGCAGGGGCGAGCGCGATATCACGTGCCAGGAAAGCTGTCCTTGATGGCAGCACTAGGTGGATGGCATGTTGGCCCCTACTGCTTCCTGCTGCTCCCATTGCTCCCACTGCACTTACCACTGATCTTGCATTCTCGCTATAGTTAGCAATCCCCTCCACGAACCCTAACTTGAATCTAGCGTGATAATAGACTGCTGCTCTCACGTGATAGGCTGAAAACAAGGGAACATCTGTGCGGCTCACAGCTGCTGCTGCCCTTGCTTACCTTGGGTACAGTGCCTACCGGCTTGATTACTGCTTCTCCAGTGACAACAGTATTTCTCCTTGCTGGTATGGCACGTCTTCTTCATGGCGATTCCCCTCCCGTGCAGCCATCGGAGAGGTCTCCAGGCCCTCCAGGTTTCCAAGTGTCCCGAGGCGTTTGCGTGATCGCTGCTGCAGGGCTAGGGAGGGGAAGGGAGCACCTTATGCAGCAGTTAGAGCGTTTCAGAACAACGCTACGCAGACTTGATACATTCAACGCTGCTAATGGCCCGGTGCCGATCTGGACGACTAAATACCGAGCCTTGTCGCCCATGCTGATGCTGGCCTCTCGGTGATCAGTACCCGCGGCTCTTGTTGTGTCTGCCCCCGTTTTCGTGCTCTTGTGTTGTTTCAAGACAATCCACCGCCTCGGCCTAGCGTGTCCCGGTAGTTGGACTGCTACACAAGGCTGCTTACAGGCAATCTCCCTGCGGCCTCGACATTACATTACTGCCATCTATATATAGACACAGCACGACACCAGACTGCTCAACGCCAGTCCGCACACAAGCATACAGCCGCGATTCTGCGAAAACCCGGCACTGAACGAGGAGGTTGACCATCGAAAAAGGGCAAGAGAGCAAGAAAGCAAGAAAGCAAGAAAGCTTCATTGGGCCAGCGTTGGCGCCCGGCTTTCCGCATCCTTGTCAGCGCTTTCCGTGCCTGCGCTCCCACCGCCGAGTCCCATTGCCTCATTCATTCATACCTTACCTTATTGACAGCGAGAGCCGCGCATCCACCGCTTTCTACTGGCCTGCCTGACGCTCGCCAAGCGTCGCGTCCCTGTCGATTGACAAACCTCAAGCTTTCCTTTTGCTGATATCCACGCCCGCCGACACGCACGCCTAGCCAACGCCCTTTGCGCCGACGCTCTCCTCGCCGTTCAGCCCCCCTTTACGGACAGGTAGACAGACGCAAACAGGTCGCGGACAGCACGCCTTCCCATCGTAACACATCAGCGCCCCGTAATTGCGCTGAAAGTGCGAACCCGCGAATACCCTCCCCGCACCCAACAGTTGTCCGCGCCGGGCTTAGTAAAGCTTGTGTCGTTGTCACTCGCGCGTACAAAAAGCTTCTTTCACTGTCTTGGTATACGCGAACCTCGCCGCGCGCAACTTAGGGCACATTGATATCAACACCGAGCGGAAGCGTTACAGTACCTGGCAGCACTACTGCTTATCGGCACAACAGCTGCATCGGCCATACGAGACAGAGCGTTGACAGCCTTTCTGGTTAACGGGTCTGCGGGCTCCTGCCTCCTGCCGCTATGGCCGCCGTTCTCTCGCCGCAGACCACGTCGACCTCTCCACCGACGCAGCTCCCACCACGCGCCTCCCCTCCACCAAATACCAGACTACCTACACTTCCCCCACTGGTAACCTCACCATCTCAACAGCCAGCCAATACACCTCGCAGGCCGTCCTACGCCAACAGGCGCCTGTCCGCCTTTTCCAACACCTCTGCGGCCTCCCGCTCGCGGCCACAATCCACAGTCTTCCCCATCTTCCACTCCAGCCTCAGCTACACACTCGTCCAAGACTTTGCCTACTCGCCCGACAACCCGCTCTTCTACGGGCCCCTTCCCGAGCAGTCCCCCGAAGCATCGACGCCCGCGAGCGAATACCACAGGCGGCTGTCGGACCCCCCGCCGCGATGGGACAAGCAGCAGGGGCAGTGGTCCGCGCCGTCGTGGGTCGCAAGCACAGGGGAGCAGCTGCCACCAACATACTTTGGCGACGGGCCGCCGTACGCCGAAGACGAGGACATCCACTCCCCCGTCGTGACGAGCGCGAAACACAAGAAGCAGAAATCAAACTACGTAAGCTTCGACAGCGCGCGGGGCCGCACGCGCGAGTTCCACGAGGGGGGCCGAAGAGGTAGCTACACCGGCACAAACGGCGACGGCAGCCGCATCTTCTACGACGAGGGACCGGACGACGTGGCCGGCGGGCCGGGCGGGGAATACATCACCTACGACGCGGAGCCCGCATCACACTCCCTCCACCCCCCCTCCGGAACAGATACAAAGCGCGACTCACACTTCGCGACCACGCTCCCTAACCGCTCGTATCCGCAGCCCCAGCACCACCAAAACCACACCCACGCGCTCCACTCCTCCAATTCTCCGTCCCCGAGTCCGACATCATCTGAAGCCTCCGACGACGATCCGGATTTGACGTCTCCAACTGGCCTGCATCCTCCCTCTGCGCTGCACGCCTCCCGCTTCAGCCGCGACTACCAGTTCACCATCGCGTCGCCGGACGAGGAAATGCACGGCAAAGCCGTCGCGCTCTACGATTTTACTCGCGAAAACGAAAACGAGCTCCCGCTCATTGAGGGCCAAGTCATTCTCGTGTCTTACCGCCACGGGCAGGGCTGGCTTGTTGCACAGGATCCGCGGACGGGGGAGAGTGGGCTCGTGCCGGAGGAGTATGTCCGGTTGCTAAGGGATATTGAGGGCGGGTGGGGGGGTTGGGCTGGGGTGGGTGCAGGGGGAGAGGAGGGGGTGGAGGGGGAGGTGGGGGAGTACTATACGCCGGTTGTGAGTAGCTTTAGTACGAGTAGTCGGGACTTGGAGCCGTGGGCTGGGGTGGGGAAGCAGGTCGTGCCGGGGGAGGCGGATGCTGTGCCGAAGGACGGGGAGGAAAAAGTGGAGGCGGAGGGACGGAGAGCTGGAGGGGAGCAGCAGGATGAGGAACAGCATGCGCGGCAAGCGAGACGAAGAATGGGAAGCCAGAAGGATGGATGAGGTGGGGATGATACGTTTGATTCGTTTGAGGTAACTGGAGCGCATGTGCGGCATTTTATGTTTGTTGCCATTCCGAAGGTCTCCCTCGCTGCTCTTCATTTCAAGCGGCATATTCCTTGTCCTTCCCTTTACTCTTGGTTCGCGCATCTCGAGTATGCCTGGGGAGTTTTCCAAACATCTTGGGCGGCCGTTGTCAGCTTTTATGGCTTGTCTTTGGATATCATGACCTGCATCAAGGCGGGAGCGGTTCTTTTGGGTTTCAGAGGAGGTGATGAGGTGTACTATCTGATCGTCTCCGGGGTCTGCTGGAAGGAGTGGACAAGCGGCTAGCTACGCTAAAATGCAGTAGGACGGGGTACCCGTGGTTGAACGAGATCTTTAAGCCTTGCCTATCTGGGTAACATCATATTCGCTCTGCGCTGAGTTCAATATGCCGGATGGGGCAGCCTCGTTATCTTGATTATACTTCTAGCCCAAGAAGTTCAGCAGGTTGAGGACGCAGCTCCGGAGTCTCTCTGCATTAGGAGAGTGTGCACCTCTATAGCGTAAGCCACTTCCCAGTATGGGTTCACACTCCGGCTACCTCAACAGTTATCCAAAAGTGTTGCGATTCCCCTAAGAAAGCATTGTCAGGATAAAGCATTAAAATGAGGCCTCCCAGAAGAACTGAAGGGAAGCAACAATAGGCGCAAGAGTCTTGACTGGCAACCTCACTCTCTAGACTCTGCCGTTGGAGAAGGCACATTTGCTGTGCGGCTCATCTAAAAAAATCTATATCTCATCAAACCATGAGGTAGGTTGTGATCCGCTCAAGGCGCGTAGAGCAGAGACAAAGGAGCAAGAACACAAGACACAATCAAACAACAAACTCTGGCTTTTTTCTTTCACCGCCTTACAATCCCACTCCAACACCATCAAATATCCCGTATCTTTGCTATTGTTCACACCGATCGTATTGTTCGCTACCTTGTTATACCCGTCCGGAGCCGCAGCAAGTCCTAACACATCATCTATACGGATATTCACCGTTCATACCAATCCAAATCACAGTCTCTACCATATCACCCCACACCATCAACTATCAGTCAGGATCCACCATGCACTTCACCACCGCGCTGATCGCGCTCCTCAGCGCCCCCCTGATCCTCGCCGCTCCCTCCGCCGACGCCCTCCCCGACCGCCACTTCCGCCCCGAGCAGACCAAAGACGAGCGCATCAAGCTCAAGATCACCTCCCAGAGCATCGGCACCTGGAAGCCGGACATCAAGATCAACGCCTGGCGGAGCGTGGCCAAGGACCTCAAGAAGCCCTCCGGCCCCTTTTTCGAGCAGGTCTGCTTCGACAACCCGACCAAGGCGGGGCGGGGGCACTATGTGTGTGTTTTTGACAACGGCGCGGGGGGCAGGGTCACGGGGAACGATGGGAAGGAGATTATTTTGAATGCGCTGCACGGGTGTCAGAAGGTGCAGAAGGCGGTTTATGCGGTTAAGTGTTGCAAGGATTTTTGTGTTAGGTAAGGGGGTGGAGGTTGCGCCGAGAGAGCGGCTTGGAGGAGGCTATTGCTGTGGCGTGGAAGTAGGCGCCTGATAGATGCATTAATCCAATTTATGCTCCATTTGCGAGCAGGGCTGTCTCCTACTCTTATGAGCGTTGCAAGAGGCGCTTGAATTCGTCGCATTCCGCTCCGCTCTCGCGCTGAGATGTTGCGTCAAGTATTTTGGCTCTGTTGACTATATGTTAAATCGAAAAGACCACATCCAAGATGTGGGGTTGCTCAACCCACCATACGCTCCTATGGCCCCTGCACAGTGCTCCTGCACCCCACAGCCCGCTAGCGGCGCCACCCGCTCTCGTCCCGCTTCCGCGGCCTCCAAAAATTTCCAGCCAGAGTTCCACCTCCCTCACCCGCATATCAGAACCACTCCACGCCGCTCAGCAGCCATGGCACAAGGCGCCGTCAAAAAAGCCGCCAAGCCCGCCGGCGTCACCAAGAGGTACCTTGTGTCTAGATCAAGCAGCTTTTGTCTGTAAAATCTGACATCCTTGCAGCCAGCGCACACAACGCGGCGCCCGTGTCATTGCGCCTAAGAAGGTGAAGCTGATACAGCAGCAGAAACTGGTCAAGGTGGGCATTCCTCAATCAAGGCGTAGTCGGCGGATGGATGGAGAGGAGAGAAGCTAAGGAAGCGCAGAAACATACATCCGGCCTCACGGCTCTGACGGAGAAGAATCTCGCGGAGAAGGCGGGACATCTGGAATTGCTGAGGGGTGGGAAGAAGGACAAGAAGGGCGGAAAGGGGGCGGAGAGGAAGGGCGAGAAGGGAGAGAAGAAGGGCAAATAAGTGGAAGTTATCACAAGTGGGTGGACGAAGAGCTCGGATGGTGACGGCATAGGCATAGCGTTTTAACGGGAAGATTGCATGGCATAGGGTGTATGGCGCACAAGGGATATCGAGGGCCGGTTCTCCTGATGGTCGTGCTGCAGGCTCGCTATCGTCGCGTGTTCGATCTTGGACGCGCATGTGCGGATGACTTGAGAAGGGGCTTGAGTCTCTCGGGCACATGAAGATGTGGAAGAGCAAGGCAGAGCCCAGCAGCATCTGTGGCATAGATCGCCAGCCACATGATCAAGATCCAGTCGCATCTTCGTTTAAGGCACCAATTCTCTTTTCCTTTCGGGGTGGCATCGCTATTTGTGTCTAGTACGAGAAGCCTGCAGTTAGACGGGTAATGTGGAGCGGAACTAAAGACGATAGTCTGACGACGCAACACAGGTGAATGGAGACACGATAGGAAACTCCCTTCTCAGCGCTGGAAGCACAATCTGACTGGCTACAAGCAGTTCTTGTTGATCGCTCTTTGCAACCTTCACTTACGTGCAGATGGAAGACGAAAGCCTTGGTGAGCGGAAGATGATACCGCATAGGCGAACAGAGTCGTAATTCATGATATTCGTTAGTGTATTCATGCGGTTACCAGGACGAAGACGATTTCAACATGCGATAGGCATTTTCCCGAATCACGATTGAATTTGAGATCTTTCCTACAGGGCTGAACAGACTGTGTTGTTGTTCTCGATGGAAGAGTAGATAGCAATGGCCTAAGGGCTATTCGAAACGGCGCTTCTCGGCTGGTGGCTTTTGCAATCGGATTCACCATCAAACTAGACTCATGATCTTGTCAACTGTAGAGCAGCTGGACCGGTTCTACACGATAATCAAAAGATGCTCAGCAATTTAGCTCTTTAATGCAATCGATCAGCTAAGAGGTCTTTGAGCTGTGAACTTTACCTAAGGCCTATCCAGCTCCAGGGCTATGAGTAGCTTTCAATGCGGCAGCCAGCTTTCCGGATGGCCCTTGACCCTTGTCCGAGGAGAGAAGTTTCCGCTTCTTGCTCGGCGCAGTAAAAGATCTTGGCTTCAGCTTTGCGACTCCCTAATTACTCTTATCTTTTTTGAAATGTTCCTGGTTTCTACGAGTCAAAGTATCCAAGGCAGTGATAGGATGAAAGCCTTCGATTGAGAGATCGTTGTGAAGTATCATCTATATGATATCCAAATACAATGGACCAAAACACCTTACTCTCATCTGCCTCATAAAACCGTGAAATGCTCATAAAAAAACAACCACCATATCTACAGCGTCTGTCCTGTCTAGGTATCATCACAACCCAACCTCTAATCCCGCTCATGCGCTGATCGATGCCGCCCTCAACGCCTTCCGCTGCTTCCTCAAGTCCCTCGTGTACTTGACACCAAAGCCATGCTTGAACACCTCCTGGACCTCCTCGATCGTCAAGCCTGAGACCTCAGGATAGAAGAAAATGATAAGCACCCAGCCGATACCGCAGATGGCCGCATAGAAGCCGAACGCGCCGGACGGGGTGAGCGACTTCATCATGGTCAAAAACGTCGACGAGACGATGATGTTGGAGCCCCAGCAGCTGCAAGTCATGAACATGGTGCCGGCAGCGCGGACCTCCATGGGGAAGAAATCCGTGCTCATCCAGGCCGTGTTGCCGACGGAGATGCCGTAGAAGAAGACGAACCAGATGATGAAGATGAGGACTACGATCGCCGGCGCTGTGATGGTGGCTGAGCGGATCTCGAGCGTCTCGGTGTTGATCGGGATAAAGCTGAAGGCAATGGCGACGGCGAGGAGACCAGCGGACATGCCCCAGACGGTGGAGACGAGGACGCGGCGGCGGCCCCAGGGGTCAACCATCATCATGTTGGCCCAGGTCATGACGAAATTGGTGCCTGCGACGACGAGACCGACGGCCACAGGGTTTGAGAAGCCGACGAGCGCGAAGAGCGTAGAGCTGTAGTACATGAGGGTGTTGAAACCGGACATCTGGGAGATAACCATAAGGCCGCAGGCGCAGACGAGGGCGCGGAAGTTGCTGGGAACAGAGTGTAGTTTCTTGATGAGGAAGATCATGCTCTTGCCCTCGGTAAGAGTCTTCGCAGCCTGGACGGCGCGGGCAATAATGGCCACCTTGTCGTTGACCTGCTCGGGAGTGGCGTGCTTATAAATGCGACCAATGACGACGGCGGCCTCGTCTGTCTTGCCGTGGAATACTAGCTGGCGGGGGGACTCGGGGCAGAAGGGCAGAAGGCAGGCTAGGATGACGGAAGGGACGCCGCCAAGACCGACCATGTATCGCCAGCCGTGCGGGACGTTGGCAAAACCAGCGCCGATGCCGTAGGAGATGACTTGGCCGCCGGTGATGGACATGTTGTTGAGACCAATCATGCGGCCACGGAACTTGGTGGGGGCGATCTCGGCGATATATAGGGGGACAACCATGCTATTGCTGCGTTAGATGATGTAAATGACGAGCTTTGTAGATAGATCAACTCACGCAGCGGATCCAACGCCTAGGCCGACGACGAAGCGGCCAACAGCCATCTGAGCCATAGAGTAGGCAGCGCCCTGAATGATGGCACCGATGGTGAACAAAACGCAGCTATATGCGAATTAGTCTATGCTCCGATATATTTCAGAGGAGAGGATACATACTCAAGGTAGATAGCGGCCTTACGCCCATATTTATCAGCAGTGAGACCGGCAATGATGGCACCAACGAAGGCGCCACCAGAGCAAAGCGAGGTGATCAATTCCTTCTCGTGAGCGGCGAGTTCGTGGCCGAGCGAGTCGCCAAGATAGACGAGGACGGCAGAAATGATACCAGTGTCGTAACCGAATAGGGCGCCGGCGATAGAGGCGCAGAAGGCAACGAGCCAGATGAACTTGCCCGTTGGCGTCTCCTCTATCGAGTCTAGAAGTGTGACTTGGTCGTCGCTTCCAGCGTACTCGTTTTTGACCGTCTGCGCCAACTTCTCGTCATCCATGATTGGTGCTCCGTAACCCATTTCGGCGGATTGGAAGGGCTGTTCTGATATGTATATAGTGATGGTATAGAAGATCAGGGGCCGAATGGACCTTCGAGGAGTGGAGGGAGGTCACGCCGGTGAAGCGATTGCAGAGGAATCCTAGTGATGAGGGATTGTTCTCAAGGTCTTGCTTTGAAGCTCTGGAGACTCATCTTGACGGGGGACATGAGGATGTTATATACAGAGACTCACAGCATCTCTGTGACACCAGTCTTCGAGGCCAATTCTCATGGCTCCACATCTGGGGAAAATGGCCGGTAAGGTCCAGATCTGGGGTTGCTGCCGCTGCTGCGCTACGAATTACCCCAGGATCCCAGTAAGGCGATCGGCACAGAGTAGCACTGTCGCTCAACTGCCGTTACTGGCTTCCCAAGACAAGGGCGGGGGTGGAGAACGATCCGGGGTCCTGCGGCGACAACAAGGATCTCTTAGGGCAGAAGCCACATGTCCGCCCGGGGATAGCGACGGCGCCAATGTACGAAACGCGCATCCAGCCAGCGTTGCCTCGGTGGTTCATTGCAGATCTGACATCGAGCTAATTGCAGCACGCTGGAAGAGACTTTTCCCCATCACACTTGAGGTTTCAGCCGCTCCATACGGAGGTAGCTACCAAAAGTGGCAAGACACGTTAAGGCAGCCACAACAGCGCTAGCACGCATCTTTACCATTTTAGGTTAGTGGTAAGCAGGGATACAAGCTCTAGCTCAGATCTAAGCAGCATTGATATTAAGACCTCCGTCTAGTATATGGATAATGTTAAGTTGTCTGCCGAATGCATTCTACACATAAAAGTGGTGAACAGGCTGACCGAAGGTTAACACTATGAATTGATGCCAGAGCTCTTGACTTGCGGCCCAGCCTCTGTACCCGGCTTACTTGAAGAAGCTAGAGTTGAATAGCTCCCGCTGTGGCTGTGTTAGCGTGTCTTGCGGCTCCTCGTGGAAAGGCGCGGGAGGATCTGGGGTAGATAGAAGGCATGGCGGAGGGACAGCGCGGACAACACCGCGTGCCACCTCTCCACCCTCTAACAAGCAAGGGATCCGGGGAAGAGAACCTTACTTCAGTTAACTAGGATATGATCGGCGAGGAGTATCCGTAGCCAGCATCGATTAACGTACGCGCTACAGGTCGACACTGCGTTCCTGTTTGGGAAAGTCGAATGCAGGTATATTAGGCGGTGTGCGCTCACTTGATTGCATAAGGGGCAGGTGTCGGCGAGGCACTGAGGGCGGGCCGAATTACCTCTGTTTGCGACCGCCGGCTTGCCGAAAGCCCGTGCACACTGAGGCGCTGCTGCGGCTGAAGCTGCGGCGGACTGTAGACGCCAAGGGCGTAGACGACATATTGAAGTCTTGCCTAGGTGACCTATTCCGGAGTTCACGATACACGGTGTAGAGACTGGACACAAACCTAGATTCTAGAAAGGGGAAGTGTGCGTATAGTTGACAAGTTGCGACATTAGGGTCACCAAACTCACTATGGTGATCTTGCGATCTGGCCTGTGAAGTGACGCTCAAAGGCCTTCGCTGTCCCACAAGATACAGATCGATGATCTGTAATTGAACTATCGTACTAGGCTGCATGAGGGCGCGGATGGGAGAGAGGGTCTGCTGGGACGGCGCACTTGGCACGGCTGCGGCGCTGGATTCCTGCAGTGATACCCCCAGGAGCCCAGGCAGGTCGAGCCACAAGCGAGATTCATTGCCAACTTGCTGGGTCGATCTCCGCTCAGAAGCTATTTCGTATAGGTGATAGGTTGGTGACAGGTCATGGAGCGGGGCGAAGGATCTGGGTGGTGATCATACGGATGGCGGCAAAGGGGTTGGCTGACTGGCACAGGAGGGATGCCCTGAGCAACCCCCTCTTTCATGCTTCTCCAAGGGCAGTTTTCCGCAAACATCGCCCTCCGTTTCGTATTGTTGCCCCGCATACATATGAAATCGCACAACCATTGCCAACAACCCAGAATCTTATTTCAATTCTAGTCTTAGCGTTCTTGTCTGTACATGTTAACGAACTCCCACATAGCGCGAAGTACGGCGACTCCACCACCCTGCGTCTCGACAGTCCGTCCTCGTCCGCGATCGTTGGCATCACCAGCAGTGTTGATAAGGCCAGGGGCGTCGGAGCCTGAATCCGCGATCGCCCTGGCTGGTCCAGTATGGGCTCTGCTTGCAGGCCTTGGAAGCCGATCCGGTGTACGAAGATGGTGATCATCCACTTCGAGGCCCTCCAGAACCATCCATTGCTTTTCACCTGAGACTGATACATCATTGCGATAGTCCACGGCTCCCTCCGGAAGAGGCGCTCCGTACTCCGCGCAATCGTCATCCTCGTAGCGCCCTCCCCACCACATTCCGAACTCGCCCTTTTCATTTCTCGTGTTCAATGCCGCACGAGCATTGTGCGTGACCCAGGGCGCATACTCTTTGCAGCTCTGTGCATGAAGCATTGACTCCGCCGGACTCGCCCAAAAAGTTTTCCCCGGTATCAGAGGCGTTCGAGGCAGCGGCTCGCAGAAAAGTGTAAGGTGGTGGAAGAAGATGCCCTTGAAAGTTTGTCCATTCTGAGAGCAGCTCCCTGAGGAGTCACAAACCTCCTCGAGGATGCCATAGCGACCTAGCCCAGCCCACCTTCTGTCGTGCGGGACTCCTTCATCAGGCCAGCCGGTCGCCGCCATGACATTTCGAATCAGTGTATGACCGTCCTCCAAGTAGCGAAGCTGGCCGGTTCCTTCCCACAATCCACGTAAACCGGAGAGCAGAACACCTTGGTTGTAGGTGTATACCATTTCATTCCGATCGTCGCACTTGCCGGTCCCGATACTACCATTGCGGTTCCATCCGCTGATGTGGAAGCCGTCGACATAAAGCCCCTTCTTGTTCGTCATGTTGCTCGTGCTGAGCCATTCATATCCTTCGACCGCTGCCCACAGATACTTGGGGTCATGCGGCCTCGCGGACGGAATATTTTGAGCATAAGCGTCGTCTTGAACAAATGGGGCTGAATTATCATCCCCTGGAAAGTAAAGATACATGCCAATGGATGCCGAGATAAAGAGCTGGTTGGTGATGGCGTTCTTGTACGGAGTCAGATGCGGGTTCCAGGTCATGCCGCCGCCGCATAGCTTCGTGTCCCAGCCGTGTGTGGTGATGTCGTAGAAAACGTGAGCGCGATGAGCGAAGGCGGCCTCGAACTGTTTGCCATACCAGCCGTCATACCGGGGCGAGGTGCCTGAGGAAGGATAATGCAGTTTCGTATGTAGGTTCATGAATCTAATGTTCTCGAGCCAGCCAAGAACCACCCATAGCATGTCGTCGTATGCTTGCGTGCGGATGCTGAACGCATTCTGTCCGAAATAGTACGCCACCGTATGCGAAAAATACTTGTTGATCTCATTCTCGATCCGCTGTCCTTCTATTGACGCTGGCGTAGCCTGGGTAAACGGTAGGACATATTCAAGAGATCGTGTGAGGGAGAACACAGAAGCGGACACATAGGTCCCCAGCACGGCCGATGTCCAGTCGATGGAGTCTGGCCATGTGCCTAACCAGAGCTCGAAGAAGTGCGTTTGCATTGTCTCAAGCGCGCCATGGAGTTCTGGCAGGGCATTTGATGGAGGTTCGGACGGCATCTCCTTAGCTCCTGGCGGCAGCATAGAGGGCTCAGCGTGGTAATCATGACGCTTGTTCCTGTCATTGTGCAGACCCTGGCCGTGCAACTTTGATTCTCCAAAAGACTGGATATATGCAGGGGAAATCTCGAAGTGCGCATGCGGACCCTCGCCCGACACTGCGGCTCCCTCTCCCACCTCTTTTGCAATCACCGAATGTGTGATGGCGAGCAAGTGAAGCGCCAGTATAATCCAGTGCCAGACCGAACGCCGTGCGCACCCCTTGAACAGATCCAAGTATAAAGCCATCATGCTCCAGCTCTTCTAGTCTCTATCATAGTCGAGGTAGGCCACCTGCTCCACCCAATGCGTCTAAAGGTGATGTGCGCCGAGGGTTTAGAGACCTCATACAGCGAGCGCTCGGGAGGGGCCAATGTAGAAGTAGCGGGCACACGACAGTGCCGTGCAACTGTAGCTTTCATATATCATGATCGTCGCAAAGCGCAGAACGGAGGAGATCTCTAAATAGCTTCGGTCATGTGGAGCTTGCCGATCTTTGGATGTCCAGGCCGGACTATCTTCGGCAACACTCAATGTGAATTCGCTAGCGTCATCCCCACACAAAAAGAGGATTCTGCATGAGGGCCGCGCAAAACGCAAAAGATATTGACAACGGTGGGACTCTTGAGATGCGTTAGTTATATGTTGCTTCGACTCCGGATCGAACTACAAACTTACCGAACCCACGAAGGTTGCCCCACAGGTAAACCTTGCTCTCAGCATTGGATCTCAGATAGCCTGAAACCTGCGCCATAACCACTCGGCCACGTTGCCTTGAAGGATTTTTGCCACTGTTTAATTTATATCCCCACCAGTCAATGCTCACCTTGAGAGGCTAAATCATGGACAATCTAGGAAACACAAAAAGCCTTAATACATTTTGCAATTTCCCAAATTGGTTTTAAGAGCTATCTTGTCATCGCGGTCATACAGAAATCCACTCATGTTACTTCAAAATGCGTGGAAGGCTGATACAGTGGAGCTTGGCATCCAACGTTTGATGGATATATTCGCCCTCACATTCCGACACATTTTGCTTCGACGATCAGCGACCAACCCAGGGTAAAAACTGCTATGGACAAGAGATGGCCTCGCACAGAGTTGAAAGCCAACTATCAAATCACGGCAGCTTGGACGGGGGGCGCCTATCTCATGCGATTATGCTGTGTCCTCCAATAACGCCTTGAAAAAGGCCGTCACTGCTTTACGCGAGATTGCCGCCGAAATCCAAGCGCCTCGGAAGAGTCGTCCTGCCATGCATACCTAACCCGCAGGCGTTCATCAGATCTAGATAGCATGTTGTCGCGCTCTTCTCGCCGCAGCGTAGCTGGTGAGTTCTCCTTGACCAAAGCGAGGGTTTCTCCTTGAGCATGTTGATGAGAACGCGGGGCAGGATTTCGAGATAACTAGGACTCCAGACATCCGTCCGGACGCTGACGAAGTTGTTGTTCAGTGAAGGGAGGAACGTCAATCAAGGCGCAGGCATCTAGTATCAAGTTAGCAGAGGGAACAGTTAGACCTCGCAGTTAGGTAGACTTACGTGTGATCAAGGTCAATGCCGGCCTGCCCTCGTATGAAGACAGGCTAGCAGGCGCTTTTATTGGTATCTCATCCCCACCCCGTATCCAGACGTGCTCACTGTTGCCCAACCTCGCTGGACAGAGCCAGCACCATGCTCCAATTTCTCTCCCTTATCCCTCGTTCACATATCCTCACCCCCCTCATCCTGTTCCTTCGCCTCCATCGGACTCCTACTCCTCGCCCTGCCCCCCTTCGCCAGCGGCCCACCTCGTCCTCCACGCCCCTGCTGCGCCTTTCCAGGCGGCGGCCTCACAAACGCAAAGTCGACCGTCAGCGTCTGATCCAGCAGCTTCGTGCCGTTGGCGCCCTCGATGGCGGCCTGAGCCTCTTTGAGCGTCGGGTATTCGATGAGGACATAACCCTACAACCCCTCCACGTCAGCAACTCCACTCCCACGCCACACCGCTTTGGGACAGATGGACGGGCCATACCTTGACATACCCCGTCCTCCGATCCAGATTCAAATGCAAGTTCTTAATCTCGCCGTACTCCCCGAACAGCTCCGTGAGGTCCTCCTCGCTGGCCTCTTCGTGTACGTTCGTCGCCATGATGATCCAGCCCTCAATCGAGCGCACGGCGGCGGCGCCGGCTTGGGTGCGTGGTTCACTGTTTTTCGCGTCCGAGGCTGGTTGTTGCGCGTCGACGTCCATTTCGGTGTCGGCCATTGTGGGTGGGTTGTGTGGATGACAGGTTGGCTGGAGGCGTGCGATGGGAACGTGTGATGGAGAGTGTTGCGCACTATCTGCTGGCAGTATGGTGCTGCGCTGAGCCAAGAAGGGCTGGCGAAGCGGATTGCTGAGGTTTGGGGAGTTGGTGCGTGGGCATGGCGAGGGAGGTCACTTTTGAGCCTGGACGTGAGCTTCACTTTGCGCGAGAGCCGAGCATCACACAGCGGAGATAACGAGGCACCCATGCAAACTTGTTTCAATTTATAGAAGCCGGCCTGCTCATTCTTGTTTTCTCACATGTGTTTCAAATATAAAAGATTCATAGACCGTGTCCGACCATCCGTTGGCGCTTCATTTGCGATTGTGGGCAGAAGTTGAGCTAATACTACAAGTCCTAGGAACTGCTCTACGGATGCCACTGAAAGCCCTACAACCACTTTGTGTTCTTAGTACCGCACCTCTTATTCCGACGTGTTGCAATTCGATAGCAACGACTGAGGGGAGGGTTACAATGCGTCCGAAGAGTGGCGCTTTCAGTTTATCTTTGCCTCCCCATAGATTACAGGTAGAGGTTGTACACAGTCCAATAAGGTCAATTGGTAGGGTGTACGAGCAAGAGCTATCATCGAGGTCTTGTTGCTGTCGAGTAACGCGCTCGCAACCGTGGATCGAGCAGGACTCGAATCATAACCTTCGTGCCATGATACGCGTAGCGGCATTCAAGCAAGTCAGCAAAAGCGCGTTCGTCAAGCGAATTTTGTGTGGAAACTCAGCGCACGATCTTCTGCCAGCGCTCAAAGCGGTGCGCGGCTGTACGGAAGCTCCCCCGGATCTCGGTGGCGGATCGGGCGTAAGCAGGACGTCCGAGGACTGAGCGCAAGCCCAGTCAACACCTGCAGATACGAATCACCCCTGCAGGAGTCTAAGAATATCAGTTGAACAAGCGGGCGGTGGATTAGTAGTTTCGGATTCCCCTCACGTCATCTATATCCAAGGTTTCATACAAGCGATGAGAGGTCAAAGAATGAAGAGCTATCGAAAGGACCAACCTATTGGTGGACTTACATTAACTGCCCCTATGAACAAGCAGTAACAAGCATGTATATGTTTCGTGGGAAGGGGAGCGGGCTCCTTGGGAACCACAGTCCATCAGTCTATACCCGACCGCCTAACGCAAGAGAGGCCATAACGCACTCACCAACGTCCCATTGAAGCCATGTCCCCGCGCACAGGAAGTGAGCACCGGTTGAGTTCTAGTACCATGAGTGCGAAATCGATAACAGCAAAACAGAAACCAGCAAACTTAGCTGCTCACAGCAAGGCCCAAGCAAAAAACAGTCCTCTCCGGCCACTCTGTCCACAAGGTGTATGCTTCGCATGTCGATCGGTCGGGTCCGGTCTCGGTCTCTCAAGAGTGTCTCTGTCTCTAAAAGAATGATCTCTGTCCTTTGAGGTGCGCCGAAACGTACTGTAGTCGTAACGGTAAAAGTCGAACCTGCTGAGAGAAAAGAGTATGGCAGGATCAATCCATCCTGTCTATGACATCGTCCTCTCCAAGCGCCGGCCCTGTGACTGCAGCCTCGGCCGGTCCGAGTACAGTCTCCTCTCTATAGTCTGGGACGAATGCGTACCTTGGCAACTGCGCCATCTTCTCCTCCGGACTGACATCGTTGTCAGTATACACCTGTCTCGTGTTCTTGTCCTTCTCCTTCTTCGCCTTCTTCTCCGGTCCAGCTTCAGTTGTCGCTGGTTTACTTCCGTCAACGTCTTTGGCGGCGCTGGAAATGAGTTCGTCCACTGAAGTTGCATTCGCTGGTGCGGGTTGTGGAGTATCGTATTGGGCTGAGCCTGGGGCGCCCTCTCTTGAATGGTCCTGCTCGCGAGTGCCACCCGTCGACTCTTCAGATACTTCATTGGGCGGCGCATGGCTCTGCTGAGGAGGGAAGCCGCCTGTCTGTGATGGGTTTGTGGCACCAGGAATGTGGCCTTGATGCATCTGCTGCAGTTGAAACGCGTTGACGTGCGGCGCTCCAAAGGAGGGACGTTGAGGCAAGCCAGGGGCTGCAGGCAGACTGCCTTGCCGGGATGGAATCGGGCCTGCTGAGGGATTGTGGTTATGAGGTGGTTGTGATGGACCTTGGTGGAACGGTGGTGACCCAGCCCCAAAGGGACGTGGCGGGCCACCTGGAAACTGCGGTGGGAAGGATGGCACACCGGGCTGTGGGTACTGTTGTCCGGGTGGTGGCGAGAAAGGGGAAGCGCCTGCTGGAGAGAACGGCGGCGGGCCCCCGAATCCTGGCTGTGAGAAGGGCGGATGTTGCTGGTACGGGGATTGGATAGGTGCCTGAGCATACTGAGGAGGCTGACCGTAGGGTTGCGTATATGCAGACTGGGGAGGTGTACCTTGCGGGCCTGAGAAGGCTGGCTGCTGCTGCATGTACCCAGGAGGTCCGGCCTGGAAAGGAAGAGGTCAGCATGTCGCGCTCCCGATGGATACTTCTGCAAGATGAGTCAACTTACGAAGCCTAATGGGCTATGGTTTATTGCTGGACTCTGTGCACCGTGGCCTGCGCCTAGCGGAGTGACATCGCCGCTGCTTCCACCTGCAGCCTCTTGCGCTGCCTTCTTCGCTTTATGCTCCGCCAGTCGTTTCTTCAAATCTGACGGTGATTCAAACTTGGGCTTCTTCGCTCCACCAGCAGCGGCTGTCCCGCCCGGTCCCGGGTTGCCTGTCGCAGCTCGTCGCTCTGCCTCGGCTTCGTAGTATTGTTGCAAGACACGCTGGTTATGCGATTGTATGACGTCTTCCGGAATGCCCTCCATGCCGAAGATCTCGATGTCCAGTCCGGCTCGATTCGGTAGCGCGTTCTCGACGTTGGTGAGGTTCTCCTTATGGACTTGATTCATGTGTACAGAAAGGCCTGGACCATTAACAGACGGATCATTCGGATGCAGAGGGTTCGTTGTCTTACCACCAGCGGTATTGAGTCTGCGACCACATCGCTCACACTTAAAGTGCTTGGCCTTTTGATGTGATATTAGGATCTTTAGGTCATCAAAGTCTCGCTCGCAGTAGTAACACCACGGCCGCGCGAGGACCTCTTCGACATCGGGGTGACCCCTCTTCTTTTTGCCCATTTCGAGACAGCGACGGGTCGTAAGGGAGATAGTAGTGGTGGATGGTTTACGTAGGTCGCGTTGTTGCGCCGGATAGTGGAGTGAGGGAGAGGTTGTAGCCTGTTATGCGGTTCGATGTCACCCATTCATGTCACGTGATAGGCTGCCTTATTCAGCCTCAAGCCGTGCGGCTCACAATTTTCCGTGAGACGACCAATGCTCCACTTCACCTTGGATATCGTCAGGCCCGCGACGGCCTTGTCATACCGCTCCTGACTACGCTCAAACACATCCATTGTCTTGTCGAGCTCTGCTGTTATTATAGCATTGGCTAGTTTTCTAGACTTGGACATGGCCTCGCAAACGAACGACAGTACCTTTACCACCTGGGGATACTTAATAGTAGCCATCTGTACATGAAAAACTCCGCTGGTTTCTCTCCTCTCACAACGGGTTTAGAGACCAAGAGAAATCCACCTCTTCAGCGGCGTGATATCGCCTTCGCCGCCCCTTTATCAGACGGCTTGCTGCGGACATTCAAGGGCTTGCTCACTATCGAGTCTCCAGCACGCAATCTCGTCCCAAGCCTGTGAGAAGGGGACGGCAATGTTGTATGTCAAGTAACCCGCAACTCCTCAAACCGGCTGCTTGCTCCATAATGGAGGCACCACAAGATCTTCACATGAAGAGCGGCTTTTCTTATTCGCGTCTTGCGTTGAGACCTGCTGTGAGCCGGTAACTGAGTGCTTTACTACTTTCAGTGAAGCCAAAGTTGCAAGAATAACACCTGGACCATCATAGTTCTCACTTTTGCTCTTCGGAGACCTCAATGAAGAGTGTGACTCCATGCGTACCTACATCAATCCGCACTTGATTGCACCCCTTTACGCCGGAGCCAATGCCATAAGACTGAAGTTCAGATTTCGCCCCTCTTCTCTCCTGATGAACTGCTTTACGATCTCCAGCCCGCGCGCTGATAGGAGGTCTTCGTTCGGTTCGATGGGTCCTCGGTCGACGGGTCCTTTCCGATCACCATCAAGCTCGTAGATATGACCATTCGCGTCCGACTTCACGAAGCACACGTAGTGGAAGTCAACTTCGGCCTCGGGGTCCGTGGGTACATCGGAGTCACCCTGCAGAGCGACGGCTTTGTACGCCGCTTCCAGCTCACCACTCTCCTCGAGTACTTTCGCACGCTGATTTGGCTCCAGAAGTAGAGAAGCAGCCAGCAGCCTCGCGAGCGGTGAAGCGGGAACTTACTCCTTGTCAGTCTTACAATCTCACCGACTTGCCGAGCTCAGACGGTAGTAAGGAGTATTGGCGGACTCACCGATATGCCCTTTCGCATCGCCGTTGCTCACAGCATGCAGGATGCCATACAAGCCACAAGCATTGTTGATCGTCTGTTTGAACCACATAACTGGCTGGTCATCGCCGGCGCCTTGATAGTCTCTTACAGTAGCTTCTTCCTGGGCCTTGTGCTTCTCGTATGCTTCTGACGTTGGGAAAACCAGGACCAAAGCAAGGACTGGACGAGGAATGAAGGACAGCAGATCTGGGTCATCAATGGAGAAGACGTCTTGAAAGGCAAGGGAAGGAGAAACGCCAAGCTGGTGTATGAGCTGGGTGAACAGCTCGGGGTTGGACTCGAGCGGTATGAAGTGCTTTTTGTAGACGATCGAACCTGGTGGCGGAGAAACCGTGTCCATCTTTCGACGGCTTCGTGCTGCAAGCTCGAAGAAGCGTGACTAGGTGCCGTGAGATGGCCTAAAACAGTCAATGAATGCTTCTGTGCATGGGGTTCCCGGGTCCCCGCTGTCTGTTGTCACGTTTCGCCCTGGAAGCACTCGAGAACCCTGCTATTGAAAGGACTGCCTGTCACTGCCATGCATAAGGTATTCAATAGTACGCTTCACCATCGTAGGATTCACATGGCGGGAATGTAAGGCCTTGTGAGACGGCTGCATTATCGACGTCGTACCCGTAAAAGGTATCCCAAACAGCATGTACGTGGCATCTCAGTCGCAAGAGCGTCTTGGCCTCCAAGAGGAGCATGATTATGTCTTGCGCTATTTGCTGGAGAACCACAAACGGGTTGTCCTATTCCTGCAACGCCACCAATGCACCAAGCCAAGCGGCCTGTCCAGCCCTACCCAACACGACCACTGCTCGCACCCACTCCCTTCCTCCACCGTGGTCCTAACACCGAAACCTACTTGTTCAGTCCACCGCGCTGCTAAACTAGCAAAGCAAACACCAGCGCCGCTACCAACAATTGCACGTGGGCCGCTCAGTAGGAATCGGGCCGTCTAGTAAGACGCTCCGCTCACCCGACAACCCTCCCCCCCCATCTAAAACCCCGGTCCCAAAAATCCCTCCTACGCATATCCCCCCAGCCCGTTGAAGCGCCAGCCCTCCCTCTCCGCGACCCCAACCGCCCACCTCCGGCTCTCACGCCGCCGGTGCAGCGCCACGCATCGCGGACACCACCCACGCACGCGCTGGGGCTGGCGCCGGCCGACGTAGCAGTGGCGGCGGGGGGTGAAGGGGATATAGGGGTTGCTGACTGACGGATCGTAGGGATCGGCGGCGGAGGGGGGCTGGTTGTTGGTGACCGAGGTATTGGGGTTAGGGTTGTAAAAAGAGGAGGGCTGGTTGTAGGGATCGCGGGGGTCGTTGATGCGGTGGAGTTGGTTGATGAGGTGGCTGCATTGTTTGAGGTCTATCGATTCGGAGGGGACGATGTGGTTGCAGGCGGTGTAGTGCGGGATGAGGATGAGGCACATGCTGGCCGTGTTGGCTGGAGGGCGGCAGTGGAAGCTTGAGTAGGTAGAGGGGAGTTGAGAGAGATGGCCTGAGGTGGACCAGATGAGTTGACAGAGGTCGGAAAGGTACCAGCCGAAACGTAAGAGCACTTGATGAGACCAGAATGAAATGTAAAGAGGTCCTGCCTGAATAGGGAAACAAGACCCCATCAGGCAAGCTTGTTGCTGTCCGCAGGCAACGGGACAAGCAGCCAAGTTGGTACTGACCTTGCTTGGTTCCTGATTACAGTCCGTGAGAAGTAAATTCGACATCGGCTGTATTGCCAGCAGTCAGAGGGAAGCAAAAAGGAACGGAAATCATGAGGCAAAGATAGCTGCATGGACTATTTGGAAGCATCGCTGGCAGGGCGTTCTGCCATCTACGCTCACCTACGTGTAGTTAGCTGGCCCTTCATGCTGCAGGGCTCAGAGCTCGTAGTTTCTGTCAATGGGTAGCACAACAGCAGCCGAGCCACATTGACCGGGAGGGATCATTTTTATACATCTTATCTTCTGTAGGCGGGACGATGACCGATTGGAGCAGGACAGCCCCGAAGGGCTTTCCGTCATGGTAGGGCGAGCCACGACCGCGGCAAAAGATTGAGGCAAAAGGCGGCGTAGTTTGTATGATGTTTGGTCCGCTTGTAGCAAAAAGAGGCACAAGCCGCACGTGACCCCCACGTAGTGCTGACGTTTGCTGGCCAGCAAGGCATGCCAGACAACCGTTTGCTGCCTCAATCTAGCCGGCAAGATCGTTGGATGTTGCTTGGTCACACCTGTCAGTGCGAGATGATCGGACGGGTTGTGAATGCCGAGGTGGGATATCTTGAGGCAGTCTATCTCGTGCTTGGTCCTAAGGTCGTAGATAGATCATGCATCTCTCCATGTTTCCGACCGGAGATAGATCTCTGGCCCGTCCTCTGAGGGTTGTGCGATACAGTGGGAATTGCCTGTGCCTGGAAGACGCAGCTCACCGGTGGGTTGGTTTGCACCCAGAGAGCTTCCTTCTTTGGTCGTGGCTCCAGAATCCGTGGGACGGAGCACTTACGATGGAGTACTGTCAGGGATTGCCGGACAATCTCTTCCATCTCAGACTCTACCCGGAGATTCGAAACGGTCTTGTCGAAAAGAGCCCAAGCTGACAGTCTGCCGTGTTGTGCTTCCTGTTGTAGGAGCGCGCCAATACTGCTGCTGACTACTACACCTACCTGAAATCTGGCTGACATAGTAGTAGTACGTTCGAACCGGCTACCAAAAAATAGATGAGAAGAAACCGCGGGTTCAGCTGCCAAGATTGGCGTTCTGAGATCCGTGATGGGACTGAGACTCTAGATTTGCTCGTATTCATACTCTTCTCACAAGCTCGCCCACCAGTACCCGTTGCAGTGACCACAACTCCTCGCAAGAGGGAGGAACACGGTTCTGCCTTGAAGATGAAAGCAGACGCGAAGTGATGGGAAGAGATGAGGTTAAAACAAAATGATCTCCTGCAAGGACCGCCCTTGGGAGACAGCCTGGGCGCACAACCCGGAAGGCGATCCGAGGCGTTCCTGCAGCTCATCAGCCAGCCACAACCCACGCATCTCCTATTTTTATCTCTCTTCGCCATAGCCGGCCCAGATCTTCCACACACGATTGCGATAGCACCCGCCGGTCGCCCTGGTGGCTTCAATGGGCCGTGGACTATCATGACACTTGCCCCAGAAGGGTCTCTAGACAGCCGGATGCGAACAATGGGCTGAATGCCTCCGAATCTAGGTAAGCTCAATGGCATGTGGCGCAACCCACACTCGAGTAAGGACTGCCTTACTCTCCTTGTACCTTGAGGAACCTCTTTTCGTCCGTTTACGCTCTTTTTACCTGTGTCGGAGTTCTGATGCTAGCCCGGTATTCGCGCCTCGGCGCTTTTTCTCTCTTCGCGTTTCTTCTCCTCGTCTGGGCAGGTTATCACAACGTTCTAAGGGGTAGCATCCGCCATGTGGCCCGGCCCGACGCACCCTCATCGCAGAATGCTGTCCACGACATATCACCTCCGCCGTCGACGAATGGAGGTCCAATCGAAGCAGCTCATGCCACCGCGTCCGGAATCCCCGTCACTACCGTACTGTCACTTTCAGCGACGCCTAAACCCCTCCCCTCCGCTCCATCAGGCCCCTCCCCCAACGCCTACGTCTTCTACGCCACCCAAAACGAATACGCCTGCTCCGTCCTCGTCAACATCGACCGTCTCCAAAACCTCTTTCACACCACCCACCGCATCTTCGTGCTCGCATCCCTCAAAGTCTCCACACCATTCATCCGCGCCCTCGAAGCACGTAACGTGACCGTAAGCGTACAATCCGCGCCGCCTCTCGCGCACGGCAGCGTCGGCTACTACGAAGACTGCCTGCTCAAGCTCCTCGGCTTCCGCATGCACGAGATCGATCCCACCCTCAAGCGCGTGCTGGTGTTGGACGCCGACCAGCTCATCGTGAATAGTCTCGACCACGTTTTCGAGCTCCCGGAGGTCGACCTCGCGGCGCCGCGCGCGTACTGGATCGCGAAGGACTTCTTCAGCAGCACGTTCATGCTGATCAACCTGAGCGACCGCCTCTGGAAGCGCGTCGAAGAGGGGATCAAGACCATCGCGCCGGATAAATACGACATGGATCTCGCGAACCAGTTGCTCGGGGATACGGTCATAATGTTGCCAGGGAGCTACGCGACGCCGAATAGCCACTGGGAGGACTGGAATATGCCGAAGTGGTTTAGACCTGAGGCTACCAATGACACAACGAGGGCGAGCGGGCCATTCGGGTTTGGGGAGGCGGCGGTAGGGGAGGAGAAAAAGCAAGGGTTGAGGAGGAGGAGGAGGAACGCGCCGCCGCCGCCGCCACTGTTCAGGGACGAGAACGGATGGCATAACGTGCACAGCGACGATGCGCCCTCAACGACCGGCTTCGTCGTGTCGGACGCGACTGCCACGCCCTGGCAAGCATCCTCGCATTCCTTGTCCTCGCACGCCGGGGACCACATCCACTCCTCCGCCTCCCCCTCACCCTCCTCAACAGCCAGATCCGAACCCGCCCCCGCCGCCCCTCTCGACCGCCTCGCCCCCATCGACATCCTCAGCCACCCCCTCCTCGGGCCCCTCCAATCCCTCGCCACCGCCACGAACGTGCTCCACTTCTTCGCGCTCGGCAAGCCCTGGAGCTACAGTCTCGCAGACGTGAAAGCAGCGCGGCCGTACGCGCACCCTGCGTTTGTCGAGCAGTGGCGCGTGTGGAGGACGGCGGCGCGGGATGTGTGTCCGGTTTGGACTGTGAAGGCGATGGAGAGGGTGAGGGTTGAGGTGGAGGCGAAGGCGGAGGATATTGGGACGATGGTTGGGGGGTGGGAGGAGGAGGAGTGGGAGTTGAAGGAGGTGGAGAGGGAGATGAGGGTTGTGGATGTGGTTTGAGGAGTGTTTGTTCTTGTGTCCATTTTATGAGGCGCGCTGGGATTGGAGTTTGGCGCATGAGTGTACGCGGGGATTCGGTCAAGGCTTCGCGAGTCTTCTTCGATTTGTTCACATTGCTCCTCCCTGGTCTTTCCGCAGCTTTTTCCACTGCAGGCGTTGCTTGGGCGCATTCTGGGTCAAAGCCGGTAGTCTTGTATAATATCTAAGCACTTGAGTGTCTATATACATCTAGATCCTATCCAAGCCTCTACCAAAAATCTAAATTCCACCCGCCCTCATAACTTCTCCTTCTCCTTCCCTTTCCCCTCCGTCCCCTCCCTCTCCTCCTCCATCACATCCCTCCTCCACGCCACCTCCACCTCCCTCGGCCCCTCCTTCCCAAACCTAACCAGCACAACCCTCTCCCTATCCCCCCGTCTCGCCATCCCCTCGAGCTCCGGCCCCGGCTTATCAAGCCCCAAGACCGCCCTCCCATCCCCCTTCCGCTTCATTAGCAGCGTCGGCGAAATACACATATCCGCCCAGCTCGTCTCGCGCTCCTGCCCCACAAACTCCTCGAGCGCCTTCCTCGCTTCCTGCGGTGTTGATGTCCCGCGGAAACAGGACTCGACGAGCCATAAGAGGAAGAACTGCGGCGGGAACAGGATTATGTCCCCCTTCCGCGCCATGGACAGCCAGTCCGCGGGAGGCAGGAAGCGCGCGGCGGTGTGCTCGACGCCGCCGTCGTGCGTGGGGGTCGGTATCACGGTCTCGGAGGTGGAGGGGAAAGAGGAGAGGGTTGCGGCGGCGGCGGAGGGCTCGGTGGAGGCGGGCAAAGGGAGCAGGTAGATGTACATTTGCGTTGTGAAGCGCCTGGGGACGTTGGTGGGGGTTACCCAGCGGGTGAAGGGGATGAGGTTTTCTGTGTCTCGCGCGTATTAGTGACGGTCTGTTATGGCGGAAGCGGCCTCTGCTAGACGGGCGGGACCTCGGTGTAATTTGGGGGGGATGGCGTACCGGTATCCGACCTCGCCCTTTTCTCCACCAGCCAGTCTGTGAACTTTACTTTGCCGTTGTGGATTCGTCGCCGTGCCTCTTCACGCTCGGCCGAGCCTACTTCGAGCAGCTTTCCGGAGTCATCCCGCGCGAGCAGTATTCCGCTCTCTTCGAAGGTCTCGCGGATCGCGGCGAGCCGGTATGTTTCACTGTCTTGATGCCGCGCGGGATCTGAGGGCTCGGGCGCGGCGCCGTCGTGGAAGGCTGAGACGTTGCCGCCGGGGAAGACGTGCGCCGAGGGGAAGGACGAGGAAGTTTGGACGCGGTGGAGGAGAAGGACCTCGTTTTGGGGAGAGAGAAGGAGGACGCTGTTTTGTGCTTAGGGTCACGCCAATGTGGATTGCAATGCTGGAGTTGGTCTACCTCGCACTAGGCCTGGGTATCGAGGGCGCTTTCTTAGGCTTCGAAGCGGGATCTGGGTGCTTTTCGCTCATTGCTCTTGTGGGAAGATGTGAGAGAGTTACAGGCGCGAGGCTTGGACGTGAATGAACTGGTTGTACTTTGACGTAACGGCTAGACGGCGCGGACTGAAGTCGTGTGCTTGACGATAATGCTATGCGCCGGGCTGACAATAGGAACCGTACGCGATTGTGGTAGTTGGGAAGGACAAGAGATCTAAATTGTACAGGATGTACAACAACACGAAGAAACGGGAGAGACATATCAAGCTTGCGCTGACTGTACTTACCTGGATACGCTCGGGAACGTTTGCTTGGTGGTTGAAGGGAATGGCGGGGGGGTAGCTTGCGTGCCGAGGTCCCTGTCGATCCAATGCAACACACATTTTGGTGCTTTCTTAGAATCTCTTCTAGGACAGAAGATTGATGCTGTTGCGAACCGTGCCATACTGCCAGCTGCCAGGCAGGAGGTGCTAATGACCACCAGGGCACTCTGGGCCACGACAACGCTCAAGATCACGTCTTCTGGCCATTTCCGCGTTCCATCTTGGCTGACGCTGGTGTGCGGTGCGCAAGGACCGGAACAAGCGTGACAAGCTCCGCTCCTCCCCGCCCAGTTTGCCGTTGTTCAGCCGGCCTAGCTGTCTCCGCATCTTCAAGGAGCCATCGTGGCATCTACTCTCTTAGACGTCACCGCCAATCGAATCATGAGTCTTGCTGTTTGAACCTCTTCCGCGCCTACGTCGTGACAGGGAGCTGCATACAACGTCGTATTTCCCCCGCCTCACGGCCCGACATCTGTCGCGGTGTGGTCTGTGACCGGCTCATCTGCGGCTTAACTCACCGAACTTGCCATTGCGTACGACTATCACAGACCAAAGGAGACAGGATATTCGCGCATGTTCTCCAAGTATAGCATGGAAGCAACTTGGATTGATTAGCCATAGTTCTGCCGTGGTCAGTTGGGTGGTTTTCCCTACCTTCGAGTCAAGCCGCTGGATAGCTTCTGTATATATAGCTTCAAAGAGCCATCCTCTCGTATTGTCTGCAAGTTTTACCTTCAATCGTGTTCAACAACTTTATATACATCATCAATATCTGGATATTCGTTAGGACCAGTCGAGATGTCAAACATGTCGCCGGAAGCCAGTGGGACCCCATCCTCGTCGGCTGTAGAGCTGCAGCCTTATCCAACAGAAGGCTCCATCTCGATATCGGAGTTTCTAGCGCAGTCAGACCCTGCGAATGCATCAAGCCGCCCTGAGTCTCAAGGTACCAAGAACGATGATCCTGCGGAATTTCTCCCGCAGCCATCTACCACAGTGGGCGTGGTCGAACGGTGGAACCATCCCCGCATCAATCTCTATCGCACCTTTGCCACCTTTTTCGGCTTTCTGATCATGGGCGCGAACGATGCTGCCTATGGTGTACGTATCCTCTGTAGGCAGCTTCTTAATCGTGCTGACATGATACCTAGGCCTTGATCCCATATGTATACCTTGTCGACTCGTAGAAGACTCTGCATTACACCGGCTGACTATGAATAGCTCGAACATTATTACCACCTCTCATATGTGGTGGTTTCACTCGTTTTCCTGTCGCCTCTAGCTGGCTACGCTGGCGCCGCTATATTGAACAACACCATCCATGTCCGTTTCGGCCAGCGGGGTGTTGCCTTTATCGGTCCCTTCTGCCATCTGGCCGCGTATCTCGGGATCGCCTTACACCCTCCGTACCCTGTGCTGGTGATTATCTTCATTCTAGCAGGATTTGGAAACGGGCTCGAGGATGCCGCTTGGAACGCCTGGATCGGCAACATGGCGAATGCCAATGAGATCTTAGGGTTTCTACACGGCTTTTACGGTCTAGGAGCTGTGCTCAGTCCACTTATTGCGACAACGCTGATCACCAAGGCTGGATGGCCTTGGTATGCTTTCTATTACATCATGGTAGGTTTTACGCGGACCCCCAAATACCGACAAGTCCGCTGACGCATCCGAAATCCAGTTGGGTGGTGCGGCTATAGAGCTGGCAACCTCTTTGGCTGCATTCTGGCAAGCATCAGCCACAGTCTACCGCGAAGGTACCCCGCGACATGCTGCCGTCAAGGGAAGTAGGCTACAAGAATCGCTTTCGAGCCGTGTTACATGGGTGACCGCACTCTTCCTCTTAGGCTACGTTGGTGCCGAGGTTGCTCTCGGAGGCTGGATTGTCACCTTCATGATCCGGGAGCGTAGCGGCGAAGCCTTCGCATCTGGCATGGTGGCTACGGGTTTCTGGATGGGCATCACGGTTGGTCGATTCGTGCTTGGGTTTGTGACTCCAAGACTTGGCGAGAAGCTCGCCATCACTGTAAGTTCTAGACGTTTTTAGCCCTTCAGCTTCTACGATCGCTAATTGTCTTCGAGATATACCTTCCTTTGACGATGGCGCTCCAGCTGATCTTTTGGCTCGTGCCCCAATTCTACGTTTCCGCCATCGCCGTGTCTCTGCAGGGCTTCTTCCTTGGCCCCCTTTTCCCTGCAGCTATTGCCGCATCGACGAAACTTCTTCCAGCCTACCTCCACGTATCCGCTATCGGCTTCGCTGCCGCGATGGGAGGGGGCGGTGCGGCTATATTCCCTTTCGCTGTTGGTGCTGTGGCCCAGTCGAAGGGCGTCCAAGTCTTGCAGCCAATCGTGTTGATCTTACTTGTGGTGTTGTTGCTGCTGTGGCTGTCTCTGCCAAAGATGAACAAGACGAACGAAGAAACAACTCAGGCTGAGGGAACTACTCGTTACTCGTGGACGAACTTCGATGTCGATCTGGTAGATACCGGGACGAGGATTATCAAGAAGTCGAGGGCCAGGTACGTACGCTTTCTTGAGACTTGTTCGATTTCGTTTCGCTCTGAGCTGTATGTAGAACGATACTGATATGCAGCATGCAGTCTTCAGCCTACACAAATTGCCGGAGCGATAAGGGAAGCGAGGGAAAACAGAGCAGACAAAAAGTTTGCCAAGCAAGAGATCAAGAAAATTGTGAGAGAGACCCCGCCATTCGCAGTCCTTCAAGGTGTTGAGCCTGACTCTAATCAGCCACCGCCTTATACGAACGTTCGGGTACGTGTTCAATGTTTTTATGGTACTTGCGGTTGTTATCTGAAACGATAATCACCTAGCAATGAACAAGCGATCTTTGCTAACATTGTACTTTTTTTTTTTATATAGATCGCCTACGGATCGGCGCCTGCTCCCAGTCAGACGGAAAGAGAGCTTTAGCGCTCGTTCGCCTTGCGCGAATTCGAGTTTTCGCTTTTCCAACGTCGCATGTTGCTGTATTCTATGTGCAGGCTATACCTTGAGCAATCTTAGCTCATTTACAGCATGTTTTAGTGTTGTTCGCTGTATTGAAGCGCTTTCAAAGGAGCTCAGTGATGAAGTTTGTGCCAGGCTGGGACGAGCGGAGTATCTTTTGCAATAAACTAAAGGTCGGGCATGGAAGCGTCGATTCGTGGACAGCCTGTATGCAGCACCGGTATTCGTCGATGCAAGCTACTGTTAGGTGGTTGCCGCGCGATGAGATTGGAACAGGTAGTAGCATGTACCACTGGAGCTTTGCGTCACACCATTGCGGGCTGGCCATCTCTACTTGTCACGGCTGCTCTTCCCCCGATTCAATATCAACACTCTGGCACACTGAGACATGGAGCTCAACTTAACGGACGAACAAGACCTCCGGGAAATCGCTTTCAAAGGCATTCAAACACTGAAGTGATGAAAGTCGTGGCCGTGCCGTCTTCGTGCACATTGGAGGTGACAGAGAATATGCATGGTCACAGCATCGCGCCCTTTCCTTCTGCAGCTTTCTCGCACTCGATCACAGCAACTTCTGTTCCGGACGTTTCCCAAAACTTCACCAAGTGTAGCCCTACGCGAGCCGTAAGTGCATACCAATCCTGCTTCGTCCGTTCCTTTCCGCCTAAGGATAGCATGATCAGGTCCATTTGCGCTGGTAATTCCGTTGGCGGATTCAGGTAGATCTGCTCTGTAATGAAAATGCGCGAGTGAGGGCCCATTGCTTCAACAAGATTGGACAAGATCTTGCGGCACTTCTCGTCGGACCAGTCATGCATGATGCGACGGAGGTAGTAGATCAATGCACCTGAGGTTGTCAGCTTACGAGCGAGATCTCTCTATATCCCTAATCGGTGAGGCTACCTTTGACCGGCTGCTCTTCGAAAAAGTCATGCGCCATCTTCTCTACCCCTCTGAGTTCCGGTTCGTCGGCCTGTATAACCTGCTCGATGACGGCCGGTCTGTCCTGGAGTACTAGCCTCGACGCAGGGATCTCTCGATGCTTTCTCAGAATCTGTCTGAGCGCCTGGCCTTTGCCGCCGCCGACGTCTACCATAAGTGCAGTACCATCCGCCACGCGGCCCGCATTTTGCATGATCCAGGAAAAGTCGAACATGCCCATTACCGGAAGTACTTCATCGAGAGTCTCCATAGAAGCGTTGAAGTCAGCGAAGCGCTGCGGATCCTGACTGATAACCTCCCAGAAGTTCTTCTCCGGCTGGCGCCACGCGCAGGAGTGAGGCGTGTGGGTGTCATTTACGCATTCTTTATAGCCGTACGCTCGGAAATACTCCGGCCAGTGACAGTAAGAAACCATCCCTGCGTCGAACCTAGCATCTTGGTGGTCAGCATCCTCATAAGACCAGATGGGCTCATTCGGCCGTACACGATCTGGAACCATTTCCCCTGCGGATTGCTGCTGAGGTAGGTTTTAGAAAACCTTGAATGCGCGACACGGTCTTCGCCAACCTGCTTCAACATGCCGGTCGCAACGAGCATCCAAGCCATCCGCGCTGGAGACTTATTAGTGGCTACTCGTCGACAGGAATGGTGGTGTACTAATTAGCGACTCCTCCGCTCCAATCATCTCAGCGAGCGCCTTATAAGAGATGCTTCCTTCATCAGGAATCTTGTCAAAGACATGCATTTCCATGAATTGTCGAAGCACTCCCATCTCAGCCATCTGCGGGAAGTCAGAGAGCTGCGAGCGTTGAATGCAGTGTCATCATACCTTCACCCCGTATTCGAAGGGGGTCTCTTGGGGCTCTTTGACCGTCTCGATGATCTCTTTCGCAATATTGATGATCTTCTTGCGCGTATACAATCCCGTGTTTCCAGAAGGGTCGTCGTAACCCTTTACGGTGTCGGACAGCTGCCGAGCTAACGTCTCGAGGCTCCGGCGTTCAGAGACCTCGGCCATTGCTTCAGCTATCACGCAGAGGCGACACTTTGTCAAAGGGTACTGTGCAGTGGATAGAGTTACATCTACGCGCTCCGAATCATAGTAATAAGACGCCGCGGCTGCAGATCCTTGAGTGATCTCCGTGACGGCTATGTCATCATGTATGGCGTCCTGGTTGGGAGCCAAATGATAGAGGAAATGACAGCCTTGATCTTTGCGACCATCTCTGCAAGCTGCAATGGCATGTCATAGCTGCCGTTGCCTTCCAATGAGCGGACATCGTGAGCTGCTTAAAGCTCTTCCCCGCTGCGAACTGCTGCGTTGCGTCGTCACGACGCATCTGGTGGTAGCCGCTTGCAATCTCATCTCCGTTTGGTCGTGGAGCTGATCAGCTCAAATCACTATCTCGGCGAGTGAGAAAATCTCTGGACAGCCTAGGAACTGTAGTGGCCATTGGGGATTTGGGAACGCTGGATATCTGCCCAACTCAGGAGCTCGAGTGTTTGATTTGTTCCTAGCTATCCAAAGACGGCTGGATGCTGTGATAAGGCCCCTGACTTGCTGACTAACGGGGGACCGCTTCCGTCTGCCACCCGCCCCCGCTCCGGCCAGTTCCAGATGTGCTCCGTATGTACGGCACCACGACACATCCGGTTGCTGCATATGCAGCCTTTAAGTTGTGGGTATAGAAGCTGATTGGTGCGAATTCTTTTTTCAGCCAACAAGGCACTCAGATGCTGCCCAGACATCACTGCAGATTAGCAGCCGGAGGTGGCACGATGCTGTACAGAACTGTATCACTAAAGCTAGCTTATTTGTACACCTTTGAATCCAACGATTAATGCCATGGAAAAGCTTTTGGTAAGCTCAGATCACAAACTTAGTATGCTAACAGATAGCACTGAAATTTACAGCAACGAAATTACGATATTCTGAAAGTCGCGAAAAAGGGATTGCGCCTGTGTTTTACAGTCAACTTATAGTGTTCGGGCGTCGAGGCGCCGATCCGTGGAATAACTCTACGGGGTACTTTTAGTAGTGAGCGTTTTGACGGACATGATTCAGCAACGACCGCTCCAAGATGTCCGAATCGGAAGAATTTGTAGTTCTCTCTAGAGGGAATGGCGAGAGCGACTCTGATACGTGCTCGGCTGCGGCGGAGTTGGAAGAGTTCGTGATTCTCTCCCGAAGCGATGGCGACAGCGGTTCAGATGCGTGCTCGACTGCCACAGAATCGGAAGATTCTCAAGCTCAGCCGCAATATGAGTACAAGTCGCTTCCAGTAGGAGAATATATTCGATACCTCATCCTCGAGCCAGGGAAAGACCACGAACCTCTAGGCGGTCGTCTCTTAACGGAGCGCCTCGACGACGTCCCAGCATTCGATGCGATATCCTACACATGGGGTTCCCACGAAAAGATCGGCTACATCGACTGTGACGGCAAGGTAATCCATCTCACAGCAAACTTGAGGGATGCCTTACTGCGGGTCAGACTTCCGACGTGCTCGAGGGTTCTCTGGGCCGACCAAATCTGCATCAACCAGGAAGATCCAGTTGAACGAGGTCATCAAGTTGCTCTGATGAGCAAGATCTATGGGAAGTCGAGAACCACCCTGATCTGGTTGGGTCCGGACGATAGCCATGCCGAGGAGCTGCTCTCCTTGATTGATGAAGTCTACACTATTCTTAACGCGCAGATAGCGGAGTACGGATCATTCCGGAATCTGCCGGTCTTACAGTCTACTCATCCCATCGCGAATGACCCGAGGTGGCATTTCCTTGCGACAATGACCAACTTTGCATGGTTCCGTCGTGTTTGGGTTGTGCAGGAAGCAGGCCTGGCCGAAGATCCCCTAATTCTGTACGGAAAGTACGCCTTCGATTGGGAAATGACGATGACAGTACTTCGATGGCTCAACCAACAGGCAAATGTCATCCTCGAGCGCTTTCATTTTCGGCCCAATCCTATGCATATGGAGCGACTGCGTATTTGGCCGAATGGAGACGTGGGTAATCAGAATATGCAGTTCTACGGAGGAGTGAGACGGTGGCCATTCCTTCAAGTCCTGCATTTTTCCCGGCAACTGAGAGCCTCAGACCCAAGAGACCATGTGTATGCCTTCTTGGGTCATCCGTCTGCTCAGCATCCCAAAAGTGGCATACCGATCATCACTCCTGACTACACAAGAACTGTATCGCAAGTCAACTTGGACTTCGCGCTGCAGTACCTCGAGTGGACGGAGGACTTGAATTTATTATCGTACGTGCAGCATGGAGATGATACCAGCTTAGAGAGGTCAGTCCCGTCTTGGGTCCCGCAGTGGCACTCGGCCCTGGGCAACGTATTAGGACACGATGGCCAGGACGTCTATGTTGCAGGATTACAAAGCCGAGCATCTCCTCGATTCATCGAAAACATCAGGGGTCTTAGAGTTGGCGCAGTGATATTTGACATCATCCAATATCAGTCAAGGGCTTTTACCGTGCAGGACATCCATCCGCCAGCGCACGATAGGCCAGAACATCCTGAAGCTAGCGATTTCAATCCAATGAGAGACATCTGGGAGCACCTTTCAAGACCCGGTTCAAGCTGCGCCTACGCTGATAACGGCCGACTTCGAGCACTTGTTCATACACTTGTTGCTGGATTCACCATGGATACTCCGTCACAGGCCAAAGCCAATGCTGCTACATATCTTCTACGCGTTCTCCCACATATCGAAGCGAGCCCATACTACATCTTGTCCGCGTTCAAAGATGGTGCTAAAAGTGGAAAGGCGGAAGTATACGAGAACGATGCTTATTATCAAGGCCGTAATCGAAAATTCATCGTTACGCGAAACGGGTCCTACGGTCTTGCGCCGCTCGTCGCGAGAGAAGGAGATATCTGCTGCGTCGTCTTTGGGGTAAGAATGCCATTCATACTCAGAAGTGCCACCGAACCGGGACACTACAAGTTGGTTGGAGAGGCCTACATACATGGCACGATGCATGGACAAGTGGTGAAGAGGTGCGAGGATGGAGAGCTGCAGGAAGAGGATATCACCTTGGTCTGAGTGTACGGAAAGAAACGTCGAGCATCGACACCACTGAGCAAAATTGAAGCAACCAATCTATCTCCACAGGTCAAATATGCTCGATCTTTTGATAATGGCCATTCGGACCTGATATTTCAAACGCTGCACATAAGACAATGCATGCCAAATAGGCAAATCCTTTGCCACTTATCACTATTCCAAGAGGAAAGGGTCCATACCGTATGTAATCAACGATCGAGCGGCACAGTCCAAAGAAAAATCTGATCAATACCCGCCGTCGATCAGAGTGCGTCCGTTGTATACCACTGTCTGTCTCTCTTTTTCTCTACACACACAGCGTAGCGCTACGAGAAGTGGTTGAGCCGCGCATCGACGAGAGACCGGACGAAGAGGTTTTCATCCTAGTCTGAATTTGCAACTGATCCTCAATCGCCTGGGTCCCTTCTTGAGCAGTACTGTAAGGCCTGGAGATTTGGGTCTCCTTGACGGGCCATGCTGGAATCCGAGGTTGATCTATCCGGAGATGTGACGGCGGTCGAGTAGATCTCCTTGCCGACTTTCAAAGTTTTTCTTGCGATTCCACCACTTTTCGGCGGGCGAGTATATGTCGTTTAGGGGGGTTTTGTAAGAGCCTTGCAGGCTGGCTTTGTCACTGGCTTGGTAAGTTACCGAAATACCGGCGGTACTGGATCGTTTTTTCCAAAAGCGGAACAAATATATACTGTAGCTACTTATTGACAACACTGCTCGCTAGTCGTAGGCGGGAGCCCTATCTGTATAGGTGTCAACGAGGCTGGAGCCACGTTGTCAAGTATCGCTCTGCTCTTTCCACATCTTCCAGTGATGCGAGGGCACCAACGTATCCATCTGGTCTGACAACACAGATCGCGCCCTGGTCCTTGCTCACTCCGAAGATAGCATAGGCATCCTCGGCCTTGTAAACGCCTCTACGTACATGTTCCTTACCCACAGGCGTTTCGGTATCCCACGCGGAGTGAAAGCTCATCTCCGCGTACTTCTTTATTGCACGTGGCAACGCCTCCCACGATATGTCGCGTGTGTTAGTGCCAATAGGATGCAAGACCACAAGTTCAATAAGATCTTCACCATACAGCTCCATGATGTGATCAATGGCGTCAAGGGCGCTGGCTGAACGGCCATGCATATCGAGGAGGTCCGTCGATGTCAGGACCAACAACCGGAAACGTCCGGTGAAGAGGAAATCTGTAGGCGAATAAGGACTGACCATGATTACAGGCAAGATAAGGTTACGTACCGTCTTGCAAGTCACGGGGATTACCATCTGCGTGACGGATAACTCTGACATTGAGAAGGCGACGGCCGGGCCTCAAAACTCCGCTAAGAAAATCCGTACCATAGACCGGGCTGTTTGCACTCTCTTTGAGGACCAAGTCACTGTCTGGATATTCTATCCCACATCCGCTGGTGAATCCGTTGCCAGTGGAAAACACCTCCACGAACTGCTCGTGGGTCAAGCCTTCCTCTTCCCCTTCAGCATCAATCTGGCCAGAGAACATCGATGAGAACTTGTGATCAAACTCAATGAGTTCACGGGCAATCTCGCGCCTTTCGAGCTCATATGAATCGAGCAGCTCGATGGAGCCATTGGTACCCTGACCGCCTGGTGGGACTAAGCCATTGAGGTGATATGCAAGCTTCCAAGATAGGTTGAACGAGTCCATCATCGAGACGTTCATGCCCTGCCCAGCCTTGGGCGAATGGGTGTGGCAGGCTGCCCAAAAGTCAGAAAGGTGGTGTGGAATAATGGTAAACAGAGCTAGAATTTCCAGATTACTTACCATCACCCGCGATGAACACTCGAGGCACGCCGTCAGAGGATTTTTGCAAGAACCGCTCAGTCATGCGCTGCCCAATTTGATACGCTGCCCACCAATCCACTTCAGCACCATCTTTCAGCTTGATATGGTATGGCTTGAAGACTGCTTGAGCCTGCTGCAAGAGTCCCTCTAGGGTGATCTTTGCCCTTCTTTCCCTAGCTTTCCGCCGCGCTTCCTTATCCGCGTCGATTGTGGCTGGGTCCAGAATATCGCCTCCACTTATCTCATCAGCAGGTACTTCGATGTTCACTTGCACGTACAGCCGCGTAAGATAGTCACCTGTCGCGATACGCTCACGTGGAATGACCATGACCGAGCCAGCGTTGCTGTGGATCGCGCACCGTCGGCGGATATCCGGAAAATCGGTATCGACTACAAGGTCCACGACGCCCCAGATGTCCCTGGCCGGCTTCTCCGAACTTAGCTCTGTCTCCGCTAAAGCATCTCCTCGGCGTCACGGAGACCTTAGTCGGTTCTTTCTAGAATCAGCTACATCTCCGGCAGCTGCGAGAACGCTGCAGCAACAAACTTTGCTATGTTCAGTACTGCTTGGTCTGATAAAGTCTTCTTTGTAAGGCTTTGATTCGCGCATGGGGGTTTTTTATCTTAATTTTCATTTTTGGTTCGAAATCTATGTTCAGGCTCTTCCCTCTCGCTACCACACCTACAGAACTCATGCCCGATGTTGGGAGAGGAGACTGTTAGTTTAGAGAAGACTGTCAAAGTGCCATATTGCCAATCATGAGAGTTCCATTGCTATATGAAGAGATTGATCTTTAGGAAATCCATCCTCAAGAGCCAGTAATGCAGAACCTTTTCCCGCCCAACTCTCATGTAAAGGCAGCAGATAGCAGCACCGCAATTTCGAAAACCACGAAGTCCGCAATTTCGAGTCCACTAGATGCCAGAGTCATCTCATCTATCCCCGCACTAAAAGCCGGTGTCGCACCTCGGGAGGCAAGAACTCTACCCGATGTCAACGCTAGTTAGCCCACCGCTCATGTAAAGACAGCAAATAGCAGCATCGCAATTTTGAGAGCCAGGAAGTCCACCAGATGCCAAAGCCACTCCGCCTGTAACCTTCTGAGAAAGAGTGTGAAGCCATGAAAAATCCACTTTTGAATGCCTTTGATAGCGAGATGTAGAATGATAAGACACCTCTCCGCCTAGAATGTCGTCACCATGTGAGTGAAGTGTGGAAGAACTAGAGGGATCCAATCTTGAAATGCCGAGGAGTCCACCGGATGTGTTGTGCCATGAGCCTTTCCGTTCACCGCCTGTGTCGCCCACCTACTTGTTCGCAAGGAACTCATTCGCCATCTTCTCGAGCCCAGGAAGGAATGGCTTCAGCTGATTCGTGTTCCGGTACTTGTAATCGAGCAGATCCATAGGATAGTCGAGAGACCAGCCCTTCTGGGTGTGCTTCGTCAAGTAGCTGTTCCAGTCTCGAACGCCCTTTGTAGGGTGTTGATTCTTTGTTAGGTCCTTGTTCACGACTACGATTCGTCCTGTCCTCGCTCGAGTCATGACAACATTGAGTCTATGCGGATCGTTGAGAAAGCCGAGAGTCTGTCCTGTTGTGCTTAGGGTGCGGACTGGATCGATGATGACAACCTCCGCCTCAGAGCCTTGAGACGAGTCCCAAGTGCCAATCTGAACGTCTTTGGTCTCCTTGAAATGGCCACAGATTTTCGTAAGTAGTCGCACTTGTCCAGCGTAGGCGGCAAGAATCAAAATGTCCTTAGGAGGGCACTTTCCAACAAGGATCAAGTGGAGAGCAGTCTGAAACACGACTGCCGCATGCTGGAAGTTGTACCGAGTTCGAGTAGCACCGATCGTCCTCGATCCGAATGGAACTTGAGAGCCTGGGGTGTCGGTCGGCGATCTGTACGATGTGAGTCCATGTCAACTGTTTCACGTCAGACGTCTTACATCATTACAGAATGGCTCGAGAACTGCTTGACGTTGATCCAGGTGAGAAACTTCTTCAGCCAATCTTCCCAGCCTTGGAAACCACGCCCGAGGCTGGGATCCGAGCTGTTTTGCAACTGGGGTTCGTTCGTGTCGCGTGACCATTCGGAAATGTCGGGATGCATCCGATATTGGACCTTAAGCGTGTGATATGGGAAACCGGCTTCAATAAGGCGCTGTTGATAGGTCAACTTTCCCTGGTTACCGAGAATGGCGTTGCTGTTGCGCTGAAACGGCATCAACTGTAAGATAAAATAACAGCATTAGCAGTATGTACCGGGGATAGGGAAGGGACTTGATGCAGGAAACCAACCTGATTGTGGTCTCCAACCATGATACGATGCTCGAGAGAGCGATTACACAAGATTGACGCCGCTAACACTTCGGGTTCCGAGCCTTGTGCAGATTCGTCCTGGATAAGAATCTTCGGGAAAACATCTCTAAGAACCTTGCTCGTGGCGCTGCTGTTCGTTACGCAGTTGCCGTCGGCATACCGGGCATACTGACGCCGAAGCTGTAGGTCTTGTTGACGTTGACGTTTAATAGCATCTGCAACAGCTGCCTGATCTTGAGTTGCGGCCATCGACGTTGTTTGCCGCGCATTCAGAAGTGCGTCAAGCTCAACTTGTTCGCCCGTGAATTGCTCATTGAATCGAGCCCTGTCGTCACTGAGGAGCTGTAGACGTTTTCGGATGTGGGCTGCGAGGCTATTTGGACCAGGTTCTGCCGTCTCAGGCTGGAGTGCGTCTCTGAAGGCTGCGGTGGCCTGCTGGGAAAGATTGGGAAGCACGTCGAACGGAGGACTGTCGCCGGAGTTGTCCGAAGCGGGTAAGTCTCGTCCGGGCGCGAAAAATACTTCATCGTCATCGTCATCATATAATGTCTCCTGTGTCTCGGTGTAGACCCTGAAGACGCGTCCTTCTTCTACATGATGCGTTAGCAGATGAAGTGAGGTTGGTCAGATGAACCTACGGTACTGATCGTTTGTGATACGTGCGTGGATGACATTGACAGCCTGGTTTGATGGGGCAACGACCAGATATCGCATCTTCATCTTGGTGGCGATCTCGGTGATGCACTGCGCAATATAGGTCTTACCCGTCCCTAAGAGAAGGTCAGCGGTGGAGGATCAGACTGGCTTACGTGTATTCTGTTCTATTGCTTGCGCACCGAATAGTGGAAGTCAGTTACTAGAGAGGCTTACCTGGAGGGGCGTGTACAATAGTCGTGCGCCGCGTGAAAGCGTGCCGGACCACTTCGATTTGCTCCTTGTTGAGGTTGAATTTCTTACACGCATCGTTGATAATCTGGACTGTCGTCGTTCCCAACTTCTTGGTCTGCGGACTTGAGTACTGCGAGGGATCCTGAGCTAAGACGATCTGGCGCAAATCACCAATGTTCGTGCCTCTGCTGACATCCAGGGTCATCAGGTTGTTGATAGTTTTTCGCATCACGCGGGTCGGACGTCCGCTGAAACCGAAGCGGAGATGGTACTTGTGCGTGCGTGGTTCGATCACAAGCCCGGTGGAGACTGGCATGAAGGCGCGGATGCAGCAGTTCGCGAAAGAAACCTCGCTGGCAAGACCCTCAGGGATCGAGATCACCGAGCCGCTCCAATCGACAGTATCATCATCCGGGTCCGATATTGCAACGCGCTCCCCTGGCTGAGGCAGAACGCCATCAGGCCGATGGCCCGCGAGTCCGTCTAGGTTGTCAATATCAAAGGGGGACAGTTTTGCAAAGAGGAGAACTGCCCGCTGCGGCTTGTGGTGATGGAAAGCCGCCTGCAGAATCTCGTAGCAGTCGTATGTGCCGCTATAGCAGCTTCCCATTAGCGCACGCTCGCTGAGCTCTTCGTCTGTGAATGCACCAAGTACATAGGCTTGGTATTGTCTGCTCGTGACGAATTGATGTATTGCTGGAAGTCCCGCCCAGAGCTCGAGAGGCGTCTTTGCAGGCCTAAGCTCCACCTGATTCCCTGATCGTCTGAAGAACGGCTGTTCACGAATAGCAAAGACCTTCTCCACAAAGTCGGGGAATTGGTAGAAGGTCGTGCCATGCCCGACATCGATGACTGGAGCTTTTTCGTTGTCGGCCTTGAGAAAGGGCCAATAGGAAGGCGGAGGCGGGAAAGGTTGTGCAAAGAAATGCATGCCGTACGCATAAGCCAGTGCTGGGTTAGGCTGAATATGAACTTGGATTTGCCCGACAAACGTCATGACCTTCCGGAACTCCGCAACGACTTCTTGGACATGCGCCGGTTTATGCCCAACGGCTCGGCTGTGGTTGATGGCTATGGGCTGATCGGTCTTGAAACTCATGTAGAACTGCTTGCCTGTGCCTGGGAATGCTTGTACGCCAGCCACCGTCGCTAGAGGACTATTCTTGAACTCCAGGAATTCGACGTCGTAAAGGGCAGATGAGAAATTCCGTTTCAGCCCCAAGATACCACGCAAGTCCCTGTCTTCTGTAGAGGCGAGAGTTGTGACCACATCTCCAGATTCCCTGCCATCACACCACTTATCCGGCATGAATGTTGGATAGAATATGGACATGCGATCGCGGTCGTCGGCTTTCTTTGCATCGGTATTGTTGGAGTAGCTAGGCGAGAACCGCAGGCGAAGTTCGATGAAGGAAGCGAGTGATGCACCGTGCATGAAAACCTCGGTTTTGTAGTCCGTGGCGCGGCCAGAGATCTTGGATTCTCCGGCATAGATATCGCAGTTCGAGAATTGGCTGTTCATCTGACCTTGGATCTACGGGTGTTGTTAGCGGACCGAACACTCAAGCGAATCGCTAGTGGTAGTCAAGAGTTGGTGAAAGAAAAAGAAACACAAGGGGATGAGAGCCGGCCAGATTTGTCAGGTTGTTCGCTTTGATATAACTTACAATGCATGTTGGAAGGGCTTTAGCGGAGGATCCTAGGCGCCTATTCAGACCATGCCAGCTAGCCCATGGCTCCAAGCGTTCGACGTCCACTGGTGGTTGTCCCTGACCGGGGCCGGGAGTGGCCATGTTGATTGTTTGGTGATGCCGACAAAAGATAGGTGTGAGCGCAAGTGACGGGTGAGCGTGAAGGGTTGAGCTTAGAATGTGATAATCGTATGGAGGTCGGGTAGAGGAGGGACCCACCGTTCGAACCCGGGCCGTAGATGGAGTGAGTTGAAGAAGGAGCGGTTGGGTGTAGATGAAGTGAGTTGAAGGAGGGAGGGTTGAGTGCAGGCGGGCGCTGTCTTTTTATGCACCAGGCGGGGTGAGTCACAGCGCGCAAAGTCGGCCCTTCACTAAGGCGACACGTAAGGAGTAAACAGAAGCAGTCGGTCACGCGGCTCGGTGTTTGTCGGATGTATCGCAACGTGCTTCGACCGCCCGGATAGGGCCGGTTCCCTGATTAAAGAAACGCTGTGCTACAATTGTTCTCAGAGAGCCATGTGATATAATTCCGGCTTGGCGAATAAACCCTACGTTCAGGCCTACTTGTCACGTAGAGTAACATGTCGCAGGAGTATATCTCGTGAAGACCGATTAGCAAAGTTTGAGCTAGAACGGATGCCTGTGGGTGAAGCTCACCTGGACTGTAGATCTATGAAAGGTAGGAAAACACCCTGCGAGCCGCGAATGTGGGCGCCGGCGGTGAACAGCAAACAACCGAAACAGTGACCCGCCTTAGATGATGTAGACATTCTGATCGTGGAAGATGTACGTCTTTTGTGGAGACCGTGAAGAAACAGGAGAGACAAGGAAGACAGATTCTGCCCATCTATACCATGAACGCTCTCCGCCATCACGAAGTTTGCTGTACTACGAGCCGCCTGCGTGCTAGTATGGGCTCTCTCGACCACTATGCAATATTGTTACGATAGCGGATCCTCGAACATTAGATGCATGTCCATCGTAGAACAAGAATCAAAATACCATATCCTGTAATATGCTGTTCCAAGAGCACATATCCTGCAAGTGGTCGCGGAGAGGCGGAACCTCAAAGACCCTGGAATAAGAGCCGCACATCCACGTGGCAAGGATCGAGCCGCCTACGTCATTGCCCTGCTGAGTACTCTACGCGCCCAGAGATCCGCCTATCCAGTTTCCCTGTCCTGCTCCATCATGTTCAACACCCCATCGTAATGCGTGTCGATCCAGCGCATCGGCGCGCCAGAACTTACGATCATTGACGCACCGGGTCTGTGGCTTACGCAGATACTGCGTGCTACCCGCCGTCGCGTTTTCGACATGAAGTACTTCGATCAAGACTCGTCCGGAGCACATTGGGCTGCGTGTCCCGCCCATGTGTCCTCCCCGATTTACAACAGAAACCAAAAGCCAATACGAAGCGCAGCATCCCTTAAGAAAGCGAACCCTTTTCGACGCCCCCGTTCCGTATCGTCTTTCCTACGTTTCGTACACCCATCGTGATCTAGAGATATACACAATAGGCAGTACATAACGGACAACGGACTACTCCGCAGAGACATGCACAATGCTGGTCTGGATCTCACATAACTCGCTGTCCATCTCTGTAGGCCACTCTACGCCAAGGGCATGGCTCGAATGTTGTTGGAGTAGCATGCGATTTGCAGCAAGGCCTGAGAGTATTAATGAACTGTCTTCTTGCACGGTATTGGGTATATGATATCGCTTTAGTATGACGCATAGAGACCGCTCCTTAACTGTGCCGTAACATAATACAATCATTTTCGGGTGACCTTGCATGCGCACCGTGTTTGAGCAAATGAAGTAAATCATACAAGATACACAATCGCAGAAGCTCGATGTACGAAGGGTAGTGTCAACAGAACCGCGTCCGCGAGCAATGGTCTGTCCAAGACAGGAAATGCGTTGCATTCGAGAGCTCTTGTGATATCACACATCCAGCCTAGACCCATTCCTTGAGCTGCTGTCTCGAATGGCGCAGTACTGCCATTCTGTTACCCAGGTAGCCGCGCAGTCTGCACCTGCCCGAATATCCGAATCCCTGCTTCCTCTTCCCGCCAATGCGCCCACCATGTCCCTGCTCGGCGCAGCTGCCTGCCGGATGACCAATTGTGCTTCCGAGTGTCCGGACCGCAGCAACATTCGAACCGAACCCGCGAGAGCCGTCGACCGATGCTGGAGAATACGTCAGAGAGAATGTTGTCAAGTGTATTTCGGCGGAGGGAAAGAGAGTGGTACAGTACTTGCAAGGGACTCGCTGGCACGGGTGAGCCAGGCTGACATGGTCTGTAGCACAGATATTCTTTTCCAATCAGGACCCTGACAGACACGCAGATCACTTCAGCCCTATGGCTGACAGCTGCTTAGCGTTAACGTTATTGGAACGTCTTTTCGGCTGCCAGAACATCACTCTTCCAAGCAGTGTGCGATGTGGTATGCCAGCCAACCGCAAGTAATGTGGTCAGGTGTATGATCTAGCAAGGGCGCTTAATGAGAATGAGTATAAGGCCTCATCGAGCGGGCTGCTAAGGCGGTGCCGGCCGTATCAGAGCCCGTATTCATGCCGTATAAGTTGTTGGAGCGTGGAAGAATACTCCGTTCCATATTGTCTCCGATCGCCTACCCAAGTCCTACTTCCCCTTAAGCTCTTAACCATCCCATTGCCCTCTCTCACAATGTGTTCATGTCTTGTAGCGTCGCAAGTGTATCCCCACTCGTTGTCCCGGTCCATCGCCGTTTTACGCGTTCATGGTCCTGTCGCTATCTTCTGCGCCGCATTCCGTATATATCGAAGTGACGTTGCGCTGCGATGAATCGACTCTAGAGCGCGCGCTTCTGTGCGAGTGGTGGTTATGCCGGCTCGTACCATATATTGTCGCTCCGTAATCTGCTCGCTTCAGCTTAGGTAGAGGATCTACTTGCCTTTATCCCAGCATCAGTGAGATCAGGCATACTGCTTTTCTATTACAAGCGGCCGCCGGGGCTGGCGTGGTTTCGTGCCGCCTGCTTCGCTTGACATGGCGAGAAAAGGCACACTCGAGGAAAGCCGGCGATCGAATGGTGTTGCTGGCCTGCTGCAAGATAGGAGAGAAATCACCCAACAACGAGACATAATCTGCTTTCCTCCTGCAGCTTGCTGGCATGACTTGCTTGCCATACTTCGCGATCATCGTCCAGCTACCTGGGCGCTCGTGCCTCTCCATTTGGACCCGCGGAGCACGCCCGGCTCCGGGGTTCTTCCAGTTTCGTCACCATCAGATCATGCGATGCTAAGCGCTTGGCAAGTTTGCACTGTTTGCACCCTCGGAGCAAAGTGTATAAAATTTGCGCCTCCCACCGCCCAACCTTCTCTTCTCCATCTCAAACATTGTACAGTGACACCTCACAGGTGGTTACTTCGACCCACCACCTCCGCCTCGGTCTCTGTCTCGTTCGAGCGCTTCTCCAGCTCGCCTGTACAGTGACGCCTCACAGGTGTTCACTTCGACCCACCACCTCCGCCTCGGTCTCTGTCCTGTTTGAACTCCTATCCACTTCAGTCATTGTACGGTGACACCTCACTTCGACTCACCGCACTCTGCATCAGTCTCTGTCACATCCGAGAAATCGCCTGGCCTCAGCGGCGCCCCACGGGTGTCCGCTTCTCCCTGCCCTTCAACTCAGCTGTTGGACCCTCAGCTGTCGGACGCTCTCATGTCGGACCATCCCACACCGCATCTGACATCACCTGGCCTCAGCGGCGCCCCACGGGTGTCCGCTTCTTCCTCACCTTCACTTCCACAACGTCCAAAGCGTCCCACTGTCTCTCTGGACGACGCTCCCACCACCAAGCGTCCACGGTCGGCCATGTCAATAGCGCCATACACCGCTGAACGCCAGAGGGCCATGGAAGACGGTTACGCCTTGACTGATGAGTACTCGGACGAGAACACCGACGTCGAAGGCGGCTCCTACAGAGAGACGCAGCCTGACTCTGGCGATGGCACGGGCACTGATGGTGACGCCAGTCCTGAGGACGGTGCCGGCATGGATGATGGCATGGGTCCTGGGATCATTGAAGATGATGCCGACGTGGACTATGGCGATGACATCTTCGTTGACTGGTACAACGACCGTAACGTTCGAGCAAAATACGCTCACATAGCTTGGGTGACACTCCGGGCGTACAGGTCAGACTTGCGGCCCTGGACACACACACCACAGCAATGCATATGGGATACGAACAACCCGATGTCAGACGGCTCCCTCTTCGGACAGTGCGTCTTCTTTGCAGACGATTCGGCTCAGACTGCTGCGAGCGTCCGGCGCATAGTCGTGAATGGCCGAAGGAAGAACATGAACATTAACAAGTTTCTGGCGTTCGGCTGCGGGACGGTGTCACTTGCGGAGTGGAGGAGTCTCGTAATGGTAGATGTCTCGACATCCCACCTCTGCCACAACGCTCTTTGTGTCGATCCTGGGCATGTCGCCTTCGAGTCTTTTTCACAGAATTTCAAACGAAACATCTGCAGAAAGAGAGGAGTTTGCTCGTGTGGTCTCTTACCCGGATGTCTTATGGGAGGGATCATTACGCCTAGGCATGCGCAAGCCGGTCTTCAGACAGCACCGAATGTCGTTTACTGTTGCCCCGAGCCGGATTGCTCATGGACATCGAACCATCGTAGGATCCCGGACAAGCATGTCAACTTCCACTGGTTAGCTGCGCACACAACGATAGATGACCCAAGCATTTGTCCGGTCTGTCGTTTTTTCTGTGTCCCAGAGGCTAAGAATGGGAATTATGGAGCGCAGAAAGTCGCTGCTCACGCTCACGTTCACCAAGACTGGCAATCAAAGGCACACAGGTGTAGCACGTGTCGTGCTGGCTATAAGTCTGGACACAGTCTTGCTAAACACTACAACACTCATTGGCGTCATCTTTAGTGTATATAGATAGCTGTTTCTCCTCGTAAACTATGTTGAACAGACTTTGCATGTGATTTCTATCCAAGACTTCTCTCTATGTGCGATCAAGGGACACTTTTTACCTGCCCCGACCCAAAATTCGAGAAACTGGCGTGAACGTGGACTGATTCTGCCTCAATCACACGTACATTGCGTTCACTTGACGACCCATTTCCATTGACAGAATCGGTCATGGTAGACGAAAGCATCAAGCCCGCGGAAAGCGACGCCAGGATCGAACATGTCGCAGAAAAGCAAATCGATCTAGAAGAGCTTGGAGAAACCAGCGGCTATGTCGTTGACCTGGAATTGATAAACACAGTTCCCTCCGCTTATGGACAACTCAAGACCGCAGCCGACGGACGCACCATCTTGATCCCTCAACCAAGCGACGACCCAGACGACCCCTTGAATTGGAGCTGGGCCAGAAAGCATGCCATCCTGTTCACGATTGCCGCAATTGCATTTCTACCGGACTATGGGTCCGCTACAGGCGCTGTGACGTTGCTTCCTCAAGCTCAGATATGGGGAATGAGTGAGGATCATGTCAATCACAGCCAAGTGGGTATGTCGGTGCCTTCCCTCCGCCTACTAATGACCGTGCGATCTCATCTAACAGGGAATCAGGGAATGTATTTATGCTTGGAGCGGGCGGTCTCTTTGTTGTCGCCTTGTCTGCCTATTTCGGACGTCTACCGGTCCTATTCTGGTTCACCGTTACGGCGCTGTGGACAGCGGCTTGGTGTACCGCTGCTACCACTTTCGAGCCCTTCATGGCCGCGCGCATCCTCAATGGCTTCTTCTCGACAGTAGCACAAGGCGGCGGGTTGATGTTCATCAAAGATATGTTCTTCTTCCATGAGCACGCCCGAAAGATCAACATATGGGCTGCGTTTATCATTCTGTCGCCCTACTTTGGGCCTCTCATAGCCGCCTTTATCATCTCAACGCAGAAGTGGCAATGGGCGTTCGGGGTGTACACAATCGGGACAGGCTTGTGCCTGATTGCGGTCGTCATCTTCGTTGATGAAACTTTCTACGATAGAAAGCTGCCGCACGAGCAACGTATACCGAGGAAGAGCAAGCTGCAGAGACTAGTGGGAATTGAGCAGTGGCGCTCAAGACATCAGCGAAGCACTTTCAAGCAGGCTGTCATGCGGCCTGTGAGGGTTATCTGCAAGCCAGTGGTGTTGCTTTCGTCAATCTACTATATGCTAACGTTTGCGTGGGATAAGTCAAGCCTAATGCCAAGTGCGTGATCAAGCCGCTGACTTTTCGTACTAGTAGGTATCAACACGACCCTGGCCATCTTCGTAACACCCTTATACGGCTTTGGACCTCGTCAAGTAGGGTAAGTCTCACTATAGCTAACCACGAAGATATTGCAAAAGCTGAATTTGACTTGCACAGATTCTTCTATTTTACCCCAATAATTGGAGCAATTCTCGGCGAAATCTGCGGACACTGGGTGCATGACAAGGTCGCCAGTATTATTACAAGGCGCAACAAAGGCACCTTTCAGCCAGAGTATCGGCTGGCTACAATCTGGCTATCGACGCCATTCATTCTCACCGGCCTGATCGTGCTGGGGTTCGCGTTGGAAAACGCGTGGCACTACATGGTAGCCGCCGTAGGCTGGGGCCTCTACGTCTTCGGGATCATGATAACAACTGTTGCCATCACCGCTTACAACCTCGATGCGTACCCAGAAGGGAGCGGTGAGGTGGCTGCGTGGATAAACATGGCGCGCACAACAGGCGGATTTATCATATCCTACTTTCAAGTGTCATGGGCGCAGTCGCAGGGGACGAAGCGCAGCTTCGGTATACAAGCAGCAGTCTGTCTCGTGGGCTTCTTTATTGTGGTATTTCTGCAGCTGTATGGCGCTGCGCTGCGGAAGCGAAGCGGACCTCTGCACTTCAAGACAGGCTAGGATGGGCTGCAGGCGACAGGCGGCTCTATCTTTCTATCACATCTCATACTAATCTGCTTGCGGCTAGTTCGTCAGAAGGAACTGCGGCATCTACCGTGAGCTGACTGCATACCAAGAACCAAATCGGAACAACAACCAAATATAAAATTTGGGGGCTCATTTCAGTCCCAACTAAGCCTTCATCCTGGGGTTTAACCTACGAAAACACTATTTGGCTGCATGTGATGCGCTGCTCGCGCGGAGCGTTGGCGTGTAGCTCGCTGCTGGTTGAGAATGCGTCCAGTCGGCAGTCTCAGCCGATGATCAAAGTGAGACAGAACTGTCGAAGAGCAAGGCACATCTGCGGAGGCTCTAGCGGACGCGGCCAAGCGGTACATAGATCCTGCAGGAACGGAATGCCTTATGATGACGACCGCATGTCCGAGCCGGTCGGACAACGCTGTCAGATCCTCTCGTTACTTGAATGGGCACGCTGGAGCAATAGCTTCATGTACAAATGAAGAGAAGCCCCTGATCATTTGAAAGTGAACACCGGACACAAAATCATACGACAACCTTTTACAAAGTTGGCGTTTCAGATATCGCCTGCGGCTCATTATGACCTCTCTGTCTACATGGTCGCTCTTTATCGGGTTTTATGTCTCGTTGACGCTATCTGCAAAGAATACACCAAGCGTCTTGTCATCAGCCGCACAACTAGCGGAAACACTGGAAAGAACGCCATATATCAGTCAACTCTGGAGCTGTACTGCTTGCGTCAGTGATGACTATCTTCCTACCCAAGATGCCTGATCCTAATAACTCGGTTGAGCAAGTGCGCAGGACTATCTCTCCTCTATCCAGGAAAGGTCAATTACTTCAATGATACCGTCTATGCAGAGGAGCAGCTGTACTGGTCTCAGCAACAGCAGCGAACCTTACCTGTATGCCGATTCACGCCCACCCAAGCGTCCGAGGTATCCGCGGCCATTATCTTGGTACGCACTACGAAATGTCATTTCGCAGTCAAGAGCGGAGGACACGCGGCGTTTGCGGGCGCCTCAAATATTCAGGATGGACTTGCCATTGACCTCAGCGGACTCTCAGTCTTGAAACTTTCGAGCAATAACTCAATCTTGTCGGTTGGCCCAGGAAACAGGTGGGAAGACGTCTACTTGTTCCTTGATCCATTTAACCTCTCAGTCATCGGCGGACGTGTTGGTGACATCGGGGTCGGAGGGCTCACGCTCGGCGGCGGCATTTCGTTCTTCTCGCCCTTCCATGGGTGGGCCTGTGACAACGTCGCTAACTACGAAGTATGCACGCTAGTTTCAAAAGGCGTATTCTGTGCTGATAGAAAGCAGGTCGTACTCTCCAACGGCTCTGTAGTCAATGCTAATAGCACGTCGAATCCGGACCTCTATTTTGCCCTGAGAGGCGGAGGAAACAACTTCGGCGTTGTAACCAGATTCGACCTTGAGACGTTCCCGCATGGCGACATGTGGGGGGGCCAAGTATATCATCCTATCCAAACGAACCGCTCACAGTTCGAGGCATACCATTGGTTCGCCGAGAACTTAAATTCAGATCCAAACGGCGCCCTTACCGTTACTGCAGTGGCTGCTCCCGAATACGGCTTCCTGTTCGCGAACAACTACGAGTACGCTCGGCCTGTTGAGAATCCGCCTATATTTGACAATTTCACCTCCATCACGAACTTCTCATCCACGATACGGATAACGCGCCTGCCTGATCTTGTCGAAGAGCTGAAGGACGCGCAAGACTACGGCTTCAGGTACCTAAATCTCGTCCGTAACACTACAATTAATCGCTAAGTGTGCGCTGCAGGCAGATGTATATCACCGCGACATTCAAGAACGACGTACAGTTGATGAGCGACATCTTCGACATGTGGCATGCGGCCGTCGACCCTATTTTTACGGAGGTTGCAGGCTTGGTCGCTGCTCTGGTCTTCCAGCCCGTAACTCCGAGGGTCATCGAGAAGTTTGGCAAGAATGGCGGGAACGCGCTTGGTATCAACCCGGACGATGGATCGCTTACGAGTGCGTTATACGCTGCCTTCGTTGGTGGAGCTTCTTACTAATTGCTGGTACTCCGTAGTTTGTTTGATGCTCTTTCAATGGAGCAACCAGAACAACGATACCTTCATCATCAACACGCTGGAAAGTATTGTCAGCCGAGCGAACACGATCGCTAAATCCCGCGGCCTCTACCACCGATATGTCTATCAAAACTATGCGTACATCAGCCAAGATGTGTTTGCAGGGTACGGACCGGAAAATAAAGCTCGGCTGCTTGAGATCCAACAAGCCTATGACCCTGAGAAAGTCTTCATGGATTTGCAACCGGGCTACTTCAAGTTGAGAGAGTAGGCACGCGGATCATGCCTTGAACTTTGATGAGCCCTAAAGCTTCTACGGCGGAGTCAATTGTTGCGGGTTCGAGGAAATAGAAGAGCCTTCGCTGCACACGTGTAGAGGTCAAGCTGTGTATCGTACGTGCCACTGAAGCTTTGCATCACACTATTGTGGGCTGACTATCTCGGCTTAAGTGTCTTCAGAAACAGGACAATTCACTCAAGACAACGATAGCAGCTTATCCAGTTAAATAAACTTTGACTAAGATATGGCGTAATTGCTTCCGAAGGATTCTTCCCCCCATCAACTTCCGCGCTGTTCGAAACACGGTCGCATCTAGGACAGTACGATCATGATCAAAGTTCGCCGTCATAAGCAATCTGCCACCGTCATGCCTTGTCGTAACACCATTGGTCCACAGGATACTCGGAGGTGTTTTGTGGACCATGGAGCCTTCAAATTCAAAGCGTACGGGCCAATGCCATAGCCACGGTAATCGGGACTGTGCGGTGAGGTTGTCCGGCTAAGACCGCTCGAACTACCATGTCGCAACTCTTCTCATGCACTTTCTCGCCTGATAGTAATGCTTGAGGGCGCCGTGCGGATACAAGCGCAATCGTAGGGATTGAGCCTGGGACGGAGGATTCACGGCCAGCGATGGCCATTTTTCGCCGTTTTGCGTCGTATTGAGTCAAGTCGCCTGAGCAGGGTCGGCTCTGTCGCCAGATACCTCAATGTTCTCGCACATGATAGTCTAAGACTACACCAAGGGCCAAGGCACGTATAGAGCCCATGGAGCGGAAAACTTGTTCCAGCTACAAGGTAGGTGTTGTGTGTCTCACAGCTCTCGTTCCATGAAACAAAACTAGCCGAGCGAATGCAGCCTGAGCCTCAAAAAGCGGAGTGCATGCCAAGGCGCGGGACGGCTATCACCGCTGACTACTTTACAAGGGGCTCAAGAGCGGACTAGTAGCGTTCCCGAGAAGCGAGGTAGCTTTTGCTCGGCTCATCCGCAGAGAGATACAAGACTAGCCGGGGGGCTCACCGACCCGCTCCTGGTGCACTCTTGCGAATCCAGGTACACCCCAGGCAAAGTATCAAAAATATCCGGACAGGTTCGCACGGATCTCCGCTAAACAGTGTCCGAACACTTCTGGTACGTTGCCTGATCGATCTTCATTTCTGGGTCAAGCGAAGGCTTGCACGCCTTGAACGCCACAAGACAGGGCGAGGCTGTCGAAACTCGTTCTAGATGCCGAAGGCGCGGCCTCGAACTTGCAGCACTCTGTTGTTTACACACATGCTTTCGTCGTCCGACAGTGCGACCGCTCGGGGCGCTGAAACCGATGGGCAGTAATGTTGGAATAGGGACAGAAATACGACCTCATTCTGAAATTTGGCAGGACCGAAGAACTGGCCAGGAAGCTTAAGAACGAGATGTTGTCCGCGATCTAATGCCTTTGACAAGTCACTGCAGGACTATCCGTACTTCTGAGGGGATCAAAGCACCCAATTGTCAATGCAATTCTGATACCAGGATCACAAGATATTAGGTAAGGCTCGGGATGGAAAGATCAACCCGTGGAGCTTCAGGCGGATACTCATAATGAGGATCCCTTACCTCCTCAACTTCTGCTAGCATGTATACTCACTTTAGTATGATCTTTGCATGCTGGTAGTATTTTCGGTACCTGAAACCATGCGGGGTAATCCCGATCTATTTATACGCCACCTGGCCGCGTCCGACGGGTCATCTGCAGGTGGCTTTCTCATGATACAAACAATCTTCTTGAGCAATCATTGGCTTGAAACGCCAAGAAGACACGATAGATGCCCTTGTAACCATTTAGCTCTCGATCCGGTGGAGTGATATTGCCTAAGGCTTCCTGCAGACCACCCATCGGATGCGGCCAGGTATTGTATCAGATGCGCCCAGAATGGGCTTTACAGGTGTAGGATACAAGGGTCTGCCATGAACGGGCTGAATAAGGACTCGGAGTAGCAGAGAAAGCACCAAGCTGGTGCCTACTGCTCGCCTGACCCCTTTTATTCAAAAGGCTGGTATCCTTTTACTCATATCTTGCTTCCTCTTTCTTCATCCACCAAGGTATCATTCCTTCTCTTTGTTCTTCAGCCTCATTGATCCACCATGAAGATCACCGCTGTATCTCACCTGCTCTCCCTCACGGCTACACTCCTCACCTGGGGCTCCCCCCTCGTTGCTGGCGGACCCACACCCCCTAGCCTCGCCGCCCGCGACGACGCCATCAGGCGATTTGAGTCGCGCTTCATCGATGAATCCAGTACCAGGTACGAGCATAGCAACATGACAGTCAAGCTAGTTGGCTACAAGAAGATCATCATGACGCCCGACGCCCGCGCGGACTTGGAGGAAAACATCCGACAGCGTCCGGACGAGTGGGAGGCTTTCACCAACGCCTACTACGACCCTCACGAGAAGACGATGCGCATCTACTTCCCTGTCGAAGGCGCGCTTCTGTACCACCACGGGGAACTCATCGAGGCGAGCTCGCTGGGCGAGTATCCCCACGAGATGATCGGCGGTGACTGTGCCGTCGTTGGGAGGTATCAAACGGACCAGGTCACCGGCCTTGCCTGGAACAAGATCAAGGACGGCATCATCCACCTCGACGAGCCGAGCCTGCCGGTGCGGCAGTACGGCAACATCTTCGTGTACGACCTCGGGTGGCGCGAGGGCGGCCATGACCACCATCGCGGCAGGAAACGAGCGGAGGGGCATGGGGGCTCGTGCAAGCAGAACCACGGGGGGAAGGTCTGCTCGCAGGTGTATAAAATCAACCATGGCCGCTGCCCTCGTGATTACAGCGGTTGCATAGATTACAACGGCTGGCCGAAGAAGGATTGCAACAATCATAGCAACAAGTGGGCCTTCCCCGGCAGCGACTGCTTCACGTCCGTGGCTAGGGGGCATTGCTGGAGTGAGATTCCGGATAAACGATAAATAGTCAGGCAACGTGGACACGGAAAGCAAGGAGAAGAGAAAGAAAAAGAGAACGAGAATGATCACAGGCAAGGGGAGAAGGGGAATAGTTTGCTGGAATATCAGCATAGTTGGAAGCATGTAGAGTAGTGTTGTCAGCTGATTGGTCATGGATCAATTTACCTAGGTAGTCTAAAGCGCTTCAACGAGCGTCGCGACTTTAGCCGTGCCAAGACTTTGGCTGCTCTTCCCAGATTCAATATCATTACTCTGGCGCACTAAGGCATGCAGCTCATCTCAGTCGATGAACAAGACCTCAGGATAAGCACCGCTCGGCCCAGCCAACAATCCCTCCCTCTTTCTCTTCAGCGCGAAATCAAAGAAAGCAGCCACATAGGCCCCCAAGATCTGCACAACCCTCTCCCCCTTCAAGTTTCCCAGAAGAGAGGATAGCTGAGGCGGCACGACTTCCGCGAACCCCAAAACATCTCTCAACAACGGCAAGTCAGTAAAAGTCAGATGAGCACTATCCACCAACTCCAGCTCCTTAACCCACTCCCCGCGACGCTCCATCACATCCTTGAACGAGGCCCAGGTTGTGTCAGTGCTGCTGTTGTGCCCGCCCGCACCCCACAGCAAGAACGGCCTGTCAAGACCCGCAGTGGCAGCGTCGCTACCGACCTGCCCGTCCAGGGTCACGCCGGCGCGGATGCGCTCGTCCTCATACATGGCCGCAGCCGCGACGGCGCCGCCTAGCGAGTGGCCGAACATGCCCACTCTCCCCTTCTTCACCGCGTGGGAGCCGTGAGGGGCCAGGGTATCGAGGATGAAGCGGACGTCGGCCACGCGAACAGTCGCGACCTTCAGCACGATCTCGTCGGTGAGGTTGACGGGTAGGGCGCTCGTGATAAGCGAGCCGTCAGGAAACTCGACCACGTCCGCGTCGTAAGGATGGTCGATCGTCAGCACCGTGTAGCCCTGGCTGGCGACCTGGGAGGCGATGGCTGAGTAGAAGAGACGGCTCAAGCCCAGGCCGGGCGAGAAGAACAGAGTGGGGTGGGAGTTGCGGGACCAGTCGGCGTGCGGATGTGTCTTTGGGTGCTTGGCATCGCAGCAGAGCTGGAGATGGAGGGAACCGAAAGTGCCTGGAGGGATGGGGATGCCGAGTCTGGCATATGCGGCGTCTTGAAAGGCGGCGGTGCCGGGGGGCATATATGGTACTGGGCAGGTGCTGCGGCATTGACGAGGCGGAACCGGATTAAAGCGCGAGACCATGAGTCGGCGGGTGTGCGTGCTGTTCCATGGATCCACTCGGGAAGAGTCGACGAGCTCGGCGGTGTCGAGACTTACGCTGAACGGACCTGTGAGCGGAGGAAGAAGGACAGAGGCATTGACGAGGGTCGGAAGAAACAGAGAACCAATAGTGATGATGGAGATGAGGAGGTGAGACATGCTGGCTTTGTGGGACTGTGACTATAGGACGGAGATGGGAATGATACAGAACGGGGCCACTCGAAGAGCTTTATAAAGGCGATGGCGCATCAAGCATCGATGATTGAACAGAGCCACCACCATTCGTAACGACACGCACCAGCCAAGACACTGGCGTTTAGCTGAATCTATCACGCTCCTACGGCCGTGGAGTAAATCCACACTCATGCGCCGTATTCCGGTGAGACAGCATTGACATCTCACTATCTCGCAACGGTTACAAGCGACTGCACAGCCCCACCGTGCGAATCTGTATGCTGCTTGCGGCCGGAGAGGATGATTGCGGAGCATTAACTCGGCGCGTCGGACGGTACCTGCCCACGTATCGTGCCCTACCCTTTTCGGGGATGCGCCCGTAACAAGGCTTCGTGTTCGCAAACTTGGCAGTCAGCATAAACGCGGGGAATCAGCCTTGCCGCGCAACCTTCCCTTGCTTGAAGCCGTGAACCTTGAAGATTGCGGCTGACGAACCGGGGGCAACCAAGGAACCAGCTGCAAACTCAGCACGTTTATCGCATGCAACGCTGTTGGTCGTTGCTGATGCCGTAAGCCGTTACTGCTGATGTTAGGGACGCATCACCGTTCTTGCAATTGGCCTATGTTTGTCCATCATTCCAGATGTTTGTCTGCATTACCGGAATGACAGACGTGGAGTTTGCTCGGCTATGTCCCGTTTGAACAGCATCAGGTGTCCCCAAGATCCCAGCGGCTGGTTTGGTGATCTTGAGAAGCGCTATCCGCACTTCTGTGAGCTGCCACGACTGTCAAACGTTCGTGTCCATACGCCTAGAGGACAATCGTCAGGGATCGCGTTGTACCGCGAGTGCTGGAGCATGCTTGTGGTCGAGGAAGAGGTAGAGGGTAGAGGTTGTTTGTCAAGCCAAGCAAAGTCACGAGACTTCTCCGTTAGCATCCCGGTTACTGATAAGGTTGTTTAGCGGGCGATAAGGTGACGCGAAAAGCAATCAAGCCATCGTCATCAGATGCTATCGCATATCGACCTCGGACCTGTGCCTGCATCCGCCGGGACCCATTAATCTGTACGCCGATGCCATCAAGCTTTATATCCCCGTCCAGGGCCGCTATCACAATGCCAGCTTTCCCATCCCACAGCTTCACCACGAAGCTTGAGACACCATGTGCGGCATCAGCTGTATTCTCGGCTTGGAAGGTCAAGCGGCCCACCCCTCACCTAGCGAGCACATCAATGGTGTTAATGGCCAAGTCGTGAATGGCGAGGTTGATTGTAAAAGACTGGAGTTGGAGAGAGAACTTGATGCCAGCCTGGAACTCATCAAACACCGCGGCCCCGACTCCCGCGGCCACTGGATCAGCCCCGACAACCGCGTGGGTACTCTGGCTACTTACCCTCCCTCTCCCCACTACCCCAGCGCAAGCCCACTAACACCTATACACAGCACTCGGCCACGTCCGCCTAGCAATCAACGACCTCACCCCCGACGGCGCCCAGCCCTTCCACGACGACGAAGACACCATCCATGCTGTCGTCAACGGCGAGCTCTACGACCACGAAGCCATACGCGCCGACCTCGCCACAAAGACGAGCTACAAATTCAAGGGCAGGAGCGACTGCGAGATCGTCATCGCGCTGTACAAGTACTACGGGCTGAGCTTCCTGTCGCACCTCCGCGGCGAGTTCGCGCTGTGTTTGTATGACAGCCGGACGCAGTTCTTCGTTGCGGCGAGGGACCGGTATGGGATTAAGCCGCTGTTCTGGACAAGGCAGGATGGGAGGCTGCTTGTGGCTGCGGAGGCGAAGGCGTTTTTGCCGCTGGGATGGAGGCCGGAGTGGGATGTTAAGAGCTTGCTGGATGCGGGCTGGAACCATGATGAAAGGACGCTGTTCAAGGGCGTTGCGAAGATTCGGCCGGGCCATTACTTGACGTGTCAGAGCTCGGGGCATATCGAGCAGAGGCAGTATTGGGACATTGACTATCCAGATAAGCGAATACCGGACCTGAGGTCTGAGGAGGAGATGATTGAAGGAGTTCGACAGCGCTTGCTAGACGCTATCCGGGTTCGGCTGCGCGCCGATGTCCCGGTCGGTGTGTATCTGAGCGGCGGTATTGACTCTTCTGCGATAGCGGGTATGGTGACACACCTGGTCGAGGAGCAAGGCGAAAAGATGGGCAATGATAAGGAGACTGAACGGGTGAGCTGCTTCAGCATCGCCTTCGACGAAGACAGCGGCTTCGATGAATCCTGTGAGCTCCTCATCATGCACATCCGGTACCCCTGATCCCTGACAACCCTCACAGCGATCGCAAACCGCACCGCCGACTTCCTCGGCGTCAAGTACTACAAGAAACACATGTCCGAAGCCGCCCTCGCCGAGCGCTTCGAAGACGCAACCTGGCACTGCGAGCACCACAACCCGGACCTCAACTTCGTCGGCAAATACGCCCTCTCCGAAGTGCCCCGCGAAGTCGGCTTCAAAGTCGTCCTCACGGGCGAAGGCGCCGACGAGTCCTTCGGCGGCTATCCCGTCTACCTGCCGGACTACCTGCGCGAGCCCGACCGGTCCTTCCCCTCAAACCCTCTATCGGAAGAGGAGCGGCTCAGGCAGCTCGAGCAGACCGAGATCGCCGCGACGGAGTATTACAGCAGCGTAGGCGCCGACGCCTCGAACCGCGGGCCCTCGCTGGCCCGCCGCATGCTCAACAACATCACGACCGTCTCCTCCATGGCCGCCTTCTCGCTGACCGTCTACGCGCCCTGGACGGCCTGCTACGGCGCGTGCGACGCGCAGCAGACGATCGCCAACAGCGCCGACGGCACCAAGCGCGACCTCATAGCAACGAGGTGGCATCCGCTGCACGCGGCGCAGTACGTGTGGTCCAAGGGCCACCTCGCGAACATCTTCCTCACGTGTCTGGGCGACCGGACCGAGATGGCGCACTCGATTGAGGCGAGGACGCCGTTTCTGGACCACGTGCTGGCCGAGTATGTCAACGGGTTGCCGCCGAGTGTCAAGATTCGGTGGGATGCGGGGGAGAAGCGGTTCACGGAGAAGTGGATCTTGAGGGAGGCGTGTAGGCCGTTCATCACGAGGGAGCTGTACGAGAGGAAGAAACATGTGGGTCGTGGCGCTCCGTTGTGGACATGTGATCAGTGCTAATGTAGTCTGCCAGCCCTATTCGGCGCCGACGACCTATCCGACTGGCGGTCCCCTGCATAAACTCCTCTCCGGGCTCATAACGCGGGAGAATGTGGAGAGTCTTGGGTTTGTGGATTGGAGCAAGGCTGAAGGGCTGGTGGAAAGAGCGTTCATGCAGGATGAGCCGTTGGCGATGCGCTTTGCTTTCACGATCGCCCAGTGGATCGTCATCTCCCAGCGTTTTGGCGTTCGCAAAGCCGAACCGCCGGTGGGGTGGAAGGAAGGTGTGGGTATAATGAGCTGACACGGGTTGAAGACTTAGAGAGAAGACGTGATGTGCAACGATTTCCTGATGTTACATAGCCGTAGAGGAGGCAATTTTCCCACCGGTAGATCTCCATTAGCATAGGCGGAGGAGCCACCATTATGCAACCAAGCCCTGTGTCACCCGCTATCATTCACCGACTTCGCCAGCCAGAGGACGCTCAAAGCAAGTATCCCAGTCGCAGAAACTCCACCAAATGTAGCAACACGGTGTCAGAAAATGCCGCAGCGCAGTAACAACATCCTCACCCTTGAACATCCCCACCCTTGAAGCGCGAGTTGACAGAAATCGGCTCGTGTGCTTCGCTCCAGAAGATCAACGCACTCTCCGCGTCTGCCCAAAATCATCGACCGTTCCACTCTCGGCCCCAGTCACGACGCCCTTTCGAGATGTGTTCTGACAATCACAGCATCCCCGTCAAGTCCGCGAGGAACTCTTCCTCCGCCTGCCTCGCCTTCTCGAGATCCATGTCATGCGACGAGCCCGGATAGTACCATCGCGCGTCCGCTGCCGCGACCAGACGGCCCTGCGCCTCTTCAGTAAACTCGATCAAGTCGATGGCAGCATCCCTGCGGCCTTTCTGCCGGCCCACATCTTCAAGCCAGTAGTGCGCTTCGCGGTAGAAATGGCGAGCTATCCGTGACGTGGTGCGGCCCCATGAGATAGCGCCACGACCGAGGCGTATCCGCTTGAGACTCGTGCAGCCGATCAGCAGCGTGAATGCGGAATGGTTGCAGTGTTTGTGCATGCTGCGGCCGTGGATCATGTTCTCGAGCGTGATGCTCTTGACAAGGGGTCGGGCGCTGCCGATCTGGGCTAGGAAGGAGTATAGGCCGTAGGCATCGATGAAGATAAGGGGCTGGCTGTACAGAACCGATGCAGCTTCCTGATAGACTTGGCGGTTCGTGGCGAGAAGCGCAGGTAAGAAGGAAGCCCGTTTACTGCGATCGTTCGGTGCTTGTAACATAGCAACGCGACGAGAAGCTCTTGTCTTGGCCTCGATGCGGATATCGTTCTCAGTGGTGAGGGTGTAGGCGTAGATGGTGTTTCGGATCTCGGCCGGAAGCAAGAGGAACGGAAACGGTTTCGGCTCGTTCCGTTTCTTTGGGCTGGAGACTTTGCGCTTCTACGAGGAAATAACCATTAGATTTGATGAAAGAACAGAGAGGACGCCATACCTTTGAGGTGCGCACAGCACCCTCCTCGTCTTCCACTTCATCGGACGAGTCAGCTAGATCATGCTCAAAATCTTCGTCGTCGAAGCCCGGATAGTCGGCGATGGTGTAGCGCCGCTTGGTTGCAACGCGTGTTGGGCGGTTGGACTTGGGCGTTGGAGTTGTGGCATCGGTCACATTCCCTGCTGATGGAGTGCCGTCGGATCCGAGAACGTCCCTGGCTGCTGGAGTGCTCTCTGTTGCTGGAGCGTCTTTGCCTGATGCAGCGGCTTTGCCCGATAGAGCGCCTCCGACTGATGAAACGGCTCCGGCTGAGACAGCGATTGCGGCTGCGAGAGTGTCTTTGGCTCCTGGCGCAGCAGCCCTCTTTCGCTTCATTCCGGCCGTGGTGGACTTTGCCTTCCTTGGTACTGTACGCATGATGTAGTCACTGCCTTGGATGAGGCTCGTCGATGGCAACACGTGCGCGGATCTTGTCGCAGACAGAGCAGTGCTTGTGGTGGGAAAAGTCCTGAGTTGGAAGAGACGACTAGGTAGCCGAGACCATGCGTGACCAGTGAAACTGAAGAGGTGAGGAAGAAATGGGAGCTAGAAGCTGTGACGTAATCTTGTTAGGTGAAAGACCAAACAGCAGACGACCAGCTCGAATGGTTGTGAGTGAGAGAGGCAAGAAACAGAGGAGAGAAAGATCTTTTGAACATTCGATGACCGTCCAGATGTGACGCGAAGGCGACACGATATCCCGTGATGCGGCGTGGCTGCCTGAACGCTACTTCGACGCCGGCTCCAGGCTGCAATATCGCTTGTCCCAGGCTGTCGGTAGATGTGAAGTCAAGCGTGGGGCTTCAATGCTTCTAAGACGGTGCAGTAGCTTGTGGGCAAGGCTGCAACGCAACCCCAGCCGCCCAAGAGCCGCTCTCACACGTGCGCGCCGGCAGCGACCAGCGAGATTTCTTCATGAGTCGTGCTTCCCACCTAAAGATTCATTATCGCAAGTGGATCATCGGACCCTCTGGCGATGCACAATGGCCATCGCTGTTGCGAGTACAGTCAGGCCAACCCTACTCAAGAAGAGGTCTCGTTCCCGTAATTGCGTTTTCTCGCACACGTCACGTGGATGACGGCAAACCACTCAAGAACGAAACGCACCTACCATAGGCGCGCGCTTGGTCACATTTCAACTTGAGCAAGTGCTGTTGGATATTATGCGGCCGGCAATGCTGGTATATTCGGACGGCATAGCGGTATCGTACACGTGCTCCAATATCTAACGAACCCGCACCGCCCTATAAAGTACAACGAACTTGAAAGCTAGGCTGTAGGTGACTCCGCAGCCTCAACAATGCAAAGCCGACGCTCCTCAGACGCAAACCCAAAGAGTGGAAAAAGTAGCTGTACACCCACATCACCACCGCCACCAACCTGCTCACGCAGCCTTCGATCTCCCACTACCAAACCAACTCGTAAACCCACTCTTCATACTTTTCAGCTGCTCCTCCTGCGCCTTCTTCTCCTCCATCTCCATCTCCTTGAGCCACTTCTCCCCATTCTCCCTAATCTCCTTCTCCATCGCCTCGTACTGTTTCTGGCCGCGCTCCCTAATCTGATCACTCAGCATTTTGCCCTGCTCAAACCCTTCCGCCGCGCTCTGATCCCCTATCACCAGCCCCCCCGCCTGCGCGCCGGCTTGCGGCTTCATGCCCAGCGCGCCAAGCAGCCAGCCCGTGCCGCTGTGCTTCGGCCGCTTCGCCTTTTCCTCAGCCAAGGCTTTCTGGAATGCTTCCCGCGCCTTGGCTTCACGGCGCGCGAATTCCTGCGCGATGGGTTTCCCTTCGAAGGATTTGATGACGGTGCGCACGTCGGCGATGCCCATGGTGGCGATGTATTCAAGCAAGGGGATCAGGGCGACGAGGTCTTTGTTCGCGGGCTCGCCTTTCCAGGGCGGGAGGATGATGGAGTTTTCGGGCTGGAGCTTCGCGTGCGAGGGTTTGGTGTCGATGAGGATTACTTTTGAGAGGTCGCGGTTGAGGTAGGATAGGTCCTGTAGGTGGAAAATTTAGCATATGATTGACTTGGGTGAAGATGCAGGAGTTGTGAAGAGAAACATGGCGGCTGACGTACCTTTATGTACTCGCCCTTCTCGTACTTTGTGGCTTCTCGGAAGAGCGGCCACATGATGATGTGGAAGGGGTCGAGTTTGCGGATAATCGGGTCGGCGGATGCAGATGGCAGGCTGGTGAAGATGACGAGTTCGTAGTACTGGCTCAGGTAGCGCAGGAAGTAGTCGATGCCGGGCCGCTTGGCTGTCCGCCAGCCATGCTCTCGCGTCCACTCGCTGTGTACCATCAAGTCCTCCAAGCTCAGTACTAGGGTGTATGGCGGCGCGGGGTCCACCGCAGGAAGTAGCTTGGGGAACGTGGGCTCGGTGTAGTAGCCCATTTGTCCCGATAGCCTCGCGGTTGCCCGCTGGTAGATGGAGGACGGACTCCATCCTGACGGAATATCTGGGTACGCGTTCTTTTCAGCTTCGTCTTCCCACTCCCTTCCAAGGTATAGCGTTCCAGTAACGGCAGCAAGGGCCATGGCTGCGTAGCTGTAGTTTGCGATCCGATTCCTGCGTCGATCACTCGAGGTCTCGTATGCGGACTTGGGAAGCTCGCCGGTGCCACGGCCGCCACTCCCAGCGGAGGCCGGTTCCCGCGGGTCGTCGGTGAGATTGACGTCGTTTCCTGGGGCTTTGGACACCGATGGTGGCTCTTCTGGCGCAACTGGCTTGAGGAATTCGGCTTCGAATGTAGATGGGATGCCCTGACGGAGATCCGGCAGGGGTTGACTTGGTCGTGGTGTGTCTTCTAGCGATGGCTCAACAGGTGGTACGGCTCCTACTGGCTCTTGTGAAGATGCTGTATCTGCCTGGGCGTTCTGGGGAGTGTCAGAAGGTGGAGGCATTTCTATGGGTTGCTGGTTCGTTGGAGGGGGCATGGCGATGATAACAGGCTCAGAAGGTGCCTGGGGCTCCGTCGTGCTCTCGACATTGTCGCTGGTGCTGAACCCCGTCTGTTCTGGTGAAGCAGGCGCATCGGTTGTAGGCGTCGCGGAGCTTGATGCTGCTCCGCTGCCAGCTGCCGCGGCGCCGGCTGCCGCAAACTTTATGGGGTCATTCCGCTTCCAAGTGAGGTCCTTTGGTACCTCTGGGCCTCTAGAAGGTCGTACGTTCGGCGAAGATTTGGGCGGTGACGGCTTCTTGGCAGGAGGTTGCTGCTTGTTGAGCTTGAAGGTTCGTATAGACTGAGCGGTGGCAGCTCGTGTCGCGGGGAAGGCGAGGGCGCGTGGGACGAGAAGACGAGAAGCTGCACGCGCGAGCATTCTCGGCAGAGGAGGAGGAACAAGGTGTAGAGGGTATAATGAGCGGAAAGAAGGCTTGTATGGACAATTACAGTGCGGATGGCCGGTAGAGACGCCTCCAGACGTAATTTCCATCTGCCGAGGATCTACCGGCGCATTCTGTCGTGAAGCTGGGTGAAGTGTCGGATGTCAGTCTTGATTCACGGATCAAACACTTGGGAAGGAAATCCTCATTACTGTGAGCACGTACTTGAGCACACACAATCCAAGCTCTTTGCCGTCTGGAAGTAACATCTATTAGACTCGTCCTGAATGGAACGAAGCCTCCCGCGTTCAGATTGAACCTGCCCCAGGTAAACTGTCCGGTCCAGGGTGATTACTGCTCCCAGCAAACAACAACATCCTCCCCCCGCTTCGGATGAGACGCAGCGCTGCCCTCTGCTACCGCCCATGACGTCCTCCCTCGTTCTTGCTTGGGAATGCTTTCAGATGGTCGGCCGTTGCATGCCGCCGCACACGTACCGTTGCTGACATGGCTCACCCTCCTGCTTCTCGCATGTTGGTCGGCCGTCGTCCGGTGTATGAGAGACGGGGAGGTCAACGGGCTTAGGTGTGTAGAGGGCGTCCCCGCTTGCACCCGGCTTCTGGATTGACAAGGCCACAGACAGGAGACAAGAGACATCTTCTTCCATGGCTACGACAGCTATATGAAGCATGCCTTTCCGGAAGACGAACTTCGGCCCTTGACATGCGGCCCCCTCACCCGCGATCGAGAGAATCCTGCTCACATCGAAGTCAACGACGTGCTTGGGAACTATTCTTTGACTCTCATCGATAGCCTCTCTACGCTTGCTATCTTAGCTTCCTCTCCACCGCCGAACGAGGTTCGCCGCGGGAAGAACAAAGCCCTGAAAGAATTCCAAGACGGCGTTTCGCTGCTCGTGGAATACTATGGAGACGGGACCGAAGGACCTAGAGGGCAAGGCAAGAAAGCGAGGGGCTTCGATCTGGATAGCAAGGTCCAGGTGTTTGAAACCGTCATTCGTGGTGTGGGTGGCCTTGTGAGCGCACATCTCTTCGCCGTTGGTGACCTTCCAATCAGAGGATACGAGCCGGCCGTAGATGCGAGGTACGGCGAGGGGGCGATACCATGGAATAACGGCATGATTTATGACGGCCAATTGCTTCGACTGGCTCTCGATCTCGCTACGAGGTTGCTACCGGCCTTCTATACACCTACCGGTCTGCCCTATCCACGAGTTAACCTCCGACGCGGCGTTTACTTCTATCCTAACTCGCCGCTCAATACCGACGCCGAGCACGGCCAGTGTCGTAGTACACCACCTCCGTCTGTTGAGATCACAGAAACGTGCAGTGCCGGCGCAGGGAGCCTTGTCCTCGAGTTCTCGACCTTGAGCCGATTGACTGGAGACCACCGCTTTGAGATTGCGGCTAAGAATGCTTTCTGGGCCGTGTGGGACAGGAGAAGCAACGCAGGGCTGATTGGTTCCGGCATCGATGCGGAGACAGGGCAGTGGGTTACTCCATTCACTGGTGTAAGTTCGCTCACAAGTTACTCGCTAGTCTGGAGCTAACACTGTACCAGATTGGAGCAGGCATCGACAGCTTCTTTGAGTATGCTCTTAAATCACATATACTACTTTCAGGTCTCCCTAAGAGTTACTCTAACGGTGACATCGGCTCGTCGAGTCAGTTTTTGGCAACTTGGCAGGATGCACATACCGCAATCAAGCGGCATGTTTACCGCAGCTCAGTATATCAACACCCTCACTACATCCAGGTGGATCTCTACACTGGCGCTATGAGAGCATTCTGGGTTGACAGCCTAAGCGCCTACTATCCTGGCCTCCTGACGCTCGCAGGCGAGCTTGACGAAGCGATTGAGACGCATTTGCTCTACACCGCTCTTTGGACGCGATACTCTGCGCTGCCTGAAAGGTGGTCTACCGCGACTGGAAACATCGAACACGGCCTCAGATGGTGGGGCGGCAGACCAGAGTTCATCGAGTCCACCTGGTATCTGTATCGGGCTACCAAGGATCCCTGGTATCTACATGTGGGAGAAATGGCACTGCGAGACATCAAGCGGAGGTGTTGGACCAAGTGTGGTTGGGCTGGTCTGCAGGATGTAAGATCTGGCGAGAAGAGCGACCGCATGGAGAGCTTCTTCCTTGGCGAAACGGCCAAGTACCTCTTTTTACTTTTTGACCCGACGCATCCGCTGAACTCTCTAGACGCGCCTTTCGTCTTCACTACTGAAGGCCATCCGCTCATCATCCCCAGCCGTCTACGGCGCCCAGCGAAACCATCGTCGGAAGGCCGTGCCGCAGCGCCGTTTGCTGAACCAGCCGCGCGCTCTCCTGTCTGCCCACGTCCACCACCGCTGCTACCTCTCAGCATATCTCCAACAGCCGCCCGTGACGACGTGTTCCACGCAGCAAGCCTAGCTAGACTGCATCTTATGCCATCTATCGAGACGCTGGACTCCCCGCTGGTTGAGTTCAATGCCGACCACCCAACCATCTCCTTGTCAGATCTGCAGTCCCCCTCCAACTATACTTATTATCCCTGGACACTCCCACCGGAGTACGTTCCAAACAATGCAATGAGTGCCAAGATGGCGACGCGCATGACATTCGACCTGTCGTTCCCAACTTCGCCGGACCAAATGCACCTTAATCTTGGCGCACTGCAGCGTGTCGGAGACGGCATACTTGTAAACTCGATGAGCGGCTTGAAGCTGGGCATGGTCCGCGAGTACGACGTCAGCGCCCGACCAGGCAGCGCATCGTTGGAAGACGCGTTTCGAATCCATTCAGTCTCGAATGTAGGTCTGGGCCGCGACGAGAAGGTATTCATGGAAAGAGACATGGTCGCAAAATTCAATCCCGTAGATCCCTACTTCACTCGTATCCGGGACATGCAGACGTTGGATCTGTTCATCGACGTTCCGCCTCTCGAGACTGCTAAGGAGCATCTGGCCGCAGAACCAACACCTGGATCCAGTCGAAATGTCACGGACCAGGTCGTGATATTGGCGGACGGCTTCGAGCTCAACGTCCCCATGAAGGTACCTGACGATCCATCCCTCTTCAGCTCCATCGTAGCAGATCTCCGTAGCATGCTAGCCGATTCCGTTGCCGCTGTGATCGCTCCAACCCACTCGCCGATCGCAACATCACCCATCCAGCGTATGCTCATTCCCGGCACTCTGCCCACCGGGCCCGGTGCAGCTCCTCTCCCAGACCTCAACGACCTTAATCCCGCCTATAGCGAGGACGAACCTCTGCCCTGGAAAACAATCTATATCGCCGACGAAGCCTGCGACGAAAAGCTTCCCAAGCACGTGCCCAGGGACCACCAGATCCTTGTCATCAAGCGCGGCGGCTGCAGCTTCAGCCAGAAACTCCGAAACATTCCTTCTTTCGCGCCGTCCTCGAAGTCGCTGCAGCTCGTCATCGTGGTTTCCTGGCCTGAGCACGATGATCTCTCCACACCTTCTTCTCATCCTCTCGACTCGGCGCGGAGAAGCCAGCAGATGAAGCGGCATCAGGAGACTTTCTTCATACAGCCGCTGCTGGAGGAGAAGCAGCTTACGCCTGGTGGGGTGGCGAGGCCGAACGGAATTCCTATGATCATGGTTGGAGGCGGGGATGAGACGATGAAGATGCTGGAGAGAGCGAGGGGGGTGGGTGTGAGGCGGAGATGGTTCTTCCTGAGTCAGGGGATTAGGATTGGGAATTTGATTGTTTTGTAGCGTTCACTTTGGGTCTCGAATTCCGCGCACACATCAAGCCTTCCCTCTTTCCCCGAACATGCACACACTGCCGTGATGTGGTGCAGTCGCTTTCGAAGCCACATGAAGTTCTACTGTGGCTTGCCGCCGCGCCTCCTTGCACCACACAGCTGCTTGTTTATACCCCCCATGTCTGCTCACGCAGGACACGGCGGTCCCCTCACATGCACCATCTCCGGCGCCCCAAATGCCTCCCTAACCCCCTCCTCCCCCAGCAGCCTCAAGTACCAAGCCGTGATCTCCGGATACGCCATCCTCATCTCATCATCAATGAAATACTGAAACCCCCAATACAGCGCCGACGCAAGCGACAGGTCCGCAAGCGACAAGCAGCTCTCGTTAACAAGCCACTTTCTCCCCTGCTGCAGATGCTGCTCCGCGACACGGAGCGCGCGCTCCAGGTTCGCCGTCTTGACCCCGACGGCCCGTTCCGAATACGGAATGTGGCCCAGCATGGGCGTGATGATGCTGATGAGGTTTGGCAGGACCTCTGTCTCGGCGAAGAAAACCCACTGCTGGATTAGCGCGCGTTCTTTGGGGTCTGAGCCTAGCAGCTGGTGGCTCTTGGGGCCGGAGGAGGCGGCGAAGAATGCGATGGCGGAGGCCTCGGAGAGACTGAAGCCGTCTAGGGTTTCCAGTGCGGGGACCTTACCCATGGGGAACTTGGCGAGGAAGCCGGGCTCCTTGGTGGTCTCGCCGTAGATGAAGTCGGGGGAGATTGTGATTTCGAGGCCGTTGATGTTTGCAGCGGCTAGGATCTAGTCATGTGGTGTGTGAGCTTATGTGGTGTCTGTGTGTGATTGTGAGGCTGACTTACTTTGAGCGCCCGGGCGTTCTTGGGCGTAGTGTACAGAGTGCCGAATGATGCCATGGTGATAATCACTTGTGAAGTTGTACTGCGATGTCTTGCCTACACTGGTATAACGTTGGCCATGCAGAGTAACTCGGATTCTGCACCGGTGTTTAAACTTCAAGACTGTTGAAACTATAGTACATTAAAATCAATAATGCAGGTCAAGCAGCAGATATATCTCATCTTGCTGTCTGCGCAGGATCAAGGTGGATTGGTAATCAGTATGCACCTCAGATGATGCTACGTCGTTCGCTGTTATCATGGTAGGTTATGCGACAAGGCCCCTGGCCGGGTAGCTGAACCAATGGACAAGGCGTCAAGAATCCAACGTGGGCTATGGGGTAGATGTACGTGTTACTGGAGAAGATTGGCATATTCGATAAGGGTTATACTCCAAAAGGTGTCCGGGGCGTAGAGCTTGTAGATTACCTATAGCGGCTGGATCCCTCCATCGATGTTGTCCTAAGATACACGCAGAGCATGATGAGTATGCGCTCTCGTTGTCAGTCGTTATGTCCGTCATGCCGCAACGATCTCCATCAATACTAAAGGCGAGTCAGGGAAAACTTGACGGCACGCATAAAACTTCAGCGATCTCTGAGGGACAGAGAGCATGCAATACCACGAGACAAGCTGAATGGGGATTCATTTGTTCACCGAACAAGCAATCTCGCTGTGACTACGTGCCAGAATCCAAAGCCGCGTGTCTTCCGAAACGCCTCATCACCTAAGGGTATCTCGCGCGCCAACCATCAAGAAATGAAAACGCCATCCCATGCCGTAGATACTCCTGTATTGTCAGTCCCTGGAGCCGCAAGCTCCTACATCACGACGCATCTCAGACCTCTCTTCTCTTTCTTTGGGCGTTCTAGTTGTCCGTCCACAATATACTGTGGACCCGCAGTAGGAGCCGGAGCAGCAGACCGCGAGCGCGCGTTCCCACGGAGGGAGGCCAGACTTCGGCTGTTCCTGCGATGAAGAGGCGGCGGCTGCCTTAGTGCAACGTTTTCAGACATGCTCCTATTACTGATGGAAGCCCTGGCGAGCCTCGGGTTGTTCATGAGAGAGGGGTGGTGAGTAAGGGCAGGTTCGCTACCCAGTGCGTAAGTGGACGCTTGAGGTACTAGATCAGGAGAGCTGTGAATTTGAGAAGCATGCTGATAGAACGTCGGAGACGTGGAAAAGGCTACAGCTCTGCTGCTTGGACGCTGCTGTCCGACTGGCACATGTGGGACGAGCAAATTCTGCTGGAGACTGGTGTGGCCAGGAACGGTAAGGTTTGGTGCAGAATGGTCAGCGTTAGGACTGTATGGTGGTGGTGGAGGCTCCCAGTTATCTGCGTCACTCTCATGTGGGATCTCATGCTGGATCCCTCGAAGGCCATCAGCCCGTCTGTACTCCAATGGCCGATTAGGCAAAGCCCGCAGGTGCCTTCTTGCCGCGGGGGATTCTGCAAGGACGGTCGCAGCTCGCTGGAGTGACATCTGAGGTCTTGGGGCTCCCTGGGTATACGGCTCTTCAAGAGCAGCTCCAGCATCCTCGTTGAACTGACCGGAGCTGTCTCGACGCCGGCTTCCTTCCGCATTTCGAGCGCCTGAAAGGCGGCTGTGACGACTACTGGCAGCCGAGGCTGCTCGATCAAGATTCCTGGTGGTCCCTCGGCGGATTGTATTCGCGTGTCTCTGCGCTACAGTCCTCTGTCTTACGAGATTGACTTCGTCTTCGAAAGCTAGTTCTTCGCCTGGTAAGTTCTCCGTACCAGTGATGGTATCCAGATCGATAACAATGCTCTCGGGCTGCATTTCGGAATCGTAAAGGCAGTCGTGTACAACAGGTACGCCAAAATCGAGTAGAAAAACGCGACCGCGAGAAGCAGTAGGCCCTCCGGATGAAGCGTCTAGGAAAGAGGCTTTCCTAGCAGGGCCAATAGCTATTAGCCGTTCGCGGGTGCCGTTGTAAAGAGCGGAAGACATTGACCAGCGAAGACCGCAGATGCCCCCAGAACGAGCGCCTTCGAACAGCGCAATGCGGGCTAACGGAAGTGATAATGGCAGTTGTTCGGTCTGTCCATCCAACCCTGCGAAGCTTAGTTGTTCGTCGTCACCATGCATCTTTAGGCAGTGTATCAAAATCTCCGTAGTCCCAGAGCAATTTACTGCTGCTGCCGCGTAGAGCTTCTGATCGCTTGTGGCGGGCGGGACGTCCTCGATGTGGCATTGCCTGATTTCAGGTGGAGCAGAGGCCTAGGGTGAGTGGTCAGTATCAACTAGTCGACAGCGGATGTTGCTAGCATGTCGCATCATTTTGGATTTAGGTATATAGGTTTAAAAGGCCGCACGATAGCTTGGAGATTGGATCGAACGCGGACGCCCGTTGCAATCGGTATTGCGACCTGCGCGAACCGTGAATGGATTGAAGCTTACCTCTAAAGCATTGGCAGATCTTTCGATTGAGAACCTTCTCGTCGCTAAGAAAGCTCTATCCGCGAGCTCATATACCCCATAACATTGCTTAACACTGTCAAATGCAAACAAGCGGTCGATGGCACCAATAGGTTGATCTGGTAGCAGCACAGCCTGCTGAGCCTTCAGAGCCTTTTCGGGGAACAGTATCTGAGTAGTCCAAGCCTGATCGACGTCCAATGCTATTGGCATGCCATCTTCCGTCATAGGCCCACCGAAGTCGCTGTTGACAGAGAAGACCGTTGAATCCCGCTGCCGACTCGCACTAGAGGTTGCCAGCAACGTGCGACCATCATCCGAGAAAGAGAGGAAATCCATTGGTTCGCAGAAGATCTGCCGCTTGCTCGATTCACGAGCACCCGGTGCTAGAGAAGCGATCTCGATAGCGGTCCCCGAGCCGGTAGCTAGAACCAACCCATCTGGCGTCATAGCCATTGTCTTCGCTGCGTTCTCAAGGAAGATTGTCCTGGTCCGAGTGGCGGTTGCTGGGTCCCCCTCGCCTAAGCTGTATACATCCACCTGGTGCTCGTTCGACAGCACGCAAAGCAGAGACCCATCTTCAAGGATTTCCGCAGCTAAAGGTCGTCGACGGACTCGAAAAGCGCGTGCGCTCAGGTGTGGAAGATCGGGGGAGTAGAGGAGGTAAAGATGAGACGAGTTCGCGGCCAGTATCCATCCGCCCTTCCGTGATATCCAGAGGGCCAAACTCTGTGGAAATGCCGATGATGTTGCACTTGTGGACATGAGCTCTATGCTCGTGATTTTGGGCTGCCGATGTAGATTAAGACTGTCCAGATACTTCATCTCTGGCGCCTGTGAGGTGGTTGTAGTAGTGGATGTCGTGGTTTGACCGGCGGAGGTCTCCTTCGCGGCCAGGCTTGATACTGAGCTCTCCGACATCGACATCTGCGGCTGCTCGAGTATACTCTTGACGTTGCTCTCATTGCTTCCGGTAGCGATGGCCCTCACAGTATGCTCTTTAGCGCTGGTGACACTGTGTTCCATTGCTCACGACATGGTCGAGGAGTGGCGGTCTGGGTAAGCGACAGGAGGATATCTTGCTCATCGTTGCTTCGTAGCTCGGATGACCGCATTCCACGGGCCTATAGCTCCATATAAACGCGCGACGGTGTTGGAGATAATCGTCTTCTGGCTTGAACAGCTGTCAGGGAGTCGACTGGGGCAGTTTACCGATCGACGCCGGGCCGATTTGATCATGCTCGGTCTGCACTGATTTTGGGCGCACAGACCGAGCATGATTAAGTCTGAACTCTGCAAGTGCAGCCACTCACAGTGCACGCTGCGACCGCTTCATGGGCTCTCTGTCTAAACCCCAACGCTCCAGCAATACTTCAATATGAAGCGTTCATGATGCACCATACCCTTTAGAGACGCCGGAGTCACCCACTGGAGGCCCTCCAAAGTCGGACATAACAACGTTATCAATTCATTGTGTTTCGCCGCACGCCCGCACGCACGCAGGCTTGAGTAGGCGAGCAAAGCCGACTTCGTAGCACGCGATTACAACAAGCAGAAGCAAATCAAAGCTTGCGACCCGGTCCTCAGTAGCAATCAGGACATGGTGAATACAAGCCAAGGAAAATGTGCTTGAGTTCATCTCTTAATCTTTCTCATCTATCACGTCGTTGCCCTTCTCCTTCGCGTGCTCCCAATGGTCCCGCAGCTCTACCCAATCCACATTTCCAGACAAACTGAGCGCTGCAGCTCTAGGAGTTGCCCTGATTGCCTCAACACTGAGCGCTTCCGTAAACTTGCAGACCTTTACTGATCCATCCTTAGTAGTGCGGTCATCGAGCACCACAACAATGTTTTCCTTGAGGAATGCAGAGCTAAGCTCCTTGTTCAGATATTTTGCGCAAAATTCAAGATCTTTGCCAATAAAAGCCTTGGGTAAGTCGTTGATTGGTGCTTTTGTTTCGTCTCTGGTATCCTTTGGTGCGTCCTTAGGCGGCGGGTCTGACACTAGCCAGTAGATCCAGGAGGCGGGCCCATATGGTAGTTTGCCGTTCAAGTAGTCATGGCCAGAGGTCAGCACATCATTGACATCCTATACAAGAAGGTTAGCAGCTGCGCATTTGTGCATTCCATGAGCCCCATAACTTGCAACCTAGTCTGGCCCACCCATATCGCACGCCCTTTAAGTGTAGGCAGCTTACATCTACGCTGACGCTTTCATCTATCACAAACAGAGCAATGAGGCCGATCAGATGTTTAGACATGTTGAAGGCCGAACTGCATTGTGGGAGAACAGAGGAGAGTGATAAGAACACAGGATTTGGAGGTGCATGCCGTTTGATAATAAATCGCCGTACCGCTCCACCAACACGTCCTCTGGGGACGGGAACGTGTTGGTGGAGCGGCATGGCTACATATGTTTTGCACTGGAGGTGCGTTAAGATAGAGTCCTGATCGATATAGATTTTCACGTGATTCTTTTAGAATTTCGGTTCTGCGCTGTCCAGGTGCAGCCACTCGCGTTATTGCGACCTCCTGGTCCTCTTCAAGTGCTCCCTATCTAGCAGCGATTAAGGAAAGCTATAATCCATCACCGCACTTCTCAAATACAAGGCATCACCCCCTCAAGGTCCTCCAAGAGCGGATATAACGACAATTATCTCAGCGACAGGCGCTCCTTCAGCCGGCGAAATGCGCAAGCTGGGGCGAATCTGCATCTCGAGTTCATCGAGTACGAGGTTACTGCATAGAAGACATGCAAAGAATCTCGTTTTATCGCTGGTGCAGGACTGATCCCAACGACGTTGAGATGAATCGTCTCCCCGGAGCATTTGGAGTTCCGAAAGTCCTACTGTGATAGCGTCGAGGAGTTTCAAATGCTGCCGCCCTCCACGGATGGTGGGCTTCTGAAGCCGCCGGACGCGATACAAGTCAGGCGCCCTAACTGACGATCTTTTATATCCAGCTTCAACTATGAGACCAAAGGATCATGATTCATTGAGAGTGGGGGGCCAATTACGCGGTTGAGCGGCGTGAATCCCTCCGCTGCAGTGATGCAAGATCATGTGACAGCTCAAAGCAGTTCAGCAAGGCACGCATTATTTCCAAGACTCTACGCCCGTACTACAGCTGGCTCACGCATTGCGTTTCCTGCTTACGGACGTATCTCATTATACCCTACCACGGAGTAAAGTCAAGGTACTTCTGCATATGTACAACTAACTTGCTGATCAACTGCTCGTTTCATTCAAGTACATATGATGTCCAGGAGTTATGTCCATAGTCTGCGCGTTGTCGTTCGGTCCATGTCATCACAGCTGCAGCACTTCTGTGAGCGAGACACAATTAACTTGCTCTTCCGATCTGAGTCTCTGTTAAAGGCAATACTATCTATAATTGTGAATCTTCTTTCACCATGAGCACGCCACGTCTTCCATCGCCTCCACCATGTATGGCGTTTAACTCCCGGATACCCAATGCGTACGGTTACCACCCGTCACTAGCACCCGGCATTATTTTCGTCATCCTATTTGCTATATCTGCCTCTATCCATCTCTACCAATCCCTCCGCCAAACAATCTACAACCGCCGTCTCTGGTGGCTCTGTCTCTTCTTCATCGGCGCCGCCCTCGAATGTCTCGGCTGGATCGCCCGCACCGTAACCAACCCGTGTCCCTACTCCCTCGCCCTCTTCAAAATGCAACTATCCGTCCTAATTAGCGGTACATCCCTCCCCTCCGTCCACACAGCCCCAGCATTTACCTGAACAGGCACCAGCACCAGCCTTCACACAAGCAGGTCTCTACGTCATCCTCTGGGCCTATGTCCAGGTCCTGGGCCGCCACACGTCCCTCGTACCGCCGAAGCTCTACCTGGTCACCATACTGTGCCTCGACGTCATCTGTCTCTCGCTTCAAGCCATCGGCGGAGGTCTAGCGGGCGCAGCGTTCAGCAAACGTACTGATACGCAGCCAGGCACGACGACGATGGTCGTCGGTATTGTGACGCAGCTGGTCTCGACGTGCGTCTTCGGCGTGCTGCTTAATGTTGTCTTCTTTCGCGGGTGGGCGGCGATCCGGGCGGAGAGGAGGCTTGTGCTGTTGGCGGCGGCGACAATGGTCAGTGTGGCGTGCATGATTGTGAGGGGGGTGTATCGGAGTATAGAGCTGTTGCAGGGTTGGAGGGGCGAGCTGATTACGGACGAGAAGTACGTTGTTGCGTTGGAGGGGAGTATGATGTTTATTGCGGTGGCGGTGTTCAATATCTTTAGCCCTGGGGTGCTGCTTGATGGAACGAGGGCATGCATGGCCGTGGTGGGGAGTAGAGTGATGGAGGAGTCTGAGACCTTGGAAAGCGTGCCGAACGGGAAGAACTCAGAGGTGCCTTAGGGAGAGGTGCAAGTTGCAGCTGGAGTACCAGGCTGCTGTACTGCTGCCGTTTCCTCCTGACGCAGCAGCTTAAGTAGAGAAGTTATTCTTGCTGACACGTCCATGACACCGAACTGTGCATTGTTTAAAAGTTTTAATGACGCGTTGACATGAAGGTTCATCAAGCGCGTAGTCTATAGTATAAGGATTGAAGCCTCACATCGTGCCGGGCTTTACAGTGTCCAAGCCGTACCTAACATTAAGTGTTTGGTTACTACGAAACTCGCTATGCACTACCAGCGTCACTACATCGGTAATCCGGTATTTGTAGTGTCCCTATAGCGAAGTTGTAGCGACTTCCAGCTCTGGTCGTGTACCAAGTGACATTGCGCAGAACACGTAACGGATGCGGAAGGCCTTCGACGGCGGTTCTCCACTTCTGATTGCAAAACTGGTCTTATGAAGAGCGGTGATGTGGCCAGGATGCTTCCTTGTATTGTGTGTTTACCGGGATTAGAGTTGGCTGCTTCGAGCAGTGTCAAATATTTGGGAGTCATGGTCTGCGAGGAGTGCGGTCACCGCAGCTTCAACCGGGCCGCAGTGCCGTTGACGCTTGTTGCCAGCTGATTGTAAAGCGGCTTCTGTTGCGAGACTTCCTGAGAAACTATGTCCGAGCAGCCCCAGTTCTTTAAGAACGGCTCTTGTTGCAACCTCACGAGTGAGACATTGAGTATTGCTGTCCGCAAACACGACGAACCACACAGGGCTCAGACATTTGCCATGGGAGTTAATCCACGGGATCGATATGTGCGGAAAGGCCGGGTCCGCGAAACCACGCTCTCGGAACCAGCGCCCAAGGTAGGCCCAGTCTATTCAGGTAATGATGACGAATGATATTTCGCGGTCTTGGATGAGTCTGTTCTGGCTATCTTGCAGCTTCTGTAGCCCTCGCCTGAGAGGGCTCCGTCTGTATTGGCGTATGGGGCGCACATGATAAATTTCGTAAGGCTGCGCCGGCTTGAGTATAGCCTCCAGACCTCAATCGAGCTGATCGGTGCCTCGATAAGCCAACGCATTTCGTGTCCGCGGGGATCGATGAGATAGTATGGGATCGGGAATGTGATCAACTGGTGCGTAAAGGCTCATCTTAGAATGGGGATGAGGCGGGTTGGAATCTAGATGCGAGGAAAGCGGGACTAGAGCACTATGGGAGAATCTACTCCTGGTTGCTTCGCGATGATGTAGGAGATGAATTGCAAGCCGGGTGGTGAGTCAGTTGAACTAGAGCAGATGAGATCAAACGCACAGCGAAGAGGGGGACGGCGTCAGGTTATATGCTGTTGAGTGGGAGTAGAGAGGATAGTTCGAAAGCACTTTTGATGGCGCGGACATAAACCAGGGATGGCAAGTGCTAGCCACCCACGGTGTCGCTCTATGCAACGTACCAGATATGCCCGGACACTCGTGGTGGAGATACGTACGGACAGTGTCTCTTTACTTCTTATACAATGCCTGGCTCTCGGACTGGGGTGGTGAAACGCAGTATGGTGCGGTTGTTCGACGGAGCGGATGCTGATTTCAGGCATTACGTCTCTGATCGTAAATTACGAACGGTACAGTACTGCAGTTTTGTTGGTGACGGTAATACTAACACTCACTCGTGCCCTTCATAATCCGAAACCACAAGTAAGTAGGCAGGTAAAGCCGTTCGAGGTAACAGATACTAAAACCCGATAGATCGTAGAAATTTCCAGGCTCCCGCGTGGTGACCAGCATATAGGCTCTTATGGATATTAGCATCCGTTCCCTACAGCTAGTGATGCGATGCTACCCATAACTGTGTGATTAGTCCAAATCATCTAGGCTTCAGCCATCAATGATGTTGCTGGATGTGCGCAAGTCACTAACGTGTCAGATAATCGTTATACTCACGTAGTGACGTAACGCACTTGTCTTTGCTGATTTGCTATCTCAGCTACCGACACCAACCAGCATTCTGCTATTGCCAGCCACCGTTGACGAAACCAGTGAGAACACCCATATTCGCTCAATGCAAGCACATGTCAATCCCATCCGGAACCCTTCTGTCAAGCGCACCCATCTTTCCATCCCAGCAACCCTACAGCACTTCCTAGCGCTTCTTCTGCTGCGCCTCCTTCATAACCTTCTTCACAATCTTCTGCTCCTCGATAAGGAAAGCCCGCACAATCCTGTCCCTAACGCAGGTAGCGCAGCGGGAACCACCGTATGCCCTCGACACGCTCTTCTTCGTTTTCGAGAGGGTGGCGTACTCGCGCGGCCGCCTGGCGGGGATGCCGGGGAGTTTGGCGTGGCAGTCGCCGCACTTGGGGCTTGTGCCCTTTTTGGCCTGGGTGCGGATAGGTTTTAGCATGCAGATACTGGCGAGGAGAAGATGGAGCAAACGTACGATGTGAAGGTAGCGGTGCTCGCCGCCAGGAGTCCGGATGATTCGTGTGAGGTTTGACTTGGTGTTGTATGGCTGGCGCCGGCGCTGTAAGAGTGCATGTTAGCGCGCATCCCTCAAAGTTCAGGCTCGTGTGTAGAGCTAAAGGCCTCGGTGCTGCCGTTCCAACAGCTCTCTTGATATATCCGCCGGGTGGTACAGGTAGACTCTTTTGAGTGCGAAAGCCATCGGAGATAGATTCTAATGAAATCCGCAAATGCGTATTCCGTGTCGGCTCCCTGCGAATTCCGACAATGTTTCCAGCGAACAGTGGCCACTTGGTTCGCTTTGGCATCCTCCTCCTGCGTTCTCGAAAACTCTTTATACACAACTCGACCATCGGATTGTGTCGCTGCAATTCCCCTTTCATCCAGATTTGGACCCAACCAGCGCCGAGGGAACCTGATTGTTGACCTTGCTTGACTGCCCAAGCCATGTCCTTTCCTCGCCCGAGGGTTTGCACCATGCGGATATGTCAAGAGAGCGTCGGAATCTGGCAAAACATCGACGTGCGTGGGCTGCAGGGGGTACAACGTACGTATGTGAGTCTGGTGGACGGCATTTCGACGGTTTGAGGAAGTATTTAGCGTGTGCGGTGTCGATATGTCGTCTTCTTGCTGGTTGCTGCCGCCGCGACGATAATCAAAAGTGCGACCGCAAGACGCGCCGGCCAAACATTTCGCCGAGGGGTTCTCCAAAGCTGCGCGTTAAGTATCTTGGCACGCTAAGCATCTTCTGGAAAGTTTCATCGCGGGTTACGCCACAACACCAGCGACGAGTTCTCCTCGAACGACGGGGAGCCGCTTCTCACTCTACTCACTCCTTCCATCGCCACCGGGCCTCTTCAACGGCAACGCAATCAACCCGGGAGGCTTCAACTCTTGCGTTCGCAGGACTTTTAAGTCCCAGTCGCGACACGCCGCTTGACTTTCGTCCTCCGTTCTCCAACACCTAACAACTTTCTTTTCATCGACGCTCTTCGCCGCCAACATGTCTGTTCCACCTCCGCCTCCAGGATGGAGCGCTCCTCCATTACCGCCACCAGGCGCGCCATCAGGGATGTCTCTCGGCCCCCCACCGCCTGGATACCGTCCCGTCGTTGACCCGCATGTCGCCAAGTTTGCGCAGAAGAAGAAGGAATGGTTACGGTCACAGCGGCAGCGCTTTGGCGAGAAGCGGAAAGGCGGCTTCGTAGAGACGCAAAAGGCTGACATGCCACCCGAGCATCTGCGCAAAATCGTCAAGGATATTGGGGACGTGAGCCAGAAGAAGTTCTCGAGCGACAAGCGAAGTTATCTGGGAGCGTTAAAGTTCATGCCGCACGCGGTACTGAAGCTGCTGGAGAACATGCCGATGCCTTGGGAGAGCGCGCGAGAGGTCAAGGTGCTGTACCACGTGAACGGCTGCCTGACGCTCGTCAACGAGATTCCACGAGTTATCGAGCCAGTGTTCCACGCGCAGTGGGCGACCATGTGGGTATGCATGAGGAGGGAAAAGAGCGACCGAAGGCATTTCAAGAGGATGAGGTTCCCGCCGTTCGATGACGAGGAGCCGCCACTCAGCTGGTCAGAGAACATCGAGGACGTGGATCCTCTAGAGCCGATACAAATGGAGCTTGACGAGGAGGAAGATCGGGCAGTGATCGATTGGTTTTATGACCACCGCCCTTTGATCGACACGCCTCATGTTAATGGGCCGAGCTACAAGACTTGGAATCTCAATTTGCCGCAGATGGCTACTCTGTACAGGCTGAGCCAGCAGCTGCTCAGTGATGTGGTAGACAAAAACTACTTCCACATGTTCGACCAGAATAGCTTCCTCACCGCCAAAGCGCTTAACGTTGCGATACCCGGCGGTCCCCGATTTGAGCCCCTCTACAAGGACGTGGATCCGAATGATGAGGACTTTGGCGAGTTCAATGCCATCGACCGTATCATCTTCCGCGCGCCCATCCGGACCGAATACCGCGTCTCATTCCCATACTTGTACAATTCCCTGCCGCGAAGCGTAAAGCTTTCGTGGTATTCGTACCCTCAGATCGTTTACGTCAAGACGGAAGATCCGAGTTTGCCGGCTTTCTACTTCGACCCAGTTATCAACCCAATCTCTTCACGATCTGTTGCGCCAAAGAACCTCACGATCAGTCATGAAGACGAAGTCTTCGGACACGGCAACAATGAGGATGACGACTTTGAGCTTCCGGGATACGTCGAGCCCTTCTTGGCGGACGAGGAGCTTTATACTAGCGAGACTTCTTCAGCAATTGCTCTCTGGTGGGCACCGTATCCATTTGACCGCCGGTCAGGTCGGATGGTACGAGCGCAGGATGTTCCACTGGTCAAACAGTGGTATCTTGAACATGTGCCACAAGGTCAGCCCGTCAAGGTTCGAGTGTCATACCAGAAGCTTCTCAAGTCTTACGTTCTCAACGAACTGCACAAGAAGCCTCCGAAGGCGCAGAACAAGCAGAACCTGATGCGCTCGCTAAAGTCCACGAAGTTCTTCCAGCAGACCACCATTGATTGGGTCGAAGCGGGTCTTCAAGTCTGCCGGCAAGGCTTCAATATGCTAAACCTTCTTATCCATCGCAAAAACTTGACCTACCTTCATCTGGACTACAACTTCAACCTGAAACCTATCAAGACTCTCACCACTAAGGAGCGCAAAAAGTCGCGGTTCGGCAACGCCTTCCATTTGATGCGAGAGATCCTACGCTTGACGAAGCTAATTGTCGACGCTCAAGTCCAGTACCGTCTCGGGAACATCGACGCCTTCCAACTTGCCGACGGCATCCTCTACGCTTTCAACCATGTTGGCCAGCTGACTGGTATGTACCGGTACAAGTACAAGCTCATGCATCAGATCCGCTCTTGCAAGGATCTGAAGCATCTCATCTATTACCGTTTCAACTCCGGTCCGGTCGGCAAAGGTCCAGGCTGTGGCTTCTGGGCGCCGGCCTGGAGGGTTTGGCTGTTCTTCATGAGGGGCATCATCCCCCTCTTGGAGCGCTGGTTGGGCAATCTGCTATCAAGGCAATTCGAGGGACGTCACAGCAAGGGCGTTGCCAAGACTGTCACGAAGCAGCGTGTCGAGTCTCACTTCGATCTGGAGCTCCGTGCTTCCGTCATGGCCGACTTGATGGACATGATGCCGGAAGGGATCAAGCAGAACAAGGTCAACACCGTCCTTCAGCATTTGTCCGAAGCGTGGCGATGCTGGAAGAGCAATATTCCCTGGAAAGTGCCTGGCCTGCCTGCGCCCATTGAGAACATCATCCTCCGATACGTTAAGAGCAAGGCTGATTGGTGGATCTCGGTTGCGCATTACAATCGAGAGCGTATCCGGCGGGGTGCGACCGTTGACAAGACCGTGGCGAAGAAGAACCTGGGTCGTCTGACGAGATTGTGGCTGAAGGCTGAACAGGAGAGGCAGCACAACTACATGAAGGATGGTCCTTACGTATCTTCTGAGGAGGCCGTTGCCATATACACGACCACTGTCCACTGGCTTGAGTCCAGAAAGTTCCAGCCTATCCCCTTCCCCAGCGTCTCGTACAAGCACGACACGAAGATCCTGATCCTTGCTCTTGAGCGTCTGCGAGAGGCTTACTCGGTCAAGGGCCGTCTTAACCAAAGTCAGAGAGAAGAACTTGCCCTCATTGAGCAGGCGTACGACTCTCCGGGCACAACTCTTGCCAGGATCAAGCGCTTCTTGCTCACCCAGCGCGCCTTCAAGGAAGTCGGAATCGATATGAACGACAATTATAGCAGCATCAACCCTGTCTACGACATTGAGCCTATTGAGAAAATTACGGACGCGTACCTGGACCAGTATCTTTGGTACCAAGCTGATCAACGCCACCTTTTCCCCGCTTGGATCAAGCCTTCTGATTCAGAAGTTCCGCCGCTGCTTGTCTACAAGTGGGCCCAAGGCATCAACAACCTTGGCAAGGTCTGGGAATATCAAGATGGTGAATGCAACGTCATGATTGAGACCCAGCTTTCTAAGGTGTACGAAAAGATTGACCTCACCCTGCTCAACCGTCTTCTTCGACTCATCATGGATCACAACTTGGCGGACTACATTTCCTCGAAGAACAACGTCTCGCTCAACTACAAGGACATGAACCACACTAACAGCTATGGTATGATTCGTGGTCTGCAGTTCTCCGCCTTCGTGTTCCAGTACTATGGGCTGGTTATCGATCTGCTACTGCTCGGCTTGCAGCGCGCAAGCGAAATCGCAGGACCGCCCCAGAGTCCGAACGACTTCTTGCAATTCAGAGACCGCGCAACCGAGACGAGGCATCCAATCCGCCTGTACACAAGGTACATCGACCGCATCTGGGTCTTCTTCAGATTTACAGCAGATGAATCAAGAGACCTGATTCAGCGCTTCCTGACTGAACAACCTGATCCCAACTTCGAAAACGTCATTGGGTATAGGAACAAGAAGTGTTGGCCGCGGGACTCGAGGATGAGGCTTATGCGGCACGACGTTAACCTTGGACGTGCAGTTTTCTGGGACCTTAAGAATAGGCTGCCAAGGTCTGTGACGACCATCGAGTGGGACGACACCTTTGCGAGCGTTTACAGCAGGGATAACCCCAACCTGCTCTTCTCGATGTGCGGCTTCGAAGTGCGCATCCTGCCTAAGATCCGCAACCTCAGCGACGAGTTTCCGGTCAAAGACAGTGTCTGGTCGCTGGTCGACAACACGACTAAGGAGCGTACGGCGCATGCATTCTTGCAAGTCACCGAAGAGGACATTCAGAAGTTTAACAACCGCATTAGGCAAATTCTGATGTCGTCCGGTTCAACCACCTTCACGAAGATCGCCAACAAGTGGAACACTAGCTTGATCGCCTTGTTCACTTACTATCGCGAAGCCGCCGTATCCACTGTCAACCTCCTCGATACCATTGTTAAATGCGAGACGAAGATTCAGACTCGTGTCAAGATCGGCTTGAACTCCAAGATGCCTTCCCGCTTCCCGCCTGCAGTCTTCTATACGCCCAAGGAACTGGGTGGATTGGGCATGATCTCTGGCTCGCACATTCTAATTCCAGCAAGTGACAAGCGCTGGTCAAAGCAGACGGACACCGGCGTCACTCACTACCGGGCTGGTATGTCGCACGATGAGGAGACACTGATTCCCAACATCTTCCGCTACATCATCCCGTGGGAAGCTGAGTTCATTGACTCCCAGCGTGTATGGACCGAGTACTCGCAGAAGCGTGCGGAGGCCAATCAGCAGAATCGCCGATTGACCCTTGAAGATCTTGAAGACAGCTGGGATCGTGGTCTTCCTCGGATCAACACTTTGTTCCAGAAGGACCGCAGTACCCTGAGCTTCGACAAGGGCTTCCGGGCCAGGACTGAGTTCAAGGTCTACCAGCACATGAAGAGCAATCCATTCTGGTGGACAAGCCAGAGGCACGATGGCAAGCTATGGAACCTCAACGCGTACCGTACCGATGTCATCCAGGCTCTGGGTGGTGTCGAGACTATCCTCGAGCATACACTTTTCAAAGCTACTGCGTTCCCCTCCTGGGAGGGTCTCTTCTGGGAAAAAGCTAGCGGCTTTGAGGAGTCAATGAAGTTCAAGAAGCTCACCAACGCCCAGCGCTCTGGTCTCAATCAGATCCCCAACCGTAGATTCACGCTCTGGTGGTCGCCGACCATCAATCGTGCCAACGTCTACGTTGGTTTTCAAGTCCAGCTAGATTTGACGGGTATCTTCCTCCACGGTAAGATTCCGACGTTGAAGATCTCACTCATCCAGATCTTCCGTGCCCATTTATGGCAGAAGATCCACGAGTCAGTCGTCATGGATTTGTGCCAGGTCTTTGATCAAGAGCTCGAGGCACTCGGCATCGAGACGGTGCAGAAGGAGACAATCCATCCTAGGAAGTCGTACAAGATGAACAGCTCCTGCGCTGATATCTTGCTGTTCGCAAGCCACAAGTGGAGCGTTTCGCCGCCGTCGCTACTCTACGACACCAAGGATCAGATGGGTTCGACAACCACCAACAAGTTCTGGATCGATGTGCAGCTGAGATATGGCGACTACGATTCTCACGATATTGAGAGATACGTGAGGGCGAAGTACCTCGACTACACCACCGATAGCATGAGCATCTATCCCTCCGCAACTGGCCTTATGATCGGCATTGATCTCGCGTACAACCTGTACTCCGCCTACGGCCAATACTTCCCGGGTCTCAAGCAGCTCGTACAGCAAGCCATGGCTAAGATCATGAAGGCCAATCCAGCCCTTTATGTCTTGCGCGAGCGTATCCGAAAGGGTCTCCAGCTGTATGCTTCGGAAAGCAATCAAGAGTTCTTAAATTCGCAGAACTACTCCGAGCTCTTCAGCAACCAGATCCAGCTTTTCATTGACGACACTAATGTCTACCGCGTCACGATCCACAAGACATTCGAAGGCAACTTGACGACCAAGCCTATCAACGGTGCTATCTTCATCTTCAACCCGAGGACTGGACAGCTCTTCTTGAAGATCATCCACACTAGCGTTTGGGCGGGTCAGAAGCGGTTGGGTCAACTGGCGAAGTGGAAGACTGCTGAGGAAGTTGCGGCGCTGATTCGGTCACTGCCGGTGGAAGAACAGCCAAAACAACTCATCGTCACCCGCAAGGGTCTGCTCGATCCTCTCGAGGTGCATCTGCTCGACTTCCCGAACATCTCCATCCGCGCTTCAGAGCTGCAGCTACCATTCCAGGCAGCGATGAAGGTCGAGAAACTGGGTGACATGATTCTTAGAGCAACTGAGCCGCAAATGGTGCTCTTCAATCTGTACGATGAATGGCTGAAGACGATATCTTCTTATACGGCGTTCTCGCGTCTCATTCTGATACTGCGCGCTCTGCACGTCAACCAGGACAAGACCAAGCTCTTGCTCCGTCCAGACAAGACTGTCATCACACAGGAGCACCACATCTGGCCCACGTTGTCGGATGAGGATTGGATCAAAGTCGAAGTACAGCTGAGAGATCTGATCTTGAATGACTACGGCAAGAAGAACAATGTCAACACATCGTCTCTTACCAGCTCCGAAGTGCGCGACATCATCTTGGGCATGGAAATCTCAGCTCCATCTATGCAGAGACAACAGGCCGCTGAGATTGAGAAGCAACAACAAGAGCAGGCACAACTGACGGCTGTCACAACAAAGACGCAGAACGTCCACGGCGAGGAGATCATTGTCACCACTACCAGCCAGTACGAGCAGGCAGCCTTCGCGTCGAAGACCGAATGGAGGACCCGTGCTATCGCAGCCAGTAACCTCCGCACCCGTGCCAACAACATCTACATCTCGTCGGAAGACATCAAAGAAGACGACCACTTCACCTACGTCATGCCCAAGAATATCCTGAAGCGCTTCATCATGATCGCCGACCTACGCGTCCAGGTCGCCGGCTACCTGTACGGCAGCTCCCCACCCGACAACGCTCAAGTCAAAGAAATCAAGACCATAGTCATGATCCCACAAGTCGGGTCCACGCGCGACGTCCAGCTCCCGCACCAACTGCCCCAGCACGAGTACCTCAACGGCCTTGAGCCCCTCGGCTTCATCCACACCGTCAGCGGCAACGAAGGCCACTACATGACCGCCGCCGACGTGACGCAGCACGCGCGCCTGATGCACAGGCACTCCAGCTGGGACAAGAAAACAGTCACCATGACCGTCTCTTTCACGCCCGGCAGCGTCTCGCTCGCCGCCTGGGCCCTCACGCCCGCGGGCTACACCTGGGGCGTCGAGAACAAGGACCTTTCGTCCGACCAGCCGCAGGGCTTCAGCACGGCGTTTGGCGAGAAGTGCCAGCTGCTGCTGTCAGATAGGGTCAGGGGCTACTTCTTGGTGCCGGATACGGGGGTGTGGAACTACAGCTTCATGGGGAGTAGTTTTGGTGCGGTAGAGAAGAGGAGGGTCGATGTGAAGATTGATACCCCGAAGGTGTTTTATGATGAGAGTCATCGGCCGCTGCATTTTGTTAATTTTGCGGAGCTCGAGGATGTGTGGGTTGATCGGCAGGATAACTTTGAGTAGGGGGAAGGTGGTGCACGTGGAGGGTGGATGCAGCTGCTATAGGCTCGTGGTGAGCAGAAAGGGAGGAGCTCGCGGCGCTTAGAGAGCCATGCTGGCGGCGTTTGAGGATTTGGGGAGTCGGGTTTCGTGATGTGTCATCTGCTGTAGCAAGGCCTTTGCTGAAGGTTTGAAAATAAAGTGTACGATACTTCAATGCTGCAATACATTTCCGCGTTCGGCAAGAACAGCTGTGCGATGTTGGCCTGATATAATACAATGATACAAAGAATGTTTTGAGGAATGGACTAAAGTCGCAAGAGCTCCTCCTGTTGAATCAAGGTACTCGGACGGTAACAATGCCAGCCCTGCAGCTCTACTGTACGAAAACGTGTATCGAAAAATGCATCAACAACGCCTCCACGTAGCTAAGTCCTTACCGCCTCCTACACTCGCGTTACTCCCCCAAATCCTCAGGGTTAATCCACGGCTGCGGCGCGACCTTAAACGTCCTCAGCACATCGCACCTAATACTATCAATCTTGTTATCAACCCAACTCAGCTGCTTTGGCGCGACCTTCTTCGCGTTTCCATAGTTGTGAATTGGGAACTTGTAGGCCTGGCCCTTGCAGCCGTCCTCTTGGTAGAAGTGGCACCACCACTCCTTCTTCTTGTCTGTGAAGCCCATCTTCTGCTTCACGCTGCTGATCTGGTTCTCGAGGGGCGCGGGCAGGCTCACGCATTCGCCTTTCTTGAAGAAGTGCCATTCGCACCCGACGAAGTTGGCCTCGCGGCAGAGGGAGAGCGGGACGACGGTTTTTTTGTCCATGCCTTTGGGGAGGCCGGGGAACTTGGGCTCGTTGTCGCGCTCTTCGAGTATGGTCATGTTGAGGGGGGTGGCGGTGGCGATGGTGGCCAGGGTCACGGTAAAGAAGGTTGACGGACGCATGTTTGTTGGTTGGTAGAGGAGATTTTGGAAGGTAAACTGTCCAGGATAATATGTATCTCTAGAGTTCAAATGGCTGAGATATGATCGGATGAGATGCTGATCCCGGACTGGACGAGAATGACCCTTATGACCATAGCGATATTAACCTATTGGAACCCCGATTGGGCAACATCGCATACTACTCAAGCCTTAGCGGGCATCTGAGGGGATGAGGATGAAAGCGCCTTTGTTTGTTCTTTATCTTATTGTTGTTGAAGTCTTGGACGGTCCAAATTACAACGATTCCACTCTGAATAAGCAGACTTCCTTGTACCGACAAGTCGAGACAAAGAAACGGGGACTGTCGAGCTAGCAGCATTGGATCCACATCGGGTATTCAAAGCGACGCTCTTACTGGCGCTCTGATTACGTCCAATTTGCCCTTGCAAAACGAAAATTGCTCTCTGTCGAGATTGCGTCGATGCGATTCGCCGTCAACGACAGGCGCAGCTCGATACGCCAGATATCGCTCGACAAGCGGGACACGCTGACCAAGATCCGTGCGCGCGACACAAGCAAGATGACCACGGCATGCATGCACGTGAGGCGTGTTGTGGACACCGAGTGCGTGGTTTATGACGCCTAAGTGCGGGCTGATCTGGTAAGTTAAGAGGAAGAAAGCGGAAGTGACGCAATTTGAGTGTGCTACGCCGGATCAGTGCAGAAATTTTGAGATTGTGAGAGGCCGAGTGCAAGGGATTGTAGATATTGCGGAAGCTGAATCAAGCACGCAGAGAGGCGCGTCCATATTGTGGAAAATATATGCATGACTTCGTGACAATTCCGACTTAGGGAATGATAACCAGCAAGCTCTATTGTACGCGAATAGGGTATATGAGTGCTGACGAAACAGACACGCTCTAAAAGTAGCGACAAAACTTCCCAAGAGCCTGAGCCAAGCGCTAGTGATCCAAATCTTACTGCATCTACAGCGCAGAAATGCACAAAGCCACCCATCATGACACGTTGTGTGCAGTATCATGGATATGAGACCCAGCTCACTCACCTACCTCACTCTCCCATCCCCAGCGGAAACGAGCCAAACTCTCCCATCCCATCCAGCACGAACGGAAAGGGATCAAAAACATCATGCAGCTCCATTCCCGTTTCCAACCCCGAGCCGCCAAACAACCCCATCCCAACTCCATTTCCAGGCATCCCATCAAACTGGAAAGCGGTAAGGCCACCTGACACTGTTCCAGTGCCCGCCGCAGCGGCAACACCAGCCGCAGTAAAAGCCCCGTCTGGCGCAGGAGTGTTCTTCCCGCTGACCTCGAGCCTCGTCGGGTCTTTGACCGCCTTGTCGAGCTCCTCGGCCCGCACCTTGCCTTGCACCTCCTCACGCCAGAGAAGCACAGAGTCGTACACGACCGACATGCTCATGCGGTACCGCACCTGCAGTTGCAGCGTGTCATCCGGCTCCTCTGCCGCGGTAGCCGGCCGCTTGCCGTTCCTTGCCCTGTTTAGAGGCGTGAAAAGCGGGCTGGCGTGAAAGGTCGACACGGGGGAGCCCTGGGAGGCGAGAGGGGTGTGATGCGAAAGCTGCGGCGAGACGCTGCGGCGTGTGCTGTTAACTCCCTTAAGCCAGCCAGATTGGCTCGCTTTCCACATCTGTGCTAGAACCTCTGCCATGCGCTGCGGGAGATCATTGGAGCGGACGCTCATCTGGCGAACGAGAGTGATGGCATTCAACAGGAGATGCCGACCTTCGGACTGATCGATAGAGTCTGCGAAGAAGGAGTCGAGCAGGCGCAGGAGGGTGTAGCCAGCCGCAAGAATCATCTGCATCAGGTAGTTTGGGAAGTATTGGGCAGCCGTTACTGACTCAACATCCATACCAGCGCCAGCAGCACTACCAGGGTCCCTGAAGGCAATGGCATGTTCCAGGAAGGCTTTAACGGCAAACCAGAGGTTCAGTAGGTCGCGACGGTAAGTTTTGGAGTTTGATGGTTGGAACAGGGCCGAGAGACACAGGTGAAGATTTGAGGCGTAAAGGTATAGGTCGTTGTGCTCTGCTATCATACCCGTGCTACCCCTTGAGTAATCCGCCACTAATTTGTTGAACTGTCCGGCGAGCATGCTAGCAGTCGCAGATAGACGCTCATCGTGCGCAAAGTCGAGCGTGTAACTCGGGCTGCTGTAGAGTTGGGAAGTAATGTTGTTACAGAACAGTGCGATCTCCAGCTGTGCCTCGATAATGCTGGTGAGATAGTAAGGCTCTGAGGAATCTTCACGGCGTGATGGCGGGAAAAGGGTCGAGTCGTACAGGGTGTCTGCAGGTTGACCATATCCAGTGGAGACGCTGAACCACGTCAGCATGAGAATATCTCTAGAAGATAGCGCGTCACGTACTTCTGTGCTACGATGTTACATACAGCCCAGGTCACCATGCGATCACGGATATCTTCGTCTTTGAGGTGCACCGAGAAACGAGCAAAATCTTGCGCGTGGGTAGGGCGATGCAGACCGATCTGCTTAGCCATAGACATCATGAGACCGCACAATTGAAGCGTTGGGTCTTTGGAAGTCGTGGTCACTGGAAGAGGCCATATACAGAGTAGACATAGCGCCTTCACCACGTGATGGCTTTGAGGGACCTGAGCCGCAGTATCCCAGACAAGGCGCGTTAGAGGATCGTTGAGTCTGGCAAGAAGCTCAGGATCTTTCTTGAAGTGGCGAGCAGCGATGGAGATGATGGTCCAAAATAGTAGCGGAGATGCCTCGTAGTACTGCTGGGGCGAACGAGCGTCGAGGAAAGTAAAAAAGCGATGGTACCATCTGAAGTACTCGCGAAAGAGTTCTTGGACTTGCTCGGGATCAAGTAAAACGTTACCCAGCCGCTTGATCGCAGCTCCGCCCTCAATCCCTTGACTCAGATCTAGCAAGCCTGATGCGGCATCATTAGCCCCGGAGTTGTGTAGGGACGAAGCACCGAAGCCACCGAAGGTCGACATTGTGGGGTTATGGAGGCCGCTGCTTATCGGAGTGTGTGTAGAGGAATGTGACAGAGACAATTGGCGCTGAAGAGACACGGTTGCCTGTCTGAGCTCTACAATCTCTCGCTCCATTTCTGCTTGTTTGCTCCTCTTACCGATGCGCTTGAAGTTGGGATCAATCTTGCATTCGAGACCGTGCTTGACGCATCGCGAGCAGGCCGACGAGTCGCTCACATCACAGCGTAACTGTTGTGTCTGTTAGTATGGAATTGTTTCCAAAAAGATAAATGCTACACCCTGAACGTCTGGGTCGACCAACCTTCTGTTGCCGGCACTGATTGCACGCCCTACGGACGCCAGGTCCTTTTCGCTTGTTGCCATCGTGGTCCTCCTCATGCTCGCCTTCATCTTCTTCGTTGTCGCACCCTGGAGAGCTAACATGAGCCTGCGAGGACGCTCTCTTGCGCTTGTTGCTGGGCTGAGCGAGGTTCGGATGAGTCGAATGTGACTGTGCGATATTCGATCTCGCCGGGCTTGGGCTCGAGACGGTTTGCAAGCCAGTGGGCGCTCCGGTATAAGCTCCTTGAGACGTTGTAGGAGGAGAGTGTTGATGGTGTTGTTCGGCCTTGACGCCGGCCATTTCTGGGTGCTTGATGTCGATTTACTGTAAGCTCCCGATACCGCTGCTTTGGTTGTTCAGGGCTCCAGCTTGGTGGGGAGGTGGAAGCCGATTCTCGCGCGCAGCGGGGAACTGCCGGAACAGCACCATGAGGCCGCCAAACCGGTGTTCAGTAGGAAAAGATGTACCTGTGCAAACGCTACGTTCTCCAGAGGGAAGGTATGAGCCATGGAATCTTCACAAGCTTCTCAAACCTCCGTTTTCCGTGGCCATGAACTGGGAACTTGGGATGTAAAAGTCACGTGATTAATGATAAAGGATACATTATCTCGAGCTTGTCAACATGGGTCTCTCCAAATCGCAGCTGCGGCCGACGCCCGAACGAGCGCTAGACTTAGGGCTGTTGCAGTTATCTGATAAATCTCATTTAATGAGGCTGGAGCATAAACCGGTTCGGGTTACCGCAAGGGGCAATCACGAGTCGAACTCGAGTGATGCTGAGACTTCGGCTACGTGCGGTTCAAATGCCAACGCAGCTTGCAGTCTAGAAGCGCAAAACAACTCCGAAGACGCACAAGAGCAGGCGCAAACACGGCAGGTCTACAGCAAACACCTTCAAGCACTAGTTCTCTGCATACGGCTCCACATAGAAGAGCTCCGTAACCGGCGTTGGACGAGGTCAGGGGTGTATTATCTCAGCTTGATAACGGCCTCATGCCGAGAGTAGCCGCCTTGTGACGATAGAGGCACCTGAGGGGCATGGGGCAGTATACCACCCACGGGAGGCTGTGAAACTGTTTTATGGATACGGCTGTAGTAGTATAAGTGTTCGTGGTGCCTCTTCTGCTTCGTAGCTACATCAGATGCTCGTTGTCATTGCTGTGAAAGATCCTTTGTTCCTTGTTACACTCCACCCATCTTCGATACTGCATTCCGCCTGTAAACCACCATGAAACCAAGGCTTCAGAGCCTTACCTGCGTTCGAGGGGGCAATTCTAGAATCACATACTGCTGCTATCAAAGCATACGACTCGTACACTCCAGTAAAGCCTTCCAGGCATCCGCAGCCATCGGGTCTCAATCACACTCCCCACCTACCGCCTCAAGACCCACCTCCAGTATACCTACAACCGAGAGCCATGCTCTAGCACGCCTACCTCTATCTACCGTCCTACGGACCTACCTCATCACCACAATGTCCTCCTCGCCAACCCTCCTCAACGCCTCCTTCGCTATACTGACGCGACTACTGAACTCCAAGTCCGCACTCCTGAACCCAGACCGCAATCCTGTTCTACGATTCGTATTGCGGAAAACGTTCTATGACCAGTTTTGCGCGGGCGAGAATAGAGCTGAGGTTCAGCGCTCGATTCAATACGCTAAGGCGCTCGGTTATCAAGGTGTTGTGATCGAGTACGCGCTCGAGGTGCTCGGAGGCGAAGGCCAGGAGAAAGTGGAAGCCGATACCGCGAGGAGCAATGCGGACGTCGAGGAATGGAGGACGGGTATGCTAGAGACTGTGAGGATGGCTGAAGAAGGTGACTTCGTGGCGCTGAAGTGAGTTTATCCCCTCCTGAGGCTTATAGGTAATAATCCGATTGGAGCGAGTACTAACTGTCCCATTTTCATAGATGGTCTGGTCTTGGTTCATATGCTCTCGAGTTGTTGAGAAGAAACCAGCCTCCAACGCCAGCGATGGAGAACGCCATCTATGAAGTCTGCGATCTCGCGGCCGCAAAAGGTGTTGCAGTCCTCCCAGGCGCAGAGGAGGAAGCATCGAATGTCGGAATCGACTCCTGGAGTTTGAAACTGCAGTCAAAGTACAATCGTCCTCCAACAATGCCCGAAGGGAAACCGGTCATGTACAACACCTACCAAGCCTACCTCAAGTCCACACCTGCAAAGCTCGCAAAGCACCTGGTCGACGCGGAGAAGGAGGGCTATGTCATTGGTGTAAAGATGGTCCGCGGCGCGTATCTGGCATCTGAGCCAAGGGAGAGGATATGGCCAACCATTGAGAAAACACACGAGGCCTACGACGGCATCGCGGAAGCGCTATTGCGGAGACAATGGAACGACGTCCTGAAGCCCGTTGGTGAGGGAGATGGGCAAGCATGGCCGGAGCTCGCGGTCGTGCTGGCAACGCACAATCAGGTCTCCATTGAGAAAGCGCAGGCGCTTCGAGATGGGCAGGCGGCGACTGGCCAGAAGCGAGTTCCTCTGGCCTTTGTGCAGTTGTGGGGTATGGCGGATGAGGTGTCCTGTGAAATCTTACAAGCCGCTGGAAAACGGAAAGGGTTGCCGGCGGGAGAGGGTAAGGCGTTGATGACTAGCTCTACCGTGAATTTGGATGTGCCGAGGGCGTTCAAGTGTGTCACTTGGGGGACAACAGGGCAGTGTCTGAACTTCCTGCTGAGGCGCGCTGCGGAGAACAAGGATGCAGCGGCTCGGACAGAGGACTCGAGGAGGGCGATGCAAGGGGAGCTGTGGAGGAGACTGAGGGGTGTGTTCGGATTGTCATGATCATTCCGCGGGGGAGCGTTAGAGAGTTCGGTCTTGGTTTGAAAGCTGCTCCGACCATCCAGCGGCGATATGGTTATGCTCCAAATACTGTTCGTCTTCTGTGATATAGAAGTCGAGGTTGAGATTTCGGGATGGGCATGTGGATTGACAGGGGCACCATGCTAGCGGCGCTGCAAGCGGAATGGGCTGCCATCGAGTCCGTCTTCTCATCAACCTCATCTTGCTTGCTGCATCTCATCGCTCCAGACTGTAGTTGCTTCAACTTGTGTTGAGCATCAGTGCTCGTCAGATTACGGCCAGCGAGGTGCTGACGCCCTTTCTGCTCCAGACGAAGTGTAGAAGCGCTCTGCGCAACCCGCATCATCGTGACTGTACGAACCTGTTACATCTAACCAGTATAGCCGTTTCCAGGTGGTAGAAGGCTTTCCGTACATGATGGGTCGAGGACTCGAGGTTAGGCGTAGTAACGACCATGGTGTCAGTTATCTGTTAAAGGTAGGAGGCGGCCGTCGTATGACCCACGATAGCTGGAGCTGGTTCTCATGATAGCGGCCATGATTCTGCATAACGTGGATATGTTCTGCTGTAGCGCAAACGGTGTGTCGTCTGAAAGTACCGAAAGTGTCGTCAAATCTCCTTTTTGCGGTTGTGCTCGTGGGGACGCTCGTTGCCCTTCATATGTCTTTTATCAACTACTCAATTTCCCTCGACAACAACCACAGCGTCAACATCACACCGCAGTTTAGCACCACAAACCCTCTCCTTGCTCATACATCTTCAACACGGCGAAATGGGACTGGTCTGGCTTCTGAAGTAAGACACACTCTCCACCAGTGCAAAGAGGCCAGCGGCAAACATGGTGCTGACCAGAGATGAGCAGATACGTCGCCTTCGAAGTCTATTGGTACATCGAGGATGGCTTTGCCTTCGCCGCCTTCAGTACGTCAAGAGATCCAGGTGTCAGATCTACTCTCAAGCACAGTCTCGCTGATATCAAGGGAAACAGCTCTTGTTGCAATTGCCAACGAGCTTCAAATCTTTGTCGAAGACCACGCACCAGCCATAGAGGAGGTACGGAAATTTTGAATGCACCCACAAAGAGCTCAACTCTCCTTACGTAGCACATCTACTCGCGGTCAGGAGCCTGCTTGCTGACGCTGAGGGTAATTGTAGGACTGCCTCCCGCAACCAGCGATCCGCGTCTCGTTTTGAGGAAGAGATATTTCTCCCACAATCGTCGTTGTCAGACCTTTTGGGAAGAGCGCGGGCGCACTATTCGTTTTGTAATTGCGATAATGACGCGTCACTATGTTCTTTTTTGACGCTGTAGACCACCTCGTCTCTGTCTGAGGATGGCATGACCAATGAAATACGTTTTTCTCTAGCCCTCCAGCTTCGGAGCGAGCACCAACCGTGACGCGTTTACACTTTTCGCCGCCGTCCGGAGCAGCAACGTTGATGATCTTCCTTGCGTAACATGACCTCTCTCAGTATACATTGTCTTGCTTGCAACGCCCATGGGGCACTCTCATCGTACGTAGCAGGGCAGTATCAACACTTCCGTCGCAGCTCCCTCCTTTTCAAGTCTTGCTTTCTTTTCGGTTTGAGTCAAAGCCTTTTCGGAGCTGACGTCGGGTGCCCTCGAATGGATCTGCAAAGTCCTCATCGCCTGATTGGAATATCACGCCTACGTGGTTCGATGGGGCCTCCATGAGAGCTCAGGCTTTTTGCACTGTTCTTCTAAAGCGCCCCGTGCCTTCTGGAGGCTGTGGTACCGCTGGATGAGTCCTTGACCGCCGACGAAGGTTCCTTATCATAATACCCGTTGTGTAGCAATCCGACCCGGGGAACCCAAGCCACTCGCCATCGAAGTTCTCAAGGCTTTTGGACACGTGCAATGCTGGACATGGGCTTTTAATTCGGTGGTGTCTCCCGCTCTTCACCCTGGCCGCTGGACGACCCCTTCCGAACCCTCACTTGGGATGGACCCGCGGAATTCTCATCATCCAGCGGGAATGTTCATGCTACCGTGACTCCATGGGCTTTCCATGGGAGTCCACTGGGCTTCTGTCCTTCTCCTGATAACTTCGTGCCCCGGGAGGTCGCGGTGCCGTTGGATGGGTTGCCGATTGTTTGACTCGACAATCGGTGTGCGATTGTTCGTCTCCTCGATCTGCTCCCTGGTCGCCGCGAGTCGCTGTCACCTCGTAGTAATTTGAAGGATCCGCAAGGAGAGAACAGACCTCAAGAAGGACTGAGCTGGCATGTTCGGGGCGCCTTCGAAGTCTTTCATATACTCGTGTACGCCGTCAACAGGCCTTTCCAGCAGCCTGATTACTGTAATGAGCTATCTTCCACCCCAATTGTGGTTCCTTGCCAACTAGACCTTCAACTCATCTCGCGGGTGACTTTCTAAGTCCACTAAGATGAAGGCGCTGTCGGTCTGCCATTGTTGGTCTGCCGTTGTTGGTCTCTTCGTTCGTCGTACCGGCCGCCGAGAGTCGATGTCATCTCGTTGATACCCGAAGGATGTTTGGAGAGCCGTGGCGTCCATGTTGTGTATCGCATCGTGAGCGAGGTCGCCGCCGCCGCCGCTGAGTTGGCTTCCGGGACTGGCAGCATGTCGATGACCACACTATGGGAGATCTCTTCGGTCCCATGGATGTGCTGAGTGGAGCAATAAACGCGCGAGGGCACTGGTTCTCTATCGGAAAGACATCGTCGATCAAGCCGTCCGCAGTGGCGAGTTCGGCTCGTGGTTTCGTGACTTGGCTGAAATGGCCTACGGGGTTGCTGAGAATCCTCAAAGCCGCTTCCAAACTACACCTTGTGGCTGGATCCAAATTTTGCGGCTTGCTTCAACATGCAACGTTGTGGAGTCAGGAAGGTCCGCTGGGTGTTTTGACGCTTCTGGTTGGCTTTCTGCAGGGTTCCGGAGCGGGAAACCATTCCACGCTGGACGGGCGGGTCTCAACAGCTGTTCCAGAAGGCTCCCGATTAGCGAGAGCTTCATGGCACGGCACATGAGCAGCATCATCAGGGCAGAGAAGCAATCAAAGATGTTCACCTCCTCTGAGAGTCGGCGGTTTCATGGATAGATCTACATCACTCTCCCCTCCTCATCAGGACTCCCCAAATGGACACCTAAAGTCGCTACCACCAGCCCGATCTACACTACTACAGACAAGTCGCGACCTTATCCACCCTCAGAATACTACCTACCGGCCACAAATTTTAGTGCTTCCACCAATGCTCAAGAAATCGCACACCAGGGACGGTGAGGTGTCTGGAGCTTAATGTAGCGGCATAACAGCAGCCTTTGGTTTTTCGCCTACTGCCTCCTGCCAGCCGATCGTGGCCAGCTGTGCCTTGCTCTTCTGGTGCTCATCGTGTTATCGGCTGTGGACCATCTCCTCCTGGTTATGTTCTTTTATCCGCTGTTGTGCCCTCGCCGTTCCAATCAGTGTGTCAGCGCCGCTTGTCCGCCTCTGCTGTGCAACCCAAGCACTCTCACAACTCAAAAGCTGATATGTCTCCGTCCAAAGACCTCATGAAGAGGATTGTAGTGGTATGATGAAGCTTGGAAGCACCCGGAGGATCCGCGGCAACGCTTGTGTGTTGCTTTCTTAGTTTATCCACGGATGGCTGCCGGCTTTGCCTGACCCGCTGCAATGGAATGAATCTGGGCGCCAAAGCATGCGTCTGTACGCTTCGTGTACTGTGGTGCGTTCCCCGGGTGTCAGCGAGCGTCCAGTCACGGGCAGATGTTTGAATCTGGTTGTGTATTTGAGTGTTCCGATTGTACCCGCTCCACCTGGCAACACTGGTCAGCGACTGGAGGGTCTCGAAGATCCGAGTAAGATACGTAATGTGAATAGCAACGGCTGAGGCTTCCCTACTGGAATGAGGCCTTGTAATCCTGCCCTGCTGTCGCTGTATTAACGGAGGAGGGTTTTCGCTGTTGTCGTACCACAAATCCTTAGGATGAGCGGCGACATCCGCAGAAGTACCCACAATGGTTATTAAGCCTGAAGATCCGGCGGTGTTTCTCCATGTTGATCTGGATCTTGGTCCTGTGTGGTTCGACTCGACCGGGTCGCTCATTCCAGCTATGTAAGGTTAGTGTATTGACTTGGGCAATGTTACAAGTAGCAATCACACTATGGAGATCTGCCTAACGGTCTTCAAAACGCTTCGATAGCTCTCCGGACTCTCTGCGTCTGGTGGCCTTCAAGGAAGGTATCTGTTCAAGAATTTCAATGCTCCTTTTCAGCTTGCATCTCTGCATTGTATGACCGTTTCCATGTTAGCAGAATCTCATGGAGAGTGTGAGATACCTCGTCCTGGGCACAGGGGCTGTCTCGAGGGCTACTATTGGCCCCCGCTGTTCTCGCCGCCGCTGTCCTCGCCGCCCTAGCCGCCCAGTTTGTCAAAAGCTTGCAGTGAGTGCTTCTGTCTACCAGTGACATGCCACCCTGTCCTGCCGCGGCTCTCCTATAAGAGCTCCCGTGGGCCTTGGTGGTGATGTCTCTGCTGCCGGGCAGTCACTGACGCAATATGATGCGCCCCCCCTCACACTCCTCGCGTTCTCCCCCAGGCGCTAGCCCATTGCAACGCCATTCAAACAGTGCAAACGTTCGCCAATCTCTTAGCCCCTCGCTTAGCGCTGCCTGGTGGTTAAATTTCCACCCACACTCCTGCTCTTCCTGCTTTTCTCCATCTCACTCAGCTCACTCAGAACAACCTCAATGGCCTCATTTCCATGGAGATCTAGATACGCAGCTGACTGTCTACCAGCCCAACATCAAAAGCATCCAGATTCAGAATCTGGATGCTTTTGATGTTGGGCTGGTAGACAGTCAGCTGCGTATCTAGATCACAGGGTTCCTCGACCAAGATACCTCGCCTTCTGCAAAGAGCTGTGAAGATCTGTTTGAGTACACAGCCAAACCCTCATAGTGTACCAAAGCATAGCTCGAAGTAAAGACGTCCAGACCTTCGAAGATCTTTAGGTATGTACCTACGTCTTAACTTTTCTCACCTCCTTCCCGACAGATCGTCATCGCTGACCTGCTTCTTCACTTGCAGACACTGTCGATTGCAACACACTTTCGACACATCTTTAACTCCAACGACGACACCATGATCAACGTTTGCACATCTCTCATTCTACATCTACATGCGACATCAACACCTCCGCCGACAACGCTGCCGAGGTAGCCTCATGCTTCAACAAGTCTCAGCAACCCCATCCAGCTCAACACTATCACCCAACGATGCAGCTCAGTCCCAACTCGCACATCATATACGACTTTACCTTCAAGTAAAGCACATCCAACTCTCTCCTTTGGTAAGTCTCCTCGCTTCTCTTCCAACTTGCTCCCACTGACCTGCCACAGCACCGTTTCTATTTTGTGCTCCAGTGGGAGCCAGGGTCATCTTGCTCGGGCAACCTGGCGGCGTATGGGTGGTGGGGCCCTACGCACATTTTGGCCTGCGGGCCCGGTGGGCGTTTTTGTTTTTTCCTTGAAAAGTTTTGCTTTCTTCTCTTGGGAGTCAGGGTCATCGTCTCTGGGCAACCTGGCAAGCGTTTGGGTGGTGGGGCCCAACGCCAAAATCTTCAAAAACATCAGAAAACAAAAAAGCACTGTAGATAGTAGGGAGCCGGGGTCAAGTCTATGGGCAACCTGGTGGCGCTGAGGAGGCGGGGCCCAGCGCATAAAATAAGATAACAACAATAACTGATCCTCCCCATGCTTTGATGATACTGTGAACTTGGTGATTGAGCTGTTCCTGAGGCAGTGGACTTGGCCTTGGTGTTGGCGTTTGGCGATATATGACGTCCGTTTATTGATATGCAATGCGGCCATCGGGATGCCCGGAGAAAATTGCCTCAGCAGTGATCTGGCAAGCAGTAGAGACCGTGATCGCTAGGTGTTCGAATCCTGTGACAGGCATGAAACCTCTCAGACCGATGAAAACTGTATGTGCAGACAGATGATGCTAGTTTTGCTCAGTTCCTGATATGTGCCGTCTGACCTAGCGGAGATCCAAAACCGTGGCAGTTCCCTTGTACTTTCCCCATTCCAATCACTCCTCCAGCGATCTCTTGCGTGCATAGCACGGTGCAAGATTGCCACATAGCCACAGCTTGCAATACATCCGAGCGGGGTTGAATCTATTGACTTGGTAACTTGCACAACAGTGTCCTGGCTATAGTTCTTCCATCGACTCTCACGCATGACTGACACCAACTGCCACGCTTGAAGCCGCGGCCTCTTTCGTAGATGGATGCAGGCCAGTAGGCTTCAAGGAGAATGCCCCGTACGAGTAGGAGTCTGCCGCCGGCTTGCTTGCATTCCGTGGCGGTGCGCGTTAGCGCAAGGTAGGATGTTACTCCAGCTAGACGTAAATACATGAACGTCTTCTCATCAGCTGGGCATAGCAGTTCTAACCTAACGGTAGAGAAACTCTGATTAAAGGGCGGGTTAAGTAAGGCGCATGAGAAACTGCATGCATATGCATTTACTCAAAAATGAGATGGAAAGTCTGCTTTGCGGTGTGTACTGTGCAGAGAGACTGGCTGAGTATTCGAGGCTTTATATTCCGACGGTGGATGTCAAGATGCAGGAGATGGAAAGAGCAGACAGAGTGCAGCGCCTCTCAGTTGGACAAAGTGGATTGAATTTAAAGAGAGCTCTACTCTACTCTTTCTTAACAGGCCTCTCCCGGCTCTTTCTATACCGCTGCGGTACCTTCCTTTTCTTCTGCGCTTTCGCGCGTGTGCCTGACCATCTCTTCTCGACCAATCTGACTAGCACTGCAGTCATAACAAGCAGCACCTCGACTAAGTCAACAACATGCACCGCCCACCACCAATGCTGAACCCCCAGCCCACACATCTCGACCGCAGACCTCCACTCCCCTACTCCCTGATCCCACCACACGCTCACCAGCGCCGCATTTCCCCCAAAATCCCCCATCATACTCCTCACAGTAACCTCCCTGACACCCGGCAAATTCCGCTCCGCCAACCCGCTGCTCCTCGCCTCCTCCCACCTCACAGCACGCCAACTCTCCGTCTCGTTCCTGAGATGGTAATGCAGCACATCACACCCCTCATGATCATGTCCCGTAAGCACCAGCCCATTCCGTCCCATACCCCTCGCTGGGGCGTCCTCCCGTCCGCTCATCCCGAATAGGCCCTCCAGGATGCCCTTCGAGGCGGAGGGCGAGAGGTGGTTCTGCTCTTTGACGCCTCCGCCCTGGTAAACTGGGAAGTGGGAGAAGAAGGGTGGGTCGATGCATACGCCTTCTTCTTTGTGGAGAGGGATGTGGGTGAGGAGGAGGGTGAAGTGGGTCCTGTCTTCTACGGGGCGGGAGGACGAGATCAGGTTGTTGATGTAGTCGTAAGTGTCGGATTGGAGGGAGGGGGAGAGCACGGGGCCGTCGAGGTTCATGGAGTTCAGCACTACCAGTCTAAGCTCCGTCAGATGCTCAGAAGGCTGCTCAGCGGGTAGAGACTCGTTGCTGGGTAGGGTGAACGTAATATCCCAGTTCACGGGACCGAATGCCCGCTCGAAGCGCTCGATGCGGGACTCATCCAGGTCGCCAGAGTAGCCGATATCATGGTTCCCAGCCATATTGATGATTCGACTTTTCCAGGCTTTGTCGTGCCCCAGTGCCTCCGTTTGTGAACCCGCAGCCACCTCGTCCGGCACCCTGGCTCCGCCCCTGAAGACTCTATTCCAGAACCTGTCGCTGCGCCGATCAAACTCCGCGTCGCTGATCCACTGGCTACCCAGCAAGTCTCCCAGAACCGCCACATGCGTAGGTTGCGTATACCAGTGAAGCGTGCGGTAGATGTGCGCAAGGTAGTAGTCGTTCCCTAACAGGTCGAGCCGTTTGCGGTAGGCCTGGAGAATGCGAGGGAGGTCGTCGGTTGCCAAGGCGCGAATAGCGCGCAGTGTAACGTCCAGGTCTTCCACTATTGAACCGTCTCTTTCTTGCAGTACGCGACCGGCGGCGGGGAAGGCTCGGCCATTGCGATCGGGGAGAGAGGTATCACCCTCAAGTTGTGGATCGCCAAAGGCCAGAAGGCGGAAAGGTGCTACCGCTGCATAGCTGGACACACTGCTACAGTCCCCAACATGGCAATCCGCAGCGGTATCAGGAGGTTCAGGGAAGGCGCAGCCACGGAAGAAAGGATACAGATATAACCAGGAAGTGCCTATAATACATGGGAGCAGAAGGGCTCTGGATAGCCAGAACAAGAAGCGGGAGAGTGACATAGACACATTGAAGCAGTAAACGCCGACATCCTATGAAGCCTTGGATAGGGGGGATAAAGAGTTGGTTTAGGGGGGAGGTCGCGTTGGAGTTCTGCCGCGTCTTGCCGCTTGTGTCGTCGATGTGGCTTCAGTCATCAGCCACAGCAACAACTGCCACAACACCGCGAGGCATCGTGGATATCAAAGAAGTGCTTCTACTGCAAGATTACCAGCAAGCAGGTATACTATCGGTATAGTGATACGGTAGTTCCGCTCCCTAGCTTCTGCCGAGTCGGGCTCGCCTTCATATCTCGCCATTGGTTCCTGATGTTACGATAAACATGTCCCTGAAGTATTGTACCGCTATTTCTTCTCGACAATTTCCTACAGAAGACGTTACGTACTTCCGACCAGTCACTTAGTTATCGCTTCGTTTCATACATGACTCGTTTTGCGGGCGGTGAACCCACTTCGTCTATCTATTTACCCAAAGTAGCGGCATGCCCTGCCTTTCCTGCTACGAATAGCATGACACATAAGGTTCAAAATCGTCCGTCACTGTTCCGCCGCCAGCGCCTTGAAGCCTTGCAGTAAGTCTTCCCTCAAATCTTCCCAGCTCTCCACGCCAACGCTGACCCTCAGCAACCTCTCATCAACGTCCGCATCGCTCATCCTCCTCCACTCGATCAAGCTCTCCACACCACCCAAACTAGTCGCGTGGTGGAACAGTTTCAACTTACTCGGCAGCCTCTTCGCCAACTCCGACGTCGTCATATACACTGCAAACACCGGCCCAAACCCTCCCGGCATCTGCTCCCTCAACCAGCCCATCTCCCCCTTCTGCAGACTCGCATGCCGCACCCTCGCCACCACCTGCCTCACCAGCTTCCCCTCCTCACCCTCCCCGTTCCCCCTAAGCAGCCCATCCAACCACCCCACCAATTTCTCCGCGTTCCCACTCTGCCTCACAACCCTCAGCTCCAAGGTCCTCAAACTCCTAACCCCCAACCACCCCTCCAAACTCCCCATCACGGCCCCAAGCAGCAACCGCTCCCTCCACAACCGCTCCCACCACCCCTCCTCCACCCTCTCGCTCCGAACCGCCAGCACACCACACAGCAAATCGCTATGCCCGCCCAGATACTTGCTGCCAGAATGCATCACTATATCCGCGCCCTCCCTGAACGGATCCTGCAGAGGCGGCGGCGCGAACGTCGCATCCACGCTCAACACCGCGCCGCGCTTGTGTGCGAGCTGCGCGAAGCGTCTGAGGCCGACGGCTTCGCCGGTCGGGTTGACAGGCGTCTCGACGTGGACGAGATCCCCCCGGCCCAAGCCTGCAGCATCCCACGCGGCTTCGTCGTGCAGGTCTACGGCCACGAGGCCATGGAGACCGGGCATGCAGCGCCACGAGGCCGTGGCACCCGTGGTACGCCTCCCCGATCGCGACGACCTTCGGCCTCAGAAACACCAGCAGCGCGTGGAAGGCTGCGAGGCCGGACGCATAGGCCAGTGCTTTGCCATTGAGGAGCTGCGAGAGGACGGCCTCGAGGCGCGAGGTGTTTGGCGCCGTGAGCCGGGAGTAGACATGCGGCGCTGGGGTGTTGGTGTCGGAGGAGTCGGGCGGCTCGTCGAGGGCGGGGACGAGGTCGTCGGGGTTGTGGGCGTAGCGGAAGGTGGTGGAGACGTGGAGGGGGGCGCGACGTCTGTGGAGGAGTTGAGGGCGTCGTCGGCGTGGATGGCGAGGGTTGCGGCGGTGTAGGTGGATGTGGAGGAGGGGGGTGGTGGGACGCCGTTGGGGTGGATTGGGAGGGTGCTGTCTGAAGCCATTGGGATTCAAGAAATGTCGTGGGTAAGATTTAGGCTTTAGGAACGTAAAGAAACTCTGCTGTCTGGAAGCTGGCAGCTGCCTGATATGATTATAATTCGCGCCTTTGCGGTTGACATTCTGCCCCACCACGGACTGGAAGGGCCTCTATCGATGGCGGGGTAGCTGTCATCATCTCAAGTTTGGCGTGGACGGAATGGAACGGGTACCAGTGCCGGGCAATGGTTAAGGTGACAGTTTGGCTGAGCCCAAGACATCGTTGATAGGGCTGATGCAGTGATGCAATTGAAGAAGATGGCCGAAGTGCAACGCAGTTGAGCTACGTCAAATTATGTGGCATGGATCAGGAGCAGGAATGCCATGAAAAAGGCTGGGTGCAAGTTCGGTAAATTGCTTTTAGCTAGTTTGCCTGATGCCGTTCAGCCAAACGCCTGCAGGCAGACCCTATTGTGGCGGTCTGTAGGCCATTGTCCCTCCTCAACTTCACATGCCGTGCCATTCTCCTCTAATGTTATGCGTCTAAGCCTGACCAGACTTCTTGATGGTCGGTGGGCCCTCCCTATACTTGATGGCACCAGACTGGCTACCGCAGGCCTCGATGGAACGGACGACCTTGTACGAGTTGACGTCACCATCTGGCACCTGGCCGAAGACGACGTGCTTGCCGTCGAGCCAGCTGGTGACAATGGTGGTGACAAAGAACTGGGAGCCGTTGCTGTGGCAGTGGTCAGCATAAGCTGAACTGTGGCGAGTGAGAACGACTTACGTGTTCGGGCCGGCGTTGGCCATGGAGAGGAGGAAGGGCTTGGTGTGCTTGAGCTTGAAGTTCTCGTCGGCGAACTTCTCGCCGTAGATGGACTTGCCGCCGGTGCCCTGCAGGTTTACGCGTCAGTGGTCGGGATGGAGTTGAGCTCAGTGTTCGAAGAACCTACATTGCCACGGGTGAAGTCACCGCCCTGAAGCATGAATTGTGGGATCACACGGTGGAACTTGGAGCCCTGGTATCCGAAGCCCTTCTCGCCAGTGCAGAGAGCGCGGAAGTTCTCGGCGGTCTTGGGTACGACATCGTCGAAGAGCTCGAAGTTGATGCGGCCGGATTGCGCTAAGAGGGAGAGTGTTAGTAAGAAGCTCAATGTCGATGAAGGAAGTCGGCAAATTTAACGACTAGATGATGCAGCTAGCCAACATGCACAACAAGGCTGGAGAATGTGCTTGACGAAGAGAGGGGCAACTCACCCTTGGGCTCACGGCCGGTGTTGGTGACATTGCCGTTGGAGTCGACGGAGACTTCAGGGCCGGTCCACTCGCAGTCGAAGTACGTCTTGATGACCATGTTTGCTGATGAGGCGTGGAATGATCTGAAGGGTGTTGCGTTGAATTGGGTTCGTGGATGGAATGAATTGAAAATCGTCCTGGAAGTTTTTGAGAGAAGAGGCATGGCGGGGTAGTAGAGGGGTAGGCTGTATTTCTGGAAGAACGGTACATGTAAGCGCCGAGACAGGAGAAACACCCCTGCGCAACACGCAACGACAGCGACTGCCACCGCAAAGGGGCCATCATGCACACAGCTCGTCATTGTGGGGCACAAGAATCCCACCGAGAACTCACCTTGCAGGAGAATGCTACTCCAGTGGTCTTACAATTGCGCTATCTTACAAGGAGGCGATGCCAGATTCGAGATGCTCAGCACAGCTCTGTAGCCCTGAACAGTCAGTCGGGCAGTAGGGGAAGCTGCGGGTTGTAGGCTGCACGAGAACTGCTCCGGCAGCTGCAGTACCAGCACGTGAGTTGGATGGAGATGGCTTTCGGATGTGCTGAAAGGATGGAAGGACAGAAAACCGTCGCCGCAAGGGGCACGAACAGAAGTCATCATGACTCGGGAGCCCATGCTTTGATGATCCCGTGACTGGCTCAGTGTCCAACGCATCCATAAGGCAGTCGGTCTCTCTGCTAAGCGCGCCCGGAGCGTGTCAAAACTTCCTGGCCAGACCAAGTAGTTCTATTCCCAGCCAGGTACTATGATATCTCCTCGTATTCCGCGGGACTGTCACATGACCATTCCCGATCTCGCCGCACTCGGCTGCCAAGACCTCGCTGTTCGAGGACCTCCCAAGTCACTCTCTAGCAATTTCAACACCGAGCGCAACCACTGCTACACTCCCAAGATGGATCTCCAGAGCCTGAAGGATCAGGTTAGCAACCTGACTCTGTACGATATCAAGGCCGGCGTCCGCAAAGTGCAGAATGGTGAGCATAGCCGGTTGTACACCTCCGCACTGGCATTCAACTCACCTCTTCCAGCCGTAATGAACTATACAGAAATGGAAGCAAAGGTCAGAGAGGCTACCAACAATGATCCATGGGGGTGTCCAAGCACCGTAAGTGCTTCCTGTCCCAGTGAGGCTTTGCTTACTGACAATCGCAAAGCTTATGCAAGAGATCGCGAACGGAACGTACAACTAGTGGGTGGAGACACTATCTTAGAGCATGAAGCAAGATATTGATGTTACGGCAGCCAGCTACTGAACGAGATTATGCCCATGATCTACAAGCGATTTACCGAAAAGGCGGCAGAAGAATGGCGGCAGATTTACAAGGTACTTTGTTGTTGCCCTGGGCTCTTTAACAGCCGCTGACACGGTCAGGCACTGCAACTACTCGAATTCCTCATCAAGAATGGCTCCGAGCGAGTCATCGACGATGCGCGATCGCACCTTTCCCTCCTTAAAATGCTGCGACAATTCCACTACATAGATCAGAACGGCAAGGATCAAGGCATAAACGTGCGCAACCGATCAAAAGAGCTAGCAGAGCTTCTGAGTGACGTCGACCGCATCCGAGCTGAGCGCAAAAAGGCAAGGACTACGAAGAACAAATACGGCGGTGTGGAAGGAGGCAGCGGGTTTAGCACGGGCATGTCCGGAGGTGGCAGCAGATACGGGGGTTTCGGCAGCGAAGAACAAAGCGGATATGGCGGCTACAGCGGAGGCGTGTACGGAGATGGCGGCGGGTTCGGAGGCAACTCTTCTGGTTTCTCGGACACTCAGGGCCGCCGCGACCGGTTCGAAGAATACGACGAGTACGACGAAGGTGCAGCGCCAGCGTCCGGCAGGAGAAAGCAGGAGGCGCCACCCACCACTACCAAAAGAGAACCGCCGGCGAAAGCAGAGCCTTCAAAGCCCAAGGAACCGGAAGTGGATCTTTTCTCATTTGGAGATGACGAACCGGCCGCGCCTACATCTGCATCAAACAGCAAGCAGCCAGCTACTAGCAACGACTTCGGCGTACTGCATTCCGGTGGTGCCGATGATGACGACTTCGACGACTTCCAGTCCGCCGCGCCATCCACCCAGAAAGCACCATCGATACCTGCACCTGCACCTGCACCTGCACCTGCACCTGCACCTGCACCTGCACCTGCACCTGCACCTGCACCTGCACCTGCACCTGCGCCTGCGCCTGCGTCCTTCGCCGCCTCCACAACTCAATACGCCGCTCCTCAACCTCGAGCAGGCACGAACAACGCCAACTTTGCGGACATCTTCAACACCCGTTCCCCCGCCCCAAGCATGGCCGCGTCAATATCGTCTAGTGCCGCATTCTCCCCCCCACCACTACAGCAAACTCAGCCCCTCAAGCCGTCGGGCTACCAGGCGAGCCAACCAAACTACTTCACATCCGTACCGCTGGCATCGTCTACTTCAACGCAATCTCCAGTAACCTCCACCTCGAGCATTAAGTCGCCCATGGGCGCGAAGCCGGCTGCTGGCACAGCTAAGGCAGGCGGCGACGCCTTCAGTGATCTGCTAGCGGGCACTAGCATCAAGAAATCCGGCACGCCCACCAAGGGCCTGACCATGGCGGATATGGCGAAGCAAAAGTCTAGTGCCGGAATCTGGGGTGCACCTGCACCAAGTACCTCCTCACCTGCTGCAAAGCCTGGGCAGACAGGCGGAGCGAAGACTGGAGGGAGTGCGCTGGATGACTTGCTTGGGTAAATAGATCTGTTCGAGTGTTGGACTTGGGGACAGGAGTCTGGGCGCGGGAAAAGCATGTTTAGCGATGCATGTTTAGCGATGCATGGAGCAGTTGGAGCGGCCTTTCCTCTAGCGCACAGATACAAGTGTCTGTCAACTGTTTTTGGTGCTCCTGAATGTCTACAGCCGCGAGCTGTGCTCTCATGCCAATAACGTGACTAAGGGCACGGCCCACAATCCGAGGCTCCTTTACGGCAACTGCTGTGCGACTCGACATCCTGTGCTCACTTGAGTTCGCGCATCTGCCATCTCCATCGAGTTCTGTTTGTGAACGCGTCTCTAGCTAATCTTACAACATGACTTAAGAGGGTGTTCATCACTCTCGTCGTCCTTAAGGTGCAGTTAAGCTCAGCTTGGCACGCTGTGCTGACGCAAGCTGCCGAGATCCTCCGGGACAGGAAGGTAGGCTCATGAAGATGTCCCAACGGCAGGTACAAAATCTCTACCTTTTTTTATCAAGTCAAAGTCAGCTGTTGTACATAGTTCGATTTGTTCATTGCTTATTCCGCCGCGTTTCTCATTGTCTTGTCCCAGTCTTCACTGCTGAGCTCCCAAAGCTTGAATAGCCTGAGGAGAGATAAACCTAGCAATACGAGATCTGTGCGTGGATTGTCAATGATGGAGCAGCACAAGGAGCGCGTAGCTGCCATCGCTGCCCGCGTTCGCCATTTTCACGACCGCAAGGAGCCCTTTCGAATGTATCACGGCTCGACCAACAGCACGCGGCAACTGACCCGGCGTCGTGACAACACAATCGATACAAGCGGGTTGACGCACGTGCTCGAGGTCAGCAGAAGTACAATGAGTGCTCTCGTAGAGCCAAACGTCCCCATGGATGCGCTCTGCGAGGCGACACTGAAGCACAATCTGGTCGCTCCCATCATCATGGAATTCCCTGGCATCACTGTCGGGGGCGGCTTCTCAGGCTCGTCAGGGGAGAGCAGTTCGTTTAAGTACGGGCTCTTTGACTGTACAGTCCGGTCTATCGAGATTGTGCTCGGCAACGGTGACATCGTCACCGCCTCCGAGACCGAGAATCAGGACCTCTTCCGCGGCGCAGCAGGTTCATGCGGCACCCTCGGCGTCGTAACGCTCCTGGAGCTCCAGCTCGTGGGGGCCGCGGAGTATGTTGAACTCACATACCACCCGTTCGTGAGCATGCCCCAAGCCATCAAAGACATCGAAGCCGCGACACACAACCGCAGCATCGACTACGTGGACGGCATAGTCTTCGCCCCCGACCGGGCCTGCATCATGACAGGCCGACGCGTCTCCTCCCCACCCTCCGGCGCGCGAATCCAGCGATTCACACGCCCCTACGATCCCTGGTTTTACATCCACTGCGAGCGCCTGCTGAAAAACAAAACCACGCCCATAGCCGAAGCAATACCGCTAGTGGACTACCTCTTCCGCTACGACCGCGGCACCTTCTGGGGCGGCATGCACGCCTTCCACTACTTCATGGCCCCCTTCAACCGCGTGACTCGCTTCCTGCTCGACCACTTCATGCACACGCGCGTCATGTACCACGCCTTCCACGCCTCGGGGCTGGCTGCGCAGACAATCGTGCAGGATCTCGCGCTGCCCTTCGCGACGGCCGAGGCGTTCATCAAGCACATCGACGCGACGCTAGGTTTCTATCCGCTGTGGCTGTGTCCCGTGCGCGCCAAACCGCGGGGGCAGAGTTTTGCTGTCGGCAGAAATCTGCCGGACGCGGGCATGATGCTGAATATCGGCGTCTGGGGCATGGGGCCTGCGAACCACGAGGAGTTTGTGAAGAAGAATCGGGAGTTGGAGAGGAAGGTGAGGGAATTGAGGGGCATCAAGTGTTTGTATGCGCATACGTATTACACGGAAGATGAGTTCTGGGAAATCTATGACAGGAAGTGGTACGAGGAGTTGAGGGTGAGGTATCAGGCTACGCTGCTGCCGAGCGTGTATGAGAAGGTGAGGGTGCCGGTGCGGGAGAAGACGAGGGAGGATGTGAACGTGGGCCTTGGGGCGTGGCTTTTGTTGCTGTTTTGGAGCACTTGGCCTTTCAGTGGGTTGTATGGTGTGTGGAAGGCTATCGCTGGGGGCGATTATCTGCTTGCGAAAGAGAAGGAAGAGTGATGGCTGGCGGGATAGATATCTCGAACTGGAACTGCACCGTGTCTGCATAGCAACCTGTGCGATTGAGATAGAAGTGCAGATAGATGACTGTATATACGATAAGGGGGTGTGGTATGAGGAATGTGAGCAGCAAACCTAGAGTGCAGAGAGAAGCCGTAATGTTTGGCCTTAAGATCCCTGGAGGGCGCATTTCCCTACTTCCATCACCTTTTCTGAGTGAAACCTTTTCAGCTAGAGTGAAGCTTTCGTACCGCAAAAGACAGGAGGCTGTACTCAACTGGAACTTGAGCCCAGTTGTCTTTCCGCACACCCCTGTCAGCCCACCGGCGTTAAGTTTAAGCGAGGTCCGCCCACATCGCGCATTTTCGACCTCACATCTCGACGTCGACAACGATAGCAAAGAAGCGCCTTTTCACGACCTAACGACCTTTCTACCGCAAACACACAGTCACAATGTCTTCCAAACGCGGGTATGTACTCCTGCGAGGATCTTATCCCGGTAGGATGGAGGATTGGGGAAAGAGGCGACAAAACTGACTTCTTTGTGCGAAACAGTCGCGGCAGCACCTCCGGCAACAAGCTGAAGATGACGCTCGGTCTCCCTGTGTACGTTCCCATCCTTCGAAACCCCGGCTTCCAGTCCTTCCACGCACCGATCGAACTGGATTGCTGGCAATCTACCCCAGACGGTGATGGATGGGAGAGCGGAGAAGGGCCTAGCTAACACTCCCCCCCAGCGGCGCAGTTATGAACTGCTGCGACAACTCCGGCGCGCGCAACCTCTACATCATCTCGGTCAAGGGCATCGGCGCGCGCCTGAATCGGCTGCCGGCCGGCGGAGTGGGCGACATGGTGATGGCGACCGTCAAGAAGGGAAAGCCGGAGCTCAGGAAGAAGGTCATGCCCGCTGTTATTGTGAGGCAGTCGAAGCCGTGGAGGAGGGCGGATGGCGTGTATCTGTACTTTGAGGACAACGCTGGTGTGGTGAGTTGGTGCTTCCTTTCGCTTAGGGAGTTAGGGAGAGGTCATGGAGCGCTGGGGCGCGGCAAAGGGAGACGAAGAGACGGGCTGTTGGATAGGCATGAGATGGGACACATTGGCGAGAGAGTCGGCTAACATGGAGGCAACAGATCGTGAACCCGAAGGGCGAGATGAAGGGCTCGGCAATCACAGGACCGGTGGGCAAGGAGGCGGCAGAGCTGTGGCCGCGTATCGCGAGCAACTCTGGTGTCGTGATGTGAGGGGTCTCTGCTGGTTTCTTGCGTGCTTGGGCTATTCGAAAACGGCGATCTGCATCGGTTGCTTCGTGCACATGGAGCGTGGTCTCTTCACAACAACAGATGAATGGACATTCTTGATCCAAGCGTTGTCGATCCTCCTCGTTTGTCTTGTTTGACTCATACCCGGGAACTCCGTTTCTCTGTCCGCTTACGGATTGTGGACGGCTTCAGAGGCGCCATTGCATCCTCAAACTTCCTATGCTCAGACGCTCTGCAGCTGACTGAGACACTCCTGCAGGTGACGTTGCTGCTGATCCAGTCTCTGCATCTGCTTCTCAATGTGTTCCAATCGCCGCCTCGCCTCTTTTTGTCGACTCTCCCACAGAACAATATCCTGGTTGAGCTCTACTGGAGCTAATCCATGAATCAGTCGCATCAGCTTCTCATCTTCCCCTCCGCCTCGCCTGCGACAAGTGAGGACTCCTCACCTGGCGAATTCCTGTTTCTAAGGTTCGTCCTGCTATTTTGCAGGTGTCTGAGCTGGTCGCCGCATCTGGCGAGATTCTGGCGCTGTCGAGTTTCCTCAGTGCGCTGCGAGCCCCGACTCCGGGTTATGTCTTGAATCATCGAGGACGTCTTACTGCGCTGCTGGCTAAACAGCATGTTGACTGGAAGCGGTGGTGGCATTTTCGAAACGAGCTGTGCTGACGAACTGAGTGTTTATGCAGCTTCAGCAGGACGAGAGGCTGAGATACGGGCGGCGGTTTATATGAGTTGCCTGGCCATGCAAGGCTGCGGAAATCATGGGACACGTTTCCGGTCAGCCTCATGCCAAGCGTCCCACGACTCTTGCAGCCTTGCTTGACTGGGGGCCTGATAAGCGTGGAGTCGTGAATTGTATGAGACTGCGCTAGGAGGGGTAAAACCATGTGAGAAACATTATCGCAAGCTCCACCGCCGAGTTTTCAGTGCAGTCAAGGCTGGACAGCTCTATATGATTATCCTGTTTAGGTTAAGCTTGCCAAGAGGTTTGTGCACAATATAGATACTTAGTTTTTACCGCTTTGGCGCAGTTTCTAGCCTTAGTTACTCCCAAATGTTCTCGCTGTAACTACTGTGGTGGTGAGAGGCGTGGCATCTTGTATCCCACATGATCCGGGCTGTGTCCCGGATCATGCGGGACAGGGACGTCGGCTGGGAGCGGCGCTGCTGGCGTGCTGGACATTCTTCAACTCTTTGTCGATGGGAAAGCGATCGGTGAAGTTACTATGTCTGCCTGGAGCTATTCGGTGGCACGGTGTGGCTTTCCGACGAGTTCTGGAGCCCAATTTAGGGGAAGAAAGAGGAAGATCGGGCTATCGGGATATTACTGAGCTAGAGAGCAGGAGAGTGGGTTTTTGCTGAAAGCTACATGCGCTTTTGATAGCAGAAACTCATTACTGGTTAGGTGCGGATCTTGCTTTAAGCGCTGCCTCACTTCAGAAAGTTCGCTGTTTGTGTCCCAGTGTTTGTTGATGCGCTTGGAGTGTGAGCTAAGCACCTGTTCTCGTTCCTTGCAACACTAACGGGCTCCCAATATCTTTTCCACAGACATTCGCTCCTCCGGCTCAAGCCAACTGCCTCTAGAACACTATTAACCCTCAAATGCTTCAAGCTTACAAGCCTGGGTGCCGATTAAGACAGTGCCGCAGGTTACGTGCTTGTTGATCCGACTTCTCTATGGCCGTTTGAATGTCCGTCTGTCGCGCCGCCGCCTCTCTGCGCTGATTCTCCCACCGTACAATCTCATGATGGAGCCTCCTGGCATCTGATTCACGCCATAGTCTTGTCAGCTCCTTTGTCCACACATTTTCGTTCTATCCGTGTTGCACAGGGACGCTTTACCTGGGGAGTTTCTGTTTCTGGGGTTGCTCTTGATGTTGTTCAGCCGGTTGAGTTCGTGACTGCATCTAGCTAGGTCCTGACTATATCGAGCTGCCTCGCTGCACAGGTACTCGCGAGGGGGGGATATGTCTTGGATCATACGGAATAACCGGTTGCGCTATCGATTGAACAGGGTTGAAATTAGGGGCGGTGGCGCTGGCGTTCTGGGCATCTTGAACGGGGGTTATGTTGACTCCTGAGGGTTATACAGCTTCAGAAGGCCAAGGGACCGAGATGGAGGCTGCAACTTATAAGAGCCCCGTCAGGCAGATATCCGGCGGATGCTGATTTTTCTGGCAAATCGTGCCAGCAGGTATAATCGTGCTGGCGACCTTGAGTAAAGATACAAGGGTGAGCTGGCGCGCAAACTTCGCGCCATTGAATGGAGAAGTACGCCGTATTATCTGTCATGTTCATCACCCAGCGCCTGGTGGCACGCTCGTCCACAAGTTGCTATGGTGCGCGAGGATCAGATAGTGTGGCCTTCGGTTTGACTGCGTAGCTATGAGTGCTGTGCTGGCCGCTGCTGGCAGGCCGTTGACAGGATCGGACAAATATGGACTTTCCGTCGTCAGATCGCTAAACTCGTTTACGAATGCTAGACTTGCAAGACTGAGTCTGTAGAAAATTGTATTGAATAGCGGACAGATGGGAGGACGATTGAAAAAACTGTTCTGTTCACTAACTGCTGTCTGGAAATGCGCGTGGTAGCCTTCTCATGCTTCTTGCGATTGCGGAACAGGAAGATTATACCAGTGACTTATCACTGAGCCACATAACGGAGGCAGAGTAATGAGAAAGCTCCTTGCCTTCCCATATAACCCAGTTCTTACTGCACCTGAAGCTATCACCAGTCTTACAGGACCCTGTCTTAGGTCCGGCGTCCTTGGTTGAGTTTGCTTTGGTATTCCGATATTTATTGGTGTGCGGGATAATCAATATGAGCATCTGCAGCGCCGCAACTTGATTTCCTGCAGCACCGATAATCTCTCAAACGTCTTCCCAAGGGGACTCTGCCTTGCTAGTCACTTCCCGCCTCCACTCAGTCGTGTGTAGAATCTTGATTTGATCGGCCAAGCAGTATGTAGTTCTGTACTCATGCAACGCAACAAGCGTCGAGCTACTATGGATGACCTCTTTTCAAGCCGCCAAATGATGCTGAATCTTCGATAAGCTTGAGGCTGCGAATCGCACTGCTGTAAGAATTGTGGTCGCTTCAATCTCCGATACTGCTTTCTTCTGCTCGCTCGGTCCACTGAAGCAGATAAAGGAAAAGAAGATTTGAGCGAGAGTTTGTGGAGGTATAAACTTTTGCCCTTGGACGGCGGATTCCTTCTTCGGCATTAAAGCGGAAACAGACAAAGCTTTGGCTGACAACAGCCCGTTCTGGTGTGAAATGGCTGCCTCGCAGGTGTTGCGTCGTTGGCGTGAAGTGCGTTTGATGGAAGGGTTGGTCGCGGGTGGCCATCGCCAATTTAACAGGGTGCCCCGTTGCACCGTTGCACCGTTGCACCGTTGCACCGTTGCAGAAGGCCGCCCGTTGCGCTGAACGTGGCTTCTGGCACGAGCATGCCGTTGAAAGACAACGTGGTCGGTATGTTCTGCATTTTGCGACGTTCTACGGAAGGAAGCCGATTGCCCTTTTCGGAAGTGCGCCTACTGCGGTCCGTGGTTGTCATGTCGCGGGACACTTAGTGCCTGCTGGCTTAGCCCTTCTGAAGATAAAGGCAAGAGCCCGCGTCAGTATAATCTTGGGTAGTCATTCTCACAGCATTGCCATGCCTTCCAAGAGCAGGCTCTCCAATTCTGGATGACCTGTTCCTGGGCACGGTCTTGATGTCGGAGTGGCGTGACGTGCGTGATGACCGTCTGCATGTAACGGTAACAGCGGTTGGCTTGTTGCAATTCGACACGGCGGGGGTTTGACGCTGTCGGAGGTGTATGGTTCACCAAACTGATATCAAACACATGCAAATAAACACGGCAAAGAAGACCCCAACAGTGGCCTCAGACATCGTGTCTCTACGATATTTGGAAGGGGATTCGAGGTTGATATCGAGTGCCGGGCGGCGACATCGATAAGGCAGCCACTTTCAGGGCTCGGCGGGCTTTCTAACGCCCAGCGCGCCTCAATTGGCGTGTTCCTTGATCGGGGAATGCCCCAAGGGAGCAAAGACCCTGGCGCCCTGGCGCCCTGACGCCGCAATCTGGTGTGTGTGGGAAGCGCACACGACACACAGCAACCGCCGAGGACACCCCCACGGCAACGGCGCTGGCTGCCTGCCCGCATCCGCCTGTGATACTCTGCGCCCTCGATGAACTGTTTCGACTGTGTGGAAACGTCGACGACACCCAATTGCCAGCACCGCATGCAAGCCCACCTGATCTCCACCTGAGCCTTCTCCGCCCCCGCCATTCTCCTCACCGCCAGCCATGACCGACAATGCAACCGCCTTCGACCGCCAGCAAGACGGCTACAAATCCATAAGCAAGCATGCGAACAAATGGCGGGGCAAGCTGTTCGCCAAAGACGAGGCGCTGGCGAAAGAGAAGGAGGCCTCAAAGCTCAAGCTGAAGGTAGAGACCGACCAAGACGTATCCGACTTCCTCAAGCCGTCCACCGAAAAACACAAGGTCCTACCACCCAAGCCTCCTCGAATTGATGCGGCGGCAGCTTCGCGATGGCCAGGTGCCGCCGATGTGCTCAAGCTCGCGGGTACGCAGCAGATACTACCAAGCGCAATGGGTGGGAAAAGTGGGAAGAGAGGGCACCTGGTGGTCACGTTCGCCAGAACACCGCCCGAGATCATAGGTTTGGGCGGCGATGAATCGGAAGAGCCTGCGATTGAGGTGTCCAAGCGAAGATCAGGGGTTCACAGAAAGCCCGTCGATCAACACTTGCAAGAGGGACACGGCAGCGCCGTAAGCCTGGGCTCGCAGCAACCCCCATTGAACGGCATGCCGCAGAGTGGATTCAACGAGCCTCAGCCCACTGTCGCACGTGACCGTCGTCCAGCTGCATTCCCTAGGCAGCCGACAGCGTTCCCACAGCCGCTGCGAAACTCTAGCGCCGATGACAACGGAGCGTCCCCGACTGCTCTAGATAACCGGGAGCCTGACTTCATTCCACCGCCCGTGAAACGAGCGCCAACCTCGTTTCACGGCGAAGACGACGGAGTCTCAAGGCCCAGTATAGATACAGAGGATCATCGCTCGCCGGTTGATACACAACCTCCAGAGCTACCGCAAAGGCCGTCAGCAGCACCGGAGCCGCCTCCTCCGTTGCCTCCGAAGCTACCTCTCCGTCTGCCAGAAATGGAGCTGGCGGCAGGTGGTTCTCCAATTGACTTTCTCGGAAATGATTTTCTCAAATCGGACCCAACAGACCCTAGCTCCTTTCCGGCAAAGGTGCTCCACCAGATGCGGGCTGATGAGGGTAATGCACTCCACGAAGCGGCACGAACGGCAGCATATGTCAACTTGGCTGAATCGCCAAGACCCTCCACTTCGAATAGCTCAAGTTCGTTTGCGATGGCACCTTCGTCATCTCAGCCGTCTACGTTGAACAGACCATCGTTTGATGCGCCAAGCCCGCACAGGAAACCTCTGCCATCTGCTCCCTCCCACAACAACCAATACCTCGATCTGTCCTACGAGCCACGTCCGTCGATTGGGCATACTGAACCGATTCCAATCCGCTCATGGGGACAGAGGTCACCACAACAGCCGTCACCTTCACCGCAAGACCGCTCCGCCGACCGGACTCCGTCATCTTATACGGGCTCACTGCAGTCTAAACCATCGCCACTTCCCCAGTCTCTTACAGCGGCACGGCCGCCTCCTCCTGGCGCACCGCAACCGCCCCCCCATTCTTCTCCGCTGCCGCCTCCGTCGCCTCAACTACCGCTCGCTTCTCCGGGTTACTTTGGGTACCTTCCTCCTTCACCATTCGGCGAAAAGCCGGCAAGACTACCAGGTTTCGCTCAGGAACAGGGCACTGGTCTACATGCTGCGACGCCGTCGGTATCCTCATCAATTGCTCGGAACGCCAACGACGAGGCTTTTGACGACTTTTCCGAACGCGTCACGCATATGAAGGGCATCTTCCGTCTAACAGCCGAGATTGAACGGCCGTTGTTCGAGCAAACTCCTATGCAGTGGCTAAGAGCAAGTATCTGGTGGTTTCTCAGAGGCCGTGCAGGGATGGAGATCCTCATCCGCAACCGACCACGAGGCCAAGACGGCAGACCCGTGTCAAGCTCACGTGAGCAGCTGCTGGCTCAGCCACATGTGGATCTGGCGAAGAACTGGTGGATCGTGACGGAGCTGTTGCCCATGCATCCTTCTACAGCCAACTACGCTGGTGTACCGATCGCATCGCAAGCATCAGCTGCCAGAAACAACGGAGATAATGCCTTGACAGCAGTTTTTGAAGCACGCGATATCATCCTCGCAAACCTCAAGGCTCTCCTCGCGTCCATGTCTCGAAACCAGGTCATGCCACCTTATCAATCACTGATTCAAGGCCAAGACCAATCCATTTGGATCAAGTACCCAAGTTTTGCGCCCGACGTGCAAGCTATTCTCTCCGGCAATGCAACAAAGTCATTGACCGTTGGCTCGACTACACGAAACATCAACCCTGTAGCGTGCATGCCTCTAGCCGACACGAAGACCGACTTCTGCTACGGCAGGCTGTTCGTCCAGGCATCAATCGCAACAGAAGATCAAGACTCGGATCGTGTTTCGCTGCCTTGTGTTCTCTCTATTCTTCGCGGTCGCAACGACTGGACGCTGAAAGTGTCAATTTGCAGTCAAACCACGCTTGTGAACGTCTTAGTACAAGGTAGTAGAGAGGCTGGACCGACGTGGGACGATGTGCAGTGGAAGACAAAGACAAGAGGCATGTACGTGCGCCTACCGCGCGGCTTCACCCTCAGCGTGGATTTCTCGGAGAAGGATTTCCGGCAACTACAGGGAATTGAGGAATACACGCGCAAAGTCGAGGCGTCTCTCCTGCCGCTTGGTGATGAGAAAGTTGTGCACGAAGTGACGTTGCGGGACTTCCAGTACTCAGATTCGTCCAACCCGCAGGCACTTCCGGCCGAACGTATACCGAGATGCCACGTCCGTATCTTCGAGAAGAGTGAGATGCTCACTGAAGGCACTGGTCAGCGGCGGATGCATCGCGGGTATCGCTTCCACGTCGTTACGAGCCCGAAGCTCAAGACCCTCAGCTACATCACCCATGAGCTGGGGAGAGATCAGAGACCAATTGGGTTCGAGTTTAGATCTAGTCCAAGCAGCGACGGCGCCAGCGCACCGGCCATGGTCTTGCGTTTTAAAGAGGAGACACGGCAGTGCAACGTCTTTCTCACGTTCAACAACCCCAACGAGCGAAATCAATTGTATGCAGTGCTGAATGGAATGAACCTTACCCCGGATGAAACGGTCTTTGCGCAGGTGCCGCTCAAGAGCCTTTCCATTGAGCCGGCGGACCAAGCGGAGGGCTTCAACCAGTCCGGCCACGATGCACTGAGAACGTTTACATGGCAAGATCTCAAGGTCATCAATCATGATGCGGACGATACGAGCGGCGACTTTGCGAGGACAGTGCTGAGCGAGCAGCTCCGGATAGTGGCTCACCACTCAGCAGGGTCACTAACCGATCGCCTGAACCTCAGTAAGTCCCTCAGTGCGCTACACTCACCCAAGCCAGCCTCCTGACAAGTCTCCTCGCAGGCCCCGGCGAACTCCAGCTCCGCCTCCCTACCAGCGGCAACCCCGAGCTCAGCATCCTACGAGCTCCTCAAGCCGATCTCACCATGTCAGTTGACCACCAGCGCGTCGAAAAGTCAATACCCGACACCCTTGCCGCCCTCCTAACCACCATTCTCACGGGCCCCACAATCCGCACCTTCACCTTCCACGACCCACGCGACCTCCACGCCTTCCAAACCGCCATCACAGGCTTCGACGTCAAGTACGACGGCGTCGCAGCCTCCTACGCCATCGCGCGCCGGCGCATGGTCGTCCCCATCTACAAGAAATGGGAAGCGACGGCAGTGCGCGTGCAGATCGTGAAGCAGGATTCCGTCACGCAGTTGCTGGCGTTCATGGAGGGCTTTGCGCAGGCGGACGCGATGGGGTTTCAGCTGCGGCCGATGGATGTGTTTGAGAAGGGGGAGGGGCGGGGGAGATGGTGGGTCAGGCTTGTGGATGCCAAGTTTGCGCTGCCGAATCCGAAGGAGAGGAGGAGGGAGGATGGGTACGTGTGTTTGGATCAGGTGGTTTATCCGGGGGAGCACGATGATGTTACTGTGGGGTTTGAGAGTGAGGCTGGTAGGTCGATGTGCTTCCTTGCTCTTTTGTAAAGCTCATTCGTGCTGGCAAAGTCGCTAACATCTACGGCTGCTAGAACGAGATCGGTTCGCGGAGGCGCTGCCGGCAGCGACGCAGACCGTGCGGGCGGTCACTTTCAAGCGCAAAATCTGAAGCGTCGCCCATAAAGGACGACCTCAGAGCTTCGTTGGCTCTAACGCTGCCAGCGTCCCATCAAGGAGGGAACTTGCACTTGGGCAATGCAGCGGCAGCAACGTCCTACTGCTAACTCTGAATTCTTGCATTATGGACATGAACAACATCACTGGCATATCGTGCAAGGGGGGTTTCTCCTTGGGCGCAAGATTAGGTCAGTCTCGCGTGCATTTGTGGGTGTCAATGTCAGGTTTGTGTCTACGGGATATCCTCTCAGGTTTGTTCTGCATTTCGACTCATTGAGCATAAGCACGGAGTGGGAAGCGGAATCAATAGTCAGCAGCAGTCAGTTGCTTCTGCTCCCTTAACTGTTCTGTCTGTCGTTCCATCTCTTTGATCGCTGGGCGACCAGGATGAGCCCGCTTGTCAAACATGCGATCTATGCAGCTAGTGCAGTAGCGGCACCAACGTGGCCAGGCACGAGCCGGACCCCTCTTTGAGCTCTTCAGGGTCCCCCCTCCACACTCGTCCCTTTTCTTGATCCTCTTCTGCTTGGAAACACCCAATTGTCAAACAAAGCCGTCCTGCGCTGGACTTCACTCCGAGTCTTCTCAAGCCCATCCTCATGAACAAATATCTGCACTGCATGATGCTCAATCCGTAAAGACCCCACCTGCTCGTCACTCTCGCACCCTTATCTCCTTCACCTTCCGAAGCTGTCCCTGCATCCTCTGCAGCTGCTGTGCAACGCCCATCTCGGCACACGTACCACAAACCAGCTCGGAATAAAATGCCTCTCTCCCCACCCTCCCCCACCGACCTCTTCCGCCATCTCCGGTCCTCACCTACAAGCACGCTGCTCGCATACACAGCGCTGCTGGTCGTCGCCTACACAATCAGCCTGGCAATATACCGCCTGTACTTCCACCCACTATCCCGCTTTCCCGGCCCCAAGCTCGCGGCCGTGACGTGGTGGTACGAGTTCTACTACGATGCGGTAAAGCCGGGGCTGTATTGGCGGGAGGTGGAGCGGATGCATCGGGAGTATGGTATGCATTTTCACCTTGTTCTTCTGTCGGCGCCCCCTACCATCACCACCTTCCCCATCGCTATTACCACCGTCACTTCATAGCATCACTGTTGCGCGACACGTGCGCCCCGCCACTCTCACCCCCGCTAACTCCCCCTCCCTTCCCCAGGTCCTGTAATCCGCATCTCCCCCCACGAGCTCCACCTCAACTCCCCGCACCTCTGGGACACAATCTACGCGCCCAAGAACGACAAGTGGGGCTGGGGCATCGCGGCGATAGGCCTGCCCGACTCAGCCGTTGGAACCGTCAGCCACGAGCTACACCGCAAGCGGCGCGCGGCGCTGTCGCCGTTCCTGAGCCGCCGCGCCGTCGAGAAGTTCGGCCATGTGATTTACGGGAACTTTGAGGAGTTTGTTGAGAGACTCAGGGCGGCTAGGGATACGAGGGTGAGGTTCGAGGAACGGCCTGCTGGGGAGAGCACTGAGGAGGAGGAGGAGGGAGACGAGGAGACCACCAGAGGCGTCGTAGAGATGGGCCGCCTCTGGCACTGTCTCGCCGTAGACGTCGTGACCGAATACGCCTTCGCGCGCAGTTACGGCCTCGTGCGGAACCGCGGAGCCGGACGGCAGTGGCACGGCATGCTGCAGAAAGTAATGCAGAACGGGCACACGATCAAGCACTTTCCGATCTTCCTGCGCGTCCGCGATATCCTTACCGCGCTGCCTTTGGCGTGGGTCGAGAAAATGGCGGGCGAGGGCATGGCGATGGCGGTGCGCCTGCAACATAATATGCGCGCGCAGATCGAGGCTATTAAGGCGGGACGCGAGGAGCTGGATGATGCGCTGAGGTATAAGTCCCATCCGACTATTTTTCATGAGTTGCTGCAGAGCAAGAGTATCCCCGAGGCGGAGAAGAGGACGGAGCGCATCTGGCAGGATGGGCAGAGTGTCGTTGTTGGGGGGAGCGAGACTGTGGCGAAGGTGCTCACGCATATCACGTTCCATCTGCTGGCGAAGCCGGATGTGTTGGCGAAGCTGAGAAGGGAGCTTGAGCAGGGCGGGTTCATGACGCAGGAGATGAAAGAGAGGGCCGAGAAGCCCAGGTGGCAGGATCTGGAAAGGTGTCGCTACCTCGCGGCTGTGGTCATGGAGGGACTCCGCGTCAGTATGCCGGCTGTGCAGCGCATGAACCGCGTCTTGCCGCACACCGAGAGAGTCTTCACGGTTCCGGACCATACGCGGAGAGATGCTGATGGCCGGCCCGTGACGAGGGAGTATAGGATCCCGCCTGGCACTCCAGTCAGCATGTCTCCCCAGTTTCTGCACTTCGACGGCATGATCTTCCCGGAGCCGTATGCGTTTAGGCCGGAGAGGTGGTTGGAAGATGGTGCCAGCGGCGTGGGAGGCGGTGATCCGGTAACTGCGATGACTACGGGGGACAAGGGCAAGAGGAGCCTTGCGAAGTACATCGCTTCCTTCGGGTACGGGACGCGGATATGCGTTGGCATGAAGTGAGTAATCTTTCTTGCACCTTGTATATTGAAGTGGAAAACAGAGCGTATTACTGACTAGGAGAATCAGTCTTGCCTACGCTGAGCTCCACACGCTGGTAGCGCTGCTCTTCGGGCCCAACACCGATCATGGGCTCCAGCTCGAACTACACAAGACGGGCATAGAGGACGTGGAGTTTGTGCACGATTTCATCGTCGGCACGCCGAGGCTGGGGACAAAGGGGTGTAGAGTCATCGTGCGATGAGAGATGAATAAACAGATCGTGCAGCAGATCGACCACTCAAGAAGGCCAAGGTGCACTCGAAGCGAACAAAACCACTCCAGTATCAGAGTCTTCCAAACAGAGGGTGATTTGAGCATGGAGATACGAGCATGCCATATACCTAGATGGAGGGCGGCAGCCCCTCAAGCTCCTCACCATATCTAATCCCACCAATCCTGCGCGCCTCATCAAGATATCCCAGAACTCGCAGACTTTCTTCCTTCCCAATGACGACACCCTCACCACTCCCTTCCGTCTGCCTCTCGCGTACTTTCGCCGCAATAACATCCGCCTGGTACCAGATCCCCCAGCCGCGCTCCACCGGCTTCCTAATCACCTCCTCCCGCTCCATGCCCTCCTCATCCACAAACTCTCTGCCATACCACTGCACATGGAGCTCCTGCGGCCGGATCGGCGGGAACGGTATCGAGACCTGCGCGTCCGTGGCCTGGATAAGCACGGCGGGAGCGGGCCTGGGCGCTTGCAGGCGGCGATAGAAGGGCGGCTTGTTGGACCCTGGGAGCGTCATGCTGGTCGTGACGATGCCGATTGCGGTCTGTCTGTCGGATGGGCCTTCGATCCGCGAGAGAACCACGGTGTTGATGTCGTCGATGTCGTGCGCGACGTCGGGAACTGGCATCGTGTTGGCGTAGACGACTTGGGTCGTGGATCCTGGAGTGCGAGGGGAGTTTAGAGCGATGTCTGCCCAGGTGAGCGCGTAGACGCCTTGGTCGAGCAGCGCGCCTGCGCCGGCTTGCTTTTCGAGGAAGCGCGATGAGACGGAGAGCTCGGGCGACACGATGGGGAAGGAAAAGTCGGCGTAGACGCGTTTGACGGGGCCGATTTTCGGCAGCAGTTCTTCTTGCAGGTACTTCGTCGCTGGCAGGTAGTGTGTCTGATAAGGGGTCCTTGTTAGCATTGCTGACGCCCGTATGTAGTGGATTATGACCCAAACATACCCACATAGCCTCCATCAGCACAACATCCTGGTGTACCGCAAGTTTAACCAAGCTTTCATACTGTGCGCGAGTCATGGTGGCCGGTTTCTCGACGAGTACGTTACGTTTGTGCTCGAGCGCTTTACGAACATGCTTGTAGTGAAGTGGGTGGGGGGTAGAGATATAAACGACGTCGAAATCTCCCGTTTCGAGCATCTCCTCCCATAAATGGAATAGCTTTATGCCTTCTGCTCCTTCAATTTTGTGCTCCTTCAGCCAATTGGTAGCACGTTCTTGGCCGCTTGTCGTAGAGGCCGCGACCAGTTTGTGCACGATGGATTCGGACTCATCCCGGGGTAGTAGGATGTCTGGGAGGAAAACGGCGGCGATGTTGGAGAGACTGAGGGCTGCCCAGCGGCAGGTAAATCTTTCGGTGGACATTGTGGTTTTGCAACGCTACGTCTGGGGAGCCTCGATGCTTCGGCGACCAAGCAGAATCCTTTGTGGCTGCTGCCATGGTTTTCGGTGTTGCTTCGTATATAAGAGCGTCCCGAAATTTCCTGTTCCTGCATGATGGTTTGGGTACGGCGGAAAGCCCCGCGGCGGGGCAGCCGGCGACTTCGAAACCGTTTGTCCCTGGGACTTTTCATGGAGCATGGAGCGACTGGAGGCATGACGTGAGTTGCAGCTGGCAATAGAATTGTCTGCCGACTTGAGGCGCACGCTGCCGCATGCCTGATCCCAGATCCAGAACGGGGTTCTGCTGCGCTCCCCCGTCTGCGAGTCGTGAAGGGCAAAAATGTTCCACGTAATATACAGGGCTTTTGCATTATTTGATCAGCTTATTAGCAGCACCGTGCTAATAGTCATCCTGTACTAAAGCACGGCAGGATTTCTGAAACTCTTTCTCCATAACAAGCTTTTTGCATCGTAGCAATGGACTCGGTAGGCTCCTGACACAGAATCCGAAGAATCTCGAATTGCAGCTGAGCGATCTCCATAGTTTTCTCTGAAAAGCAAAACCGCTGTGCTCACAGGAGCAGCACGAGGGCTAGGCCTTGCCTTCGCCCAAGTTCTCGCGGAGGCGGGAGCAAACATCGCGGTGCTCGACGTCATCCAGCCGGACGCGGCGCTCCAGCAGCTCGAAGAGAAGCACCATGTCCGAGTCAGATACCACAAGACCGACGTCACATCGCGTGATGAAGTGATGGATGCCATTGCGAAGATTGAGGAGGAACTCGGAGAAATCCACATCAAGTAACTTCTGAACCCACCCAATGGGCTTCTATACAAGAATTTAATCGACGGTTAGCGTCAACGCCGCCGGCGTCGTAACGGATGAACCGTTTCTCACAACGTCCGATCGAAACCTCGAGCGGACCTTTGCTGTCAATGTGAGACAATCTCGCCTCGGAAACATGTGAAGCGCGTCGATCTCGACTGACTCGCTTATCTCCCTTGCAGTTCACCGGCTCCTTCCTCGTGGCCCAAGCCTGCGCAAACTCCATGGTGCGTCGCTGGGAGCGGAACGGCAAGCGCTCGCAACCAGACGAGGGCACATCTAACGGCTGCATCGTTTTCATCACCAGCATCGCAACGCACATCGCAAGCTGCGCACAGCAGATCTCCTGCTACACGGCGTCCAAAGCTGCCGTGCGCGGGCTGGTCAAGCCGCTGGCGATGGAGCTATCAAAGTACGGCATCCGCGTCAATAGCCTGTCGCCCGGCTATATGATGACGGATATGATGCGGGGATTGCAGACCCAGCAGCCACAGCTCGTCGCGCAGTTTGAGAAGGAGACCCTGTTTGGCAGGATTGGGTTTCCGCATGAGCTGCAGGGTGCTCTGCTGTTCTTGTGCAGTCAAGCGAGTGGCTGGTATACGGGTCAGGATCTTCTTGTGGACGGCGGTGCAAGTTTGTGGAAACATCCGGCGCCTTTGTAAATTGTAAGGATGACGAGAAACGGCTCTGTTTCAACGCTTTTATGATGCAATTGTTCCGTATCACTGAACGTTGCGCCTCCATTGTACACTTGGAGAGCAGTGGAGGTCAAGGAAAGCGGGGTGGAGGGACGGTGTCGGATGCAGGTCCGACGGTGTTCTGGCCACCCTACGTTGGAACAAGCTCCAGCGATCACCTTAGCATGCTTGACGCTTATCTCCTTTCCCGCTAGCTACATGCAAGTCGCTCGATAGTGCCGGGGACTAGGGGTCAGCGGCCGTTGAGCTGGAATTTTTTCCGCTCCATTAGAGGATATCATGTAGGCATCCAGATTTCCATGGCGGGTGTATTTTAGAATCACCAATCAAATCATAGTCGGATTCAAGCAGCAAGCCACAGCAAACCTCAACTGTTTCCGTGTTGCGGGACACAGCGAGTAGTGTGCGTACCAACCAATTCCCTGAACAACCGATCATCATGTCCCCGTTTCGCAGCGGGGAAAGAAGTACGTACAAAGAGTAGCCTAAAGTTGCCACGGCGACGCTATAACACTGACTCTGTCAAACTTGCATCTCTGCAAAGGGATCACTAACCGGATTTTACACAAACTTAGCGTCACTGTGCTCACCGTTCGGCATGGGGGTTTTCTCCACGACAGAACCTCGCCTAAGATCCACTTCCGAAACTTTCTCATCAACCTCATCCAGCAGGTTGCGCTCAGCGAGGGCAACGTTACCCCACGCCTCATGAAGGCGGCGCTGGTACTCCCTGTAATTGGCTGCCACCAACGGAGAGTCGGCAGCGAAGAGCAGGTTGACCTCCTCAAGCGTGCGACCGGCGACTTCGGGGTACAAGAACCAGACTATAGGCATAGCAACTATCATTCCTCTGTTAGCAGACAGCATAGCGCGAGCATGGCGGTTTGTGTAAACATACTGATGTTCATGCAGCCGAAGAAGATAAATGTTTTCCAACCAAGATCATCCAACATGATAGGGATGACGAAGGTGGTGGCGCCGCAGCCAATAGCCCAGCCGAGAATGGTGAAGGCGTAACCTTTGGCGCGGATCTCTTGCGGCCAGATCTCCGTCGAGTAAATCCAGCAGGGGACGATGTTGAACATAGTGAAGAACCAGAGGAAGACAAAGACCATGACAGCGGCAGCGATACCGAAGTCCCTGGAGCGGTCGCCCGTTGACGTCTCGCTAACGCGGATGAAGGCAGCGAGCATGAAGAGAGAGATGCCTTGGATGACGAATGAGGCCATCAGGCTCTTAATTCTTCCCATACGGTCAATTACGAGGGCCTATAGATAATCAGCGTGATCAGGATAAGTGACGAGAGGGTGATCTAAGAGGGATACTTAGACTACTTACGGCAGCCGCGGTACCAAAAATACCAAACGTGTTCACAAGACCAGCCATCCAAGCGGACTTGTAGTCATCGAAGCCTGCCAGATGGAAGAGCGCGTCGGCCCAAGTGGCAACGGCCAGGATACCCGTCCACTGCTGAATCAACTGCAAGGAAAAGCCCATCCAGGCGCGGCGGCCAAGGTGCAGGGCGCCAGAATAACGGCCGGTCGCGATGTTCCACAACCTGTTCCGCTTGTGGTGGGACGATTCCACGACAGCCTCAAGCTGCTCCATTTCTGCAACCAGCTTGGGATCGTCATGCTGGAGGTCTCCACGAACCTTGGCCAGGATTTCCAAGGCGATATCCCTGTGGCCGTTGGCGACTAACCAGCGCGGAGACTCAGGGAGGAAAAACACGGTGAACAAGACGATGGCCATGGGGATAGCCATGAAACCGAGCGGAAACCGCCACTCGAAGGTGTAGCCAGAGTCTTGGACTCCAAAGTTCAGCCAGTAGGCGATGACGATGCCAACGAAGTTGGCCGTAAAGACGAGCGCGAAGCTCGCGCCCCGGTTGTGTGCTTGCGACAGCTCCGAGGTCCATGGAGGCACGATCGCGTTGTTGAATCCAATGCCGATACCAGCGATGACTCTGGCGCAAATGAACATGTCGGAGTTCACCGCGCCAGCCATGAGTGCTGCGCCGAGGATGCAGAAGCACGCCCCAATCATGACGCCCATCTTGCGGCCGAGCTTGTCACCTATCTTGCCGCCGAAAAAGCAGCCAAACATGGCTCCGAAGTAGTAGGCGGCTACCAATCCTCTGCGAACAATTGTTAACCTCTGAGGAGTTTGCTGGAGGAGTTTTTTGACGAGCTTACCCTTGCTTGGTGGTGTCGTGAACATCTCCATTCGCACCGATTTTCATTGTATCAATAAATCCGGGTCTGTTTGAGACTGAACCCATAACCCCTTGGTTGTACCCCTCGAAAATCAATGCCGTTGCATTGAACAGGTTGAGTATAACGAGCAGTGCATGGCCGGGAAGGTGGCGCCATACTTCGATACCCATCGTGAAAGCTGTCGGAGACAATAAACAGCAAAATGCAGAGGTATGTGAGGAAGGAAAAGGTTATGACGAAACGGAAGATCTGGAGCAGCCATCGTGGGAATGCGGAGAGACATGATTTTATGTATTGACAGCTTAGAGGACAGACCCGTTGCCTAGGTAGAATAAAACATACCCTAGGAAATGCAGAAATTCGCGACTCGGAGGCGGGGAAGCGCAGCAAAACTCCGTTCATGGCGCTTGGATCGGGTTGCCGAAGCAAGCCCCTAAAGTCGTAAAATGCGTCCCCCAGATGCCAGCTTTGAAATCATGGGAACTACCGCCAACGACGCCGAGTCAGAGGCTCCTGTTTCCAGCGTACGTAGCAAATCGGATGTCAGCGTATGCAAACAGCCGGGCGAAAGCAACGGGAAACTCCCTGTCAACTTCCAAAGACCTATCTAATGGAGCCTCATATCGTGTTGCGGGGAGACCCAGTAACAACTAGGTAATGGCCATCTGATGCTGGAATGCACAAAGGTAGAATTGCATGGGTCGAACCAGTAATCTTGCGAAGGCGCGCACCTACGACCCGCATTCGTGATGCGAGCGGTTATCAACCCCTTCCCTACTGACAACACTTCTGCTCTGCGCTAGCTATGGTAGCATAAGCTCAGCAAAAGCGACACAGAGGCAGGCAGGGAATACAGTATTGTATACCTAGTATAAATTTAGGTGAAGTTCCTGGCTGAATGTCGGACAATTTTGCGGTGTAAGTGTAACACGTGATGATTGGGCAACAACGAAGCTATTGTGGACGTCTCGTCTAACCTGCAGTTGTACGAAACTTCAGACACAGCTGTGCTCACTGGAACTGCCCTGTATTCGTTCTACATCACTATACAAGCGAAAGGGAGAGCACGAGTCCTCGTATCCTCCGCAGGAGCCAAGGACTCCTCGAGCGAGATGGCGGCTGAGCGTCAAGAGACGTATCCTAGGGATGATGCTTTACGTACATTGTATTGCAAGAATGATTGCTTTTTTCGTGCTGGATCCAAAAGGCCCATATGTCGGAGCACGTTCATTCGCCTTGCGGCCTCGACAAGTGTGACGCATGCAACTGTCGCTTCACCAACGCTTCCCACTCCGCGCATTGCTTCCACTGCATTGCTTGCTCCATCGCCGTGTGGCGGACGTGTCGCCGCTGCGTTTTCTCCCCTAACCCGGAGATCTACTGGCGCCCGCCGTTTGACATGATAGGCCGGTTCAGTATAAGACCCGAGGCCGTCCTTTGGGACGCATCTCACGAGCCAGAGCACCCATCGCCATCGACCGGTGTGCGTGAAGCCCAGGAGAATGATATAAAGCACGAGTCTGAGGAGACGGCGGGCCGCAGGTCGTTACCAATCCGACCTCTGCAGCCAGGGTGCTCTCACGGAGAACCAGCGGGCACTGTCAACTCGGAGAATGGCGACGAGGACGACATCGAGATGCTTGGTTCTCCAGTTTCCGTTGACGTCTACCCTGACGACTTAGAGCCGCCGACCCAGGAGGAGCTCGAAGAGGCTGCCAAGGCGGTGTTTGAGAAAATATGGGATGGCAATCTGGAGAACGTCCCAGCCACCGCTAATTACAAACCTGCCACAGCATCATGAAGCAAACATCTTTGAGCGATGATGCGGAATCACCTCTGGGAGAGCTTTTTCTTGAACTTATACGCAGACGTTCTCCCTGGCACGTGCGAGTGTTGTTGCCGACTGTCTTACGATGCTCACGCAAAGTTAGTATCCGTATCAGAAAGATGCTTACGAAAGCCTTTTGTGTTCCAAGTACTGATACAGTCCTCCATGCTCGTGCAGCTATCTTCCTCCAGATCAAAGGCAAGGAAACCTTCTGGACCCTCGGCGTGGTCGATACCAATCCCCTCAGGCCGGTCAGCTTCCCCGGGCCGAGCTCGAAGCTTAAGCGCATAATCAACGGATTCTTGGAGGGACCGCATTGTCAGAGGCTGGGTCGCTTAGTCGGTCGATCTGTCTGGCGGCCTTTTGCGCACAGCACTGTTTGCTTGACGGTGTGGGACGATATGTGTCGATGCAAAGGCCGGGAACCTTTGCACGGTTGAAAGATTGCGAGTGTTCACACGGTATCTTTGCTAAAATGGCTGCCAAAGTACTTCTGAAAGCAATCAGTGGAAAGTTACGTCTACGCAACATCTATAATCTCCGCACTGGCCGCGATCCAGGCCAAACGTGTCTAACTGGTGTCTGAACATCTTCGCTATGCAAGTGTACGGTGTCAGGTCTAAGAACTTTTCTACCTTGCCGATACCTAGGTAGCGAGAATGCTGCGAGATGCCTAAGTGTGTGTGATATTCACCACCGCGTGGCGTTTTTCGCTTATCTCAAAAGCCATGACCAACCAAGGGTCCCGATCGCCGTACTGCATTGCCACGAGCAAGTATCGGCCCATGAACGCCGTTCGCGCCATTTGGGTGTGCCATGCGCCTCTTCTCCCTTTTAACTCGCTGTCCATCTTGCGCTTTCCTTTCATTCTGCGCTTCTAGTCTTGTGGCCGTGTACATATGCGCTTTCTATGTAGCAACATCAAACGTCTTACTTCCTTGTTATCTACTCATTCCGCGCTTCCACCACTTCTGCGTACCTCTCGAGCTCCCCTAACTCTTCCCCAACGCGCGATCACGCCCGTATACTCACGCTCTCTGTCCTCAAGTTTCGCCTGCGCAATGCCACCCAAGCGCAAAGCTCCCGCCAGCGTCGGCTACGCCGACAGCGCCGGCGCGTCCACAAACAAGCGCTCCGCACGCTCGAAGCCCGACAGCCTGCGCCAGACGACCTTGAACCCCGTCTCGCCATCCAGACCCCCATCCGAGGCCTCATCCAAGCCCCGGCTTGCGGCTGCCCCCGACTCTAAGGTCCCAAACAACGATACCAGCAACAAGAACAATAACAGCGCGAACGGCACCAATGGCCTAAGCGATACACAATTCGACCATAGCAGGGTAGAGGAAAGATACGGCATAGTACAACGGCAGTTCTACCCGCCAGAAATGAGCAACGAACGCTGCGCCATGTACAACAACAACGAGCTCCCGCGTCCAATCGAAGTGCTCGAGGCCGCCCTCCGCGAGACCGGAGACGCGCGCAGCCAGATCCCGGTCGGCGAGGCCGTGGTGCACTGGTTCAAGCGGGACCTGCGTCTCAATGACAACCGGGCGCTACATCTCGCGGCCGCGAAAGCGAAGTCGAAGAACGTGCCGCTGATCTGCATGTTCATTGTCAGTCCGCAGGACTACCAAGCCCACCTTACCAGCCCCGCGCGCGTGGATTTCGAACTCCGGACTCTGGCGATCATGAAGCGTGATCTAGCGGCGCTGGATATACCGCTCTACATCACGAGCATCGACAAGCGGAAACGCATACCCGAACACATCATGCAGCTATGCGAGCAATGGGGCGCGCGGCATCTGTACTGCAACATCGAGTACGAGGTCGACGAGCTGCGACGGGAGGCAATGATGACGCGGAAGTGTCTGGAGCGCGGGATCGCGTTCACAGCCGTGCACGACGACATCGTCGTGCCGCCGGGAGCGTTAAAGACAGGGCAGGGGAAGCAATATGCGGTGTATAGCCCCTGGTTCAGGGCGTGGATCGCTCACGTGCATAAGCATCCGGACCTGCTGGAGGCGTTTGAGGCGCCGGGGAGGAATCCGACGTCCACGAGGGAGAAGTTCAAGGAGGTTTTTGAGATTGTGATTCCGGCAGCTCCGCCGAACAAGAGTCTGAGTGACGAGGAGAAGAAACGTTTTGAGCATCTCTGGCCGGCGGGCGAGCACGAGGCTTTGATGCGGCTGGACCGGTTTCTAAGCGAGAGGATTGGAAAGTACAAGGATACGAGAAATTTTCCGGCGGCTAATAGTACGGCGACGGTTAGTGTGCATCATTCGGCAGGCACACTAGCCGCAAGGACGAGCGTGCGCAGAGCAAGGGACGTGAACAATACGAAGAAGTTGGATGGTGGAAACCTTGGTATAGCCGGCTGGATCAGCGAAGTTGCCTGGAGAGACTTCTACAAACATGTGCTGGCCCATTGGCCCTATATTTGGCAAGTCCTCAAGAAGCGTCGATTCACGTGAAGCAACGGTTCGGTACTAACAGTCTCTTAGCATGCACAAACCCTTCAAGTATGAATACACAAACATCGAATGGGAATACAACGATGCCCACTTCGACGCCTGGTGCACCGGGCGCACCGGCTTCCCCATCGTGGACGCCGCGATGCGCCAGCTAAACCACATGGGCTACATGCACAACCGGTGTCGTATGATCGTTGCCTCCTTCCTCGCCAAAGACCTGCTCATCGACTGGCGCATGGGCGAGATATATTTCATGGAGCACCTCATTGACGGCGACTTTGCGTCAAACAATGGCGGGTGGGGCTTCTCAGCCAGCACGGGTGTGGATCCGCAACCGTATTTCAGGATCTTCAATCCGTTGTTGCAGAGCGAGAAGTTTGATCCGGAGGGTGAGTACATTAGGAAGTGGGTTGAGGAGTTGGCGGACGTGAAGGGGAAGGCGATACATGATCCGTATGGGAGGGGTGCGGGGGACGTTGCGAAGAGGAACGGATACCCAAAGCCGATTGTCGATCACAAGAAGTGTCGAGAAAGGGCGCTTGCCAGATACAAAGCCGGAATCGGGAGAGAAACGGCCTGACGGGATATGCTTTGGATGTTTAAGTGTTTATTGTTTACGATACCACACGAGCAATGGAGCCATGGCGGATATCAAAGTTAGCGTTATACAAAAATTCCTTGAAGTCGTTGCGCGCGTGAACACTTTCCGAAAATCGATCCGATGACGGGATGCCGACAGCGGGCCGAACCGTCGATGCATCATGCCGACGTGTGGGGATGAAGCTCTGGGCATACCACAACATCAGACCTAGCTTGTCGTGGAGCTCTCAGACGGGCATAGAAGCTTCCCATGAGCCACAACCAACTGGCAGAGAAAGCCCCAATGGCGCCCACCGAACGCACCCCGCTCATCCAAGTCATCCCCATAGCACCTCCACACGAGCGCTATCCCCACCACACCCTCCGCCGCGTCTGCACCGTCGTCCTAACCGCCATCCCCATCTTCGTGATCGCTATCCTGCTCTATACTCTCTTTCTCCCCACCTCCATCCACGGCTCAGACAGCATACCCGTCCTCGCCTACCTCCCCTGGAGCCCCTCCCACTCCATCAGCAGCGCCTGGCCGAACAGCGATGGCGTGAGCTTTGAGCAGCTCGGCGCGATACTGCTCGAGACGCCGAAAGAGGAGAAGGCTAGGGAGTGGAGTAGGTACTACACCTCGGGGCCGCATCTGGCGGGGAAGAATCTGAGTCAGGCCGAATGGACGAGGGATCTGTGGAAGAGCTTTGGGGTTAAGTCGGAGATTGTCGCGTATGATATCTATGTGAACTATCCGAAGGACCACCGGTTGGCGTTGTTGGAGGAGGTGAGCGGTGAGGCGCAGGAAGGGATTGATGGGGAAGACAAGAAGGAAAGGGAGTGGAAGATCAAGTTTGAGGCGGGTCTGGAGGAGGACGTCCTGGACGAGGACAGTACAAGCGGATTAGAAGACCGCATACCCACGTTTCATGGCTACAGTGCCTCCGGTAATGTCACAGCTCAATACGTCTACGTCAATTACGGCTCATACCAGGACTTCGAAGATCTGCAGAAGGCCAACGTAGATCTGGAAGGCAAGATCGCGCTCATCAAATACGGCGGCATCTTCCGCGGTCTCAAAGTCAAGCGCGCTCAAGAGCTGGGTATGGTCGGTGCAATCATCTACTCAGACCCCGGCGACGACGGGCAGATCACGGAGCATCACGGCAACAAGACGTATCCCGAAGGGCCTGCGCGAGAGCCGAGCAGTGTCCAGAGAGGCAGTACGCAGTTCTTGAGTAAGACGCTTACAAGCATCTAGCTGATACGTACTAAGGTGTTGGATCAGGTTTCGCGCCTGGCGATCCTACGACTCCTGGTTATCCGTCCAAGCCAGGCGTGCCACGGCAGCCCGTAGACGCAGCCATCCCTTCCATACCCTCGATACCTATCTCATACATGGATGCACTCCCGCTTCTGAAGGCCCTCAACGGCCACGGACCGAACGTATCGTCATTCAACAAGTACTGGCAAGGCGGCGGCCTAGGGCACAAAGGCGTCCACTACAACATCGGTCCCTCGCCACCCAACCTCACCCTCAATCTCATGAACGAGCAAGAGTACGTCACGACGCCCATGTGGAACGTTATCGGCATCATCAACGGCTCCATCCCAGACGAAGTCGTCGTACTCGGCAACCACCGCGACGCCTGGATAGCCGGTGGCGCCGGTGATCCGAACAGCGGCTCCGCGGCCCTGAATGAGGTTGTTCGAAGCTTCAGCGCTGCGCTCGCGGCTGGCTGGAAACCACTTCGCACCATTGTGCTTGCTTCGTGGGATGGTGAAGGTAAGCTCTACCGAGTGGATGGAAGGGTACATTCCCTAGCTTACCTAAGAACGTAGAGTACGGACTATTAGGATCGACTGAGTGGGTCGAAGAATACCTCCCCTGGCTCCAAAAAGCAACCATCGCGTATCTGAATGTCGATGTCGGGACCACGGGCCCGCATTTCAAAGCCTCAGCCGCGCCGCTGCTGAACAAAGTCCTGTACGAAGCGGCTTCGCTCGTACAATCCCCCAACCAGACTATCGCTAATCAGACAATCCGCGATACCTGGTCCGGCCACATTAGCACCATGGGCAGCGGCAGCGACTTCACCGCCTTCCAGGACTTCGCGGGCATCCCGTGCGTCGACATGGGCTTCAGCGCTGGTCCAGACACGGCTGTGTATCACTACCATTCCAACTACGACAGCTTCGATTGGATGGAGCGGTTCGGAGATCCTGGGTGGCACTACCACATCGCCATCACGAAGGTGTGGGCGCTGTTGGCGGCGAAGCTAATCGAGTCGCCGATCGTGCCGCTGAATGCTACGGACTACGCTGTGGGGCTCAAGGGGTACCTGGACGCCGCGAAAGAGAAAGCGCGTGCGAAGATCGCTGCGTCTTCTTCCGATCAACGGGACCTGTTGGAAACCGCAGTCTCAACAAACGACCTCTTCGACAACCTCGACGCCGCCATCGCCCGCCTCCACAACGTGTCAGTAGCTTTCGACCGCGCCGCCGCGTCCCTCGCCGACGAGATCGAGCATAACCCGATCCCGTGGTGGAAGTGGTGGGAGAAGGTGAAGCTCTACTACCGCGTGCGCGCGGTAAACGACAAGTACAAGTACCTCGAGAGACAGTTTCTGTATGCGCCGGGCTTGGACGGCAGGAGCTGGTTCAAGCACGTGGTGTTTGCGCCGGGGAAGTGGACGGGGTATGCGGGCGCGACGTTTCCGGGGCTGGTCGAGGCGATTGGAGACGGTGAGTGGGGGCAGGCGAGAAAATGGGCGGGTATCGTTACGGGGGTCATGCATAGGGCTGCGGCGTCGCTGGAAAAGTAGGTTCTAAAAGCTGGGCGGAGGTGGAGTTGCGACTTGCGGTTTTGGATATAGCTGTACATAGCTCGATATCAAAGAGAACGCGTGCCGCCAATTATTCGGCAACTAGACGTTGAGGCTTTGTCTTGCTGTCTTGTAGAGTGCTTTGTCCGGCTTCACGACCGTCGAGAAGGAACATGATTCGAATCTGCCGCTCGAGAATGTTAATACACAATCTGGTTAACGGCAAAGACGTCTCGCAGAGATTCTACTGCGGGATAAAAATCATCTGCAGATTGTCTACCACTCGTGGAAGCCTGCAAAAGAGATGTAGTAGACTAAGCTTACCTGAGTATGAGGCCGCTGACAGCTAGCTGCTAATGTGACTGATGTTTAGTCGATGATGAACTCTCTGTCCTTGTCAGGATCGCGCGCTTCAAGTGCTTCTCCGTACATTGCTCCATCAACGTAGGTCTCGCTGACAAGAGAGAGAATCCTTGCTTGGCACCTTGCGAAGGATGAATGGACGCTTTGCCGAGAAGAAGATAGAGACCACATCCCCTGGTTGACACGAACGCGAGCCAAGTCCGATTCGGCCGTTGTCAGTGATGAAAATGCAGCGACTATGCCAGGTGCTGGGCATGTTTTTTTTTTCACGTACGGAAACACGTGGTCCCTGACATGCTGGGCGGTTACTTCTCCAGCATCTGCCCACTTCCGTACGCCCAGTCCGACAGATAATGTCGATACCAAAAGAAAATTTTCGAGCACATCCTGGGTATATGCGTGGTCCTCACCTCATCTTTGAGTGGACCTAGTGTCTGCTATAAGTGTTCGAGCAAACCCCTTAAGCGACTCTGCGCCGCGAGTCCGTCCGGACTATTAAGCTGCTTCACACCAACATAAGGCTTGTCTACTAGGTCCGACGTATCGACCATAACACCAAGCTCCGATCCAGTAAGTCTAATGCTGTCCGAGGTCGGAAGCACTATACCCGCACACGGAGCATACTCATTCAGGTAGAAGCCAGCATAAGAGTGATCGGCCATTGGCAGTGTACTGTGTCGGCGGAAGGCTGTGCCAGTTGGGGACCCAGGAGGGCAACTCCAGAGGTCGTTTGTAAGATTCAGCAGTGCTGAGAATGTCAAGTCCGATATTTTCCAGTATGAGCTTTTCAATCGACACATACAGCCTCCAATACTCTCGTTGTGCCTCAGCTGAGTAATCGATTCGGAGTGTTTCTCGGATCCAATCCTCCATGATGCCATGCAGTGCATACATTCGGTCTACAGGCTCGCGTACCTTGAACGACCTCGCCTTCCGGAGTAGATGTGAAGAGTGTAGTGTCTTGTTTCTCCAACTTTCTCGCTGGGGATGCAGATTCGCAAGGACCATGTAGCCTTTTACCCCGTCAGCGAAACTTTGAGTATAGCTGATAATCCCAGTCCTGCAAGCTCTCAAAGTAAGTGAGTTCAAAATGTTGAACTCAATGATTCGATTTCCGCAGACGAAAAGTATGTCTCTGGCCAAAACAACTTCTTGTAGAACCCATAGCCGCTTAAACCAAGACCTGCTCCAGAACCGGACCCAGGAATGACAAAAGTGGCCGTCCTCTGCGGGAATGCTGGCTTGGACATAGTCGCCACGTCCGAGGGGCTCATTCACCGCTTGGAGCTTATCGAGCAGCGGCCATATCTCGTCCATCACCCCGTCACTGTCACCGCCCGCTGGTCCTAACCAGACCAGAACCCGGGTGGTCTGGGAATAAATCTGGGTCATTAGCGGAATCTGACCGGCCTTCTCATCGACATCGATTTGGTTAATGCGGATGGCGTCGATCCAAAGTCTGGTAGGGCCAACGGTATCTCGAATCTGCCGTACGCCTTCCAGCAGATGCGGTGTGACGACAAGGCTGGCGGAGTTGCAGACGAGAGATGATGTGGGAAGTTCGTCACCACAAGCGTACGACAAGGCTTCGTATGGTGGTGCTTCTGAGACGGAGACGGTTTCTAGTGAGCCGTGGAGCTCGTCCATGCTTGAGCTGAGAGCTAGGAGTCGGATGTAGCGTTTCGAATCGGGGAGGGCAGAGTATTGATAAGAAGGTACAGAGGCCATGTTGGAGGACGTTGATATCCGGTCAACATGATCTCGTGAGCGCTGGTTGTGACCTTTATAGTGGTCCAGAAAGCTGTGTACCAGAACAGCCCCCAAGCATACAAGGATCGGTCAAACATAGCATTTCTACCACCGAGTAGCTAACGCAGCCCACGATGCGCAGACTCTAGACTAAGCTGAAGACTTTGGTACTTTAAATAACTTTGGTGAGGGTGCAAAGTTGGAAAGTGCTAAAAGGCTGAACGTATCTGACCGAGAGCTGCGAAGGTTGAAGGTTGCCATCACGTGATAATGCAACACTATTACCAAGTCAGTACTTTCTATCTGGATGGGTATGAAAGACACTAGACTGTTGCCGCGTTATCCAGGTAGACCGCCAGTGCTCTTGCTATACTGCTCTCAGAAGAGAAATACTCGAAGATTGACGCACTCACTACCACGTGGTTTGGACGCCGCACCATCTGCAAAGTCCTATCTTGCGTCACTGTCCATGCCTTTCTGCGGTTTGGAATAGCATCACGGAAGATTGATGTTCAAACGAGTGAGATGACGTCTGACTGGCATGTATAAGTCTTACATGACTCCTTCGATAATATAATGGACGCAGTTTCCGCTCTGAGCCAACGCCTCCATGTAAGGACTTACTCGCTTCTTTCTAGCCGCTCTCCGGTTTCTTCACTGACCTTCGTGAAACTGTAAAATCCAAGTCTGAGCAGCCTTTCCTAGGTCCTCCTCTTGACTCAGGAAGTTTTGGCTCCCTCCATGTTCCTCGTCGTATCTCTTTTTTCGGGCTTGTCCTTACGCCCAGGCTCGTCTAGCTCAAAGAAACTACGGCGTCCGGTTGTGCGGATGCGTGATATGAATCTGCACTGCTCCCTAAAACCTTGGACGGACACGACTATGGCGGTGCTTCACCCTTTGGGCTCGAGGATACGCATGACTCTCGAATCTACGGGCCCGCTTTTTGAGTCCAGGGAAGGGGATCTCGACAGATGCTAGGGTCGGTCTTGCGCGACTTTAACAATCTGTAGCTTAAGAAATCCGGGTCGGTCCTTTTGTCGTATTGGGGGTTAGCTTCATGCGATGAGCGGGCGCCGGTGGGGAAAGGTGAACTGTATCTTAGAGCAGGGAGCGCGACTTTGTTTGCAGGTTAATTTTATGTTCCTTTCAGTGGAGATTCTGAGTGGGCAGATGAATTCTATCACAAGCGCGTCGTATCCGGCAATGAGGCAAGGAAGGAACGGGCGAAAAGGAGCCGAATTGCGCTTTCATCCTAACTATGAAGATTGCAACGAAGGTCTGCTGACACCGATGCCTAGTACCGAGCTTTGATATCGCAGGACATTTACTCCAAGACTCAGCATTACTCTCACTAACAGTCTAGGTGGCGCAAGCGTGTCCAGCTTCACCAGCGATCACACCGGTGGTTCGGGTCAAAGTGAAGCACGATATGCCCAGTTCGAATCTGACCGACCCCGACACCTCCCCCAATCATCATCGACAACATTCCGGACGCAAAAAACCCACTTTGTCAATACACCCCCGGGTCTGATAAGACTCGCTGGTTGAAGACATTGGGGGTTTCTCAGAAACGAGTTTTTGCCATTTCTGTTGCTGATAGAATTAATAGGTAAGTACTATTCATAGCGATCGTGGAACCTCACACCTGCAACGTACGATAAGCTTGCTCATTGCACAGTCAGGCTACAAGTCATCTGCTCCTCCAGAACCTTAGCTGCCTTAGCAATAAATAACCTTATTACCAAAGCTCATCCCATATCCCGCCATCTCACGGCTGCACCTCCGCAGTCGCAACCCCCAACGTCGAGTCCGCCTGCCCAAAATACAACCACCACCTCCCCCTGTACTGCACAAGCCCCTCCGCAAAAACAACCGCATCAACCAACCCCTCCAGCTCCTCCGGCTGCTCCGGCACCAGCATCGGCCTCTCGATCCGCGCAACCGGCCCATCCCTCAGCGCAGGCTCATAGCTCTCGTCACTTTGATTCAGTCTCTGGAATCTGAAGCTCCCGGAGGGATCTATCAGCATCTGGCCGACGCTGTACTGGTTCCTAGGGTACCCGACTCGCCCGGTCGTCATGCCGTTATACACGAGTATCCACCGCCCGTCCCGCGTCTCGATGGGCGGGGGGCCGGGCTCAATAAGCCGGTTTTCCCAGGGGAGGAGAGGGGTCGCGAAGGCCTGGTCTGCCGGGAGGCTGGTCCAGTTCAACAGGTCCGGCGAGGTCGCGTGGTAGAAGCTGCTGTCGCCCCAGTACATGTGGTAAAGCCCATCCCCCGTCGGCTCGGAGACGATGGCGCCGGATTTGGTGTGGTTGGCCCTCGCGCTGGGGACGTCGATGTCGGAGAATGCTACATCGAGCCAGTTGGGGAAGAGCGGGGGATACTTGGTCCAGGTGAGCAGATCCGTCGAGGTCGCGATGCAGAGACGTGGTTTCACGCCGTCGTACGCCGTGTAGGTCACGTAGAATGTGCCATTTACGCGGACGATGCGCGGGTCTTCGGTTCCGCCGCCGAGCTCCCAGGCCTCGGTCGGGTAGATGATCGGGCGCGAGAGGCGCGTGAAGTTGGTGCCGGAGGTGGACCAGGCGAGGCCGATGCTCGAGGTTAGGTTGGCGTCTTGGGCGCGGTAGAGGAGGAAGATGGTGTTGTTGAGGACGATGGCGGTGGGGTTGTAGAGGTAGGCGGATTCCCAGGCGTTGGAGGGGTTGGGGGATAGGATTGGGTTGTTGGCGTATTTGGTGAATGGGAGGATAGGGAAGATGGGTGGGATGTAGTCGGGGTCTCCTTCAATGGTGTCTGGGGTTATGGCGAAGGGGAGTTCGGTAGCTGTATAGGCTGGAGCACTCTGGGTTTGGCTTTGGCTGAAGGCTCCATGCCACAGCAACGCCACGGCGAATAGATACCCGACAATTTTCGACATGATTGTACAACTACTGTCAACTGCTGCAATGCTGCGTGCTTCGTCGTGCACTCAATAAAACACGTCTTCTATGCTTGGTAATCACGTTGCCAGGTGATTCCGGCTCTCTTTTCCCCGCAATCCGGGGTTGGTTCCTGAGAGTGTGGGGATCGTGAGGTGGAGCTAGGCCGCATGTGGAGAGTACCTTTAACGGTGTTGGTGGCTTGCCGTCGATACTGTTGGATTTTGAGGTAGATGGGACATGGTGAAATGTATTGGGTGGTGGTAGCAAGATTGGGTTGTAGAACTAAGGATGTCTTGTCATCGGTACGAGTGATATTGCAATGCAATGTATATACGTCCAAGTGCCGTCTATGCACCTGCTCGCCTCTAGCTGGATATCTCTACACACAGAAGCAACCCAACAACAAACCCATCCAGCCAAATGCCCCAAGCACCACCCCCCACCCCTTTACTTCTTTTAGTATTTATTCTTCACACCCCCCCTCAACCCCTCCCTCCAAAGACAACACACACTCATCTCCTCGCACCACTTCTGCACAACCCACGGCTTGAGCTCCTCCACCTTCTCAGCCCCATCCTTGCCCCTCTTCCCCGGCGCCCTAAGCCCCTGCGCATTAAGCCACGCCGTCAGGTCCTCCAGCACGATGGGGTCGTAGAGCAGCATCTTTTCGTGCCAGCTTGGTAGCCGGGGGTCGGTTGTGTCGGGCGCGGTTTTGACTAGACGGGTGATGAGGGGGAAGAGGTGGGCGCAGAGAGATGCGGGGTCGGGTTTGCCGTTTGTAGTCTGGGCGGCGGTGGGGACGGTAGAGCTAAGCGCAGGAGGTTCAGGAGGCGCTGGCGGGATTAGTTGGAGCGGAGGTGAGGCGGGAGAAGTCACGCGGCGGGGTGGGGAGGGCGTGAAGTCTTGTTCCGAGTCTTCGATTTCGTCGATGTTGGTCCACTCGCTGTCTCTTTTCCTGAACTTCTTAGGTGTGACGGGTGGATCTGGCAGCACAGCTGTCGTCTTAGTCCGCTTTCTTGTGGGCGCGGCTTCGGCTGAGTCGGGCAGAGGAGTCTTGCGGGGACGTCCTCGAGGCCGCTTCGTGGGCTCCGGCTGCGGCTCGGTGGGAACATCTGTTCTGATAGCGCTGATTGGTGCCGTCGATGCGAGACCCTTCGAAGGCGGAACTGACTCAAGTGCGCGCTTGGCCTCTGCTTTAGATGAAAGTGGTTTGGGTGCGCTTACATTCACTGGCAAAGGCTGTAGCACGACACGTTCTTGGAGGACTGATAGTCTGTTCTGCGTATCTGCATTCGCTTTGTGTGGTTTTGTTTGCGACACTCCGTATCGGAGATTTACTTCCTGCGTAGGAGCGCGATCGGTTTCGGGCGGAGGTTTCGGTAAAGGAGAGATGGGTCCATCAGGCTCTACAGTTGTAGGTACAGAAAGCACTGTGCCCGGCTTGCCATCACTCAAGATTGTCCAATCGTTGTCTTGGACATCTGGTGGCGGTTGCTCTTCGACAATACCAATCAATGTCGAGTCGTGAGTTTGATGTTTCATTGCCTGCTCTTGGGTGATTTGATCCTCAACGCCGTTCGCGCTGTAAGTCTCCAATACGACCGAGCCGGCCTCGGTGTCCTCAATCTCGACAACCTCCCGCTCGATCATGGCCGCCTCTAGTGCTTCCTCGGCTGACAGATGGTCATTGACTGGAAGGTTCTCTAATGCGCTGCGCTCCTCAGCAGCCAAAAGATCATCGTCGAAGCTTCTCGTGGCAGCAGACCACAAACCACGGCTGGCCCTGACGAGCGCCAAACTACTGCCCACACTCACCGGCGCGACCTTAGAAACCAGTTCAGCATCAACGGAGGCTTCCGACTCTCGGATAGCTTGTTGCAGGTCTCGAACAAACGTCGGCGAATCCTCTCGCGTAAGCTGACTCGAAGTGCCAAAGAGGATATCTTGGTGACTCATCTTATGCATAGCGGATATTGGAGAAAGGAGGGTGGGTTTCACGAGCTCCACTTTTTTCTTCTTTTTGGCGGCGGGCTTCTTGACTTTGGCGCCGCCTTTGACCGGTGATTTACTCCGTGGTGCTCTTTTACGAGACTTCGTCTTAGCGACGTCGGGAGCGTCTTGCACAACTGGCTTGTCTTCGGTGCTATCCAGACGAGGCGCGAAGAAGGCGGAGATCGTTGGAGCGTCCGCAGTGATTGGGTCGAGGGGTTTATACTGGGCCATTGCCAGATCCGTGATGGTTCTCGCCTTCTTTTTCGGTTGCTTCGTTTTTTTGGCTGGAGAGGGTTCAGCCTGCGCAGACGGCGGGAGGCTCTGAATTGGCAAAACGGGATCGATAAGCTACACATTTGGTTAGCAACAACGCAGTAGAAATAGACCGTATCTGGTGCGGACCTCGATTCGCCGCCGCTTCGTCGAGGCTTCTCCAGACGGCTCTCGCGTCGGAGATATAGCCGGGATATCGGCAATACCGGGGCCGTATGCGAAGTCGGTCATTAAGGCGGCAAATTTGTATCTTGGAGGCTCCTGAGATATACACACAGGCAATACCTCCTTATGAGGTTCCGTGGGCTCGGGCTCCACCAGTTTTGTGTCTTTCGGAGGCGTCCAGTCCATCCTCCGCCTGATGGCTTCTTCAATTACCAACCCCTCCTCAGTAGCTACTCCTTGCTGATCTATAGCCAGACGCTCGTTATCTACCTCAGCAATCACGAAGTGTTCGGATACTTTGCTCGTCTTCTTTCTCTTTTTGGGCGCCGATGCTGCTGCCGCGCCCTCCTCTGTTTCAGGCTTTTTACTGGCTCTCGGCTTCGTGACTCTGCCCTTCTTGAGCTTGGTCTGCGTCTCGTCTTTCTCCTTCTCCTTCTTCGCTCTGGGCTTAGCCGCCCTCTTCGTCTTCGTAGGAACGGGCGCATCATCCTGCGCAATGTGGCTCGCTGCAGCCTCTGCCTTGTCTGCCGGCTCCGTTACATTTGACTCAACCGGAGCTCCTGGCTTCTCGACCTCCTCTCCCACAGTCGCCATTTTGGCGGACTTTGCCCTGGATTTTCTCGGCTTTTTCGGCACGGGTTCACCCTCCGCCTTTGGCTTCGCAGCTCGCTTTGCAGCCTTCTTAACCGGCACATCGGCCATCCCAGCCCCATGGTCGCACGGAACATCCCACACCGACTCCTTCTTCGCCCTTTCTTCTGGTGGAGTGAGGCTCAAGCGGCGTTCCCTGGTCATGCTGACGGCGCTCGCAACCCCCGAAGTCGCGCCTTCGGGCAGCCGCGCAGCTCGCGGTGCGCTCTTCAGTGCACCGCCCGGCTTCCGCTTTATCAGCTCCGGTAGTGAAGGTAAGTCTAGCGGAGAGGTAGGAACTGAGAGCGGAGCGCTCTGCTGCCTTCCTGGCGGCGTGACAACGAAGTCAGCCGGGCCTCGGGGAGACGAGGACAGGATGACGAGCTCCATGGCGGCCATGTGGAGCGGTCGGAGTCTGGTGCATCGCAGGAGGGACAGCGTCGCGGGCGCGATTGAAGCGGTTCCAGCAGTGCTGCCGCTTGGCGAAACGCTCTTAGAATGCTTTTAGAATGCTTCTAGAGGCTGTTGTGCTGCGGATGTTGTTTGGGGTTGTGGCTCTGGGCCAGCGAGATGCGCTACGCCGAAACGCGTAAACCGGCATCGCGGTGGCAGGTGACTTCCGCTCCAACCATGACATGATCTCTCCACCATCAGAATGAACCTACACCCGCAACACCTGTCATGAGTGCCATAGCCCGTCTAAAATCGCTCTCAGCACATATCCAGCCAAGCTGCGCCCGGACGTTCGCCAGCACAGCTCCAATGGCGAAACTCGACATCAATTCCAAGTACCGCATGAATTCGGGCTACGAAATCCCCATCCTAGGCTACGGCATCTACCAAACCCCCGCCGACATCGCCGAAGACGTCGTTGCCCACGCCCTCGCGACCGGCTACCGCCACGTCGACTCCGCAACCGCATACCGCAACGAAGCGCCCTCCGCAGCGGGGATCAAGCGCGCAGGCATACCGCGCGAGCAGATCTTCTTCACGTCCAAGGTGCCCCCGAGGGCTATAAACTACAAAGACGCTGCTAAATGCGTGGATGAGACGCTGAGTAAGACCGGTTTGGGGTATGTGGATCTGTATCTGCTGCATGCGCCGTATGGAGGCAAGCAGGGACGGCTGGGCGCGTGGAAGGCGCTTGCGGAAGCCGTAGAAGCGGGTAAGGTCAGGTCAATTGGGGTGTCGAACTATGGAGTGCACCATCTGGAGGAGCTGGAGACGTATATAAAAGAGGTGGAGGAGAAGGAGGGGAAGGGGAAGGCGGGCGTTTTGAGTGTTAATCAGGTGGAGCTGCATCCGTGGTTGGCGAGACCGGATATTGTGCAGTGGTGCGAGAAGCGAGGGGTCTTGCTGGAGGTGAGCAGATCCTTGGTGAGCTTGTTGAGCTTGATCGCTGACTTGCTGTAGGCATATTCGCCTCTAGTTCGGTCGACGCGCATGGATGATGAGCGGCTTGTTGCGCTGTCCAAGAAGCATAACAAAACACCAGCACATATACTGCTGCGGTGGAGCCTACAAAAGGTAAAGTGGCCCCATAACTGTCGTCGGAAGGGAGCGACAACTGACCGTCGTTGTATTGACAGAAATTCGTCCCTCTGCCTAAGTCGGTGACGAAGTCCCGCATTGAAGAGAACGCCAACATCTACGACTTCGAGCTTTCCGCTGAGGATATGAAGAGCTTAGAGACAGGAGAGTACTCTCCATGTACATGGGATCCAACTACAAGCAAGGATTGATCGCATGAACTACTCACACGACTTAGGCCTACGGTCCCGTTTTCGACCTGATTGACCCTGCTCAGCATCCGGAGAGTCCGTAAAATTGCTCGTCACAAGCAGCCACGCATGGCACACTCGCACCGTGATAAGTGTCAAGACCGCACCGAGTAACCGGGTAAAGATAGTAGCTAATCCGATGACAACCCCTACCTTTTGGATCTCGCCTCCGTAGTTATCGCACCAATATAGCCGAGGCCGATAAAATGGAAGAAGGTCTCGGATGCGTCTTTCTACGACTTGCGCTGTACACAGATGGCTGCTGACTCCACTTCGGAAAGTGTGTCCGACGATTTCGTAAGAGGTGCGAGAGGTCAGCTGAACTCACAGGTAGTTTACAGATAGATCATGAGGGCTGCCCCCGCTCGAAGTATATATATTTGTTTATCAGTGCAAAGCGCTGGCTTCGATACGACAAGATACCAAGGACAGATACATTCACAAAGCACCGCAAGGCCTTGAAACAACTCAATAGACAATTTGCGGTCTTGTGTGTAATTCTTTCGTCAGCTCTTAAGGTCGTTGAGTTTTATAGAAGAGGACTTCCAAAAGAACCGACTCGCATCAAAAGTGCGTTGTTGAGCAATCCCGGCGCGAGAACACTGTGCTGGACCTCGCAAAAGCATCTATTGATTAGCAATCAAGACCCTGTCATGGTGGAGGCATTCGCAGGTTGCAAAGTGAAGTCATATTATCATTACTGTATTGACAACTCACAGGTATCTCAGTCATCTACGACTGGTTCAAACACCTAGCTTCTCACTGGCCATCTTCGCCCCCTTGATACGGTTCGCAATCTTCTGAAACGCAACATCCCTCGCAAAATCCGGCGAACCGTGCTTCGGCCTATGAGCTATCAGCACATGCGCATCGTGAGTAGTTGACACCAGTCTGCCACGTACTTCACATCAATGCTAAACGGACTGAATCCACAATCATCCGTCGCCCCGAGCTGGTCAAGCGGAATGTACTTGCTCGCCGTCATCAACGCCTTACAAATCTCATCCGGCTCCTCAACCTTGGGATCGAGCGGATTGACCACGCCGACGAAGGCGACCTGTTTCACGCCGTTCGCGTCTTTGCGGATGTTCTCGCCAATCTCCTTGTACACCTTCTCCTTGTCTTTCTCTGAGGCCAGCTGTATGAGGAAGTACCCCGCGTTCATCCTGAACAGCGACGGCAGTAGCTCGTGGTAGTCGACCTCGCCGGAGTGGACAGAATCGCAGTCGCCACCTATGATTATTGAATCATAATTGTCTCATTGCTTGAAGGAAGAGCTTTACCTGGACATGTATGGATCCCAATATTAGATCGTTCTTCGGGAGTGAAGCGTTCTAGAACTCTAGAAGCGCTCTCGTCAGCTGCAAGTGCTTCAACACCCCTTTCCCAGGCTCCACGCGAGAATGACAGACTTGTTATTCAGCTCGATGAACGTATCCAACAACTTCGCTCCCGTCCACGGATTCCTGCTATCGTTCTTCGCCGTTAACCTCCCCTCCGTGAAATCAATCGACACGCGCTTCGCACCCTTCTCAAAACAGCCGCGGATATCCTTCTCGCACTCGTCAACCAGATCCTCCACGAACTGCTCCCTTGGATACCCCTCCACGGTGCCATTGAGCGGATACAGCAGATACAGCATGCTCGGCGCAATGACCGCCTGCTTCATCGGCGCCCCCTCCGCGAACTCCGCGCTCTTCTCGAAGTTCTGCCACGCATACGTCTTGTACTTGATCGGGCCTCGCACCAGCCGCGGCAGCTGCCGATGGTGGCCGTCGTCGAAGATCGCGAAGTACTGCCCGTCTGGTGCGAGGTTGTCTGCGAGCCCGGTGCCGCCGAGCGTGTCGGTGATCGGGTACGTCGCGAAGGACGAGGCGCGCTGCTCGCCGTCGGTGATGTAGGTCTCGCCCGTCTGGCGCATGCGCTTGAGCGAGTCTTCGACGGCTTTGTCTTGCGCGGCGACGAGGTCGGATTGCGAGATCTTGGAGGCGTCGTAGTCGGCGAATGCTTGTTGGAGGTCTGATGGTAGGCGGTATCAGTACTGGGAACTAGCACGTGTCAGTCTAGTAGTTTGATGGGAGGCTGTACATGTTGGGCGCGGCAGGCTGCCCACGACTTCTGTTGGAATAGGCATGTCGAGGGTCAATTGAGCCTTAGGCGAATCAGGCGGTAAGGGCAGTCTCCTGAGGAAAGACGAGAGGAGAGCGGGAGGATATCCTCCTCTTCGGGTACATCTTTATTTTTCTGACGACCTCGAATGTCTTCACATGGTCCCCTTGCCCTTTGATTTGACGCCCTGGTCGTATTCATGCAAGCCATGGATGGACCCCGCAGTTGTCTGCACCCCGCAGTCGTCGGTCTGCTTAGCGTTGACCCTGTGGAGACAGTATTGGACAACTTTCTTTTCTAACTTACTAGTACGGTCGACCACCGATTGGTCAAAGACTAAAGGCTCTTATCGACGTTAGTCCACATGCACGGTAACGTATTATTTTGATGCCAACTCAGACCGAGAATCGCATAGATGTACGAAGTCACGGAGACATTCATTTGGAGATGAGTTTAGTGCAGGACTTGTACCAATGACTTGGAATGTCAAACGTTGTGACTCGGTGGAGAGTCTTCGGCACCGGGAAAAATATGTCTACTATAGAAAATCAATAGATCGAAGCGGCAATAGTACGTGAAAAGAGGGCACGAAAGACAATCTCCTGTTTCAAAAGTACGCTCTTATGACTAGTGTAGTGACAGCGCTTGGAGAGGTTGAAGTGGTATCATAACGAACAAGCTTTACTGGAAGGGTGCTGCAGGATCGCTTGAGCCGCCACCGAGCTCAGTTTGCTCGTAACCTTCTTCAGCTTCCAGATCTGCTTCGGCCTGCAGCTCCGCTGCCCTGTCTCTGCAAGCTGCAGGTGAGAAGCCATTGCCGACCTTCGCGGAGACGATGCGCCAGCGGTCGGTTTCGTATTCCCGCATGGCCTGGCGCAATCTATCCACCTGATGATCAGGATAGTCAGCGGTGCGTAAGATGGTTGTTGACTGGTACCTAGTTGATGCAAGTAAATTCTTAGCATGCTTACCATCTCTTCTGTCCAATTCGTTGTCTTCGCCTTCAGCTTCGTGCAATAGCGCACCTGAAGTGTGCCAGAGCTTCTCCCAGGGAAGAAATCCGCGATCTGCTTCCATGTGAGATTCTTCTTTTCCTTCAAGTCGACGAGCAGTTGGTCGTCTTCCGGGGTGAATTTGAGCTTCGGACCACGAGGTCTTGCTGCGGGCGGCGGCATGCCTTCTTGTCCGACCACGCTGGCTTGGCCCTGTTCCTGGACTGGCGGAGACTCTTCGTAACGGCGCATCTTTCCGGGCGGAGGCTGATTCGGTAAGCGATGGTGATGGTGCTGCGGCGGTGCCGGAGGCATTGAGGGCGCTGGGAGCGCAGCGCCTCCCGGAAGCTCAAGCGGAAGCCGTTGCGGCTGCGTACGGTAACCGTGCGGCGTGAGCTCCACTGGCAAGCCCGCTGTGACCTCCGAAATTCGTCTAGGTAAACCTTGATAGGTTTCCAGATGTTGCTGGAGGTCTTGCTCTGGTCTGCTACGTTTTCGGCTGGGTGGTGCGTAGGGAAGATGACCGAATCCGGCAGTGTAGGCTGTCGGAGGCTGCTGCTGGGCCATCTGATCATGTTGTTGGAAAGGCGCTTGCTGCAAACTCGGATGAGCTTCCACGTTCGGGACTTGTACGAAGCCATGGTGGCCTCCATGCTGCTGGAATCTTTGATGCGGCGGAGGTGATTGCAGAAACGGGCTCTGGCTTGGTAACCCGTACTGGTCGTCGAAGGCGCGTCGAGGCTCGGCATTGGAAGCCTGGCTTTGTTCTTGCTCTGGGTGGCCTTGCAGGACGTAGTCGAAGGACAAATCCCGGTAAGATCTCGCCAGTGTTGCAATTCTGCATGAAGACTGCCAAAGCTCGCTAGCTTCGGCAGACCAATATTGGGGGCCTGAGGCCAAAAGTCGAAACGCGTTGAGATCGCCGCAGCCGGATCGTGGGAATTGTATGGCATGTGCTCCGAATAGCATGCACGAGCTATTCTGGCAGGTGTTGCGGGTAAAGCTGGCTGAGATGATGTGCCTTGAGCTGACGAGTTTTAGCGGGCGTAAGAGACCATAGGCTGCGCTGTTATAAGAGTGGTAGAACAAGACGATTTTGCTCCTAGCCGGGTGCTCTGCGCATTGTAGAAGTTCGTAACGCAAGCGCAGGGTACAGTTCAACTTTCGAAGACTTTTTCGCGGAATATGAGAACCCGTGACCCGCAACTGCAACACTTCCGTGGGAGCGCACACACAGAGACGTCAGTTACCCTGATGGGAAAACATCGGTCTCTGAGATATGACAGCCTTGCTGAAGGCGGTAAGATCTAAGACCTGATTTTGATGCGAGCATCATGCAGTGACCGCAGGCACGGGTGGGCGATACTATCACTGGATCGTGAGAACAGTGGCTACTTGTTGAGTGTGCTGTCATGCGGCGGTTCTCGAATTCTAAGTGGTTAGCGACACCGACTGAAAGCCGTCCCCTGAGCGTCTCAGCACTGTCAGCTAAGGCCTCTAGCTGACGTAATTAGAAGTCACCTGTATCGAAGTCTGGTGGGAGTTCTCAGCACAATGTCCGTATTTGGATGACATGCGAAAGACACTGAGAAGAAATTATCCTGGAAGATCAAGGAACCGCATGCAATGAGGAAGAACCCTATGACCGTTTACCTCATGTCCCCATGCCGCAATCAAGGAGCCCAACGAGTTCGGGCGGCTCGTTCCCACTAAGCAACACGCGGCACCAGAGAGCATCTGACCGATCGGAAATCTCGGTGATCTCGAAGAACAGAGTACAAGAAGCGGTTGTACGGCAACGCTCGTAGGATGTTGGGCATGAACTGTACCAGCTATAGGAAATGATCCGTCGACTTTGCTACGTGCTAGCCCATCAAGGAAGACCCAAGTGCCCAAACGAGGCTTTGAGTCCACATCTATGCTACTTCGGGAACCTATAGCATATACACCTAGTACATACGCGTCCGGTCGCAGTCTCTCATTACCTGCGCTTCCGCACATCGAATGGCAAAGAGCCATCTCAACGTTTTCTGTCCAATGCCGAACATGCAGTCGACGGGACAGCAGACTGCGCATAACCGTTCGGCAATCCAAAACGCGTTGCATCGATCTTGTTGTGGAGCGAAGTGCAGCGAAACAACGGTTCGAGGTCGTTTCAAACTCGCTGCTTGGCGGCCGGCTACGGAGATCATGTGACGTGGTGATTTCCCGGTCGCGCGTTCCACACCCGGCATCCTCGTCACATCTTCTGCATCTCTTTCTGCTCAAGTCTTCGCCGCGGTGAAGCTATCTTCAAGCTTCCTGACCATGCTCTTGAACAGTCAATCTCTGGCGACCGGAGTTCTGAATCTACCTCGAAGTTCGGGAGACTGCCTACCGTGGCTACTCGATCAAACTTGACCGCTCTTTACTACAAGCTCGCAAGTCTTCAGCCAGCCGTCAGTTCTGCAATGCGTTCGACCGGACAGACATCTGGGTCAGGATTCCGTCCCGGCACTTCCTTGACTATCAACCACGGTTCTGGAACGTCGTGAGAGGATCCAGACTCCCTCATGTCGCACAAGCGTCCCTACATACAGGTCCAGCGACCTCGCTCGTGCTCGTCAACTGAGAGCTCGCTGCGGATGGGGCGATACTCGAAAGGCAACATGCAGACATCCCACATCGCGGGAACCCACGGAAGAGCGGTCTAAGGATGCAGGGTGCGAGGCCTGGTTCTCCAAAGCACCATTTCGCTTAATGAAGGAAGAAACCGCAAGCAATAGATCTACAGGCATTTCCGAACACAGAATCAAGGAATGCGAAGAAACTCGTCGATGGTTTACTTCTGCGCTTCCAATTACGCTCTTCGTTGTGCGAGAGCTTGAGACTTATGCAGATGACTCTGTATTCTTTGGAGTCAACCTACGACCAAGGCCAACATATCGCCTTCAACGGCTGTTACAAAGCAATCTCGAAGCGGAGATTCCCAGAATCCGAAATTATAGGTTATCCAGATGAGCGGCCGACACAACCTTAGATGCTTCAATGACTCTGAGGGTAAGAAAAGCCGTTCTCATCTCTGTGTGTTTGAATAAAGCAAACCCAACCGGCTACCGGCAGACTTCCCAAATGCAATGCTCCACCACGGCTAGAGAGCTGGTATCATAGATGGAAAGAGATGACGCTAAACCAGCATGATGCAGACTGTTTCTCAGAGGTATCATACTTTCCCACCGAAGTGCTCTTTCGCATATTGCTCGCAGGCCTTGCTTACAGTCAGCTCGAGACGTCCGACATCGGACTAATCACGGGCGAGGAATGTCTACCTTTGCAGGCTTGCCCACTTTTTGTCCTATTACCTTCCACTTGCTCGCTTCATAATCTTTGATCGCAGCTAGCAGCGCGGCACTCTACCTCGCAGGTCAGCACAGGCCGTGACGGTGAGTATCTGTAGGATTACACACCTCGTCTTCGGCAAACTCTGCGTAGTGCATGTCCTATTCAGCATTGTGTAAGCAGGAACCAAAAGGGAATATCAGAGGTCGTGAGTAAGTACCTTGTACCAATGCTTCTTCACGCTTCCTTCGGTCCTCGTGGGAAAGGTCTAGCAAAGTGGCAGATCTGTTAGCCCACCCTGCTCTCTGTAATCATCGCCTCACGTTCACATGTCAAGTACCTTTGCGATCTCACTCCAGGTGCTGCCAGCATCTCTCATAGTCTTTAACCGCTGCTCCTCCGCTGGAGTCCAGGGTGTGTTCGTCCTCCCCTTCTTCGCTGGTGGCGCTGCCGGTGTCTCCAGCTCTGCGGTTCCTCCCGCTACCCCAATGGGGTCAGCGTAGCTGGTGGAAGAGGTCGCTGCCGTTGCAGGCCCCACGGCGTTGCCCGAAGCACGTCGTTTCCTAGGATTGTTTGGCGACACCGCCGGCTGAGGGAAGGCAGGGTACTGCTCCGGCGGATGGTTCAGGGAGTGCAATGCCGAGGCGTCGGCGGACATTGTGAATGGTGGAGCCGCGGCCGATATAGGTGTGAGTTTTAGATTGCGCCTCGAGGCTGGAGATGATCTGTGGAACGGCGAGGTACTACGTTAGCGCCATGAAGCAGAACATTCCGGCGACTGCTGCTGAAGCTGAAGTGAAACCAAGTGGCCAAGCTGAAGGCGAAGTAACAGTGACAACAGGAACAAAAGACCTTACGACATGGCGGGAGGCTCACGCGAGAGGGGTCGTGGTCTGCTGCTCGAGGTTGAAAGCAGACAGCTACAGCTATTGTGGCTAGGTCTCGCGCAAATGACGTTTGTGCATGGCATGCGAGATGGGAGAGCGGGCAACTCAAGCTTTCTCTAGCTTCTTCAGAGTGACTTGGAGGGGACGTGAGGCCGGTCGATCATGGTGACAATCACGTAGGCAGATCTCCGCTCGTTGTATGATTAAACGAGAGATCGCGTACTGTACGTGAGCACAGAACCGGTCAGGTTCCCAGGCAGAGGACCGAACTCATAGAGCAGATGGGCGTCAGAGGGTGGTGGATGGCATGGGGGCACTTTCGAGCGGGCATGGCGGCCATCAGCCAGGCGGAGGTGCAAATCAATCAGCGGCGCTTGTAGCGGGTACACTGAACCTCATACTGTTTTATACTTGCACTGATGTAGCTGTACGCGAGACGTGCCCTTGAAGAAGCGGGGTAATAGCGCGATGCTAGCCTTCGTCTTGAGCACGGTGGCAGTTCGTGCATCAAGGCTGCGGGACGGGAGGGTTTCCATTGGGGGGGAGGAGGTGCAGCTCGAAAGCTCGCCGTCACGCGGATCTTCCACCATCATGCACGACAGCAGCTGCGTATCTTGGCGCTGCTCCCGTTGTTGGAGCTTCTTGATGATGCCGTCTGTTAGGAGTCACGTGGAGATGTACTGCGAAGTTGAGTGAGTCGCAAATTTAATATATCACTGCGGATGGATTACAAGAACCCGAGTATATACCTGTTCATGGATCCCGGTTTGAGAAAGACAGGGCGTACATTTTCCGAGCCTATGAAGAGCTTCGCAACGTCCCGATGAGTTGTATCGAGATAAAGACGACGGCCAGCGCGGGTAACGCGCATGTACCCCTGCTGAACAAGCACCTAGCTGCTTGATCTATCCCGTTCACTTCTGAGTTCAACGTACTGGTACCATGCCCTTGGTAGGCGAAAATCCAACAAGCTGAGTCTCGAAGTCGTTTGCCCGTCCCGCACCACCGCATCTGCCATCGGCCGCCCGCCGAGCTGATGGAGATATATTCGTGCTCATGGAAGAACCGGCCCCGCGCACCCCAGCACGGTGCGAGATATCGGTACCGGGCCGCTGGCTGTCTCAAGATGTTGTTCCATCTCCGTCTTGGACCCTTCGTCGACACCACGCCTCAGCCCACCTTCTTGTTCCATCAAGCGCTTCGGCTCTCGCCGTCGACTCGCGGCGATCAGGAACAAGGTGTTGCTCTCAGCGTCTTAGGGCTTTATCCGCGCCGCACCGCGCGCTTAACGCCGAATACCGCCGACGTTCGATCAAACCGGCATCAATCACCTTGCCGGCTTGACTTATGACAACTGTAGATTAGACGCGGTTAATGTTGGAGTTCTTCTCTGATCAGTTTTGATTTTGGACGACGCTTGTTCTCTCAAACCCGTATCGTTGTGCTTCCCGCCGTCAGGGGTACGTCGTTCATGCGAAGCATGAGACGAAAACGGTAAGAGAGAGCTAGCCTCTGTTTGAGACTTTCCCTTTGCCCCTAACGGGCACGATTAGGTAAAACAAGCTTGCTGAGAAGGCGGTCTTCTCTAGACAAGCTGTGAGAGTCAGCCTCTTCGCTTCTCGGACGTTTGTGGTTTCCGGATGTCTCTTGTTACCTCGATCAATTTTCTATTCGCTTTCTGCGGTCCTACAATCGATACCTTGCTCTTGATAGTCTTGTCTTCGTTTATCGACGCTACTCGTCTTTCAATAGACAACTTGATCGCCGAATTGAAGTGGCATTTTTCTACCATTCGCACTGGGTGAAGCTTAGCGCCAGCCCTATGTCGGTTGGTGGCGTGGCTGAATCCCCCGACCAGGATTTCTGTCTGCACGCAATCACGGAATATTAGTGTATCTTCACTTCTGCGCTTCAAACCCAACACACTGGTTTTGAAACCCACTCTAACGCTACCTAAACAGTATCAAGCTTGACGAGGCACACTTCTTAACTACGCCGGTTACAGCAAACCGAGTCTGCGCCAAACCAGTGCTCGGCCCACTGAGAGCCTGTGCGCCCGCACGTCGAGACTTCTCAAGCCTTCATGGCAGTCGGAGAGCCCTGCTATCGTGGAGACGATCCTCTGTTTTGCAAATCGCAACCGTGCCGCAACACCTTGCCGCTTGAGAGTTGGAAACGCATTGAACTTCAGACCCTGCCACTCCATCAACCGTGCCTCTTGGCCAAGCCCGTTGTTGGATTCTTGATCTCCCATATGTAAGGTTGTTGTCGCCCACCGTTGTGGCCTTTCATTGCACTCTGCTCAGCGGCAATTGTCCCTCTTTTAGCAGCCTCTATTATAGACTCTCTTGCTCCCACTGGCTGGGCAGCGTTACATTCTTTAATTGACATTACTGAGCAATTGATTCTTCGTTCATACTTTTCCTGTTTCGCTCCTTTGATACAGACAATTCAATCTAGTCCCTCCAAACTACACAGTCACTGTTGTCGTTCATTTCCGTTACTCCTTGCAAGTCACCAAAACTACAAGCTGCGGACAGGAATCTATTTGTCAGAACTACGTCGGCACTTACAGCGCTTCCATTGTCAGCTCATAGCCAGCATGCAGTGCTCTACAATGGCTCTGTCAGACTCGTCCAACTGCGAGAAAGATCAACACAACACTACTACCAAGCTCAAGCATCGCAGGATGGCGTCGACTGGTGGCAATCGGTCATGGTCAGAGGAAGAGGTTAGAGATGCAGAAACATCCGTCTCTTTGCGGCTATGCTAATGTCAATACCACAGGAAACCTACCTTCTCCAGACTCGCATGCAGAAGCTGCCGTACAAGCACATCGCTGCGCAGCTCAAGAAGACTGAGCTCGCCTGCCGTCTGCATTACCACCAGCTCTGTCATGGGAGCCACCGCCGCCGACGTACTACTTCCATCTCCTCTACCATCTCTTCCAGCTCAGCCGGCCATCCATCGAGCTGCTTTCAACATTCCCCTCCGAGTGAGCATAGAAATTCTAACGCGGCGGAGTCGTCCCGCCACGACTCACCAAGCATGTATCGCACCGGCTCTGCTAGCCCTCCAGTGCCAGCGCCGGTCTACAACAAGCCCATACTCCCCAAATGCCAGCCAGGACTGGTCACACCTCGCACGTCGCCCGAACCTGACTTACACCATCCATCCGGTCTTCGCATCAACACCGCCGAGCATGTTCTCCAGCGTCCCTCCACAGTCACGAGCATTGACACAGGCCGTCTGCGCACGATCTATGAAGCCCACCGCGCCGCCTTTTGGGTGAGCATCGCCGCTGACTATGGCCAAGATGTATCGCCCATCCACCTTGAGCAAGCCTGGCGCCAGTCTTGCAACGTCGCTAGGCCTCTCACGCCCCCCGAGGAGGGCCAATCGACCTCTAAACACAGGCCGCTGCCACCCTTATACTCGCAGCCTGCTGCCTCTGCTTCCGAGAGGCTGCAAGGACGCCTGTTCGAGACTACGCCTATCACTGCGGGTGTGAGCGCTGTTTCGGCGCCGGAGAGGTTGCAGTATACGCTACCGACGCTGACGCCTTCAACTGCGGGCAGTACACCGTCGATGAGCCTCTCGAGAACCAGCACGTGGAGCGAGATTAGCAGTGTTCCGGCCACGGCTATTGCCGCGCTGTTGACTGTGGACAAAGAACCGAGGCCTGATGTTGACGCAGACGCGATCATGCATGGCTAGGAGGTGGTCACATGAGCTTGACTACCGTGCCGAGGTCTGGTAGCGGGTTCATTGGTATCGCATATGACGAACGAGTTGGGGTGTCATGGAGTATCTCTTGGTCTTTTCTTCCTGTATCTCCTCCTTAACCTCTTTTCTTGTCTCTTATGTTGGCTCGAGTGGGACGAACGGCTCATGTGGAATTCCAATTTGGGATGATTACGCCATGTACGATAGACTGACTGCCTTCGCGGTCCTACAACAATGTTACACCGATGTTTCCTCTTTTGTACAGACTAATTTGGCATTGTATCGGAATTTACCTGAACACTCAAGCTTCAAGGAGCGCACTCTACCCATCGCATACCTGCGAGTCACCGAGTAACGAACAGATGAATGGCATTGCGTCCTCCGCAACACCGCTAAGAACAGGAAACCTCCACTCCATCCGCTCTCCGCTACTCACATTTGCAAGCGTCATATCCTTCGTTCGCCCGTGTTTCATCCCCTTCTAGGTTGTATGTTCTAGGCAAGAGTCACAACGGGATTACTTCGCGGAGGCAGTAATTCGATCCTAGATAACAATGGCCGCCCTCGAAGGTGAACCCGATTCGAGAGCACAGAGTCAGTTCTGCTATTCCCTGTATCAATCTCATACTGAAGCATACTGCTGCTGGTTCAGATGGATCCGAAGTCGTCTCACTCGAATTGCTAATGCGAAAATTCTCGAAATAGACGAACTCTCATGAGTTTCACCATCGAGGTCTGCCTCGCCATCATCACCCAGCGATGTCCCGCCATGCTCTGAACGGCAAGAGGCTTTTCTCGTCTTGATAGATGTGCCAAACTGGGACGACGTCGCGGCGGTCTCACATAATAACGCAGGAATATTGTCCCCTCTACAAATGTATACAACAATGCGGACCTTCACAGTATCCGTTACATGGGCTTCGAGTTCAGTGGTCGTAAAGACACTTTTACAATCGCGGCTTCCTACTGTGGTCCCTGAACCTGTCTTCATATCGTCAACCACCATCACCACCGAGTTCGGGATAGGCCCCCACTCCCACTAACTTCGCACTCCAGTAGCTACCGCCCCTCCTTCCACCCCATAGGCACAAGCGCCGCCGCCACCTGCGTCACGCCCCGCTCCGTCGCCAGCAGGTTAAACTGCGCGGACGCGTTCCTCGTATCCGAGACCTCGAGCCGTATGCCCAGCTCGCTGATGTGTTTCCGCGTCTTCGGCGATATGGGCACGATTGTTGGGCCTGTGCCGACTATCAGGAGATCTGTCGCATGCCTTATCAGTCCGTCGATCCTCGCATTACTCCGCAGTAAGACCACCAGATTCCGTGTCCACGGCTGTGAGGTGTCGACAACACGCAACACCGCTCAGGGACGGGAAGAGCCGCACTCACCAGGCTTCGGCCACACCAAATCCAACACCCCCCAAGCCCCCTCATCAACCTCCCACATCCCCCTCGCATCCCTCATCTTCCCGACCCCGCCTCCCCCGGCCCCTTTGTCGTTCCCTTTCCCACCTCCTCCTATCGTCCCCTCGACCCTCCCCTCCCGTAACCACGGCCTCCACCGAAACGCCTCCCCGCCAACCAACAGTACTCCCGACCCGGAGACCCTGAGCCCAGAGTTCAGCGCAAAGCCATCGTTGGTGCATGCGTCGATGCCGGTCGTGGGCGCGGCGACTGCGCCCAGGACGTTGAGGGCGCCGAAGTCGGTTTGGGTGTCTTCTGTGCTTGCGGGACCGCGGTCGTGGGAGGCGGGTGGCTTGGAAGGGCTGAATTGTGAGTGGGAGATTGTGAGGGTGCAGCGTGATATGCGAGCTGCAGGTGTGGGAGCGCGGCGGTAGAGCGATCGTGGGAGGGCTGATGAGGTGGAGGGGCGGAGGGTGCGGATGAGGGCGTGGGGTGAGGGCGGGGGCGGCATTGTTGTGTGTTGTTCAGATTGGGAGCTGGTATGTGTAGGTACTGAGACTGGCTATACTATTGCCGCGAATTGAGGCGCAGTCGGACTCTTTGAAGGAGCTTCGCAGCTTGGGCTTGATGCGCGTCACTGCACCACTACTGCCGGAGTATCGCCGGGCTGCCGCAACATCTTTGAGCTGGATCTCCACGTGCCTAGGTCGGTTTAGATTACTTGGCTATCACGGTCTGATGTCCTACGGCTTTCAAAATGAGATTTCAGGCCTCAACTAGGAATATACCGATTCTGCACTCGGAAACATTGAGTTCAGATAGAGACCCACTCGCAATGGCTTTCATTTACAGCGCATATCTGGTGAGTGGGAAGTCGGCACCGTGCGAACTTTCCCCAGATCGCCCGCGACAGGCCAATCAAGCATCAAGCGCCATCCATGCAAATTCTCGTCACGACCCCTACATAACATTGGACCTTTTACTCGTCATCCTCCTCCTCATCCTGCTCCAGCGTCGTCATCGCAATACGATCCAAATCCCGCTGACCGCTCTGCGTAATCCTGCGGCCACCCTTATCCTCGTCCTGCTCAAGAACACCGATCTTCTCAAGCGCCTGCATGACCTTGCGATCAACGCTGCCGGATGCATCGACGTGGTGGCTTGGGCGCGAGCCGCGGTTCTTGGTGCTGCCGTGGGCCTTTCGTAGGCGGCCAACGCCGACGGTCTTCCTCATGTAGACGTGGCGGGCGACGGCGGCGGCGCGGATGTAGAACCTTTGGAGAGGAGGCGGTGTTAGCTTTTCTGTGCATGCCGTCTGTGTGACAATTCGCGGAAAGGAAGTGATTGTTGCCTAATTGGGACAGAGCAGCACTCAGACAGGACTCACCAGTCGATATCCTGGGGCGGCAGCTCTTTTGAGTGACTCGTCTTGACGGTATCAACCCAGCCTGTACACAATAGAAGCCATGGTCAGCAAGCTGTTGGCGGATGTGCCTCCATTCTCTCAGGAGATTCAGGCTGGTGTGGCGGCTTGTGTCGGTGCGGAGTAGGTGAAGAGTTCAAGGTGTGACAAACCGGGACTGAGAAGAGGAGCGGTTAGCTGATATCCTGACAAGATGTGAGTGATGGGATCTAGCGGCACAGCCGTCCTTCACCGTCCCCTCTGCGTGTACTGATCGCGACTGGTGTGCGCGCTGAATTGCGCTTTCAGGTCCAGCAGCACCCCACCATAGCCCAAGTATGTTGCAGGAGGTGGTCGGTGGAACAGACGAGGTGTGTTTCGGCTGTTGCGCGGCTTCCGGACTGAAGGTGTGGGACCGAAACGTACATTGGTAGTTTGCCCTGCCTCTTCAAAAACGCAGCATAGGCACTGATGAACTTGTTGGCCTATTACAACACAGTAAGCTTCAGTCTCGAATTCCGGCCTCCCCCCAGTGCGCGAGTCTTTCCCAGCGGTGTGCTGCTTGGTGTCCGTCGCATCGTGCTTGAGGAATGGACGACTGACCTCAACATCGCGGACACTGACACCTCCAGCCATTCTGACGGTTTTGCAGCTGTTTGCGAATTGGGATAGACGTGTTGGTGCGAGATGTGAGGGCTGGTCGTTGTCGCGAGAATTGTATTCAAGTCACTGTGTTGGTGGTTTTCCAGTGCGCATCAAGCACGCACGGGCGCTCGCTAGGCGGCGTCGCATCAACTTGTCTGCCGAACATTACCTTCACGCCAAGACTGCTGCGAAGTCGCATCTGGCTCCGAGAGTTCCGATTAACTAGCTCTATATTCGTATCTATGCTCGTGAAGCTCCTGAAGCTGCGAACGCCATATATAATCGCCAATGCACAACAACGACCTCCGTGAAATAGAAAGCGACACGCTAGAGAGAAGCAACAATCTCCTCATCCGCCCTCATTCTCAGCAACCATGACTCCAGCGCCGACTCATCAAGCCCCTTCAGCCAGCTCATGGTCTCGTTCCTCACCTTGTTTGACAACCACTCATACTCGCCCTTGTCTGTCATCAGCTTCTCCACCACGGGCACCCATTCACTGACATCCTGTTCTGGGACCACATAGCTGGGCTCCTCATCTCCTTCGAGCATTTGGCGGTCGCCGGTCAAAGAGTTCACGTGGATGATGTATGGCAACTCGAGCTTGGCTTGAGGTATTCCACCTACATCTGATGAGATTACTGGAATGCCGCGCAGTTGTGCTTCGACGACGACGAGGCCCCACGCTTCGTGCCAGAGCGAGGGGACCAAGAGGACCTTGATCTGCGACCAGGCATCCTCCATATTGCGGCACGTGGGATAGACACTCGAAGCGAATGCGTCAGCAATTCGAGCCCAACAACAAGGAGATGTACCCTAGCTGTGCGGTAGACCTGGACAACTTACTCGATGTTGGACAGCTCCTGCAACTGGGCCTTTACCTTCTTGGTCGAGCCCCAGCTACACCACGTTGCAAATCTGAGCTGCGGGCACCGTCGCGCCAGCTCGATGAAGATCGGGCAGCCCTTGATTGGACTAGGATTGATCATTGCCACATGCCGTTTATCCCAATTGCGGTGTCTCGGAGGTAGCTCGCGCGTCTTCCCGTCCAGATACGTCCAAGGGTGGAGATAATGGAACGTCGTGTTGAGATTACCGTGTTTGAGCGCGTAGTCCCTTATAGCTAGGGAGACTGACCAGATTCCATCTACGCCTCGCAGCAAACTTGTCTCGTTGGGCGAGACAGCGCTGCCTGGGATGCCGCCTGCGAAAGGTCCGAAGGGAAGCTGTTCTGCAGTGTGGACAACGCAGACGCGGCGGGTGCTCTTGAGAGCAGGCATCATAGAGGTGGCTTTGAGAGACAGTGCATCATTGAAGATAACGTGAGTTGGACGGAAGAGGCAGATGTGCATGTTCCAGAAGACCACCAACGCTTGGAGTCGTCGGGTCATCCTTCCATTCTGCGCGGCATCAGCTCGGTTGAATGCAAAGAACTTCGTGTCGGGTCTGGGCTCACCTCGATGAAATCTGCAGTTTCTGCAGCTAATTCATCCTCCGGGAACGCGAGCATAAATTCTTCTACGTCTAGTGCAACAGCTTGAATTCCGTCCAAATCCGTAAGCACCCACATCCGTACCGTGTAATGCTCGTCATGGTCGAGAGGCACGTGGAGCTTGGAGCGTACGACAACCGCTTCGCAGCCTTCCGCTTTCCTTTCTTTGAGGTACGTATCAACTTCGTGTTCACGTGCATAGCACATCTGCTTGCAAGCGTATCCACGGCTTGTGAGGTGCCGAAGAACGCTGATGTTGGCTTTGTAGCCGCCGGAGGAGGCGAACAAGCCCTTGGCCGTCTGAAAGAGGAAGACACGCATGCTTCCTTTCAGCATAACGTCTCGGATGGTTGTCCTCGGGTGTTCTGGGGTAGAAGCTTGAGGTGAAGAAGGGCTGGTGCAACTCCGGCTACTCTTTCAGTGGAGATTGGAGAGGAGTAGAGCCGAAATGTGAATAAATTGCTGATCAATTGCGGATGATGTTGATGGAGAAGTGGGTGAGAGTGCTGTGGTGGAGTGAAGTAAAGTATACCTTGCGGTGCTGAAGTACTTGACTGACAACAATTTGAAGCCATTCTATCAGTCGCGGGTGTAACTGTCCCGCGTAGCAGTGACGTTTGACACTGAAGGCTCAGCAAACGCTCATCGGGGAACAAAAGAGACCGAGCTTGAGGTCAGCCGCAAACACTCCGTCTGGACTTCGTAGCGTTCGCGGGTAAAGTTTCTCAGTACGTCAGGATCAAAGAGAGATAACATCGTTCTCAGAAGAAGAACACCTTAGGGGACTGATGACACAATGCCCCCAGGGTCTTTCTCTGCTTTTTTGATGAAAATGGCAGCCGAAGCAGGGCTTGAAGCCATTTCCGCTCAAGGTCCTTCTTCGGGGACGGTGCGAAGGTCCGACCGTAACGTGATATTCCGCGAGGCTATCGATACTCTAGAGAGTGGTCTCATCTTGTGTTGCGCTGTCAGCATCATTATGACTCTCCAATGATGAACCCGGAGGCTCCCGAGACGTCGGGAGTACCGGTACACTCTCTGGCGCGGCGTGTTTTTACATGCCCCGATCTGGTGTAATGGTTACGGATTGATGGATAGACAATAGCAGCTGACTACCGGCTTGTATGTGCAAACGTCTGTGTAAGATTCGCGTGTTGGGAGCAATGATACCGTCTAATGACGGGATATACCGTCAAGCTGCGGTCCATTGCCAGCGTTTCGTACCCGTACAGGGAGGGCCTAGATACCAGCTAACAGCACCTTGATACCGAAGACCAGGCACGTTTCTGAGCAGGCCTTTGCAGTGGATTCCCGTCAGGTGGGTTGGGGAGAAAGGCGTAATGGTTGACAGGGCGTGGTGCTGACTCGGGAGTAAGCCGGACCGCATCAACTCATCTTCCGAACATCTTCATGCCAGGACTGCTCTATCGAGCCGGGAGTTACGAACACCGTAACGCAATCGAGTGCATCAGGCCTTGTGGGACTCATTTGCTGCGGCTCCAACTGAGGCGACACTGCGCGCACCACTCGGCAGCGACAAAATGCAGCCTTACACCGAGCCTTGTACTCTATCATGAAGAGCTGCAAACCTCCAGTCATGTGAGCGGCTGGCTGCGGATCCTGCTATCTCCACGCAGTCTGTGCACTGTAAGGCACCCTAAGTTACTCTCGCACCATACTGCGGTCCTTGCTTTGCTATACAAGCAGCAAGAATAACCAGGCGAAAGGGTGACCAATGGGATCTTTACGGCGCGAGGCTTGTCTATCGGCGTTCGTCCTATTGTACGAAATTCGGAACTTAGATCTCGCAGGACCCCACAGATGACTGGACCATCCTGTACATGGCCCAGGCAAACAGGTGGGGTCTTCGACGACAGGGCTCAGTGCAGCCAGTCGCTGCAGGTGCCGCTCCCTGCGCCCAAACCACCACCTACTTCGCCGCAATGATTATGTAGTGCACTGAGCCTTGCAAGCTGGCTGTCAGACACAAGTGTTGCCTTCGTCGGGGAAAGTGGGAAGGACTGGATTGTAGCCAACTATCCACATCAACCAAGGGCAGCCTGGAAGAAGCTTATCGCTTCGTGTCTTCACACTACGTGGACAGGCATCCTCCAACCAACGCAATCCCCAATTGAGGCACAATGTGCAATTTCCACTGATTGCGTCACTGAAAGTGAAAACCAGTGGCAGAACGTGTCGGCTCCACAAGCCTCACTCCGCACACCAACAGCCCAACGCCAGCTCGGCAGCCGTAACCCAAGCACATCACAACGTCGGCGCCCTCTTCAGCCCGACGCAGTATCTAACAAAAAGGGTATCAACAAAATGCCCGTGTCTAATGCCCGGCGGCCTCCTCCTTTCAAACTCATCCAGCGCATCTTGGAGTCGATAACCCAACCTCTCAACCATGTAACAAACAATGAAGAAACCCGTCCTGTTGAAACCGTAGTGGCAATGCACGCCTATCAAGCCGCTGCTTTTCCGGCCTCCGTCCGCACTTGGGACATTGCTTTCATTCGTGCCGTCTTCAGCGCTCTGAGCGGATGGCGGAGATGCTTCTGACCGCAGCCCATCCACCAGCGCGATGAAGCTCTTGATCTCGTCGAGTGTAGGCGGCAGCTTACTGACCGTCGGAAACTTGTAATACGCGATACCTCCCTCCTCCAACCCATGGTGGTCATACACAGGATTGTCATGACTGATATCTATGACGGCCCTGATCTCGCCTCTCCACTCCCTCACAAACACCTTTGGGCTGTGGTGCTCGTCGACTTCCCTGAGTGTCTTCATCGCCCTGAAAACACCAGCGATGGGCTCGGAGACGGGCGCCACGGCTTGCCATTTGGCGAGGTTCTTGACGTCCCATTTGCCTTCCGTGGTTAGGTACTGCAGCTGCCAGCCGAGTGAGAGACGCTTGTCGATGTGCTCGGCGAGGAAAGATTGGATTAGGCCGGAGATGGTGCGGGAGGTTGTTGGCGCGTAGAGGAGGGCATGGGCAGCCGGGGAGGGGAGGATGGTTGTTTTGAGAATGAGGTGGCGTTCTGCTGGGGGTGACGCGATGGTTGCTGATCCTTCTGTGTCTGGATGTTGTGTTGTTGAGGGGGAGGGTCCGCCGTTAAGGGCGGTCGTTTCTTCCTCGAGGGACTTGAGGTGGTCGTGGTGTTCGTTTGAGCGCGCATGATGGCTTTCGATCTTGCCAATGTCGAACGGCGCAGCTGCGTCCGGCACGATATCACCATCGATGTCGACATCATCCGTCGTTCCTGTTACATGTTTGCCCAAAAATTCTGCAATCCTCTTGAGCTCCTCTGCTGGAGTCACATGATCCGCTTCTCCAGCTATGAGAAACACCGGGACTTTCAATCCAGCCCAGACGTCACGGCCCGGCATTCCACCCTTCGGAGCGCCGTCGGAGTAGTCAGGCAGAATTCCCGAAGCCATACGTCGCCAAACAGGCGTGCGGCTCTGCTCATTGAATCTAACCTGCAGCTTCTTAGTCTCTTCCTCCGCATCAGGTCCCGTGAAGCGAGCAACGCTGGCGCTTTTGGTCCCACCGCGACGGTCCCAGCGACGCCATAGATCAAACATTACTCCTGGTATCCAGAGGAGCTTTCTAAATTTGGCTGTGTCCTCAGCACTGGGCGGGGTAGCTTTCGGACAGATTGCTATGAGGCCGGCTACGTGCTTCGACAGCAGCTCTGTGTGAGGCGAGGTTGATGAAGCTAGTAAAGTCGCGAGGGAACATCCCATGCTGTGTCCGATCAGCACGACGTCTTGGCCAGAGCCTGCATCGCGGTAGTCCTGGATCACGGTCCCGAGCAGTTGCACCAGGGCGTCTGTGGTATAGGCGCCCCATGCCTTGGGCTCGAATGCGGATAAGCCGCAGCCTGGAAGGTCGAGGGCTAGACAGTCGGCCACATTCACGAGGCTGGTCAGAATAGGGTGGAATTGGGCGACGGAGCCACCGAGACCGTGGATGAAGACTAGCAGCGGGATGGGTGAGGGCGATGTGGGGAGCTTGTCGCGCTGCGGGTGCGGCCGGAAGAAGATGCGGAGGGACGGGTAGGTGAAGCCGGTGCTGGATACGGTGTACGACTTGAATATAGAGTGCTTCTTCAGTAGACCTGGGTCTGTTGCTTCGGCGTCCATACTGACAGTGTCGGAGAATGGAGTAGTCCTTGTGATGCTCTTCTCCTCAATCCATTGCCGCCATCTGCGCTTGAGGACCCAGATGCAGGGTAGTAAAATGCAGATAACCGTTGCTTTGATCACGTCCGCCAGTGCGAATAGCCCACCGGTGCCAAGTCCCAAAGTGCTTGGGATTGGTTTACCCGCAGCTATCAATGTCGAGCCCGCTGGTGATGTCCCCGTTACGGAGGATCCTATTTGCGGTAATACAGGCTCATTGGATGATCCCTCTCTTGCCGTGACATCCAAGTGCGACATCTTTGATACTGGACAACAAACAATCTGACCTAGCTCCCTGGTTGTCCGTCAACCAATTGAAGTGGCTGGGAAAGCGCCGTGCCTCGATGTTTGGCGACAAATACCGGTTCAAAGATTACACCCCTATGACCATCATCTTTTCCAGGGCGCAAAGGGCGTTTTCCGAAAGGTTGTCTGAAATGTATCTTTGTATTTCTAGCCTAATCCGGCCCTCCCCTTCGAATTTCCGTGTTCGTCATCGCCCCAAGTAGTTCGTTGAGCGGCTGTTGTTGCTGGGCTATACCACGTCCTCGGTGGGCGATACAAAAGTGCTGCTTCCTATTGCTCCTTGCCGTACGTGCTCGCCTTGCAGGGCTGCTCACTGTACTGGTTGGTGTTTTGGGTCGTTCGGCCAGTCAAGGCGCGAGGTTTTCCCCTGAGTCAGCGGATGCCGTTCCTCTCGGCTCCATGTTCAACCGAAGCTCTGCTTCAGCGTTGTCGACCAGGCGTAGAGCTGCTGGAGCCGTTGCAACGGAGAGCGTCCCGCGAATGGCTGTCGGCGGGGGAGGGGCATTTGGACCCCTCTGCCGTCCACTTTCTGGTTCATCCGAGGGTGCTGCTCCCCGCCATGTAGGAGAGAAGCCCGAGAAGGTATTCCGGGCTCTTTCACAAAGCTAACGTGTGCTATTCCACTTTCCTGCCTTTTCGTCTCACTGTCGTCCTTCTACACTCACGAGTTAAGGCTTTACTTCAGCTTCCAAGTCTCGACCTCTCTCGTGTCATTCAAAGCTTCAACTCATCTGCCCATTGACGGTAACTGAACTTGCCAAAAACCAAACCAGCTGCCTCTACCGCCATGGACCCCTCAAACCTCCAAAAGCAGCGTGAGCCAGAGGAGCCACGCTATCTCGACTTCCCCCATCTGCCTGATGATGCTATGCGCGACGGGAAACCTATACTCAATAAGTACTCGTCCACAGTCACTAGAGACCATGACTTCCCCGGCGCCCAAGTAGGCCTTCGCGTATCTAGCTCGTGTATAGAAGCTCATTGACACTTCCTGCAGGCAATGCTCTACGCCGCGGGAGTGCCAGACAAGGAGACCATGAAGACAGCGCCTCATGTGGGTGTTGCTTCGGTGTGGTGGGAGGGCAATCCTTGCAAGTAAGTTCGTACATGGTTGGGCAGCGGAAAGCTCGATGCTGACTTGTGGCTTCTAG